CCATGGATTTATTGTCCTTTACCTGCCGATATCGTGCATATTGGGAGGGTAGACACGACCTAGTTAACCTTAACAGGGCCTTCCTGCATAAATATGAAAGTCCCCCCCCAGCTGTAAGTTATTAGATAGAAAATATAATGTTGATCTCAATTTACTGATTTTCCCCTTTTTTTCTGTACTTTGTCTTTTTTTTTACTTTGTCTGTTTTTTTTTCTTTCCTCAATTCAAAATAAAAGTTCAAATGGTTAGAAATTGCAATAGTGACCAATGCGATGTTATTTTATATTTTTTAATCAATTTTTAGTTTGGTGATTCTTTTTATTCTTTAACTTTGACCTATCTTTGATCTTTGGAACCAGCCTTACCTTCCCGAGGATGGTCGGGTTTTGAAATTGAAATTGGAAAGGAATAAAGTAAATTTCTATTGATTCTTTGTCTCACCAAAAATTATTGTGATATTTCTTTGGTCCCAAGGTATTTTCGTGGGACCTACGAAGTTTTCGGCGTTTTGTCGTTTGGTTTCTTTCTTTTTCCGACCTAAACAATAAAAATGAGTGATTAGACGAGGTACCAATGAATATAAAAGTGTGAAGTTGAGTGAGATTCAACTTCACAGTTCTATTCAACTTCACAACAAACAATCAAATAAATAATTTTAAAATGGTTTCTATTACTTTCAAATCAATGACCGGAGTCAACACCGTTATCGAAGCCCTCGAAACCGAGACCCTCGAACAAGTTATCGTCAAGCTCAACGCTGCCTTGAACTCTACCTACCAAGTCTCTCAATTCGATTGTTCACTCCCAACCTCTGCTTGGGTCAAGATCGATCTTGCCACTCCAGTCTCTTCCATCCAACTCGGTGAAGAATCTACCCTCCGTTACATGCTCAGAGTTTAAATTCGATTAAAAATATTTAATAAATTATATCTATTTATCATTGTACAAAACCTAAATCAACCCAAACAACCAAAAAGGAAAGAAAAGGATTGAATGTTCATTATCTATCTATCTATCTATCGATATTCAATAGTGTATTAATTAATGTATTATATTATTATTATATTATATATTTTTAAGGTCATCTGATTTTGCTGATGGAATGGCATGTTGAGCCATAATTCTCTTATTTGCTTCCATAACTTCATCTCTATCCAAAATGATTAAATAATCTAAAATAAATATTTGTTAGTTATACATAATCTATTACGATCCATATACGTATATTTTACTTACCATGTTCTAAAGTTATTACAAGATATTGATTTGTATTTGATTCAATTAATTCTACAAGATGTTTAAGATTTTTGATTGGGATATTGTTGACCTTTTTGACTTCGCAAAGACCAAATGAAGAGTAGCCGTAATTGATCTTGTCGATGAGAACCTGTGCAATGACGACTATTTGATAGTCTGGTGAAGTGATATTGTCCACCTTTTCATAGACGCGACGATAGGTGGGTGCGAGATCCTCTGAGATTTCGGTGAGGAGCGGATAGGTAACGGGGAGAAAAACAAAGCCTGCGTGGAAAAAGTAGCTGGGACGACGATCGTATAGTTGGTAGGGAACGACACGAATCTGGGGAACCAGTGGGATGGTCAGTTGAAGCGACTCTCCTTTTCTAAAGACCGTGACGTCGATCGTGTCACCAATGAATCGTGAGGAGAGGAGGTATTCGTAAGAGATTCTCTCACGACGACGGAATGCTATCGAGCCATCGTTGGCAATTGGCACACCGCGAATATGCGTAATCACATCTTGCAGCGCCAATACATTACGTGCACGTGACAATGGATGTATTTCATTTACGAGAATACCCGTCATACCATCTGGAATTTTATAGTATTTCTTGGGCACCGAATCAAGTGATTGTGTCATGATACCCATCATTGGTTCACCCGTAAACTTTCCATTCTTCTCAATGTCTTGTAGGAAACGGTTGACTACCGGTGTAGGAATGATAAATCCAATGGAAGAGGCGCCAGCCAGATTTTGGAAAGCAATACCAATCACCTTGCCATTCATGAGTGCGGGACCACCCGAATTACCCGGATTGATGGCTGCATCGATTTGAATCGACAACAGACGACTCTCGCTATGTGCGTATTGTTGTAGATCGATACGCGACACTACACCTTGAGTGACGCAAATGTTTGAACCTCCCGTCGGAAATCCAACCACTGTAATCGTGTCTTGCAACTCTGGAATATCACCCAACTCGAGTGGTACAATACCCTCCCAAAATGCATCGTCGTCTACTGTCAACATGGCCAAATCATACTCGTGTGCAATTGCCAACAATCTCGCATTAAACTTGTTTGGATTACCAAACTTTGTCAACATGATCGATGTTTGATCCGCTACAACATGTGCATTGGTTAAAATTCTCTTACCCTTGATTACAAATCCACTTCCAGTTACTTCTTTTTGTGTTCTCATTTGCCACTAAAATAGAAACCAAACATAAAGATTTGAATTAATATTCATTCATTAATGTATAAATAATAGAACATACAGGTGTAAAATGGTTAGGTGATGCCAATACAGAAAATACTTTAATAATAGGATCCAATAATGGGTCTAGATTAAATGAGTGGGGAGAACATAATTTGTTGAATGTTAGTGTTTTTTCATGATAGATAATATATGATATATATTATATGTTTGATACAATACCAGATTCATTTGGTGATACCATATAACCTGGAGTTGAACTAGCACCTCCTGCAGGTTGTTCAGATACGGGTGGTGCTGGTGGAAATGGTTGTATTGGTTGTATTGGTTGTTGTGCTAGTGGTTGTGGTTTAATAAACGATTCGACTGGTACCGATAGAGGTGTCAATTCTTCTTTGTGTTCCAAGTCGCTGATAACCAATTCCTTGGTCGACGTTGTATTTCTTAGTTTATCATCGATGACTGTTACTTTCTTTAATTTCTTTTGTTTATCTGAAGAAGAAGAAGAAGAAGAAGAGGATGAAGAAGATGAAGATGGGGATGGAGTAGTATTACTCGATGCAAAGTATCTCTGACTTTGTGTAGAAGAGTATCCAAACCCCCATTGATTACTACTACTACTATTACTGCTGTTACTGTTATAGCTGTTCACAATGACACCTCCATTTCTATGTTTCTGACAATTCAATAAGATCGTTGTATTGTTCTTTAGACACTTTGATACATTTCTAAACATTATTTAATTGTTATTGTTATTGTTATTTGTACTACTAATAATTAATGTTATTACTATGAATATATGTATAGTATAATCGGGTCTACAAATGACTGAAGAGGAGAGGAGAGACGAAAGACTCAGAGATTGTATAAATTACCTTAACTAACTTGTCTTTCTTGAAAGTCGCGTAATAATTACTTTGTTCAGCTCAGAGATGAAGTGAGATTTTCAACTTCCGACCCCCCACGTTCGTTTTCCTCATAAAACTGGCATAACGGTCGGTCTGTCGTAGTCCTGCATACCATACCAATGTCGGTATAGTTATATATTGACGTTCAACGATGATCATGTATACGAACGAATAAAGAAAATTGTTCATAAATATCTCTCTAGAGTGATGATAGCCCACCCCACAAAGATGATGAGGTGTGGAACAAGCCACCGACTGCTTATGAGCAAAGAATATCATCACCCATTATTGGTATTTCCATTGAAGGGGTATTGAGTGTTCGAGAAGCTTTTGGTTGGAAAAATAAAAATATTTATTATTAAAAAAAAAAAAAGAAGAAGGAGTATTCGAACAAAGAAGAAAAGTGATATCACTGAAAGTTCATTAAACAAATTTCATCATCACCAAGATAAAGATAGTCATCGATTATATTATATTTATTATTAAACTTTAAATTTATATAATCCAAATCGACTCGACTCACCAGTCGGATAGAACTTACTTTTTCTCGTGTACTTCTCAAATATAAAACGAGTTTAGCAGGCAGGACCATCCATCCATCCATCATTCATAGCAAAAGCAATAGCAATAATTATAATTACTTTTTATTTGTTGTTTATCACAATATTATTATTATTATTATTATTATAGTAGTTTGTTCAACGTTGAGATAATATACGTTGGTCTCACTTTTGTTTTTTTTTTTTAATTTATATAACCCCCGCCTGCTTTGTCCTCCTCACACCTTATTATTTAAATCAAATTAATTGCAATTGTGTGTTTGTTCTCCTTCATCCAACCAAACCAAGCTTTGTACATAGAGATAACAATAATACTTTATTTATATTACACAATTTATTTATTTTAAATATAAATACAGCACAACATTACTTCACATATCCTCCTCTCAAAAGGTGTAGCCTCCCTCTTCTTCTCAAAAACCAGCACTCTAAATTAAAAAATCTTTTTTCAATTTTTAAATATTTTTTTTTTTATCATTACGCAAGAAGAACGTTAAAAGCTCACCTTTTTTTATTATTAAGCAACAACAATAACAACAACAAAGAAGAGTTTACAGAGATACATATATATAAATATACATACATAAAGATATATAGTTCTTCTTTACAATTGTAGACAGACAAACATAACAGAACTATAGAAAAATGACAAATCTGATGACTAGAGATGGAGTAGCTCCATTTATCAAGAGTTTAATAACTATGCTCGACACCCCTGAAAACAACCATTTGATTAGATGGGGTCGTCTAGGTGAGAGTATTGTCATTACCAACTGTGCTGAATTTGAAACAAAGCTCCTACCAAAGTATTTCAAGACTGGAAAGTTTTGTAGTTTTATTAGGTATGTTTGTCCACTATAGTGTTCTCTCTATATCTTTTTTTTTTCTTTTTTTTTTTTTTTATTAGAGATTCTCTTTTAGATACCATTGGCTAATACGTTTAATTATTTTTTTTCCTATCCTTAGACAATTAAATATTTATGGATTCCACAAGGTGGATGATGAAAAATCGGCACAGTCTGAAGAGATTAATAGCGATTCTGAGCCACAAGCTAGATTGTTTGAGTTTGCCAATGAATACTTTAAAAAGCATAACCCCGAGATTATGATTAATATCAAGCGTCGTAAGAGCGTGCGTCGTTCCATCACGGTCAACAACAACAACCCAAACCAATACAGAACTGTCGGTGCGCCTGCACCAGGCTCTGGCCAACCCAACTACTATGCAGAGGATGAGGACGACGAGCACTCGGCCCCATACTACCCCGTCGTCAACATCCCCACCTCTTCCTCCACACCACAGACACCATCGACCGTGTCGAGTAGCGGCCAACCCAGCAGCAGCAAGCCAACTCCACCCTACGTCGACCCCAATAGCACTGGCTCCACCCCCATGCAGTCGCCACTACCCGACACCAAGCAAGAGCAGTTTGATGCGGTCCAACAACTCATATTCCAATTCTCCAAGCAACAAACTGAATACAATGACCTCAAGTCGACCAACCAAGTGTTGCAAGAGTCACACACCCAACTTCAATACGCCTTCCAAAACCTCCAATCGTCGCATCAAAACTTGTTGGATCGTGTCTTAAAGTTGACCAAAGCAATCTTGGGTCAAACCATCATCAACCAACAACAACAACAACCTGCTTCACCACAACAGCAACAACAACAGCAACAACAGCAACAACAACAACAACAACAGTTTGGTGGTGCCAACTCTACACTTCAAAACAAGCAGAATAATCTTTTGAATGAGTTGTCCAACAATAGCAACAACAGCTCAGCCAACAACTCGGCCAACAATTCTGCCAACAACTCTAATAACATGTTTTTATCATTCATGCCACCACAGCAACAACAAGCTAGAATCGGAATCTTCCTCTCACACACGTTTACACAGGTCCTCTCACCAAGTGTTGCAACTGGTCCTGAACGCAACACCAGGTGTCACTGGAACGGCCTCAGCCACTGGTATTACTGGAACGGTAACTGGTATCACTGGAATTGCGACAGAATCACTGCATCGCAACAGATTCACTTAACAGCATCAGATCGCAACAGGATCACTGGAACGGCAACAGGTATCACTGGAATTGCAACTGGTATTACAGGAAGAGCAACAGGAATCACTGGAACTGCATCATCAAAAGGTATTACTATAACAACCACGACTGGAGCCATGACGACAACGTCGACCACTGGCACAAATCCCCCAAAAAACCCGACTAATCAAATTAGTGGACGAGTTGTTGATACCAAGGGGTATCCAATGCAATGTCAATTAATTCCAGATACCGTCGAACTCTCTACTATCATATTCTACGATCCTAATGGAAATGGAGAATACAATTCTTCAAATGGTGGACCATCTAATGTTGTCGCCAATTTATACGACACCAACTCGACGGCCATTCTTCAAACTCGAACAACCAACTCTACTGGGGGTATTATGTGGACTGGATTACTTGAAGGTCATACATACTATGTTAAAGTACCTAATCGACCAGGAGTTTTAGTGTGGTCGCCAAAAGGAGCAGTCAACACCCAACAGAGTATCCTAGACGCGAATGGAACTTCTCCAAACTTCCAACTAACCGGACCATTCCAAGAACTCGCTGGATGTAAAAGTTACAAGAGAGCAATCCAACCAATTTATGGAGGACTGAGATGTCCATCCCAAATCAATGAAACACTTGTTCTCACTGCTTTCATTGACAACAACAATGATAAAATAATGCAACCTACAGAGAGTATGCTCTTGACCAATCACTCTTTAACAAACATGACCTTTACTCTAATATCTGAAAGTAATGGTAAAGAAGCAAGAGATAGCAATGGAAACCTATACAGCCATCTACCAAGCGGTGGAACGGACGATAGAAAATACCAACTAATCAACCATGTACCAGGAAAGTATCATGTCAACATTACAGGCAGACCAGAGTTCTTTGAGATTTTAGGAATTGTCGGGCTCAAAGAACCAATGTCAACACCGAGTTTTCTTACACAATATGGACCTAATCCACCCGCCAACCCCTCATCTCAGTGTACCAATAATGTAGTCGGAGGATATGATGTCCGACTGTTTGATTCATCGAGTCGTATCACTGGCCTTATCAACGACACCAATGGAAACCCCATTCCCAATATCAAGGTCACGCTCACCCCAGTCAATGTTGGCTACCCTACCATCTCTGCCACGACTAATGCAAAAGGAAGGTACACTCTTACCCCTATTCGACCTGGTACATATACCATGACAATCTTTTCGGAAAGTTATCGACACACCAATTCTGGATATCGTCCTATTGCAGCTGACGTTTCCACAACCAGTCAATTCAGAATCTCTCCTGCCACTGACAAGGATTGGGTTGAGAATTGGGATACAAACAAAACTAGATTTGTAAATAGCTTATTCAACTTTAAAATGGAAAAACTTATATTTAATTGGGCTTGATTTCAATCAATGGAACTCAATGTCTCAGTACAACCCAAAATTATTTCAATCCCAATTCCATTCAAACTAATATTTTTGATTGGTTAAATGCCAAACACATGTCATCAAAAAAAACAGACTAAATAAAAACTTTTCGTGTATTCAATAATTCCTAATTGACAATATGTTTTGAACATATTCAAACAGTCTCTTGCATGTGACTGACAATCCAAATCGGAGAAGATTGATAATTTGAACAGGATGTTGCTCTTTATATGTGCCAGTATGCGAATCACGATCCTTGTGTATTGGACATATTGAATTGGCTTGGGAAAGTTGTTGACAATTCATAGCAAATGAAAGGTTTTTTGTCAGTTTCAATTTCACAAGTACAATAATAACTATTCCAAGAGTATCTGACTATCTTTTCAATTAAATAAAAGGGAAGTTTTGGGTTGTTGTAGATCTTTGATCCAATTTTAAATGTTGTGCCTTGATATTCATATCCAGATCTCTCAAAACTATTTAAAATAATATCGGTCATTTCTTCACGGTATTCACCAATTATTAGCTTGTTGATATCCTATGCACCAAATGTGCGATCAACAATGGCGAGTTTGTCGAGGATACCGATTGACTGTTTGAGTGTTAGTGTTGTGATGGTTGGTGGAACGTTGGTGATAGATGGATTACATCGGTGTTGGTAGACCAGTTTGGTAAGCTTTGTACCGTCCAAGTTGTATCTATGTTCATTGTTGACATGGAGTTTTTGAAGGTTAGGCATTTGTTGAGGTGGTACAATGTTGCTGTTGATAATGTTGCTGGCCAATCTAGTGTCAAGAACAATTGATTCTTGAAGCCACTTTAGTGGAAATAATAGTTTTACTTTTATTCATGTTGTTGATTTGTTGATTGAGACAGTCAAAAAATCATTCTTTGGGAATGTAGGGGAGTATTGATTTGATATTCTGAAAGATCTTGTGGTTGGATGGTAGAAGAGTGCCTGTTTGGAGTTGGAGCTTTTCAACTGAATTAAAAACAGTAGTATATTTGTCTTTAATATATCCATCTTTTGCCAATATAATGACCTTTGTGTTTTGATTAGACAATATTGGTTGTTGACATGATCCAATGTGTCTTGGTTGAGTGACAATTTGAAACAATTTGTTAAAATAATTTGATGATATGAATTGGTTGATTCGCTTTGATATGCTGAGCAGTTTATATCTCCATTTTTTTATCATTAAACCCATTTCCATCGAACCTATAGCGACCCTCATCGTCGATTAATGAATTCAAACCATTCAAAAAGCGATATGGGTGCATCGGACATTCCATTCTTGATTATTTGTATTTGTCCAAAAATGAGTGATAGATTGAGCGACCAGAATCTAAAGTGTTGACTGCTTGGTGACTATAGTAACAAGTACATCGAGTATTCTACTGATGATTGGCCACGGTAATGAATATTCGAGTGATCCTTTGTTATAATCACATAGAGGATTAGGTTTGAATCGATCATTTTGTGTCTTTATAATTCGATTGATGATTGTATCTTTGGTTTGGCTTGTCATTGATCTTATCTCTAATGATTGACAAATTAAAAGTAAATCTTTTTTAAGTTTACTCTTTAATTCATTCTCTGTGTATATTTTACTTTTATCTTTAACAAAACAATGAGTTAATAAAAGATAAGATAATAATAGGATTGCATTCATACATACTATAATCAATATCACCATCTAAAAAGTCATTATGACTTTATTTGTTTGTTTTCATCTTCTTTTAAACTATCATTATTCCTGTTGTTATTATAATCATTATCATCATTTTGCATTTCTACTGTAACTAGATAATATAATAAAATTTATTATGTATAACAAGTGGGTGTAATGTGAGTTGTGATTGAAATGATTTCAATAAATTTTTGTTGGGTTGGGAAAAAAAAAAAAAAAAAAAAGAATATAATTATTAAATTTTTAATATTTGTTTGTGTGAAGTTTGGTATCTTTAATTTATTCTTTTGCTTGGCATAAAGCTCATTTATTATGCTTGTTGAAATAGGTGTGTTTGGTTCAAATAATGAAACAAAGAAAGAATAATAATTGTGATATCCTTACCAATTACAATACATCGATGTTATCATCGATCTAAACTCTCAGTCGCTCAATATATCCGTATCCTTCCAAGATATGTCAAGAGTTTACAATGCCTGTTTAAGAATATCAAATCGCTCTCGATACCAAGCTATTCTGTAATAACTATATAGATACTTGGTAAATATATAATTAGTTGAGAGGTATATAATAATAATAATATATAGATATATGAATATATAGATAGTAATAATGACTTTAGATTAGATTGTAATGATTATTAATTATAGTAATAAAAGATGAATTAATGTTTATTGATTTCCATTGGTCTTTTATAGTTTGTTCGAGACGACTAACCGACAATAGTTTAGTCGTTAGTATTTTTATCCAGCATACTTTCTATATTTGGCACCAGGATTAAGTATGTTGATAATTAGATGAAATATCATTGACTAATCATTGAACTGTACTTTAATTTACAATCTGAATCTAACATATTCTAAATTTACAATGGATTGGGTACCTAAATTTGAGAATCTTACATTAAATGTCAATCAACTCATTGTAAACTATCTTCATGAAATATCAGACAAAATGATAAACAATTTTAAAAGAATTGGATATGAATATCACGGAGCTACTTTTAAAGCAACAAAAAGACAATTCTGTCTTATTAAATCAACAAAACCAACTACACCAGACATTATAAAAACTCCAACACCACTTGTAGTATCAATAATAGCATTGACCACCAACAACCCAACACTTCCATTTTATTTAATCGAGAAGATTGTCAGATACTCATGGAACAGTTATTATTGTACTTGTGAAATTGAAAATTTGCCTACAGACTATCATGATTATATCAAGAAGTCTAAAGAATTCATCGTCGCCAGATCAAAGTGTCCAATACACAAGGATAGAGTACCAAATATCGATACATATCGTGAAGTTATACCCAAACAAATCAATCATCTTCGATATGGATTATCAATCGCAGGCAAGAGATTATTTGAATATATTTCAAAACATCTTGTCAAGCAAATGGTATTCACTTCAGAAGAATATTTACCATTTAAACATCGACAATTTGAAAATCAATATTGTCTAATAACTATTCTAAATTACAAAGTTTACAATTAGAGCACACATCAAACAAAACTTATTTGCCTGGTGGTGACAAACTATTTCCATTGATTTCTCGTTTGAAATCTCTTACTGTATTGGATATATCACAAACAAAACTAGATACGGAGAGTGGTGGAGCTATCAGTCAATTAAAGAATATACGACTTAGAAAATTATACTATAATTACAACGACAACCAATTTCTATTCCAACAACAACAAGATGGTGATAATGATGATCCAAATAGTTGGCCACTCTTACAATCATTGGAAGCAGTATCAATCATCTCATTTGATGTCATTCCAATATTGGATAGATTACCAAAACTCAGACATCTTAGAATCATTATCGAGAATCAGGGATTGGCAGACCAACAGCAACTTCAATTGTTTATTCTTCCATCTGGCATTACCAAACTATCATTCATCGATCATGGTATTGCCAAAATCAGCAAAAACAATCCACAAGTGAATGAATTGGTGTTGATATCCAACAATCAACACAATTTCGACCTTCAATTTTATTTGCCTTATGACAATGTCGAAAAGATCACCTTCAAATCGTACATTCATCACTGGCATTATTTATTTCACATCAAAGCAACTTTCAATTTATTGGAACCTTTTACAAGAGTTCTACAACAAATAATCAAAAATGGGTTTATTTAAGAAAGAATACCCTATACCACCAACAAAATAATTAATTGGATCACAAAGAATAATTAATAAACCAAATCAATGATATCTCAATGACATTTCATTAATAATAATAATATCTAGAAAAACTATTTATTTTTTTTTTTTTTTATAATATCCCCTGGTCGACCATGCTAACTCAGAAGAGGGTTCAATTAATTTACTCTTTAATTATCTATCTATCTATCTATCTATCTATATATAAATATATATATATATATCAAGATGGTACTTAGATGTGATGTACCAGCTCCAGGTACTCATGTCATCACAGAACCTCGATTTGACACTCTAAGAGAATTACATCAGCGGACTTCAGCAGAGCTTAGACATAGATGCAGGCAATTGCGTTTAACATATGAATCGAATGCATTTGCAATCCAAGACATACTGCGCAAGAACAAGGAAAAGAAGAAAAAGGAGAAACAGTTTACAACAACAAAGAAAATAAAACATAACTCGATGAATGATTACAATCGAGGTGCATTAGAGTATGCTCTGCCTTGGCATATCGTACAAACAATATTGAAACTTGCTTCTCAATACCATTTTATATGTACATGTGTCTATACGGATGAGTTAAAGAGAACTCTGAAAACGCATCAAACCAGGGTAAACTCCACCGAACGACGTCAAGATCATCAACTCCGATTCTTACTGCACACCAACATGATGTCTCAAAGCGAGGTGAAACAACAGTACTCTGTTCAAGATCAATTATGTCCTCTTCATCAATTTAGTCTCGATCAAGGTTGCGATCTCGGTATTGCTTATCAACCACACTCTGTTCTCGAGAATCCATCATGGTCTCAACAAGCACCACCACGTTATGATTGCAGATGGTTGTGTAGTATGGCATTATTATGCAAGAGGGTATTCTCGTTTATATCAACAACACTCTTTACTGATATTGTGATGGATCCGACAGCAGACACATGGAGTCATATCACCAACAACCACTGTATCATCAAACAACCAAAGATACTGACACTTGTAACTCCATCATCATCATCTGTTGACAATCAACTCTTCTTCTTTACACATCCCTCTTCTTCATCAGCGGCTAAAGAGTTTCTAAAGAATGTCGAAAAGATATACATCAATAATCCACATATTGTTGAAAATGTATCAACTGTTGAATCGTTGATCAACTTGTCGCCATCACTTCGATCACTCACTATCAATTGTGATCTTGACCGGATAGTGTCTATTAAACTCTTTAAAGGATCATTGAAATCAATTCCATCAATCAAAATGAATGTCATTTTTTTGGATGGTGGTATTCAGATACCCTCTACGATTGTTCAACCATTATCATGTTTTACAAAGATTATTCTTCCCTATCCATTTGATTGGAATAGTGTAGACGTTGGAGTCAAACAAAATCTTCAAGTCATTTCATTGGATCAATACCCAATCAACCCAATCGATTCTTTCCCAGCCCTCAGACACATACACACCAAACTGGATAATCACATTCAGAAAAATAACATTCCAAAAAGAGTTGATACAATCACATATCTTGATACCCTTTCATTGGATGTGATAAATACTCTTTCCAATTTGAATATTTCAACACTACGAGTCATGCCGTTTGGTTTGGAACAGATTTTACAGTTAAACAAGATTACATCTCTCAAAAAGATCGTACTAGTCGCAACAAATATCATCTACGGTGATGTTTGCCAAACAGAAATCAATCATTTTCATGCAATGGGATTTAATTATATTGGTTCATCATTCCAAGTCCAATCAAAAACAAAGAAATTAACATTTATTAAAAATGATTATGAAACAAATAATAATAATAATAATAATAATAATAATAATAATAATAATAATCAAAAGTCTATCACAACAGTATCATCATCATTATCATCCCCAATCAACAATAATATTATTCTACCAAATAATATTATCAACAAAATCGTTGGAATGACATGGAAATTAAGAGAACGGTGTACATGTGTTTATGAAAAGGAAACGATTCAAAAATGGATTGAAATTGGATATGATATTCTTAGAGATGATCAAGAACTAGATAGATTCAATCAAATGAAGAAAAATTGTCCAACTCATTTCTCACAACCTACCCAACACCTGTATAAACCATTGACATATGATTTGAAAAGTAGTAATCGATCTAAACTACAATTGACACTTATCAGCAAAGATGTATTCGAGTATGTCACCAAGAATTGTTTCTCAACAGTCATGCTTGACTTTTGTGAAAGTGGAAAAGCTTACTCTAGACATAACCCTTATTGTGTTGCATTCAAACACTTTACAACTATACAATGTGATGACACTATTACCAGACACAGGGATACTCACATGGTCCTCCAAACTATCAAAGACCATCTACCATACATTACCAAAGTAGTTTTATTTAGTGGGATCTATCTACAAAGCATTATTAAGCTACTACCCAACCTCACTAGTATTGATATCTCCAAAAAAAACGATGGAAATGATATAGTGGACATAAGAAATCTTCACCAACTCAAACACCTCACTAAATTGGATATATCTCATCATCAAATAGTGAAGCAATTATTGTTGGATGAAATCAAAGATATGTCTCTCAAAAAACTATGTATTGGGTTTGATATTATGCCTCGTGTTGATCAACTCCCACTCGGATTAAAACAATCTATTACAAAGATTACCTATACCTCTGGTCTGGATCAATTTCCAAACCTAAATCATGTTGTCATAAACTATATGGGTGATGATAGACTAGACTATAAATTACCAAATACCGTTACAAAAGTTACATCGTATCGCTATCAAACTGGCTTTCTAGCTCACAACAAATCTGTCAGAAAACTTAAACTCCAAGGCTATCCATTCGGTGACTATCGCAAACAATTTGACGGATTTCTAAAAAAGATTTCATCATCTGATTATTCTCATCTCCAAACTCTTATCTATTGTTGCAACATATATAAACCTTTCAGCATTCACTATGATTTTTACAAATATTCAAAGTATCGAATCGATTATAGTCAGACTAGTTTGGATGACAACTCAACTCAATATATAAAACTATCAAGAATGAATAATCCAGATAAAAAATCGAATCATCATAATGATCACTGTAACATTATGTAGACTAGATTGAAATATCAAATAAAATAAATAAATATTAAAACAAACAATTATTACTTTGTATTTATTTACTTGTAGTTATTAAGTTCGAGGAACTGTCATCATAAAGTAAATCATCTTATAATCAAAGGTATAATTACATTGATGTGATTATTATTAATATAAGAACATATATAACATAATAATTATATTTATTTAATGTTTTGGGTGAGGAGGAAAAAAAAAAAAGAGAAAAAGAATAAAATATTAATTATTTCTATTTCTCCTTTTCATGGTTTGGTTGTTGGGGTTTTGTGGATTCTGCCTTGTTTGTAATATTATATTATAGGTGGTTGTATTGTTGAGGAGGAGTTAGTAGTACTTTTGTCCAATGATGATTTATGATTGTTATGTTAAATATATATATAAGTATTTGATTATTAATAATTAAATTTAAAGGAATCTATCCTTTGTCAAACCCAAAAATTCCAATGCATTCTCTCCCAACAACCTTCTCTTGGTGTCTTGACTAAACTCTTTTATCGATTCAATAAGTTCTCCTGGAACCAACTCTCCAACTAGAATTGAATAGAATAATGTGGTTAGAAAATAAATAATTTAATAAATAATTAAATAATAAATAATAATAATTTGTTTTGTACATACGAGGAAAAGGATAATCAGTACCAAGGGCAACTTTAGATTCACCCATCAACTTTACAAGGAATTTGAGTGCTTCGGGGTCATGTACGAGTGAGTCTACCCAGAAACGACCGATATAGTCTCTGGGGTTGACGGGATTATCGACGGCGCACAAATCGGGACGTGCGTTGAACCCGTGTTCGATACGTCCGATGGTGAAGGGGAACGACCCACCACCGTGTGCAAAGCAGACCTTGAGAGTGGGCAGCTTCTCAAAGACACCACCAAATATCATCGAGCACATGGCTAGACAGGTCTCGGCGGGCATACCGACGAGCCAAGGCATCCAATACTTGCCCATACGGTCACGACCTGCCATCTCCCATGGATGAATGAATACGGCAGCTCCGATACGAGCTGCCTCTTCAAATACGGGGAACAACGATGCATCGTCGAGATTCTTTCCATTGACGTTGGAACCGATTTGTACGCCTGCCAATCCCAACTCTTGCACACATCTACGTAGCTCCAAGACACTAGCCTCTGGGTCTTGTAGAGGTAGTGTACCCAAACCAACGAATCTCTTTGGGTTCTCGCTTACAACCTGTGCAATATGATCGTTCAAGTACTGTGACAAGTCCAATGCATCAGCTGGCTTTGCCCAGTAACTAAACATAACGGGTACAGTCGAGAGCACCTGAATGTCGCATTGGTCACGATCAGCTTCTTTAATTCTCTGTTCTGGGTCCCAACAATTAGAGTCTATCTCTCTAAAGAACTTTCCATCAATCTCCATACGTGCTTTACACGGACAGTGATGATCTAGAGATACCCATCCTCCATACCCATACTTTTCTTTCAAATCAGGCCAATTCTTTGGTAAGATATGAGTATGTAAGTCTATCTTTAATATCTTTGGTTCTGTCATTATTATTATTCTTAATCTATTTTACAAATATTTGTTTATTTATATATATATAAATATATCTTTGCTCTGTTACAAACAATATTGATAGATATTCACGCAACTGTTCGTGTGACAGAGAGTAAATTTCGAAAAGTTAAAAAATAATTAAAATTCAAAAAAGGAAAAAAAGTAAAACAAGAGAATTTAAAAATATTTATTTCTATTTTTAATGTTCATCAGAGAACCTATACAAATAATTTTATTAAATTAAAATTTAAACTTAAAATTATAATAACAAAGTAAAAAAAAAATACTTTTCTCCTCCTCACAGTTCACTCACCATTTATTTTGTACACTTGTTTCATTTTTTTGTAAAATTATTTATATTTTAGATAAGAATATATATTTAAATCTCTAAGATGTCATGTAATATTAATATAAAAGAGTTGATTATAAAGAATGTATTTTCAAATAAAGTATTATGTTTAAGGATATTTGAAAAGGTGTCAGAGATTAATACAGTGTGTTGTCCTGGTAGAAAGACACTCAAAGGAAAACAGTTAAGAAAGAGATCGTTAGAGACCTCTTTGAGATATGGTGCAATACACATATTCAAAGAGATATACAATAGTAGGATTGTTGGGACTGGGGCAGTGACGGTGGATATACAACGATACCTTTTACTTGCACTTCAATACGGTACTGCCTATGACGAGGTGTTTGCGTTGCTATTCGACCCCCAAAAGGTGTTGATGGACGATTACAAGCTTCTCACTGCCGTATTCAAGTATGGTAACGTCGATACGTACAATATGATCAAACACACATTGTCCCAGACCATCATCTTTAATGCACTTCCTCAACTGATGCACGCCCGTTCTGAAACACTAGCACACGCAACACTACTACAAATCATTCAAGACTTGTACATGTATCCTCACCAATGGGAACAAGTGTTGGTCGAGTCGATTCGAGCTGGTTTCATGTCAATCTTTGACTATCTCTATGAATTGCTCCGTGAATCCACTGACAAGACTAGCACCACCAACCCCAACAGCTTTCTCAAGGAGTGTCTTCAAGCTGCCATAGAGTCGGGCAACGATGCCATGTTTTTCCATTACCTCAAAGTGTCAGAGATCAAAGACATTAATGACCACAACGAACTATTGCCCACAGCCATCAAGAATGGGACACTAGCCATATCAGCCGCCTTTAGTCTGATGGACAAGTTTGACTATAGCAAGATCGACTTTGACAATGTCCATTTGTCCATTCTAAAGAATCTCTCGTCGTCATCGATCAAAGTAGAGGCTGATGCAAGGGCATTATTGTCGTTGATACCTAGTCTCAAGGACAAAGAGGTGCGTATAGCATTCTCAAGCTTTACACGTGACCTGATGGCCAAACCCTACCGTTCATCTTTTGAATGGGCCATTAAAACAGATTATCTCCCATTGGTTGATATATCAGTGTCTAGGTTTAAAGAGTGGAGCATATTACCAGCACACAAACACTATGTGGTGAGTGCTGCTGCCCACGGATCGATGGAAGTGCTAATGAGATTGGAGAAATTAAAATTTGCATTTAGTTTGGATGCCATTCAAGATGCAACTACCAACGGTCACTTGAACGTCGTTCGGTACATACTCGAGAATAATCTTGTACCAGAGGTACACCAAAACTCGGCTATTTATAATTTGCCTACTGGTGACACGTCTGAAGCATTTATTAAATTGTTTATGACACATGAAATCATAGTTTGGCCAGAACATTATTTAACAATGTTGGAAAACCAAAATATAAAAGATTCAACATTACTTCAAATAATTAATAGACGATTAGTGGATTTGGAATCAGCACCAATGTTGTCTAGTTTAATCGATACTGTTGCAAGAGTAGGCAGACTCGTACTGCTACAATACCTAACAACCAATTTTACAAGGGGACTCGTATCACCTCGATCAATTGATCAAGCCTCTTCAAATGGACACGCTTCCATTGTCGAACACCTACTCAAATATTATACCATTCCATTTTCAGGTGATGCTATTGACGGCGCCATTGAAAATAGTCATTTACAGGTATTGGAAGTATTGTTGCGTTCATTGGATCGTTGTGATGAAACCACTTATTTTAGAAGATCGGCATTACAAACTGCAGTCAAAAGAGATCACATTGAAGTCATTGAAATGTTATTACCTCGACTTCAATACAATGACTATATCTATAGAGAGGCAATTAAAAATGATAACTTTTATATTTCTAAATTACTTTTTTCACAAAATAATAATAATATTAATAATATTAATAATAGTAACAATAATAATAATATAGATGATTTAGATTACCCAGATGATCAAGATGAATATAATCAAGATTATCAAGATGATGATGATGAAGACGACCAAGATGATGACGACCAAGATAATGATGACGATGATGACAAAGTTATTTTTTATGGTGGTGATGATTAATTAATTATTTATTAATAAATTATTTGCCTTCCTTATCATGGGTTTATCTTTCCCAGCTGTTATGACGACCATTCAAGTATTCCACTTGTTGTCAACTTGTTTTTAAAGGATAGAGCCAGTGGTGTTACCATTCTTACACTATTTGTACCTGGATGGATAGTGATTTAACTCAACTGATCGATTCATCCAATATACTCCCATTTGGTTATTTTCAGTGAAAACAGAAAAAAAAAAAAATCACAAAAACACAACACAACAATCCTCTCTTCTTTTTTAGTTTTAGATAAATATAACTATAACAAAAACAAATACACAAACACAAATAAAATGAGCCAACCACAAAAGCCACAAACTACAGGATCACAATCTGGAGCCGTAAGTCGAAACTTGATGAACTATACATTATTATCAGATAATTAGTTACTAACATTCCCTCTTCTATCAACTACTACTATAGTGGGAATCACTCTCTCAAAGTAAGGACAGAGACATTAAAGTCGAAACCAATTCTTCAATGAAGTTAAACAGAGTTGCAAAGAAGTAAGGGAGATCTCTTCTAAATCACCTTGGTAGTCACTCAAAAAAAGGAAATGAAAGATTACAAATAAACTTATTTATTCATGTTGTACTATATAACACACTTATTATTCTATACATCCCATCGTATGATTATCTAAATCTAGACCTTTATAAATAGACAGATATTAATAATTAATAATAATGATTAATTAAAATTTTAATTTAAAATGGGAAGACCTCATCCAATTCCAACCACCACACAATGAATGTTATTTAAGGTTAGCAGATAGATAGATAGATAGATAGATAGATAGATAGATAGATAGATAGATAGGGAGATAAAGAGAGAGAATAGTATTATTATTAATATGAATAATTGTACAAAGATAAAAGTTGGAGTATTGGGAGCAACTGGTACAGTTGGTCAAAGATTCATTCAACTGTTAGAGAATCATCAACACTTTAAGGTGGCAGTATTGGGTGCATCAGCAAACTCTAAAGATAAGATATACAAAGATGCCGTGCATTGGTTACTTGCTACACCCATACCAAGTGATATTGCTAATATGAAAGTACATGCATGTGACGATATAGAGGCATTCAACGATTGCTTGATCATTTTTTCTGCATTGGATGCATCAGTTGCCACCAACCTCGAAAAGACATTTAGAATCAAAGGAAAGGCTGTCTTTAGTAATGCAAAGAGTCATCGTTATGACTCTGATGTTCCCATTGTCGTTTCATCTGTCAACTCGGATCACATCCGATGTGTTCAAGACCAAAAGAAAATGTATCAAGGTGGTTTCATTGTAACCAATCCAAACTGTTCAACTACTGGTGTGGTAGTAGCTCTCAAACCAATTGTTGCTACTTTTGGTATCAAAGAAGTAATTGTATTTACAATGCAATCTGTTTCTGGAGCTGGATATCCTGGTGTTCCATCATTAGATATTTGTATGTAAAATTAAATTAAATAATTAATAATTATAAATATTTAATCTTTTCTTTTCTTTTAAAGTGGGAAATGTAATACCATATATAGGAGAAGAAGAAGAAAAGATTGAAATTGAAACAAAGAAAATATTGGGAGAATTATCATCGAGTGATGGAGAACAACCATCATCATCATTAAAATTCAATGATCATCCAATGTTTGTAAGTGCACATACAAATAGAGTTCCAGTATCAGAAGGACATACAATATGTTTATCAATTAAATTGGGAAGGGAAGCTACAGTTGAAGAGGTTAGCAACGTATTAAAAGGATATCACAAATTGACACCACCAGAGAATTGTAAACTATTAATTTCAGAACCTCCACTGCATGTGATTGATTACCCACAAACACCTAATCGACCACAACCCAAACTCGACTTGGAAAGAGGTAGAGGATTAACTGTAACAGTTGGTCGTATCAGAGGTGGATCATATCAAGGAGGTGGATCATTTGACATTCGTCTCACTCTTCTAGTACATAATACTGTTTTAGGTGCTGCAGGTTCATCCATTCAAAATGCTGAAACTTGTTTTAAATTTGGTTATATTCAATAATAATAATAATAATTATAATAATAAATCAGAATTGTATATGAATTAATTTAATAATATTAACCTTTTTTACTTTCTATTATTCTTTTTATTTTTATTGTTTCATTTTTAATTTGAAAGAAGTTGGAACGATAGCACTTGAAACACCAGATAATAAAAGTTGGAGGATAATGATGGCATTTGAAATGGCAAAGTGACTGATTGACATACCAATATCCAACCAACTACCAGTATCCTTGACAAGGAAGAAAAAGTTGATACTCATAATGTCAGAGATGGCAATGACAATGAGGAAACTGGCTGGACGTGGAATATGGAGACGGTTGTTCAAGAGTGAATAACTAATCGACACGAGCAAGAGAGGAATGAAAATCTTCCACAACAACAATGCAGCCATGAGGAATGGATCAAATATAGTAGTGAATCTATAAGTTGACGAAATTTCAAATGAACTAATACTTGCAATATTTCCAACTCCAAAGAATCCAACATAACAAAAGAATATCTAATAAAAAAATGTTAAAAAAAATTATTAATTTTTGATTTGTTACTTTTCTTTTTAGACATACATAAATAATTGATCTAGTAATATCATTTTGAGTAATAAAACTTGTTACATTGTCTTGATTTTGTTGTTGTTGTGTATTACTTTCTTTTTCTTCGGTACCAACTTCGATAAACATCCAAAGTGAAAGATTAAATATAAAGCATCCGAAAAAGAGTGGTTCATAGTTGATACTGAGTAGGATAAAGGGGATGGACAAGGCAAGTGACATGTATACCCAGTGTTGGTAGTGATGCTTTCCTTTTAATGGTGACAATAAAAAGGCACTGGCTACGAGCATGACCCAAGAGGCCAATTGGTTAAAGTAGGGAAGACCAATCTTTTTCTCCAATGCACTGTCGGTACTGAATACCAACCAGGTGGCAAACAAGATGGAAACCAAGAGTGCACCTTGGATGTACTTTGATTTACCGCTTGTCGATGATGGTACGGTGGTAGCCCAGTTGGTACGGTTGTTGACATAGTAAATGGTGAATGAACCAATGGCAAAGATTAAAATACCACCAAGACAAACCAAACGTGTGTCATTACCATAGTCGAGACCGATATTGGGGAAGATGGCCATCGAAAGGCAAGAAAGGAGCCAACAAAGCTTGACAGGGGCTGCAATGTGTTTAGAGCTCGATCCAACAGACCACATCAATCCAACTACAACGTACAATACACTGAGTACACGTCTGTCAAAATAGGCTACAACTAAAAGTTCCATAAAAATAACTACAAATACTGCAATCTTTAAATAATCAATAAATGATGACGATGACGATTGTCCAACTGTTGTTCCTCTGTTGCTGATGCTACTACCATTGCCTGACATGTAAGATTGCAAATAGAGATAGAATGGTAAAACATTGGCTGGAATGGTTTTACCCCAAAAGAAAATAACAAATGAACAATACAAATAGTAAAGTACTGGAGAATCATTTGAAAGTAAAAATCCAAATAATAATACTGTCATTGTTATTATTAAATAATTTGATAATTTATCCTAAATAAAAGATAATTATTAATTATTATTCAATATTATTAATATTTTAATTTTTGTTTGTACATACAATGGAAGGAATTAAATTTTCAACTTTATCCTTGTCACATTTAAAACCAACGGTAGTATAATTATTGACAACGTATAAACAAAGAGTAATGATCCAACCAATATAACCCAAAGTAATGATGGTCATTAAGAATGGTCTGTCATAGGTTTGGAAATAATTTAAACCTGCTAAACAAAGATCGATAAATTCAAGACATAGTACTTGTGCATCATCATACAATGCATTCTCCATATAAGTATTAATTTGTCCAATGATTTTATCTGCACCAACCAATCCTGAATATTGTCTATAGAAATAACTATTTTCTTTTTTTTGTGCTAAAAAATAATAATAATAATAATTAATAACCATTTTTTTTTTTTATCTCTTCTGGTTTTACATACTTGATTTTAATTTAAACATTTCCCAAATTTGCATTGTGTTTGCGTAAAGTGCATGTGTAGTATATTTGCCATCGGTAGAGAGATAATCGGTTGGTAAAACACCGACTGAATTCAATGGACATGGGACACCGATCAAAGTAGACATGAGAGGAGCAATGTCGGCTTGTGAGACATCGGATCTCAATAGATTGTGGAGTTTCCAATTTTCGGGTGTCTCATTGTTGACATTGAGAACTTCACGTGCCTTTCCTCTGAGTTTGGTGACTCTGTCCATTTGCAAAGACGATGAGAGTGGACCTCTGACACCAGCACCCCAAGCGACGAGTGGGGTCTCTGTGTTGGCTCGTTCTCCGTCACCATGACTACCCCTATTGCTCATACCATGATCGGCAGTAAACACATAGGCAGTCTTGTCATCGCCATAATAGTCATTGATCAATTGAACCGTCTTTTTAATACCACGATCGACAATACCAATATTGTTATAATACTCTTGCGAATAGGGACGATATGCATGTCCATTGGTATCTAATCCCAATAAATGTAAAAAGATAATCAATTTATCATTTTGTAATTTCTTTTTCAATTCTACATCTTTTGTACTATTACTAAATAATTCTTCTATTTTTTGGAATACCCATGTATCTAAAAATGATGCATCTAAAAAAATATAAAGAGAATAAATATTAATATTATTATTTGATTCATATTTCATTAATATATTTACCTGAATGACCAAAATCTTCAGCTTCAGGAGGATAAGATTCTGATGTCATATGTGGAACGTGATCTGAAAACATGGGGAGAATGTCTGGACTGCCATAGCCAAATGAAAAGGTAGATTGGTTAAACACATGGTCAAACTCGACTGGGTTAGACTTCCAACCCTTGGTGACGGCACTGACGTCTTCGTAGAAGCCAGCAATGAGTGCAACGTGTCCTGGACGCGTTTCAGTTGGCACTCTTGTATGTGACACACCCCAACTACCAACATTCTCGACAATATCTCTCATATATGGTGCTCTTGATACCTTTTTCCCAAGATCTGTTGGTTGGTCAACCATTTCATAAAATTTATCTGCTCTTAGACCATCAGCTAAATGAGAGAATAATCATTGTATATATATTATTAGTACAATTCGTAAATTAATTAGAACTATATTTCAAAGTTACATACCAACAAACAATACAAGTCTTTGAGCAGGAGCAGGTAGATCAACCTTGTGAGGAGTCATACCATGTACAAGTGGACTTCTAAAATAAATATCAAAGATTGAAATGGCAAATACTGAATGAAAGATTAAACCTAAAACAACAATGAATAATATCTTTCCATTGAATCTTTTCTTTTCATCTTGTCCATGACTACTATGATGATGACTGCTATGGTGATGATGACTACTATGACTATGACTATGATCCCCAATCGACTTTGTTATTTTCGATGAGAATATATGATACATATTTAGACTTTAACTCCTCTTGATACGCGTATGAATGAGTAGATTCGTCTAAAGATATGTATATAGTATATAGTATATATGTAACTCGATTACTTGCTATGATCTCAGCAATGTGCGATCTTCCCTCATTGTCGTCTTCACCACCTGACACTAAAAAAAAAAAAAATTAAATTTATTTAAAATGTACATGTTGAAATTGAATTGGTGTCACAGATCTTTTAAAGGTCAAGGAATAGCAATGAATCTGTTTGTAACTCAACATGTCAGAATTAATAGAGTGGAGAAGAAGATTCCATAAACATCCTGAATTGGGATGGTTAGAGTTTAGAACGACGAGTATATTGATCAAGGAGCTGCGGGCGATGGGGTTGAAGGTGTTGTGCGGCGACAAGGTGATCAATAGAGCGTTTGTGCGTGGGCGTAATGCAGCTGCGGTCAAGCAGGCAATAGAGACACTCAAGATGGACGAGTCGGTGGCAATCGAGCAGACACTGTGGGACGAGATGGACGGACTGACGGGATGTGTGGCAATCTATGATAGTGGACGTCCAGGCAAGACGGTCGCGTTGAGGTTTGACATTGACTGTGTCGGAGTGTCAGAGTCTAGTGACCCAAACCATCCACCCGTTCAACAAGGTTTTAATTCAACGTATGCAGGTCGTATGCATGCTTGTGGACATGATGGTCACATGACAATAGGCTTGGGTATTGCTAAATACCTAACGAGTAATAGAGAGACGAATGGAGTCAATGGAATTGTGAAATTGGTGTTTCAACCAGCTGAAGAAGGTGTAAGAGGTGCACGTCCAGTTGCCGAGAGTGGGATTGTAGACGATGCACATTACTACCTGTCGTCGCATATCGGCTTCATTGCAGAGTCGAATGAGGTGGTACTCAACCCATACAACTTTCTATGTACCACTAAATACGACTTTAGATTCAAAGGTGTGCCTGCACACGCAGGTGCACAACCACATATTGGCAAGAATGCTCTGATGGGTGCTTGTACGGCTGCCACGCAGATGATGTCCATCTCGAGACACGGTAGTGGTATGAGTCGTATCAATGTCGGTGTTATACGTGCCGGCGAGGGACGAAATGTTGTGCCGGCAACCGGAGAGTTACAAATCGAAGTGCGTGGCGAGAATGAAGAAATCAACACTTATATGTGCCAACAAGTCGAACGTATGGCTCAAGGTGCTGCACTCAGCTATGGCCTAGAGTTGGAGACCGAAGTAATGGGTGAAGCAGTCGATCTCACCAACGACCTCGAACTCGTCGACATACTCGGAACGGTCGTCTCTGAGATGCCCGTCCTCACAGCCATCCCCAAACGTTCGTTTGTCGGTAGTGAAGATTCTACCATCCTCGCCAAACGTGTCCAAAAGAATGGCGGCAAGTCCATCTACTTTGTCATTGGTAGTAATCTCAAAGGTGGTCATCATCAATCAAACTTTGACTTTGATGAATCCATTCTCCCAACTGCCGTCCAACTGTATATTAAATTTATTCAAAAGTTACAACAATAAGTAACACCCCCATCTCCTCCTCACATAATATATAGTATAGTATACTCTAAACACATACGAATATGAATATATATTAAAAACTACAATATTAACAATATTAACAAATAAAATAAATAACATTTTAATTATTACTTTTGAAAATTAGATAATGAACTGCGCAGACTTGACGATTTTTTGTATTATTAACTTTAGTTCATCTTTTTTATATTTATCTACATTTATTTTATTTATTTATTTATACATTAGTATAGTATAGTATAGTATATAGTATATAGTATTAGTATAGTATATTAGATAGTTAGATATAAGAACAGAAGTTAAGATATAGTCGAGATGAGACCAAACATAAAAGGAGGAGTTTGGAGAAATGTTGAAGATGAAATATTAAAGGTGTCGGTGATGAAGTATGGGTTGAATCAATGGGCTAGAATAGCATCGTTGTTGACTAGAAAGAGTCCTGCTCAATGCAAGGCTAGATGGTTTGAATGGTTAGACCCATCGATTAAAAAGTCAGAGTGGACAAAGGAAGAAGAGGAAAAGTTGTTGCACTTGGCAAAGATCTTCCCAAGTCAGTGGAAGACAATCGGTCCGTTGGTAGGACGTACCGCCGCACAGTCATTAGAACATTACAATCGTTTATTAGATGCAGTACAACAAGAAGGTGGAGGTATAGGTGGAGGAGAGGGAGATGGTGGTAACAACGAAGACGTACGTCGTCTACGTTCAGGTGAAATTGAACCACTACCAGAGACTAAACCTGCCAAACCAGACCCAATAGACATGGATGAAGATGAAAAGGAAACACTGTCGGAAGCAAAGGCACGTCTATCAAACACTCATGGTAAAAAGGAAAAGAGAAAGTTTAGAGAGAAACAATTAGAAGAAGCTCGTAGACTTGCTTTTCTTCAAAAGAAAAGAGAATTAAAAGCTGCTGGTATTATGTAAATATAAATAGATAATTAAGATTATATATATTATATATATAAAGATATTAATATTGTTTGTTTTGGATTAATAATTTAGATTAAAAGAGAAACAAAAGAAAAAAGATACAAAGAGATTTGATTATAGTCAAGAGATTGCATTCCACAAGAAACCGTTGCCAGGGTTTTATGATACGACAGAGGAGAGTCAAGTCGATCCAAACAAGGATAGACAGTTTATCAATGCACGAATGGACAAGATGGATGCGTCCAAGACGAGTGAAGATACGGAACGTGCCAACAAGCTGGCACACATTAAAAAGAAGAAACGTGAGGCTATGGCACTCCCCGATCTCATCAAGCAGGTGAATGAGCGTAACGACGTTGATATGACGGTCAAGAGAGGCAAGATGGTACTGCCAACCCCACAACTGACCGACGATGATTTGGAAGAGATTGCAGAGTTTGAAAAACACAATAACAAAATTGCTGCAAGTGGATCGTCATCTGCTACAAGTGCTTTGGTTGGTGGGTTCAAAGTACCTCAAACTCCTGCTAACAGTGTTGGTGGATCTACGTCATCAACGATTACAGCACGTACACCATTACGAGAAGATAATCTTAAAGCTGAAGCAAAGGCATTGTTGGCAATGACAACTGCACAAACTCCACTCAAAGGTGGAGCCAACCCAGCTTTTAATCCAGCTGATCTCAGTAGTGTCACACCAAGCATGACAACACAACGCACACCCAATCCTATCCGTACACCCAATACTCTTAAACAAGAGTTGTTGGCACAGTCGACACCTGCGAGCAGCGGATTTGCCAGCACGCCCCTTTCAACATCCAACAAGCAACAACAAAGAGCAGAGAGACAATCCCTACTCGGACAACTCAACAATCTTCCCAAACCAGTCAACGAGTATGAAGTGTCGTTACCAGACGACGAGCCAACCATCGAAGAGATGGACGAAGATCAAGACGGCGTAGTACTCGACGAATCTGAAAGAGGTATTCGTCAAGACCAAGAATTTAGACACAAACAACAAACTAAAATGAAAAATAGATCAACAGTCTTGAAGAAATCATTACCTCGTGCCCATTCAACTATAAATAACAAAAAAGATAACAAAGATAATAATAACAAAGATAGAAGTAGTAGTAGTAATAATAGATTTGTGGTAACTGAAAAGATAACAGATGATTTGGAAAATGCAGAACTATTATTGATTCAAGAAATGAATGATATCATTTTAAATGTTAATAGAAGTTTCCCAATGATTATTGGTGATAATCAACAACAACCTCAACAACAACAACAACAACAACAACAACAACAACAACAACAACAACAACAACAACAATCAATTATAGAAGAAGTAGATGAAAATTATGAAACTTTTACAAACAAGGAAATGGATCAAGCAATTATATTATTAAAAAAGGAAATGGAATCTATGAAACAAGAAAATTATAATCAACAACAAGAAAATGTGGATGGAGATAAATTATTAAAAGAGGAATTTGTAAATAATTGGGAAAAGGTAAATGAAAAATATGTTTTTGTGTCTAATGAAATTGGATATATGGAAAGAGAAAAGGTTACCGATGATCAATACGTCAAGATGCTCAACGAAGAGTACACCCATATCATAAACTCAATGAAGACCATGTCTAAAAAGACGGCAGTCATTGAAAAGAAGATGACCTCGGATCACCAACCATTTGTACAACGATTGGCAAACTCTGCAAAATCAATTTCCCAACTCCACGATGATTTGGTCCAAGCATCGATAGAACTACAATGTTTCCGTGACCTTGCATCAACCGAAAAACAATCACTGGAAAATCGTCACAAACATTTAGAAAACCTTGTCTATGATCAATGTGAACGTGAAAATAATCTTCAAACACGTTATTCTAAATTAATATTAAAAAAGAATCAATTATTATCATCAAATTAAATCGACCACCAATAATTAATAATAATAAACATAAAAAATATTAATTATTGAAATAGTTTATGTGATTAAAAAGATCCTATCCTATCCTACCTATTGTCTTCTTGACACTTAAACCAAAATAATATTAAAAAAAAAAACTCACTTAACATCTTTCAATCCTGAAAAACCATATTATACACACATACAACCAAACGGCATACGGTTAAATATTTATTTTTATTTTTTTTAATTTTTCAATTTTTGGGTGGCTCGAGCCAGTCCCTCCAGAAATTGATATCAACTTCACTTTTTAATGCACAAATACACAAAGAGATATAGAAACTGTAATTATCACCACCACGTCATCATCGTCGTAACTCTCACTCTATTTCATCATCATCATCAATCATTCACAGCAAACAAACAAACAGACAGACAGAAAGGCAGACAGAGATAATATACATAACAAAGGATGAGAGAACATAACAACAAATTACAGTAGTAGTAGCAGATAGACGATACAACCTAAAAATACAAGACCTCTTCACTATCACTCATCACAAATCGACTATAGTACTACGATCAATTTGTATTAATATGTGTGCTGGGTAAGAAGAGGAGGGTGTCTCTATGTGAGGAACAGGGAGACGGCTGCACTCAGATAAGACAACTCGTAGGGTTTGAGGAATCTGAAATATTAGATATTGATGTTTATCTACTTCTTTTTGTATATAGTTATTGTTGTAGTAGTAGTTGTTGTTGAAGTCGTAGTTGTACTCGTCATTCATATTTCTTCTAATTTCTAGAAAGTCATAGAAAACAAAAAAATTAACTTTTTTCCTTCCTATTACCCTTTTCATTACCTTTCCTTTTCTTTCTTTATTATAGTCGTAATCACAGAGTAGATATATCAGTTATCGTTTCAGTCAGATAGGATAAAGCAAAACAACAAGAAGAAGAATTATTCAAGCAAAGCATCAATGAATACTAAAAAAATGAACATGCAATCAGGTATAGGTAAATTATCAAACAACTAATATAATATATAGTGATTGAAAGAAAGAGAATAGAGAGAGACAATAGTCTTTCTAAATCAAAAACTGAATGAACTTGAAACTCAAAAAAAAAAAAAAAGAAAAGTTCTCTTTACATTTCTAACCTAGTTTTTCATCCATACACATAATATCTTTACTTTCCCTCTCCCTTTCCCTTTCCCTTACCTTACTTATTTTCTTTTTCTATCTATCTATCTTTTATCTGATAGGAATTGGACCAATGGGTCAAACTAATCCAGGGGGGATTACATCCCCACAAAGTGGAGCAGCAAAATTTGCATCACTTTCATTGAGCCAGTTGAGTCAACAGACTGCCAACATGCCTCACTACAATCCACCACCACAACAACAACAGCAACTGCAACAACAACAGCAACAACAACAACTATTCACCAAGACACCCAATGGACCGTCCGTTATGGGACAGGGAGGTTACAACCAACACCAATCATTTATGAGAAGAAGTGGGGACATGTCTGGTATGCCTAGTCGTCACTCTGGCGAATTTGGCAGTATCAATAGCAACACTAGTACTCCATCAACACCCGCAGCAGCCAACTCATCGTCGCTCAACAACAGCCAAAATGGAATGAAATACTTTGGTGGAGGCACACCCAACCACCAACACAAATCATCGTTGTCGTCGTCGACTTCATCCTCTCCATTGGTCATTGGAAACAAGAAGCAATATAGCAAGGAAGAGTTGCTAAACCTATTCAATCCCAGTGCCAGAGTGCCAGACAGCTTGACCGGTCATTCGCACATCCTCTCGGAAGAGAACCAATCCCCAGTCAATATGAACTTTGTCTATGATCCTGCCAACAACCTGAACAAACGTAGAAATATGATGAATTCAAGTGGTGGTTCAATAGGCATTCAAAATAGAGGTTTGGGTGGTAGAAAAGATTGTATGTCGACAAAAATGAAAAGATGTTAAACATCTTTGATACTTTTTACCTTATACTAATTACTTTTACTTTTAATTTTTCTAGTGGACGGTAATAGAATCTCTAGAGATTCACCAAATGGATTGAAACAACAAAATAAATGGAATGGTAATACTGGAACCGGATCCAATTCGGCTTCATGGAGAAAGGAGGGGGGATCTGATGGAGGAAACAGATCGGGTTCGTATGGTGGACATCAGCAAAACCACCCACAGTGGTATTACCTCGATCCACAAAACGTGACGCAAGGTCCATTCCCAGCAAAGGGTATGGACGAGTGGCACAAGGCTGGCTACTTTACGGCCAACCTCAAGGTGAAGCGTGGCGAGACTGGACGATTCTTTGAGTTGAAAAAGTTGTTGTCCTATGTTGGCAACGACTCGCCATTCACGATGTCCTTTAACGTGAATGACTCGGAGATGCTTGAACCCCACGAGTTGCTCGACGAGGAGCCCACCACCGAAGACGAGGTGTCTGTCGACAAGGAGGGAGACGAGTTTGGCCACCACGGCGAGCTGCTCGAGGAAGCCAATGATGACGACGACGAGGATGAGAAGATCTTGCACGGTGTGGTCGGCGAGGTGGAGAAGAAGATCCTCGGCGACGACTTGCCCGCCCCCGTCGTTGTCCAACAGCCCACCAACCATTTCAACGATTCGCAACAGTCCATGCCACCCATTCAATCGTTTTTCCAACAAGCTCAAGCTCAACAACTTGCACAACAACAACAACAACAACAGCAACTAGCGCAACAACAACAACAAAACAATGCATCACCTTCCCCCGTACAAGCCGGAGGATTGAACCAACAAGAGGCAATGGAAGTATACCAAAAGTATATGTTATTCCAACAACAACAAAAACAAGAGATGCAAAAGATTGAGATGCAGATGAAGCAGTTGATCGACCAAGCACAACTCATGGAAGCACAACTCAAGCAGATCTACGAAAGATCGCCACCACAACAAGGTCAACCGGTCCCACTCCAATTACAACAATTCCAAACCTACTATCTCATCAACCAACAATCTCAACGTCAATTATTACAACAATACAATGCTATCAAGTTTATGCAATTCCCACAACCCCAACAACAACAACCACAACAACAGCCACAAATGAACGACGTCATGCAATATCAACAACAATTCTACATGCAACAACAACAACAAGCTCAACAAGCACAACAACAAATGATGATGCAAAGAATGATGATGCAACAACAACAACAAGCCGCTGCTCAACAACAAGCTGCTCTACAGGCTGCTGCTCAACAAGCTGCCGCTCAAGCTGCTCAACAACAACAACAACAAGAAGAAATTCAAACACCATCATCTCCACAACAACAAGCTGTTGAATTGAAACAACAAGAAGAGGTTAAACCAGTTATTAACAACAAAGTTGTTGATGATTCATCTAATTTCTGGGGAGTATCAGCACCATCATCCAGTGGTTTGAATGTTCCAGTACCAAAGAAGGAAAACTCCAAGTTGGGTGTTAATAATGTAGAGTTTGAAGCAGCCAGCAGTGTAGTCGTATCACACGAGCTCCCAGAAAAGACATTGTCACCAACCATCGAGTCCATCTCTGCCAGCATTGAGGCTGTCGCCTTGAACACTGCCAATCCATGGGCCTCTGTTCAACCAGTCGACACTCCAAAGACTGACAAGCGTTCACTTGTCGAGATCCAAGCACAAGAAAAGAAGGACTCGAAAAAGAGAGAAAAAGAAAACGAAGAGAGACGTATCAGAGAGGAAAAGGAAGCTCTCGAACACCAACACGAACAAAACGTCTTGTTAAAGTGGGCTCATGCCGGACAAACCTGGGGTAACACTGCCCCTACTACTGCCGCTGTCGCTGTCGTCGAGCCAGTTGCACCAGTCGCCCCAGTTGTACCAGTTGTCACTGCCACCACCCCTGCCCAAAAGAAGCAACCATCACTCAAGGACATCCAAGCCGAACAACAACAACGTGCCGCCAAGGACAGCAGCGAACAACGCACTCAACAAGTTGCCTCCAAGTCTGTACCATCTATCCAAGACATTATGAAGGAACAAGCTCGTGAAGAAAAACGTCTTCGTCAACAACAACAAGAGCAACAACAACTACAACAACAACTACAACAACAAAATGCCGCTCAACAACAAATCAAGTTTAACCCATCGTCACCATGGGGCGGTGTTCCACCTCCATTGCCAGTTGACACTTCTCTTCTCCACCAAACCATCGACAACAACAACAAAAAGTCATTGAACCATGTCTCTCAACCTATTCCAAACCCAACCGTCGCAGCCAAGCCATCCAGCAATGGTGGTAATCCACAATTGTCGATTAGAACCAGCACCTCCTCTGCCCCCACCAGCACCCCCGCTCACCCACAACCAGTGTCTCCATCAGTCACCAACGTCAATGACGACTCTTTCTGGGACACTCCATCGACTGTTGGCAAGTCGACCATGCTCAACATCCTCCCATCCAAGCAATCGTCTGCTGTCAAGGGATCACAATTGAGCATCCGTACCAAGCAACAACAAGAAAAACAACAACAAGAAAAGCAACAACAAAAGTCAGACTTTATCAAATGGTGTCACCAACAATTAAAGCCACTCACCAACATGGATGTTGCCACTGTCACTGAACTCTTGTGCAGTCTCAAAAAGGAAAGTGAAATCCGTGAATGTGCTCGTGAATGTCTTGGTTTCACAACTGAAGTCAATAACTTTATCAATGACTATCTCATGGCAAGAAGTGATGAACCAACCCTAGCCTATGAATCATCTTCACCATTTATTACTGTTCCAAAAGGTAAAACTCCAAATGTTAAAAATGCTCCAAAAGGAAAGAAAAAGTAAACAAATCAAATCTCTAAAACAAACAGAACAACAACAACAACAAAAATATATTAAATAATAAATGACATGAACAATTAAATTTATATGTTTTTAAAAATATATATATTACTTTACTGTTTCGTTTTATTATGATAGAATAGAATTTGTTGTATCTTGAATTAAAGAAGAGGCTACTGATAATGCCTCTATCGAGGTCGAAGTTATCACATCATCTGTGATATTAACGTTGTAATAGTACTGAATGATACCAGTTATTGTGAAAAGAGCAAATAGAGCGAGTCCATGATTTTGATTAAGTTTGGGAAGGAAATATCCCATTCCTCCAGCTGCCGCCGAACAAATAATAATTAAAGTTATACATAATGAATAAGTTGGTGATTCCCATTCAAATCCTTTTGATGATCCGTAAAAGACAAAATATACTAAAAAAAAAAAGTAAAAAGAAAGTACTGTTAGAGAAATAATTTATATATATATATAGTGTCTAATTTTACATACACCCATAAGAACAGAAGTTTTAGTTATAGTACCACCAATTAGATTTGAATAAGCAATATTAATATTTTGAGTATTGCCTTTACGTGAGAGAGAAACACTTTCCAAAATCTCTGGCATTTCACTTGCAATTGGTGCAAGGAAAAAGGCAAGCATGATTGGGTTTATACTAAGAGTTGTGGCAAGAGATACGATACTGTCGATAAAAGGTTTGGAAAAGAAACAAATAATGGTACCACCAATAAACAATAATAATACACCCTTGGCGAGTGGTTCGTCGTGTTCATCTTCTTCAACATCGTCGGCACCATCGCCCTCTGCCAACTCTAAATCTTCTTCCTTCTTTTCGTCTTCTGGTAGACGATGCATCAAACTGTATGCGATAAATGCCAAATAGTATGCTACACCAATCAAACCAAAGACATAGTGAAATCCAGTAACCAATAGTGAAAATGGAATGACCAATGACATGAGCAATATTAAACATTGCTTCTTTACTTGTGGTTGCAACTGAATGGTTCCACTCTTTCTATTCCTTCCTCCTATCCACAAACATGCTCCCAAAGCTATAGTACAAACTACTATAGAACTACCGCTCACTGCTCCAACTGCAAATCTAACATTACCACTTGATAATGCTGTTATAAAAAATATTGCCTCTGGTGCTAAAGAAAAGAAGAAGAAAAGAAGAAGAAAAGGTAAGTAAATATATTTATATATCATTGATCAATATTTATATAATCATTGCTTACCTGTATTTAACCAAGCTATAACTAAACCTCCAATAATCGATGCATCATATTTCTTTCCCAATATTTCACCTCCTTCACCTACACACCATGATGCAAATACAAGGAATGCAAATGAAATTGCAGATGTTGCAATTATAGGTAACATCGATACTAGCTCGTATATAAATTTTAACTAAGGTATATGGCTAATACAAAGAGAAGAGTCTCGAGTAAACTGTTGCTCCTCTTTTACTACTGTTATTACTATCGTTCTAAATAATGATGAATGATGTCTCTTAAGAATCACTAAACTAATAGAGTAATGTTATAAACCTAATTGTATATACATATATAGTGCACCACGATATTGGGTGGTCGCCTATCCAAACCAAGTTAGAAAGTCAGTTAAAACTTTGACCTAAAAATAAATAAATTAATTTGTAAATCCGAAAAGTTCATGAATGTTCATCTCGAAAAATATAGAGAAAACGTTTGGTGAGTCACACAATTAATTGTAGGATGAGAGCAAATTAATTATTTGTTGCTGGAAACAACTGGAATGATTTATCTAAAAGATAATAGTATATATAATACAAATTGTATTATTGAGATTGATTCTTTATTGTCAAGAATAATAGAATTATATTAAAAGTATTCTTTCAAGTTATGGTTGGCTGTTTTAGTTATTATTTCTTGTTGTTATTATTATTATTATTATTTGGGTTATTGTTTATTTGTTGTCAAACTCAAACTATAGTAGTAAGTTTTGATGTTGATTTGTAAATAAATAATTTAAAAAAAAGAAAAAGACCCCAACCAATTTTGTCTGTTTGATTTACATGTAGCGATAAGGGTTGAAAAGGGTCTTTCCTTGTTGGTAGGTTATTGATTATATTATTATTAGTAGTAATATTACTATATTATTATTATTATTATTATTATTATTATTATTATTATGTTTTGATTTATCTTCTTGCAGTAAATGTCATATCCTCATCATCGTCGTCAAAATCTAAACCTTCTAAAGCGTCTTGGTCGATACCAGTAAAATCTATATTTGAATAATCGTTATTCATAAGTGAGAAGAAATCTTCATCGCTAATCATTGGAGCGGCACCATTGAGAATAGCACCACCACCTTTGATAATTGTCGAAACAGGATCTTTAATATAATCCCTAGAGGCACCATTATGCTCTTTATCTCCCATTTCCAAAACCAAATCTCCCCCATCTTGATAAGAAGTGAAATCTCCCTAAAAAATATAAGATAAAAAGAAGAATAATATGATTAATCATTTGAAATTGATTATTATTATTACATATTATTATTACTTACCATTTCAATTTCATCGACTTGAAAAGGAGCATATTCATCATTCTCCAAACCTTTATATTCTTTTTGACCATCTGTAATCTTTGTACCCTTGAATGCATGTACTGTTTCCTTGACCATATCACGCTGACTGACCGAGTTGATGACACTTTTGAATACCGTACCCATTTCAACACGATGAATAAGTGGTGCTGAACTAAAAGCACGAACTCTATACAATTCATATGGGAATGCGTATATATGTAAGATTGCAACTCCAAACATTTCAAAACAAATTAAAAAGTTCTAGAAATAAATAAATAAAATCAATTAATATATTTATGATCTTCTTCTTTCTTCTTCTTCTACTTTTTTGTTTCACTTACATTTAAACCAACAGAAACTTCACCAACATCCCAACCATCAAGAGTTGGAATCCAACCAAAGTTTTCAAAACCAGAGATTACAATTGATTGCCAGAAACAAAAGAATACGACAATTTTAATCGATGTGAATTTTAATAGTGGCTTGTAAGGTGACAACTCTTCGATGGTTGCTTGATAAAAGACGACGATAATATAGAGTGCGACAGTGACTGACAAATTGATGAGTAGTGAATTGTAGAGATAGAAACGATTCACAGCAAAACTACCTTCATCAAAGTATCCAAATATCTCAAAAATAGCACTAGCCAACGTTACTGCTGGTCTTAAAATTACATATTGCATCATTCCCATTCTACAAACTTGAAGAAATGTTCTAAAATAGAAATAGAAATAGAAATAAATAAATATTATTGATTCAAACCAATTCAATTCAATTCATTGTACATACTCGTTTGGTTTAACTTTTATACAATTTAATGGCATTGGTAATTTCATAGGTGGTAATGATATAAAATGAGTAATAAGATTCTTATCACCTCCACCATAACTAACACTTAGAGCAAAAAACATATATAATACATAGGCTTCATAACTAAAATAAAATAAATTAAATTAAATTAAGATTAATAACTTTGGTTTCTTTCTATTCTTTTCTCTTTCTTTGTTTTACATACCAATCTCTAAATAAAGCAAAATAAGTTTGATAAGAATGTAAAATAAGGGATAGTAGGGAATAAATAGCGTAAATTGGGATCATGAAAACGATACGGACTATGTATCTTTGATGATCGGGTTGCGTGTAGTATTTGAGATGTTTATAAATAAGATGTGCAGACATGACAGTGGCTAGTATTACAAACAAGCCGGCCAGGGCAAACATTGCCCATAGCGCTGGTACATTTTTCGATAGAAATGGTAGTCTTATAGTATAGTCATTTGGTGGTTCTGTTGGTGCTTCAGAATTATGTGTTGGTTCAATTGGCGTCGTAGAACTAAAACTAACTATCTTCCATTTATATATATATATATATCTATATTGTGTGCTATTTAATATAGTAGTTGTACTACTTGAATATTTGTTGTTATTACTTGATTGTAGTATTACTATCTCTCTTGATGTTGTGTGTATTTGTTGATGCTTTTTAAAAATAGATCGAAATGGTAGTTGTTGTTGTTGTCGGTTGATTAATTTCTATTATATATCACCCTCTTTGTTGTGACGTTAATAATGTTAAATAAATATATATATATATAAATAGTAAACTAGGATAATAAGTTATCTCTAATTATCTTTCTCTCTTCTCTCTGTCTGTTGAGCAGCGATGCGTGGTGTTTAATAATGATGAAAAAAATAATGAGAGACCAAAAACCCCTTTTTGCACTCTCGGGTGGTGGTTTGTTGGGTGCATGATTGTCCTAAAAAAAAAAAACAAACAAAACATCAATCTCATGAGGGTTATAATGAGAGGAGGGAAATAATGATGTACTGTACAACACATGCAATGACGCTTTTGATGATGCATTGACTAAAAAGAGTTACTGGTCTTGTATATCTATCTATCTCACATTACAACAATCGGTTTAATAAACACGTTTATTATATGACCAGATCTCATTCAGCTGAATGATTATATTATTATTACTCGTTATGTTCGTCGTCGCAAGACTTTAGACTAGTCTATTAAACTTGAATCAATCATCACATCATCAACCGATTTATCAACACTGGATCCAGTTCATCATGGATACTATCTATCTACCTGTTTGATCTATTCTTCTTTTCGAATGATGATTGATTCGCTACAAGAATCTTCGAACCAGTTTGTCTCACACTTTGGACAAAAATTAGAGAGAGAGAGAATTTTTTTATTTTTTTGGAATTTTTCAAAGAGAGGTCTTGCATCTCTTTTCATCACTTTGAACAATCTCTACCTACTAGTAGTATATATTACTTGTTATCATCAAAGAGAGAGTAATTGTTATCACAGAGAGAGAGAGAGATGAGCGACGAAAACTACGGAGAAGAATACGAATCATCCTTCCTTGGTAACTTGGGATACGGTGGCGAGAATCAAAATGAAGGTCAAGCTTCCTCTCAAATTGAAAATAAGCCAAAGATCTTCCTTATGGGTTTAAAGAGGTATGATATATATCAGTACAACAGCTGTTATAAGAGTAGCAGGACAACAACATAAATAGTAGAGAAGAAGAAGAAGATACAATAAAACAAAAAGTATCTAATCATGTTATTATATAATCATTTTTTAGATCAGGTAAATCATCAATTCAAAAGGTTGTATTCCACAAGATGTTACCAAATGAAACTTTGTTTTTAGAAAGTACTAGCAAGGTTGTAAAGAATGACATATCAAATAGCTCGTTTGTTCAATTCCAAATCTGGGATTTCCCAGGTCAATTGGATTTCTTTGATCCAGCATTCGACTATGAATACATTCTCAACAACTGTGGTGCCATCGTATTTGTCATTGATGCTCAAGATGATATCACAGAAGCTTTGGTTAAATTACATCAAACTATTGTTAAAGTTCATCAAGTATGTCATAGCAGCTCAACAATGACTCTCTGTTTCATATATACTTATTTAACATTTTTTACTTATTCGTTTAGATTAATCAAAACATTCACTTTGAAGTATTTATTCACAAGGCTGATGGTTTGTCTGATGATCACAAGATTGATCGTCAACGTGATATTCAACAAAAGGCAACTGATGAATTAGCAGATGCCAACATTCATATTCACCCAAGTTTCTACGTTACATCCATCTATGATCACTCTATATTTGAAGCTTTCTCAAAGGTCATTCAAAAACTTATTCCACAACTCCCAACTTTGGAAAACCTTTTGGATGTCTTTATTTCTGTATGTTCAAACAAAACAAAACAAAACAAACAAAAAAAGGGAACGTCATTAATTAATTCATTTGTATTTATATTAGAGATCAAGAATTGAAAAGGCATTCCTTGTAGATGTTGTTAGCAAGATTTATGTTGCTACTGATAATTCACCAGTCGATATGCAAACCTACGAATTGTGCAGTGATATGATAGATGTTGTCATTGATGTTTCATGTATCTATGGTCTCAGAGAAGAAGAGGAGGGTTTGGGTTATGACCAACAATCACACTCTGTAATTAAACTCAACAATGGAATGGTTTTGTACTTGAGGGAAGTTAACAAGTATTTGGCTTTAGTTTGTCTCCTTCGTGAATCTAATTTTGATAAGCATGGTATGAAAAATATAAAATATAAAATATATATAAATATATTGTACAATTTATTAATTCTTTTTTTTTTTATAGGTTTAATTGATTATAACTTTATTTGTTTCAAAAAGGCTATTGAAGAAGTATTTTCACGTAGAACTGCACAAAGCAAGAAGAAACCAATCAAAAAGTAAATTTAAATAATTAATTAAATATCACAATTCCATATTTTTTAAAACAACAAAACAAAACAAAACAAAAACAATATTACCTACATACCTATTTTTTTTTTCATTCCATTTCGTATTAATAACATTAAAAAAAAGTATACCTTTACAACAACAACAATAATAACAACAAGCTTTGATTTATATAAATAATAATAATCAACAAACAACATTATCTTTTTTGTATCAACCAACAATTTGAATAAATCCAACTATATCTTTTTTTTTTACATTTATATTTTACTAGTATAACAAGTTGGTTAGTTTTTTGATTGTTTATTATTAATTATTATTTAATTATGGTGATTATTTGATTAATTCGAATTTTCCTTTTGGACCAGAATCCAATTTATAATCACCAATTAAAATATCATCACCAAGGATATCTTTTTTGGTAGTATCTTTTGAAGCTATTTTTCCTTTGTATTCAACTGGCAACTCTACACCATCACCAGCAAACACTTCGTATTCTGTGAATTGAATTTGGTCACCGTCGACAGTACCCTTGATCTTTGTTTTGGTAGAGAGTTGCGTCCATTCAATAGTACCTTCTACTGTTTTTGGACTCTTTCTAGAGGTGATCTTTAGAACCAATGGGAATTGTTGGATGAGGTTACCTTCAAAACTGGCACCAGCAACCAAGAATGAAAGGGGGATAGAAGGAGGTGGAGGTGTTGTTACAGCGGCAGCAGCAGAGGCAGTAGCAGCGGGTACAGCAGATGTAATCATAGACAATGACTTTTTGTTGAGTGTAATCTTGAATGTAGATGGTTCGGCTGGGTCTGTAGTAGTCTTGCCTTCAAGAGAAGGTGGTTTGCTAGATGCTGGATTATAGACAAACTTGGCACTATACTTTTGAGGCAGTTCCAATTGATCCTCTTCACAGATTGCTTCGTATTCTTCCCATTCAACAGTTTCAGCAACTGAATCTACTGTTCCACGGAACTTGGATTTAGCACCTTCCAGTGTTGGCCATTCAATCTCACCTGAAATATCGTCTCCAACACGATCACTAAGTGTCCAAAAGAATGGGTATATTTCATCGCCTGCAGAACATGTACCACACCATTTGTTGTCTTTAATGAGGAAACTATTGATATCAACTACAACCTTTTTCTTTTTAATTGCTTGGTCATCTTGAGAGGTTGTAGTATCAGGTGTAGATCCAGCAGTTGACACTGTAGTAGTCGTACCATTACCATCAACATCCATGTTATCGTCATTATTAGTATTATCAGCAGTGTCATCTCTTGACTTTCTCTTCTTGTCAGTTGCAGCGAGCAAGTAATCTTTTGGTTCAAGTCTCTTGTCTGCTTTGAATGATTCACTGATATATTCACTCTTTGCAACAGGTACACTTAGTGTAGTTGCCTTTGATACATCAACTGATATATCATCACATATAACTATTGTAGTCTACAAATGATGATGAATTAGTCAACAGCATAATACAAAATGTTTGATCTCTATTGCACATTACTATTAGTTTGTACCTACCTTTTTATTGATTGCTCTAGCAATGGTTCCACCAGCCTCTTCAATCTTTTCTACCAATTTATCATGTTCATCTTGATTTACAGGTGTCCCAAGGAATACTATAACATCTGATTCGAATATTTCACTCATCTTTCCTCTTTATATCTATCTATCTAATAATTAATCTATCTTTGTCTGCAAGCTCTTCAAATGAATCTTTTCATTTCTTTTTTCGTCGAATTTTTGGCGCCTCACTTTATATTTATCGACAAAGTATGTAAGGTTTTGTGTCAAAACACATAGTTTTAATCATAATATGTATTTATACAGATATCAAGAGTATTTATTAGTGTGTTGTTTAGATTATGTATTATAAACATATGAGGTTGTGGTGGTATGTAAGATGACGATTATTATTTAAACATTCATCTTCATTTTGACTAATATTATAATTATTAATTGTTTTGTTTTGGTTTGATTTATGGATATTATACATCGGTGGGATGGTCATTGTCCGTGTTTGTTGTTATTATTATTGCCTCGGTTGTTGTAGCTGTTAATTCTACTTGGTCGTCATGAATATTATTAGTTGATTCCACTGAATTGGTACTTGTATTATTATTATTATTATTAATATTATTATTGTCTACAATAACTATTGTACTAAGTTCTGCACCATTTCCATCTTGTTTGTCCTCATCATCTTCATCTTCATCTTCATCATCAGACCATTCAACAAGATTTGAAGCAGTCAATGCAATATGTGAACTTTTCTCTTGTTGTTGTTGGTGTACGACATGTGATTTATCATTATTATTAATATTTGGATGTTGAACAGTGACAGATGATGCACCGTCATCGATGGTGATTGTGGTGGCCATATTTTTAGAGGCGACTGATTGAGAGTTGGACTCACTTGATACGTGTGATGAAGCTGTACTGTCACCACGGTGTGGATTGACATTACGGAAAAGGAAATAGTAGGATGGACGCTCAGAGACGGCAATCATGATAATGACGCCTTGTAGAGCTTCAAAGAAAAAGGTGATAAATGAAGAGAGGTGACGTAGATTGTGATCCATTGGCACCTTGATGATGACATAGTAGACGAGATCACGAATGAGTACGCAAACAATGGTGACGACGAGTGCCGCAGACAGGATCTTGAGCTTTCTCACACGTAGTGACATATTATCCGATCTCATCTTGGTTTCATACTTTTTAATCTGACGATACAGAATAAAATAGTTGACGACGGCAAAGATACCAAAGAAAACGAGTAGCACTAGGAACCCGGCAGTATAAAACATAGGAGTTGCCTTTTTATCCAAGGCCGAGATGATCGAGTATCCAACAGTATACGCCAACACCAATCCCCACAATGACCATGAGAATATCCACATTCTATTCTTATTTTTTAATTTAATTTGTTTTGAAATGAAAAATGTATATAACAGTTGAAACCAAAAACAACAAATAAATATCCATGCTTGGAAAATAAAAAACTAAATCAAACTAGTAAGTAAGAGTATAATAAATGGATACATTTTTAGTAGGTACTTACAGTTGTCCACATTCCCAAATAAACAACAACCGATCCATAATCAAAATCATGTGTTTTAAATAAAATGGCAGAGTATAAAATTCTAACTACAAAAATGGAAATTATAAAAGAAATGTATAAATTAATTATTATTTATCTATGGAAATGTATATATGTATTAATTATTGAATTTACATACAGATTGGATACATTGTTAAACCAATTAATACTAATATTCTTGGATTTAATCTTTTGAATTTAAATCGTTTTTTTGCAAATAAATATAGATATTCATAGTATACTTGTGGTGCACACATTAAACTCATTGATGCAGACACTATAATACGAACTATAAGGTATGCACCAACAAGCATATCAAATGTGTGATCACCTGTAAATGATTCAGGTGTCATTGCCATTTTTTTAAAAATTGTATATATTTATCCTATTACTATTGATATTATGTTATTACTCTATTCTAATATAGAATATTATTCTTTTGTCTCGTGATATGATTTTTGCGCTTGGGGGTGGATAAATCAGTACGACGGTTGCAACGAGAAAATAAAATTTTAAAAATAGAGATGTGCCGCCGACAAACAGTGTGAAGATAGATCTTTTTGTTGATTGAAAGTAAAGGACTCGTTATCTGAATGTATTCGTTTTTTTGATTCTGATTTGTTGTTATTGTTGATATTGATCAACAGATTATTATTATGATTATTATCCGATGATAGGATTATTATTTGTTTGCGTTATTGTGTGGGAGGATGAGGATGAGTGTATGGATTTTCAATGAACTGAAAAGGTATTTTAGTCGTTGTTGTTGATGAGGAATAGTTTGGATGTGTTGCGTTTGGTTGGAAGGTGTTGGTTTGTGAGAAGATTAAATTAAAATTATAAAATTATAATTAATTGTTTAGGTTTGATTTATTCGAGGTCTGACCAGAGCGTTGCAGCTGGCTCAGTACCGGCGGCCTCATTCCTCTAAGAACATCTTTCATCCATTCATTCCTTTTGAGCGTGCAGTGAGATGATAGATATTTTTGTTGCAGTGTTGTCTCTTCGCACACGACCCGCCCAACTAGCCCTACCCCTCTCGTTGGAGGAGGTTAGTTTTTAGCAGTTTTTTCAAGCGAACAAAGAGATCGGAGGTTTTCTTTGCATGATCGACGACTTTGAGCGGTCAGTTTCATCGGCAATCCCATCTCGAGTTCTGTTTATAGGCAGTAGGCAGGGAAGGTCTTCAAAGTATTCAAAGTACCTGTCACAGAAAAGTGTCAGAGAACTTTCAACAAACAACACCTAGACATTCATTGGGAATCAATGAATGAATGAATTGTCGGTAAATGATCGTGTGCATTGGAGTATGATGATATTGGGCATTTCCGATCCTCCAAAACACAACAATCATGTGTAAAAGAGTTTTATGTGTACTTGTAAAGTTGAAGTTGTGTATTGAACTTGTTATCTTCCGCTCTGTCTGTCTCTCTCTCTACTTCATTACATCATCATTACAGATTTATCTTTTAGTTTAGTTTTTGTTTGCATCATCATTTTAAAATGATTGGTTGTAGTAATGATGATGATGATGATTGGTTGAATGTAACCCTATATATTTCTCTCTCTCTCTCGGTAGATGTATGGGTGAAAATTTCAACAAGAAAAGTAGATGCAGGTGTTGTTGATTACACACGCACACACCGCCATTTGTCTTTTCGCGATCGTCAACACACACATTCATTATACAATGGCATTGATGAAATGGAATTGTTGAGATGATGAGACTTTATTTGTTGAGGGGTTGAAGACAACAAATTATGATGTTACCGTTTTAGTAAAACATCATTATGGTGTTGCGACCCTTTGTTCTGTCTGACCACAACTCAGAGTTGTGAGGTATGGATGCCCCAACACGCAAAATTTAGATATTTATATTTATTATTAGAATTCTATCTATTTTTATTTTTTATATAAATAAATATATATATAGAGTCTACATCAACTATTCTATTTTTAACAATACAAATATAATATTATTTATTTATAACTTTTCTATTTCCACGACGGGATTATCTTTTTTTAAAAATAAACACGTAAATATTATTGAATTTGTTTGTGTGTGTTGTCAAAATATATGTATCTGTACTTATATCTCTCTATTTTTCATTGTAAAATGTGATGATGTATTATAATATAATATAATACAATGTAATATTCACTATAGTCAACAATCAATTTAAATTAATTTATCGATCAAGTACAATCAATCAGATGACGACTATACCAATTGAACTTGAAGAAACATCTAATCATCAAATATCTGATTTAAAATCTGTATGTATCAATCAATTAACTTTAATCATCATTATTGGTTTAACACTCTGTTCTATTCTTTTATTAAAGAGATTAGATGGTCAACAATTTAAAAATAGAGTTGATTTTACAATCAAAGGATTGAATCATTATGTATCGACCAAAGAGAAACGAGATGGAAAAGGTAAAGGTTCAAAAACAAATATTGTTTGATATCAATGCTCATATTCAGGCTGGTGAGATGATTGGCATATTGGGTCCAAGCGGTGCTGGTAAAACAACACTTTTGGATATCGTTGCACATCGACTTCCAATCAATGGTTCTGGTAAACTTCTTTTGAATGGTACTTCAACACCATACAATGTATTTAAAAAGTTGAGTGGTTATGTCACTCAATCTGATACATTGTCACCTGCCATGACCGTATTTGAAACGTTATCTTTCTATGCTCAATTGAAAATGCCAAGAGAAATGTGTAAGTTAGAAAAAAAAAATTAAGATAAATATTATATAGAATCATTATTTATTAACTTTCTTCTTTTCTTTCTTTCTCTTTCTTTAGCATACGATGATAAAATAAAAAAGGTTAATGAAGTACTTGCAGAAATGGGATTAAAAAGATGTAAAGATACATTGGTAGGTGATGATAAGATTAGAGGTATCTCTGGTGGAGAACGTAGACGTGTGACCATTGCCATCGAGCTATTGACAGGTCCATCTATCCTCTTCGTCGATGAACCAACTTCCGGGCTGGATTCCAATACAAGTCTAAGTGTGATGAGAGCTATCAGAAAACTAGCCAATTCAGGAAGAACCATCATCTGTACCATCCATCAACCTCGTTCCAATATTTACAACCTATTTGATAAATTGTTATTGTTGGGTGATGGCAGTACAATCTATTATGGTGAAACTCAATTGGCTTTGGATTATTTTAAAAACCTTGGTTTCTATTGTGATCCAAGTACTAATCCTGCTGATTTCTTTTGTATGTAGAAAAAAAAATAATAATAATATTCATTAATCATTTCATTTTAGATTCTAACATGAAATATATATATTTCATTTATTTTTTTTTGATTAGTGGATTTAATTAATACACAAGTTGAAGATGATATGGAAGATTTAAGTGTAACAATGGAGAATAATGAAAAAATAACAAAGAAATTAACTCCCGATGAAATGATACGTCTCAAAAAAGAATTTAAAGAAGGTCCAACAAACATTCAACTCAAGGAAAAGTTGGACAATATCGAAATACAATCTGAAAAAAAGGAATTGTCATATGAATCTAGACAAGGTGCTTCTTGGATGACACAATATCGATTATTATTCCATAGAGAAACACTTAATATGCGTAGAAATCCAATGGCTTCTAGAATCCAAGTTACCAATTCAATCTTTCAAGGTAATTATATAAATTTATTTTTTCAAAATTATCTAGACATATTATTTATCACATTCTTTCATTTAGGATTATTGTGTGGGTTGGTTTATTATCAATTAGGTGTTGGTCAAACATCGATTCAATCACGAACCGGAGTTTTGGCCTTCCTTATCATGGGTTTATCTTTCCCAGCGGTCATGATGACCATTCAAGTGTTCCCACTTGTTGTCAACTTGTTTTTAAAGGATAGAGCCAGTGGTGTTTATGGTACATTACCATTCTTTTTAGCTAAAAGTACAGCCGATGTACTTTTAGCAGTTCTTACACCTGTTATTATGGGTACCATTGTATATTGGATGACGAATCAACGAGTATGTTGTAAAAACAAAGAAACAGAAACAAAAAAAAATAATATTTAAAAACTATATTTTTCTTTTTTTATTTATTTGATTAGATTGAACCATTTTATGCAGCAGGACCATATTTTAGATTTATATTAATTCTTGTAAATATACAAATAAATAATACCTCACAATAAGTTAGAGATAGTTATTTATTTTGTTCTTCTTGTTCTATTGTTGTCCTTCTATGTCCTTGTCAATGTTGTTAAATAAGCAATGAAATATATTCAATCCAAAGGAGCAATGACATGCTGGTGGACACCTTATTTGTGAGGTGGAAAAAAATCTAATGAGAAAATATTTGGGCATTCAGGGTGTTAAGTTTTTGAATCAATTATTAGTGAAGAATCAACAACTCACAAAGATCTCATATTTAAATACACATACTTTATACTACAAAGAGAGAGAGAGAGAGAGAGAGATACTTTATTATTGAAGATAGAATTTACTGAAGGTGATTCCTTTGGTTATCACTTTTTCAAATAAAGTAAGTAAAGGGAATCAACCAAATTTATTCTTGTTATAAATAGCGTTTTTTTAATTTGGAATACATATTAAACTATTTCTTTTCTACAAATTAAAAGTATGGCAGAGCAAGATGTATATTTTAAAAAGTATTTAAAAGTAGTTGAAACTCCTGAGCTTAAAGAAATCAACAAAGGATTAATTGAAACTAACAAGAAACGATATAATGTATTTTTGGAGGGAAAGCCCAAAAAAAAAAGAAAGAAGAGACTTTCAAGTGGATCACAAAATTTGCTCAAACCATACAATGAGAAAATCACTTGGTGCCTTTGAAAAGATAAGTCCTTCCAATACCAGCAAGTGTGAAGAATGTATCCAAGAGCCAAGAAGAAAGGAAGTAATCGAAATAGTTCAATCTTTAAAAAAAAGTGGAGTTATCCTCAACTCACAACCTAACATCGATAATATCATCGTCCCTCGAATCAAAGAATCAACAATCAAATCAACCACTATAGCTATTATCGACACACGCCCACCAGAAGTTGATATCATCTTGAAAAATGAAAAAAATCAACCTTGCACCCACTCAATGACATGTTCTGAAATTCACAAGCTCAATAATGGTACAACAAATTGCATATGTGCAATTTTCCATAGCCCAACAGCAAAGGATGCAATCTCAAATGGTCTCAAAGGACTTATTAGCTCAAAAATAATCATCATGGATGACCAACAATTCCAACAAGGTGTAGACTCATTGAGAGGTTTAAAGTTGGATGAAATAGCAGCAAATTGGGAAATCCAAGTCAAATGTTCATGTGGAGAATCATTCACCCTTTATTATTGCAATTTTAGAATTTTTGAAAAGCTAAAAAAATTATTCGATGGATGCAAATGTCGCCAGGATACCACATCTTCACCTTCATGGAGAAACACCTTTCTTGACAACATCAAATTCCTCCAATCGATTGGAGTCGAATCAAATGTAGTTGAAATTGAAAATAGATTGAAGAAAAGTAAGTCTCAATTTGAATTCAATTCACTTGAACCAAGCATCAATATCAAGTACAAGAATATATCTAATTACATTGGAAATTCAGAGCTATATACTGAGAAACGATTCACCAAATTTTTGAATGGTTTACACCAATGGTTAGACTGCATGGAAAAAGGAAAAGACAATCAAACGATTAGAAAAACAAAGGAATTAATCGAAATGGGAGTTGTATCTTCTTCATGTCTTAATCAAGTCATTAATGATTCTTCTAAAAAAAAGATTACCCTCATATTGGATGCTTGTCTCCGCGAAATCACAATGGTCCTTGGAAAACAACCCATCAACGAAGTTATTTTAAAACTTGTGTGCGATGAATGTTCACCCAGCGATCTAGTGCTTAATGGATTCCAAAACTATATTCGAACAAAGAAAGGAATTTCAACCAATGAAATACAGGCAATTGAAAGAATTGTCAAATCAAATCACCCTTTTGAGGAATTAATCCTTATAGACGGTAGAACTATTTATGGCAAAACATTTGCCAATAATCATTAAGTAATTAGTTAATATTTATAAATTTATTTTATTTTAATATTAATTTCTTGTTTCATTCCTTTTAGGCAAACTGACCACAAAGTTAAAGATGGACACCGTTCAAGTACTCAATGTTATTTCAATCATGGTTTTGAGAAAACTTTTCACATTTGTCCACAGGGACAAGTATGGTTGTGGATCTTGTAGTCTCCCATCCGGAATAGATGAAGCCACTTTTAGAAACGCATTACAAGGTATACCAGCTCTGTTGGGTATTAAAGATGGTCAATCATACCTCAAAATCACCGATCAGGTCAATCACAAAGGTTCCTGTTATAGAAATGACTTTTTAATGGAATTCCAACACGATGGTAAATATTTGGTACCCCTTGGATCAAATCATGGAGAGATATACAAAATTAATATTGAAATCGATGGAAAAAAGCATTGGTCACCTTATGAATATCTCAAAAAAGATCGTTTTCTGTTGGATTGGTTAAAGGTTAATCAAAATCAAATCTTGTTACGAATTTCGTTTCAGTTCATTGACCTACATTGTGGAGATCTGCCAAAACTAGTATCAAAAGTCATTGAAGAGGTGGTATCGTCACGAATTGTAATTTACCTATCGGACAATTTATACAGAGAGATGCCTATCTTTATGGAAACAAAGGATGTTTTTCACATTTTCAATGGCAACGATCAATTAAAAAGTTCATTTTCTTTGGTAGAAAAAAATGTCTCCTTTAAAGACAAAATTGATAATTATATCTCTTCTCAAGGTATGTTCCAATCAATATAAAAACTAAAAAAAGAAAATTAGTTTAGACTTTTCTAATATTTTTTATTACAATTTAGAATCCAATACTAAAACAAATGTTCAAAGTACTCCTTTTGAACATGTTGACTCTGAATTCTTTGACTTATTGACTGATCAAATCAATTTTCAAGTGATAACAGGCTTAGAAAAAGAAATTGTGATGGTTTTAGTTAAAGTGGATCCCACATCTTTACAAGTATTTCTGATGAACTCGTCGGATTGTTTCAACAGTTTTCTTGAATCAATTATTGTTGACAAAAAAGTATTTCTCCACACATACCAGTCAACCTATGAAAGTATTGCAAACATAATTTGTGGTTATCGTGATAGTCTGTCAAATGATCCAGTATTGGAACTCACAACATTATTCGAAACTTTATCCTAAACAATCTTATAACTTGTTAATATTATGCTAATGCATCTAGTTTTATTCTACAAATATATAAAAAAACAATAATTATACTAAAAAATAAATTCACAACAATTATTTACAAAAAATAATTAAACAACGCAGCGGGCAATGCTACTTATTATATATAGTGTGTAAATAATATTACTATTATTTATTATATTTTATTATTTTGTTACACGTGATTTGATTATTCCAAAAAAAGTTAGTTGATTATTTGATCGGGTGGTGTAAAATCAATGTATAATGTAATTTAAATCCTTAAATAATAAAAGAGGTTTTGTTTTTTGATAATTAAAATATATTATTTAAATGTTAATATTAATTAAATTGATCGGTGCCCGATCTCAGAGGTACCAGCCATAGAGGACATCAGCCGCCAAGGACCAGTAATAGGCAACACCATGGGTAACACCAATGACAGTACGATGATGCAATAAGAGTGCCCAAGTGATCATTAAAACTATTCGATAGAAAAAATTAAAATTGTTAGTTTTGTTCATAAACAATGATTAATATTCATACTATATTCATTACATACCTAAATTACTCCAAATATCATCGTCAAACAATTGATTATATGGTGTCGCATTTGATAAGAGATCTGCACCAAAAAGAATCATTGTCTACTTATTTAAAAAAAAAAACTATTGCTTCAAATAATAAAACGATGCTAAATTGAATATCATACTTTTTAGTGCATGACAATAACGTAGTATACTTTAGACTATTTCTATTGAGATCTCTAGATAGTGTCTCTGTATTATTATTACTATGAAAAGTTATGATTTGAATGATATTATCGTCTACTGCAGAATAGATGGTGGTTTCGGTTAGAGATAGAAACATATAATATGTGTACACGAGATTCTTTTTCAAACAAACAGGTCCTCCTCAAGAATAAATAAAAAAAATTAAACAATGTACCTTTTTTTTGCGCACTAGCAATTTTTCATCTTTAAAATTGCTCTCACTTTTCACCGTGTCACTTTTAAATCGCAAAGTCACATGAACAGATAGCAGCACTAGCAGATACTTGTCATTACATATATATATATGTCTTTAGACTCTTTAAAGCAGAAACCAATAACACAATAGCTCAGTAATGGCATCTGTGGCTTAGTTTTGTGATGTATGTATGTTCACATGATGCGTATAATATATATTAACAGGTACTCTTAAATACTATCTGTAATTTAAATTCACATACTGTCGAGCTATTCAATAATGTGCCATACAGGTAGTACGATTAATCAGCAACAAATCAGTTGATCGCCACAGTACAGCAACAACAACAATTTGTGTGTAATAGTATTAATGATACAAAAATGAATAACTATAATCATCATAATCACAATAATGATGCAATGAATATTAGCGATATTAAGTACTTGAAATAGATAATTATTATCACAGTGGCAAATCGGAAGTTCATTTGAACAAAAAGTAAAATTTCCAAAATTTGGTGGACCCTATTGGGAGGCAGAAGAACCAAAGTGTAGATTACATCAAGGTGAAGCCGACAAAAAATGATCATACAACTTTAGCGAGTAGCGATGGTATTCACACATCAAGGTCAATAGTGATTTATTGTTGTATGTTGTATGTCAGTGCTAAATAGAGAGAGAGAGAGAGAGAGAGAGAGAGAGAGAGACAGAGATATATCAGATACCCTAACCTCATCAATTGCTATTTTAGAGACTTGAATGCTTATTTCAAATATCCTGGCCGCAATCCCATTACATTTTAAAACAATTTGTTTCCCCTTACGCAACAATGATGGCATAATCAATTATGAACAATAAGTTGATTTTTTTGCCCACAACAACCCTGCGCACTAGACATTGTTTATTTATTTGGTTAAAAGTATTATTTATATCCTTTTACAGATTCGGTGGTGTACATATTAGAATATTGTAACAAGCAATATTTAATAGAGAGAGAGAGAGATAGAGAAAGAGAAAGAGAGAGAGAGAGAGAGAAAGAGAGAGAAAGAGAGAGAGAGAGAGAGATAATATTTCTCTATATACGAACCATTTTATTTATTCTCTCAATACACTCTCCAATCCAAAGCAAAAGAAAGAGAAAGAATGAAAGTGAGAGAGAGAGAGAGGGAGAGAGAAGGTGATATGTTATTTTTATTTAATAGCCTCTAGACCCACATCTCTTAGACCTACCTCTCGTATATCTATCCTATATAATAAACAGCACTACCTTTTTTATCAATTACGATACTAGTCATTCATTGTTATACTCGAGTATATGTACTTAGATTCTAAACTTTTTTTATTTTTCTCACATCTATCTCTCATTATGCCCTCACCATTGTTTGTGTTAATATAAACCAATATTTTTATTATGCTCCATTTATTACCATCACAAATTTATTATTTCCATTTTGTTTTGAAGCATTTCATTGCATAATTGGTGCTACAAGGCTGGATTGCTTAGAAAACCCGTCAACAAGTACCACCATGGCATTTGAGTGACCAACTTATTTTTGATCAATTTGAGCCACTAATGAGTCTATTCTATACTTTTATCTTTTTATTATCTCTCAACCATACAGACATAACGGATTAATATCAAGATCATTTTTATTTCTTAAAGAATGGAAATTGAAATAACTTATGGAAAACAATGTGAAAAGAAATTTGATGAGAGTTTAAAACCTCTCATCAACAAGCTTCCTATCTTTTTTAGATACATGGGTCAAGCTTATTACTCAGACTCCAAACTGAAATCTGATTTTCTTCTTCAGTTCAAACATAGAAAGAACAAAATCTTGGATATTACCTCCCCAGAGGGAATGGCTGGAGAAATTTTTATTGAAATAGATGGTATGGAACACACTAACGAACCTAAAAGAATCAAAAGAGACAAAAAGGTGCATGTACATATCATAAAACAAAAACAAGTTTTTCTCTTAAGAATATCAAATGGTTTTATTGAAAAGAGCGATAATAATTCAATCTTAAACCTCGTCGTCATGGTCATTTTGGAAGTTATCTCTCAAAAAACACATACAATCGATTATATTTATGTATCTGATCATGAATTTTATGATCAATTTCAAGATAAGAAAGATTTCAAATTCTTATCAGATTCACCACACCAGGTGGAAGATTTAATGAGATATATAGGTATCAATCTCAATCTTCATCCAAAAGGTACCTCATTATAAAATTATATATATTATTAAAATTAAATAGTTTATCTTCCTAACAATCTTTTCTATTTATAGAAACAATAGAGGTTAATCCTATAGTAGGTTTCAAAAAGCTATCTGTTGGAAAATACAAAAGAAATCTACCACTCCAATTTATCGAAATTCAGGATTCAGATGGAATTATTTGCTCAAATATTGTCTACAAGAACAATGATTCTGTTTATTTAATTGGCTCCTCTCCATTCAAACCATTTAATGCTTTGTCCCGCATTATCGAATTGGCCGAATCGCTATCTACCAACTATCCACTCATTACACATAGATTTGAATTCGGGTACAACACCACAGCCTCTACAATCTTTGCCACCAATCTAAAAAACCTCTTGGAAAAGGGATGTTCCACCCAATTCGATGTCATTCGAAGTTATTTTATTTACATCCACTCCACAGTACTTGGTATCCAAGCTCAAGGTCTAGAATTTGATGAAGATATAGAAATGTCCACTTCAACTACTTCTACTTCAACCACCTCTACCTCTACCTCATCTACCTCTACAAATTCAAAGAGAATCATCGACGACGAAGAAGAACAAGAGCCTCTTGATATCAATAGATCAAACAAGAAGACAAAGAGATCATCTAAACCTAAAAACTAATTATATATCCCTCACGATGGTCTTCCCAATACTTTGATTTCCCTTGGGTTCCAATAAATTATACCAAATAACTATTTATGTAAAATTATTAAAAAAATGTGTACTCTTGGATCTTTATTTGGCGAATGGAAATTAACAGACTGAGTTGAGGATATAGTGGCTGCCATAGGATCATAGGTGATAGTTATGGTGACAGATAATATAGATGGATCACAGGTGATAAATGGTGTAGATCATAGATGACGGAATATAGAGGTGGAGGTAGCCAACACAATCCAGTGACAGCAATAGACTTAGATGGAGATAGGGAGGCATTTAAAACGAGTAGTCAACCAATAATGCAGCACCGAGGGTCATAAAGCTATGGTTATACCCACAACTCTGCCTTGCATTTGCCAGCCAACTAGTACCACCTACTACACATGCAGCAACAGCAACAGTAGTGGCCAACCATTTTTCAGAAAGGAATGTTTGAACCCTTTAAATTGTGGTAACCTGCTGGTACATCCTCCTCTCCTCTTCCTCCTCCACACCAACAAAGAGACGAGAGATTTGGAGTGGTCAATGTGAACAGGTTGGAACGAGGAATACACTCGCCGTCATTTGAAAAGGCAAGACATTCAACCCAATCTTGGATGATACAATTGATTGGTAGATTTTCCCACCAGATGCACTTTGGTGTCCCATGAACCATTGACAAAGGTCGAATTGTTGGAAGGGTGCTACAGCAGACACCTTCATCGTGCACCTTGAATACCTGCGAGGTGAGCAGGTCCTTGGCAAAGACTACAACCTCTCCGTCTTTGCAACCATTGACTAGTTTACCCTCGAGTGTGAACGCGACCGAGGATGGAGGGGTTCCAAATGAACGGATGGTCTTGACAATGGCTTGTGATGTGCTTCATTAATTCATACAAATAATTTAACACTTTGGTGTTCCAATCATGACAAGATCGAGTCAAAAAAAAATAAAAACCACTTCCGCATTTGGCAACCCTCGCGATCTGTAGTAGTAGCTGATAGAAATAACATAATAATTTAATTTTTTTTATCTATTTATTTTTTAACATATCTTCATATAATATGTGTACTCTCAACTTTATTTATCTATTATATGTATCTTTATTGCAAAAATACGAGTGTTTACAGATAAAACAACAGCAACAACTAAAACAACATGTTAGATAGCTTGAAGAAAGGTATAGCATTGTTTAGAAGCATATACAAAGGAGGGATAGAAGCAGAGCATGATGATAATGCTATACTTGATGATGAAGATCTAAAGGATGATGCATTTGTTGAACCAGAATATCAAAGAGCATCAGATCTCGAGAAGAATGGTTTACCAGTATCAGATATGTGGAGGAGGACACAGCAGCAACAGCAGAAGAGGAGGAAGAAGAAGAGGAGGAGGAGGAAGAGGAAGAGGAAGAGAATTCACAACAGCAACAGCCACAACAGCAACAACCACAACATCAAATACTGAAACCACGTACCAACTACAAAGAAAAAGAATACAGGAATGTGAATGGTTCAAAGAGACTTTTGATGCCCACATGGAGTTATTCAAGAAGTTTGAAACAAAAGAATCTATTGAGGCCATTGAATCACCTGAAGAGTTGGAAATCCACCAGAGGTTCAATACATTTCTTCAAACAAGAATGATTTATGTCCACAAGATGAATTTGAAGAAGAAAAGACAACCAGTCGGTCCTATACCAAAATTCAATGACCTGACAGACTTGGACAAACGTGCATCCAAGTCTTACCATTTTATTCAAGACACAACCCTTTTTGAATGCAAATGCAAGAGCAGGGGTAATTGTAATAATTGCAAATGCAAGATATATAATAATGGTTGTATTTCTAAATGTAAATGCCCATGTCGTATGTATATATAGATATATAGATATAGATGATTCTCGACAACAGCTTTGCTAACAATTATCTCATTTGTTTATATAGGAGATCTATTGAAAGAGTATTGGACGATTCTAAATGATACAAATTCAGAGGAATTATCGAGTCGGATAACCTATAAGATGGATAGAAATAATGAATCTTCTCCACCAAAAACATTGACAGCCAACAACTAACTCCTGGTGAAGTAATAGGCTTGATCTTGGACAATTCCAACCTCCTATCCTTGTATCTAATGATAATTCATCTTCATCAGCAAACCCCAACCCATCCTCTTCAAGCTTCGTCTCCAATCTTCTTTCTCGTTTAATAACGCCTTCCCATTCACAAACATCGACCACTTCAACCACTTCAACCACTTCTACCACATCATCATCATCATCATCATCTTCTTCTTCTTCTTCTTCTTCTTCTCCTGCCCCAAACAACAGCATAGAGTCTGAATACAATCCAATTGCTGGAAGAATGGTTGATTTTGAGACTTGGAAGCGTGGGTTTCTATCAACAATGCCACAAGAATTATCTCCACAAAATAGGCATGTTTTTATTGAAAACCAGGTGAAAGATAAAGAGATAGTGTTGGTTAGCAAAACCAAGGACAACTCGGATAACTTGTTCAAATATAAGAATTGGAGGATTTCATTTATATTGCCTTTTTTATGGGTTTGGTCAAACTCCCACGGGCGGAAGACCATTGGGGTAAAAGGAGTCCTTTCCACCCTCCATCTGTTATTCGCCCAATAATGACAAGAAAAAGATTCAAGTCCATCCTCAAATTCATTCACTACGACGAAGATGCTGTCATTCAAATGATTGAAGACAATTCAAACCGCTACTATGTCCCATCATTACGGTTATCAATCGATGAATATATGGCCCCATATAAAGGCTTGGTTAGGTTCAAGCAGTATGAACCAGATAAACCCCACAAATTTGGATTAAAGTATTTCGTTTTATCTGACTCAAATGGATTTATATTGACACAATGGCTTTACAGGGGTAGTGATGAATCTGCAACAAAATCTGTTACAATAGGTATGTTACCATCATCATCATCATCATCATATGTCTAACAAATCACTTTATTTAATATTATCATCTTATTTAGATCCATCAGTGGTTAGTTCCTTTCCACAAAATAGTCCTCTTAAAATACCAATCGAATTTGCAGAGTGGGTCAAACAAAAAGTTGCTACAAATGATAGGGGGCCACTATTTGTTTGCTATGGACAACTATTATACGTCATTACAGGTTGCCACTGTATTATCAAACTTTGGTCAAAACAACAATGGTATCACCGACAGTAATAGCAACAATACCAACAACAACAATATCAATAACAATAACAACAAGATTCATTATGTAATGACTGTAAGGGCCATTAGACCCTCTTACCTTTTCAAAGATGGTTTAGGACATATGGTACAAAAGGACAGTAAGAAAAAGTTGGCTGCTATAGCTTTTCCAAAAGAAAACTCAGGTATTCCCCAGGACATTTGTGCCACTGCCATAAATGACAGCAAAGTAACCTACTTTTTATCAAATGCCTGTAGTCCATCACTAAAAGATGGAAAGCTCACAAAGCTCGATGTGCAGACTCAATACAATGCAACTACTCATGGAGTCGATCTGTCAGGACAACTATCATCAAATTGTCGGTCCTATCCCCATCGAAAAACCAAATACACACATGTAAACCTCATGACTCAGTTTGATCGTGCAATGGTGAACGCATATTGCATCTTCAAAAAGCTTCAAGGTCGTGGTTCGTACCGATTTTGTGATTTTGTGAAAAGCGTGGTACAGGAAATGCTTCGCTTGCCGACACCACCAATCAGAACCCACCAACAACAAAATATTGGAATTAAAATAGACCAGAGTCTAAAAGATAAGATTAAACAACTAGAAGAAGAATTGGATGCTGCACAGTCTGGAAATGGAAGCCAATATTATGGTCCCACTGCTGCCGCCCAAACTGTAGTCCACGCATTGGTTCGAGACTCCACTAGTGGTCACAAACCTTGTCAATATTGCAAAGTCCTCAAGATAAAAGCTAGAACAAGAACAACCAAGGTTTGTTGCCAATGTAAAGTGAACTTTCACGATGAATGTTATCTTATAGCACACCTCCCAGAAAACAAAGTACTTCTCGCGACACTAATAATGGCAACACCAACTACTACGCCAACAACAACAACAAAATCTCTCAGCATCAAGAGAGGTAGATTGGAGGAGCAAATAAGTACAAGTAGCTCGTGAATGTATAACAGCAATAGACTCTTGTTAGGGAGGTATTGGTGTTGATTCAGTACTTGACAGATTGTGAAGGGTGTGCCATCTGTTGCTGTTGGAACTGCAATTGGTCCTTTGCTTGTTATTCTTTTCTTCCTCTTTTCAGGTTTCTTTGTAAATTTAAAAGATCTTCCAAGCGGTTGGGTTTGGATGCCTTATGTATGTACAAAATTTGAAATATTTATTTATTTATTTATTGGTCAATCAAATCATTTCTAACCTCTTTTTTTTTTGTTTTTTTAAATTTAATAGATTAGTTATTTTAAATATTTAATTGAAGCAATTGTTGTCAATTCATTCCAAGGAATTGTTTTTAGTTGTAGCGATAGTGAAAGAATTGGAGGACAATGCCCAACATCGACTGGAGAACAGGTCATTGATCGTATGAATTATGGGTATGACAATTATTGGAGAAATGTATGGATTGTACTATTGTTTGTTATAGCATTTAGAGTTCTTGCATTTTTGGTGTTGTCATTTAAGAGTCGCGACCAATTTACATCAAAGATGAAAACTTTCAAACCAACAACCAATTAATTTATTTAAATAAATCAATAGTATTATTATTATTATTGAATTTGTAAAACTATACGTAAGATTTTTATTTATTTTTTTATACCTGCAATGGTCTTGAATGGAGAAATTTATGCTTTATTATAAATTAAATAATCTTTTGAACCAATTCTTTTTCTTTGGTTTTTGTTGCTCCTTTTCTTTTTCTTGTTGTTGTTCTAATAGTTTTTCTGAGAGATGATTTTGTATTGCCACCAAATTTTCGATATCTTGTTGGTGTTTTTGTTGAGCTTTCAAATATTCTTGGTGTTGCTGTTTTTCTTTTTCTTGTTGTACCAGACGTTGTGCATTTTGGTCTTTGAGTAATTCTTCGTGTCGTATAAGACTTTCTTGAGTATCTTTATCTCGTTGGGTTTGTCTTTTATTTTGATCTCTGATTTCATTCTTCAAATCATTGATTCCATTCTTGGTATCTTTTAGTTGGCTATTAATAGAATCCAATTTTCCTCCCATTGACATCAGATATAATTCAATATTTGAATATTGATTTCCTCTAGGAACCACAGAATACGGAGACCCTGTTGATTGTTTTTTTGTCACTACAAGTCCATTTCCATAGTTTTGTCGTTTAGGTGGTGGTGGAGGTTGATTTTTTAAACTTTCTATTTTCTTCTCGATGATCTTTATCTCATCCATTGTTTTATTGACAGCCATATGATCTACATGTGAAGGTGATTGAGAGTGAGAAAGATATGGTGCTGGATGATCAATCGGTCCACTATACTGGATTGATTGAAATACACCAACACTCATTGCAAATAATAATACTAGCAATGCACTTACTCCTCTTGTCGACCATTTGGGTGTTTTGTTGTTGTCTTTTTTGAGTTGATGTGGTGCATACACATGGCAATCTGGTGCATTATCTGGCATTTTGATAAATAAATAAAATATAATCTATCTATAATACTAGTTGAGATAAAGGAATGGTGCAAACCATGAGCAAAAAAAAGGAGAGAAAAAATTAATTTTTAAAAAACTTCATAAATGCTAAATTTTTGAGACTAGTACAAAATGTCGTTGATTTATTTTTTAAAGGCCGACATATGGAGACACCTGTATGGTACCTTCAAAAAATCGATTGGATGATATTCAAGAGTATACAAAAAAAAAGAAAGAGGAACACTTTCTTTTTTAATTTAATTTTATGATTCCTGTTTATTAGAATTTTAATTTTTTGTACCATTTTTCCTTTTTATTTTCCTTTTGTTGTGGTGGTGGTTGTTGCTGCTGCTGCTGTTGTTGTTGGAGTTGCTGCTGTTGTTGTTGGAGTTGCTCAAAATTTTGCAAAGATTGTTGAAGTTGTTCGTTTGCAAGTTGTTTTTGTTTGATCTCCTCCTCTAGCTGTATTTGTTGTTGTCTTTCCATTTCTTTCTGTTGTTGTAGAAGCTGATCGATTTTATTTTGATTCTCTTGCTCGAGTTGTTTTCGAGTGTTGGTATGCTCTAAAACTTGGTCTTTTAGATCTTTGATATCCTGGTTACAGACCTGTTGGTTGCGAAGCAACTCTTCGAGTTTGTCGTTGAGATGTAAAAGCAAAACCTCTACCGTTGAGTATGATTGTTGGCCAGCAGGAACAATGGAGCTGGAGCCGTCAGAGATTCCACGGTGCTGTTGTAGTTGGACAGCTTGGCCTAGAATAGGGTCGAAGAAAAAGACATGTAATAGTGCAACACAAAATACTAATAAAGAGAATTTTGATGTTGAATTTCGACAGAGATACATTAATAAGATATTAAATAGTTTAAAAAAAAGTTGATATGATTTTTTGAAGGTGAGTTGGAACTTTTTATTGAAAAAAATGGTGGTTTAACCTTAAGGTCTCGAAAATTTGAACCTCTATGCAAAAAATGTTTGCCCTGTGGCTTGGCTTAAATAAATGAGTTCTTTATTTAAGAAGGTGCATCAATTCAACATCAAAGATTCAACGAATACTGCTTCGACAACAAAAAATAAATATGTTCATTTAAACTCTAGAACTTTTATTTTAATTCACTATTGTATTGTCATCATTCTAGTTTGTTGAAGAGATGCGTGATTATTAGTCTTTTTAAATAAACCCATTTGTAAAGAACTGTATTATTTGTTGACAGAGTGTTTGTATAAAATGTACCAAGTAATTGAAAGTTGCTTTGATGTGAAATGGGCGACGGTACGTCATGAAGCGAGAAATTTCTGATGGTAATCTTTTGAACATTGTCAAAGGTTAAAATCAATTGATCACTGTTGTTGATAGAGGTGGTGGGCAATAAGAGCAATTCATTCACTTGTGGATTATTTTTGCTGATTAAAGCTATATTGATATCGATGAATGATAGTTTGGTGACACTAGACGGAAGAATAACCGATTGCATTTGTTTAGCAGGGTGGTGCTTCAATTGTGAGAGATATGATTGATTTACCCAACAGACAATATTGATTTGAAAAGTGATGATGTTGTTTTTCCATATCTTCAAAGACCAACAAAGCTTGCTTTATCAGATATTTTGAAACATATTCAAATAGTCACTTGCATGAACTTGACAATCCAAATCGGAGTTGATTAATTTGTATAAAAATATTGTCATTATTTGTACTATTGAGACTTGGAGTACAATCTTTGTGTATCGGACACCTTGATTTGGCTTTTGTGAATACTTTAGATTGTTTTATAAATTCTGTAAAATTTTTAGACTTGATCAAGTGCGTAGAAGATAAATAGTGGTTGATTCGTTTGGATAACCCAAGTAATTGATACCTTCATTTGTTAGTGTCATTGTTTGAGTCAAATGTGAATGGTTTAGAAATGTTGATTGATGGCTCCAAACCATTCAAATAGTGGTATGCGTGCATTGGACATTTCATTCTTGATTCTTTGTGTTGTTCCAACAATGGTTGATAGATTGACCACATTTGATAGTAATCAAAGGCATTGCGGTGGTTTGCGTATTGCGATTTAACAGTAAATGAATTGATCACTAAAGTAGCATGTACAAATAGATGATTCACTCCAAACTAGATCGAGTATTCTACTGATGATTGACCATGGTAATGAATAATCTAATGATCCTTTGTTGTAATCACATAGAGGATTATTGTCTATCATTTTACGTTTGAACTCTAATCGATTTGGGTCTTTATAATCATTTCATTTTTTAAATGGCTCATTTGAGCATGTACATTCAATGATTGACAAATCAAAAGTAATTCTTTCTTTAGTTTACTATTCAATTCATCTTCTGAGTATATTCTAAATCCTAAAAGATAAATAGAAGAGAAAAGGGTGAGTGATAAATTCAAATCATACTATTATAGATCTTGATATCTGCTATAATTTACCCTGTTCATCATCATCTTCAGACATATTTGAATTTACAACAATTTATTCAAGTTATTATCTACTTTATCTGTACAACTATTATTATTATTCATAATTCATACGAGTAAATTAAAAAAGTGGTCAATGAAAAAAGTTAACTAGTTCACTCCTGCATTGTATAAATTAATTTATTTAATTAAGTTTAAAATCTTTATAGAGTTTGTCATAGAATATTTGGTCATTAGAGGGACTAAAGAATATGTATTTTATACCTGCCAAGGCCAATAAAACACCACCTGCGAGCAATGCTAGGGGTCCTAAGATCGATAGAAAGAAAGAAAGAAATAACTATAAATAAACCGTGATATTATTATTTTCATTATTATTTTCATTATTATACTATACCTGCACAAGCACAACCTCCAAAGATAGCCATGGCAACTCCAAGACCAATACCAGCTGATACACCATCCAACACCATTGCACCAATATTACCAACCTAAATAGATAGATAGAGAGATAAAGATAATATTAATATTATTAATATGGATATATATATATATTTTGAAAGAATTTAATAAATACCTTTGCATCTTGTACACAGTCGTATACACTTTTTATGGCACTAATAGCCATAAGACCAGGGCTAAAGCGAGTTGCGACAAATGAAGCTAGGTCAGTTGTAAAGACATTCTCCATGACAGTGAGAATCTTGTCAGCAGCTGGAAGCTTGTTCAATCCAACACCAATCACTGAACCAAGAGATCTAAAGGCATTGGGAACTACCTCTGTTGAGCTAGATGCTAAATCCAATCCAATATTAATCACATCCAGAGCAAAGAAAGTTTTGTTGTAGGTATCCAACTTGTCCCAATTAACAATTGAATAGATAATGACTGATATCTGGCAAACCTTGAAAATATAACCAAATGCTTTGGCGATTTGATTAGTATTTGAGGCAGTCACTTGCATCTTGTTCATTATTCTTGCTCCTCTGTCCTTGAAGTATTGCTCGTAGCCTTTGTCTAGGTTTGGACCATCGATTGACTCGAACTGTGTGGCCAGAATAGCTTTCTGAATCTCCCTGACGCTTCCCACCGTAGAACCTGTTACGGCTAGGATGTCCTTGTAGATGGTCAGTGTATCTTGGTCCACATCAGGCTCATCAACGCCGCTCTTTGCCTTTTCAATGATACGCTCGATGGTATCTTTGATAATATCTCTGTTGAGCTTGGTATCTTTAATTGAGTTTTGCTTATCGAGGTTGATAAAGATTGAAGCACCGATGATCGTGTTGATGGTATTCTTTGAAGTCTCTCCGGTCGGATCAAAGATATCTAGTACTGCCTTGGCATTGACAATATAGGCTTGGAATTGTTCTTGAGATCTTTTGTTGTTCAAATCATAAATCGTCTTGGGCAAATTTGTACGGTCCTTTAGAGCAGCCATGTAGAGTGGTAACCAACGCACAGCATTCTTTTGGAATTTCTGCATCCACTGGTTCTTTTCACAGAATGCAAATTTGAATAATAACATACGTTGATGAGCATAGGTATTCTATATTGTATGAGAAATAAATAAAATAATAATAATAATAATAATAAATTAATAAAATAGAATAGAGAATATTTTAAATTTAATATTTATATAATTATTTGATGAATAATAAATATCATTAAATATTAAATATATTAAATATATTAAATATATTAAATATATTAAATATATTAAATATATTATATTTTTTTTTACATACATCAAAAGTTGGATTAGTTTCAAGATTATGAAGCTTTTCTTGACAAAATTTGTTATCAATCTTTTTAGAGACTGAATAGTTTCCATTGGCAACGATCAATGGTAGATAGTAGAATGAATAGTAGGAATACCAGAGAGTAACCTTTGGCTCATCACAAATATCTAAACGTTTCTGGTTGAGTTTTGGCTTGGTGAGACCAAATAATTCCAAAATTTCATTGTTTGGATCAGAATAGTGTAACATGTTCTCCAAGAAATAATTGTCAGCATTCTGGGAAACAACCTAATAAATTAAATAATTAAATATATAGAATAAATATATAAAAATATTAATTATAATTTAGTATTAAAAAAAAAAAGAAAAAAACAGGATTAATGATTTTTGTCTAGAAATACTTTTAAATAAATAATAGTAATAATAAATATATTTAATTGAGAACATACATTCTTTGATCCTTCAAAGACAGACATATGAAGGATTATCTTCAAACCTTCTTCATCGGTAAGTTTTCTATCTGGATCAAAAGGAGGGATGACGTAATCGGGATCCCAAGCTGGTAAAAGGTCTTGCTCGACTTCTCTCTTTGATCTGACAGCAGCAGCTGCTTTGGAACCTGGAGCAGGAGGCTTGGCAACTGGCAATGGTGGGACTGGACGCTTTTCATCGTTGAATACTTCATCAGACTTAGAGGAATAACCGACATAGAATCTATTCTCTTTCACAGTCTTTGGTGGTATCTTTGGTGGAAAAGTAATGACTGGTGGCTTGACAGGTGGTGGAGTGGTAGTTGGTGGCTTGACTGGTGGAGTGACACTAGTATCGGGAATGGTTGGTGGTTTATAGGTTCCATTATCAATCTGATCCATGATATCTTCAATATTATGGCCACCTGGATACCCAGGGTACATGTCTCCTATTAAATCCATAATATCATTTTTTGTAAGTGACATTATTAATATTATTACTAATATTTGTTATTACTACTGTTGATTAATTATCTATCTTGTCGACGACTAACTTTATATAAATGTTGTGGTTGGTTGGTTGTCGTGGTGTATGTGGACAAAGATATTAGTATTATTAAAATATGAGGTAGGTTGATTGTTACACGCGAGCGACGGTCGCTCCCTCCTAGCCCTCTCTAGTTCAGAGAGCTAACTAAACCAACTGAACTGATCATGTGATGATTCAGTGATCGGGTGGTTGGTGGGGCATGAGCCCATTGAATGTCATGGTTTCAAGTTACAGCCCCTCCCGATTGTGATCGATGTCTATTGGATAAGAAGGAGGTTTAAATATGATACACAAAAGAGGGAGCTTAAAAACGAATAACAAACAAAAAACAACATTGTGGTGCTGAGACACAAAGATCTGTGCGGCAATGAAAATTTGAAACAAAGTTTAGGAGCGGAGCCAATCGAAACGGTGCTGATAAAAGTAATCAATCACGTGTTCTCCTATCTCTCTAACCAACAACAACAACACATAAACTCAGAAACTAAACATCCAACATTTAGATTATCTTTAAACTATTGTTGATGGTGCGTACATGATCAATTGCATGCTTGTTGTTTATAGATAAGAAGAAGTTATTAGAGATATAATAATATTATGGATTGTAGAGACGAATGGTTGTATATTAAGGGTTGGCATTGTTTTAATGTTGAGGTCCTTTCCTTTCAATTTAGACTAGAATGATTGAAAACGGGGGGGGGGGGGGGTTGTTGGAATATCACTGGATGACAATGATCAAAGTATTAATTAACCTGCCACCCACCTCTCACAAAAGGTTAAATATTTAACTAGAGTTGAATATAATAATTTTTCTCTCTCCCTCTCTTTCTTTTAGTGATCTTGATTGATAGACTTTCAGTAAGCCTGAAAAATAAAAAGAATTCATTAATATTAATAAAGTAATTATATAAATATTGGATACCATACCATTTAAATCTAGGTTATATCAACCAGACTCTGTGCCTTTTGGATAGAAGAAATGGCTCCAACTGTACCATCAAGAAAAGCAAATGTGTATTGAATCATAACATTCTCTGGTGAGCATATGGGTTCATCACTAGTGATACATTGCAAAAGTCTCACTTTTTTTGTATTTTATTGATATTCTTTAAGTTTAAAGAAAAAAGGTAAATATTGATCAAAGTAAATTTGGTCGTTTGTTGGGGTAAAGAATAGGTACTTGATACCTGCAAGGGCCAATAAAACACCACCTGCGAGCAATGCTAGGGGTCCTAAGATCGATAGAAAGAAAGAAAGAAATAAGTATAAATAAACCGTGATATTATTATTTTCATTATTATTTCATTATTATACTATACCTGCACAAGCACAACCTGCAAAGATGGCAACAGCAGCTCCGAGTCCAATGACGGCGCTGGCACCGTCAATCACCATGGCACCAATGTTACCTTCTTGTGCATCTTGCACGCAATCATAAACACTTTTGATGGCAGACACGGCCATTAGGATTGGACTGAAACGTGTTTGAACAAATTCGGCAAGATCTGTTGTGAATGCAGTCTCCAATACGCTGAGAACCTTGTTTCCATATGGTATTTTGTTTAGACCAAGTCCCACCAAATTACCAAATTGTTTAAGGGCTTTTGGTGCTGTTTTCGTGGCAGACGCTAAATCTAATCCGATATTAACAATATCTGCCATAAAATACAATTTGTTGTACGTGTCCAACTATATATAGAGTAAAAATAAATATAAATAATTGTCAATATATATATATATATTAGTTTGTTTTGAATGAAAGCATTCATTAATGAATGAATTACCTTGTCCCAATTGTAGATCGAATAGATGATAACTCCGACTTGACATGTCTTGAATGCTCTTCCCAACCTATTATGGAAATGAAAAAAAAAAAAAACCAAGATTAATTAATTAATCTTTAAATATATATATATAAATAAATATTTAATTGTAAAATACCATTTAAAGAACTTGTCTTTCTTTTCAGCTACAGAGAATTGCATTTTGTTCATTACTCTTGCTCCAATGTCCTTGAAATATTGATCAAAACCTTTGGAAAAATCTGGGCCATCAACAGACTCGAATTGAGTGGCCAGAATAGCCTTTTGGATAGCAGAAATGGCTCCAGCTGTGCCACCAAGAAAAGCTATCAAATCTTTACCGATTACCACTTTATCCACAGAATCTGGGTCATCTGGATCAGCAGGACCAGCATTTTTAACATACTCTACTATACTTTTAACGGTATCTTTAATCACTTGGCGATTTTGAGGAGTATCTTTGATTGAATTTTTCTGATCCAGGCCAACAAAGATGGAAGATCCCATTAGAATATTGATCATATTCTTTGAATTCTCTCCGGTTGGATCCAATACATCTAATGTAGCCTTGGCATTGACAATGAAAGCTTGTAATTGTTCAGTAGTTCTTTCCTTGGTCGTTTGAGTGTGTTTGGCCAGATTGAATTGATCCTTTAGAGCAGCCATGTAGAGTGGTAACCAACGCACAGCATTCTTTTGGAATTTCTGCATCCATTGATTTTTCTGGCAGAATGCGTACTTGAATAATAACATTCTCTGGTGAGCATATGTATTCTATAGAAAAATTAAAATTATAATAATTGAATAATTGATAGATTTAAATTAATATTTATCTTTAATTATTTAAATATTACTATTATTATTAAATATATTAAATTAATACATACATCATAAGCTGGACCAGTTTCAAGCTGATGAATCTGTTCTTGGCAAAATTTGGCATTAATCTTTTTTAGAAACTGAATATCCTCCGTTGGCAACGATCAATGGTAGATAAAAGAATGAGTAAAAGGAATACCAGACAGTAACCTTTGGATCATCACTAATATCTAAACGTGACTTGTCGAGTACTGGTCTCTTGATACCAAATAAATCCAACACCTTTGAATTTGGATCGGTATAGTATAATACGTTTTCAAGAAAGTAATTATTTGCATTATCGGCAACAACCTAATTACATTAAAATAGAATAAAATAGAATAAATGAATGAATGGTGTTAGATGGATATATAAATTACAAATGAGCGAGAATAGTAGATTTATAGATTTAAACTTACATTCTTTGATCCCTCAAAGACGGAAAAGTGAAGGATGATCTTTAAACCTTCTTCATCGGAAACCACTCTATCTGGATCAAAGGGAGGCATAACGAAAGAAGCGTCGGGAGGTGGTAGTAGGGGAGGAGCAACAGCAGCTTTTGAAACAGCAGGACTTTTGGGGGTAAAGTCTTGACCCTCAGCGGCTGCTACCTTGGATGCAGCAGGACCTTTGGTAATAGGGGCTGGCACAGGTTTTACGACACCAGTTGCTTTAGCTGGCAATGGTGGAACTGGACGCTTTTCATCGTTGAATACTTCATTAGACTTCTCAAAATAAGTGGCATAGAACTTATTCTCTTTCATAGTCTTTGGTGGTGTTGGTTTGGGTGGTGGTACCCTTGGTACATTAGTTGGTGACCTGACAGGGAAGGCGATGGCATTTGGATCCGGTGATACTAGAGTTCCATTATCAATCTGACTCAAAATATCATCGATATCGTGACCTCTGGAGGGATACCCAGGGAAAATAGTATGAAATTCTTCTTCTGTTAATGACATATTTAGTTTATATATATATATATATATTTATATAAATATGATTGATTATCTATGATTCAACTGTCAGACTTTTACACATAAACTATTTATATGTTGTGGTGGATGTGGAGAAGAGGAAAGAGAAGAAGATGATGATGACAAGGATATTATTTAAAATGATTTGTTTACACGTGAGCGTGCTCATTGCTGTAGTTGTCGACCAACTCACGATGATGGCTCGGGTGAATCACATGATCACATGATCACATGGATTCAGGGATCTGGTGGAGCCCATTCAACTCGAGTGGTCAACTTGTTTTTAAATTGAACAAAGGTTGGTCATAGTAGCAGTTGTGGTGTAAGTGTCTATTGGATAAGAAGGAGGTTTAAATATGATACACAAAAGAGGGAGCAAAATGATCACAAAGAAATCATCGCACAATGTTAACACAATAAAAAAAAAAAGAATCACAACCGCAACGAAAAATTGAAACCAAAGATTAATCACGTGCTCCAGTCAAAGCAACGATATTTATCTCTCTCTCTCTCTCTCAACAAGAATATATATATTGGTTGATGGGAATATTATTTATATAAAAGTTTGGGAAAAAAATAACATCAAGGTTATTTCTAATTTTTTTGTTGTAATGAATGGAATGTCTTTTAAGCAAGAGTGGTAGCTGCTGCTGAAGAGATGACATTTTGTAACTTTTGGAAAATTTGTACTTGTTGGTCGACGGGCAACATCAAGAGACCTTGCCAGATTTGGCTTGCATCGAGTTCGTTGGTCTTGATAAAAGTATAATAGTATACGTGAATAAAGAGACCCATGATGAATTGACAGTCGGTTCTGTCAGTGACACCACCATGGCCTGGGAAGATGTTGTCAAAGTCCTTGATCTTGTAGGCTCTCTTGATACCCGAGGCAAAGAAGCCACCAAATGGAGCAATCAACGATCCAAACAAGGCGAGGACAAGTGCGTGCAATTGGATGGGCACAAAGGTGAGAGAGGTGAGTGTAATACCAAGGTACTTGGTCAAAATAGTTGACACTTCAGTTGGAATAATAAACTCTTTTTGAAGGAATACTGGATCTGGTGTACAATGAAGTGGTTCTAAAAAGTCTCCACTTCCCTTTGGACAAATTACCCAATCAAATTGAATTAAATATCCTGCAAACTAAAAATAATTAAAATTAAATAAATTAAAAATATAAATACAAATGATTTTAAAAAATAGATTGTAATAATAATTTGATGATCATCATACATAATAAGCAAAAATTAAAGTCCAAATAGTGGCACCAATGAAACCTTCCCAAGTCTTGTTTGGTGAAATTTTCATTAATGGTTTTTGAATGAATCTAAATTTAGAAAAAGAAATAATTAATTACTATTTGTATTATATATTTAAATTTATGTTTTCAACATACTTTTTACCCAAAAAGAAACCATTAAAATAAGCAAAGATATCATTACAAACAATGATTGAAACTGGTAAGATGAACCAAATCAAACCTTGATAAATGTTTGAAATGATAAAGTTTGATTGAACAACAACCATCAATAAAATCATCAAAATCCAAGTGAATTGAGAGAATTGATATCTATATACACCTTTTCTCAATGTAAAAATAAATGATACAAATCCTAAAATAAATAAATAAATAAAAAAAGAATTAATAAACTAGTTATATATCTTTTCTTTTTTGTTTCTTTTGTTTTTTTTTTTTCATACCAATACAATAAAGAGAAAAAGAATGCCAAAGATGAAACTTTACAAAATGTTGAGCTTCAGGGAAAACAGAGGAAATTTTAAGGAGGATTGGCTTGGCATAGAAAAAGTAAAAGGCAGACAATAAAAAGAACCATGCCAAGGTTCTGAATCTGGGGATCTTCTTTTCTTTGGCCTCTACATAACGCAATGAAACCATTTCCTTAAAGACGAGCAATTGGAGAGCCATGACAAACAACGAGACGATAAAGTGGTCGGTTCGAAGGATACCAATAAAGAAGAAGATCATGGCAGCACCCATGACACTTCGAACCATTAGTTTTTTGTATTTGGATTGTGGTGGATCGGTAGACTTTTGACCATCGGCATTGTTTGATGCTGCTGTTTGTTCGTCATCTGATGATGTCTCGTCTTTACTCGAATCAAATGGATCGATGTTTGCCAACTTGCTAATTTGTGGTGACAATAATGCACTACTATTTGTACTCTTTATACCTGCTCCTACTAATGGTGATATTTTTTGATTACCATTCGTATCTTTAGTAGTTGTTGTTGTTGTACCTCTTTGTCTTGTTGATGATGACATTATTTATTATTATAAAGATAGATAGACTATTTATCTATCTGATCTATTCTTCTGTTATTTGTGGGGGGGGTGGGAAGGGGAGGGGGATGATGATGATGATGATGAATGTTTAAACACCAACAATGGTTTGGTTCTATTCTACTATTATACAACAAATAAAGATCTTGTTCTTGTGTGACCTGATCTATTTTATCTTTTTCCTTTTCTTTTTCTTTTTCTTTTAAAAAATATCTATATATTATCTATTATACTATCTATCCGACTTATCAATGAATGAGTACTTCAAAACTTCTTCTAATTAATGGACATTGCGGGTGTCCTTTTTAAATAATAAATTTTTAAATTTTTTTTATTTCTTTTTTGCTCAATGACGTGATTCATCTCTCGGGATTCCCGTTGTGAACTTTACTTTGCTTCATTGATTTTTGTTTAATGATTTTTGATTCACCCCCTCCGCACGATTACTTTACTTTACTCTCCAGTACCATAGAAATCATCTGCATCCACGTCACCTTGGTTATTTTGATCATCGTCAAACAAATGATTCCATTTTGATGTTGAATTAAAATTATTATTATTATTATTATATGTTGATGGTTGAGTAGTAGCGGCTGTCTGTTGTAAAGGTAAATTGATAGATTGTGAAAATACAGTATTTTTGTTTGACATTTGTAGATAAGGATCAACTGTTGGTGGTGCTGGTGGTGGTCTACTGTTTGTTTGTATATTTGTAGTCTTATATGAATTATTATTATTATTATTATTATTATTAAATTGATCATTCATCGTCCTAGTCGTAAAAGTAGAAGTAGTATTATTGTTATTATTATTATTATTATTATTTTTGTTAATAGATAGGGATATTGTTTTCTTTGGTATAGAGAGTGAAACAGTTGGTTTGGTAATTTTTAATGGTTCGAAATGTTGTTGTTGTTGTGTATTGGTCGTTGTTGGTGAAATGATATCATTTGATCTAATTTTCTTGAATGTATTAAAACCATTATTATTATTATTATTCCCATATCCAGTGTAGAAATCATTACCATTATCATCATCGTGACCAGTATTATAAAAATCATCTGATTCGTCAATATCATTTCTATCATTATTAATATTTCTTGTTGACTGTATTGTTGGTTGAATAAACCCACCACCACCTCTTGCTCCACCTCTTCCAGTAGTACTACCTCTGGTACTTGTATTTCCTCTTCCTCTTCCTCTAGTCGATAGCGAAGGAGTTGAGGTATTCGTAGTCGCATTTGCATTACCTCTACCTCTACCCCTTGCACCACCACCAGCACCACCACGACCACCTCTACCTCTTCCTCTTTGAGGTAATGCATCTGTTGATATTTCAAAATCGTTGCCATCTGAATCATTTGAATTAACATTCTATATAAATAGAATTAGATTAGTTAATCAATAATAATAACCATCTTTCTAATTGATCATTTGTCTTACATAAAAATCATTTAATTCTTCTTCATTCTTTTGATTATGTTGTTCATCATCAAAGAATTGATTCCATGATGATTGAGGTTGTTGTTTTCTCTTCATTGATCCTCTTTCCGTTTGTTGTTGTTGTTGTAGTTGTTCAAATTCATCTTGATGATTTTGTTCACTATCATCATCATCAAAGTAGTTTGCTTGTTGTTGATGTTGATGTTGATCATCTTGTTGTTGATTAATTTCAAATTGTTCGACTTTATGTTTATCAGCTTCTTCTCTCTTTAAACCACCTTCTAGATTGTACTTTTGAACGAGTGGACGAAGATCCTTTGGTTGATTCGATATGGCATAGATCTTCTTGACACTTTGCTTCTCGTTGCAAATCTTGCATTGAAACTTGCTAACTTTAGTCTTTTGATTGATTTGGAATGTATGACAACTATAGCATTGTAGTAATATATATTCTACCATTTGTTCATTTACCAAGGTTATAGATCTATCATCATAATCATAATCATCATCATTTATGTTTGCGAAAGAATGAATTGAATGACTGCAAAGAAAGAAAGAAATGTGAATAAAAAACAAAATTATTATTATTTATTTAATATTTAATATACATTTTGGAATAGAAATAATATTAGTAATAATGTGTATAATATATTATATATATATATAATAATTGTTTAGTTATTCTATACTATACTATACTATACTATACGTGGTCGTTAAGATTTGGTATTCAGAAGAAGATTCTCAATACCCAAGTGGCAAAAGCGAAAGAGACGAGTGAGTGAGAGAGGCTGGAAGAAGAAGAATCCAGCTGGTCACTATTGCCTTTGCCACTTGGGCAATGATTATAATCTGCAAGCGGCCGAGTTTGAGAGAGAGATACGCTCAATAAATACTTGATGAATGGACCAATTACGTCATATGAAAGGTGTTCAGTCGACCCTAGATGGATAGATTCACCTTGCACCTATTGATTTGAGCATTTGGAGAAAATAGACTCTTGACATTTACACAAGGGGGGTAGTTTGGAAGTATAATCGACATACCATTGATGATATAGTTTGATAATATGTAAAATAAAGTGAATCTATAATGATTCTCAACTGTATATACTTTGATTATAATGTAAATGTCAAGAGAGAGTGGTATGTTGTTGATTTGAGCGTCTACCAAATTGATTGAGGTCTGCTGTAACTATTCAATGTAGAGCCGAATTATAGCTGTCGAGACAATATTAATACAATAAACAAAAGCATTAAATTTTAATTTTAATTTAAATTGTTGGGCTCATATTTTTTTAAATGTGTTTATTATGGAGTATTTATTTGTATTTGCATGTTATTATTATTATTATTATTATTATTACCTTCGATAGGTTGTGATGATTCATCAGCAATAACCTTTTTCTTTGCCTCTTCTTCATCATCATCCTTTTGTTCAAACTTTTTACTATACACTACTGCAAAGATGAAACCAAGTATCCAAATAGATCCAACTATAATCTCTGAGAATATAATCTTGTTTATATTCGATCTAAATAGAGAGAATGGTAGAAAGAGAAAGAAAGAGAATATTAATATTACATAAAGAAGAGAAGAACAAGTTGATGGATTATTATTATTTATGTATACATACACAAGACCACTACAATAAGAGTGTTCAATAGAGACAATGGTATCTTTAACATAGGAACAAGTGGCAATGGATCGTAGTTTACCAACAGACTGGATGAGTCTGCCAGTGGTACGATCAAACTTGTTGATAAAGATCATGTCGTCTTTGGGATCGGCAATGTATGCTCGCAATTGTTGGTAGTCATAGGTATCGAGATTGTTCATGTTGAATGTCTTGTTCATATAGGTTGACGAGAATCGATTCAAGATGTCGAGTAACTTGGTAGCTTCAGCTTCGGCAAATGCGACGGCAGAGGTAACCTCCTCATTGTTTGGGTCGCAGTCGAGCCATGTCTTCATCCACGGGGCAGTTGCACCAGTCTCGATGTATCTCGACATGGAGTTGCACAGATCACTCGATGCTGCAGACAGCGGCAGATGGATACCCAAACTCAAATAGCTTACAAATATGGCCAGCAGACTCATATAGGACAGAAACATAAACGACCATGACATACCATTGACCAACGCAAACACACCCCACGCCGATGCAAGTACTGCTATAATATAGCTGAGTGTGATGATAGTGTCACGCAACGAATTCAAGTTGGATTCACTGACACGTGCTTTGTGTGCGTCTTGGTATGCCTTTTCAACTGCTGCACCAATTGCATTCATATTCTTTCGAACCAATGATGCATCGGCAGTCTTTCCAGCCAATCCGGTACGTATAGTGTTGACAACAGACTTTGCCAATTTTGAGGTATCCTCAATCTTGATGAAAAAACCATTAATGTCTTTGGAAACTTGTGCATTACTAGTCAACCCGATAATGACACCTGCCAATGTAACCAAGATGATGAAAAACAACAAAAACTTGACTAGTCTCAAGCAAAATGGTGTCTTGTATCTTTTGGGTCTATGTTCAAATTCTGCCATTGAATTGGTATCAATTAAATCCTCCCCTTTTCCTTCAAGTATTTCTAATCTTGGATCTTTTTTTCCCCAATGTATACAATTTCTAGAAACATAAAAGAATGTAAGTAAAGTAATCATACAACTATATTAGAGGGTTATGAGAGACATACCTTAAAAATAATGCAATAATACCCAAGAATAGAAATGCAATTGATAATATAAGACCTGGTAAACCCAAAACTATGAGGGATTCAACATAATCGCTATTTTTTAAATCAAATTCTTTGGATACTTTGGTTCTTTGGAAATTATATCTTGGCATATCTTCTGGATTTACAAAATTATCAAATACTAAAAAAAGAGAGAGAAAATGGTATTTGGATTAGGAATATGTATGTTGATTGAAAATAATAATAATAATAATAATACTATACCATCTTTTCTACTTATATGTGCTTGAATGTCACCACTAACCAAATAACTAGAACCAGTTTCATTACAACCAACACTTCCGCTAGCTGTATTTCCATTTTCACTATCAGTTGTTATAGCTTTACCAAATTTGGTTAGTATAAAATACTTGATCAATTGTTCATATTTTTATTTACCATTTCCTAAAGCTGTCAATGTTGATAAACTAAATAATATTAGATTAAACATTATTAATTGACAGATCGAGTTGATAATATAATTTCTAAAATCTAGAATCTTTTTTGTTTGTTTTCTTTTTTTAGTATTCGAATCAATAGAAATGTTGTATTAATGAATAAAATAATTTGATTGATAAATAAATAAAATAAATAAAATAAATAATAATTGTGATAATATTTTTGAATACTTTTTAATATTTAAATGTCCTTTGGCTCTTTCTTTCGTTTTATGTGTCATCCAACACCAATTTAAGTGAATTTTAATTATCGTGTGCACACATCACATGTAATATTAATATTAATAATAATAAAAATAAAAATGATTATGATATGATATGATTATCATTTAATCATTCACACCCACTCTTCTTCCCACTCGCTCCACTTTCTTTCTCTGTCTGTATGTTTCATTGTCATTCATAGTTGAACCAGCTATATATCCAATGAATGGTTTATTGATAAATAAATAAAATTCCAGTAGATATTTTTTTTAATGATTAATCATCACTCTCTTTTTCCAATCCACACACAACACGCTCACTCACAGATAATTTTAAATCATTTTTTTTAAAAAATAATAATAACACTTTTACTCACAAGTTACTTATAAGTATAGTATAGTATAGTATAGTATATAGGAGGAGTGAACACAATTATAAATATTGATAATGATTTATTCTTTTGGTTGAAATCTTAATTTGATTGGTTGATTTGATAACACAAATATTGAAATAAATATATAAGAAAATAATAAATAATTGGTTGAGTGAATTGGTTTAAAAGTTTGATTGATTTGATTGATTTGATGGATGATGAATGATGGATGGTACTAGGAGGATATAAAATATTGAAACAAAGGATTGCTATATATATATATGATAGACTGACCCACAGTAGAGAGTTATTTAAATCTTAGCTTTAAGATACATGTTATTGTATCTACCCAAAGCCCAAAGTGGGAAGATATTCTTGTAATTTGAATAACTGATCATACAATTGAAATTGAATACACCAATAATAGATTCTTGTGGGAAATCACCATTTGGATATTGTTTTGAAAGTAAGAACTAAATAATAAATAAATAAAAGATTAATAATCTATCTTTTTTTTTTTTTTTCTATTTTTTTTTGTCTATTTCTTTTTTCTATACACATACTTTAATACCTCTTTCAATTGGTTCACGATCTGGATATTTAGCAGCCATAAGAGATAATAGAGCCCAACCAGTATTGACGATTTGAGATTGATCTGGATGTTGAACGTATTCCTTGGTGACGTTTGATTTAAAGGATTCACCCCAACCACCATCTGGACGTTGCTTGGAGACGAGGAACTTGCAAGCCTTGACAATGTGTGGACTGGAGAGTGGTTCGCCGGCGGCAACCAAACCTTCGATGCCAAACCAAGTGCCATAGGTGAAACAGATACCCCACGAGCCGATCCACGAACCGTCTGCACGTTGGATAGATTTGATGAATTGAACGCCACGTTCAATCGAACGGTTAATCTCCTTGAGACGGGGGTGGCTGGGGGCAAACTTGAGGAACTTGCACATGGCCTGCACGCAAGCGGCAGAGCACTCGACGTAGGAATAGTCAATCATAATGTTGTGGAACACCTCGGATGGGTTGAAGCTCTCGATCCAAGGGCCGGTACGAGTGTTTTCATAAGATGCCCAACCACCATCCTTGTTTTGGAGTGAGAGGATGACGTTGATTCCTTCGGCAACTCGGTCGAGCGAGATGGGTGTGATGAAAGGAAGCGAACGTAGTGAAAGGGCTGCTTTGACACCTTCGGCCGTGCAGTCAGAGATAGGCCAGCCATGGTCCACTGTAGAGAATGGCCAGGCACCTTTGGAGATGTGACGGTAGTATTTGTCCATCTCGGGGGCGTCTTCGGGCACTTGGGACACGTCGAGGTAGCTGTTGCACATCTTCATGGTCTCGGGGTAGTTGTGTGAGATGCCAGTCTCGACAAACGCCTGTGTGATAAAGGCAGTGTCCCACAACTGGCTGCCGTTGTACCCTTGCATCTTCATGCCGTCCTCGGCCAACCACAAATAGTCAAAGAGACGGTCGGCGTGCTTGTAAAAGTTGGGCGAGCGGCCTTCGCGGTCCCACACACACAACATGTTCATCGTCTTGTTGACAGGTCCGATATCAACATACTTGGTCTGCTCGTCTTCATAGCGAATATGCTCAAAAGTAAAATCGATGGCTTTGTTACGCAGCCACGTTGAATGATACTTTTCGTAGAGGTAGAGTGCGCTATTGACAGTCTTGAGTAGGGTAGTGTGTGGATTGTACATGTCGAGCTTGGACACATTGTTGCGTTGGTCTGCCCACGAAATACTCTCGTACGCCTCATTGTACAACTCCTTTCGCAACTCTCTGATGAGCTCCGTCTCGACACACGTTGTCTTTCTAGCGTACAAGTACGACATGGGAAGATACACCATACGACAATGACACCACCAACGACCTGGACACACTGGCCATTTGTATGGCACCAACCACAACTCGATTGGGATTGGGTTCAATCCCTCCCACTTGTACACGTTGAGTACTGCCAACCAAAACTTGCCCCACGATGGGATTCCCAATGCTCCACCATTTGCCAATAAAAAGGCACGTGCCTTTGCTACTCTTGGTTCATCAGCTGGTACTCCCAATATTCTCAATGTTGTATATTGTAATGCTGTTCCAAATATATCTGAATGTGCTTCAATATGTCTAAGAAAAAAGAAAAGAAAAAAGAAAAAAAAGAAATAAGAATAGGATTGAAAGTTTAAAGTTTAAAGAGTTTACATACAATCCCCATCCACCATCATTTGGATTTTGTCTATTAAACAAGTATCTAATGATCTCTCTTTGATGTGGTTCTGGGAGAGCATAGCCAGTAACATAACATGTAATGACGAGACCTGGGAGCAAAAACATAGGTCCTCCATAATCACCTGCCCAATGTCCATCCTTGGTTTGAACTTGAGAGAAATAATCGATCGACTTTTTAATTGCTTCTTGTGGTGATGTTGCTGGTTTAAGATTGCAACCTTCTGGGCATGTTGTTCCCTAAAATCATAAATAAATTTAAATAGATAGATTAGATATATAGTTCTCTCTATCTCTTTTATCTATATGTCTCTACTATCTATCTCTATCTCTCTCTTTTGTCTCTCTACATACGGGAGTCTTTAAAGATAAAAGATGAACATCAACAGGGTTTGGCTCTGTTGGGTTCTCTACATATCTCCATGTTTGTCTCCCACGATCAACATCTAGTGTCCATGACATGTCTTTTGACTAAAGGGTATAAAGGGGTATAAAGAAAAAAAATATATATTTATAAAATGAAAATGAAATAGATAGATAAACTACACTAATAAATGAATGATGATCAGAAGTAATCAAAGGTGCCCATAGTGCGCAGAGCAGAGTTTGACCGAGTGAGAGAGCAACAAAAAAAAAAGAGGTGCAGATCCAAAACCCTTTTTTTTGATTTTTTTTTCTTTTTCAAAAAATCTGTTGTCTCTGATCGCGAAAGCACTCGAAGAATGGAGTGCACATAATATACAGCGCCAGGATGCATTATACAACTACTGATGGTTATCACATAATCAATCATAGTCATGAATGAATGATTCATTATTTGTACAGAGGTGATATTAGTAAGGAAGAGGAGAGGGAGGGAGATAAAACAAAAATACTCAAATAATCTAATCTATCTATCTGTTTTTGTTATTTTGATTGGGATTATGTCTATCTTCTTCTATCTAAGAATAGGATAGCGGTGACGGATGATGTGTTAGATAGCTCTTTGGGTGAGCGGATAATTGATTTGTTTGTGTGTGTTTGGTTGATCCTATCAGCCATCATCGTAACCAACCAGAGAAGATCTTTAAATTAATTCATTGCTCTTGCTTGGCATTATCTGAAGCAAGACGAAAAATATCTAGGATGACTTTCAGCAGTGTCTTGAAATTGAACCCGATTGGCGATCAAAAGGTGAGGTAGGGGAGGATTTCGAACACCTCCCAAGTTATTTTTAAACTTTGCACACTCAAACCATCAGTTCGATCCACCCCCCATAGCCCCATCGATGCTGCCCTTCCCTTTGTCTTTAGACAATACGCAGTTTTTTTATCCGTTGGTTGGGTACTGATCAATTGAAACAAGGGAGGGATTCGATTCCTCCTCAGTCCTCACCACCTAACAACTTTGTATTTATATTTATCTCTCCACAACAAACAACACCTCTGTTTTGTTTTATTTTAAATTCATTCCTCTCAAACAAACCATCCGTCAATCAACGTCGTCTTGCCTTGTTGTTGTATTATTTTATTTATTTATATAACGTCGTTGTAGAGTCCCAAGTTATTTGTTTATCATTGTACACTATTTCTATTCTATTCATATCAATCACAGATAAACACACTGTTTTAAAAGTAACCGTAACCACACAAATACAAATACTTGTTGTAATATTAAACACACACCCACATACTCACACGCAAAAGAAGAGATTTATATATAAGTAAAAAAAAAATGTCAACAAATATGTCAATTGAAATGGGAGCAACCCATATTGATGTTGACAATAACAACAATGGATCAACATCAGGAGGAAGAGGAATGGTAAAGTCAAAGTCACAAATGCAATTGAGACGTGCCGTTACCTTGACCTTTAAGGAACTATCTTACAGCGTCGAAGTTAAAAAGAAGAAAATGCAGATTCTCAATGGTATCTCTGGTACAGTGTCACCAGGCGAGTTGGTCGGTGTATTTGGTCCATCTGGATCCGGTAAAACCACTTTGCTGGATATCCTAGCAAATAGAAAGGAAAGTGGAGCTGTTCAAGGTTCTGTATTAATCAATGGTAATCCATTTGATGATGAATATAAAAGATTATGTAGTTATGGTATGTACACAAAACAAAACAAAACAAATATTATTATATATAAAGTATATTTGGTTAGTTCCATTTTCTAATTTACTTTATCTTTTTTTTTTTTCTGCTTTCTATTTCTATTTTTTAGTTGTACAAGAAGATATTTTATTACCGACAATATCGGTACGTGAAACATTAAGATTCTATGCAGATTTAAAGTTACCAACAAGTTGGACAAATAAAGAAAAGGAGGAAAGAATTACATCGGTACTTGACCAAATTGGACTGTCACATCGTGCCGACGCAAAGATTGGTGGTATCTTGCCCGGTGGTATTCATGTTCGTGGGTTGTCTGGTGGTGAAAAGCGTCGTGTTACCATTGGTTGTGCTTTGGTTACATCTCCATCCATCATGCTTTTGGATGAGCCTACTAGTGGTTTGGACAGTTCAAGTTCAATGACCGTCATGAAAACATTGGTAGAATTGGCAACACAAAAAAATATTACCATTATTACAACTATACATCAACCACGTTCAGAGATTTATAAATTATTTACAAAGGTGTTGGTGTTGACAGAGGGACGTTTGGTGTACTATGGCTCCGAGCCAGTCAGCCATTTCGTGGCACTTGGCTATCCATTCCCAGAACAAACGAATCCCGCCGATTACATTCTCGATTCGGTCACCCAGATTAAAGAGGCGGGTCGTGCCGACGAGATTGGTGACAAGTTGTCGGTAACCTACTCCCAACAGGCACAAGAGGTTACGAGCGGACTGTCAGCATCGACGGATAGGTGTAGGAGCAGGTGGCAAAAAGGAGAAAATAAGTTCTTACAATGTTGGTTTGTGGACACAGTTTTGGGTACTCTGGAAACGTACCGGTCTTGATTTCCTTCGTAATCCGGCCAACTCGATTGTACGTTTTGTAGTGGCTGCCTTTGTCGGTTTGTTGTTTGGTGCTTGTTTTGCTAATCTTCCCATGTCAGAGTCTGGTGTCCAGTCGCGTGCCGCCGTTCTCTTTTATCTTACCATCAATATGGTTCTCCAGCCATTCTGTTCCATCTCTCTTTTCATCTCCAAGCGTACACTTTTCAACGCTGAACGTGCCTCCAAACTCTACCACACTCTGCCATACTACTTGGCACTCATGTTTTTCGAGTGTATGGCTTGTATTATTACCGCGCTCATTCTCGGCACTATCAGCTACTGGTTCTCGGGGTTGAATCCAAACTTTGGCAGTTACTGTTTCTGCATGGCTATTCTCATCCTCGCTCATTTTGCCGGTGACTTTTTCATCTTGTTTATCTCGTGTCTCACCATTCAAATCGATCCAACCTTTGCTATTGGCGCCGGTGTCACCACCATCTACCAGTTGTTTGCCGGTTTCTTTGTCACCATCAACAACCTCCCCGTCTCTTTCCAATGGATTCACTATCTCAACTTTATCTACTATGCTTTCGAAGCACTCATGACCAACGAGTTCCAAGACCGTGCTCTTGACTGTCCAGAAGGCCAAATTTGTCCCAACGGTAACGACGTCCTCGCCTCCTTTGGTTTCGAAGGTCGTTTCAAGGGTGAAGACATGGCCATCGTCTCTGCTTTTGCCATCACATTTTTCGTAATGGTCTATTATTGTTTACATCATTTACATAGAGAAAAGAGATAAAAAAATAGAAATAGTAAAAATATTTTTAAAAAAAATAAAAATAAATTATTTAATTCACAAAAAATATTTTATAATTATTATTATTATTATTAATATTCCCGAGCACGGTTTATAAGGTGTGTACTAAAAGTAAAGAGGGGAATAGTTTCCCACCTTTCACCAAAGTGAGGATGATTCATTCATATTCATATTTATATTTTTAGATTTCCAAAAGTAAAAACCTCTTTGTTTTAAAAGAAACAGTATTGGAATGAACTTATGTTTAGTTTGAGTTACTCGTCCGACGAAAAGATACTGACTGTATCCCTCATAGATATTAGTATCCTCTCGGTATAGACATAGTACTTTAAAAATTAAATTTGAAAATTAATATATTAATATTTTGTGCTTCTAAAAATGGAAGGTGAAAAACAAAATTTCATATTCCAACAATTTCCATACTTTGTTTTTTTTTTTTTGCCCAACTGAAAATCTAATCTCTAACTTACACAATATTCACTAGTCACTCGGTTTAGGGGCATACATCATAATCGTCTCTTTTTATATTTTTAGGTCATTCTACCAACTCTAACTGAACAGTGGGCACCGCTAATCATTATGACTCTTGTAATTTTAATTTTTACAAATTAAATCCTTTTTCTTTTATGATAATTGTAATTTGAAATCCTCAAACATTTAAAGAAGAGAGTGATGGTTTAGAACACCGTTTATAATCGAGGTGATGAATAAACTCTACCTGTCGACGGTCAAGATCTACATCATCGTAAAATTCACCCCCTATTGACACTAAACATAGGCTTCCCTATCAAATTGATGTGTTGGAATCTTGGCAATACTGAATATTAATTATCTTAAAGGAAAAAAGAATTGGAACTGGCACAAAAAAAGAAACAAAGATCAACCTGTAAATTATAAATACTATCTTTTTTATTTTAATTTAAACCTTGTATCTTCCGTATTTTCTTTTATCTCTTTTTTTTTTTTTCTTTCTCTATCTATCTATTTTTTTTGTAAAATTATAAATATATCTTTCCATTCATATCATATCATATTGTAATATACATTTTCATATTGTTTCATTTTTTTAAAGGTAGTCCTTTCGATCTTCACTTTTTGTGGTAAACGACTCACTCACTCATTTTTGACACACAAAAAAAAGATCAAAAGTTCTATATATCTATCTCTCACTCTCCCACCCACATATTCATCTGATCCTATTCATTGTTCCTTTCCCTCCAAATTATTTTTTTGTGATCTTTTTAAAGTTTGACCATTGTTCAGAATACAAAAAGACTCGTGTTTCGAATTTACAAAAAATAGAGTATTACTTGAATCGATTGTTTGCATTTCTTCAAGTTGACAAAATATATTATTATTTTTTGTATACTATCCATCCATAATCCATTGTAATATTAAAATTCCATTTTTTTCTTCTTTTGTATTTTTTTCAAATCTAAAAACATTTTTTAAAATTATTTTTTTTTTAAATATTTTTTTCTTAAAGATCCAATTGTTTTGTTTTTTTTTGTAACAGATCTACTCCAATCAACCAAACTGTTCCCTAGGACCCCTTGGAAAATTATATTGGTAAATATTATTAATCTTTTTCATCTCTATATACCCAACAACCATTGCAAAAAGAATAATATTAAAAAGAATAAGAGTAGTTTGAAAAAAAATTTAAATATTAATAGAGAGATTTTTTTATTATGTTTTTTGTTATAAATATTAAATAGGAATGACTAAACAATTGTTTATATTTTTTATATTTGTTTTATTATTTAATTTAACATTTGGTATGCATAAAAGAGCTAAACTTTAATCTATAGAGATATTGACAAAAAGTTTTGTTTTTAATCTTTAGGATGTGACGGTCCAGATGCAGATACAAGTTTATTAAAATGGAGTGATCCGGCATCATGGCCAAATGGTCAATTACCAACAGCAGGTTCATTTGTAACCATTTCAAATGGTATTCTACTCGATATATCACCACCAGAATTCCAACAAATAAGAATTAAATCAACTGGTAAGTTGGTTTTCTCCTCTAAAAATGGACCACTTGAATTGGTTACTGGTGGTCTCCTTATTGAAGGTCGTTTAGATATTGGTAATGATGGTTGTCGTTTTACTGAAAGTGCAACTATTACTTTAACTGGTATCGATGGTAAATATAAAAAACGAAAATAACATTTTCTTTTATCTTTGTATCAATAATTTAATTTTTTAAATTTTCTTAGGAAAAGGATATTATGAAACACAATATGATTTGGGCAGAAAATTTATTGGTGTTTTACCAGGTGGAAGATTAGAATTACATGGATATTTAGCTTATCCAATTCCATCATGGGTTAATCTAAATGTAACTGCACCTGCTGGAACATCTTTGATTACTTTGAACCAAGATGTATCTGGATGGCCGGTGGGATCGCAGATTGTAGTTGGAGCAACCGATTTTGATTACACGCAATCAGAAGAAAACGTAATTGTTGCCTGTCCAACATGTGCATCCAACCAACTCCAACTAAAGACTCCACTCCAATGGTACCATTATGGTGCCATCACCTATGGTGTCGATCAACGTGCCGAAGTTGGTCTATTGACCAAAAACATCAAGATCCAAGGTCGTATGCAAGCCGCTTGTAATGGTAGTGCCTTGTGCAAGTTTTTCGACTTTGATACATTGGGAGGTCATCTCCGTGTGATTCTTGGTTTTGGTTCTGTCCACATTCAAGGTGCCGAATTTTACAAGATGGGTCAGACCTACAACCTCGGAACCTATCCAATCCATTTCCACATGTGCGGCGATGTCGACACGGGCGACTATGCTTCATGGCCCACTTTTATCAAGGATAATTCAATCCATCACACCTTGTCGCGTTGTCTGACTATCCACGGCACGAGTGGTTTGATTGTGGTAAACAACTTTGCCTTTGATGCTATTGGACATTGTTATTTCTTTGAAGATGCTTCCGAGCAAAGAAATTATCTCGATAGTAACGTCGGTCTGCTTACCCGAGCCGGCTACCTCTTGCCATCCGATCGTACCTGCGAGCTGTGTCTCTACCTCGCTCCCACCGACTTTAACGGCAACCCAACATCGTGTGGTGAGTGTCAAGCCGTCGCAACCTTTTGGGTCACCAATCCAAACAACATCCTCAAAAACAATGTCGCTGGTGGCAGTATCAACGCTGGTTTCTGGTACCTCTTCCCCGAGGGAGCATCTGGTCTCTCGCAAGCACTCTATCCCGACATTGCACCAAAATACACTGCACTGGGCGTCTTTTCCAACAACAAGGCTCATTCCAACGTCGATGTCGGTATGAATGTCGATCAAGCCCACCAGATTGTCCATCCAAACGCGCAAAACCCACAGCAATACCTGTCGATGACGATCCAGCGTTGGAAGCCACGTGTCGACCCCACCAACCCCGACTCGGCTCGTTCGACCGCCTACTTTTACCGATTCATCAGCTACAAGAACAAGTGGCGTGGATTGTGGGCCAGAGGTGGTGACATGGTCTTTGTCAACAGCCAGTTTGCCGATAATGCCATCGGTGTCACTCTTGCCAGCGAGGGTGTCATGCCCGCCGACCCAGGATCGAGCCAACAAATCATCGGATCAACCTTTGTAGGAGAGTCTGAGAATGTTGGTGCACCATACAATGGAATCAACATGTACAAGGGTCACACTATCCCCGCTTGGCAAGAATACAACCAAAAGGGATTCGAAGTGTATGATGGACCAGTTTCAGTGTCCTATTCTACATTTGTCAATTACAATTCCGATGGTGTTAGAAACATGAGTGGTATTGGATGGTTCTTGTACGATGATTGGATTCTCAATCCCAAGAGCAAGACATTTGGTCTATCATTTGTCAATAGTAACACTCGAGTCTACACGTATCTCACCAATGACGATGGTTCCAAGAATGAGATTATCCACGACGAAGATGGCTCGCTCACTGGTACGTCTGGCGCATCACTCGTACCAAACGTCCCCTACTTTTACTCGCCCAAATGTGTTGCCAACACACAGTGGAACAAGACAGTGTGCTATGAAAAGTTTAGTTCCATCTATGTCTACAATATGGATCTCGCCAACACGATCACTCCCTCTGGCACGTCTGGTATTGTTATGATCCGCGACCAATACAGTTTCTACCGTCACGTCATGTACGGTGTACCAAACTCTACACCTCGCAACACGTTTATGCCACTCGTCATGATTGGACGTACCTACACGATGCACTTTTTACATCCATCACCACCCAACCTCCGTTTGCAAATGACCAACTTTGACCAAGGCGACTCTGTCGTTGTAGGTGTCTGCTACCCCAAGTACGGTGTCTCTTTCTCCGTCAAGCGAAACGTCGTGCTCGGATGGCAAACATTTGCCACCACCATGGTGTCTGGCAAGACCATTGACGCTGTCAACAACGACGCTACCGGTATGACCTACTTTTACGACGCAACCACCGGTCTCTTGTTTATCAAGTTCATCCAACAAGGCAGCCGTACATGGAGCATGTACTGTCCCGACACTGGTTGCGAATCAGTCAACATTATCGCATCTGGATGGGCCGTTGGTACAAATTCAGGTGACTGCTCTGCCGATGCCTATGGCACTGGTCTCTATGTCAAAAAGGACTATGCCACTCGTGGTGGCTGCAACGGTGTACCAACATTAACCGTCGATGAATGTGGTGTCTGCGGAGGCAATGGAACTACCTGTTCCGAAGTCAAATCAGCAGGAGGTACCGCCAGCAACAACAACAACGTTGGTACCAACGCAGCTCCCTCCTCAACAACCAATTCTTTCTATTCACAATTTGGATTTGTTTTCATTTCAACCATATTATCATTTTTACTTTATTTCATAATATTCTAAACTTTTAAAAATAAAAAGATAAGATAGGTATACATATATTTTTAAAATAGATGAAGAAGAAGAAGTAGTTATACAAACCATTTTTAACGTTTTTTAGATGTTCCAAAGTTACTTGGTATTCCCATCATTTTCATCATTTTTGTTTCTTCATCATCTTCTTCTTCTTCTTCCTCTTGTTCTTGTTCTACTTCTTTTTCTTCTTTTTCTTCTGGTTGTTTAATATTATTATTTTCTTTAATATTTTCTTTAATATTTTTGTTGTTTCCATTATTATTATTTTCCTTTTCTTTTTCCAGTTGTTTACTATTATTATTATTAATATTATTATTTTTAGTTGATGTTGATGATCCAAAGTTACCTGGTATTCCCATTTGTTTCATTATTTTAGTTTCTTCATCTTCTTCTTCCTCTTCTTTTTCATCCTTTTCATTTTTAGTTGTTGTTGGTTCGTCTTCCTCTTGTTGTTGTTTCTTTTTATCTTGCATTGATTTCATTATTCTTTGATAGGCAGGTGTTTGAGCTTTAATATTATTTGTAATGACACTATTCTTTGTCAAAGAGCTAGTCGTTGATGAACCTCCTCCTCCTCCTCCAACAGTTGGAGCTTGTTTTTTAATTAATAAAGATTCCTTCCCTTGTTGTAATTTAGCTTGTACTTGTGATAGAGATGCTTGAGGTACATGCATACTACTACCTGATAATCTAGTATCTAAAAAAGAATATAACATATTTATATATTAGTACAATGATATCTTATTCTTTTGTTTCTTTCTTTCTTTCTTATGACATACGTCTTTTTCCATTAAAATGATCCAAGAATGTATTACTATCTTTAAAACCACGTTCACAAAGTTGACAATATAGACCACCTTGTTGATCAGCTGGTGTAACACCTTCAATGACAGTATTCTTTCCTAATCTACTCTTTAAATTCAAGTCTTGGTCTCTTGCCTTGTACAACACCAACTCTTCAGCTGGCTTTGCCTTTTTAAGTGATCGTTCAGCTGCATCATCGTCTTCATCTACCAATATACCAGCTTCTCTATCTCTTGCTCTTTGTTCATAGTATTCTCTATCCCATTTCTTTCTAAATGTACTATCTATAAAGTCTTTTTTATCTGACATTCTTATATATCTCTTCAAGTTTTGTTACAAACAAATGAATATTCTACAATGATTTTAATTTAGTTTTTAGTTTAATTATATAATTATTATCACAACTCGGGTCAGACTTAGTATGCAGTCTAAAATATGACAGATAATTTGTAGTTATATAGATAATAGAATGTAGAATGATGATCGAAAAGAATGAATGACCGAAAGATAGATAGCGGGAGGGGGAGTTCGATGAAGAGTGTTCAGTGAACATACCACACATTTAATTTAAAGTGCATCGGGATTTGGGACATGACACAAAAGATAAATTAAAAAAGCAATTTTGAGTAATCATTAATTAATTTACTTTCGAATATCTCTACAAGTAGAAACAAATAAAGAAGATGAGTAGTAATAATAATAATAATGGACAATCATCACTAAGTTATTTAATACCTAAATCAACTATACAAGAACAAGTAAGAGCATGGTTAAAAGAGGATATACCATCATTTGATTATGGAGGTGCTGTTGTTGGTGACAAGAAAGAGGTTGCCTATCTTTTAGGTAAACAACCTGGTGTATTCTCTGGTACTGTATTCTTTAATGAAATATTTATCATGTTGGATTGTGAGTATGTATAAGACAAGATAAAAAGAAATAGATATGTATGTTTACTTTTTTTTGTTTACTCTAGAGTAAAATGGATAATAAAAGATGGAGAAGAAATGAATGGAGATGCAAGTAAACCACAAAGATTGGCAGAGGTGACTGGATCAGTACGTAATATATTGATGGGTGAAAGATTGGCATTGAATATTATATCACGTTCAAGTGGTATTACAACACGTGCAAGTGAGATGAAGAAATTGGTCGATGCAAAGTGTTGGAAGGGAACGTTGGCTGGTACGAGAAAGACAACACCAGGTTTTAGATTGGTTGAGAAATACGCATTGTTGGTCGGTGGTGTCGATGGACATCGTATGGACCTCTCTTCAATGATCATGCTCAAAGACAATCATATTTGGAGTTCGGGTAATATCACCAACGCTGTGCACAGTGCCAAATCAGTTGGTGGGTTTTCAATCAAGGTAGAAGTTGAGTGTCGTAGTGAAGATGAGGCTTGCGAGGCTATGGAAGCTGGTGCAGATGTCATCATGTTGGATAATATGGTACCTGCCGAGTTGGCAACTGTCTCTCTATCACTTAAATCAAAGTATCCACATATTGTCATTGAAGCTAGCGGTGGTATTGTCCCAGCCACCCTAACTAGATATGCTCTACCAACCATTGATATCATATCTATGGGTTCTCTAACTCAATCAGTTCCACATATTGACATTAGTTTAAAAATTCAAAAGAATTTACATCATCAACAACAATAAATAGAATAGAAAGTATAGTACTATAGTTATATAATTTTAGATTATTATTATTAGTTGTTATTAATATTATTTATTCCTTATTTTCAAATGGAGTTGGTTCACTGCCACTATTATTATTGTTTTTTTGTTGTTGATATCTCTCCCTCTTTGGGATATAGGGTTTTCGATCACTATTCTTTATAAATACAAAGTCTTTTAATTTCTTTTGACTATATTCATTTCCGTCTCTTTCAACTTGTTCATTATTATTATTATTGTCTTCAGACTTTTCTCCTCTTTGTTGATATCTATCTCTCTTGATATATGGATTGTAGCTATCATGGTAACCAGCATCAGCACCATAAGGTTTCTTATGGGAGGCAAAGTCTCTTGTCTTTTTTCCATATCGAAGAGATGTGTGATCACTGTTTTCATTTTCGGTTCTTTCAAATTGTTGTCCATCTTGTTGTTGTTCATTAATGTCTCCCTCTCCTTCTCCTTCACCTTCACCTTCTTCTCCTTCTTCTCCTTCTACTACTTCTTTTTGGATTATTCTATACTCGTGATCAGGTTCAAAAACCCAAGGGATCTCACCTTGAACCTTTGGGAATTGAACCTTTATGTTGTTTTCGAGACACCATTGCTCCAATATTTTCTGGACTTTCAAGTACTCGTCTTCATCCTTGGCCATTTGATTGAGTGTTTGTTGTGTGCCAGGATAGAATTTCTTGAGAAACATGGCCCAATAGTCACGACGATGAGTCGATCCAAAATCAAATTTCAACTTTCTAATACGGCCTCCAACAGCATCGATATTGCTGCGAAGCGTATCAAACTTGTCGTCGGTGAGATTGTACTCTGCTTGGAATCGCTTGGCAATCTCTGATTTTGGATAGACGATCGAACACATTAAACTCTGTGTAACCGAACTCTTCTCATACTCTGCCAAGAATGGATTACACATATCACTCGATGCTCTAAACCCAATGATTGCTTTAACCGGGTGATATAATTTAGTTATATTTATCGTCTCTAACAAGATTAAAGAATGAACATTAGTTAACAACAATCAAATCAACTATATTTATCTCTTTACTATCTCTCTCTCTTTTGAGTATTTACTTGTTGCCATGATGATGATGATTATTAATAATATGATCAAAGATCACGAATAATGCAAATGAGTCGATTCATTTGAGACGAAGAATGAAAAGGGCTGTTTGTTCAAACTATAAAAGAAAATTCATAAAAAAAAAAATTTACAGAGCTATAAGTGTAAACTCATTGATCATCATAGTCTTTGTATTCATATCTATCTATCTATATCTTATCTATATCTATTTACTAGATTGAAGAGAGAGAGAGAGAGAGATGTCATCGTCATTAATAGAAAGAACTAGAAATCTACATGAATCAATAGAGAGATACGAATTGTTGATTGTAGGTGAACAGGCAAACGAACCAAAGACTGTCAAAGAGTCAATCATTCAAAGTCATAGAGTCAATCACTATTTAGAGAGTTCAATAGAATGTGCAAAGGAATTGGGAAAGATTTATAAAGATGAAGATCAGTATGTTATAACAAGAGAAGACAGTAGATGTAGAGAGAGAACAAAATACTTTCAATACTAATCATCTTTTTCATTACCTCTCCTCTTACTATTTAGAACAAGAAAGAATGAAATAAGTGGTATCACTGGAACAGGTAATACAGTTTATAGTAACTTTTATGAGAATCTTAGAGAGATTAAAGAGTATCATCGAAAATATCCTAATCTTCCTGTTGAAAATCTTAATACTACTTTATATTATACTCGTAAGTAGAATAGAATATAATAGAATAGAATAATGTACAGTCAGCTAACTAATATTGATTTAATTTAGCACAAATATCATTCACTGGTAATGAATCATATGGTAGATTCTTGGATTTAAATGAAATCTATAATCAATATGTTAATGTACCAAAGGTCAATAGAATCGATTATGTCAAATATCTTACTACCTTTACATCATTCTCTTATGATGATATTAATAGATTAGGTATTCAAAAATATAAATTGTAAGTAGAAATATATTTAAAAAGAAAAAGAAATGAAAAGAGATGAGATATTAATATAAATATTCCATTAGATATATAGAATCATTATATGAATATTTAATATCATTTTTAAAGAAAACACAACCATTATTTGATTTACAGAAAACATTGTCTGATATGGACAAAGAGTTTGAAGAGAAATGGTCAAATCAAGAATTTACATCAAAGAATGATGGTGTAGTTGTTGCTGTTGAAAATAATAGTGAAAATAATAATAATGGTAATGGTATTGGTGGCGATGATGATGATAGTAATGGTAAAGAACCAAAAGATAATGACAAGAATGGTGAAGAGGAAACAACAAAGGAAGAAGAAAAGAAGAAAAATGATACAAAAACAACAACGATCGTTTCATTGGATTGTAAAGCATGTAAAAAATCATTTACATCTCAAGGAGTATTTAATAGTCATCTTAAAGGAAAGAGACATATAATGCTTCAAGAAATATTGGATAAGAATTCAGAGACTAGTAAGAGTTCATCTGGCATGTTACCATTCAAACCAATTGTTCAAAAGGAATTTTATATCTCTAAATTTGGTGATATGTTGTCTGATCAAATCGAAGATTCAAAAGAAAATACTCTTAAAAAACAATCAAGAACTTTAAAGGAAATTGAGGTAAATATTTACTTATAGATATCTATATATATGTATATAACTAACTTTGGTTTTAATTTTAGGAGGATTTATACGCAGATGAAACAGTTTTGGATGACGATGAAATGGATGAAGAACCATTGAAATTAAGAATTGCAAATTATCCAGTCGATTGGAGTGGTAAGCCAATTCCATATTGGGTATACAAATTAAATGAGTTGGGTATTGAATATAAATGTGAAATCTGTGGTAACCAATCATATTGGGGAAGAAAAGCATATGAAAAACATTTTACTGTAAGTTCAAAGAACATCATTAAAATCATATGATTGTCGAAACTTATATTTATTATTTTATTCCCTTTAGGAATCACGTCATGCTTATGGTATGTCATGTATTGGAGTACCAAATACAGTTCATTTTAATCATATTACAAAGATCAAAGATGCAATAGAATTGTATAAAAAGATTAAAGATCAGAATGCGACTGCTGCATTCAATGCCGATCGTGAGGAAGAATATGAAGATGAAAATGGTGATGTCATGAACAAAAAGACATATGAAATGATGGTCAAACAAGGTTTGATCAAAAAGAGAAAACATTAAAATTGGTATTTATTATATTTATCTAAACAACAAAGGTACATTTAATAATAATAATAATAAATAACCCCCAAGTATCATATTTACTACTTTATTTTTGGTCATCATAGAACTTTAGCTTTGGTCAAACAACAAGTATCCTACCCTCTCCTCTCTTTTTAATTGGTAATATTATTATTAATTGGTTTGTTGTTGTTTATATTAAATACTTAATATTAACAAATTATTTGTTTTGTTTTTTTAATTTATTTATATATATATATATATTTTGTGGTGAGTACTTAAAGGGACAGACCACAATACGGGAATTATGCAATCAAAAACTTTAGAACTTATGTATTATCTAATAAATTTTAAAGCAGATCTTTAGAGACTTTTACCAAAATTTCCCTATACTTTCAGGGTTCAAGGTTGTGAAACCATTGACAAAGCGGAGCATGTCTGAAAGATTCGATATTTTGACCAAAAATATCTTTGTTTTTTGGAAAGAAGAAAGATAAATATCTAAGTACCCATATTATTTAAACCTGCACAACGATCATTTCATCATCGTAAGAATAATTCATTACAAATAATAATAAATAAAGAGAAAATGTCCACAGAAGTAGCTGCAGATTGGAGAACCACCATCACCACAGGTGAGCGCCAAAATATGACTTACAGAGTGTAAGTATCTTAGAAGTAGTCTGTCTTAAAGGGTCAATTTATATTAACACTATTATTGTTTTACCTTTTTTTGTTATATCTAGATATGTAACCTGTCAAAAAAGATACCCAAGTAAATCGGCAGATGAATGTAAAGTTACTGCTGGTGATCTTGAGAATGGAGTATACAAAGATCCAAAGGTTGACACTGTGAGTACTATCAATCTATTCATCATTTCAAAAAAGTATCTCAAGATACTAACTTTTATTTTAATTGTTTGATTTAGAAACGTCTTTATGTTGAAGGAATCCAAGCTATTGTAAAAGAATTACAACAAGGTACTGCCTAAATAAAAATAAATAAATAAACGATCGATTTGTACACTTTCTAAAAACAACAAGTTGGTAGCTATGAATATCTTTGGTTACATGTTACTCAAAAAGGAAATATTCCCATCCCCTATGAATGTGGCTATCTTTTGGTTGTCGCGTCACTATTGGATGGTCGTGATTTCGTTGAAGATGTTACCTTCAATATTGAATGATCATTCGTCGCGTTTAGATCTGACGGCCAATCAACCAACTCTTCGATTGATTGATACAAATCCCAACTCTGATCTTTGCACCCCTACATAAAAAAAAAAAGTTGATGTTATTGGCTCAGCACACAAAAAAGATCAACAAACAGTTAACTTGCTTCATTTGTTTTATGTCTGTCGATACCCCAAAAGACATCTCGATGGGTTGTTGTCATCGCAAGGGAAGGCCCCACACCCAAGCTAAGGTCGACCCCGGTATATACAACTTTAATGACCTGACCGACCCCCCACACGATCATTGAAATATCGCTATCGTTATCCGACGATCATCTCTCTCTCTCATGACCATCATGGTTGTCACGTGACACTTGCAAGGGACTGTTACACGTGATCGATAGTTGTTGGTAGTGTTCAACCAACCGATGATTGATAACATTTGTATGTGTGACGATGACACGACTTTTAACGTCAAGATAAATGATATCTTCACTTCAACTGTCACACGACACATTTAAATAGCAGTTCATTTGGATAAAAGACAGTACTACTACTATTATTTCTAAACTTATAGATAGATAAAGAAAGAAGAAAAGAATGGATTTTGGAGTTCTTATAGATGCATTTGAAGAGGTTGTCGAGATTGCTGTTTCACCAGTGACTGCTACTATTGATGCTGTGACCGGTCTCATTATCGGACAACCAACATCAGAGACAACCACACCTCCACCAACCACTCCTACCACCCCTGGTACAACTACTCCACCAGTCAAGCCACCAACTACTACTACCACTCCACCAACCAAACAACCAGGTGTTGTCAAGGCCAACTCAATGGGACAACAAAAGTTCTTCCTAAGCTATGGCCGCAAGTCTGATGAAATCTTCAACGATGAAAAGCATTCTGTTCCACCATTGAAAGCTGCCGCCGCCGCACCAAAGGCTGCTGCCACCAAAACAACTGCTGCCGCTGCTGCTCCAGCCACCACCACCAGACCAAAGAGAGATGCCGCCAATGATGAACTCCTTCCACCATGGGACGATAATTTCATCATCCCTCCTTTTAACCCAGACTTGCAACTCACCGATGCTCAAGGTATCAAGATTTTACATCATTTATCTGTCTTTGATGAAAATAATAAGAATGTATGTATATTTATATTTTTGTAAAATAAGATATCAATTTATTTAACTATTGTATTATAATTAGATTGTTGCCGAGAATGCTGACAAGTACTTTTTGGAGAATGTACTACTCTACTCTGATCCAAACAATGAAATTTTGGAATTATTTGGTCTCACCAAACCAAAACTCCATCAATCACGTTTGGATATTTGTGATGAACCAAAGGTTACTCTCTGGTATTCCTACTATTCATTCTACTATCTACCATTGATGGTTGCCAATGGAAACTATTCAGTCTCTAAAAAGATTAATGCTGCTCTTTGCAAGGAAAAAATCCTTGATCTTGAAACTAATCAAGCATATGATGTATGTATTTTAATTAAAAAAATATTAATATATATTATTATTTATATTTTACTAAACTTTCTTATTATTCTTTTTACCTATTTATTTTTAAATAGAATACATATGCTCATCAACGTATGTTACTCTTTAAGTATGCATATTGTGAAAAGAACCAATGGATGATTAAATTCCAAAAGAGTGCAGAGAGATGGTTACCACTTTTCATGAATTCTTTAAAGAGTCAAGACAATTTGAGCAACAAGGTTACAAAATTGAATGAGGAAAGAACTACTGAACAATTCCAAGCCTACGTTGTCAATACCAAAGCTACACTGGATATTCTTGACCCAACCGGAGCTGCCTCTCGTAATTTCATTAATCAACTTGTTGGTTCATCCCTATTTATTAGTCTAGATAACAAGGATGCCATCAAGGACAACAAGGTCACCAGAAATATCATAAAAGACACTGTGGAACGTGTAATTGAACAAATCCAAACTCCAGGTGTCGATTTGTCAGAAGATCAGGTCACAATTGGCAAGGATTTCATTAATCAACTTGGGTCAACCGCAGGTGCTTGCAAGGAACTCCAACAAGCAATTTTAGCTACCCAATTCGAGTCTTTGGAAGGCCCAGATATCAATAAGGGCTATGTTCAATATTTTGAAGATATCGGTAAACGTGTCATGAATAAGCTTCAAGTACCAGCTGCCAAATTGGATAAATTCTGTACTTGGTATGTATAAACATATATATATATGAAAATAATATCAATCCACTAATTATTTATTTATTTTTTTATTCTAGGTTTGGTCGTGTCTTTAAGACTTGTCAAGTAGCAGTAATAATCTATTCAATTGTAAATTGGAACAAGTTGGAAACCTACAACAAAGCATTCTTTGTTGCTGATATTCTCAATATTGGATTAGATTTGGCCAATGCTGCCACTGAAAAGGTTTCAGAAGGTTTCAAGACTATTGGATCTTTGATTGGTGTTGCATTAAACAAGCTACCAAATGGTGACAAGGTACTCACTATCATGTCAAAGATATTCACAGCAGATTTGGCAGAGTTTATTACTACCAGATTCAGTCCAATCCTTATGTTTGTGGCTGCCATTAAAAGCATTTATGATGCAGTTCAAGATGCAAAGGTACTATTAATTTAAATTTGATTAAATTTAATATTTATTAATTACTAATTAATCTATCTCTTTTATGTTGTAGGTTGGTAACATTGGTGCTTTGGTAGTTGACACTATCTCTGCTGGTATTGGAATTGGAGTTGCCTTGGGTATCATGTTGGGTTGTGCTTGCGCAGGTTAGTATAATAATGAAAATAATAATACCAAGGTTTAATTATACTTATTTCTTCTTTCTATTGATCTTCTAGGACCCCTATGTCTCCTTGCAGGTGCAGTTCTATTAACTCTTGCATGTATCAAGTACGTTTTCTTTACTCCCACAAATGACCAAATCTTTTTTGATAAGTTGTACAGTGGTCTTAAACTTTAATAAACATTTATGAGATGAATATTTAATTAAATAAATATTTCATAAATTTAATAATACATTATTATTCCAATTTTAAGAACAAATGATTTCGGTATAACGTTTAATGGTAATCTTGGAAAAATATATGACGATGTAGAAAATCGATACCTTTTTACTCTGAAATTTGTTCCAGTTGAATTTATTTGGTTGGATAGAATGGTTATTTAATTATTGATTCTTTGGTTGGATAGAAAGGATTACAATGGACGACCGATAACATCTAAACCTTTTTCGCTGGCTTCAAAATTCGAGGTGATTGGATGATAGGATTCAGAGTTGGAATAACAATGGGAGAATCCATAGTATTGAGTGGCACCTGGGAAGTATGGGTTCGAATTTCTGGCATAGACGGCAACCAAACTGAATGGGTTGATGAGTTGACCCTTGACATTGGTGTATCCAAAGATAGTGTAGGTACCTGGGTAATATAGTGTGCCCAATCCGGTAAAGGTATTGTCAGCAGGATTTATTGTACAGTTTACTAGGAAGGTGTACGATGGGGTGTTTCCAAAACTGGTAAACTGGTTGTCAGTTGTGGTAACATTGACAATGGTTGCTGAGCCACATGGTTGGTTTTCTTGGTGCCAAATCCAGTTACCAGGGGTAATTCCTATGTGAAATAAGAAGAAACAGAGGAGATAGATAGATAGATAGATAGATAGCTTAGTTTAAATGTTTTTTATTTGTATTTCAATTGACTCTCCGTCTGGGTACCAAACACTATACCGGCATCAGAGATTGCAAAAAAATAAAAGAGTATCGAGATAACTGTAATGATTTTGTACATCTTTAAAGATATATATGTCAATGATTATTGTTTTGTTGATTAAATTTGATGATGAAGTATATCTCAACCGCCAATGTTCATATTTATACATATTAAAAGATTTACACTGGGATATTATTGATATGATCAAAAAGATTGGAACAAAAATCTGGGGCACAGATGTCTTTGACATCATCAGGAACCAAAATATTCTAATACCCAAAGAATGATCGAGCATCGAAAAGCTTGCAATAGAAAGTGATCGATTTGGAAGAATGTATTCTATTACCACAACTCTATATATTCTCCGATGTGTGTATTCTTACAAAATTAAACATTTACTTGTAGGTGAAAGAAACAATAACAGTGTTAATATATATTGACCCTTTGTGCAATGTGACATGACACACTACTTCTATGTAGGTCATATTTTGGCGCTCGCTTGTATCGTTCTCCAATCTGCTACCTCTATCCAACATTTTCTTATTCTACCTGCAAAAGATGGAGATATTCCATCAATGTCTTGTATTTACTATAAAATCCATTGATACTATACTATACTATACTATTTGTTGTTACACTCTTATAGTATGCTCCATAATATTAACACATTTAATGGTACCAAACTACCCTCAGATTTTGTGATAGTATATGTGATTTATGTGTACGATCGTTGTATGATATATTTTTTTTTCTCAAGATGTACTTGAGAATAAGATTAGTGATCGGCCAGGCTGCTCTGTTTACGACACATGTGCAATCCTGCAACCAAATTCTCTGAAACCTTGAACTTTCACTAGTTTTCGAAATCGATGAACTACAATAAATTTAATTTATTTTTTTAATTGATTTTTGTTAACCCCTTCTTCTTTTTATGCATCGTCTCTCCACACCACTCAGTTCAGCAACAGCACAACAACGCATTCATACAAGCAGAAGATAGATATATATTCATTCATTCATTCATACTTTCTTTGCCATTGTCGTCGTTTGTTTTTTTTTCAATTCATTAATCATCAGGCATACTTCTCCTTCCTTATAAACTAGACTAATAGTAATAATAATAATAATAATAAGAGATGAGTAACCAACAAAGAGGAGGTTTACAGCCACCAGCCCAACAACCACAACAAGGTCTTCAACCACCAGCTCAGCAACCACAACAAGGCTATGGAGGATACCCACCACAACAACCGGGTCAGTACGGTCAACAACCAGGTCAATATGGTCAATACCCACAACAACAACAACCAGGTCAGTATGGTCAACAACCACCATACGGAGGATACCCACCACAACAACAGCAACCCGGTCAGTATGGTCAACAACCACCATACGGAGGATACCCACCACAACAACAACCAGGTCAATATGGTCAATACCCACAAGCCGGTCAATACCCACAAGCAGGTCAATATCCACCACCAGGAGGTGCTCCAGGCCAATACCCACAAGCAGGTCAATATCCACCACCCCAACAACAACAACCGGGACAATACCCTCAAGCCGGACAATACCCACAGGCTGGACAATACCCACAAGCAGGTCAATACCCAGCACCAGGAGGTGCTCCCGGTCAATACCCACAAGCAGGCCAATATCCAGCTCCAGGTGCTGCTCCAGTCACTGCCCCAGGTGGTGGTGTTAGCTTGGTCAAGTTTTTCGACCACGTACATCATCGTTATGCCCGTGATTACACCCTCATCATTGATCGTAGTGGGTCAATGGCTGGTTCACTCTGGCGTGAGGCATCTACTGCAGTCCAAAAGATTGCTCCATTTGCTTGTCAAGCTGATCCGTAAGTAACAAACATTCATATTAATATTTTTAGAATCCAACAACCATTAACATTCCTATTTATTTTTTTTTGAATGAATGCAGAGATGGAATTTCACTTTATTTCTTTAGTTCACCAAACAAACATACTAAATACAATAACATCAAGGATGGAAAGGTTGTCATGGACTTGTTCAAACGTGAAAGCCCAAGTGGGACAACCGATCTCTATGGTGTGTTGAACATGGCCATCACTGAACATTTCCAAAACAACAAACCAGAAACCATCCTCATCATCACTGATGGTATTCCAAACAATACTACCGATGTTAAAAACTTACTCATTCAAACTGCCAATAGAATTGCTCGTGATGAAGATCTTTCAATCTCTTTTATTGTATGTCAAAAAAGAAAAGAAAAGAAAAGAAACTATATTTATTTATCCAAACACTTTTTTACTAACCAAATCAATCAATCAATCAATCAATTTAGCAAATTGGACATGATCGTGATGCAACTAAATTCTTAAAGTCTTTGGATGATGAATTAACCCGTCAAGGTGCTAAATTTGATATTGTCGATACTCTTACCTCTGATGAAATGCATGGTATGAGCTTTGAACAATTAATCGAAAAATCAATCAATGATTAACTCCAACCCAAGAAAGAACAACAAACCAAACAATACATTCTTCTCTCTCTAAAAATTGAAGAAAGTATTATATTCCCTTAACCAATGATGTACAATAAATAATCTAAAAATCAACTACTAAAGTATACTTTACTGCTGATCAAAAAACATTGAATCGACATAATAATATTTAATATATCTTATCTTGAACCCTAAAAAGGTTGACTTTTCTTTTTCATGGGTGTCTACCCCCCATTTGCCACCAACCCCTCTATATCACCACCACTGTTTTGTACCACACAAACAATATTAATTAAAATAAAAAAAATTAAACAAGCACATTAAAAAATAATTTTTGAAAAGAAAGGTTGGAGAGAATAATAATCAACACAATAGATAGATAGATAGAAAGAAGAAGTTATATTTATAAATTTATAAATTTATTCCAAACTCTTTAATTCTTTATATTATTATTATTTTATCCTGTGGAAATTCAAAACAAATAGAGCTAGAGAAAAGGAGATAGAGATGCAAGTGAAATTTATTTATCCAGTAACGACACCAAACAATGTCATATTGAAGAGTAGAAAGACAGGTTATATACAAAGGAAGTTTTCCGATGTAATGCCACAACAACTAGCTCAATATGTACCGCAAGATGAATTTAGTCGATCGGTGCAATCACTAAACAGAGTATCAAAATACACAGTTTGGGGACAAATGGCAACACTGATACCAACCATTATTTGTGGAGCTATTCTATTTGGTGTTGGTGAAGGAAATAGATCTAGCAACTCTACTCCAATCTATTGGTATATTGGTATCATTGTATTAGGTATCTCTTTTATTTGGTTATTATTCATCTTACTTACTTTAAAACAAAAGGTAAAAAATCAAAGAAATTTAATATTTATCTGATTTATCAATTTATTAATTATTTTATGTTTTGTTTCTAGTTTTTAAGAAATCTATCATTACAAGTAGCAAGTGAACATACAAAATATTTTAACAAGTATGCAATTGGATGGTCACTTCGATATGTTGAGTTTCATTCACCAAAGAAAAATACAAAGAGATTAAAAGTATGGTGTGAGTTGGCACTTCCAAGTGGAATGGCTGCTCAACAACCTGTTATTGTTCAACCCAATAACTACGCAGGTCAACAATTGGGAGGAGTTTACATCCCCATGACCCAATTCCATGGTCAACAACACCCTCTAGTTACTCAATATCAAGGACATGGACAAGCTATTCCAATGTATACAACACCACAACAAGGAGGATATCCTCAACAACAACATCATCATCAACTACAACAACAACCACCAATCAATCCAAACTCTGGAATACCATATACAACCATTCCAATTGATGCTTTACCAAACAACAATAACAACATACATAATCACGACCCTGTAAATTTAAATAAACAGGGCTGAAAAGATGATCTTTTTTAAATATTAATATTAAATCATGATACAATTACAACAAAGGTAATATTAAATATATCATTAAATACAATACAAATAAATATTTGTTTTTTTATACAATTATATAATTGTTAAAATTTGACTCTTTAATTATTTATTCTTCACTTGACAAGTATGGGTACTTCCAAGTGTTGATTGGTAAAAAGTTTTCTTTGATGGTACGAGCAGAGACCCAACGCAAGAGGTTCAAGTAAGCACCAGCCTTGTCATTGGTACCAGAGGCACGAGCTCCACCAAATGGTTGTTGACCAACTACGGCACCGGTACACTTGTCATTAATGTAAAAGTTACCAGCAGCATTCTTGAGGATATGTGAAGCAGTATCAACAGCATATCTACATTTGGCAAAGATAGCACCAGTCAAAGCATATGGTGAAGTTTGATCACAAAGTCTCAACTATTAGAAATTAGAAAAGATAAAGATTATTAGTAACAGAGTATAGAGAGAATGAGTTGTTGGATTTTAGAAATTAATATTATATGATTTGTTTAGTTTGAGTCAGACATATCCATTTTTAAATGAATCGAAAGAGGGTATAATCAAAGTTATTAATACGGCTCTTCTTGGTAGTCATCATTAAAAACCATTAAACCATATAATAATAATATAAAATCCTTTTTTTTTTCTATCTTTTTAATTTTACTTACAGTTTCTTCATATTGATCATCTGGATAAACATAGACAGTTAATACTGGACCAAAGATTTCTTCTTCCATTGATTTGTACTTTGGAACCTTGGCTTGAATGATGGTTGGTTCGACAAACCAACCGACAGAGTCATCACAGTTACCACCGACGATGATTTCAGCGTCTGGGGAGGCCTTGGCGTGGTCAATGTAGCTCTTGATATTGTTGAACGAGTTCTTGTCAATGACGGCAGAGACAAAGACGGAAAAGTCGTCCGATTGACCTTGCTTCATTTGCTTGATATTGTCGACGAGCTTGGTACGGATTTCATCCCACTTGGAGGCTGGAATATAGGCACGAGAGCAGGCAGAGCACTTTTGACCTTGGTATTCAAACGAGGCACGGAGAGTGTTAAAGACAAAGTGATCGACATCTGCAGAGTTGTGGAGGAAGTGGAAGTCCTTTCCACCAGTCTCACCTACGATACGTGGGTAACCACGGTACTTGCCAGCAGCCAAGTTTTCAGCAGTCTTTTTGTAGATACCGTTAAAGACACCTGTGCTACCGGTGAAATGGAGACCGCCAAAGTTGACGTCATTGATGAGAGTGTCTCCGATAAGACGACCCGATCCTGGAAGGAATTGAATGACACCATCTGGGAGACCGGCATCACGGAAAGCCTTGAATACGATATAGTTGGAGAGGATGGCAGTGGAAGCTGGCTTCCAGAGGACAACGTTGCCCATCAAAGCTGGTGATGATGGCAAGTTGGCACCGATGGCGGTAAAGTTGAATGGTGAGATGGCAACGACGTAACCTTCGAGTGGACGGTACTCGACACGGTTCCAGCAGCCGACAGAGTTGGCAGGTGGTTGTTGGGCATAGATCTCTTCAGCATACTTTGGGTTGAAACGGAGGAAATCGATGGTTTCAGCGGCGGCATCAATCTCGGCTTGCCAGACAGTCTTTCCTTGACCGAGCATGGTGGCAGCAAGTACTTCATAACGGTACTTGGTGTTGAGGAGATCGGCAGTCTTGAGGAAGATGGCAGCACGGTCTTCAAATGGCAAAGCCTCCCACTTGGTCTTGGCTTGGAGTGCACCTTGGACGGCTTCCTTGAGGAGACCCTCGTTGGCTTGATGGAAGGTACACAAGACGTGCTTGTGGTCAGAGCATACCAATTGCTTGGCAATGTCTCCAGTCTTGATTTCCTTTCCATTGACGATACATGGTACTTCAATGGTTTCAGTACGAAGACGTTTACATGCGTCTCTTAATAACTTTCTTTGAACCGATCCTGGTTCATAGTTAATCTAAATAAAATATATATAGAGAATGATTGATTAAATAATTATGATGACATTATTATTATTATTATATAAAATAAATATAAAATATATGAGTTGATCATTCGTTTCGTTCGTTTGTGTAAGAGACACAAAGACAAAAAAAATAGAAAAAAAAAAATTAAAAAAAAATGAAAAAAAAACTTTGGTCTCTCTGCATCAAGTTGTGTAAATTTCTGTGTCTGCGTCTATGTAAATTTCTATTCTTTGCTTGCCCAAACCAAACCAAAACTTTTGTTCTTGATGATGATGAGAACTTTGTAAAGACATCACCAACAACTAAACAGAGTTTTTTTGTTGATTGTTGAAGATCTACGTAGTAACATTGCTGTTGATTGATTGATTGATTGATTTATGTGATGAACTGCTGATAATGATTATGATTATGTCTTACCATTGGCTCATTGTATGGCTTTGGGATAGATGCTCTTGAAAACGATGACATTGTTCTTCTGATAAATAACATGAATAATGGCAAAACAATAAAAAGTGTTTGTTGATTAATAAATGAGCAGCAAGTTCACTTTCGAAAGAACAAAAATCAAAAAAAATCAATAAATAATAATCTTCTACTGATTCTGTTTTCCCCAAACACGTTTATCAACAACACACTCTTACCTAAAACAGACATACGTTTATCAAAATAATAATATTAATAATATCAAAAATAAGAGTTTGGACCAATCATAATATTTAAATAAAATAAACTAAAAATTACTTGTACCTATTTATCCTCTTTGGGAATTATTCTTTTTTTAAGTAATAATAATAATAATATTAATATGTCTATTTGTTTTATGGTACTATAGAATATATATATATAGTATAAAGTGCAATCTAATCAGAGTTGAGTTGAGCAGGGGAGGGGGGGGTACCCGAAAAAAGAAAAAAAGAAAATTGTACTTTCAAAGGAGGAGGGATGAGTACGTTGATTCATTCGAAAATCGATGTTTGTCTCATTCTTTGCAGGCAGCTCTCTAGAATAGATATCAGATTGTAGATAGAGAAAGAGGAGGAAGAAGAAGAAGAAGAAGAAGAAGAAGAGGAAGGGAAGGAAAGGAGAAAAGGTAGTAACAACATGAATTCAATCAACATGTTGCATCCTATGAACAACAGCAATAACAATAACAATGAACTGTTAGTTGATGACATGGGTACTAGTCCACCTGGTTCATCGTTTCTAACCTTTAAAGCAGGTCCTAATAACAACACCTATCTTCAACATCATCAACATAGTAATAGCAATGACAGCAGTGGCGGTGGCGGTGGTGGTAGTGGTAGCAGTAACAGTAGTATTGCCTCATCTTCTGGAGGTGGTGCTCTCAACAACAACAAGACATTGACATCAGGATGGTATGAAGCACCTCTATTTGATACTGGCTTTATCTCTTTTCTCAAATCTGAAGAGTTTAGTGATCTAACAATCATATCTGATGGTAAACAATATCATCTGCATCGTGTCATTTTGGCTCATTCTTCAAAATATTTATCTGATTATTTTGATATTGGAAATAATCATAATAATAATAACAACAACAACAACGGAAATAATAATAATGATAGTGATAATAATAATTCAACCTATTTAATTAAAATTGATAATAATACATATGAATTAAAAGGACAATTTGTGGAATACTTTGATCAAGTGGTTGGATACATGTATGATGGTAAAATTGGTTTAACGCAACACAATTCATTGCCGATACTGTCATTGTCGAGTACTCTACACATCAAAGCTCTGAAACGAGAATGTACATTTTATCTAACGAGATCGATCAACAAGGAGAACGCATTCCATATGCTACACAAAGCAATTCACATCAATTCAGAGGATTTGATCACTAAATGTATAACTGTCATTTGTAAACATTTCAATCAAATCATTCAACCTCATTTCTCTGCCATCTTTTTAAATCATCATATTAATCATAACAATACTAGTAGTAGTAATGGTGGTATATTGAGTGATTCAGTTGATAGTTTATTACCATCAATCAATCGAACAAATATTCACCATAATAATAATAATAATAATAATCAACAAGACTCAGAATTTGAAAATGATCAACATCTCATTTCAGCTTCAACTGGTTCTGATATCGATCAAGATGATGATGACAATAATAATAATAATAATAATAATATAACAATATCTACTAATAATAATGTACAACAACAACAACAAACTTTACCACTATCAATTAATAATAATTCAAATGTAATAATGAATACATTACATTTACAAAATGTAACAAAGATGGTACCATCACCAGTACCATCACCATCATCTGTACCATCGTATTTGGCACAATCCAATAGCAACGATAAATCATTAAATATTACAACTATTCATACGGTACCAGAGTTACTTTCATTGTCTGTGCCAATCATGATTCGATTGATGCGTCAAAATAACTTGTCCGTTTCAAATGAAGCCATTGTATACAAGACCATTGTTAAATATATTCATGCCAATCGATCGACACTCAACGAATCTGATATTGCCTCGTTGTTTGAGGTTGTCCGTTTCCCACTATTCAACTACCAACAATTGGAAGAGGCACAAGAAAATACACTCATTCCAAAACATCTTATCACCGAAGCACTCCTTTTACGTTTAAAGATGCATGAAGGTCCAAAGACAACACCACCAGCACCACTCGATTTAACGGGATCGAGTTTTACAGGTACCAGTAATGGTGGTGGAATACTCTCTTCATTGGCAGCTGCTGCCTCTTCTACTTCACCATCTTCATCACAATTGTATAATCGATCGGCAACAGTATCAAATAGTAGTGATGGTCCAGGTGGAGTGGGAGTAGGCGGAGTCATACTACCAGGGATGGAATTTGACAATCAATCAATGAGAAAGACACCAAGAGCAGCTTATGCTATATCATTGGAATATAAACACGATTTTGATACTTGTGGTGTATTTTATTATATTGGTACTAATGGATACAAGGAGGAATGGAGTAATCCTGCAATGCGTGGTCGTGTACGTGTTACCTCTTCATCGATTGAAAAGGGAAGTGTTACGGAGTGCGTTGGACGTAATCCAAGTGAATGTTGGTCGATGGATGTACCCGCATCGTGGATAGCTATTAATTTGGGGTCTAGTCGTACCATGGTTCCCACCTATTACACCTTGCGTCATGGAGGCAACAGTAAAGCTGATTGTCTTCGAAACTGGACACTACAGGGATCAATGGACAGCAAGAATTGGACGGTTCTATCAAGACATAGCAACGACTGTTCTCTCAATGGTAATTTCAGTACATTTACATGGCCCATTCTCAACTGTACGCAAGCGTATCGTCACTTTAGACTCTTGCAAACTGGTAGAAATTCATCAAATCATAATTTCCTTAGTATCTCTGGTATAGAGTTTTATGGTGATCTTTATGAAACTAGAAGAGATGAACAATAGGTAATTAATAATAATAATAATAAAATATTAATTAGAGTCCCTTTTTTAATTTGTAATTTTAATAACAAACAAAAACAATCAAACAAACAAAAATATGATTACTTAATTATATTATTGTACATATTTATATTTATTATTTAATTTATTTCTTATTATACAAAATCATTTCTGTACAAGTAAACATTGCCATTGTTTTATTATTTGTTGCGTCTGTAAGGATGGCATTCCAAACTTGAGTTGATTTTCCTGAATGAACCATAGTGGCACGACATTTAATTAATGCACCTTCGTTACTAGTACCAAAAAAGTTTGATTTCAATTCAATGGTAGTGAAACCAATCGATCCAATTGGCAATTTACTAAAACATCCAAATCCACAACATGTATCGGCCAATGTAATCAATGATCCTGCATGAATATATCCATTGGCTGCCAAATGATGGTTTCTAACTATCATTTGTGAATCTACTCCTTGATCATCAATTCCAACAATCTATAAACATTAAAAATAATATAAGTAAGAGGATCCTAGGGTAGGGGGCCAATCAAGTTGAACATACTTCAAAATTCATATGATGAGGTAACCCACCAACAGCTCTCTGTTGAAGTAATTTTAGCCATTCTTGGTTTGTTGGTTGATACCCAGTTTGGTTTCTATATTCTTGAAATGATTTCATATCCTTTATGATTTCAGATGCCAACTTTGTTTCATTTTTTGAAGGTGATGAAGAAGAATCGGTTGTATAATATGATAGAGATGATGATGATGACAAAGATGATGAAATCAAAGATTGACTTGATTGTCTTCCAAGATATGAGAATGAGGAGGTTGATGGTGATAAACTAGAAGTAAAAGTATTGTTACTTGTTACTTTTGTAGAAGCAATACATTTATAAAGTGATGGTTTAATATGATTTTGATTCTTTAAAACTGTTGAGAATAGTTTCATTTTAATATAAAGATATTCTAGTTCTGAGTAATAAGAGGAGACAGAGTAATAATATTATTTGTTCATTCAAGGAATGCCAAGATCACCACAAAAAAATTAATTAAAAATAAAAAAATCAAGGTAGAAGAGGTATGAACACGATGTTTAATCTACATTGACTCATAAATTACTTTAAAGCAACATACACATATAGAGAGAGAGAGAAAGAGGAATGACAGATTTAGGAGAGAACTTTACTATAGGTTATTACCTATCAGCTTCTAAATTAGAAAAAATGAAGTGGAAGCAATTTGTAGAATTAGCATGGTATGATATATCATATATATATCATATCTATACATACATATAGAGAGATAGAGATGTTAATTTATTAACATTTCATTAAATGTAGGGAAAGATATAAAATTAAATGTATACCAATAGATTTAGAGATGAAAGAGTTTACAGAAAAGTGTCCATACGATCTTGTTATTCACAAGTTTACAGATGAACTATCAGATTTACCTGCTCAACAACCAACTATTCAAAAGATTGAAGTATGTACTATAGCAGTCTATAGACTTTTTTTGTAAATTTACTTATTCTTTCTTTTATTTTTAAAAGAGAATATTAAAGCAATATCCAAATTTGGTTGAAGTTGATCCATTGGAACATCAAAAACCTGTATTGGATAGATTGACATTGAGTCATTTACTCGATAAATTAAATGAACTGCCATCAGAGTATGCTATTAGATGTCCATCATATGTAACCATTGAAAAGGAACAAGACGACTATAGTGGTTCATTGGCCAAAATCAAGTTCCCTGTTGTGTGCAAGACCATTCAGGCATGTGGCTCGGAAGAGTCTCACAAGATGGGAATCTTTTTTAGCGAAAAGGAACTACACCAATTCAAACCACCAATGTTGGTACAGGAATACATCAATCACAATGCAATCATTTACAAGGTATTTGTCATTGGTAGTTATTTAAATATAGTTCATAGAAAATCATTAAGAAATGTAACTGATAATGGTAATGTAATCAAAAAAATAATAGATAATATTTTGTATTTATTATTTATTTATTTATTTTTTACTTTAGAAAAAGAACCATTATATTTTGATAGTCAAAAACCATTACCATCCTTTTTATTACCAGAAAAGGAATATACACAAGATATGGTCCAATTTCCACACAAGGATATATTAATGGCCATCTCAAACATGATTCAAAAGGATCTATCATTGACATTATTCGGATTCGATGTAATCACCGATGTAACAACTAAAAAGCACGCAGTTGTCGATCTCAACTACTTCCCAGGATACATTGGAATAGATAATTTCTATTCAATATTATTAGAACATGTATTACAAGTTTATAGAAACAAAAAACAAATCAAGTAAAGAAAAAAAAAAAAAAAGTATAAATAATTTTTATTTAATTATTTGTAAATGTTACAACAGTATATAATTAATCCAAACAGATAATTTCGTGAATATTATTATTATTAATATTATTATTATTATTATTATTATTATTTTTTTGATTAATATTATTATTTTGATAAATCCATTTATATTCATTAAATGGATTTAAAGATTTTTTAGTGATAAAGGTACCAATAAATTGATAGTTGGAATGTTGTAAAATAGTGGGATGGGATTCTCTGTTTGTTCTAATGATAATCTTTTGGGGATTGTCAAGGAAAAAGATATCATGATAATGATCACCATTACGTCCTGTATTCATAACCAATTTTGTTACTTGAGGATTGAGTCGAGTGAGTTTGGTCAGTGGAGATTCATTGATTGATAATTTTCGTATTCCTTTGGGAAGAGTTAATTGTGATTTGTATTCTTCATCTTGGTCGTAGAAAAGGCATCTCGGACTTTGAGAAACAATGATTTTGACATGAGTGAGTTTTGGAAATGCAAACAAATTTGGCATCAAATCAAGAGAATCGATTGATACTGCTTGCAATGATTGTACCAATGGACATGAACTCCATTTTTGACCATTTTCGTCTCGGAATAGGTGTTTGTATTGATTGGTGGAGCAAAAGAGCTTCACGAGTGGGATACGTTTTAATCGATTAATGAAAACATTGCCATGATTGATCGTATCTGGACCAAAGTCTAGAATGGGACAACGAGATAGATCCAATTCACAAAGAAATTTATATCCCAAAATAGAGGCAAATAGTTTTGGATAGAAATCTGTGATTGGGACAGCCGCATAATTTGGTGTCTCGATGGCTTGAAACCTTTTAGTCTTTGAATAGTGGCCACGTAAAAGAAATTCTGGATTGAGTCTTTCTTTTTTGTTTTCCAAACCAACCGACAGTGTTTCAATCGATTTACCAACCAAACAATATTGATTTGAAAAGTGATTTTGTAGATCTGGTATGTCATGCCAGTTGGAAAATGCCATTCTCTTGATAAGATTTTTTGAAACAAATTTGAATAGTTTCAAGCATGAACTTGGTATTCCAAATCGAAGTTTGTTGATACTTTGAAGAAGGGATTGTCCAATATAAACACCAACAAAGTCTTTGTGTACGGGGCATCTTGACTTTACCTCTCTAAATTCTTGACATTTTTCGTTAAAAGGTTTTTTGTTGTTTGTTTCAATTTCACAAGTACAATAATAACTATTCCAAGAGTATGTTACAATCTTTTCAATTAAATTAAATGGAAGATTTGGATTATTGATTATTTGTGTTTCTTTAAAGTTTTGTGATTCTTTTGTTGTTGTCTCTTCTGTTGGTTCAATTATTATTTCTTGTACATTGGTTGTTGATTTAATAAAAGTGAATTGTCTGACTCTAGATGATGTTTTAAATGTTGATCCATGATATTCATATCCATGTCTTGCAAAGCTATTAATCATTTGATCAGTCATTTCGAAATAATGGTCAATTAACAGTTTCTTGGCATTTAAAGCACTAAAGATTTGATTGATATAGACGGGTTGTAGAGATGTTGGGTCAATCTGTTTGAATTTTAAAATGGTTACAGATTGTGGAATACTATTGATATATGTTCTAACAAAGCTGTAGTGATTATGGTTGACAAGTTTGGTAATTTTAGTGTCAACAAAAGAGTAGACAGCAGATGTTCTTCCAAAAACATGGAATATTCGCAGGTTTGGCATTTGTTGTGCTGGAATAATATTGCTGTTGACAATACTGTTGGCCAATTTAGTTTCGAGTACAGTTGGTTCTTTTAACCATTCTTTTGGAAGTAAAAGTTTTACTATTTCTCCTGCTGTTGATTTTGATAGAATACCAAGAAATTGTTCTTGTGTAGATCCAAAAGGTTGATAGGATAGTAAATTGATTGATGTAAGATTCTTAAAGCTCGGTATGAATTGTTGTTTAAACATGTTGCCAAAATCAACATTTCTTCCATTGAATGGTGCACAGGCAGTGATTGATTTGATATTCTTAAAGACTTGAGTGATCATCTTGTTGTTGGGTGATTTAAGACTAAAACCATCGAGTTTAAGCTTATCAACCGTACTAAATATCATTGTATTGTTCTCTACAAGTGTACTATCTTTGGTTGGATCATTATCTATGGGAGTTGATAATGTAACGACTTTTGGTGTTTTGATTGGACACAGTTGGTTGTTTAGATGACCCCATGTGTCTTGATTGAGGGTAACGTTGGAGAGGTAATTTGATGATATGAATTGATTGACACGTTTTGATATGCTTAGTAGTTGAAATCTCCATTTGTTAGTGTCTACATTGGGTTCGACAGAGAGTGATTGAGAACCATCAAACGAGACGATTCGATCGATATTGTTCAAATGGTGGTATGTATGCATTGGACATTTCATTCTTGATTCTTTGTGCTTGTCCAACAATGGTAGATAGACTGGCCACATTTGATAAAAATGATATATATCTTGTGTTGGTTGCGTTTTAAATGTATCGGCTACAGTTTCACTATAGTAACATGTACAAATAGACGATTCAGTCCAAACTTGATCTAGTATTCTACTTATGATGAACCACGGCAATGAATATTCAAGTGATCCCTTATTGTAATCACATAAAGGGTTATTGTCAACCATTTTACTTTTAAATTCTATACGATCATTTTGTATCTTTGTGATTCGTTCTATGATTATATCTTTTGAGTGACTCATCGATGATGGTATACCCAATCTTTGACTAATCACTATTAAATCCTTTTTAAGTTTACTCTTTAATTCATCTTCTGTGTATATTCTACTTTCACCTAATGTTATAAAAGAATTAATTAGAACTTAGCATTAGTTAATGTTTACAAATTATTATAGTTTGTTAAACATACCACCACCACCACCCTCTTCACTATTAACATTAGCATTATCTTGATCATAACTCCTCTTTTTAGGTGATCTCTTTGCTGCTTCTTTTTTACTACTACTATTTGTTAAATCTATTACAGTTCTATCTGTTACTGTTGTTGTAGTTTGGTTCACTGCAAAGTTAGTTGCTCTACTTTTTTTGTTGATATGGTCAACATTTGTACAAGTAGTAGTACTCTCCTTCTTCTCTTCCATTGAATGTTGTTTTAAAACAATAGTCTAGATTCAGATCTTGATAACTATAATGATCTTTTGAAAATTCCAAAAAAACTAAATTATAAAAAGATTCATGAAGTTCCAATCAAATAATTTTATTAATTATTTATTTATTATTTATTATTAAGATTATTTATTTTTCTTTTATAAATCCATTTATAAATCTTTGGTTGTCTTGTAACAAAAGTACCAATAAATTCAAAGTTACTTTGATAGGGATTAAGTGGATAGGAAAAATGTGTATCGATGACAATCTTTTGGACATTATCAAAGTTGAATATATCTCTCCTATAATCAGAGATTTCTTGCAACCAAACCATCAATTGATTGACATGTGGATTGTGGACACTAATGTTAGCGACAACTGGATCATTGGATGATATTTTTAAAATACCTGGTGGAAGAGGTGATGCTAGTAGTTTATCCTTAAAATTCTCTATTTATTTTTTCAAGATCTCGATTTCTCCAAGTTAAAGAAATAATAAAAAAGAAGAAAGAAAGATTTCTTCACATTGAAATGACCCATTACAATAATTATTGCTAGACACACTGAGAATGGCTTCATTTACTTTATTTTATTTTTCTTTGATCAAAAAAAGACTTTAGAATTTTTATATTCAAAGGATAACTAGCAACCCATTTCTCGACAAGATTTTGCTATATTATTATAAACATCATCACACTATGAAACAAAGAAAAAATGATTGGTTTAGGGACTGTTTCTCCTCTTGGATAAAATTCGAATTGAATGATTTCAACATACCCTATTTTCTGATTGTTTTGATTTGATACATTGGCGCTGAGCATTATTTGCATTATCATAACATCTGCTACATCCATCATCGGCAATTACCACTGTTGATAAAAGTGAAATGAAAATGATAGAAATGATTAATAATAATAATATTGCTGTACGGTAGGAATACATATTTCAAATTGTTAATTTTAAAAAAGTTGATTGATTTAATTTATAAAAATTTGAATGATGTCTGGTATTTAAAGGTTTCTAAATTATGATTATTAAAAAAAAACAAACATTTAGATTTTGATTTTGATTTTGATTTGGTGATGGAAATCGAAAAATGAGTAAAAAGACAAGATCTACAACTATTATTTTTTTGTATCCAACAAATATTTTTACACCCATCCTCCCACTCATATATGCATAATACTATTATTATTTATTTAAAAAGAAGAGTGACAAATAATCTAAATAATGATAATAATGGTGATAATAATAATAATGATTTTATTGTAAGGTTGGAAAATAGATATTTATGTATAAATTTATATAATTGATATATTGATTATTGATTAAAATCAGTGATTATCTCCTTTCTCAAATAAACCCATTTACTGGATGTATTGTTTGGTTGAGTGTATTGATAGAATGTTCCAATGAATTGAAAGTTGCTTTGATGAGAGATATAGGGGTGGTCGGGATCTTGGCCATGGCGGGAAGTAATTCTAATGGATATCTTTTCGACATTGTCATAGGGCAGATAAAATCGACTGTCTGGATGGTTATAGTGATTGTCATTTTGGCTTGGTAACAATACCAGTTCATTCACTTGTGGGTTGTATATGCTCATTTTGGCGGTGTTGGGACGGTTGAATGATAGTTTAGAGATCCCTGACGGAATCATTGATTGTATTTCTGCGTCTGTTGGATCATTTCGATTGATAATGATTCTAAGGTGTCTGAGCTTTGGTAATCTATCCAACTTTGGAATGACATCAAACGAGTTGATTGATACTGCTTCCAATGATTGTGTCAATGGCCATCCACTTGTATCTTCATCGTCGTCATTTTGGTCACTGAATAAAAATTGACTATCTTTACAATCAAAGTATAGTTTTCTAAGTGGAAGATTCTTTAATTTGTTGATGAATCTTGCACTGTCAAGTTTGGTGTGGGATAGATCCAATGACGTAAGAGATTTCAAACGACACAGAGCTGGGAATAGTGTGTCAGCACTTGGCAAAGTAGTTAGATAGTTGACGCCAAAGGATTGAAAACTTTGTAATTTCGAATAGTGATCAAGCTCTAGAAACTTCCAATTTGGCTTGTTGTTGGAAGAGGCCCAAGAATCCATATCAATTGCAAGAGCATTGATTGGTTTACCCAACAGACAATATTGATTTGAAAAGTGTTCATGATGCTGTGATATTTGTGATTCATTGAAAGAAAACTTGGTTTTCTTTATCAGATATTTTGAAACAAACGAAAATAATCTCTTGCATGACAATGCTATTCCAAATCGTTGTCGATTGATTTGTTTGACCATTCTTTCAGTTCGATAAGTAGATATCTTTGGGATACGATCTTTGTGTAGGGGGCACATTGATTTTGCGACGATGAATTCTTGGGAATGTTTGATATAATCTGCAAAATGATTATGTTTTCTTTCTCTTTGATTTCCACTGTTTACACTACTCAAACCTTCACATGTACAATAATAACTATTCCATGAATATCTGACTATCTTTTCGATCAAATAGTAGGGAAGTAGTGAGTTGTTGACCGTTGGTGTTGTGGGTTCTACTATTTCTGGTGTATTGGTGATTGGAATTACTAGAGTTGGTTTTTTTGTTTTGATAAAATGGAATTGTCTTATTGATGATCCTTTAAATTTAGCACCTTGATATTCAAATCCACATTGTTTGAAGAGGTTGATTGTTTTGTCTGATATCTCTGACTTGCAAGATATTATAAGTTGTTTGACTTTTAACCCTAGTCCTTTTATGAATTTTGGTTCGAGAGTGTTGATATTCCATCCATTATGATAGTAGTGAAATTCACACAACTTGAAAATGTCAATGGTTGGTGGAACGATGACTGCTTCTGGCTTGTTGTATCGATCCACTAGTTTGGTTACTTTTGGATGATCAAACTGTGACATTTTATAGTCAGTGTAGGGAACATGATAGGTGTGTAGGTTTGGCATTTGGATTTGGGGATGGACGTTGCTGATCCGAATAGTTTTGGCTATATTGGTGTTGAGTTTGATTGGTTTCTTACTATTCCACGGGAGTAATAGTTTGATCATACCTGGTGGAAGGTGTTCCAATAATTGTGGATTCCAGTTGTTGGCGCGTGATATATTGAGTGATGTAAGATTCTTGAATCCTGATATCAATAGTGGTTTCCATCTAAAACGAGCCTCCAATGTAAACGATTTCACATTTTTGAATACATTGTGTAGAGCCTTTATATTGGCCACCAAAAAGCAGTCAGCAACCATTGAGAGCTTTTCAACAGAGGAAAACATGGCGGTGTTTTCGCCGTTAAAGCTCGCTACACTACAGTTACCGGTATTTACCACTTTTGGTGCCTTGATTGGGCAATACTTGTTGTTGATATGATTCCATGTGTCTTGGCCAAATGCAAGTTCAATATTGGTCAAGTGCTTGTACGATAAATATTGATAGATTCTTTTGGATAACCCAAGTAGTTGGTATCTCCATATGTTTGCATCATTGTGCGATTCGGAAATGAACCGGGCAAACATGTTGGTTGTTGGATGCATAATATTGTTCAAATAGTGGTATGTGTGCATTGGACATTTCATTCTTGATTCTTTGTGTTGCTCTAACAATGGTTGAAAGACTGGCCACATTTGATAGTAATCAAAAGGGTCGGGACAATAGGGTTTTGTGGTATCTATCAATTGATGACTATAGTAACAAGTACATATATTTGATCCAGTCCAAACTAGATCTAGTATTCTACTGATGATTGGCCATGGCAATGAATATTCAATTGGTCCCTTGTTAAAATCACACAGAGAATTATTATTGTCAATCATTTTACGTTTGAATTCGACTTGATCACTTTGTGTCTTTATGATTTGGTTGATTATTGTATCTTTGGTTTCTTTAGTCAACACTTTAATATTCAATGATTGACAAATCAAAATTAAATCCTTTTTAAGTTTCTTTTTCAATTCTGGCTCTTTGTATATTTGTTGTTGTATAACTTAAGAAAAAATTAAAAGAGTTAGATTTGAATTAATTAATATTAATATTCTATTCTCTCTTTTGTTGATATTTACCTTCTTCTTCTTCACTATCATCATCATCATCATCATCTTCTTCTTCACTTTCATCATCGTCATCATCCAAATGAATTCTCTTGTTGTTGCTGTTAAATCTATTAGATGATCTCTTTCTTTGTTGATATTGAGTTTTAGTTGGACGAAGATCATCATCACTAGTATCACTATTACTGTTACTACTACTATCATCAGATTGATCATCAGTTAAATCAATTTTATTATTACTATTCTTTCTTCTTTTTGTAACATGTTTGACTTTCTCAATCTTTCTTCTTGTATTTTTTGCAGGTTTTAGCTCTTCTCTATCATCATCAACATCGCTAGTATCACTATCGATTTGGCTTTTCTTTTTGACCAATTTATATCTAATATTTCTTTGTTTCATATTTATTGCTTTGAGCTAAATAAAAATGATTCATCTTTATTGTTTGGTAGGTGGTGAAATGGGGGGTAATAGCTATTTGGCGCCAAACTGTAAAATTCAACATAAAAGCCCAGATATAGGGGTGGTGGGGATCTTGGCCATGGCGGGAAGTAATTCTAATGGATATCTTTTTGACATTGTCATAGGGCAGATAAAATCGATTGTCTGGATGGTTATAGTGATTGTCATTTTGGCTTGGTAACAATACCAGTTCATTCACTTGTGGGTTGTATATGCTCATTTTGGCGGTGTTGGGACGGTTGAATGATAGTTTAGAGATCCCTGATGGAATCATTGATTGTATTTCTGCATCTGTCGGATCATTCTCTCCATCGATAATGATTCTAAGGTGTCTGAGTTTTGGTAATCTATCTAACTTTGGAATGACATCAAACGAGTTGATTGATACTGCTTCCAATGATTGTGTCAATGGCCATCCACTTGTATCTTCATCGGAGTCGTCATTTTGGTTGAATAGAAATTGACTATCTTTCCAATAAAAGTATAGTTTTCTAAGTGGAGTATTCTTTAATTTGTTGATGAATCTTGCACTGTCAAGTTTGGTGGGGGATAGATCCAATGACGTAAGAGATTTCAAACGACACAGAGCTGGGAATAGTGTGTCAGCGCTTGGCAAAGTAGTTAGATAGTTGAGGCCAAAGGATCGAAAACTTTGTAATTTTGAATAGTGATCGAGCTCTAGAAACTTCCAACCTGGCTTGTTGTTGTCAGCGTCCCAAGACACCTCAATTGCAAGAGCATTGATTGATTTACCCAACAGACAATACTGATTTGAAAAGTGTTGATGCTGTTTTGATATTTCCGACTCTTCCAATTTGAACGCTCCTTTCTTTATCAGATATTTTGAAACAAACGAAAATAATCTCTTGCATGACAATGCTATTCCAAATCGTTGTTGATTGGTTTGTTTGACCATACTTTCACCATTGTATGTACCAATACTTGGAGCACGATCCTTGTGTATAGGACACCTTGATTTGGCGACGAGGAATTCTTGTCTAAAGTTTTCATCTTCTTCTTCACTTTCGATTTGACTTGTCTTTTTGACCAATTTATATCTAATATTTCTTTGTTTCATATCTTTGATTTAAAAAATGATCAAAATCATATTCTTCTTCTTCATTATTCTTTAGTTTGGTGTTGGTTTTAAATTGGGGGGGGGGGGGGGGGGGTATTGGCGCCAATGAAGGAAGGGTTGGGGTGGGTTGATGAATTATATTAAAATTTATGGCGCCATTTTTTAAAAGTTTGGAAAGGGAAACAGTCTCAATTTAACAAATTTATTATCTTTTCTTAATTGAAATTTCTTAAATATACCCATTTATATTGAACTGAACGATTTGAAGCACCCTTGTAAAAGGTTCCAATGAATTTAAAGTTGGTTTGATCTAATGGGTGGCTGTAGATGAAATTTTGAGAGGACAACCTCATGGAGATCTTTTGGATATGGCTAAAGGGACTTTCAGATTTGCCAAAAGGGTAGCTGTTTAAATACACCAGCTCTCTCACTTGTCGATTAAAATTGCCGATTTTGGCAACATTGTTATTGTAGAACGATAGTTTGGTGACTCTATACGGAAGACTTGATTTGATTTGCTCATCCGTTAATTTAATATTTGCACCCTGGCTATATTCCTCTTGACCGGTAATGATTCTAAGATGTCTGAGTTTTGGGAATAGTTGTAACTTTGGAATGACTTCAAATGAATTGATTGATAATTCTTCCAATGATTGTGTTAATGGCCATCTAGTTGAAATGGATCCATTGTCTTGGAATAGATATTGGTTATCTTTACAATCATTGTAATATAATTTTCTAAGTGGTAAATTCTTTAATGAGTTGATGAATGTGAGTGCATTGCCACTGTCTAGTAAATATTGAGATATATCCAATGAGGTAAGAGATTGCAAACGACTCAATGAGAGGAATAGTTTGTCAACCACAAGTAAACAAAGTTGATTGTTGGGAGGAATGATTTTCAATCTTTTTACTTTCAAATAGTGACCAAGATTTAAAAAATTCCAATTTGGTGAGTAGAAAGGAAGGTGAACAAAAATTGTAAGAGTATCAATTGATTTTCCCAACAGACAATATTGATTTGAAAAGTGTTTGCAATGATCTGCTATTTCAGAATCCCCTATCGAAGATAACATAGATCTCTTTACAAGGTTATTTGAAACATATTCAAATAATCTCTTGCATGACATTGGTATTCCAAATCGAAGATGGTTGATTTGTTTGACCATACTTTCACCTCTATACGTTGTGAAACTTGGGACATGATCTTTGTGTATAGGACACATTGATTTGGTTTTGAGGAATCGTCGAGATTGATTGATATAATTTGGAAAATTGAAATGTTGGTGTCTTTCATCATTGGCACAAGTACAATAATAACCATTCCATGAATATCCAACAATCTTTTCGATTACTATAAATGGAAGTGTTGGATTGTTGTTGTTGTTGTTGACCATTGTAATGGTTGTTGTTGCTGTTGGTGATACTACTACTATTTCTTGTATTGTTGGTGTTTTAATTTCTGATGTTGGAGTTGATGTTTTAATAAAATGTGGTTGTCTTTTTAATGCTTCTTTAAATATAGCTCCTTTATATTCATATCCAAGTTTTTTAAAATGGTTGATCGTTTTGTCTGTTATATCTCGATTGCTGAGTAAAATGAGTTGTTTGGCATTCAATCCATCGAAAATACTAGAGGTTTTAATGATGAATTCGAAATCAACCAAGAAGTTAAGTTTCAAAGTATCAATGTTTAAAGTAGCAATGTGTGATGATTGAAATTGGTCATGATAAACGACTAGTTTGGTAACGTTTGGATGATCAAACAACGAGGATGAGATTGTAGGTGACGATTTGAGAACATGAAAGGTACGTAGGTTTGGCATTTGATTTGGTGGATAAATGTTGCTAACTTGAATTGTGTTGGCTAGATCATCTTTGAGTGTGATTGGTTCGGTGCACCATTGGTCTGGAAGTAATAGTTTCACCATCCCTGCTGGAAGAATGATCAATAGTTTTTGTCGATTCGTATCTTGGGGAGGTGTTGTAAAATGGAGTGATGTAAGGTGCTTGAACTGAGATATCATTTGAAGTTGAAATCGACCATTGTGACTTTTTAAAGTAAACGATTTGATTTTATAAAAGATACTGTGTAACTTTTTGGTATAGGCGGGTGTATAGTTGTAATGATGACCCAACGAGAGTTTTTCAACAGAGGTAAACATGGCAGTGTTTTTTCGGCTGCCTGTCAAACTCGTGTAATCACAATGATTGAGAATTGCCAATTTCTTTGGTGCCTTGATTGGACAATACTGGTTGTTGATATGATTCCATGTGTCATAGTTGATATCAAGACGAATGTTGGTAAAGTATTTGAACGACAAATAGTGGTTGACTCGTTTGGACACAGCAAGTAGTTGAAATCTCCATTTGTTGGTGTCATTGCGATAGGGAAAAGTGAAGGGTACAATAATGTTGATTGATGGCTCCAAATCATTCAAATAGTGGTATGTATGCATTGGACATTTCATTCTTGATTCTTTGTGTTGCTCCAACAATGGTTGATAGACTGGCCACATTTGATAGTGATCAAAACTCTCAGTACCAGCAGGCTGCGATCTTATAGTATCAATCAATTGATGACTATAGTAACAAGTACAAATGGATGATTCAGTCCAAAGATAATCGAGTATTTTACCAATGATTGGCCATGGCAATGAATATTCAAGCGACCCTTTGTTATAATCATTTAGAGGATTATTGTCAATCATTTTGTCTTTGAATTCTAAAAGTTGTATACGACTATTTTGAACATTGATAATACTCTTGATCATTTTATCTTTGGTTAGTTTCATTGATGCATCTTCAATATTCATTGATTGACAAATCAAAAGTAAATCTTTTTTAAGTTTACTCTTTAATTCTTCCTTTTCGTATACTTTTGATTAATAAATAATAAATTAATAATCGAATCATAATATAATAAATATGTCTTTAGTTGATATTTACCCTTTTCTTCTTCTTCCTCTTCCTCTTCTTCTTCTTCTTCTTCTTCTTCTTTATCCTCATCATCATCTTTATGAATTCTCTTGTTATTACTATTAACCCGATTGGAAGATGTATTTCTTTGTATTTGATCGGTATGTCTTGTTGTTTGATCAATGTTATTACTATTCTTTCTTCTTTTAGTCACTTGTAGGTTATTTACATTAAGCTTTGTGCTTTTTGTTGCTTCCTCTTGATCAACCAACATCACATCATCATCATCATCTTCATTATTTGTCTTATTCGTTTGAGCCCTATTCTTTCTTTGTTTCATATCTTCACAGTTCTCTATATAAATATATATACAACTGCAAACAAAAAAAAATAAAGGAAACAAAAAAAAGTACCACATTTTAAGATGGATAATCAAATTCAATAATTATTATTATTTATTGATTTTGATGAATCGTCATCCCATCTTTTTGGTTTGGTTCATCATCACCAGATGTATTATTATTATTATTAAAAGACTTGCGTGATGATGATCTCCTTGGAAGAAATGAACTTATTGTTTGAGTAGTTGTTGGAGAGGAGGATTCTTGTAAAGATTTAGAGGATGGAATAATTTCTTCAATATCTTCCATACTATTATTATTATTATTATTATTATTGTCTTTACTATTTTCTTTTCCTTTTCTTTTTTCTTTTAAAGTGTCTGTTCTTTTTTGTCGTTTCTTTTTGCTGGTTGCATTATTTTGATTTTCATCTATGATGGTTGTTGATGATTGTTTTTCTGGTTGGATTGTAGTTGTTGTAGTAGATGTAGTGGAATCATTTAGAGGAATGTTTTCTTGTTGCTGATCAGCAACATGTTGATTGGTGATTCCAGATTGTTCATAAACATGTTGTTGTTGATGTTGATGATTGATTTCACTTCTCTTTGTTATATATTGATTTCTAATGGATTCACAGTTTTCACAAACACCAAAACAAGATTTGTTGTTACATTCCAATGCTCGAGTGCTCACCAACAACTCATCTTGTAAATTATAAATGATTGTCCTACTATCAAGTGGAAACCATTCCTTTTTAAAATTCGAATGATATAATTCATCAGATATTCCTATACATTCTTCTATTCTTTCTATTTCATTATTATTATTATTATTATTATTATTATTATTATTATTATTATTATTATTATTATTATTATTATTATTATTATTATTATTAATATTATTATTAATTCCAAGGTTAGATGTAAAACTTAATTTTCTTCTTTGTTTGATCATTTGAATTTGTTGATGTGTTGATAAAGTATCAAAAGTTGTGAAAGTTGAGGTGGAAGAGGAGGATTGAGAAAGTAGAGGAAAAGTTTCAATGACTTCTGATGAACTATTATTACTATTATTATTATTATTATTTTGTTGTTGTAAATGATAGATCATTAATTTTAATTTTTGGTTATCTCTTTCAAGTTGAATCCTATTATTGTCACTGGCTTCAACTTGTTGTTGAAGATTTATATTGTCTTGGATGAGATTGTTCAAACGTCGATCTGCCTCTTCGTGTTTCTTTTTAAGACCGTCACGATATTTTTTTTGTTTGATTGCGTTTGATGTCTTTTCCTTGGCTTGTTGTTGTTGTTGTAATTGTTTCAATAATGGTTGTTGTTGTGGTGGAGATGATCGCGGAGATGGAGGTGATGAAGGGGATAAAGGAGGGGGAGGAGGAAGAGGAAGAGGTGGAGACTGAACGACAGTGGCCGTCTGAGTGAATGGCTTAGCAACAGGATAGGAGGACGTGGCAATAGGTTGGTGAATAAAATTTACAGGATTGTTTTGAGGTTGTTGAGGTTGAGGTTGAACAATTGTTAGTTGTGGAGATTGAGTAGGAATAGGTTGAACCACATGGGTAGGTATATGTATCGATGTAGATATTGTTGGTTGTTGATAGATTTGATGGTCAGGTGGTTGAACCAACATACCACCACCACTACCACTACCATTCAATAATTCGTCTTTGGATGTCGTCGTTGTTACTATATCTTGGTGTTCATAAATATTGCGTTTGATTCCTCTCTTTTCTTCTTCTTCTTCTTCCAATTCCATTGATTGTTGTTGTTGATTTTGCGCAGAGTGATGTTCGTCAATGTGTTGTTGTTGTTGTTGTTGCTGATGTTGCTGCTGCTGCTGCTGTTGTTGTTGTTGTTGTTGTTCAATCATCAGATCTGATTGTGGGTGAAGATGATGTTGAAGGTGATGGTGATGATGATGATGTTCGTCATCTTGGATGACATTGTGGTGATGATGTTGCTGATGTTGATGATGATCCATCTCATCTTCTACCACTTGACCTTCAGTATTATTGGCAATCATCACAACGTCATCATTTATATGATGGTGGATATGTTGATGATGGTGTTGATGATGATGGTGTTCTAGTTGCTGACCATCATCATATGCATGTATTGGTTCGTCATGATGCAGGTGACTGTGGTGTTGTATCAACCCTTGATCTTCACATGTAGTAGTACCAGTCGCTGCTGCAGCAGCTGCCTCGTCAACCAATTCATCAGGTTGTATGGCATGATGATGATCATGGTGATGATGATGATGAAGTGTATTGTTGTTGTTATCGATAAGTGAAGACATATCTATCTATTGTGTAATTTAACATTTGTCGTCTCTACCTATTATAATATTATATATGTATACATATATTAAATATATGAATGAAATGAACCTCTCGAGAGTCTAGTATCTAGTCCAACAAAATAACGTTACGTAATTTGTAGGCGCGAGTCGCCTCTATTCGCAAGTGTGACCACAAAAAGTTTTTAATTTTAATTATTTTTTTATTTTTCTTTTTGACTCTCTATCTAGTCTATATATATATTCTGTATTATTTGTTATTTGTTATTTGTTATTTGTTATTTTGTTTGTTTGGTTGATTGTTTGATTGTGTGATTATTTACATGTAGGTATTGACTTCCTTTTTAAGAATATCAAATTGTTTTTCGACCATATTTTGGAAATCTTGGTGTTGTGGTTGGATGTGACGTTTGTTGAGAAGGATCGAGAGTCCACAGAAATAGATGAATCGCTCCATGGATCGTTTGAGCATTTCGACGTGCTCAGGGGCATAGTTGACAACGTTTTGTTTGCTTAAAAAGACCTCGCAAATTTTGAGTGGGCCTTCGTTGACCATTGGTACTACACTACCTTGAATGACTTGTTGCAACAGGTTGATACGAGGTGTTGGTGTCTGCACCTGTTCCATCAATTTGAGAATACGACCCTTGATCAATTCGATAGCATTTTCAATTGGTGACAAGATGATTTCACGTTTGGAAGTAATCTCGACACGGTTCTTTAGGTAGGGTAGCGAGAGTGGGTCAACTACAAAGATGGTCTTTTTCTTGGACTGTTTTGAAATGTCTTCTTGTATGGGTTTGCCACCTGTTTGACTATAGGCAGTTTCAGAGATAAAACTACTGACACCAAAGTTTGGATCAAATGATGACAAGGTAGTAGACTCGTTTGTCGCCGACAATTCAACGTATGGCTCGACACTAATCACCTGATAATACAACTTGTCAGCCACCAATGTAGTACGATCAAATGGTGCATTTGACATTAACACAATCGCATCCTTTTCAATGGCACCAGCAAATTTATCCAATATCTGTTGAGTAATCTGTGTTGTAATATGTTTTAATAAACATTCAGGTGGTTTCTTGTAAATAAATTCCTTATTATTCAAATCTTCAAACTTTGGTCCATAAAATGCAATTCTATAATATTTTGATTGTAATCTAATTTCTTTTGACTATAAACATAAATAAATAAATAAATTAATATTATTATTATATTTCCTTTTTTCTTTTCTTTTTCTTTTCTATTTACCTTTTCAACAATAGTTTCACAAATTTGTTTTTGATTTGATAAAGTAGACATGAGGGCCTTATAATCCTTTTTAGATTTTAGAATTTTTGAAATAAGGGAATGAATTTCAATTGCCAATTCATAACGTTCAGATTTTGAAACAAGAGAGATTGATTCTTCTAAAAGTTTGACTAGATAGTCTACAGTCCACATTTGAAAGAGTGCATCGTCTTTGTTGCTAATGGGAGGTAGCTCTAGTTCACGAGAAATGTTTGGACAAATGACTGCAAAGTCGGCGATGGTAGTGTCTTTGAGTTTGCCAGACATGTGAAGATAGCGAGACACTAGATAGGCACTCTGAATAAGACATTGAGCAGCCTCGTCAAATAGATGGTGGTCGTTGTTCTTTTTGGCAAGATTCTCTAGCCAAGTTACACGAAGATTTGGACTTTCAAAGTAACTATTGGAGATGTTGTAATACATTTCGGCAACCATTTCACAATCTGATTTGTTTTCGCTAATAGTATTTGAATACTTCATCAATGTGTTGATCTTTAGAATCCATTCATCAATTTGTGCACGGAAAACAGACGATTGGTGTGCTTTGGTCAATTCTTTGACATGAGACAAAAAGATGTTGAGTGATGCATTTTCCAACTTTACTTCTCCCACCAATTTGGAGAATGCGACAGTTGACTGAACCTTCATTCTAGTAATATCATTGGTCACATTGAAATTACTCTCCAACAAAAAGTAAAACAATGAACTTGCAATAGTCGACAATTTTGGTTTATCAGTCTTTGACAACAACTCGTACGACAACAATTCACAATAATTATTATTTGAATGATTAAATATTACAGTTGGATGATTTGGTATTAATGATTCTTTAATAACATTATAAATTCTAAAATAATAGAAAATTAATATTTAATTCTTTTTTTTTTTTTTGTTTCTTTTACATACTCTGGAACAATATCAACTGAAGCTAAAGAAGAACATTTTTGAATATTTGTAATGACATTATTTAAAAGTTTATCATCTATTGATTTGAAATGATTCAATATGATTCTACACATTTCAATATTGAGTAGGATGATTTCATGAATAGATTCTTCTTGTTTAAATGTATCGATAGCAAGTGACATGAGACCCATAAAACTATTCTTTCTAGTTTCTGTTTCTTTTGTCAACCATACACGTAACAATTCTCTGTTGCAATACTGAAGTATCCAAACAAGACATGTAATCCAATCCAACAATTCAGTATGATCCAATGAATGTTTGATAATTGAATAGTGTTCAACCATCATTAAAACAAATGGAAAATAGATTGATGAAATCTTTTCACGAATCTCTGTCGATTGATAACGTGTATCGAAATGATGTTTTTTCAACAACTGTTTCAATGTTAGAATTGCTTGATTACGAATTGATGGTCTAACAAATCTTAAACATGATTCAACTTCATTTAATAATAATACTGCTATAAAATGTCTCTTACTATAAAAAAATAAATATAAATAAAATGATTAGAGAAATATTTTTTTTTTTCTTTTTTTTTTTTTTTTTTAACATACAAGAATTTAGAATTTAATTCAGCAATTGAATCTACAACTTTAATAGTTTGAGGGAAATTGAGAGGAATATAATGATCATAATCACAAATTATCTTTAAAAAGTTAAATTTGATTGTAATCAATGTGATTTGTGCATGTTCTGCTAAATCTCTTGCCTCTTTACTATTTGGTGATAACATTTGATTCGCTCCTCCAACACCATGTAAACCTGGTGAATTTGGTGGTAATCCTGTAATGATTGGTGATATCATATTACCTCCATCTTTTGTATCCAATGAAATTCTTGAAATATAATTATAAATCAAATTAAACAAAAAACCTCTATCAATTAATGGGAATAGATTATTAATGAAATAAGGGAATTTTGTAAAGAATTCAAACATTTGAACAGACATGCTTGAATCTGATGATAATTGAGGAAGTAATTTAAGAACCAAACGATTCAAATGTTCTTGAAATTCAATTTGGAATCTATTCTCACGTCCCAAATCTGTATCCAATTGTGATGAATTTGATAATGATAATGCCATTGATTTTGTCATTATATCAAATAAAAACCAATTTAATCTAAAATCTTTTACATATATCTAGAAAATAGAAAATAGAAAATTAATATTTAAAATAATGATTAATATTTATATTTTTTTTACTTACACCAGTATTAATAGCATTAACCCATTGTCTACATAATTCTTCATAAACATATTTTGAATCTGGAATATAATCAAACATATATTCAGAATATAAAGTTAATAATCTACTTTTTTCTGTTCCTGCTTTTTTTTCATATCCATCAACACTAAAATAAATAAAAAAATAGAAAATAATGGTTAGTATTATTATTCTTTTTGATTTTTTTTTTTTTTTTTTACATTTTAATAACATGAAGTATTGAAGTAAAAGCTTGAGAAGCAACTTCATTTGCAGATAGACACATAATTTGGAAAAGTTGATCCAAAATGACAGGGAAGAATTGAACGCAAGGGAGACGATCAATTTTTTGAATACCTCGGACAGCATCCAAAGTTTTACCAAGAGATTCATGATTATTTGGATTACAACAATACTTGAAGAAATGATGTAAGCTAGTATCTTGAGTGACAACACTTGAAGCCAATTTAGTTCTAAAGGTAAAGAAATCACGTTTTTCCTTTTTACTTTGTTCAGTATCAAGGAATGCCGATTCTATACTATTCAACTCTTTTTCAATGGGAACGTGATAATAATCATCTTTGAGGAAAACACCTCCATTATTTGCTTGTAATAGAGGTACTGCTGCATAACCAATAGCAGTTTTTTGATCCTTTTTAGAAGAGGATGAAGAGGCTACATTTACATGATAAAATGTAAAGAGTAGGTGATGAGTTGTAATCTTTGTTGGTAATTTAATCTTGAATTCTTCTGTAAAGTGTGGTCGTTTATCGTGGAATGATACACCTGAAAAGGCAACATATTCAAGTGGAGGAAAGGGGATGGTTGGTGATGGAGTTGGCATTTGATTGGGTGTATTGTTGAAAGAATCCCATAGACTATTTGGAATGTATGGTGGTGCCGATGTTGGATAAATACATTTGAGTGATTTGAGTGTTTGCAGATCCTCTACCAATTGAGCTTGTATTTGAATGTTTGGGTTTTTAAACTTGATAAAACACATTTCTGGATAGATGTAGAGATTGTTGGTATACTCTGTATGTGGATATGGTGTTTCAGAGAAATCTTGAATCTCTCTAATAAAATTTGGTACTGCCTCTCTTTCTATTGGCAATACTGGAATGAGTGATGGTGTTACACGACCCTTTAACTCTTCTTCTGCATCCAAAGTACGAATCGACATGGAAAAGGCAGCTTGAACAGTCTTTGATTTTCTTAGATCCTTGTCATTTAGCAACAACTCGCAAATTGATCGATCACTAAGATTGGGTGTTGCAGGTACCATGTTTACAATTTCAATATTGGTTTTACTACTATTTTGTGCATTTGTTGTTGGTGATGGTGGTGATGGTATCATTGGTGATGGAGGTGATAACGTCGAAATAGTTGGAGAAGAATCTAAAGAATTACGTCCATTACTCGTTGGGGGAAGAGGAGGAGGTGGAGGTGGAGGTGGAACAACATTGATACTACTTGTTTGTTGTTGATTGACCAATAGATTAAGTGAACTACCTTGAGAAACCAATGCTGGACGAGTACTAACAGAATGTTGGAAAACTGGATAAGCAGTCCAAACAAATGGTTGTAATGTTTTACTTTGTTCTCCAGTTCCCCAATTCATACATCTATCTGTTACTTCACTTTTAAATTGTGTCAATACTGTTTGTTTATTTTGTTTTTTGAAATCCTAAATAAAAATAAAAATAAAAAGAAAAAGAAAAAGTTAATAAACTAAATATCTTTTATCTTTTTCTATCTATTTACTTTAATATAGGGTTTAATGTCGCGTTCAATATCACCTCTAAAAATATGATAAACTCGAAGTACAAAATACATATTTGGATGATATTTGTTTAAAGAAAAAATACATTGATTTTGATTTGCAAATCCATTGGTTAGATCATCTCCAATCTTTAGACTATCCAACAATTGTTTTGAATTTAAATGGAAATTAAAACTTTCCGATATCCTTTCTCTTTTTTCTAAATCTACAATATATAAACTACAAAAGAATGGTTCAACATCCCATTGAAATTTTAATTCCTTTACTTGACATAATAATTCTAATCCACTAAATAAAATTAAAAGAAAAGAATAAGTATATTTTCTATTTCTATTTTTTTGTTTTGTTTCTTACAATTTTTCAGGAATTAATTGTTTAATTGGATCTTCAGGAATAGAAGAAAGTGAAGGAAGATTAGTATCATCTGAGGAAGATTCGATACGTCTAGATGATAAAGCTCGGTTGATTGATTTGGTACTTGAAAATAATTTACTACGAAGTGATGGAGCTGATGTTCCATCTTTTGATCCACCATATATCACCGATCCATTTGATGATGTTGATGGTGACGATCCATTATTATTATTATTATTATTATTATTGTTTAAAATTACAAAATGATTTGGATTATTATTAATATCATCACTTGATGAACTACTACTACCACTACCACCATTTCCACCATTATTTAAAAAGCTTGATAATGATGGATAAGAAGTTGCTTTTGAAGAATGTTTTCTACCTTTTGATGAGGAGGAGGAGGAGAGTGAAGTTTCACGACTACAACCACGATGTTGTACGATTAGATAATCCTTGTTAAAGTGATGAATGATATCGTGTATGTGAGAATCGAGTGCACTGACTACTAAACCGGCGGTTGGGGAAAAGTTCATCCGTGACTTTTTCTCTACACGACGTACAATGACTTCACCGGCTGGGAACCTAAGCTCTGGTGCAATGTTTACAATCTCTCTTTCATACTCTGATTCAAAGTCTGACCAAGTCATGCGATGTGATTGTTGTTGATGTGAAAGGACCGTGTCACTGACCTCATCCTTTAGTGTGAGACTGAGGAATGATGCCACTGCATTGTATTTGCGTTGTGCGTGTTTACGTATTCCCGATGCTGAAGATGATGTCGGAGACCCTGGTGCCGACGACGACGATCCCGAGGACCCTCCCTCGATCTGTTTAGAGAGTAGTCCCAACGACAAGGCTGATCTTGGTGGTGGTGGAGGTGGTGCGTTGGGTGGTGCTGGTGGTTGATTTGGTTGTTGTTGTTGTAATGGTTGCTGCTGATCTCCACTACGTCGTTTGACTAGAGGTGATGACGAAGGAGATGAAGACAATGAAGATGATCGTGACTTTACGACACCAGTCGAATCAATGATTGACTGTAACAGCGTGTTTTCGATGCCTGTAGGTGGTGTCACACTCACCGTCGTCTGTTGAACAACACCCGTCGACGAATCTCTACGAGATGATGATGGTGATGAAGGTGTCGATGATGGTGCTGACATGATGATTATAATACAATATTGAATATCAAGTATTCAACTATAGTTCTTTCTTCTCTCTTTTCTTTCTACTCTCTCTCTTTACTATGATACAATTATTAAGGTTTTAGAATAAAGGGTTTTTCATCTCTCCTTGATCTGAAGCGGTCTCTGAAAAAAAAAATCAAAAAACTTTTGGGTCTGAAAAAAGACAAGTGGATGTCTCATAATCTTCACAACTTTATATATTTTTAATTAATAAATACCTTTACACAAATACATACATATACAAAGAGAGAGAGAAAGATGAATATATCAAATGAAATAAAGAATAAATCACAAGTTTATCCATATGGTTATAATGGAGGTGAATGTCATTATTGTTATGAAACTGAAGATGGTAGAAATTCATATGGTATGTAACTTTATAGTAACTTGAAAAAGACTTATTAACATTTTCTATTTTATATTTTATATTTATATTTTTTAAGGGATGGATGCAAAACAATTAACAGTTGATGATTATCAGTCATTGTGTGATACTGGATGGCGCAGATCAGGGAGTTATGTCTACAAACCTGATAATGCAAATGTAAAATCATGCTGCCCACAATACACTATCAGATTAGATGTACTCCGCTTCACAATGACCAAGGATAACAAAAACACTGTTAAAAAGTTTGATCGTTATCTAGAGACTGGTTCAACCACTGTCGACAAGCTTGAAAGAGAACAACTTGCCCAAGAAAAGTCTAAAAAAAAACTTTTACATCAACAAGAATTAAAAGAAAAACAACAAGATCCAAATATATTAAAGATTCAACATTGGATTTTATTATCAATTAAACAATTGATAAACAACAACAAAGGTGTAGATATAGATGATGAATTATTAAAACCATGTATTATATTAAAAGAGAATCCAAAAAAACTTCAACAATCAAGAGGATTATATTCATTTGATTTGGCTAGAATCATTAAAATCGATCAATTACAACAGATTGAAGATTTTGGAAACAAATTAATCATTACTCTACAATCAACCGTGATTGAAAATCAAACATTTAAAGTTCAAGAAAATATTACAAAAAATCATATCAATTTTAATCCAATCAATAATATTAATAATACAATTACAACTACTCGTCCTATTAAAATTAAAGTTGATAATAATAATAATAATGAATCAAAGATTAAAATTGAACCTTCTCATAATTTAACTGTAAGAAAAAAAAATATTTATAACAATAATTTAGTTTTATTAATTTTTCTTTTATTTTTTTTTTTAAAGATTACACTTCATAAACCAGAATGTACAGATGAAATATTTAAACTTTATACAAAATATCAAACTATTGTACATAAAGAAAAAGGTGAAAAGAAAAAAGATTCATTTACTAGATTCCTTGTTGATTCTCCTTTAATTGTATGTAAACAAAAAAATAATAATAATAATCATTTATTTTAATTTTTCTATTTCCAAATTTAGTATGTACCATATTCTACTGAAGGATATTATAGTCGTGGAGAAAAGATATCGATACCAAAATGTGGATTTGGATCATTTCATCAACATTATAGAATTGATGGTCAATTGATTGCTGTTGGCATTGTAGATATACTTCCACATTGTTTGTCGAGTGTCTATTTTATCTATGATCCAGATTATTCATTTGTTTCGATTGGAAAGTATAGTGCCATCAAAGAGATTGAACAAACCAAGAGGTTGGCACTCGAAGCTCCTCAACTTCACTATTATTACATGGGTTACTATATTCATAGTTGCCCCAAGATGAAGTACAAGGCCAATTATAAACCATCGGAATTACTTTGTCCAGAGGTTTATCGTTGGGTCGATGTGACCAAGGCCGTGGAACGAATTGAAAAGAGCAAATACTCTCCTTTGGCAGTCGATGAGCGTATGGAGCCTCTCTCTAAACGATCACCGTTTATCATTGACAATGTAAAGTTTATGAGCGGAAATCGCGTGTTTGGCCTTCAAGATATCAAACAAGAGTATCAAAAGAAATATAAAACTTATCTTTCAGATTTTGTTGATAATGTTGGTGAACATTTATTAAATAATTTAATTTTAAAATTGGATTGATTAAATAAATAAATAATAATAAACAAATATTTATTAATACATTAAAATTTTTGGTTTTGCAAAAAGATGAAAAAGATCTTTTTCACACAAGGATTTCTTAAAGTTGTTTATACACAACAAACTATTTAATCTTTAAACTTTATAGTAGGAGTTTTAAGAAATGACACTAAAAGTTGGTCTCTATGTATCAATTGAATCATCTTTAACAAGAGTCGTCATAATGGATCATATCAACAAATAATACAACTATCTTTAATAATAATTTCATCTTGTGCATTGTGATTAATATAAAGAGAGATATCATTATTTAAACTTTAACAGTTGGAACAACTCGAGATAAAGAAACAAACATGATTGAATAATAGAAATGTGACATTGAACAATCTAGTTGGTTGATATCAACCTCGACGATTGACTGATGTTTGATCTCACAAAAAAAAAGAAAACAACAACAACAAATAACAAAACAACAACAAAATGTTACATAATATTAAACTATCTATCTAATTTATCTATTATTATTATGGATTATTTAAATATTAATAAAAAACAAAAAATTAAAGAATCAATAAGAAGAATTGTTGGATTACCATTCAATGCAATGATTGAGGAAGATGATCTATCTTTACATTAGCGAGTCTGGTCCAATCAATGTTGCTTCAAGACTTGACCTTTCTCCATTGGAAAGAGTTTTAAACCCACTGCCTCACAAATGTATTATGACCCAACAACCACAAATAGAAACAAATCAACCGTCTCTCAAACAATATATTTCTCAGACATGGTATTCCACCATGGGCAGCGTGTGATTGTAATCGTGAAAAAAATTGTCAAACTTGCAGGTAAGATAATTTAAATTAAAATTAAAAATTAAATAAATATATTAATTTAGTTTTTATTTATTTTATTTATTTTTAGATCAATTGACAATCATAGAAAAAGGGAGATTGAGTTTTTTGCCAACATTGAACACAACAGTTCAAAAAAGGACCATTCAAAGAAAGACGGAACCTTTGAATTGGTGGATTCTCAATCACTCTCTATCAGTCAACAAGGATTTTGTTCAATATCAAGCGCCAGATTGGAGTTGTCACCAGGTTGCAATATTCAATTTAGTATGAATCGTATCAAAGATGGTATTACCTATAGAATTGACAACACTGAAGGTATTGCAAGAGAACTAAATACCTGTGCCAAATGGACCAAGGATCTACTAAGAGATATGGATAAGAACCTTGGCTCCAAGGTCTTCAATAGGGTTTTGGCTAACCAAGAGTTGTCTAGATTGTTCTTGCTCGATGATGTTTGGAAGATATTGGTTGAAAGAAAAGATCATGCAAAAAGCTCAAATGACGATCGTAACGGATTGGAATCACGCCAAGTGATTCTGCAATTTGACATTACAGTTGAATTTCTAAAGCTTCTTTGGTTTAAACAAAGAGGCCGATGTTATTACTCGGGTATCATGATGTTGGTCAAAACTGATAGACCTCATCATCCTCTGCTACTGTCCATCGAGAGACTCAACCCGTTGTTTGGGTATACCTTGGACAATACAGTCCTCATTTGTTTCTGTTTTAACTCTTGCGCCACAGTGAATACTTACAAAGACATCCTCAATCGTCAACAGTTGGCCATCATCAATCAACAATTGGAAAAGTTTTACCAAGACCCAACACTCAACCAAAAACAAATCAGTGACTTGGAGAAACTCAAAAAGGTAAAACTCCAACACAAAGGCCACGTTGGAAACTTTTCAGCTGTCAAGTTGCAATACTTTATCGAGTGCTACAGATTGGGACTTGCCAACAAATATGATGACATTCTCTCTTTTGATGATTACATACTCAATGCCGACCTGTAAGTGTATGAAGAAAAGGAAATGGATAGACTCGAATGGTTAAAGCTCGAAAGTGTTAAAAAACACTCAAAGCCTTTTATCTACACTCCACAACTCATTGAACAACTCGTTCAAAAGAGAAAAGAAAAAGAGGAGAGAAAACAATTAAATCTTGCCTCTAAATAGTTTTTATAATATTTAATTTAAATAAAATGTGTTTTGTTGTTTTAATAAATCAATTTTATTTATAGAGGCAAGATTTAATTTTTCAATATACACTACGCGCAACGTTTTTTTTTTTAAAGTAATTCTTTTCCTGTTCTCTCCTATCGGGAAGAGTAGTACTCAGAAGTTACAAAGTTTTATTAATTATACTTTTTAATTGACCAGCAAGAAATAAAGATTATCTCAAGAAGAATTAAAGTTAATTTGTTCTGGGGGTTTGTCCATGTCTATGATACATGTTATATGGACGTTGATCATGTATCTTATTGTATAGTGTCAAGCATGTTGGATTGTTTTGGATTGTTGCTTGTTCTAAAAATAAATTGGTTAAAGATATCGCTTTTTTTTTTTTTTTTTTTTTTTTTTTCTCAGCACTATAGGCTGTAATATTGTGTTATATAATTATTCTATGTTATTATTATTATTTAGTAAATTATTATATTATTAATATTATTATTGATAGATGAAGAGAGAGAAGAAGATGATGAAGGTGTTGAGGAGGATGAGAGGAATGAGGTTGAGGTGATCGATTATAGATGTAGTGTACGCAGAGTCTTGTACCTCTCCAAATGACTAGGTAGTGCGATCTTGTAGACAGTAGGATGGTTGTAGTTGGAGGAGAATCGAAGGATGATAGTTTGTATTCGTTCTGTAATCGTATGTATTACTGATTCGTCGGTTTGGTTCATTAGAGCCAAATGCCATCGATTACATAATTCTAACGTCTTGTCCCAGTTTACTTTTATAATATGTCGCATATCATTTAGCATTCTAGCTCGCAGGTATTGTTCAGTGAATGGTTCATCTCTTTGGTGACGTAGATCATTACGTCGGAACCATATTCGTTCGAGTGTTGCAGCAATCAAGTTTATAGTCATTGGAGGTTGTTTGAGGTTGAGGAGGGTGATATCCCAAACTGGTGGTGTAATGTTATTGGCAGCAGTAACCTCTTTCAGTATCTTTACTGGTAGTGTGGTCTCTTTGCATTGAAAGAACAAATGCTTGGAAGATTCATCTTTGCCACAGGATATACAGATTGAAGCGACTGGGTCACCCCTGACGAGCGGGAGACATTTGGTTACATACTTCCAAACCAGATCTCGACCCTTTGGTAGTACGATGGTAGAGAGACCAGCTAGTGCATTCATTGGATACACTCTGTCATCGGTTGCTAAGATCTTTTGGCCTGGGGTCGGGTCGTACACATTCCACTTTTCGTTGGCTATGGTCAGCCTTTGGAGGTACACTTGTTTGAGAGGTACTCTTCCTCTTTTGTCTGGTTCCATTGCTGGCTTGGGTACAGCCTCTCTGCTGACGTCGTAGGGTTGGGTAAGCTTTTCCCACTCGCTGCGGCAGAGGCGGACAAAATCGTTTGGTTTATCTTGGTTGAGTTGGTCCATCCATGATTGGGCAAAGGAAACCTTTGCAACTCGGTCGTTCTTTACCTCGTGGAGGAACCTTTCGAACATCCATGCCTTTTGGGCACGGAATCTAGCGTTGAGGTCCCAGAGGTTGAGACCACCTTGGTCGATCGATCGTATGGAACGTTTCTTGGACATGGTTCTTTTGGTTGGCTTGGTTGGGTCGTACTGACGGTCGTTGCTGAACATGAACCAATCAATAACCTTTTCCAATCTGGTGATTGCCTCGTGACTAGGTGATTCAAGGTACGTGAAATAATTTAATTGTGACAGACCATATGTTTTGAGCAAAGCTAATTTACCTCTATAGTTGTTGTTGTGTTTAGGTTTCCATCTAATCAAATCGTTGATTACCTTGTCAATACGCTCTGGAAGGTGTGGTACCAAACCAAACTGGTTAAAGTAATAGCCGAGGTATCGTTCTTTGCTTTCCTTGTCCATCAGTGGGTACGGTAAATTGGTTGGACTGCCAGGTGACATGATCACACATTTGTCAGTGTTGACTTTGGATGATGTAGCTTTACAGAAGCTTCGCGCGACGAGTATAAAAGGGACAAAGATCATAAAAATAGCATCAAACATAATGCAAGGTTATGTAAGTGGTCAAAGCAGTGTGACTCAAGTTCTCATCCTCCGGGTTCGTGGGTTCGACTCCCACATCTTGCATACTTTTTTTGCGGCAGGCAGGTGTGTATACTTATAAGAAGGATGAAGGAAGGCGTGGTACGCTGCTTGCCTTTGGTGTCACTGCGAGAGTGTCAGAGAACAAGTTAAAACCCAAACATATTCAATAAACATTCATTATCTTATTATATTATCTAATCCTCATATATAGATATCACATAGTTATATAGTAGTTACAGTGTGTCTCGGGTGTTTGGATCGCTGGCGCTCCCAAAAAAGTTTACAAGCATTCGCCCTTGCAGGGCTCATTATATATTAAATAAGTTAAAATAGTTAATTTATTTTTAGAAATATTTATTTTTATATTATTAAAGCTATTTGAATATTGGGAGGTCTAAATCTTTCAGGAATAATAATATCAGTGTATACTTCTGAAGCTTCAGCTGTTGCTTGCATTGTCAATGTTGTATGTGAATCAACACATAATGTAACTAATTTACCAATTCTTACGATATGCATTTGGTTGTATGAATAGACATATGATCCTCCAGATACATTGTATTTAAATTGAATCCAGTGTGTATAATATTCATAGAAATCCAATGGTGTTGGAATATAACCTGGTATTGGATTGACAAATGATAACTGATTTGTTTCTACAGATGGTGCATTGATAAATAATGATTTGATTGGTGCAATATTAATTGTTTCTCCAGTAATTTTGTTTGTTGCAAGAGATTCACACTCTATGTTGGCAATATCCAGCAATTGCATACTTACTTTGCCATTTATTTCAAGATTATTTACTGTTGTTGTTCCATTAATAGTAATTCCTACACCCGATTGAGGAGGAATTGGATTTGTTTTCAATTCATTTGAATCAATTGATTTGTCGACTTTTAAACTATCACTAAATGTCTTGTGTCCATTAATTGTTTGATCTATTTCTGTCAATAACACTTGAGCAACCTTTTTTGATCCAATACTTGGTATGTCTATTGTAGATTGTGATGTTGTATCTACATTTAAAATTACTTGCAAATCTCCAAAAATAATTTGATTTGTTGTGTTTTCCAGTACCAGTTGATCTGTAATTGTCAATTCATCAACTTGTCCAATGGCCACATCTTCAAATTCATTTAATAAATCTACAAATCTTGCTGTCATTTTTCTTTTTATATTAATTGTTAATCAATATTTAATATATTACTTTTTTCTAGGTCCTCTTTTTCTCTTGGCTCCACCATTAATTCCATATTGCGTTCCTCCAGCTTGTGTTCTTTTTCGTCTTGGTTTTTTTCCATAACCCAATTTGTCTGCAACCTCTCCAATCTTGCTAGCATAAGGAACACCAGCATCACCAAGTGCCTTTGCTCCTCTTGATATTAATTTGTTTTCTTATACAAAATCATATGCTTTTTTAAACCAATCTCCAAATCCATCTCCTTGCTGACCACCCAAACCTGTATGTATGAGAGCTCCATCATTTGAAATCCATATTCTGTTTCTGTTCATTTTTGTCTTATATAATTGAATCTATATTTTAATTTCAAGTTGTAAATTAAAATCCTTTCTATAATCACCATTTCTGCTTGTATAAAGAAAATGATATTTCTCTTTGGTTGCAAAAGAATAAATCTCTAAAAATAATTTAAGAGGAATGGTTAGTGATAACTCTTCATAAATTATTTTTAAAGTCTCTGTTGGTATATTTTTAAATAATAAAACATAATCCAAATTACCTTTTCTTATATGTGATGAAGTGTCTTTCCATGATTGAGTACTAATAATAATCTTGGTTGAAAAGTGTCTTTGAATCTTCATTAGTTTGGTAATACTTTGATCTTTTAATTCATTTGATAAATCATCAAAAATAATTAAATAGTCTGGTGCCACTTCTTTTTTTGATGATGATATGATTTCTCTGCCACAGTATTATTGGTCAATATTAATGATCTACTATTTTCTTTTGGTTTTACTTGTAAACTTTGAATAAAAGCTTCCAATACATTTGCCTTGTCATCATAAATACTTGTAAATGCCATAAATGTTATTCCTCTTTTATCCAAATCTTTTTGAATTTCCAACTATGATCATTGTGAACTGTTGCGCAAAAAATCAAAACATTTGTTTGTTTGTTAGTACATTCATCTATAATCTTTTTAATAACAACAGTCTTGCCACTATTCTTTGGAGCACATACCAATATATTTGCATTTAATTGATTAAATAATTCCGATCCTTTTACATTTTTTGGTGGTTGTGGTAGTTTGATTGGTTCCACAATGACATTATTGATTTTTGTTAGCTTTATCATTTTTATATATATGTTGATTTAAAATTTGGTAAATTGAAATACAGCTGCAAATTCCAATTCATTTTCCAAATAATTGTTGTTTTGATCCACACATTCAAAATAATAAGCTCCTTGTATAATGGCTCCACTTTTGTTTGTAAAATGTAAATTACAATTGGTGGTGGATATTTTTGAAAAGGAAAAAAGGTTGTTGTCACTAATCAATGAAGTTCTAATTGTGTACACATCCCCAATATGAAGTGTTCCATCCAAACTATAGAGTTTTAATGTAATAAGATCTGGAACAAAATCCAAATTCATTTGAACCATCAACCTTCCATGACCACCAGGAATGATACCACCAATTGGGATTGTTTTAATAATTGTCTGTTTGTTGAATTTCATTTTCCTATATTATTTAATAATGAATAAATAATATTTACATTAATGTCAATCCATTTGAAGTAATAACTAATCTTCTTTTACATACCACTGTTGATTGATGAGTAAGATTGGTTGCAACACTTAAAAATGCAATAAAATCCCATTTAACCTCTCCTAGATTTAAATCAATACCAGAAACAATATTTTCATCTAACAAACCAAATGATCCATCATCAAATCTATCCAACCAACACCAATTATAGTTGTGAATATTGGTGTTTGAATTGTTGAATCTATCAATTTGTCTCGCAATGCTTTATAATCATCATTTACATTTGGATAATAATCGTATTGCATTCTCCTAGGATTATTAATATTGGTATAGAAATGTTCCAAATTTGTTGAAGCCACATTGTTGTAGATGGCAGAGTTTGCAACTGAAGCAGTAACAAATAAACTATGATAAATTCTTTCCAAAGTAATACCATTTAGTCTATTTAATCTTAATGATACCGGCTGATTTGTACCTGTAAGTGATGCTGTTGTAGTATAACAATAAGGAATAAGTAAAGAGAAACCTTCTGGGCTTGCAATCTTTTGTTGTAAATTTTGAATAATATCAAACCTCTTTTCAACTGCTAAATGTATTTCCATACCTTGTACATTAGGTCCAGCAGGAGCAGTTAAAGCAACTGGGTTTGTTTGAGGAGTAAGAGAGGCATCTGCACCAAAACCAATATTTGGTAATTCTGACCAAACAAATCTAACCAATAATGTTTCATTCAACATAATATCCTTGTCCAATGATAAAATGGATTCGTATAATTCGTTGAATGGAATAGTTACATTTAAATTAACTGCTGTATTGTTTGCATTGCCTGAAGACAAATAGTCTGGTTCAGTAAAAGCTCTATCACATGAAGTGCCATCATATCTTGGATTCATATTTACCAAAGTATTGCATGAATAGCAAGGAATATATGTTTGATTTCCTGTATTCACTGCAGAGTTGTATGTTGAGTGTATCTTTTAATTTTTTGTTGATCTTGGTCACCATTTTAGAATGTAAATGAAAGTTTGTATGATCCATTAAATATGTACCACCTCTTGTAAAAACCTGTATCTGTCTAAAGAATGGAATAAAATCAGTAAATACAAATCCAAACTTTGCATTGGTTGCAGGTAATGTAAATGTAAATTGAAACCATGACCTACTTAAATTAAATGCTTTGGTTGGTGGTATTTCAAATATAGTGTCATTTCCTCCTTGATAAACTGTTGTTTGAGTTGCACCAGCTTGAGGATATACTCGAGTGTATTCATATTGTGGTCCTGATCCAACCATTTGTCGATAATCAAATTGATTTGAAATTTCTTGTTCCATTTTTTTAATTCTAAATATTCTATATATCTAAAATTAAATTTCATCAACAACTGTTAATGATTCTTTTTCTTTAACCAATAAATAATTTATATATTCTCTTACCAATTGTGAGATGTCATTATGTTTGAATAAAATCAATGTCAGATTAATATTTACACCATTTAAATTTACTTCATTTCCATCTTGATCTGTCAAATAAATGGTAAAGCTTGTCTTTGTATTTGATACCAATTGTTTACTATATGATTCAACATCATAGTTTGCCAATGAATATTTGAAAAGTCTGCATTACCAGCTTCAGAATAAACCTCTTGTAATATATCATCATCTCCATTACTACATATATCCGAATGAATAAACAATACATTGTCAGATTGTAAGTTGATTACATTGGTTGATTCCAAAATATTATTCTTAAATTTATTTGTTGAATCTTTATTAAAACCTAAATGACGAAATAATTGATTAGTAAAAGAAAAGATTGGTTGAATATCTCTTGTTGATGCACATGTAAATATATATTTACCAGTATTTGGTTGTTGTGATGTCGGCCAATTGATTGCATATTCACATTGTTTGGTGACAATGCATTCAATTGCCTTTCCAATGTATCTTGTAATGATTTTCTTGATTGATTTAATTGTATCATTTGCTCAAGATTTGAAAAAAAAACAAAAGATTGGTAGTGGAAGATCAAACAAAGGTCTTTATGATAGCGAGATTGAAAGAATAATGAAACCATATCATAAAAAAGGATTTGAAAGAGTAATAGCAAGTGATCAATTAAATTTATTGGAACCAAAAGACAAGATGTCGTTTATTATGAATTTGGATCCACACAACAAACCAGGAAGTCATTGGATTGCAGTATACATTGATGCAGATAAAGATAAATCAGTAGAGTATTATGATTCATTTGGTCAAGAACCAACCGATGATTTTATGAAACAATTAAAAGATTTAATTGATGAAATCAACCCAGATTATTATTTAAAATTCAAATTAAACAAAGTCATTGATCAATCATCAAATAGTACTACATGTGGATATCATGCAATTAAATTTTTATTAAATAGATACAATGGTATACCATTTAAAGAATCAGTGATATATCAAAAGAGGAAAACAAAGCAAAAAAGATGAGAGATGATTGGAACAAGTTTGGTCGAATTTAATAATATTAATTATTATTTGTATTATTATTTGGTTGATTTGTTGATTGTGATAGATCAACTGTTGCACCACAACACAATCCTTTGACAATCATTTGTATTCTTTATCTTGATTTTTGCTTTCCCCAATCCATTTCATTACTTGTTTTAATAATTAATTGATATATAACAACACTAGCAACATCTCTCTCTCAAGAAAAGTACCTGTGACCAAGCGCTAGCCTGAGTATTGGCTTGGTCAAATCCGAATGAGGATGCAAGTAAAACAAGAGATACCAAGTAAAAAATGAAAATAGATAGGATCGATAAGTAAAGAAGTTGTCAAAGTTGTTTGAAGGAAATGAAGAGAAATTAAAGAGAAGACAAGTAAAAGACGAGAGATCAAATACTTTACAATCAAAAGTTAACAGAAAAGAGAATAGAAGAATTGGAAGGCAAGTAATGAAAGAAAGGAATCTTTTGGAATTGGAAATCAAACAAAACAGAAATAATGGTTTTATCAAATGATAGGAATGATTCCAAAAGACTATCCAAAATAAGAATAGAGATGATTAAACTCGAGCACCCTAAGTCTATTTAACTTTTGTACTTTTATACTAATAACAAACAAATAATAAATGCTGACTAGTTGCATTCTACGAGTTAAATTCCGGTTACCCTAAGATTTCTAAAAATGATTAATGGAGTATAAATTCAGCAAGGACAACCAGATACGAAATATAGATGTTAGGCTTTTATTTACAATGGTTTGTTTGGTCCACAATTAATTAAATTGTCAACATCACTTCCCACGGGATACAATTCACTAGCGGGGATAGAGGTAAAAACCATTTGGAGAGCATATTGACGTACATTACGAGGGCCTTTTACTCTGGTTTTGGTGGAACTCTTCTTGCCATTGGGGTCAGTTTGTGTTTTGAGCTCCACATAATCTTGTCGAGGGAACGACTCGAAGCGTTCGGGAGGGACGACAAAAATGAGGTGGAATGTGGTATACTTGGTGGATGCATCAGCAGTTGTTGTGGATGTATCAGCAGTTGTTGTGGATGCATCAGCAGTTGTTGTGGATGTATCAGCAGTTGTTGTTGTTGTTGATGCATCAGCCGTTGTTGTTGTTGTTGTTGTTGATGCATCAGCCATTGTTGGTAGTTTTGTTGGATCTATTGGGGTTAAGGGATCAAGGTTATAAGTGATATGAGTGAGTTCTTTAAAAGAGACAGGGTGTTGGTTGGTTTTGGTGATTTGAAATAGATATTTTCCTGCAAAGGAATCAATTGCTGGGAAGTTCAAATCGGTTGGTCTAACATAGGTTTCTGGTGGGAAACGATTGTCAGAGTTACGTCTTTCAACTAGCTCGGCAGTATTCTTTACAAAACCAAAATTTGTGGGGAAAAAGTGAAGGTGGCTTTCGCAAAGATTGTCTTCTTCTTCTTCAAGTGATCTGATAATATATCTGCCTCCATTACTAAGAGTCTGGTGAGACAGCTGCTCAAAGAGTAAACCGCCAATCTGAGTTGTACCAACCAAAGAAATTTTTTTGATAACTTCTTCCCTCCAATTCCAATAGAATCTTTGAACCATCTTTTCTTTGACGTAGTTGGAAGCGAAGGAGACTCGTGGCACCGAAAAATCTGGACAGTTTGGTTCGACGTCCAAATGAATCACTTTGTGACTTCCTGACTGTGGTGAGTCTGGCATGTTGATACTACTAACGCATGCTTCAAGGTCTGTACAGGAGATGGCATTGACGAGAAGTCCTTGATCAGATACACTGATTTTATCAAGTACTCATCTAAAGAATTAAGGAAAAGTTAGGAATAGGCCAACGGTGAATAGTACACATATTATAACATACCTTGGAATTCCACCCCATCTAAAGTATCGGCTTTCAACATCTTTAATTGGATGATCAAACATCAAGCAGTTTGAAGCCAGGATCTCCAATGATGACCATATGGGCATGATAATTCGACATGTTTTTCCATCCTGAGAAAAAAAAAGAATTGATTAGAACTAGTTTTAGAATTAATTAATTAATGAATGAACGAACCTTCATGTACTCCTCCTCATAATTTGACTTGTTTGGTGACGACACAATCAAAGTGGGTCTTTTGGATGGCAGTGGGCGCTGACCATCAACGAGGTAAAGAGATGATGAATCTGGTCGAAGAAGGATATCCTTGAAAGAGGATCTATCTCCTTGGTGAACGATTGGACTCCCATCCTCGGTATAAGTAAAGTGGTAGACGGGTGCATCAACAACATCGTATATTATTGATTTGACTAAAGGGTCTCTTCTCTTGCGGTACAGGTAGTAGAAAAGAAATACTGATTTGCCGATACCAGGATTTCCTTTTACCAGTACAATTGAACCTTGACCATGAAGAGCTTGGTGATTGCTGATGATATCATACACAGGGATATAACAATCTCGTACATAAATCTTGTTGTATTTCTCTCTCTTTGTTGGGAATAGTGACTCACTCAATTTGAGACAACAAATTGTCGAATCAGAATCCAGAGTAGATTCTCCAAGAGAGACTTTTTGTTTCACTGCTTCCTCAACTATTTCGGCCATGTTAAGTTTATTCCAAAATATATTCACATTTGGATCAGATACTAAAAAGAGTGAGAGTTAAATTAGTATGCCATACAATGGAAGTATGAAATGATGGTTTTTACAACTTTCTTCCTATCGCATTCCTTTTTTAAAAAGATGATAGTGATTTTTAATTATCTGATGGATATAGGAAGTGCTGTTAACCGGATAGGGGAGTGAAACAAACTAATAAAATTGTAGAGGTTTTGAGTGCCCAGTGATATGAATGGTTGATATAATATTAGGAATGGTTGGAGATGGATTGACCAACAACAATGAGGCAAGTGAGGGGCCTATAATGTGAGGAACAAACAAGCAAAACAAAATGACTAGATTTGAATGATGGTGATCGGTTGATGCACCAATTAGATATGTTTGACAAAAGGAGTGGATAAGATGGAAAAAGAGACGGGTGATAAAAATAAAAGGATGTAGAGTGATCAAGAGGGGAGTAGCTTGGTGAAGGGACCATGGTATTTGGTTTGTTAAAAAGGATTATAAATATATGAAAGAGGTCAATGATATGTAAAGATGAACAAGCAAAACAAAATGACAAATGTTTAGTGTTAGGTTGGTACGACAATGGTTGGAAGTACACAATGAGGCAAGTGGTTAAAAGGAAAGAGACGGGTGGTGCATTGATTGGTAATGAAAACAAAAAGATAATCAAAAGAAATGGTGTAAAAAGGGGAGCAATGATAGTGATTTTTAATTATCTGATGGATAAAGGAAGTGTAGTTAACTGGATAGGTGAGTGAAACAAACTAACAAAAGGTAGAGGTTTTGAGTGTCCAGTGATATTAATGTGATTGGTTGATATTTAGGAATGGTTGGAGATGGATTGACCAACAACAATGAGGCAAGTGAAGGGCCTGTAATATGAGAACAAACTAAACAAAATGACAAAATGACAAGTGATGGTGATTGGTCGATGGACAATGGTATTTGATTTGGGTCAAAGGATTATAAATATATCAATGAACAAAAGGTCGATGATATAAAATATGAACAAACAAAACAAAATTGCAAATGTTTAGTGTTTGGTTGGTTCGAAAGTGGTTAAAAGGAAAGAGATGGGTGGTGCATTGATTGGTGATGGTGTTTGGTTGGTGTAAGAAATAGACTGGCCAATAATGAGTCAAGTGTCAAGTGGTCAAAAGGAAAGGAGATGGGTGAAAAAAAGGTAATAGTTGAAAGAGGAGAATGTAGTGCAATATCCGATGGAATGTTAAAATGGAAACAAAAGTTGTTGATAAAATATAAATTTAATGAAATATGAATAAAATTGTGTTTATATTACCTTGAGGAGCATCGGCTGGAGTACCTAACAAAAAAAAAAAGAGAGGAAATTTAGTGTCCACACACACATATTGATTTGGGATTAATTTGTACATACTTTTCGTGAGCTTTTCGATTGATTCAAGAAGAGAATAGGCAGAACCATCTTTGAATTTATAGGGACCGTCTGACTGAGTTAATCTTGCAAAGGTAAGATTTTTCAAAAACTGCCCTTTGATGGATTGATCTTTCAATGCTTGAGCATAGTCCTCCCCATCGGATTGATTTTTTGCCCATCCATACACTTCTTCAATATTCCACTGTTCCCAAGTCTTTGATTTGTCCTGTATAGGGTTGGGATTGTCTGAAACAAAAAAAATGGTCAATTTCTTATTAATAACTATTTGTTCCAAATATAACTTACCAGTGCCAGACATTTGTTCTTCTTTTGGTGGTTGAGTGTTAGGGTACAAGAGATAATATATGAATTAATGTCAAAGAAATAAGGATAAAAAGGCAATAAATGAGCAAATGTGGTAAGGAATGTTATATGGCGGATATATATTTATAAATTAAAATACTAGGAGTGAAAAAAGAGAGGGAATGAATATATATGTACAAGATACTGGTGTCTCTTTAACTGATGAATAGATAAATATGAAATATATGAATAAATGGCAAAAAAAAGAACAAATAAAAGGTATCAGAAATACATAATAACACTGCTGCTGCTGATGCTGCGGTATGGTGCTTCTATCATCAGACTCCAAGAAAAAAAAATATTATATTATAATTATTAAAAAAATGGTGGTTTTATTTTATATAATAAAAATCATTAGAAAATGTCTAATGGGTGAGTGATGATAAGACAAGACTTTAATATTAGGGTTGATGGTGTGATTAACAGATGACTTGAACCACAACACCACCAGTAACTAAAGTAGAGCAAAGAGTATCATGATGGGGTGGTGGGGAAATCTGACGAATGACAATCATGTGCAGTTATCATTACTTACCTCTACTGCTGCTGTGTTGATGCGATAGCGATTGTTGTTGTTTAATTAAAAGTTGTTGAACAGCCAGATAGAGCTTCTTTGCAGGTGCTACGACTATGCCACATTTACTAAAATCAGCCTCTGTAAACACTGCGATACTTTCTCCATCTACATCATTATCAAGAAGCATCTGGGCATATTCTTCTCTTACTTGAACTTCTTTTGTAGCCCATTCTTTTACTTGTTTTGCTGACCATCGTTTGAAATCGCTTTGTGATGCAATTTCTGTTATTGTCAAAGCATTATACATGTTATGATTAAAAGAGATGCCGTAAATTAATATATAATGAGCCCTGAAAGGGCGAATGCTTGTAAACTTTTTTGGGAGCGCAGCGATCCAAACACCCGAGACACACACAGGCAGGGGCAGGCAGGGGCAGGCAGGGACAGGCAGGGATAGGCAGGGACAGGCAGGGACAGGCAGGGACAGGCCTTTTTTTACTTTGCCATTATTTTACACTTTGACATCAAGGCTTGGAACCTCGCCACTACCTAATATTGCACTTTGCCATGACCCTTGACACTCCCATGGTATATTTTTGTAAAGGCAAATTCGTGATCATCTAAATAAAATTGCCTTTTACATACTCTTCACTCCAACCAGCCAACAAATGACAGTTGTTCTTGAATACGTCATACTGGATTTCAAAACTAATAATAATTAAAATTAATGACAACTAGAACAGATATAATCCTTCATACATTTGCTTACATTTGAAATTGATTGATATCGATCATACCAAGATTTATAAATTCTTTCTTTTAAAGTAGTCTTAGAGTTCATATTATCTCCTCCTATATAATGAATTTATTATTATTATTATCATAGTTTCTCCCTTTGGTATGGTAGGTCATATGATACATATGCAGTTTGTCAAGCTTGATAATAATAATAATAATCTATTATCTATAAATAAAAAATAATTATTATTACAAAGTCTTTGATACATCAAATACTTTAAAAATTATTATTATTATTATTAGTTTTTGTTACGATCGCGATGATGATCAAAAAGTAGTGGTCTTTTCAAAGACCGACCTCTTAAACTCGGAATTCGAAAAGGGATAACCTCAAACATTGGCGCGCTGAACAAAAATCTTTGAAAAAACAAAGAATTGTCGTGTGTCTTTGAAAAAACTTGAAACTGACAACTACCAACCGATTATTTATTCAATCAACTGATCTAATCGACTATACTATGATTGACCTATAGAAGAATTTATTGCAAACCCCTAACCTCCACAATCAAACTACTACTTTTACTCTCTATTTATTTAAACTGACAACCATAAAAAAATTACATTTACTTTTTGATAAAATAATATTCTACTGGATGCCAACTGAATGTAGTTTCATTGACAACTAAAATACTCGCCAATGAGAACGGCTATTTTTTTTTAGAGATTTAGCCCCGATCGACGACGCTCTCTTGAAAAAATCCCACATGAAATTTTGTTTTTTTTCTTTCCTTTTCTAGACCCCCCTGCATGTGAGTCCCCTCTCCCTGATTGGTCATGAATTTGAAAAAAAACAACGACTTTGTGTCTTTCAAGAATCAGGTGATCCTTTGTTGAATCAACCCATCTTCAACGAAACCGTTCAAGGGTTGATCAAACGTTGATAATTTTATTTTTAAACAATATTCTGTTCTTTTTTTTTCTCATCACAAACATTAAAAATAGAAATCAAGGCGATTCAATAGACTATTATTAAACAGATAAACTTTTTTTAATTTAAAGAGGTAATTAATCACATGTATATATCTATATAAATATCTTTTCTTTTCTTTCTCTCTTTGTCCTCTCTCTCTCTCTGTCTCTTTTTAACATCTCACTATCTATCTGATCAAACCATTTTATTTTAAAATAACTTCTCTTCCTCTCTCACTATTTTATCGTGCGTGTTTAAACATTCTCTCTCTTTTGATCGATTGGGTGGGTGGGTGGGTTGTATGTAGAATGTTTCATTGTGTTTGTTGTGACATGGTAGGATAAAAAGATTTAAGATTTAAAAACCCCTCACCTCACCACCATTGTAATTATTTTTAACCATTTCAAAGAGGATCACCCGGCACTTCTTTCTTACCACATTCAAAAAAGGGATAGAGAGCGGGAAAGAATGTCAGATCTCTCCTATCAATTATAATTATATTTTTAAATTTACTCCTTTCTCTCTACCATCTCATCTCTTTTTAAAAAACAAATTATTTTATATATAATTTAATACTTACTTAATTATTTCTTCTTCTTTTTAAAAAGTAGATAAATATATATATATAAAAAAATGAATAAAGTTATTTTAACCATCACTTTACTCCTCGCTTTTGCTGCTTTGTTTGCCACTGCTGCTCCACAAATCTGCTCAAGCCAATACGAATGTGACTCTGACCAATACTGTGTTAACGGATATTGCGCTGGTTGCAAGTCTGACTGTGACTGCAAGGGTGGTCAATTCTGTTCTTTCAATACCCTCGACTTTGTAAGTCAAAAAACAAACAAAAACCTTTTCGATTCACAAACCATAACTAATCATTTATAACTTTTTCGTTTCCTTTCTTTCCATCTCTCTTAGGGTCGTTATGGTACCTGTCAAAAGTTCGATGTTGATGGAGATGATTGCATTGATTTGTCATTAGGATCAATCCAAGATGAACGTGTTGACAACTCTACCAAGTGTGCCGTCACCTACTACGATGTCCGTAACTCTGTTGGTAACCGTATGGTTGTTGAAAAGCTCGGTTCCTGTATGTCTGGCAAATGCCGTATTTGTGACTACGCCAATGACGGTAGTATTTGTACCACCGGTAAGTCTGGTCCACGTACCTGTGTCTTCCCAGGCAAGACCTACACCCACCACTCTGCTCCATGGGCTCCAGGAGCATATTTTTCAAACACCGTCTCTGTCTGGTTGGCCATCTTCTTCTGTTTCATCGTCATTATCACTGCTTTCCACGTCATTGGTTTCTTGAAAAAGTAAACACCCAAATTTAATCCAAAACAAATTACTTTGTAATGTACGCTCTGCTTTAAAATAAACATATCCAATTAAATTATTCATGTTTATAAAATTGTAAAAACAAACAAACAAAACACAAAGATAATATAAACATATCTCTTATATACATTGAATTTGGAATCCAGTTATACAACTTGTTTGGAATCGATTGCCCCCTTTATCAACCACCTAGCAAGTATATGAAAAAGTTTGGAGGCATTTGAATATTATTGAATTGATCAACCAACAAGGAGGAGGAAGATCTTTGTTTCAAGATATATATGTAATCACCAATAAACAATTGTGATACTAGGTTTTCGGTAAAAACATTCTTTTTTTAAAAATTAAATCTGTTGCTTTGGCGAACTAAAGTCAACCTGTTTCAGCTTTAAAGCTAGTAATCACCAAACCCACACACACACACACACACCATCGGATACTTTACTTTATTTGTATATATATCATCATACCCATTATTATATTACCAATGTGTGTCTCAAAGTAAGAGACTTTGGCGCCATTTTTGAAACTTCTTGTAATTTGTATTTTTTTTTTTTTGGAGGGAGAGTTTTCGACAAAAATAATTAATGATCATTGCTACATTTTAGTTTTCAAAAAAGTATTATTACTATCAAGTCGACTAGTTTATAGTTATATACATATATATATATTATATTAATATGTATATAGAAAGTATAACATTAGAAGGATTTAAATCCTATGCAAGAAAGATTAAACTTGATAACTTTGACCCATCATTCAATGCCATAACAGGTATGACATTAAATGCATACATCTATATATTATTTATTAATTCATTATTTTAAAACCCTAAACAGGTATGAATGGTAGTGGCAAGAGTAATATCTTGGATGCTATATGCTTTGTATTGGGTATTTCAAAGTTGGGTCAAGTTCGTGCAACAAAGTTGGATGATTTAGTGTACAAACAAGGTCAAGCAGGTATCACTAGAGCTACAGTATCCATCACATTTAACAATCTAGATAAATCTCGTTCTCCACTAGGTTATGAGACTCATGATAGTATTTCAATTACAAGACAAGTATGTAAAATGAAAAAGAAATGAAATAAGATAAAAGATATAAGATTCTTTTACTTATTTATTTCTATTTTTAGGTAGCAATAGGAGGTAGAACAAAATATATGATTGGTGGTCAAGCAGCAACACAAGATAGAATTAAAAATCTTTTTGATTCTGTTCAATTAAATGTTAATAATCCTCATTTCCTTATTATGCAAGGTCGTATCACAAAGGTTATCAATATGAAACCACATGAATTCCTTTCATTGGTTGAAGAAGCTGCTGGTACTAGAATGTTTGAACAAAAGAAAAAATCTGCTCTTGATACAATTGCAAAAAAAGAATTAAAATTGATTGAAATTAATAGAGTAAAGAAAAGAAACAAGGAAAAGAAGAAGTAGAGGAGGAATATTAATATTAATATTTTTTACTTTTCTTTTAGATTTTAAATGAAGAAGTAACACCAAAATTATTACAATTAAGAACAGAGAAACAAGCATTGACACAATTTTTAAATAATGAGAAGCAATTGGAACAATTGGAAAGATATTGTACTGCTTATGAATACTTTGAATCAAATAAAAAGGTTCAAGGTCAATCAGAGACAATCAAGGAAATGAATTTGGAAAAGAAAACATTGCAAGATCAAATGGTAGAATATACATCAGAGATTGATGCTACCAAAAAGAAAATGAAACAAATGCAAGACAATAGACAGAAACAGTTTAATAATCAAATCGAAGAGTTGGAAGCCAAAGAAGATAAATTGGGTCAGTTGGTGGCCAAACAAGAGACTCTACACAAACACAAAAAAGAAGCATTGGATCGTGAAATATCGTCGGTTGGTTCGATTGCAAAGTCTACCAATGAAATCAAACAATCCATTGCCAACAAGATCAAGGAAAAGACGGCCATGGAGAAAAAGATTGAAGGTATTGTACAAGAGAATGATCGTTTGGGTGCACTCGTCAAACAACTTCAAAACAAGTTGGAAGGTATTGCAGCTGGTATCACTACCGACGACGATCAAGACAATGGTTCATTCACTGATCAATTGATGAATGCTAAAAAAGAGGCTGTTCGAGCTGCATCGGAATTCAAACAGGCCGAAATCCGTATCAAACACATGACAGAGGAATTGTCAACCAAAAAGAAAAGTGTCAACAAGGAGGAAGAAGATTTCAAGAGAATGAGAAACGAAGTTGGTTCGGTTGAAAAGGAAGTAGTTCGTCTTCGTGAACAAGTTCAATCTCTCGAAGGTGGTCACTTGCGTCAAGAAGAATTGTTGGTTAGAAAGGGTGAACTCGAACCAACTTGTTTCCAAATCCGTGAGAGAATTGGTGTCCTGGCCTCTCAATTGTCGGGTATGGAGTTTACCTATTCAGATCCATCAAGAGATTTTGATCGTTCCAAAGTTCGTGGTGTCGTTGCCAATTTAATCTCTCTCAAAGATGCCGATACTGCCACTGCCCTCGAAATTTGTGCCGGTGGTAAACTCTACAATGTCATTGTTGAAGATGAAATCACTGGTAAAGCTCTCCTTGCCAAAGGTAACCTACGTCGTCGTATGACATTCTTACCTCTCAATCAAATCGATGGTTATACAATCGACGATAGAAAAGTAAAAGGTGCTGAAAAATTGGCTGGTAAAGATAATGTTAAAACTGCAATCTCTCTTGTCAATTATGATCCATCACTTCAAAAAGCTATGAATTTTGTTTTTGGTTCTTCTTTTATTGCAAAAGGTAAATTAAAACAAACACAAATAATAATTATATATATATTAATTTTTCTTTTTTATTTTATTTTGGTTTAGATAAAAAATTTGCACAAATGGTAGCATTTGATAAAGATATTAAAACAAAAACAATTAGTTTAGAAGGTGATGAATATAATCCAGTAGGTTCATTGACTGGTGGTTCAAGACAACAATCTGGTTCAGTTTTGAATCAAATCCAAAAATTAAATGAAATGAATGCTCAACTCAGACAACATCAAACTGAATTGGAAAAGATCAATTATCAATTGGCTCAAGCAAAATCTTCATCTGATCAATATAAACAACTCAAACAAAATCTTCAATTAAAAGAACATGAACTTGGTTTAATTAATCAAAGATTAGAATTTAATCCCCAAGCTCAAGTAAGAAAAAAAAAAAAAGAAAAAAATAGAAAGAATAGTTTTATTAATATTTATATTTTTTTAGTTACTTTCTAGTATAAAAGAAATTGAAATTAAATTAGAATCTGATAAACAATTATTAGAAGATAGTAAAAAGAGAGAAAAAGAAGCAAATGCAAAGGCAAAAGAATTGGAAAGTCAATCAAATGATTTCCAAGCAAGAAGAGATAAACAATTAAAAGAGATTGAAAAGAATTTGGCAGAAAACAAGGAAAAGTTTAACAAGTCCAACAAAATTGTTAAAAGTGAACAACAAGGTATTGAAAAGTTGACATTTGAAATTGAAGAATTGGAATCTGAATTGGCAACCATCACCAAAGAATCTGCTTCAAGTGAAGATGTCACTAAAAAGCTTCAAAAGGAACTTGAACAACTCTCAAAGGATTTGGAAAAGGCTACAGATGATTACAATGGTGTGCGAGATGAATTGGAAAAACTTAGACAAGACTTTAAGAATCTAAATGAATCGATCAGAGAAATGTCTGGTCAAGTTGAAAAGTTGGAGAAAAAGATTTTCGATACTGGTCTAAATGTTAAAAAGGCAGAACATAAAATCTCTACTTTTACAAAGGAAATTGCTGAAGCTGAAGCTTGTATTCGTAATTTAGATAAACAACATCCTTGGATTAAATCTCAAAAACAGTAAATATCAAAAAAACAAAAAAATTAATAATAATAATTATTAACCTTTTTTTTCTTTTTCTTTTTCTTTTTCTTTTTTTATTAGTTTCTTTGGAATGCAACATGGAGATTTTGATTTTGAAAATAATCCACAACAAAAAATTAGTGCAATGTTGAAACTTCGAGCTCAACAAAATGAAACTGGCGGTAACCTCAACAAGAATGTTTTAAAGTTACACGATCAAGTAGAAAGAGATTATGTAGATTTGAAAAACAAAAAGGAAACTGTTGAAAAGGACAAGGAAAAAATTGAAGCAGTCATTAAAGAATTGGATGAAAAGAAAAATGAATCACTTGAAAAAACTTGGAAAAAAGTTAACAAGTATGTAAATCAAAAAAATAATGTATTAAGTTAACTTTGGTTTGTTTACTCATCTTATTTTTATTTAGCGATTTTGGTAAAATTTTCTCTGGTTTATTAAAAGGTGCAACAGCAAAATTGGAACCATTAGAAGGTAAATCAGTTTTGGAAGGTCTTGATGTAAAGGTAGCTCTTGGAGGTGTTTGGAAGGATACACTTAGTGAATTGAGTGGTGGTCAAAAATCATTGTTGGCCTTGTCATTAATTTTGGCTCTCTTACTTTTCAATCCCGCTCCAGTCTATATTTTGGATGAAGTCGACTCTGCTTTGGATCTTTCTCATACTCAAAACATTGGTGAAATGCTCAAAGAATACTTTAACAATGCTCAATTTATTGTAGTCTCTCTCAAAGAGGGTATGTTTAACAATGCAAACATTCTCTTTGAAACTAGATTTGTTGATGGTATCAGTGAAGTTCGTCGTAACAATCTTAATCAAAATAAGAAAAAGAAACTTCAATAAAAAATAAAAAAGAAAAAAGATAACATGTTTTGTATAAATTAAAATGATTTTATTTACTTAATTGTATCGGTTGAAATTCATCATTTTTATAATGTTTTCTAATAAAAGAAATAATGGCAGCTATTCCAGTTGGTGTAACACCTGGAACTCTACTTGCAGAACCAATGGTTGTTGGTCTAGTCTCTGATAATTTTTGTCTCATTTCAGTTGATAGTTGTCCAACTTTATAGTAATCTAGTGAATCTGGAATGGCACGTGATTCTTCTTTTTGGAATCTTTCAATCTCGGTTTGTTGTCTAACCAAATAATCTGAATATTGACATTCAGATTCAATCACTGGTATAATATGATGTGGTATCGCATCCAATCTTTCTCTTCCAAATAATGGTACCAATGTTTCCAATGTTATATGAGGTCTCTTTAAAATATCAAATAATGATTTTTTACCATTATTTATACTACCAATTCCACATTTTTCTAAATATTCTAAAGATAATAAATAAAACAAAATAAATTAATAAATCTATTTATATATATATATATATATTTTTAATTTTTTTAGATTACCTTTAGGAGAAAAAAAAGTAGAATTTAAATAATTTATAGTATCATTTATAATATTTTCTTTTTTTAAAAATTGTTGATAACGATCTTGAGTAACACAATCAAATTGATAACCTTTTTTTGTTAATCTTTGATCTGAATTGTGAGCACGTAAACTAATTCTATACTCTGATCGAGATGTAAACATTCTATATGGTTCAGTGACGCCGAGGGTAACCAAATCGTCAACCATGACACCGAGATAACCTTCTGAACGATCGACGATCATTTGTTGTTTGTTCGAGTCCAATGAGAGTGAAGCATTGATTCCAGCCAAGATACCTTGAGCTGCAGCCTCTTCGTATCCAGTGGTTCCATTAATTTGTCCTGCAAAATAGAGACCTGGTATTTTTTTGGTTTCCAACGTCGGTCTAAGTTCACGTGGATCGACATAGTCATACTCTACAGCATAACCAGGTCTCAACATGTTTACCTGTTCCAAACCAGGAATAGTCTTTAAGAATCGAAGTTGTACCTCTTCGGGCAATGAAATGCTGATACCACTTGGATAGATAACGTCTGTGTTGTATCCTTCTGGCTCTAACCAAATTTGATGTGTTTTGGCTTCAAAACGCTCAATCTTGGTTTCAATCGATGGACAGTATCTTGGACCCAAACCTTTTCCATCACCACTGTCAAGTGTTGGTCTGCGATCAATATTCTCCAAAACAATACGATGTGATTCCTCTGTTGTTCGTGTCATATAGCAATAGAGTTGATTGTCTGCATATTTGACACTGTCATTCATAAAACTAAATGGTGTTGGGATGACATCACCCTCTTGTACTTGTAAACCTTGATAGTTTATAGATTTGCCATCGAGTCGAGGTGGTGTTCCAGTCTTTAGTCGTCCCAATTGGAACCCAAATCTAGCCAATGTCTGTGACAACTTTGTAGCCGCCTTGTCTCCTATTCTACCAGCAGGTACCATCTTTGAACCAATATGAATGACACCTCCCAAAAATGTACCAGTTGTAATAACCACTTTTCTAGTCTTTATAATAGTTCCATCAGATAGAATAACACCAGCCACTCTTTCCTTTTCACCATCTTGTTCTAAAAGTAAATCATCAACCATTGCTTCACGTATCGACAAGTTACCACCTTGATCATGACTATAGCCTGCCAATATGTCGTGTACAGATGCTTGATATAATTCACGATCTATTTGTGCACGTGGACCGTGTACAGCAGATCCCTTTGATTGATTCAATATCTTGAATTGACAACCACTCTGATCTGCTGCCAAGCCCATCACACCGCCCAAAGCATCGACCTCTCTCACCAAGTTTCCTTTTCCAATACCACCGATCGAAGGATTACAAGACATGACACCAATAGTATTGATCGATTGTGTAATCAATAATGTTTGAGCACCAACACGTGCCGATGCAGCACATGCCTCTGTTCCTGCATGTCCACCTCCAATCACAACTACATCATATTCATTTCGATCGGTACGATTACATAATTGTGATTTAAATTCTCTTTCTTTAAAGTTATTTATACAAAATGATGATGTTGAAATTGATTCTGAATTGTTGGTTGAATAATAATATTTACAAATTGAAGAAGTAGATGTAGAAGGAGATTTATATAAACAAGATAATGAAGAAGAAGAAGTAGAGTTAAAGTTTGATAACTTTAAAGACAATGATAAATTCCTTTGAATAGATGATAATCTATTCAATTGATTAATCATCTCTCTTCTCTTTTATATATTGTGATGTATTGTCTCTTTGTTTGAAAAAAGAAAATACTTTCTACAATCGTTCGTTTTTTTTTTACTATTTAAAAAAAAGGATGAAAAGACGTAGTAAAACACGATGTATATAGTAGTAAAAACTTAATAAGAGTTTTTTATTAATTTAAAAAAAACCATGAAACTTGGTAGTTGTGTGTGGAGTATAGAGGGGATCGATCTGATCTACTAGTTTAGAAGATGAGCTTCTTGGCGGTTTGACCAGTAATGGTGAAGTTGGTGTTGGCTTCAGCCAAGATGGAGGCACCCTTGTGGATGGAACCGCAGGTACCAGTGCAAACAGCGATTTGGACTTCGTAGGAACCGGCTTGGAATGGCTCTTGTTCAGATGGTTGGGCTTGGAGAGAGAATTGGACTGGGTAGACACCTGGGGCTTCGTAGAGGATGAGTTCAGCACCACCGACAACGTTGCCAGCTGGATCGATGACGTTGAGACCGACTTGACCGACGTTGACGACAGAGGTGACGTTGTAGACGGCAGAGATGGTGAAAGTGGTACCTTGTGGAGCAGAAGCTGGGGTAACAGAGACAACGTTGATGCTAGCAGCAGCACCGGCGTTTTGTGGGCAGGCTCTGGCGACTTGACAGAAATAGATGGGATCTGGGTCTTCTTCTTGGACGAGCTTGACAAATTCTTCGATACCGAAATAGTCACAGGCAAGTGAACAGACCATGTTTTCAATGCTGTTTGGTAATAAACCACAGAGACCCTAAATTATATAAAATAAAATAATAAAAAGATTTTGATTAGTTTTGATTTGTGTTATGTTTAAAATTGATTGATTTTTTTGACACATACAGAGCAACCACCAATGACACCACCGTTGACGATGATGTTGAGGAGATCGTTGATGGCTTGACCCATAGCGTCAACACAGACGGCACAACCTTCACCCTTCTTTCCGACCTTAGCCTTGGAGAGTGGGGAAGCAACAGATGATGCAACGAGGGCGAGAATAACGATTGAAGCTAAAATTTGCTTGAACATTGTATGAATGATATAATGTGTTATGTGTTCGTTTGAAACTACAATAATAAAGTGCTGAGGTTGTTACAAGTTGTAGGAGCTTAGGAGCTTGGTATGGAAGGTTGAAAAAAAATTAAAAAAAATAGAAATTTTGTTCGTGAAAAATATCTTGGCGGGCTGCAACTTTGCTCTCTACTCTTTTTATCTGGATTTTTTTGGGCTTGCCTCACAGCTGAGCTGTGGTCTTCAACAACTTTTCACCATTGCATGACGTGAGACAGAGGCAAGTTTCTTGATTCTTTTAATTGATTTTTGCAGCAATAATACAAATTTCGCGAAATTTTATCTGTTTTAAATATCGACAAACCATTGGAGCTGCAATCGTAATCAAACATCCGATGTAGAAATGTCAATAGATTCTTCGTCTTGCTGACTGATTTAATTATTCATTCACACACCTTTGTTTTTTATAACCTAATGAACATCGTTGTCGGGGGTTGTTTGGTACCCGAACCCGTTTGACCGACAGAATTGGGGCTTTGTTTCAAAAATCTCTACTTTTCATTGTACAATTGTTGTAAAGTATCCTAGGAGATAGGAAATATTGATATTTCCATCTTTCCCAAACCCATCTTCCAAACGAATCCAATAAAATTATAAAAAAAATAAAAGAGATAAGAATCATTCATTAATCGATCTTTCCTTGATCAATCCATTAAGTTATTATTAATGTTGTTTCTTTTTTTTTGTTTACAAAATACACTGTTGTTTTTTATTCAAAAAATGATAATGTTAAAAGTTTTTGGTTATAAATAATATATTATATGAAGGGAGAGAGATAGATTGAATTGGGGGATAGATATTTTTTGGTTATTAATTAATTATTCTCTATCGATGGATTGATGGATTATTTGATTTAAATTTTTGATGATAATGTTTGTGTTGATGTTGTTGATGAGTTGGATGGAGGGAAATAAAATAAAAAAAAATAAAAAGAAAAAAAACTAAAAAGAAAGAAACTTTAAATCTTTTTCTTTTTTTTTTTTAAACTAAAACATTTTCTTTTTTTTTTTTATATATTATTATTATTATTATAGTATTATTGTTATTATTATTTTTGTTGTTGTATTAGTTTGAAGTTTTTTGTTTTTACTCTGAATGGTCCTCACCAACGAAATAATGGAATACAATATCGAAACCTTCCTTGTACACTGTGTAGCCGAATCCCTTTTGCAAGTATTGGTATTCAACATAGGCTGGGCCAACGCCACCAAGGGATTGTTCAAACTTGGTGATTCTTTCCTTGTTGGCTTGACCATAGTCGCACAATTGATTGACGACTTCACGGCTTGGTTTTGGCACCAAGAGACCCAATCTGACGAAACCTTCAGACGAGGTGATGACGCTCAAACATAGACCGCCCATTTCAGAGGAACCTTGACGCAAAATGTCGAGGGCTGGGCCTGGCAATTGTGGGAATCCAAATGACTTGAAGGCATCGATGGCAAGATTTAGTTGAGTGGAAAAGTCTGGTCCGGGTAATTTGAGACGTATTTCGGTTTGTCTGGGTGGTGCTGCTCCCATATCTCTACCTACACTATAACAATTTAATACATCATTGGATTCAGCCCATTCTGCCAACTAAAAAAATAAAAGTTAGCAAAAATGGTTATTATTGTTGTTTTTATATTTTCTATCTTTTTACCTTTCTAGTTGGTTCACCAATATCAGAAGCTTCAATGGCCAATTTAAGTGGAATATCGACTGGGAAGTACCAACCTCCATCCATACCACCCTTATCAGACATATCGATCCATGATCCAATCTTTACTGGGTTGATGAGAGCACCAACATCGTTGAGACGATCGATTTCAGTCTCTGGAGCGCCGACATTCCAGAAAAAGTCGACCATCTTTTGGATGAATATATTTTGTGGACCGGCTGTTCTCCAGGTCAATTTTTGCATATCAATAGAGGTGGCAACATGGAATTCGATTGATGTGCCACTTTGTAAATCACTTTGTGGCGGAATACTCTCTGACCAAATTTGCCAGAACTCTAATACCTTACTATCCTCCTAATTGAAAAAAAAAAAAGAAAGAAAAAGAAATAAAAGAGTAAGTACTTGATTGGTGTGTATACATGTGATTTGATTTGTTTGACTTACATCACGTAAGAATGGAATAACAGATTTAGCATTTGAAATTCTTGATCTTGGGCCAGTTGAGCTAGCTGGCTTTTCTGGTGTACCGTTTTGTGGTTTTGGTTGTTCGACAACGCCGGCGGGTTTGGTCGCCGACTGGTCAACTCGTGTAGCAGACCCACCTTCGCCACCAAAGGCACGACGAATCGATTCAATCCACTGTTTCATATCCGATTCAACTTCGGCGTAAATATAGTAAACTCTTTTAGACGTTCCTAAAGAGAACATGAATTTCTTTTTCTTATCCTTATCTCTTTCATCTTTAACAAACGAATCTGGTTCAAATTCAATTAAACCAGTAGCTTCAACATCCTATTAGTTTAATAATAATAATAACAACAATTGTTAAATTAGATCTCCCCCTTTTTTTTCTTTCTGCTGATACTATATATATATATCTTTCTATCTTTCTATCTATCTATCTATCTATCTACATACTGTCTTGTTTTTGAAATAATACAACTTCTTTCCTTTTAGTACAAACCATCTTCTTCTCCATGTCTTGATGGCACCACCTTGTTTGGTTAACCAACCTTCTCTATCTGCTGGTGCTAATTGAGCAACAGAAACCTAAAAGTTGAGTAGTTTTAAAAAAAAAAAAGTTATTAATATCTTTAACTTTAAAGGAATACATATATCTATCTATCTATCATCTATCAATCTATTCCATTTCTTTATCTCAATCTATCAGTTGTCATATTATTATTGTTGGGATATTGACATATTGATATCTCTTTCAAGATAGATTGATATTATTCAAAAAGTTTGAGTTGATGTTTTTGTTTGTTTATCTTTACCATTAATACTGGGTCGGTCATTTTCTTGTTGTTTCTTGATGTTGTTGTTGTTGTTGTTGTTGATTTTTAATATACAAATTTGTGTTGTTGTTGTTGTTGTTGTTGTGAAGAGTGAATATAGAGTATCGTATCGATAGTTCCAACTACTTTGTGTTTTGTCTATATGCCTGTCTGTAATAAAATACAATATCGAGAACTACTCTTATATTACTAATACGCTTCTATAAATAAGATAGCAGTCGATAGATAGATAGATAGATAGGTAGATTTATGTAAAGGTTGCAAAGAGGATCAAGATAGATAGATAAGGTGAAAGAGAGAGAGAGAGAGAGAGAGAAAAAATATTATTAGTTAAAATTCGGATTATTTTGAAAAAAAAAAAAAAAAAAAAAAAACTTTTGTCTAGATTTTCAACCAACCTCCTTCTCATCTCATCCTTTCGCGAAATAAGTTGGGTGGAGATGGATGGATGGGCCAAGGAAGCAAGCAAGATGTGTGATTGATAATAAATAATATAAATAATAATAGCATACCAACAATTAATTGATACACAATGAGATAGAGATAAATCGATCGTCTGTTTATACAACAAAGAAAGAGGGGCTTTTCCAAAGCGATAATACAAAAATAAAAAACTTTCAGATAACGCTTGGCAATTGCCACACACAGACACACAAAACAACACAAATATAAATATCTTCAAAATTGTTGTGGAGCCACTGAGATCCCCCCACAACTTATCTTTGATCCAACTTAAGTTATAACAATTATTATTACTTAATCAACACAATAATAATATAATAATAACATTACTATTATTACTATATTATTATTATTAAAGATTAATAATCGATTCTCTAGTTGATATTTTTTTTTCTGAAGCATGTGGATATCTTTTTACAGAAATAAAGATCTCGATTCACTTTTTAAATATGTTGTTGATCTGAACCTTGCTCCTTGCTTGTTGTTGTTGTTGTTGTCTTTGCTTGTGTTATTTGTCTATCCGAAACTATACTATATACTTTGTGTGAGTCTAGTTTTGGTGAAGGGTGCGATTGTTGGAAATTGTTGTTGTTGTTGTTGTGTTGTTGTTGTTGTTGTTGTTTTAAAATCACCTAGGTCTTAACACAATGTGATGAGTGATAGATATTGATTGAATGATTGGGTGATTGATTGATTGGATGATTGATTGATCCCTACCTGTGTGTTCTTTTGTTGACACTGATTACTACTACTAATAAATACTAATACTACAAAATAACAAGAGCCAATGTATAAAAGACAGCAGTAACGGCGCGATTCAAGGAGGATATTGTGAAAAAAAAAAATTAAAAAAATTGATCCCAAGAGTTGGTGGCGATTGCACCATGATGAAGGGGTATCTTGGCTCTATAGTATCTAGTATCTGCTGTTGATTCATTCCCAATGGTTTGCACCATGCGTACGCATATTTCTTCGGCCCAACCACAGGGTGGGTGTATTAGGTTTGGACATACCTTTGAGATCGTAATAATAATAATAATGAGAGATCGTTAGCTATAATACAAGAATGTTTGGTCATAAATACAAAATCTATTATTGATCTGTCTATTGTTGTTGGTAAAAAAAAAAATAAAAAATAATAATTCTGTAGCACTTGGAGATTCGGTGGTTCAAGGAATACTAAATACTCATTTATTCGCTTGATTTGAACTCAACTCAATCGTCTGTCTACTCGACTTGCATTATAAAGAGAGAGAGAAAGAGACACGATGAGTAATAATAATAATAATAATAATGAAGAACAAGACAACAACAATGATCAAGATCAAGATCAACCAATGATAGAACAAGACGATGGTGATGAAGAACAAGACTTTGAAAAGCTTGCAGATTATCAACTAGAACAAGACGACGATGATGATGATGATGGTTATGATGATCAAGGTGATCAAGATGACCAAGATAACAATCAACAACAGCAACAACAACAACAAGACAATGGGAATCAAGAAGATGACGACGACGACGATGATGATGATGACGATGATAATGACAATGATGGTGAAAAGGAAGGAAAAGAACCTCATATGAGACCATCATTATTATTGGCAAGAAGAAAGAAAACAATTCATGGTACGCATAGTAGAAACTTGATTGAAAAGATCCTAAGAATCAAGATTCAAAGTCATCCTTATTGGAAGGAAAAGTGTATGGGTTTAAATGGTATGTCTCCTTTTGTTTGTTTGTTGTTTGTTGTTTGTTATATTCATTTTATATAACATTTCAAAAGTTACTAAAACTAATACTTACTTCATTTTCTTTTGTTTAGAGGAAACATTGGTTGATAGAGCAATGGCATTAACATCATTTGGTGGTACTTGGGGAGGTATGAAACAACCTACACATTTCATTTGTTTGATGTTAAAGATGCTACAAATTCAACCAGACAAGGATATCATTATCGAGTTTATCACCAATCAAGATTTCAAGTATGTTAGAATTCTTGGTGCATTCTATCTTCGATTGGTTGGTAAACCAGTTGATATTTACAATTATTTGGAGCCATTATACAATGACTATAGATCGGTCAGGATGAAGAATGATCTTGGTCAATTCAACAAGATACATGTAGATGAGTTTGTACAGGAACTGTTGACTGGCAACTATGCTTGTGAAATTGTACTTCCCAATCTACCGTCTCGAAGAACATTGGAACAACAAGGACTATTGGAAAAACGTGTCAGTGTACTAGAAGAGTTAAAACTCATCAATATGGATAACCTCAAACAAGATGTTTTGGAATGACTTCGAAGAACAAAAGGAAAAAACAAAGACAAGCTGCACGTAAAAAAGATCAAGAATGGAGAGAAAAGGAAAAGAACAACAAAAACAAAAGGAAATGGAAAAAGAACAAGAAAGGATCAAAGATAGAGAAAGATATAGAGATTATAAAGATCAATATAGAGGTCAAAATTATGGTAGTCGAAATGATAAAGATCAAGATATCAATAATAATAATAATAATAGTAATAGAAGCCATGATCGTAGAGATAATAGTAATAATAATGGTGATAGATATAATAATAGGGATAATAGGGACAATAGAGATAATAGAGATAATAGAGATTATGATCGTAGAGATAGTAATCATAATAATAATAATAATAATAATAGAAATCATCATCATCATCGTGATAGAAATAGAGATTTGGATGATAGAAGATCAAGAGATTATGATAGAGATTATAATAGAGGTAGTAGGAATGATGATAGAGATAGAGATAGAGATAGAGACCGACACAGAGATGGGGATAGAAGGGAAGGAGATAGAGATTATAGAGACAAAAGAGATGGAGATAGGGACAGAAGAGATGGAGATAGAGATAGAAATAGAGACTATGAAGACAAAAGAGATCAACAAGATAAAAAGAGAGATAGAAAAGACAAAGAAGGAACAAATGGAGAAGATGGAGAAGTATTGTTTGAAGATCTTCCAGGTGTTAAACCAAAAAAGAAAAAGGATGTTTCAAAATACGACAAATATTCCTCATCTTCATCATCTTCATCATCATCAAAGTATGATAAACCTTCATCCTCTTCATCTTCATCAGCAACAACAACAACTGCAGGTAGTAGTGGCGTTAAATCAGACCAACAAGAAATTGATGAAATGAATGCTATACGTGCTAAATTGGGTTTGAAGCCACTCAAATAATAATAATAATAATAATAAAGTATAGTATAATATAATAATATATTCAATCGGTGATCCAAGTCAATATTGGATTTAAAAAATAGTTTATCATTTGGCAATCAATATTAATAGGGAGAATATTGACCATTATTATTATTAAAGTTGGCAGTATACTGTTCTTGATCAACATTGCTGCTGATAGATTTACAGGTAGTGAGAAGGTAGTAAGCAGTAATTGGTCTTGTGAAATATGGGCCATTTGGAACATATGTAACAGTAAAGGCACCAAATTGAGTAATGACACCCTTGATTTGGGTAAAGGACATATCTCCATTGAGATAGATAGCTCCAAGACCAGAGAGACTACCATCATAACCTACAGTAATGTTGACCAATCTGATTGGTAAAGCGGTTGGCATTGTGAAATTGGCTTGATATCCATCTTCATTTCTTGATACAGTGGTTACACCAGATGAAGTACATACTTGATCAGTCCAAAAAACATTATAGTCACCTTGAACAAGACTTGTTGGGTCTAAATAAATAAATAAATTTATACATAAATAAAATAGGGGTGTGAGATTTACTATTAAAACATAATATCTTGGATCGACAATAATAATAATAATAATAATAATAAATGATTTACTTACAAGAAGAGCAGGTACTAATAAAAATAGTTAAAGCTATTAAAGTAATAAATAAAATTGATTTCATTGTATTATATTTAATAATATTAAAAAAATGAATAGATATTATTATTATGAATGTCGTGAGATGAATGAATAATAGTGTTGTTTAAGTAGTCATGTTTAATCTCTCGTTTCTCAAGATATGGCCCAGTGCTTCTCAAGGTCTTTTCATTGTCTGAAAAAGTTTACGAGCTCTGTGAATTTCGACTCAACAAGACAGGTTTTCTCAAATCCAGCTTTCTTTTATTTTCAAGTAGGGGTGAGGAATTAATAAAGTACAAGTAAATTTCTATAGTATAGTGATTGATTTGATGTTCCCCATACTCATTCATCATTGGAATGTTTTTTTTTTACACCGTTACGAGTGGTTGGTATCACAATGTTTGATGGGTAGCGTGTTGAACATCATTCATCCAATTTCACACACTCTTACAAATGATACTACCACCACCATTCAAAATCAATCAATCATTAAATCTCTCTCTCTCTCTCTCTCTATTTCTCTCTGCGCAGTCAAACAATCATTATAACAAACAATCATTATAACAAACAATCATTCATTCTAGAGAATTATTATTTTTCGTTTTAAAAATTAATAATATTAGTTAATAATAATAGAAACATTATAAATTAGGAAGGATAGAATTATTATAATAATTAAAATCAAGATTATTAAACAATACAAATATTAATTAATATAACCACTGCGCAGGACTGGAATTTAACCGTTACAAGGGAGGAGAGGAGAAGTTCAAAAGCATAAATTTGTGTATTTTTTTTTTTGACATATAAGATATCTTTGCAAACGGCGGTTCGAACCCACGGTTTACAATTATTTAGATAGATGGCAAAATCAGCAAGTAGTAGTAGTAGTAGTAGTAGTAGTAGTAGTAGTGGAGACAATAAAAAGACAACTGCTACTAGAAGAGGAAGAAAGAAGTCGGTCACAAAGACTGCTACAGAGACACCAACAAAATCATCAACAACAAAGAAGAATGAACAACAACAACAACTAGAAGAACAAATGTCAGATGAAGAACTCATTCCTTACGGACTGAGTGATGAAGAGGAAGAGGAAGAAGAGGGTTCTGACGCACCAACCACAACCACAACCACAACCAATACTAGAAAGAAAAGGACACCAACCATTGAATATGAAGAGTTGTTTTATGAACCAGATACAAAGAAAAAGACAAAGGGTGGTAAAGCTGGTAGTGGTGGTGATGATTCATCTTTGTCACAATACAGTCATTGTCAACGTATATCACCGGCACAATATGATTTTCAACAAGATGCATACACAAGAGAGGCAATTGATAATTTGTCACGCCAGATTCGTCGACACCCCAACTTGGCATCGAAATGCTACCGGTTTTTGCATCGTGGCATGTCAATCAAACTGTTGCACCAGTCGTTGCGTATTGTCGTGTCGCTTCTCTACGCATTGGCCGTTGTCACCATCATCATGAAGTATCAGTTGCCCAAAGGAATGGAGAATGTGCTAGAGTCGCCAACTGGCGCCAATATCTTTGACGAGTCTGGATCGATCCACTTAAACTCGCTTGAACCTACCCATCTCAAGATCAAGGGGGGGTGGACGCGATTCGCGACCATCGGTATCTCCAACTACCTGTGCGGCAACTACAACGACAACCCACTGCTCAATGTAGCCACCATGTCGTCGTCGTCGACACATCCGGGTGACCACGACATGAAGAACATCAAGATATTTGGTGCGTGTATCGTGTCGGGTGTATCTCTATTTGTCTTGTGGCTGTTTGCCATGAAACTGTCTGATCGCGAGATTGTGCTTGATGCGTCGGTACCCAGTCAACTGGCACACGTCTTTATGACACTCATCTTTATTCCACTGGCATCTATGATATTTTGGGCAATGTTTCTACTCTACTTTGTACAGACTGTGTTGATGGGAGCAGAGGCCAATGCCGAGGACACATTCCGATGTATCAATCGTCTGTCAACCGGGATTCGCGAGCTTGGCACTTTTGCACCCATCCGCGAGCTCACCCTTGGGTCACTGGGTCTCGTGTCTCGTGTCATGACCGGTGCCTTTAACGTCACACCCTCCCAACTCGCCCTCCACGATCTCTCTGGTGCCACGCAAGGTACCACTCAACTCATCTCGTTCCTCTGGAGCATTGTCATTGGCTCGACCATCTACTACTTTTTAAAGATAGTCTCCAACATTTACAACATTTTCCGTGACAATAATCACATGAAGGGTCGTCCATCCGACGACCACCAATTCATGGTACTCGACATGAAATTCGTTCCCTCCCTCATTCCACGTGTAGTCACTACCCAAAACTTTTTCATTGTTTGTATTCTTTCAATTGTTTCTTTGGTTCTATGGGTTTTCAATACTCCTTCAAAAAGTATGTAAACAAAAAAGTAAAAGAAGAATTATAATTTCCAAAACTAATCATTATTTATTAAATTATTTCCAAGTTCATGAAGGTGAGATATTTTTTGTAGTTTTGTCATTGCTACCTTTATTTAAATCATTGTATAATATATTGGTCATTGAACAAAAGAAACAAACTTTACCAGAGATGGACAGTTTTGAACAAGATCCAGAATTAACAAGAAATTCTGTTGTTTATTAATCTTTGAAAAAAGAAAGAGAGAACGAAACAAAAGTAGGGCATCATCATAATATAATATATATCTTATTTTTTTTAAAATTGTTAAATATATTTTAATTTAAACCCAAGAAAACAAAAACAAAAAAACAAATAAATAAATAATAACTTAATTTTATGTACATAAAAAAAAAAGGAAATAATAAGATGGATTGATCTTTTCTAAAAAATCACAATGATATCATCATTGATTAATAATACTAATACTAATAGTAATAGTACGTAATTAGTAAAAGAGTTGAAAGAAAGCTTGCAAGGTGATGAATGACGGAGGGTTTTTTGCCCTTCTAAAAAAAGATAATGTTATTATTGTCGTCGAGTGGTTGGACAAACAAACCAATCACCCCTTCCATTACTTGACCATTATAAATAAATATTAAAATTTTATTTATTGTTTTAACACAAACCGTCTTTTCTCTTCTCTTTCTTTCTTGTTCTCTTTCTTACTTACTTGCTTGTTCTTCTCTTTCAAAATTCATATTCAATTATTTGTATTTAAATTATTTATTATTTATTTATTTATATATTTTTTTTAAATCAGTCTTGTCTAGATTGATAGCCTTACATACAGCAAATATATACATAGTTTAATAACTCGCGATCAATCGAAAAGGGGTTCTCAACGGATCGATCAATCGCAATCACAATAATGGTATCTTCAATAACATTTGGAGAGACAGAATATCAATACTTGCTAATCACTGGAGGGATATGTACAATGATAGCATCGTTTTTGTCTATTCTTTTGATTGCACAACATTTGATATACTACAACAAACCTGCTCATCAGAAATATGTACTACGAATTCTTTTAATAGTACCCATCTATGCGATCGACAGTTGGATTTCACTCTATTTCAAACGAGACAATTATGCACTCTTTATCGATGTTTTTAGGGACTGTTACGAGGCTTATGTACTATATAATTTTTTCAAACTCCTCACCATTTGCTTGGGTGGTGTAGAGGCTATCCAATCGTTGGCTGTGCGAAAGTCTGGACAACTCGTATACCCTTTTCCATTTGGCTGTGTCAATGTCAACACTGACAAACTATACATCAGATGTCTTCGTGGCGTCATTCAATACACTTTGGTCAAACCAATGATGGCTCTTGTCGCCGTTTTTGCCTATGCCATATCTGGTCGTTACCAAGAAGGAAACTTTAGTTTGGATCAAGCATACCTCTATACAACCATCATCAACAATATATCAGTAATTGTTGCACTCTACTATCTCATTCTCTTTTATGAAAGCTTTCAAATAGAGTTAAATCCTCATAAACCAATTTCAAGATTTTTAGTTATTAAAGGTAAATATATATATATATAAATAGAAAAAGAATAATGATAAATAGATAACTAAACTTCTATATTTATATTTAGGTATTATATTTTTCACGTTTTGGCAATCTGTTTTTATTTCTTTGGTTATATATATAGGAATTATTCCTTCAACAGAAACTTTCACTTCCCATCAGATTGGATTCCTTTTAAATGTATTTATTATTATTATTTTGGATTATTATTATTATTATTATTATTATTATTTAGAGACAACAAAAACAGATACTTTTTAATTGACAATAGATTATTAACCTTTCTTGTTTTGTTGTAGGATTTCCTAGTTTGTTTTGAAATGGTAGTGGCAGCGATAACACATTATTATGCATTTTCTTATATCGATTATAAAATGTCGGCGTTTAGTGAACGAGAAGGATGTATGGAGGATGTTGCTGGTAAACAACCAGTTGGTTGCTTTGATCGATTGGTTCAATTTAGATATAATTTGCATAGATACAAACCAAACATCAAGGATGGCATAAAGGATACAAATGATCATTCAGATGTAGTGTTGGATACTATAAAAAGTATTAAAAAGAGTGCTAAAAAATCCATTGATGTAAGATTGACTGAAATTGTCATGACTATTAATTAATTATTAATTATTATTATTCTTTTCTTCTTCCTCTTTTTCCTTCTTTTTGCTTCCTTCCTTCCTCTGTTCTTATTAGTATCATAATTTTATAGATTTATCACCAGAAAATATTAATAGTGATAAACAAACATATTTTAAATTGGAAATCGATAAACAGGATACTCCTACCATGACTTCGTCTTCTTCTTCTTCCATGTCTTCACCATTTATTGATAACAATGATGAATCAAGTAAATTATCAGTTCAAAACAAACTATTAGTCCATCCTACTAGTCATAGTCAACAACAGGATAAAGATGATACAGGTGCTATCCTCTTTTGAAAAAAAACTATATGTTCAACAATAATAATTATTGTTTTTTTATAATAAACTTTTTTGTAAAATTATCACAACAAAACAATAACAATAACAACCAACAAAACATAAAAGGTTATCCCAATTTAATTGGTATATATATCTCTCTCTCTTTGCTTCTTTTCCCTTTCAATATGACCATGATCATATTTCACTCTAGATTGAGTTTAAAGTAGTTTATCGATCGTCGTTGCGTAGTAGCAGTAGCATAGTCGTAGTAGTAGTGCAATATAATGATACAAACTTTTGTTTTTGTTTTAATTGAGGTATAAATCTATTCATCAAATCTTTTTTTTAGAAAGTAGGAATGGGTTCCAGATTATCGTCATAGTAGTAGTAGTAGGGTAAAATGGTTGATATTCAACCGATCGGTGGTTATCATTATTAAATAAATACATAAATGGATTGATTTTCCCAATAATATACATATATATACAGTATACTGGGGATTAACCATGTTGGTTAAATGATGATGATTATTTTGTAGTATTCTCCATCAAGATTTATGGAGATTTATTATGACACAGTGATGAAACAAATGAATTTTAAATTAATTATTTGAGATGTTGGTTTGGTTGTTGTTGGATAATAGTTGATATGGTTACTTTTGTCTGTCTCTCTCTCCTCCAAGGCTTTTTTTTTTAATGACGATGATGATAGTGTATGATGAATAGATTTATACTTTTTTTTTTTCTTTTTTCTAGCTTTGCACTAAACTTATTATTGTTGGTGGTGTTGTATTTTTTTTTGGTTTTGATAGTTGGTTTGGTATGGAAATATACAATTGTAATTTGAGATAATTAAAATGAAATAATAAAAAGTGGTGGTAATACTATTTTAAATTAAAAATAATAATGATGATGGATGGTTTTAGATGATGATGATGGTTTGGATGATGGTTAGGGGGGAATATCTTTTAGATATATAATGTAATTAATATTTGAGATTTGTGGGAACAAATAAAAAATGAAATAAATGGGTTAATTAATGTCTGGATCTCTTATCGTGGTGATGAGCATTGTGAGCATTGTGAGCATTATGAGTATTATGAGTATTATGAGATCCTAAATGATATTGGTGAGGTGTGTTACCAGTGTTCATAGCTGGAGTTTCATAATTTCTTTTTTGTGGAATACCGTGAGTATTAGCTACAGGTGTATGAGCATGAGCTCCTGCTGTTGGATCAGCCTGAGCATACATTGCATAGTATGACATTAAATCCTAAAATAAAAATATGAAAAGGTTAGAGAGAAAAAGATCTTTGGTGTTTTATATAAAAGGTGGGACCAATTATCTATCTATCTATCTTACTTGTTGATTATAACCAGGATATCCCATCTATTTTAATCAAAATAAAAAGTGTTAGTTTTTGTTTAATTCCAAAACTTTTGATCTATCTTACAGTTGAATAATATTGATTCCAAGCATCAACTTGTTGTTGGTAGGTTGAAGTACCAATCAAAGGTTGTTGGACACCACCTGCAGCAGCAGCAGCTTGTTGTTGCTGTTGTTGTTGTTGTGCTTGATGTGCTACTTGTTGTTGTTGTTGTTGTTGTTGTTGCTGTTGTTGTTGTTGGAACTTTGTCATTTGTTGAAGATAAAAGGTTTGTTGTTTTTGGAGGTTGTCTTGTTGAGTCTTCATCATTTGCTTTTCTTGCATTTGGTTCTTTTGCATTTGTTCTCTATGGGTCTTTTCACGTTGTGCTTGCATGTGAGCAGCTTGTTCATTCTCTTTGGCGACTCTTAGCAACTCTTGTTGTTGTTTGATCTGTTGTTGCATCAGTTGCATCTGAGTTTGTGCTTGCATCAACTGGTCTTGTTGTTGTTTGTTCCACATGTGTTGTTGGGGATGAATGGCAGCTGCAGGTGGTGGGATATTACCAAGTGCATTGGGGTTGCCTGGTGGGAACCCAACATCAAAACCTGGTTGACGTCCACCCATGTTGTGACCGCCTGGTGGCCCACCCTGGTGGTTTCCATGGTTGTGGTTGCCTCCTCCGCCTCTTGGTCCGCCTCCTCTTGGTCCATTATTAAATTGTGGTGGGAATTGATTGATCTGCATGTTGGGTGGTGGAGGTGGAGGTGGGAAGTTGCCAAAGTGTGGTTGGTGTCCTCCACGACCGCCTCTATCCATACCACCTCTACCAGGTCCTCCACCACGTGGTCCTCCACCATGGTCCATGCCACCTCTGTCGCCGCCTCCACCACGTCCGCCTCTGAATCCGCCACGACCGCCGCCGTTATTATGCTCCATACCGCCTCTTCCTCCATGGAATCCGCCCCGTCCTCCTCGTCCTCCACCACGATCATTTCTTTCTCCTCTTCCGTGTGGACTGTTGGCATTAGGTGGTGTTCTTTCACCTCCACCACCACCACCTCTGGTCATGGCAAAGCCTGGTTTGGAGGGATTGCCAAAGCTCACTCTGATCTTGTACTCTTGCAACTCCTTGTCGTTCATTGTCTTTTGGGCCTTTTCGGCATCCTCTACACTCTCATAATCGATAAATGCAAATCCCTTTGGTTGACCTGCCAATGGAATACTACATTCCTTAATCTTTCCAAATGGTGAAAATAATTTGGTTAAAATGGCTACATCCTAAGAAAGGAGATGAAACAAAAATGAATTAATACCCAAGTATCTTTTTGTGTTGTCTTTTGTTTTCATAGGCACTTACAACATATTGTTTTTGTAATTTATCAACAAAAATAGTTTTAGAATGCATAGATTCAAGAGTTGAACAAGTTTCAGCCCAATCTACTCTTAAAACTCTTCCACTGACAGTAGTCGATCCCAATGATGCCTTGGCAGCATTTGCTTGTAATCTTGTTCTATAATCTACAAATCCATATCCCTTACTTTCACCAGTTCTTCTATTTTTCATCAACTATAAATAATTAAATAAATAAAGGTTAGAGATAGTTTTTTGGCTTGATCTTTGAATACTTGTACGACATACAATAACTCTATCAGGTTCACCATATTTTTCAAACATTTTTCTTAGAGAATCTTTGGTCATTTCAGGACCAAGATTACCAACAAATAGTAATGTATCTTGGATTGGCATGTCAATAATATTTAATGTACAATTTTTTAACTAAATAAATAAATAGAAATATGGGAATTAGAGAATTCTCTAACAAGGTTCTATTTAAATAATCATATATATTTGTTTGTTTTTTTTTACCTTTGTTCCATTTAATTTATCTTTAACCAATTGTGAAGTTTGTTGATTTTCCATAATAACAACGGCAATATCTCTTTTAATTCCATCAAACTTGAGATCCAATACTTTACCGTGAGCAGAAAGGAATTCTTTGAGATCCTTTTCGATAATGTGCTCAGTGAGACCTGTGATCTTTAGAATGGCAGGCTTTTTAAATGACTCTTCCATATCTTGGATTGCTAGTTGCACCTTGTTCTTGATGTCATCCTTTTTCTCCTTGGTCATAGGACTCTCCTTTTCCTTGGTCAAATTCTCCTTTTCCTTTTCAGCAACCGATTTGACAACATCTTGTATGGCTTCTTCAACACGTTTAGTATCAACTTCATCTTGATAGTTTTCTTCATTGTCAGAGTAATCATATTCTTCTCCTTGTAAATTCATAAATTCTTCTTCATCTTTTGTACCATTTGTTGAATCTTCTTCTTCCTCTTCTTCTTGATGATCTTGTTCATTATTATTATTGTTATTGTTTTCTTCTTCTTCTTCTGATTTAGTAGAATTCTCTAATTGTAATTGAACTGGAGGAGGTGGAAGAGGAGATGTAATGGTAGCAGTTGTTGGAGGAGGAGTAGTTGCAATAGTAGTAATAGGTTCATCTTGTTGTTTAACTGATACTGTCGTTGTCACCTTTGGTGATTCAGCAGTAGTAGTAGTTGGTGTAGTTGCAGTTGCACTTGAACTTCCATTCTCGGCGGCAGTTGGTGTAGTTGTGATATCCTCTGTTGGGGTTGGTTGTGTCTGTCTAGTATCCTTTGTCTTGGCAGCCTTCTTTGAAGTCTTCTTCTCGGCAGGTGCCTTTTTCTTTCTGCCACCAGTCTTGGCAGCACCCTTTGCTGGAGGTGCTGCAGCCTCGCTATTATCAGATGCCGATGATGCTGCTGCATGTTGTTGCTCTACAACATTCTCACCCTCTCCTGTTGATGTTACTGTATCGCTCATCTCTTTCTCTCTCTCTATGATACTTCTTGTCTTCTTTTTCTTTCTTCTTTTAAAAAATAGATATAAATATAAATAAATAAATATACAATTATAGTTGTTTGATTGATTGATGATAATTGATAAATGGATTAAGACAGAGTATTATTATTGAGTGGGTAATAAAAAAAAAAATAAAAATTGAAAAAAATCATCAAATAAAGTGAAGTTACATTCAAGGGTACTTAGGATTGAAATCTGAAAGTTTGAGGTTAACACTTAGCGCACGCGTCTGCATAGTTAAATACTACTACTCATTATGATGGATACATCTACGAATCATCTACTACAACAACATAACACTGGAGATACATTATCAGAGTATGAAGCAGCTCTATACGATCGTGGTATTAGAGTATGGGGTGTTGATGCTCAGAATCGACTGAGAAAGGCACATGTCTTGTTTGTTGGATTGACAGGTCAAACTGCTGAGGCATGCAAGAATGTTACTCTGTCTGGTGTTGGAAGAATCACTATTATCGACTCGCATACTGTCACCTCGACAGATCTATCTCTTTTATTGACTGATCAATCAATTGGTCAAAATGTACGTTCAACTTTGGTAGATAAGTAATTACATAGACAACTTGACTGACCTACCTACCCCTTTGTAATTATAATAATAATAATATTGATCAATATATATTTAGAGAGCAAAAGCATCATTGGAATCAATTAAAGAGTTGAATCCATTGGTTAGTGTAAATATAGTAGAAAGAGATGTATCAACATTTGACGATGAATTCATCAAACAATTTACAGTGGTTTGTGTAGATGGTTTGGATTTCCAACAACAATCTATACTCAATGAATTGTGTCATCGAAATAGTGTATCATATCTATTGAACCATTCATTTGGTATGAGATCCTTTTTCTTTGCAGATCATGGTCATTCATTCCAATACATTGTTAAAAAGAAAAAGACTACTCCAAATACAAACAACAAAACAACAACAGATGGAAAACAACCAGCAGCAGAGGAAGAAACAGAAGAAATAATAGAAAAAGTAGCAAGATTTGCAAGTTTAAAGGAAATGTTATCATCATCTTGGTCAAAGTTTCCAAATAGAATATCACCAATCATATTTTTCATTCATCGTACGTACTATATATATATATAATCAATAACAACATCACACATATAAATATTAATATTAATATTAATATTTAATTTCACAACTAGTTTTAAATCAATATCAAATTAATAATAATGGTAAAATGGCAACTTGTAAAGATGTAGATGCACTCGTTACATTATTGGAACAAGAAAACAAAAAATATAATATTACGCCAATCAACAAGAACACTGATTTCATCAAACTCATGACCAGACAAATCAACGCAGAGATTGCACCTGTATGTGCCATCGTAGGTGGTGTTTTGGGTCAAGAAATTGTTAAAATTATATCAAGAGACAATGATCCATTCAATAATATATTTTTATATGATTCATTAACTGGTCTTGGTACTGTTGAAAATATCCTATAAAAATAAAAGAGAGATAAGGATAAATGATCAATATATACAAAACAAACCAAATAAAACAAATATTAAAAAAAAAATTAATTAAAAATTATGAAAAAAAAAAAACAAGAATGTTGATGTTCAAAACCCCCCTCTTTGTGATGATGATCATAATATATTAATTAAAGATAAGAATAAGATAGATAGAGAGAATAATGTCAACATTCCCAAATAGTGTAAGTAAACTACTATTGATACCTTTATCATCATTATCATCATTGATGATTGATTGTATCATACTATACAGACAGAGTACTAATCGACCATTTTATAATAATATGTGTAATATATTAGACTGTAGTTCATCCAACTGTATTACTCAGTGTAGTAGATCACTATAATAGAGTTGCCAAAGATACAAACAAGAGAGTTGTAGGTGCATTGTTGGGAGCAAACAATGGCAAGGGTGTCATTGATATATCCAACTGTTATGGTGTACCATTTGAAGAGGATGATTCAAACCCAAATATATGGTTCTTGGATCACAACTTCCACGAAAATATGTTTGCTATGTTTAAAAAGATTAATGGTACAAATCAAAAGATACAGATAGATATATAGATAGACAGACGATCATTATAGAAATGAAGAGAAAAAACTAATACATTCATCGATCATAATTTTATATAAATTATATAGCTAGAGAAAATGTTGTAGGTTGGTATAGTACAGGTCCAAAGATTAGACCTGCCGATCAAGATATCAATGAATTATTTAGAAGATATACACCAAACCCTGTATTAGTAATCATAGACGTTCAACCAAAGGAACTTGGTATCCCAACAAAGTCATATGTCACTGTTGAAGAAATTAACAAGGTAACAAACAATCAATCAATCAATCAATTAATGTTTCTTCTACCCATACTTATATTTATCTCTTAATTTATTTAAAAAAAAGGAAACATCTGAATCAACCATGAAATTTCAACATATTCCATCATCGATTGATGCAGTTGAAGCTGAAGAGATTTGTATTGAACATTTGTTGAGAGATGTCAAGGATTCATCCATCTCTTCACTCACCAACCAACTCATTGACAAAAAGATTTCATTGAAACATTTAATTAATAATCTTCAAGAAATGACCACTTATTTGGATTATGTAGTTCAAGAGTATGTATTTAAACACACATTTGGTTCATTCCTATCCATCTCTTCTCTAACAGTTATTATTTTACTTTCTTTTATTTTCTTTTCTTTTTTTTTTATAGAAAATTACCATTAAATCAACAAATTATTGGATTCATTCAAGATATCATTAATTTATCACCAAATTTGAATGTTAATGAATTGGCAAAGGCCTTTTCTGTAGAGATGAACGATACAGTCTCTGTCATTTACATCTCGTCTATGATTAGATCAATCATTGCCCTACATAATCTCATCCTCAACAAGATTTCAAATCGTGATGCCGAAAAGAAAGCCGACATTCTTTCCAGCCTTCCAGCTACTCCAACCACTGCCCCTGCTGCTGCCACTGATAAAGATACCAAAGAAAATAAGGAAAAAGACACCAAACCTGTATCAAAGTAAACAAAAACAACAACAACATAAATATAATCAATCTTAAATCTCAACAATTATTACCCATCTACATCCACCACACCATCTCGATATGATGAACCACACATTAATTAGTTAGGGTTAAGAAAATTAAAAAGGATGGATGGTGTTGGGTAGATTAAATAACAAACAACATATTAAATAAATACCATCATACTCTCTGTTAATAGATCCAAAACACAAAGATATATATCTATATTATATTTAAAACAGATATATTTTTAAAACATAATATCACGATAAAGATGGTATTCTGGAATCAACCGACTGATCAAATCAGTGGAATCAAAGAATGTGAGAGGATAGAACACGTTTTAAGTTCACGTCTTTTTTTGTCAAAAATGTGAAGAGACACTTCATTCAGCTGTGTCAGAGACAGACTGCAACCCAATTTAATTTCTTTTTAACAAATCAAGAGATATATAGAGATAAATATTTACAATTAGGATGTTTGGCTCAGTCTTAAGAAGAAATACCTTCAAGGTAGTTCAATCAACTACCAATAATATCAAATCATCTACTTCACTATGCAATACCATTAAACAACAACAACAAAGATCATATTATCAATCTTCATCCTCATCATCTTCATCTTCATCAAAGAGCAATAATAGTTTTAAATGGTTACTTGGAGCAACTACATTGGCTACATCAGTCTTGATTGGAGGAACTACATTATTGGATCAACAACAAGCAGCTACACCAGTTGAAGCAGTTCAAGTAACACCAGATCAACAATCAACTGATTCAAAGGAAGATGAAAAGACTACTACTACTACTCCTAATACTGCAGCACCAGTCAAACCAAAGACATCAGATGATCCATTTGATGGTGTAGAGAAATTCAAATATATTATTATCGGTGGTGGAACAGCTGCTTATCACGCAGTTGACAAGATCCTCGAAAACGACAAGGGTGCCAACGTACTCATAATCACCAAGGAAGGTGCCGTCCCATACCAACGTCCACCATTATCAAAGAACTTGTGGCACGCAAGCGAACAAGATGTTGCTAAACTTGAATTTGCCGATTGGTCTGGCAAAAAGGAAAGCATCTTTTTTGAACCAGAATCAGTCTATGGTAACGATGTACTTCAAGTCATTACAAAAAAGAAAGTTGTTGTAAGTAATTGTATATAATCAATCGAATCGAATCGAATCAATCAATACGATGATTAACGTTTGATTGATTTTTTTTTTTTTTAGGATCTCCATGTTGAAGGAAAAGTAGTATTACTCAATGATGGTACACTGGTTTCATTTGAAAAGTTGTTGATTGCAACTGGTGGAGAGCCAAGAAAGATCAATTTCTCTGCCAAGGACGATCCAAACGTCACCACCTACAGAACAGTCGAAGACTTTAAGCAATTGTACAACCGCGTTCACAGCGACGAGGTCAAGCACGTCACCATTATTGGTGGTGGCTTTTTGGGCAGTGAGTTGACCTGCTCAATCAACGACTCTTTAAAGACTGCTAAAAAGGACATCCAAGTCGCCCAAATCTTCCCAGAAAAGGGTGTTCTTCCATTGGTACTCCCACAATACCTCTCTGATTATGCTACCGAGGAGGTACGTAAGAGTGGTGTTGACATCAAGCCCGGTAAATCGGTCAAGGACGTCACCAAGAATACCGAGACTGGTAAGCTCCAAGTCAAGTTGGACGACGGCAGCGTTGTCGACACTGACCACGTCATTGTTGCAGTCGGTCTCATTCCAAACGCCGATATTGCCAAATCTACGCAATTAGAGGTCGACACCAAGAATGGTGGATACCTTGTCAATGCAGAGTTGATGGCTCGTTCCAACATCTATGTTGCTGGTGACGTTGCCTCGTTTTACGACTTTTCATTGGGTACTCGTCGTAGAATCGAGCATCACGACCATGCCCGTGCCACTGGAGAGTTGGCTGGCAAGAACATGACTGGTGCCGCCGAACCATACACCTACCAACCATTCTTTTGGAGTGATTTGACCAACCACATTGGCTTTGAAGCCACTGGCAACACTGATGCCTCACTCAGAACCTTCTCTGTTTGGGACAAACAAGCTGAAGACGCCAAGGACCAAGACAAATACAGCAAAGGTAACATCTACTACATCAACGACAAGGATCGTGTCGTCGGTGTATTGACTTTCCGTCACTATGGTAAAATGGACAAGGCTCGTGAATTAATTCAATCCGCCAAAACTATTACTGACCTTAATGATTTACAACATGCCATTTCTTTAGAAGATGCTCATCATTAAATAAATAAATAAACAAAAAATAATTAAACAAAAATAGTTAATGCTACTATTAAAGTATGTGCTACTATTAAAATAGTATGTGCTACTATTAAAATAGTTTGAGCTACTATTAAAATAGTATGTACTACTATTAAAATAGTATCTATAAATAATCACCTAAACAGGTCTTTAAAAATCATTCAAATTTACATTCTAGTATCCAACAAATATTCAATCAAATTAAAATCTTTATCCCAATTTTACAATTCAAATCCAAAAATGATCTTTAGTAAGTATTCTTTTAAAATTATTTAGAAATACAATTTAATTCTAATCATCTCCATATTTCAATTTCTTTCTAGAAAACCTATCCAAATTATCACCAATTTCAATTCACAGAAACAATCAAAAAGTATCAGTTCAAAGTTATTCTGATGTATCAAGTGATCCTGTTAATTCTGTTGCTTGTAGGCGTCGTCGTGGATGTAACAACATCGATATCGACATTGACATTGATATTTGTATTGACAATGGATCCGACTAGTGGATATGAATAATCAGACAGATCATAATAAACCAGTTCTATTATTCTTCACTTTAAAATATAATTTAATTTCCATTTTATTAATATTGATCAATTCCAAAAACAAATAAATAAAAGGATATATATAAATTTTGTTTGTGTCAAAGAATAATAATAAATAAGATTTTTATTAATATTATCATTCCTTTGTTGTTGTTGACGACGATATGGTATTGTGTTGTGTTGTATACTACTGCTACTATTATTACTATTATTCTTTCTTTTTTTTTGTTTTTCTAGCCATGTAAAGGTGATCATCATTAAATTTAATAAATGGACCCAGCAACCATAAACATTGTGGATGAGAAAAAAAAAAAACTTGTATTATATCATATTATATTTTCTTATTTTTATAATATTACTATTTTGTTGTGTTGTGTGTTAATAACCGTTATTAAGAAACCAATTTTCTAATCATATCTCCAAATGATTGAATAGGTTCTTTTTGTTTTTCCTTTTGAGGAACAGGTGGAAGTGGTTGATTTGGTGGTATGTGTTGAGGAGTTTGTTGTTGTTGTTGTTGTTGGTTCTGCACCAAAGGTGGGAAATTGGCTGTAAAAGATTGTGAAAGGTTTGGAGGATAAACAAATGAAGGTGGATAAACGTATGATTGTGAAATTGGTTTTGGAACGGTTCCGCTGTCGTCTGATTGTGGCTTTGGATTGACAGAGCTGAGTCCGAGGAAATGGCAGATTGGATTGCACTGATGAGTGGAAAAGAATCGCTTGATTCCCTCAATGCCCAAGTTGCCTTTACCAAAGCCCTGACCGTCGGCCGAGTGGATCTGTGGGTCGGTATAGACATCACCGACACCTTGGATGTCGACGACGATCAGCTGGCAGCCAGAATCTTCGTAGCTAAAGTGCGAGAATGCTTGTGGCGTGTTTCGGTCAAAATCGTTTTTGTATCCATAGTTGTTGTTGTGCTTTTCGTACTTGCCCTCGATAAAGAACTCGACGGCGCAGTAGGGTCTGCCCTGTCGCTCGACCAACTCCATAACAAAGGCAGGAACAAAGTCAATCTTTTTGGGTGGGTTCTTGGCATTGAAACGCTCCGAGATCTCTCTTGCATAGGTCTGCATCTCGACGTCCTTGAAATAGACCATACGGTCTTCGTTGGGGTCCTTGAACAGCTTGGCAACCATCTGCGAGGTGGGTCCCTCGGCAGAGAGATCCTTCATTCTAAAGGCCTTTCTCATGGCACCTTCAGCAAATGGAGTGGGTTCTGTAATGACAATCGTGGCCGTCTGTATCCACTTTCCGAGCTTGGCGTCAAAACGATGACGAATCACTCGTTCAGTGCCAGCAAAACGTTGATCGGGTGGGATTTGTTGAACCTGTGCTTGTTGTTGTTGTTGTTGTGGTTGGACTATTTGTTGTTGTTGTTGTGGTTGGATTATTTGTTGTTGTTGTTGTTGTTGTTGTTGTAAAGGAGCATGGACTGTTGGTTGCAAGGGAGGTGGTGTTTGTACAGGTTGTTGTTGTGCAATAATGGGTGAGGTGGTTTTGGTCATATTATCTATAATTTGTCTTCTTCTATGTTCGAACTCTTCCTTTTCCATCATTCCCAAATCATACAATTTCTTTAAATTCAATACATCAAGCACAGATTGTTCTTCATCTGAACTATTTTGTAAATTTTGTTGTTGTTGTTGTTGTTGTTGTTGTTGTTGCTGTTGCTGTAAAAGTTGTTGTTGTTGTTGTTGCTGTTGTATATATTGTTGTTGTTGTTGTAAAAGTTGTTGTTGTAACAGTTGTTGTGGAGGTGATACATATTGAGAATGAGCCTGGGGTTGTAATGGGAGTGGTGAATTGATAGTAGGATTGTTGGGTGCAGACGATGACAAGGGAGGCTGCTGTAAAATTGGTTGTTGTGGTATATACTGGGGTTGTTGTTGGATAGGCGCTTGTGTTTGGCCTGGAATTGATTGTTGTTGTGGATATTGTGGTTGTGGATGAACAATTTGTTGTTGTTGCTGTTGATTCATTTGGACATGTTGTTGATGATTCATTACATTTCCGTTGATTGCTCCTCCTCCGCCTGGTGATACTATATTGGATGGATTAAAGGGATTGGGTGAAGGAGATGGAGATGGTGAAACAATCTTGTTACTTCCATTCAAACCGTAAATGACAGCAGCTGGTGGCATGATGATATTGGACGAGCTGTTGGTAGACAAGGTTGGTGATGGAGATGGAGAGATGGCCGGTGACAACAAGTTCATTGGTCTATCGTCAAATCTGCTAGCATTGGTGCTGTTGTTGATATTACTGTTGCTGCTGCTCGCCAAATGTCCATCATCCAACAATGAAATGAGAGGGTCTTGCTTGGTGCTCCCATATGTTGCAGTGCTCGTGTTGGTTGATTGTGTCGACTGGGTCGTAGTCGTCGACGACGATGTTGTTGGCATGTCAATCATATGCACGTGATAGTCTGTATTAATATTATTGCTGCCCATATGGTTGTGGTGTTGTGGAGAAAGGTTCAAAGGTGTATTGGAGTTTGATATATGTTGTTGTTGTTGCTGTTGCTGTTGCTGCTTGACCAACATATCAAGATAGTCTTGATTCTGTTGCTGTTGTTGAATCTTGTTATTAGTATCGATATTAATGTTTTGGAATTGTTGTTGCAAGTTGTTGAGGATGGCCTGTTGTTGCAATTGCTGTTGTTGTTGTTGTTGCTGTGCGGCCAATTGCTGTTGTTGTTGGAGTTGCTGCATCTGCTGCTGCTGTTGTTGAGCTGCGGCAAGCTGTTGCTGCTGCTGCTGCTGGGCGGCCAGCTGCTGGGACAGTTGTTGTTGCATGTGGTCAGTCTCTACGACTTTGAATGGTGAAAATGGATCGAGCGATATTTTACTTGGTTGGTTGTAACTATGATGTTGGTGTTGGTGTTGATGCACCTGCTGTTGGTGATCGATGGGGATACCCTGACTCTGTTTGAGCGGGTTGTTTTGTGGCACCAACACATCAAAATACGATCGGCTTGGTTTGGGCGACGAGTGTGGCGATGTAAAGGGTGAAAAGTGTCCGCCGCTGTTTGCGTTGTTGGTGGCGGACGGGTTCTGCACTATATTCATGCCATTTGATATTTCAATGTGGTTGTTGTTCATTTGGTTGCCCGAGCCAGACCCCGACGCAGCCGCACCGCCCGAACTTGCCAGCGGAGACGTGCTGCTATTCAGGTTGGGACTGACACCGTCCATGGGCGGTGTGACCGATATCCAACGCTTTTCAATATATTTCATTCTCAAAAACTGCTCCAATTTGGGGTCCTCTGGTGATGGTTGCATGAAATCCATTGGTGTCCAATTGGCCAACCAAAATTGTTTCGATACCTAATAAATGAAAAGTTGAACTTTTAAGTTAATAACGACGAATAGATAGTAGCACAATTGTGTGTAGTAGTATAGAGTAATCGCAATCGACTTACCAAATTACCAATAGTTTGTAATCTTTTGATTTCATCATCTGTAAAAGAACTACCCATAATCGGTCTAACTTTAAATTCCAATGTACTCCTATATTTAATAGAATGATAATGATTGTTGTTATTATCTTGGTTCGCATTATTTTGATGATGATTGTAAACACCATTATTATTACAATCTCCTCCAATCATTGTAGTAGTTGTAGTAGTAGGATTAGGATTATTATTATTATTATTATTACTATGATTCCTATTATTATTATTATTATTATAATTATTATTATTACAATTGCAGCAACAACTAGGATTATTATGGGTATTATGATTATTATGATTGTTCAACATTTTTAATATTTAAAAAATGAATTGATAAATGATAATAATAACAATAAAGATAATAATGATGATTGATTGATTAGTGATACACAACTGTAGTGTATCACTCGCTACACTGTACTCCTTTCCCTTGCTCGTTCGCCCTCTCTCCCTAATAATAAATAATAATAATAATAATAGGTAGTAACAAGAGAATTATATATATATATATATATATCTATTTATATTCTATTTATCCAAGCCTAACTTTATCTTTTACTTTTTTTTTTTTACTACAAATATAGGTTGGAGTAGGAAATAACAATGGTATTAATGAATCGGGTAACCCTATTGATACATACAGAAAATGAGCACAGGTAGGACATATAAATATACCCAACTTTACACAAACATATGGGACATTCTATAATAGTAGTAATAATATAATATAATTGGACAGGAAAGAAACAAACGAGATATATGATGATGATGATGATATTATCATTTGAGGAAAGAGGAGAAAGTTGAGTGCAATGAGGGGAGAATGAAGATAAGGAGATGTAGTGTATGGTGTATGTATGGAAAAGGAAATAAATGTCATTGGTTAGTTTTAAGGTCTGTTCATCAGTAGAGTCGTCAACTGTAACCAGTTTGTGTTATTATTGTTATGAATGACATACCAAAGAATTGCATTCGGCACATTGTTTGTTATTGGCATCAAGAAACAATGATCTTATTAATGCAAATTGCTCTGTTTGTGTTGGTTGCATCTTTTACTCTTCTTCTCTCTCTCTCTTCTACTACTACTACTATCTCTATCTTTCTTGTAATAATAAAGAATGTTATTCGTCGCCACCTCTAAGTATGTATCTATCTATCCCTTTTGATAAAATAATAACTAGTGTCTGTGTGTGTCTCTGTGTCTCTAGCTTATCTGTATTGTTGTCGTTTTGTATTATCGGCTGACTCTATTAATACAATATTACTACTACTACACTACTATGAATGAACGGAGGGGAGGAGGTTGGTTGAATATTAAACAGAAAAAAAAAACAAAAACAAATTGATGACTGTTTTTAATCAATTCAAACTGTTTGTGGTCAATTCGTTGCGGGACGACGATCTCTCTCTGTTTTTGTTTTGTCTGTCTGTATGTCTTTCCGTCCGTCTCTTTTAATCGTCTGTCTGTAATAATAATAGAAATAGATAAGAGGTAGATGTAGAGGTATGGATGTATGGATGGATGGATGGACAATGTTTGTTTGTTAATATTTTCAACAATTTTTCTCTGAAAGTCTTGTCTCGCTGACTTGACTCGTCTGTCTTGTCTCTTTTATCTTTTGTCAATCTGTCTATCTTTTTGTCTATCTATCTCTGCATACCACGTGAGTTCTGTTGTTGTTGTTGTTGTTGTTGTTGATATAAATATATAAACTGTGAAGCTATGTCTTTTGTTGTTGCTTGTTGCTGCAGTGACACTACTACTGTTGTGATCTATATATGGAATGTATCGAGGAGGAGAAATGAGTAATAAGAAAAATCCTAATGTTAATAAATTTTAATAAATAATAACTAATATTGTGAGTGATGTGATGGCGAACAAAGCATGGAATTTCTATCACATTATATTTAGAGGGGGGATAAAGAATAATTAATTAAATAACACGCACCCACCCACCTCCACCTCCACCTCTACCACCAATCACTACGGTAGGTAGTTCTTCTTCTTCTTCTAGACACACAACACAATGCACACACATACACACTACCACCACTTTGCATGCAATACCAATATCGATTATGTCTTTTCTCTCTTACTCTCTCTCTCTCTCCTCTTCTACATCACTATTTTTGCTCTTATCCTCTCCTCTCTTACAATAATACAACATGATACTGTAATAACTGTAATAACTGTTATTTTCATAACTGTATTATTATTTGATCTCCTCCTCCTCTTACTCCTTACTCCAAATTTAACACCACATCATCATCTTTTCTTATCCTATCCTCTTCCTCCTCTATCTCATTAGATGGATTTCTCAAACGACAATGTAAGATGAACAACATGAAAATCGCCAAACTCGGTAGTCGATGTGATGTGATGGGGAAAGTACAACTATATTATATTACTATTACTACTAGTACTATTGGAGTTGTGGTGGTGATAATAAATGATGATGATGATGATGATGATGGTGGCATTAGCAGAGAGCATGAACTAAAAATGCTTGATGTATTTATATACAATCTCACACCACACCTCCTCTCCTCTCCTCTCCTCTCCTCACTCACTCCTTTCTTTGTTGTGCTCCCTTGTTCATCTTTCTCACTTTTGCTGCTGCTGCTGCTGATTGCTTGCTGTGTATCGATTATTATTATTATTATTATTTTCTATAGGGTTGATTGATTGATTGATTGATTGGTTCAAATGATGATGATCTGACATAGAAAGAGATTATCATTTCCTACCTTTATGCTGAAAGAAGTGACTATGTTATTGGGACTCGCTACTACGATGGTAATCGCGATTATCTGCAAGATGTGAACGAAGAAGAACGATAGAGATTTGGATTGTGTCCTTTCTTCAATTCTGTCTTCTTCTTACTATTATCTGTTATCTAATATAATATGTGTTGGATGCTTTATTTCTCTTCTCTCTCTTAGCAATATTTGCTTTGCTTTGCTTGGCACTCACATCAAATCTCACCCTCAGCAGTGAGCGGAGGAGGAGCTCCTTTTTCCAAAAAAAACAAATAAAACAAATGTTTCGTCAGAAACTTTCTCAAACTATCTACTTTGCCAAAGTAGGACTACTCAGGTTGTAAAGGGGTGTAAGAGAAGCCCACACATACACACACATACACACAATGCAATGAATCATTGGTACAGATAATATATTATTCAGTCATTCATTTCATCAGCTGACATGATAATAATGTACATTAGTTATCATCTTGTTTGTCTCAAGTGACGATATCGTAAATGGTGGAGATGGCTTGTTATCCGTCATTCGACAGATAATAATAATAGTAATAATAGTAATAATAATGATCTCTTTCAATCAGGCTCTTTCCTCCTTTTGAATTGATCTAATTTTGATTCATGTATTACCACTACTCTACTAATACCTCTACAACTTTTATAATCTAATCAAATCACATATCATGTGATGCATCAGATAATCGATCGTACAAGTCGCGTTATTATCCATTATTGTTGATTATCTCTCAATGCGGTAGTTTGCTTTTTTCGTTTCCTGTTCTGGTGTACTACACAGCGGCGTCGTCGATATCAATATTATTGGATTTATTGTGATGTGCGTAGCTCCCATTGCTGAGATACAAAGATAAAAACTACAACCATTGCCAAAAACATCAAACAATTTAAGATAATGAAAGTTTGCTTTGCTTTGGTCTGTCTCCGCCGATGCCCCCTTAGGCAAAAGTTCCATCAAAACAACGAGATAAGAGAGTCTTCAATTTCGCAAAAAGTGTTTTTTCATCCCAAAGACACTACGAATAAGGCGATCATAAAGACACACCAGAGCCCAATCAAAAGACAATGGGTCTTGCTTGGCTCCCCCAAAAAGACAAACTCCTCCTCTTGATAATAATAATAATGTATTAGTCTGACGATGGGCGGCCGCCTTATAAAATATCTTATACTGTCATTTTTGTTCGTCACAACCATAGGAGTCACCTGACCAGCTGGTTCTATCGTTGTGTTGCGTTGTCTCTCTCTTAAATAACATAGCTCTCCCTTGCTTTTCTGATCATTGTTGTTTGGTTTGTGGAGATAGGCTCTTCTAGAATTCAAAGCCTCTTATTATTATTATTACTTTGTTACTTTATTCTTTGTAGTTTTATTACTTCAACCGTAGCATACCCTCTTTTGTAACACATACATCGCATTTAATAGATGAAAAGACAATAGATCAACATCAGAAGAAAGCCACACCACAAAGATCAAAGCAAAAAAAAAAAAAAAAAACGATTATCTTTAAAGGGAGGTCTCCCCCAAGATATCATCCAAAAAAAAAGAAAAAATCAGACTAGAAATTCCAAAACAGGTTGTGCTGCACGATTTACTATTCCATCCATTATTTTTGAACAGTTTTTCCCCTCTCTTTTAAAACAAACAAACCTCTTCCTTTGCAAAAGGGATAATTATCCATCCACATCATTCACCCACACCCACCCCCTCGCCCGTCTGTCCGCCGCCCTTGGTGCGCTTGAGAAATTAAACAACTCCATCCACCAACCAACACCTTTTGTCAACCCAAATCATCATCATCAACCAATCATCACCCTATCCAACCCCTCCTGCCCGCAGACACATTTATCTATCTGTCTGTCTCTTCTCTGTCTGTCTCTGTCTGCATCCCTTCTCATTATTTTGAAAGAAAGAGATACAAGCAACAAAGATAGATAGAAAAGAGAGAGAGAGAGAGAGAGTTAAAAAAGCAGCAAAAGTACTCAAAAACAACACAGACAGACAGAAAAGCAGCAGCACAGTTTACCCATTTGCTGTGTCACCTGATCATCATCCATCACCTTCTTCTTCTTCATCTCAGAGTCAGCAAGCATCAGTATTTTAATTTAATACTAAGTCATCCATCACCAACCCCCCATTTCACCACAATTGTTGAACGTCGCACCACCAAATCTCAAACCAAACCATCGCACTACACCGTTTGACCATCAACCATAAAGTTATATAAATTTCACTTCACCCCCCAATTTTAAATATTTAGCACACTCATTCATATATAAATCTAAATCTATATCTATATCAATCATATATATCTTTTTTTTTTTTTTTTTAGATTATATTTTTTTTTTTACATAATAATATAATATATTACAGCCTACTTTAATACTCTTATCCTAACGGAAAGAGAAAAAAAAAATGGACAATCAAATGTCCATCACACCATCATCATCCTCTTCGCCTCCATCATCCAATACAACTACAACTATTACACCATCAACTACACCAACCAATACCAATTTACCATCACCAACGTCATCATCATTATCAACTCCATCGCCTCATCCATTTAATCATACCAGTGGTGGTGGTGGTGGACCATTATCTGCATCGTCGTCACCCAGTCTAGGGAGTATATCTTCACCATCACCCATTCTCTCACCAACTCCAACCTTTTTGTCCTCTCCATTGCCACTAACATCGATTCTATCGTTTGGAGCTGGTTGGCGTCAATGGAACTCTGAAGCGTTATCCAAAAACCAACGTTTCCATAACTTGGTATACTATCGACTTGGAAATCTAAAATATCTATCCGATTCATTAGCAGAACCAGAACCATGGGGAAAAGAATTAAAAATCTTAAAGTATTTATTATTGAAAAAAACCAAACATAATATTTATTGATTGATTGATTGATTGATTGAATATATACTTATATATATTTAAATTTAATTTTTCTAGAATTTATCTTGATAATACATTCAAAAGAATAATAGAAGAGAATAAGTTGGTTGCATATTTCCCAAGTGAAACATCGATCCAACCTATTCTTTTGGTTTTCAATACTGGATTATTGTCAAAGACACAGGAAGAGATTTATTGTATCTTGCAATCGATATCAGTCGCTTCTTTGAGAGACCGTGAGCAAGAGAGTGGAGGAAGACGGTGCGAGGAGCGTCAATGGATACTCAAAGAGTTCCTCCCAACGTCATCGATGAGCGATCAAATAGTGTTTGACAAGTACAGTAGCCGGGTCGTTCCACTTGAAATATTGCCAGAACGTGCCTACTATTACATCGATGGTGTTGAGAATGCCACCTTTGATCCACTCATTCCAATTGATCGCGACAATGTCGATTTTAGCGCGATCATCAAGAACAGCTCGCAGAGCAAGATCGATCGTCTTCCACAAGAGTATGTGTTTTGTGGCGACAAGGAGTTGCTGTCCCGATTCAATGGCGCCATCAACACGACCATCATCCGGGCCAGAGCAAACCCGCGTTGTGCAGTCCCCCAATTTCACCGTGACAATGACGGTCTCAAAAAGATCGACTTGCTCCTACCCATCAGTATGAGCAACAAGCGGGATCCAGACTGCTCATTGGTGGTTCGTCTCGTGGTAGATCCCACCACAAAATACAAGTTGTATCAAGTCAGAGGTATCCTCTCAAAAGAGGATAGTTATATCAATGCTAGAGTCATCCAGAAAATAGATCAAAAGTGGATGGAATATTATGAATTAAATGATAATCAACAACAACCAACTATTGGAGGAGGTGGTGGATCAAATACTACATCATCTAATTCTACTTCTTCATCTTCAACATCAAGTAGTAATGGAAGTGGTGGAACTACCGTATTGGCAAGTAATATATCACCAAATGGAAGTATAAGTGTTCCAAATTCACCAAATCTAAATAATGTAAACATGAAAATGAATTATAATAAGAAAAAATCTCAAGATCATCATAATAGCAATAATAACCATCACAATCATAGTAAATCCCAATCACTCAACAATTCTCCATATATACACTCCGCAAACAATAATAATAATCATCACCAAAATAATATTAATAATAATAATAGTAATAATTCAAACAATTTTAATTTAAATCACCATCCACCCAATAATAACCAAAAGAATGGATACTCTCCTTCTTTACAGTCTGCGGGTAATGGCCAAAACAACAATTTTTCGTATCAACAATCTCAATCTGTTTCATATCAATTGAATTTAAGTAATCAAAATGGTAGTAACAATAATAATAACAATAATAACAATAATAATAATAACACTAACAATAATAATAATAATAATAATTCATCACCAATTTCTCCTTTAATGTTTTCACAGCAAGCGCCTCCGCTCAATTTATCTCAACCTATCCAACCATTGGATATTTCCATGTCAAACATTCAATCACCCCAACCATCCTATTCAAACAACAACAACGGCAGCAACAATAACTGTAATAATAACAATAACAATAACAACACCACTAATTTAAATAAATCACTCAAGGGAATTTCATATTCTTCTCCACCGACCAACTCTGCCAACAGTTACAACAACGGCAGCAGCAGCAACAACAACAACAATAACAATATAACACCAGCCCACTCCCCGTCGCCACCACTTTCTGTACACACAAACCAACCGTCCAACAACAATAACCCGGGCCTCTCCAAGTCATCACCTCAACTGCCATCCCACCACCATTCGCACCACCAACAACAAAGTCATCCCCATCAACAACAACAACAGCATCACCAACAACAACAACAACAAAGTCACCACCAACAACAGCAGTATCACCAACAACAGCAAGCCAAGTCGGCAGGCCAGGGTCCGTTGCAGCAGAGCCAACAAACAAACGGATATCCCTCAACAGGGCCATCACAATCGCCACACCTCATCGACAACCATCACCTTGTAGGAGGTGGTATGCCAATAGACTCCAACACGGCAAATAATCTGCACAACCAACAAATATACAACACGTTGTTTGAAAGAGGACCATTTGATTCTAGAAGAATCCAATCACCACCTCCAACACAGCCACAACCACAACAACAACAACAGCAACAGCAACAACAACAACAACATCAGCCTCAACCCCAATCACCAATTTACGCCTCGCCCAACACACCGACTCCGCTACACCCCTTCCACCATTCGGGTGCCCTTTCTCCTCCCTATGGCAGCCACCTTCCCACACAACAACAAGCCATTTTCTCAAAACTTGATCTTCAATCATCGGCACCAGCAGCCCCAAACCAACATTTTTTAAATCAACAACACCAAAAACCACATCATCACAACAACCACCACAATGGTCCTCAACATGGACTACGAAATGAGAAAAAGTATCATTCAATGGACCATTTAAATTAATATTAAAAATATCAAACAAATCAAATCAAATCAAATCATCACCACCAATTCAACCAAATCAAATCACCTCACCTCACCCTCACCTATCAATCTATCGCCGTCACCATCAACCAAAATCAAATCCAATCACTCACCCAAATCACCTCATCAACCAAATTCATACAAAAGACACTTTTAAAAAAAAATAATTAATATATATATATTTTTTTTAATGTACAAAAAATAATAATAATACCCAAAACCAAGTCTATAGACTCATGAGTAATATATAAAATGGGATTCTCTTTTTTTTTTTTTTTTAGGAATGTATCGTATTTTTGAACTTTTGATCAAAATAGATAATACCTACTGTGTTGATGATGTAAATCTGAACTATCAAGTCTATCAATTCAAGACAAGAGTCATTTTAAAAAAGAGGATACTACCAAGTATACTTGGTGGGGGTTTCAAAAAAACTATTTTTAGGGAATGATTGCTGTATTAGTCTGGTTGACTCACCCCCACATTTCCAAAGGGCGGTTCAGGAATAATACATCGATTTTACAATGTTAGACAGAACCGGGTGGTTATTTGAACGAACCATTGTTGTTCAACAACAGAGATTAGACCAAAAGGAAAAAAGTGTAACCATGTCAAGATTTAAATGGATGGGGGGACATTCATCAATGATGCCCCTTTTGATGCCACCTATTATGTGTTTTCCAATTTAAAATAGACACACACAATCAAACCAATATAAATAGAATGAGTCCATGAATTTATAAATCATTCTACCATTTATTATTTAATTGTATGTTTTCATAACAATATAGGATTTTATCATTTTATTAATTAATTTTTCCACTATTACTACTACTTTTTAGAATAATCTTGTTTCACTACAATATATAATATATATAAATATACATCATGTATCACTACAAAACCTATCTTTTTATTTTAGCACTTTGCATTTGCTTATTATTTGCAATGGGAAATCAAACCAATGATGAAACCATTGAAACAGTATCATCGGTGACCAACTCTACTACCAATTCAACCACAACAGGATCGTCATCCACTTCAAGTTCCTCATCGTCGTCAAGTTCCCATGCCAGCACAGGAATTGTATTACCATCTTCATCAAATAATCTTGCGCCATTAGGATTTTTACTTTGTATCACAACTTTCTTTTCATTATTGTTTATTTAAACAACAACAATTACAACAACATCCAATTATACAAATAAAATAATATATATATTTTATCATCCATATTAATATTATAAAGTGTTGTTGTTGTTGCCAATTGAATCTATGGTGTTTAAAAAGTGAGTTGAGATGATACCATGGTCTTGGGACGTCTACCATAGATAGATGGCCCTCTTGTTCTATTTTTGTTTTTAGATGAAACTTGAACCATTCCATAGGTAATGGGCACATAACAACAACAACAGCCCATAAAAATAAAACTATTAATCATTTTAAATAGTTTTGATCATCCATTCCATTTACGGTATGTATGTGGGTAATAATAAGAGAGAACTTCCTCCTCCTCCTCTCATTATTGACCTTCTTTTTGAGAAGCAACTTTGTTTGCGCTTTCACTATTTGTTGTTAAAAGAGAGAAAAGGAAAAGAGGTTAGTATTAATATATAACCCCAACATAATAATAAAATCATAGAAAAAGTTTTTGACTTTGTTATTGTAAACAATGATGGTACTCACATATTTTTGCATAGAGTTGTAAGGTTGGACGTCAGCTTGGTGAGATCTTCATCTCTTTCTCTAACTGATTCATAGACGTTTAGGTGATCTTCTTCCTTTCCAATACCATCAGCATCGTGAAATTTAATTCTCTCTGAACCTATCGATACCTGTTTCATTGATAGTTGTGCTTGTTGCTTTCTAATCTCTTGAAAGTCTTTGAGGATTTTAAGTTGATTATGACCTTTTTGTAGTAATAAATAAGAGAGAAGAAGAGTTAATCAAACATTGTATTCATTTAAACGAATAAACATATCTAACTATCCATCATATGATGCAGTATATATCTTACCAAATGCTTTCATTTCACCTGCCTCAAATTTCTTTTTAATCTTCATTAAACCTTCGTTTAATAGTAGTATACTACTATCATCCATATTTTCTTTCTTTCTTTCTCTTTGGGGTATCGATTAAACTCGAAAAAGTATCTCTACCTACCTTACAATGAATAAAAAAAACAGCAAATATGAGGAGAGGGCAATTCAATTTTAAAAAATTAATATATTTTCAAAAAGTATTTTACTTTGGGAAACTGGAATGGATCACACAAATTACACTTTAATATATAATTTTCATTATACTTGAATAAATCTTTGATATATATTGATTAATTACACAGTTTTATATAGTTTTTTTTTATTTATTTAAATTTTGGTTTTTTAAAAATCCTTTTCAAGATAATTACAAGAGCATACCATAGAATCAATGAGGGATTGATTCATTTCATCTGATAATGTAGAAAATTCTTGATTTAATTTGTCATTCTTTGAAAATGGCTTTTTGATTGGTTCGTTGTTCATCATGCAGGTGGTTGCATTTAGAATTTGGAGAGCTACTCTAGCCTGAGAAGTTAAAACATACTCTGGTGGTAGATTCAAGAATCTGAATAGTTGATCCAATTCCTTCTTGGTGGACAACATGACATCCATATGAATGAATTTCTCGGCCATTTCCAATTGGTTCAAGAATGAAGTGGTAAGGGCTTTTGGAACTTGATCCATTTCGTTGTGATGTAAAATGGCAAAGTCTCTCATTCTCTCGAGTGAGTTTTTAAAGCGTTCACGGACATCACCGAGAGCAATCTTTCGCCAGAGTAGATAATCGTTTAGATTCTTTACACCGGTGGTGTTGGAAGAGATGGCGATTGGTTCAGAAGACTCTGTTTGGTTTTTGTTGGTAATATTCCAGGCCTTGTGTAAATCGTCCTTATTACTTGATACCAATACAAAGTCGTCTTCGTGTGATGATTTATCTGTTTTCTTTTGCTCGGCCAATGGTGAGCTGGTTCTAGAGAGTGAGATAAAGTTGGTGCCATTATGTTTGTGTAAATCTTGGAGCCATTCCTTTGCATTGATTGACTTTGCTCCTGTATTTCCTTCATTCTTTACATTTACATTTAATCTTTCCAAGTTTTGTACTAAAAAAATTAAAAAAATTAAAAACAAAAAAAGAAAATTGGTCAGCATCTTTGCAAAGCATTTTTCAATGAATCTACCAAAAACCATCTCCGATGCATGAAATGGGGTGTATGTTGTTTCATTCATTTAAAAACTATCATCCGTAATATAGAATGTGTGTGTGTGATGCAGTTGATGGTTGATGTTTGATGTAGTTTCTTTAGCTTACCTGCATAATCATTCTTGCTCTGTGTTCTTAGAGAGTCTAGGTATTGGTTGCCGTGTACTACAAGTGCGGCTGGTTTGAAGAGAGACAACTTTGGGGCAGTTGCCGTTGCTACAGCTCTGAGTCCTTGCATTTTTTATATTGTATATATGTTGGTTTGTTTGTTGTTGTTTGTTGTTTGTTGTTTTGTTTGATTTGAAAACTAAAGCTTTCAAAAGGTTGGTTTAAATAAATAAAAGTTGAAGTTGTTTGGTGGTACTACTAACTGCTGCTTATTCTAATTGATGTTTGTCGAGGCGTCAGGATTGGTATATCGATCTGCGCTACTTATAAAATCGATGAATAGGGTATATGAACGTAATAATACTTTAGACTATTAGACTGGGTAGAGTGTGAAAGTGATTGGATGGCTATCTAAATGGAGAGGTTGGTATATATATGATCTGTGTTTGCGTCACGAAGGTTGCAAGTGCGTCTTTACGTTGTTTTGGCCTCAAAGAGATAGATAGATAATAGTATACTGTGAGTGGGGGGTATTGGTGCTAAGAAATGAGTGGATTAATGATGAATAGTATCAATAATCGTCACTTTGTATTTGTGTATTGTAATAATAAATATTTAATGGTAATAGATAAGATAAAAAAGAAGATAGATAGTAATAATAATAATAATATAAACTTAAGAATATGAATAATGATAGGAGAGAGTTGTTGTTGTTGTTGTTGTTGGTTTCAAAAAAATGGGTTTTATATGCATGGATATAAATTGATTGTGTACCCTTTCATTGGCTTTTGGGAAAATTGAATTAATTTATTATTTATTATTAAAAAAACCAAACAACAACATCACCAACACCCAAATACTGTCAATTTTTTTTACTGTCAAAACCAATATTCAAAACACTTATTTCCTTTCTTGGAACATCTGTTAGCTGTCAGCTCACTTTTTACTTTTTTTACTGTCAAAAACAACAACAATAATACGAAACAGATAGAGATGCATATTCTTCGTTTCAAACGATATTGTCGAATAATAATATTTTCATAAGTTACAAAATAATTATTTTAAATAAAATAGAGTGATTGAATTCATTATCATTCTCTGCATGAGTGTAATAATGTGTACAACACTCAACAAGATGTTTGATTGATTTGATCCAAGTAAGTTCTATCTTTAGAGATGGAAAAAAATAAATAAAATAGTCATAGATATATATATATTATTTGACTACTCCTACTATGATATCTCATTGAATTTATTCCACCACAATTGTTAAGGATAAAAGTTTAGAACAAATAAATATATTATTATTAATATTATTATTATTATTATTATTGTTTAAATTTTTTAAAGATGGAATTAATTTGAGGTTGTTGTTGTTGAATTGGTTTCTTTTTATCACTAATAATTATTATTAAATGGGAAATAAAGGATTGTTAGTTCAGGATTTATGTCTATAGATCTAAAGAGAAAACTCTGAGAGGACATACTTTGGATTTGAAGTTGGGGCAGAAGTAATAACAGCACCAACTTTTTGACTGGTACTTTGAACATTTGTTGTTTTTCCTTGTTGAGAATATTTTGCTTTATTTTCCCATTTATTATTCGGTTTTTCTAGAATATTGGATGGAAATGGAAATAATGATAATAGAATTCTCAATTAGTATATTTGTATATGTATTTTGATATCAACAATCGGCGGATTTTTTAACATACTATTTTGTGAATTATTATTATTATTATTATTTGTAGTTGATGTATTATTTTCTCTTTGATGAAGAGCCATTCTAAATTTATCTTCTTCCATTTTTCTTTGTCTTTTTTCCAATTGATCATAATATTCGTCTTCCTTGAACCCCTTTGGATTGTATAGATCGAGGGCAAGGTTACTTCCATTCTCTTGGATATCACAAAAACTGATTAATTTCTCGAGGATCGATGGGTTGTTGAATGCAGTCGATTTCCTGAGTGTTTCGTTAAAGTTTATACCTTCTTGTTTCATTTGGTGATATTTTGCAATCTTTGCCATCATCTTTTCGTCCACTTGATTGTCTTGGTCCTCAGTGGACGACGACGATGATACATTAATGGTAGGTGAAGATACATTTAAAGAATACAATCCAATAAAGTTTGGATTGGTTGATTGTGGTGGATTCGATACATAAGGTGGAGAGTGTAATGTCGGCGTAGGAGGTGTCGATAAATTCCTATTTTGAGTATTATTATTTTCTATTGTTGTTTTTAAATGAACATGATGATTATTATTATTATGATTATTATGATTATTATTATCATGTCTATTATCTTGATTATTATTATTAGTATTATTATTATTATTATTATTATTATTTTCAATAGTATTTTGGTCATATTGATCTTGATCTTCTGTAGTATCATCAATATGTATCATTTTTCGTTTCTTTTTAGGTGTATTCTTGTCTATATCATCTTTATCATCGTCATCATCCTCAATCTCCTCTATCGATACTCCATAAGGAGGTTGTGTTAATTTATGTATCGGTATTTTATGTTCTTCTTCGTAGTCTATATATTGATCAAGATTGCGTTGTTGTTAGTCACTCGTCATTCATTTTAATAATCTTTCTATTATGTATGTTTGTATGTATACCTTGATAATCTTCATTGTTGTTGCTATTTACATTATTATTATTATTATTATTATTATTGTTGTTGTTGTGTATTGATGCCGTTGATGTAGTCGATGTTACATTTGATAGGTGATTATTATCATCATCACCACCTTCCTCTTCATCTGATTCATATTGACCAAATAGACTCATTATACAATGAACAACTCTTATATATGACAAACTATTACTACTAACTAAATGTGTAACAGCCTCGAGGTTATACTATTATCTATTTAAAAAAAAAGTGAATGAAATTCAATTTGGAGAATATTAATTAAAGGTATAAATACACAAATTTTGGGTCACAACTATTTATATTTATAATATTAATATTAATTTTATTACAAAGTTGGTTTAAATTAATTGATTGACTTTGTTAGTTTGTTTTAACTTTTACATTCACAAAAATCAAAAGGAATACCTAAATCTTGACAGGTAACATTATCGTCGATGTGTCCGAGGAGACCTCTGTCTTGACGTGGATTAAAGGTGTCGCTGACATCGATACCGCCAAACTCGGGATACTTGGCAAGTGTGCGAAGGGTTGCGTAGAGCTGGAAGGGTGAAGCCAGCTTGTTTTCATTGTCGAGTAGGTTCTGTTTGACCTCGGGGTGGAGGTCGAGGAACCAGTTGGGAAGGGTGAGGTAGAGCGTGGGTTGAGCGACTTCAACACGTCCACCCAACGCCCAGAGATAGTATGGTCCCATGTGAGAGCCGTGGTCACCAACCATGAGCAGCATAGTGTCGTTGAGACGCGATGTCATTTCGTCGCCGACAAACTTTGCAAACTCGGTATCGGCAAATTTGATCACGTCCATGGTGCCCTCGTGGGCATCCATGAGTGTAGCGTGTGCGATCTTGCCAACACCCGGGTAATTGTCCCACATGGCATCGATATAGTTGAATACGTGGCGATGAATCATGTCTTTACCCATGCACCGACGCTTGAATGAGAATGGGCCTTGGAAATTGCCAAATGGCTGTGCGGGGGGGTACGCCTCGGGCGAGCAGAATGGCAGCACGACCTCATGGTCGATGATGCCGGGTGGCGCGGGTTTGTCGAGGTACTGCGAGAACCAGTCTTCGCAGAACCCGTAGATCCAGCTCGTCACGTACGAGTCGTTTCGGAACGACTGCATGTAGAACGGGTCGGTCTCCCACTTGTGTGCGCGACGTGGTTTGCTTGCGAGCTCCGCGTCGTTGGTCGCGTCGTAACGCACCAAATTGTATCCCGTGTACATGGCCGCCGTATTGGGGTCAGTGTAGGGACGCAACGAGTGGTATCTGAAAAACTGGAACACGGTTGCGACACCGCTATCCTGGATACGTTGCACGCGCTCGTATGTAGTTGGCAACGCACGCTTAAAATGTGCGCGAGACAACGCGTCAATCATGAGAAAGATAATATTGATGGGTGCGTCAACGCCTGCGGGTGCCGGTGTCGGTGCGGGAATACGTCCTTGCGCAGCCAGCGTCGACTGCTTAAAATGGCCCGCTCGCTCGCTTAAAAGCGGCTGGAACGCATTGTGCACGACGACTTCTTCCCGCGACCCACATTTCACCAGAATGGTCTCGTCGACCACTTTAACCGGCTCGACATAGGTAAACTTGCGCTCCTGTGCTTCGTATCGATTCTTGAGCACGTTCATCTCGTGCGGAGAGTATGTACCTGCGTCGACAATCGCCTTGAAAAAGTTGGGTGTTGCCGTCACGGTCGCCTCGCCGTCGCACTCGACATGCAACATATTATCCGTCGTAACATAGGCAATCGTCTTGAGCTTGGGGCATTCCTGCGAGCCGACCAAATACTTTGTAAAACCTTTTGGCAAAAACGCCGGCCATGGCGTGAAATTATCTGGCACGACGCATTCCCCATTCGCACCACTATACATTAATTTACGACCATCCAAACCAACTGGCCACTCACGTATATACACACGTCGTTGTACTTGGAATGCAGCCAAAAATAATACATTAAATATTACTAATCCAATACATATCTTTTTTAATGTGAAAAATCTTAGAAACAAAAGAAAAATAGATTGTTAGTGTCAAATGTTGCCCATTCATTCATTCATTCATCTCCTCCTCCTTTTTGATTGCATACCTTAGGGAAATAACCCAAAATAAAGTAACAAGAATATACAATAATAAAATGCCAAACAAGATAATTAAATTATATTGTCCGTGATGTTCAAGCGTTGCGCCAGTATCACTAAACATTTGTGCAAGTGTCAAACAGAGGCAAAGTGTCGACAAGACAATCATCACCACTCGATCCAAATTTGCCAATATCTTTCCAATAATACCAGCTGATTGTTTGGTTGTTGATGCGTTGATTAGATTAGTGTATCCATTGGTCGACGCACCTTGTAATTTCGAGGTAAAACAAAGTAACCATAATATAAAGAATCCAACATAGTACAATACGGATGCACTAAATATATAGACACCAAATATTCCTATATGATGGTGTATCCAATCGACATCTTTCTTTCCTTCCAATGACCAACTATAAAGTATATTTGCAACAAAGATGGCTGTTATTGCAATCGGTAAATATAGGTATTGCTTTAATACAAGCATTTCCTATCAAAATATAATGATGAAAGAAAAGAAGAGAAGAGAAGAATACTAAAACTCTCTTCCTCTCTATCTTTCTTTCTTTGTAATAGTACAACTAATTGTGAGGTGAAGTCGATCTATCTCTCTATCTTGTGTGGTGTTATTGTTGTTGTTGTTGTTGTTGTTGTTGTTACTGATACTAACTGTAGATTGTTGGTATTGATACAAAGTATGATAATAACTAAAAGATATAGAAAAGATAGATATATCTCGAGAATGTAAGATGTATTAAAAGAGAGAGACAGAGAATGAATGCTAATATGAGTCACCAGCTTTCTCCACGAACCAATTTAATTTAAAAACGACACACGAAATTCATTTTCGGTTGGATTTTCGAAGTCAACAAGCATTTCGAACAGAAATACTTTACAAATATATATATATTTATTTAAAGGAGTGAGGTATTATTATTACTACTATTATTATTTTAAATATAAATGTATTTATTTTCAAATAAATATGTTTGTTTGTTGGGATTGAAGATTTATTTAATTAATTTAATTATTAAATTATTTGACTTGATGTCTAATAAATCTTAAAGCAATATAAATAAGGATCATAAAGAAAACACCAAATGCAAATTGAATACCAATGTTGGAGAACTTGTCTTCGATCTTGTATTCGACACGGTCAAGTACGACATTGCCGTTGGGAACTGGACAGAACCATTTAATGTTACCTTGAGCATCGACTGGAACTGGGACAGCTCCCTTATTGTCTGTACATTCGAATGGAAGGTCTTGGAATTCATTGACCAATGCAGACTCTAGAGAATAGGTAATGAAATCGATATGATGCGCCCATTTCCATGCCTCTGGCATTGAAACAGATGGAATAATGAAACCAGCAAATAATGCTGTAAGTGATAAAATAACTCCAATTAATGCTGATGCCAACTAAATATTGAATGAAAAAAAAAGATGGGGGGATTAATATTTTTTGGAAAATTGATTGATTATTTTTTGTTTGTTTGACATACCTCGACAGTTGGGAAAATACAGGCAAATAACATAGCAATCATTTGGAAACAGAAATATACAATAAAGGTAATGAGAACGTTAAAGAAGAATGGTTGACCGTGAGGAGAGAGCTTGAGACCGGCGATAAAGTAGGCGGGGATGGTGTAGGCGAGAGCAGAGAGGAAGATGAATGGCACATCGGCAATGATAAAGGTGAGCATGTAGATCCAGATACGGTACATGCCTGAAGACTGTTCACGGTAGAATACACCACGTTCGGTGGCGATGAGGGGGATAGCGGCCGTCGCCGACATACCACCAAAGACAAGCGAGAAAAAGATGAGAGATGTTCTAGAGTAAATGTCCTCTTGTTCATTACCGAGTTGGAGGAAGAGTGTGCCAAAAACGGCGCCGAGGAATACTGAACGAATCATACGTGTACGGAGATTTTGAATACGACGGACTTGGGCGTACCAACCACGCTTCAACAACTCGATGGTTTGAGTAGCCATTGAAGAGGAGTAGACTCCGTGGAAGGTTGGGACACGTGTGCCAGTTGGCATGATACCAGCGTCGATCGTCGCCTTGAGACTGGCGTTTAGCTCAGACTCTTCGTAGGCACGGACCGGATGGAAGACGTTGCCGTTACCCATGTCAACCGCTTCGTCGGTGACATCGAGGATAAAGTCGGCTGGGTTTTTGAGTGGGTCGCAGACAAGTCCGCGCTTGGCAAAGTAGTCGAGCACGACTGAACTGTTCTCGCCGGTTGGTCCAAAGTACACAGTCTCACCACCCTTTTTGAGGAGCAAGAGATGGTCGAATTTCTTAAAGATAGAGGTTGACGGTTGATGGATCGTGCAGATGATGGAACGCCCAGAACTGGCAATCTTTTTGATGAGGTTCATGACCTTGAGCGCACTGGATGAATCGAGCCCACTGGTTGGCTCGTCGAGGAAGAGTAGTTGGGGGTCGGATGCCAACTCGATGGCAATGTTGACACGCTTGCGTTGTGAGAGTGAGAGTGCGTCGACACCCTCGCCAATGAGACGGTTGGAAATCTTGACGAGGTTGAGTGTTTGGAGGATGTTTTCAACAAACGCCATCTTTTCTTCCATGGGCATGGTTTGGGGGAGACGCGACTTGGCCGAGAACTGGACAGACTCGCGGACGGTCTGTGTGGGTGGCAGAATGTCGAGTTGCTCGACATAGGCACTGATACGCGTAAAGTAGCGTGTGCGCTCGGCACCGTTGATCAGGATCTGGCCCTTGGTGTAGCCGCCTGTCTTGCGGTTGGCCAACACGTCGAGCAAAGTGCTTTTACCGGCGCCAGATGGACCCATGAGTGCGAGCAACATGCCCGGCTTGACATACCCGTTGATTTCCTTGAGTAGACGTAGTTTCTGCTTCTTGCCGTCCTTTTTGACATCGACGTCGTAGCACAGGTCCTTCCACTGCACATAGCAGCCGATTGGCACGTCCTTTTTGGCCGATGATGCGCCGAGGTTAGACTCGGAGAGTGAGCGACTAGTTCCGGTGATTTGGATGCTGGCGGACTTGTCTGGCGATGCAACTGCCTTTTGAGCCTTTTTGGCACGCTTGTTGTTACGCTTCTCCGAGGCGGGGTCGGCTAGACGCGAGTCGTAGTGGACGGTGCTGAGGAAGAAGTACATGAGACCAGAGTAGAGGATGGCGTAGGCTACGACGACGACGAGGTCGATCCACTTGAACCAGTTGTTGTCTTGCATGCCGAGTACTTGGAGGAACTGCACACCCTCGGTGTACGGGCAGACTTGCTGGCCGTTGTAACCGTCGGGATAGGACATGTTAAAGTTGGGCAAAAACGAGGGTGGCATGAGCTCGGATGGTGAGCAGTGGTACTCGCGACCATAGTGCTCGTTGCCCATTAAACCCTCGAACCCGTAATGGATGGGGGAGATCCAGTACATCCAAATCCACCAATTGGGGATCGCGGTACGATAGATCATGTATCCGGCAAACAAGATGAACGGTGCGATGAATGCTGGACCAATCACAGCGGCCATAGTAGCATTGGGAGAGAACGCAGACACCATCTTGAAGAACGACTGACTCGACAAATCACTCGCCAAGACCATCAAGATAAAGTAGATGAATCTTCCAGCATTCGCCTGCAATCCACACATCCAATAGACCAACACTGAAAAGATGACCGTCTCGGAGAGCGAAATAGGGAGTTCTGAAAAAATGAGGGAAAGGAAAAAGGAAAAGGTGTTGTAGTATTTGCCGTCCTTTTGAATATAGAATATATTTCTTTGTTCAAACAAGACTGTAATCGAACCAAAACCACCGAAAATGACAAACAAGAGTGAAAAGAAAATGAGACCTGAACGATTGTTGCCACCGGCTTGGTCAGCTGACAAATCCCAAAAGAGTGAGCCCAAAATAAGACCCATGACAATCGACTTGATAATTCTAACTCTTACGACGACTGGGTTAGAAACAAGCATCTTGAATGCACGTAATGATGTCTTGAGGATTTGGTAGCCGGTCGATGTAGGGTAGGCAGTCATATGAGAACTGTCCTTAAAGTCGGATGGGTTGGGAATATTGTTGTCCAAGTCATCACAAACCTTTTTACAAATCTCTGAGTTTTTGTAGGCTTGTGCAAATTGTTGTGTACCTTTGAGAGGTGGCTCACCCTCCTTTGCGTAATATAATTCTGGTTCATCAACAATCTCTTGAAAGAATTCAGCTGGATTATGATGTGATGGTAATTTAAATCCAAGTTCTTCAAAATCTATAAAATGGAAAAGTAAAAAAAAAAAATAATAATAAGTACAAAAGAAAAAGAAAAACTTTAAAGTCGTTATTATTATTATTATTATATTTGATTTGATTACATACAGTCGATACCACTATTCATTGGCCCGAAATAGGCCATTTGACCTTCAGATAGGACCATTAAAAAGTCAAATAGACGAACGATTTCAGAACCTGGTTGAAGGAGTGAAACGATACATGATACATTTTGAGTGGTGACAATCTCTTTGATATTGGTTATCAAGTCTAGTGTGGTGGTTGAATCTAGACCAGTTGAACATTCATCGAGTAGGATGAGATTGGCATCCTTGACAAACTCTACACCAATGGTAACACGCTTCTTTTGACCACCAGAGATACCACGCAAAAATTCATTACCGACGATGGTGTCGGCTTGTGACTCGAGACCCAACATTTTCATGATGGTTTCGACACGTTGGTTCTTTTGTTCTTCGGTCGTTCCCTCTGGCATTTGCATATCGGCACTGAATTTAAATGTCTCTTTGACTGTGAATGGTGCCATGTGATGGTCTTCTTGAACGACATAGATACAATCACGATGATGTGTATCTGGATTTGGTTCCTTTCCATTAAATAATAATTTACCTGACAATCTTTCATCATGAGTTTGACATGCCAATGCTTTCATAATTGATGTCTTTCCACATCCCGGACTACCCAAAATTAATACCATTGATCCTGGCTAAAAATAAATAAAATTAAAAATTAAATCAATCAAAAAATTAATAAATAAATATATTTTTCCAAAAGTTTCCAAATATATATAATATATATATTTATATTTAATAATTACATACCTTTAAAAAGAAATTTAAATCTGATAATATATTTTTTACATTATTCTTTTTCTCTGTACCGACGGTCATGGTGAGGTTTCTGGCGGTGACATACATACCACTACGACGTGGTGCGATTGGGATGACAGATCCAGCAGTGGTGGTATGATAGGCAGGTGACGATGATGATAATGAAATATCATTTTGGATGTCTGGTGGGGACGATGTTCCTCCACTAAACTCTGTCATATCTACGCCATCTTCATGTTCAAGTGTAATTGGTGGTGCCATTACAAATTATTTAATATTATATAAATAAATTATATAAATATATTATATATAAATATATTATATATAAAAATAGGGTGTTGTTTAAAAACGATCGTTAAAATATAAATATCTTTACCGACAAATAAATCTTTGCTGCAGAAAACAAAAAAAAAAAAGTGATCGTGGCGTTGCAAACAAAATAAAAAATGAATAAAATTTATACAAGCAAGTACTAATCGTAATAAGTATGAACTAAGAACGGAACAATTGAATGAATGAATGAATGAATGATTGATTGTGTGAATATAATAAATAAATAAATAAATATGATTCGTTGTGAGTCTTTTCTTGAAAGTGCACACCTACAATGACAATGACAATGACAATGAGTTAATCAGTGTTTGGATGGTGAGTGTGGAGTCGGGTGGGGTGGTGGTGAGATATTATAATACCTCTCTTTCTTTTTGTAACACTAGACGAGACTATACTAGTACTAAAATAACTAGTGATGATGATGATGATGATGATGAAAAGAAAGTAAGAGGCGGGCGGCGATTATAAATAACCAAACCTTTGGTTCATCGTAATACAAAAACAAAAATAAAATAGTTAATAATAAACTATAGGTGTCCGCTAGCATTAGGTCTATCGACACCACAGACACTACTACCGTAATGGAAAGAGTCGACACCATCGATTCCCAAAATGGGTGTTTTGCAAACAGAAACATAATGATGCCAAAATGCAATGTTGGTTGTTGATCGATCTCCTCTTTTTGTTTTTCGACCAACTCATCTGCAATACTACTGCTACTATTTTCTATCACTCTATATGACGCATTACTAGTGTGATTGTTGACCACCCACAAACCGAGCTACATCACACAACCCACACGCGCGCTCGAGTGTTAAAGTAATAAGAAGAGAAGAGAAGAGAACAAGCAACATCGGGGGTGGGGATCGTTAGTACAAAAGAAATAAGAAGAAGAAGTATGAGCGAAGAGAAGAGAAGACAAGATTGTTGATAGTATTATTGTCGTCGTAGCCCAGTGATCAATCAAATCATCATCATCCCAACATATGATATTATCTTATCTATCATCTATCATCTATCTACTCTTCCAGCTCTTCTTAATACATATTGAAACTCCCAATCAAAATGAATTCCATGATGAGTCACACAAGACATACCGCTGCGCAACTCACCAGTAAATGTGTGTATCATCATAATGCAACCCCAATGACGATGTTTCAAAATTGGCACCACCCCACAATTGTGGGGATTGAGTAAAAAAAAAAGGTACCAGCAAATTATTTGTTGGTACTAACCATTATTATTATTTCAAATATTCAATCTACTCTACTCATTTTATTACAGAGGAGGGGCGTAAAAAACAAACAAATCTCGCGAATCCAAAATAAATAAATAATTATTATTGATTTCCAATTCAATCCAACTTTTTTTTTTTTTTTTGATATACTAGTATGAGTTGAAATTCATTTACAACAAATGGTTTTATTCATTAGTATCCATAAGAGAGAGGGTAGTAGGTGCAGAGGAGTCGGCGGCAGCAGCCGACAATCGAGATTGTTGATCGATCAATATTTTTTGTTTAAGTATTTGTATCGATTCTTGAATTTGATTAAATATCTCTAAATTTTCGGTTGCTTTTGGTTTGATATATTGTAGTGAAATATCTAATAGTGTTGATATGTCTTGTGATGATAGATTTGAATTTGTACATGATTGTTTGAGTAATGTCATCAGGATTACACTACCATAGATAGTGTCTTTGACATTGGAATGTATGTCGTGAAAGTTGACATGGTTCTCTTTGAGATCCATCGATGACAATGCAACCTGATCAACATATTCCTTGGATTTATCCTTTGCCAAAGTCATAAGAGAATCAACTGAAAATTGATGTGCTTGTTGTATCGTTGCAATTTGTTGTGGATAATTATGATTTAAATTCATATCATTCTAAAATAAATAAAAAAATAATTATTATTAGTTCCTCAATCTATTATTATTAAATTATCTATGTACACATGTGACATACATTAAAATTTGGATCTTTATGGAATATTTCCAGTAGGGTTTTTAATATCCTGTTCAAATCTTCTAGTTCTAGGATTACTTTGGAATATTCTCGACGGAATGATTGAGGATAATCACCAACCATAAAAGAGTCTTGTGCTTGATCATTCATTCTTTCAATTTGTCCAATCAATGCTTCCTTTTTTTCCAATACAACAATTAAGCCCAATACCAAAATAAGATTCATCTGTCCACCACCACCACCACCTTGTTGCATTCCATTCATATCTTCATCACCAACGACCATTGTTCCATCATCCATTGTTTGACTATATTGTTGATTATAATCTCCACCACCATTCATATCATTATTATTATTATTATTATGATTATGATGATTTAATATTGGTTGCTGTAATGTTTGATTTGATGATTGTGCCAAGAAATTATTTTCTATTATACTTTTAATATTTTTATCAATTGACTATATATATATATATATATATATAGACCAAACATTAATTAATGAGCATTATATTTTATATCTTTTTTGTTCTTTTTTATCTTTTGTCTTACCATAACATGAATATCAGAAATATAATCAATTTGATTTGAAACATCATTTTTAATTGTATAAGTTTGTGATGGTTCTATATATGAAATAATAATTCCAGATAATAATGAGTTATCTTTTATATCTATTATTTAAAAAAATTCAAATGTTAAAAATATTTCTCTCTCTTTTTTTTGTATATTTTGATTTCATACATAATACTTTTGAATCTGGTTCAATTTGAATAAATTTAAATAAATCATTTGTCAACATTGATTGTCTTATTTTATCCCTAGTTTGATATAATTTTTCCCTTGCCTCTTCAAAAAAACGTTGTGAAAGTCTTCTTGGTTTCTTCATTCTTGATCGAACTTGATTCCATTCCATCCGAGATAGTTTTTTAATTGAACCAATTCCATTTTGATTGAGCCACATTTGAAATTCATTGTAAAAGAAAAAAGGTGCATCGATATCACTATAAAACCATTCGCAAAGTGCCCACTTGCCAGATAGCCGTAGATTTTGGTGTGGCGACAATGTACAACTTGGGTCAGTTGGAGGATTGCTTGCTTTGGGATGACTGGTTAAAAAGTTAGTCAGTCGTTTTTGAATCGATAGTTGTGTTTGTTGTGTAGGCACAAATGTTGGTCGTGGTGAAGAGGGACTTGGGTGGCTATTAGCACCCGATATAGTATCAGATGTTGGTGATGAATATTTAGACTTGCTTCTTAATTTAGCAGGTAGTGAAGATGGTGATGATGATAATGGTGGTGATAATGATGGTGATGGTAATGGTGATGCTTGCATTCTATAGAAAATAAATAAATCAATATTAATAAATAAATCAATATTAATAAATTGCAGAGATCCCATAGGCATGTTTTGTTATTTCAAAATAAAACATACTCTTTTGCTTTTCTCTTTTTTGTTAAACTTTGTGGTGTACTTGTAGTAGTAGTGGTAGTAGATGTAGATGTATCGGGTTGGTTTATCGATGATGCTGGTGGATCGGTAAATAATCTTCTTGCTTTTGATTTCGTGGTTGGTCTAGTACTATGTGATGGTGGTGGTGGTTGTGATGATTCGGTTGTGCTATTTACAATATCTTCGTTGAATGTTGGTAGTGGAGGTTGTGTATATGAGGACTGTTGTTGAAGATTTTGTTGTCCTCTTCTCGTTTTAGAAACTGATCGTGTTATTCCACCACCACCACCACCACCATTTGTATTTGATGATGGTGGAGGTTGGTTCGAAGAAGAACCAGTTGTTGCTCCACTTAGAAATATTCCTTTGACCATGAATTGAAAATTATCAGGTCCCCTACATTCAGGAATGATGGAGCTTGTTAGATTGTACATTGATTCCAACATGTCGCATGTTCTATTTGGGAATTTCTTGATTACACTATTCCAATCACTTGGCTTTTGTTTTTTGACAACTATAAATATAAATAAATATCAATCAATTAGTAACAACAATATTGTTGGATCGATGGATCGATGGATGGGAATGAATTCAATTTACTATGCCAAAAATCAGTTACTTCATGTAGGGTCCACATTGGACCGAGTAATGGATGCTCTCGTTCATCGAGTGGTGCGGCTGGTGATGATGCCGATCCTATTATCGTATTGGATGATGTCCGAGGGCTAAATGGTTGTGTGCCAGTCGACGACGACGGTGGCTGAAACGTCATCGTCTTTGAAGATGGCGAAGGAGCCGGTGATTGATTGAGAGACAATATTGCATTGGCTGCTGACGCTGCCGACCTCCTCTTGGAGGGTGTCCTATTGATCGATGATGGAGTTGTTGAATTGTCTTCTATGAGATAGATAGATATTAGTATCTATATCCTTCTATGTTTTCCTCTCTCTCTCTCTCTCTCTATTCATATGAACACATACTGTTTGACATTTCTAATGAATGATAATCGACGGACCCTTCTATCTTTCTTTAAATCTCTCAATCAGTCACAAAATGATATTGTTTCTTTCTATCTCTATTCCCTAACTCTATAGATGGATAGATAGATAGTAGGTATGTATGTATGTATAACAAATACGTATAAGTGAATGTATTATATGTAAATTAAAGGTTTGGTTTAAAAGTGTTAATGACGTTACTCTAGAGCTCCCTCTTCATTCATTCTTTTTAAAAATTTGAATTTCACCTCTTTTCTCTCTCTCCCTCCACCTTATTCTTTTTAATCTACAGATACTTACATAGATAAATAATATAAATAATGAAATCAGTTGTAAAATTAGTTGAATTGAATGCTAAGCGCTCATACTATAGCGTCGTATCAAAGGATGCTGCCACTAAATACTCTGCAACCGTCATCTTTTCACATGGTCTAGGTGATACCGGTGCAGGTTGGTCTGATCTCATGTTGGATATCAAAGAAGCTACCAACTCTGAACATATCAAGTTCATTCTCCCAAATGCGTAATTATCTCATCAACAAGATCGAGTGTATGAATGATGATGATATTTACTAATCCAATCTATCTTGTTGTAGACCAATTCAACCAGTAACAATCAATATGGGTTTTAAAATGAACTCTTGGTATGATATTAAGAGTTTGACAGACAGAGGTGATGAAAACAAAGAAGAAGTAGAAGACTCTAGATCATATAGTTTGTATCATCCATCACAACTGACCGACCGTAATCATCAGATGATTATTAACTATAAATACTTGATCTACTTTCTTTTTTTAGTTGAATCATTAATCAAGAGTGAGATTGATAGTGGTATACCATCAGAAAGAATTATGATTGCAGGTTTCTCACAAGGTGCAGCATTGTCATTGTACACATTCTACACCACCTCTTACAAATTGAATGGATGTATGGTATTGAGTGGATATCTTCCACTGTCAAAGAGATTCAAGGAATTGATTCAACCAACCAACTTGCAACAACCATTGATCATGTTCCACGGTGAAGACGATCAAGTCGTCAGACACCAATGGGGTAAAAAGTCATATGAAGCTCTCCAAGAGGCATCAAACAATGGTATCAATGGCAAATTCATTAGTTTCCCATACATGGGTCATTCCTCATCACCAGAGGAAATCAAAGAAATGGCTACTTTTATTAAAGAAAGATTACCAAAGAATTAAACAAGAGGAAGTTATTTTAAAAAGTATTTGAAAAAAAAATGGTATTTACATTTATTATTACTACATATATGTATTATTATTATTATGGTCGCATGTTATATTATTATTATTATATTATTATATTGATGGATTATTATATGGTGGATTTATATGTATATTTATATTTATATATATTCTAGATACTTTCTTTAATTTTTAATTAGTCGGTTTAGTTACTACAATATTAATATTATTTTGTTGGGTATTATTTTCATCGACCTCTGGTATATCACCATCGATCAGTCGTAATGTTTTATCTTCAAATACTTTGAATATTTGGGTTCGCATAAACTGTGTGATCCAATCCTTTTCCTCGGGGATATCGTCGTATTCCGAGACGAGGAATGTTTCAGGTATAAAGACAGATACAATCTTTTTAGGATTGGATACATCCTTGATACAGTGTCGTTTAAAGTGTTCAAAGAGTGAATTGAGATGATTGGTAATGGCATGAGCAAAGACATCGAGTAGAGCCTCTTGCAATTCATTGGCCACATAGTTTAGTTGTTTCTTTGCCTCGAGTGTATTTTTAATCTGTCGTTGGATATCGATCAATTGGTTGGACAATGGTTTCCAGCCTGGGAAGAGAATGATTTGTGGCATGGTTGTTTGAATCTTGTTGTTTTCAATATCGACCAACATGACATCATTGTAATCAATCTCTGATGCATGTGGCATACTATTAATACCACAAATAAATGGGACCGGTGCACTTAATACATCTTTTAAAGAGTCTGGTATAATCGGTAATAATACTGATTGATATGTAAATGGTTTTAATAATGATGTTACTGCAAATCTAAATAAAAATAAATAAAAACAAAATTAATAATGTATATTTATAAATAATAATAATTGAGAATTAATATTTCTTCTTCCTTCTACTTACATTACACTTGTTAATGATCTTAATGATTTTGAATAAAATACTACTCTTTTTTCAAGTAGAATGGCACTTAGAATGACGAGTAGAGTTTTATGAGATAGTAATTGGATGGTTAAAAATAGACCATATTCTTGACACAATTCGTTAAAATCTGCATTTAACTCTGGTACCACTCCATTTCTTGGTCTTTGTGATGATCTTCTAAATGAAATGGTAGTATCCAAGTTGGGAACGGTAAATGATATGGTTTGTCCTGGCATTGGTACAGCTTGATTATAATAATAATCTACCAAATCTTTAATTGGTTCTTTAATTTGTAATCTACTTTGGAATGATGGTTGTTGTTGTTGTTGTTGATCATCTTTAATTTGTAAATTTTGATCCAAATCATTTGATATTGATGTTATTTCTATTTTTGGTACTGATAATAATTGTTGACTTGGTGTTGTTGAAATAGATGGTATAGTCGAAGTAGTTGTAGTTGTTGTATCTTCAGCTGAAGAAACTACATTTGTAGTAGTAATGGTAATTGGTGAATTTGTTCTACTTGTATTTCCACTATTATTATTATTTCCATTAACTGTAACAGTTGTACCAGCAGCAGTTGATTGATTTAATGGTAATGGTGGTTTACTGTCACTTACCACACCGCCACCATTTGTAGTCTTTGGTGTAGCCTTTGAGAATCTCTTTGCACTGATTAGATTTTGGAATCTACTTATCTGTTGCATATGCATAATTGCCAATACTCCATTGAGAATGTTAAAGTGCAGTGGAAAGAATGGATATTTAGAGAGAATGACATAACACTTGGGGGCAGTCTTGACTACATCACCAGTCTCTACTGCTGCTTCACCCTCTTCAGGTTCCTCATTGACATCAACTCTATCTGATTTCTTTGATATTGGTGACACCTTCATTGTACTAACTCCATAAAGTACTTCTTTACGTTCATCAGTCAACATAAACACTATAAATAAATAAATAAATATTAATAATCATTCTCTTCATTTTCATTATTGTCATCATACCAAAAGAATCTTCATAATCTTTCAGATGATGTTGTGTATAGAGTAGTTGGAATAGATTGGTATGTGATGCAGTTTGAGATTGTTGAGTGACTGGTATTCCATCAACTGCTGGGAATGGGAATGTCTCTACGTTGATCGAACCCATTGGTTTGTCAGGTGGATACTGGTAGAGTATTTTAGGAGCAGCTCTCACCTCTGGTACTACATGTGGTGTTGGTTTGGGAGAATGAGGTATTGAAGGTTTAACAAACGATGAGAAAAAGGATGGTGATGCCGATCGTGGACTACTCACTGGTGGTGGTGTTGGTGATCCACTGTTGTTGTTGTTGTTAGATACTGATAATAGGAGACTTGGTTGAGTTGGTGATGTAGAAGTAATTGGTATTGGAGTAGTCGCAGTATTTGTATTATTATTTGGTAAAGTAGATTCATCTACACCAATCACCAAGAACCATTCGAATATTCTTGGTCGTTCAGTTGCATTTGACAGTCTTCGAGAGTGCGAATGCAGCGATCTACTCAGTCTCTCCTCTGCAGTCAACTCTTCTACATTTAGTGTAATATCGATTCTCTTGACTCCAGATGCCGTTCTTCTATGTGACTTTGTAAACATCCTATCCTATTATAATGTATTGTTACACAACTTGTTGTTTATACTACTAATTTTGATGATAATAAATAATAAATAATAAATAATAAATAATAATATAGTAATATATATAGTAGCAGACTGATTACTAATAATAATATAGATTATATCGATTGTTTGATTGATGGATGTATCTATCTATTTAGTATAGTATGGTATAGTGAGTATTAATATTGATAATGTGCGTATGTTAATGAATGAAACGTAGGCTGTTGACCTTTGCAAAACCCATGCATCCGTTCACTTTTGAACCAAAAATGTTTTTAATAAAACAGTCTATTTTCGATCCCTCGATCTGAGCTAAGTGACAAGTTAACTGTTATCTGCTGCATTTATTTGTTCATTTATTTATTTATTATTTATCATTGTTGGCTCCTCATGTGATCTATATTCCACCATTTTAATTCAAACTATGATTTGTAATCCATTTTAAAAAAAACAATCTATCAAACTAGACTGAATTAAAATGGTTGGATATATCATCAGCTGCACTACTCTCAAATGGCAAATATAATAATATCAAATTTAAATGAACTAACTCACAATTGATCAATTGTTTTGATTGTCATAATTTACATTATAGGTTTATTATTATTATGGTGGTTGATGATGGTGATGATGGAAGAATGGATTCAATTATTGTACCATCATCACTTATTATCGGGGAGGAGGAAAAAAAACTTTGTTTGGTTAATATTAGTATTATTATTATTATTATTATTATTATTATTATTATTATTATTATTGTTATACATTCTATGATGATTCATTCGTTACTATTATTATTATTATTATTATTATTTATATATGGATGGGTTGTTCCTCTTCTATTGATTCATTGTTGAAGTTGAAGAAGTAGAAGTGGTGGTAGTAGTAGTAGGAGATGGAATATTAAAGAAACTTGGTGAAGTAGAAGGATGATTCATATTGGTTGGAAGAGTTGGTGAACGACTTCTAGTTAGTAATTGTTTGGTGGTAGATTGTCTCTTTGAACGCTTTAACTTTTCTTTGAGGTGGAAATAAGATTCCATCAAACTCAACTCTTCCATTAGTTTGAGATTCTTTTCCTCTTCCTTTCTGAGCTTTTCAACGAGTTCCAAACTCTTGATGGCAAAGAATTCAGAGGTCTCACTTTCCTTTTGTAGTGATTGTCTAAGTTCATCGATATCGCGCATATGGTTGGTATAGTCTCTCGAGTTTCTAGTATTATCTCTGTCACGATCAATCTTTATATTGTTTATAGTCTCTCTAATCTTGTCCATCTTTTGTTCCAATAGTACTGATTGATAACTACCAGATTGACGGTTTGTATTGACATTATTAATGTTGTTGTTGAGAGTACTACCAATACCACCAATACCACTACCAATACCATTACTACTACCACTAACCACATTAATTGGATCTTGTTGCTGTTCAAAACAGCTCTGTGAACGTTGTCTCTGGATGTTATACATCTCTTCTCTATTGTACATTTCCTCTTCGTCGTTGTAGTTGTAGTCTTTGTAACTGTCACGTGAAAATCTATTACTGTTTCGGTTGCTGCGGTCACTTCCGCTGTCTCGTGTCACGTATTTGTTGCTACCTCCAAATGGTTGGTTACTGTATCGGTAGTTTCTGTTGTTGCTACCATTGACGGGTGCTGATCCTACCGCTCCACCACCTGGACTATTGGTAGTGGTGTATTCTTGTTGATTTGCCAACAACATTGAGATTCTCTCACGTGGACTGAGACGCTTGTTAATCTCACGTTCAATCTCTCGTCCAATATCGCGACTATTGCGACGGTTGTCTTTGAAGCGCTCCACGTCAATGCTGTATCTGTACAATTTGTCCTTGTTGGGGACTGGATCACCGGCACTGGCGGCGCTGCTGTTGCCAACACGCTCGTAGCCCTGTGGCACGAGATTCGAGGTGGATGTACGAATACTGCTCTGCGATTCGCGCAACTCCCTCATCTTTTCCTTTGAATAACGGTCAATCTTTTCTTTGAGTTGTTGAATGTTGGCCTTTGTAATGTTGTTGTTGATAAATGACCCGCTACTCGATTGCAAACTAGCATACTCGTCGACACCAGTCGGTGCGGTTGGTGGTACTACTATACCGCCATTGCTTGGTGGTGTCTGCTGTTGTTGTTGCTGAGTATTTGAGGAGGAGGAAGGTGCGACAAACATAGTACTACGTCTATACGACCGTCCAATATTATCAAATGAAGAAGATGATGCTGTATTGTTGCTGTTGTTATTGGCAGCACCACCTTGTTGTTGGAATTGATTTTTGAGGAATTGATGCTCCTCGATGAATTGTTGGTATTGGATGTCTTCGAGCTTGTGTGCACGACGGTTGCTTTGGTAGCTGCGGTCGACCATAGTGCTGTTGGCCGAGGATGGCTGCTCGAGCATGTTATTGTTGAATGAACCACCAGGCTGAGTGACTTGGATAGATGGGGGAGGTGTGCCGGTGGCACTGTTGCTTTGCTGCTCGTCGAGGTAGGTCGTGGTGACGGTGAACGTGATGGGTGTGCTCGCGTCGTTGGGTGAGGTGATGGTGGTGGATGTGATGGTGCCGCCGTTGCTCGACGGGCTGGATGAGACGGCTGCGCCAGACGCTAGACGGTCGGTGGGCAGCAGGCCCGAGATGGTGATGGACGCAGGCCGCGAGTACCGCTTTTGCATCTCGCTGGCGAGCTCGCTCTTCTCCTCGACCGACGACAAGAACGAGTTGATGCTGAGCGGACGCATCTGTGCGTGATGGTGCTCGGCAAACGGCTCGCTAAAGAAAAAGTCGTGGTATTGGATCGGGTAGGTGACGATCGCCGGCACGCAGTTGAGTGTCGGCACCAGACAGATGGCAATGTTGGTGACTGTCATCTTGTTCTCGGCCGACTTGGCCAGTAGCTTGCTCAGCAGCCCGGTCAGCGCCTGCATCACCTCAAAGTGACACGGCGGCAGCTGATGCACGAGCTGACGCATCTTCTCCAGCACCTCCATATCGACCTGCTTCTTCTTGCCGTCGTCGCTCAAAAACAGCGACGTCACACGACGGTTGATCGACAGCGGCACAAACACGGGCAGGTCTCTAAAGAACCGCTTCAGCAGTCCCGCTGCCGTATACGGCTCGATCGACGACACATCCACATCGGCGCCGCTATCAAACAATCGCACGCACTCGAGAATCGTCACATCGCGTCCCGGGATTCTAAACAACCCCTCGGTCGACAAACTCGTTCGCTCCAAATGGTCGACCAACTTCTCGACAATGATCGGCACGCGCGACCCTCCACGACACGGCACATCGGCCAATGCCACACCAAACACACGACGTCCGTCCCCACTCGCACCGTTGTTGTAGCCTATTGGGATGCCCTCGCTGCTCGACAGCGGTGGCGAAGTCGGCGGACTAAACATCGTGGTGATGCTCGTCGCAGTCGGCGTTGTCTTGGACGACGAGCTGCTGATCGAGTTGTTGGGACTGATCCCATCGGAATCAGTGTATGATCGACTATTACGTTTTGACTTTTTGTCCTTTTTGCTTCCATGTGGAGAATCGCCTCCTCGCGATGAATCCTTCTTACTATGTTCCTTGGATGGTTCACCACCTCCTCCACCAGGTTCCTCTTTATCCTTTTTATGGAATATTTGAACTGATCTTCTAAATATATTCTTCATTTTTAATCTTTGTACTATTGTCATTAAAATAGAATAAGTAAGTAATGATTGATTGGTTGATTGATTGAAAGTAGAAAAAAAAAAAGATATTAATAAATATCCTTGATTAATTAATTAATTTGTTAAAACTAAATAATGTATCTATGTATCTGATTCTCTCTCTCTCTCTCTCTCTTTCTCTATCCACCCTATCCAACCAATCAGTTTAGTATAGTATAGTATAGTAATACATGTTATAAAAATGATGATTTCAATTTACAATTATTTCTATTTCTTTCTTTTCCTTTTTGTTCCTTCTTTGTTTGTTTCGCTTGTGATCAATCAATCAATTGAATAATGTAAATTGATTGTATCTATATATCTATCGATCTATATAATGTTGTGTATTTATCAATACTACAACTAGTTTTATAAATCTGTCTATTGACCGTATATATTTAAATGATATGGTGATTGATTGATTGATTCGACTCTTACTCTTCCTCTGTCTGTTATAGTGATAATAATAATATGTTATATTGTCTATCTCTCTGTCTGTCTGTCTCTTTTAATGTATCATTAATTCGAGTAATGTCTATCGTGCGTTGATTGTTGTTTGATTTTATGACTGCAATTTCTCCTGTCCCGCTTTTTTTTATACACACACGCTGACTAACCCATACAACTACTAACTAGTGAGTGCTACCACCCATCATATAATATAATATATATTCAGACACACACACAATAAAACAAACCAATCATGTACTTCTACTACTACAAAAATCTACTACACTTTTAGTTGTTGGGTTGTTCTTGTGTGCGGTGCGTATGTGCTTGTTTTGTTTTGTTTTGTTTGTCCTCACAACATGATTTGATGGTTGTTGTGTGTGTTGTGCGTCGCGCGTCGTACTATGTACCAGTGGATGATCTATAAATAATAGTATGATGGTTGTTCGTGTGCTCAACTTGCTGCTAGTGATATATTTTGCTTTGTTGTTCGTTGTTGTTGTTGTTGTTTTTTGGTTTGGAACCACTCTATTACTGATGATAGTTATAACGAAATATACCAACACAATAATAATAATAATAAGTTGAGTGCGCATATATAATTCATTACCTTTATAATTTAATTATGCTTGTTCTTCTTCTTCTTGTTCTTATTCTCTGTCTTTTTTTTAAATGTTTATTACGATTGTCGTCTCGTCTTTGTGTCTCGGTTGGTCGTTGTGATTGTTGTATTCGAGATGATGGGTAAAGTATGATGTGTGTGTGTATGTAGTGGTACAATGATGTGATAGATATATAATATAAAATTAAAAAACAATCAAACGACTTTAAAAACTAACAAGGTAGGTAGGGGCAGAGCCCTTTAGAGTTGGGTGTTGCCTCCCTCGCCTTTTAAAAATTAAAAAATTAATTTATAGAGGTTGCCCAACATGGTGTTCTCCACGGTCTAAAAGTGCAATTGCACAAAAAAAGAAGATATATTCTTCGACTCATCTCATTGCTTTGTTGTTGGTGTCAGCTCTACACAATATTTTAGAATTGCTCCAATCGATCAAGAAAATAAATAATAATTGTACTTTAACCGTTTTATCTATTCTCTATTTGTTTCAATCATAGAGAGAACATGTTCGTTCATCTTTCGTTTCGCAAAAGAAAGAATCGTTTGCAAAAATGGGGTATCCCAAGGGTTTGCTTTGCTTTGGTCCGCCCCATTAACTCAAAGTAGATTTTTGTCTTGAGCTTATGATTTTTTATTGAGTGTTGCCCCACAACCATCAAGAATCTTACTTTGCCTATTTTTTGTGTTATTATTCATTCATTGTTGTTGTTGAAAAGAGATAGCAGTAGAGAGAAAGAGAGAGAGAGAGAGTAGATTAGTGTATAAACAAACAAACATACATCATTCATCACTACTCACTCATCTATTTTAAAGATTACATTGTAATTCCTCTATCTCTATTCTAACTTTTTTGTATTATTATTATATTTAATCACTTCTTCTTTAAAGAAAAGATAAAGAGAGATCAGATCAGATCATATCATATCAAGTGATTAGATAGATAGATAGAGTGTAGAGTAGTAGATATAGATATATATAAACAAAAATGTTCATTGATTGGGCATGTACATTAAATTTGATAGACAATGAAAAGAGTATGTTTAGTTAGAGAGAGTAACAAAAAAAGAGATAGAGAATTAATATTTATTTACTTTTACTTTTATGGCTGATTTTAGATACAGGAATATTAAAAGACTTTCCATTGTCTGTTAAAAAGATATTGGTACAACAGATAGTATCAAGCTTTTTAGCGACTGATTCGAGCACAAGCAATCCAACGGTACTGCCAACCAAACAACATTTGTCATGGGTGATGGAGGTGGTAGAGCAAGGGTTTTTGTTGCCTCTAGAGGATGCACAATCGATATTTGCATGCGTCGATCTATACAAGCGATGGTTGTTTGACGTTAGATGCAGACCACCTGCATTGGGAGAAGACACGGACGAGTTTTACACACAAAAGATATTGGAGCATTTGACGTTGGCATTTCAACCACGTACGGCCAATTCAAGAGAGGCAATGGACACACACATCATTCTCTGTCAAAAGGTGTTACAGTTGTATTTGGATATAGGTAGAGCACTGTCTAGCAAGTTTTCACAACAGACGTTAGAGTTGTGGATTACTTTGTTGTTGGCGGTCGCCGACAGCACGCTAAACATTAATACACGTATGGAAGACCCCATTGCACGTGCCATTTGTCCATTACTACTCAAGGTGTTGTTTGAGGTGTGGTTACACTCGCGTACACGTAATGCTGAGTTGTGGCAACACCTGCATCGGTATGCGTTTGGGTGGCTGCATCATATGCCGGCCATCCACCAGTGGAATTTGACGTGTCTGGCATTGACGTCGCCGTTGGTGCAGATGGTGTACGGGTCCAACACGGCACAGCCAGCAGGTGCGCCGGTGCAGGTGCGACTCGAGGACATCTCGCTCGAGTTTGATCGCGACTACTTGTTGTATGCGTGGAATCGTGTGTTGAGTGCGATTGGCAACCCTAATGTCATCAAACATCCGACTATCTTTGCCGCGGCGATTGGCGGTATCTTTCAACTCGTTTCCATGTTGTTGGGTGCGACCGACGACGGTAACTCGATCTTGCATATTTTTGGCGCGTGGTTGTTCGAGGCAGTCAAGTCGCCACGTCCCGGCTTTGAAGAGGGTGTGAGTTTGGCCACCGAGATCCTCTCACATATCTTCCAGACCTGTGCTCCACGCATTGCATTCCAGCCTATCTACTTGTCAGCATTTTACAGTTGTTTGTCAGAGACGTTGTGGTGTGATGGCAAGGTGCTGTTTGCGTCGGTTCTCCACACCCAAAACTTTTTGGCTCTTGAGTTGCCCGGTGCACGTATTCTCATCCCCTCCTACATTCGTGCACTCGGCCGTATACTAACGATTGTGCCGGGATCCACCAGCGAGTCACTGCGTCGTGCTGCGATCCGTATCCTCGGCTACCTCGTCTGCATATCCAACCGCTACGAGCCGGTCCAGTTCTACCACTTTTTCAACAAGCGTCCAATGGAGTTTTACCCTCCTTTACCCGCCGATATTGTCGGCAAGCACGAGCTGGTGCAGCCCGACGTCAACACGTTCCGCGAGGTTCGTCCACATGTTGCGCATCTCATCTTGTCGTCGCTCAACACCGAGACAAACTCGTCCAACCTCCAAACACTCATTTGGTTCATTCTCTCGTTCCAACTCGAGCACCAACACCAGGGTGTGACGTCATCGGGCGAGGGTACAGCCTTCCTCAACGGCGCCATCAACATTTTGCTCAAAAAGAGCGCGTCCCTCACCAACCAGTGGCCACCCGAGGTGGTTGTACACTCGTTCCAGTTGTTGTCTGCGCTGGCCGAGCATCACTCACAAGTACCCAACTTTGTCGAGTTTGCCCACAACGTGGTCCGTAAACTGTGCAAGTACATTGTGTTCAAGTGTCGCGAACACACCATGTCGCTGGAGAGCGAGGAACTTGTCTCGCTGGCCATCCAGACCATGTCTGACTGGGTGTCTGCCAACGGCTGGATATTCGAGGGTAATTACAAGACCGACACATCTACCTTGTACATGTTGTTTGATGCATTGACCATCTCGATGGGCGGTAAAGATCCAAATGAGGAGATCTCATCCAACTCGTCAATGAGCAGTCAAACGTCGATCAGCTACCTCTCCTCCTCTGGTCAAGGCACTCCCACCCCTCCTCCCACAACTGGCAAGGATCAAGATAAAGAAACATCTGCTGGAAAGGACAAGGACAAAGACAAGGAAAAGGACAAGGAGGAGGCACCACCCAAAGTGCGTAAATTGGCCAACCCAGCTCGTGTTCCTGCCAAAGTACGCGAGTCGGCACAGACTGCACTTCAGACGGTCTTGACTCGTATGGGTAACTACCCCAACCCGTACAACGCCAACCAAATGGACACATCATCCACCTTTGTCGAGGTGGATATTGTCGAGCAGATTAGAGAGCGTGCCAAGCTTGCTGGCGAGCCTGATTTCCCTGTCGAACAGTGTATCCGTTTCTACACCATCGAGGGTATCAAGTTGATGACTCTTATCGACCAGCCATTTGGCAATGAGCAGTCTGGCGGCCAACCATTCTCAACCATCATCATCCGTGACAGCACAGGTCGCTATGTCATCAATACTGACCTATCTTTGGTGGCACTGCGTCCCAAGCTCGACGGACTCACCCCTCCCCTTGCCGACGACCAAGTCATGTCTGATGGCGAGGGTGGCGGTCAAGACGAGTTTGTACCAACACTCGCCGGATCGGGTCAAGGCGGCGCTGCCTACAAAGACCAGTCACAGACCACCGGCCTGCTCGCTACTGCCAGCAACCAACCTTATATCAGCAAATACGCAGACAATTGCGAGCAGTTTGACGACATTACCAACTATTTGTCACGTCATCCCGACGAGCAATACACCAAGTACATCCAAGACTTGGTCGCCAGCGAGAGCAAGTCGTTGCAAGAGTGTCAGTACGGGCTCAACTTTGCCATTGCAGTCAGCTCACAAGTACTTGGTAATAGGTATGCGGGTGACTGCAAGTTCCAGCAGTCGCGTATGCTACTTGCATCACTTGGATTTTTCAACCTTGAAAACAAGGGACGTCTGTGTCCGATGGACAATACATCGTCGTTTTACCAGTCGTTGCGTAGTCTTGACTCGGTCTCTGAGCGTGTGCAATCGCGTGTAGCAGTCTACTACGCCAAGCGTGGCGACATTACCGAAGAGGACGTCATTGCCAACCAGACCGCCAACACCTCGCACGATTACCGTGAGTTTGTCGCGTCGCTAGGCTGGACGGTCGATGTTGAGAAACACTCTGGTTACCTCGGCGGGCTAGACCGTCGTTTCTCGAGTGGTCGTGTCGCACAGTACTATGCCACATCGACCAAAGAGATGGCATTCCACGTCGCATCACTCATGCCCCACCAAGATTCAGTCAACCCACTCGAACAAAAGAAAAAGATACTATCGCGTTCACAAATGTCGGTTGTCTGGTGCGAGTCCATTGAAGACTATGAAAAGGAGCTGCGTCCAAAGGCCGACCTCCTCTCCAAATACTCGTTCCAACTGGCTGTCGAACCAAAGGCCAGCGGTCTGTTCCGCATTAAAACCATCCATAGCAACTCGCAGAGTAAGATCTCGTTTGGACCAGTACTCGAGGAGATGACCGTCTCCAAGCATATCCTGGCACCACTCATCAAGGCGACACTTGGAAATGCCAACAACTACCTGCTGGCATCTGAACATCGTCTCATCCACCCATTCGCACAGCGTCGTCGTCTTATTGCCGATATCTCTGACTCGTTCCGGTCCGAGCTACGTGTCATGCAAAACTTCCAAAATGTATTCCTGCCACTCGAAGAAGACAGGTTGTATCGTCCCCCACCCATCCCACTCATATCCAGTGACGACGTTCCCATCTTTAAGCCGGTCCGTCCCACCAACAAGCAACGTCCCATCTCTGTCCAACTGTCCTCGCCCATCATCCCCATCCAACCACTCAGTCTCTCGTCAACCGGTGCTGTCACGTCTGGAGGCGGCAACCCCCGTATCATGCCAACACCTCCCGTCCAAATCAACAAAACAAACACCTCACCATCCATGCAACCTCTTGGATCACCTTCCTCCAAGAATTGGGGTGGCCTCAAACCAACCTCACCCGTCGCATCATCCACCAATCAAACCATTTCCAATCCAAACAATCCATCTCCAGGTCTCCGAGGTAACTTTTTAACAAGAAATCGTTCAATTAATTTATCAGATGATCAATCTCAATCACCACAATAAATCAATATTATTGAATGATAATTAATAATTACTATAATTATAATTTGATTGGTTTGGTTTTGTTGTTTTTAATTTCTGTATATTTTTTGGTTTGTTTTGGATTTATTTTTCGATTTACAAAAAGGTACGATTCTTTGTACTGTTCATGTATGGTCTGTATACCCATTCAACATCTGCTTCTGGTTGATCGATTGTGCCCAATTGAATCTTGTATAGTTTTAATTCGAATCTTGGTCCAACCTCTTTTAATAAAACATTCTTGTGACCATCTTTTTCATAGATATGGTGTCTAAAAGATATATAATCATTATTGTTTGAAAATGTTAAAACTCTTTTACTGTCTTGAGCTGGAACTGGGAATAAATATTTTAAGATGTTTTCAGTCTAAATTAAATATATAAAGAATTAATTAATAAATGAACTTTAGTTGATTTAGGAGAGATATGGGGGATACCAACTCTTGAACCAAGTGGAGTAGTAAAGTTATTAAAAATAAGATGTGGGTATGCAAGAGATGCAGGTGGAGCATCTTGAATATCATGAATCATAATACAATTTACAATTTCGAAATAGGCTGTTGGCCCATATGGTAAATGACAAACAACCAATCCATCTAAATAAATTAAGTAAAAAATAATTGCTTATTAGTATCTATTATTGTATCGAGTTGTTGTTGTTTTGAATAATTACTTGGTTCACCACTATGTTCATGAGCAATAACTAAATCTGTAACATCGTTTGCACGACATGCATCAACCAATTCTTTGATAACGTGAGCACCTCTGTTCATCTTTTGTGAGTTGGGGAACAACATCTTTAGTTCCTTTGCAAATTGAGTAAGACGTGCACTTGGATCTCTCGAAGTGGTGACAAACACTTTTGGGTCGAGTACACCTGCACGAGCATATTCATCATCTATATTGAGTCTCTTGTAGTCTTCCTCTCCTTCTATACTCATCTCTTTACGCGAGTTGAATTCAAACTCTATGAGCTCTGAAGGTATTGGTTTACCCTCGTTGAGTGCTTGTTTAATCTTTCTCTTCTTTTCATATACATCTTTTTCCTTTCCTTCTAAATTCTTTCTATACAAGTATTCTTGTCTTAATCTAGCATTTCTTCTTATCATCTTTTTTTATTGATTAATGTATATATAAATAAATAGGGATTGAATACTAATCAAGATTCATTGTATTAATACAAAAAAAAAAAAAAACGAACAAGACGAAAGACGAGACTTTTTCGCTTTTTTTTTTTAATTTATTTTCTCAAAGAGATATACAGATATTAATATGGAGTATTATTTATTTATTTATTGACTACTACTATATAAATTATAATTTTATATATTATAAACATTTATCGATGAAACATTGTAAGTTATTATTATTATTATTATTTTTGATTTGGAATGATAATCGCTTTTTTGCCTTGTTGAATAATTTGGAAGAAAAATGGTTTCTTGTTTACATCATTTGGTGTTAGAGTTGATATTATAATCGAATCGGACTATATATATATATTATATTATATTAAATTTGAAATGAAATAGTTAGTTATGATGTCTTTTTGTTTTTGATGAATAATATTTAAAACTTGTTTCCTTACACTTTGTAAATAATTAAATAAAGGTAGATCCATATCTTTTAAGAAAAATACACTTGCATCACCTCTTTGATCTTGCCAAAAGATTTCATAATTTTGGTTACCAAGTAATTCGGGAATGGCTTGCGGAATGATATTTTGGAAAACATGACTAACAGTATAATGTGGATGCACTGTAATGTTTGTAATATGTTTACCACTCTTTTGAGCTACCACTTTGACGGCTCTTGGATTTTGATTTTCTCTCAACAATTGATAGAATAGATTCTTTAAATCTTCATAATTGTTAAATGTTAATGGTCCATTATTATTAATATAATTATTCATATTATTACTACTAATTTCTTGTTGATGTTGATGGTTAGTTGGGTTAGCGTTGTTATTATTATTTACATTATTATTATGTTGATGATTATTTACAAATTCTATTGGGTGTTGACAAGATGGAGGTAATGAAGGTAAAGGTTTTTGAATTGGTCTTGATGGAGAGGTTGGAGAGGTGAGAGGAGAAAGAAGGTTGTTGTTGTTGTTGTTGTTGTTGTTGTTGTTGTTGTTGTTGTTGTTGTTGTTGTTGTTGTTGTTGTTGTTGTTGTTGTTGTTGTGTTTGTTGTTGTTGTTGTTGTTGTTGTTGTTGAGGAATAGGTGATTGTGGTTCAATGACACTATGTTGAATTCTATTTTCTTGAATCAATAGTTTTGCCATTCTAGTCCAAACAGAGAAAAAGTCTTTGTTTGATTGAACCACCGATTTTTCAATCAAGTTTGTCAATCCCCAAATGGACTTTGTAAACTTGACGGCGGTCGATACTTTTAATAGACACATATTCTTGGCCAATGGTTCCAAACTAATATAATTTTCGACCGAGAAATGGTCTCCATATGGTACGTCGGTTGATAAAGAACTAGTCTCCATAAAATAACCTCCGCCTGGTGTTCTTCTAATCTTTTGGATTTGTTTCACAGTTGCAACTTTTGGTCCAATCTTGAATGATATAGGTGTTTTAAAATTAAGTTCTCTTTGTTGATGACACCCAGTTGGTGATACACTCCATTCTCCTTCTGCCATATCTAGTAGAAAATTAAATTAAATTAAATTAAATTAATAAATATTAAATGAAATAAAAGATGGATGATCATTATTACATACCATAGAAACCCATTTCCTTTGATACATCAGACCAAAATCCAGAATCAATGATGGTTCTGTAGAATCGATGACATGCAATATCAAAGGATTCTGTTACATAGGGTTGAAGTTGGTTTACTTTGGTAAGAGGATCCATGTCTTTGCATTCAACATATACCGGTTGTGGAGGTGGTTGTACTGGAACAGGTGCCGTAACAGCCTGTTGTTTCGGTGATAAAGGTTGAAGTTGTTGAATTTGTTGTACAGTTGCATTGACAACAATTGGTTGTAATAGTTGTTGTTGTTGTTGCATTACTGGAGATGTCTTTCCTGGATGTGCATTTCCATTACTATAATTTACGGTCGGAGGAGGAGAAGGACTATCAACTGATCCATTTGATTTAACATCATTGTCATCCCATCTAATAGATGCTTCTCCGTATTGAACTGTTTGAGTAAGGTCATATTGTATTATTTTACCGGTTGTAATATCAAACATATCAAAATCTTCTTCGTCCTCTAAAAGATGATCTTTTTTGTTATTGATGGTTGTACAACTGAGTTGTTGTATTTGTTCTTCAATAGTTAAAGAGGTGGATGATGATGATGGAACATAGTTTTGTTCTAAATGAATATTATTATTCATATTATTATTCATATTATTATTATTGTATATATAAATTAATTTTAATTCGTAGTATATATTCTGATGTTGTTTCGTTGCATAAACCAGCAATCTGAGCTGTTTAATTAAAAGTAGTAATTAAAGAATATAATCTATTAAAAAGAATGGTATGGTATGTTTGTATAGTTGTAATAATACACATAAATATATATACAATAAAGTAAACACAGATAGGAAGAAGAGACAATAGAATAATAATAATAATGCTATCAGTACTCTAGACAAAAATGTGGTGTGGTGGTATAAATTAAATTATTAATTCATTTTCAAACAAAATGAGTGTTTGGTCTGCGGTTCAAGAACGAAGCATTAACATTTTTCTCCAAGACCAAGGACACATGTATAGTATTTACAAAAAGGTTATATATACTAGCTCGTATAGTATAGTATATTATAGTATAGATTTATTACGTTGAAAGGAGTCAATTGATTGATTGATTGATTATTTAGTAACTAAAAAGCTTGTGGTAAATGAATCAATGTAGACAGAGTGAACGGATCCACAGGTACCTGAACAAATAGCAACGTTTGCTTCAAAGGTACCAGTTGAAGAACCGAGGAATTGGAATGTAACTGGATAGGTAATACCAACAGCTACGTTGGTGACTAGCTTAGAGTCTGAGAAAATAACCTTGCCAGCTGCGTTGGTGACATTCCAAGCGACCGAACCAATCATCAATGGTTCATTGACTGTGTAGTCTCCAGATGCGGTAAAGGTAGTTCCCTTTGGAGCTTGGGTTGGCTTGACTCCAACTGTAACTGATGCAGTTGGAATATCTGGGTTGGTAATACACTCATCACCATATTGACAGGCATAGATGGGATCTGGATTCTCTTTAATGAGACTAATGAAATCAGTAATACCAACCTTTTTACATACTTGTAAACAAACCATAATTTCTTCTGATGATGTGAATGAATCACAAGTAGACTAAAAGGGTATAGTATATTAATTAATATTTAAATTGGTTGACACCTCTTTATTTTGTTTTTTAGCGATACACCTACCTGACAAGAACTAGTGTCCTCACCTTGTGCGATCATTGCAAGGACATCTTCTACAAGTCCTGGCATATAGAAAACACAAGTAGTACAGAATCCATATGGATTGGGCTTATGTACTCTCATTGGCATGGCAACTGAACAACCAACCAAAAAGGAAATTAAAATTGATGCTATGATTAATTTAAACATTTTTTTTTTATAATATTTTAGAATTATATAGATATGTATATTATATAAATGATTGGATTGATTATTTGTTCCGACAAATAAATGGTATCGGTTCTGTGTGATTTAGATAATGAAGATGATGTGGCTCTTTGAAAGCTTGGTATTTATAAAAAAATTAAAAAACTATTTAGATCTTTTGAAGGGCAAAATATCTTGTAGTTATGAAAACCGACTCGGAATCCAAATTTCAAGGGACCTTTCCTCTTCCATCGAATGAAACCCTCGAATCAAATTTTATTCGAGGGTATTATTGTCGATTGCTCCGATGAAAACGAAGTCATCCAAAAAGAAGCATAATTAACAAGCAACGAGAACTTATAATCTCAAGATGGATGATTTGATTTATTATATAAATATAGTTTTAGTTAGTTATAAATAATATACTATTTTCTAGTTATTGATAGTAAAGGAAGTGTCTTCTAAAGCTAAGGTGAGAGTACCTGGACTGGATAATCCACATGTACCAGTACAAACAGAGACGACTACTTTGTAAAGACCACTGCTGAAAGGTTCTTGTTCAGATGGCTCGGCTGTGAATTGGTATGTGTATGTATAGGTACCTGGAACGACATTGGTAATGAGTTGATCACCACCAAAAAAGTTGACAGCAGGATCGATAATCTTGATGGCAATCTGACCAATATTAAAAGGAGAGATAATAGTATAGGTAGCAGTTACAGAAAAGGTGGTACCTAGTGGCCCACTTGAAGGTGTGGTAGCAACATCGACGGTTGCAGAACCTGTAGTACCACTGTTGGTTGGACATAACCTGACAGATTGACAGAAATAGATGGGGTCGGCAACTTGCTCGTCTGTGATTATTTGGATGAACGGATCCAATCCTATATTATTACAAGCAGCTGTACATACTTGTTTTTCATCACCTGCAAAGTATCCACACAAGCCAGCACAGGTACTTATCAGTCCACCATTGGCTATGATGTTAATAGCATCTGCATCGAGTTGTTGACAATTACTAACACAAGAACTGCAAATTGGAAAGGTCGATGCAACTTGGAATGATGATGATCCAATAGAGGAACAAACTAAAATAGACAAAAGTATAAATAATATTTGTTTCAACATGTTTATCTCTATTGTTGTGATCATAAACCCCTTTGATTTTCGTTTGGATCATGATCATTCGTAGGAATAATATTAATTGCTCATCTTGTTGTTGAGTTGGAACGGAGTGGACATGGGAAATAGCCCCATGGTTAAGATGATGAGAAATAGATAATTGTAAAAAAGATATTTTCCAAACCAAAGGTTTTCAAAGGAAAGGTGGCTGATCTCCGCTTGTGTACCCTGTTGGAGTTACGTCATGCGCCAAATTGTCGCCCTTTGTTGTCTTGAAACAAACAAACAAACACAAATCCATCATCCTCATCATCACACCTATTTGTACACACTACTAAACAATTAAACCAACAACAAGCAAGCAAGCGATCAATACAACAAATACATAAAGATAAAGAGATAATAGTTTAGTTAGTATTAATTGGTTGAAGTCTATTTATAAGTAGCTATAAATACAGTTAGATATAAAGATATAGATATATAAAGAAATAGATAGATAGATAGTTATACAATCATCAAGAACAACGAAATAATGAAAAGAGGGGTGATCTCTTTTCAAGGTTATCAGAGACAAACCATCGCCAACAACAAACCACCCTTTTTTGTATTATTATTATCTTTCATTGTACTTCTACTAGTACAACTACCAACATACAATGCACAAAATATAGTATCATCAACATATCATATCAAATCAATATCTGATATTACAAATACTTATTCAATTCAAGTAGCTCTATTTGATATATTATTCGATGAAGGTATGATAGAAAGAAAGAAAGAAAGAATGAATGTCGATCATCTTGTGATTCATTTTCATTGTACTCATACTTATATATATTGACTTGTTTGTTTGTTTGTTTGTTTGTTTGTTATTTAGATTTATATATAAATGATATTATATTATCAAATTATAATTCAAGTTTAAGAAATGAACCTATACCATACAAGACAATATGTTTGCCGTCACCATCACATTGTAGGAATATGACGGAATCAATCTATGCACAGATTGGAGGTGTGTCGATGAATTGCAGCGATGCAGTGGGCAACGCCTACTTGCTCAATAGTTTGGTCAATACTTTTGACAGTGCATTGGGTGTGCCTGTTGGATTGATCCCCGCACCCAACTCGGACCACGAACCATTCATTGCATTCTCGGTGGCTACCGACTTGGTTTCATTCGACTATCTGCCATCTGCACTACGTACAAATGCACGCAAGGTATCGTTTATCATGTTTTTCGACTTTATCTATATGAGTCAGTACATGACCTATCCCGCTGATTTCCAATCCATCCAAAGAGACCTTAAAGCTGGACGATGTCAGTTACAGGTTGGTGGTGGAAATAATAACATATACACGTCTGCAAACGGAACAAATGTGGTTGGACAAGCGAGCAAGCCGGCCGTGTTTGTACCGTCGTGTTTGACGAGCGATGTAGTGAGTGCGACCGATGCATTGTCGACAGCGATTGATAGGATCTCGACCGTGTCAACTGACCCCGAGTCGTTGACACGTGCCAGTTTGCAGGCATCGATATTCAACTCGTCGCGGTCGATCGAGGGATGCATGAATCTGCTGGGCGGGTATGTGCAGCTGAGCCCATCGCGACAGGCGACCACTTTGCAGACGGATCTTTGCGGACGTTCGTTTACAGACGCCGCCTACCACACGGACCCGTGCTGCAACACAACGCTGCAGTGGACCGAGTGCTGCGCGACACGACCTCTGACGTTAAACCCACCCGTGCTGACTACACAGCCGAATATTGGCGGGTTGGTCAACGCAACGTGCAAGAATGCGCAGCGGTCGGGCGAGCTATTCAACAACCTCATCTCGATGGTGGCGTCGTCGCAGAACCCCGTGACTGGGTGCTCGGCGACCTACTTTAAGACGATTTCGCAGGCCGAGTGGTCGAGCTACCTCGACTTTATGTACACGTGCCGCGACCTCATCTTTGGCATGCACGCTGCCGGCTACCCATGCTCGCGTGACGCCGACTGCTTTAGCGGACGTTGCCAAAAGAGCGTGGGCACGTGTTGGGCACCAACGGACAATGACGCGCGTATCAATATGACAATCGCATGCCATGTCCAGAGTATGGACCCGTTGATCCGAACTGCATTGGCTGGTCAGTGGGGAGAGACGGTCAACTTTACCCGCGCATACTATGAGCACGTCGTCATTGACAATTGTGTCGGCCGTACGGCGTATCAGTACACCGAGCTGCCCACATCGAGTGGCACCGAGTACATTGTCGCCAACAAGACGCAGTGTCTGGGTGACGAGGGGTGTCAGTTCAAGTGGTCGATTTTCGACGAGGCCGACTGCACCCCCGGCGACTATTGCGTCATCGAGGAGAGCTATTACGCCGACTCGCTCACATTCCCGCAGTATTGTTACGCGCCGACGTACAACCCCACCGAATGCACTGCGCGTAACGGCTCGATGGATCCGCGTCTGCTGATGAATGTGTGTCGACTCGACCAGTTTGCGTCAATGGACGAGTGTCTGCCGCCCGACGTGTGTCCGTCGATCACGCAGGAGCTGTACCTGTCATACAACCAGAAACGTTGTGCATTGCCATTCTGCTACTACCCGTCCATCTCAAACAGCGCGTGTCGTGTGGCGATTGGCAAGACGTGGGACCCGTTCCTCGCCAACGGCACCGGTCTGTGTAAATCGATCAAGGCATCTATTACTTCGGCATCGCTGTGTACGGCGGACGGAGGTACATGGTGGTACGGACGTGGGTGGAGTAATGGGTCGCGTCAGACACAGGACGAGTGCGCGGCACCCCTCTGTCGCACAGGTGACTATGTCTGGCTCGACCGTGTCGGTCAGTCGTGCAGCAACTTTTCATACTGCTCGCAGGCTGCCCCGCTGTGCTACTCACCCGACTATATCTGCTACGCACCCAAACTGACCAGCACCAACTGCGGTGCCAACGGCGGTCTCTTCCAAGACAACCGCTGCACATTCTCGTTTGGCGGCGACATCACCACGAGCTACCTCCAGTGCCAGCGTCGCAACTACTCGTGGATTGCATGTTCCGATCTCACCTATGACCAATGCCAAAAATGCGAGAGTGGGTCGAGCTCGTGTGCCACACCCTACAGCCAGATGAGCTGCAAGCAGAGCTGGCGTACCGACCCCTACACACCAACCCTCTGCCAACAAGGAGGATATTGCACCGACAAGCTGTGGTTTGGACAGGCCATGACAGACAGACGTGGATGCGATCTCCGAAACACCTTCCTCGACCCCAATTGCGAGGGTGTTTGCCAGACCGACTTTATATTCAACTCCAAGGGTGAAGCAGTCTGCGAAAAAGACCTCGAGTTTTCTCCCATTGGATGCACCAATTATACAGTTGCCACCAAACAAGATTGTTTGGCCATCGGATCGAAATGGCGTTGGTACAAACTATCACTCAACAAAACAAACTGTGAAAACACACTTAAAGTATGCTATGACAATGCTGGTGCATCCACCTCTTACAAAAACCAAACCGAGTGTCTAGAATGCAACGGCGAATATAAAAGTCCATTCACTTGGAAGGAGAGTTATTGGGTTCTAGGAGAAGATTTCTACAATACTCAATGGCTATCAAATTCTGGTTGGGGTCAATTAAATCAATGGAATCATTCAATCAATACTAATATCATTGAAAAAGATGTTAGAAATATTATGGTTACTAAATTTGCTCCTGCTGCTCAATCTGATGTAAGTTAAAAAAAATAGAAATAATAGAAAAATATTAATATGTTAAAATATTAACTTTCTATTTTTTTTTAGTTATTATGTAATGTTATGCCATATGTTTATTCATTTAAATCATTGGCATGTGATTGTTCAGGAGATCCAAATACACCAGTCAATTGTTATAATAATGGAACACAATCATATTTGATTGGAACTGCCAAAGTTTGTAATGGATGGCAAGAGATTTTGGTGAGTGGTCCATTACAACTGACTGTCTACAAGAACAGCGTGCCTGTTAATTTGGGGTGTATTGGCATACAAGCATCTATCTTACCTTCACCACAATTCTACAGACAAGAGATTCTATCGACAGATGTACTCTCCAATTCGATCCAGCGATACATGCCTTACGACATTGTAGTCAATAACCATAGTGTGATTGTCGGACAGTTGATTGGTGACGGTATTCAATTAGACTTTACATACAATGTTGGAGGAGGATTAGGTGGTGAGTTGTCTGAATATTCAGGTCAACTAGAATCACCTGCTCAGATTTGTATTGACGCTCGATCTGATATTGACAAGCATTTCCCAGTCTACGACTTGGCTGCTTTAAAGGGTGGCAAGTGGGTACCCCTCAACGCAAATGTCATTGTCTCATTCAACGATGTGTCTGCGGGACGTATATGTGCCAACGTGTCGTATGGGTTGGCGTACTTCCCAATCCTGCGTATCGATGGATGGGAGGACGCTGTTCCCAAACCACTCTTTACCAAGGTGCAAGAGGCATTTATCTATCTCATAGGTATCGTCTTTATCCTCACTGCATGTTACTGTGCCTATTCTCTCTTTGTCCAGGTGTGGGCGGGTCACCGAAAGACCGGTACCGTCAAGATCACCCTACCAAGACTGCTCAACGCTCTCCTCTTCCTCTTTTGCATGGTGCGTGGTTTGTACCTTGTCTTGACACCGTCCGAGAGTATCTCTGCCGAAAAGAACCTTGGAGGGTTTTACTTTTTGTCCGAGTTCCCCATTTATGTCTTTTTGTCGCTCTTTTCATCACTCGTCTTTTACTGGGCCGATCTAATGCACAATGCCAAGCACGGCAAGTTCCTCGAGCGCATGCGGTGGCCATTCATCATCGTCAACACACTCATGTACATCATGTTTGTCGTCGTCATCTCGGTCTATCGTCGTCTCGATGCCGACGAGCAGTACGACATGAAGATCGTCTACTCTACCATCCTCTCGGCACTCTGCGCCATCTTTATCATTGGTTTCTGGCTCTATGGTGGTAAATTGATCATTATCCAAATCCAAGTATTAAGAATTAAAAATCAATCTTTAAATCGTAACCTACGTAATGTAAGTTTATAAGTAAAAACATATATATATATATATAATAGACATGATGATTCTAACAAATATTAATTCATTCCGCCTCTATTTAGATGTCATTGGTATTGTTAATTTCATCGATTTCATTGACACTGCAAATCATCTTTTTGTTCTTTAATGCATTTTCAAAAAGAGTGACTATTGCAGTTGCACTTGTATACTATGTCATTGCCGAGTTGGTTCCATGTGTGTGTCTATCGTACATATCTCGTCCACGAGGCAGCAGCAGCATCCAATCCAAAAAGAAGATCAAACTCGAATCTTCCATTGAATCATCATCCTCTACTAACACCAATAACACCTCTTCTGTATCTATGACTCCTCTAAAATAAATAAATAATCACAATTGTACTTGAAATTATTATTTTAAAAATTTTAGGGGGTCAACCTTCATTCAAGTTGTTGTTTGTAATATTACTGGTTTTTAGTGATAGCGATAGAAATAGAATAATAATAGTAATAATGTCTCAACCAAACCCATTCTTTGAATGGATCCTTTCCGATGAATCAGAGATCCCTCTTCCTGATCGTCAGGGAATAGTAGACTCTCTTGACTCACAAAAGGTGAGAAGTACACCAGCTGCCAACCAACTTGATGATAATCAATGGGAGAGATTGATACCAATTTTGGGGAACATGGGTCTAGTAAAAAATTATGTTTAAGAACAAGGTAGGCATCAAAATATCGAAACCATGATAACAAAATCGATCAGTATATGAGGAATTCCAGCAGGGGGTGAGATCATTGCCCCCCATGATTTTCTACAGCGCTTCAACAAGCTCCTCATCTCACCAAATTAAAAAATCAAGAACGAATTGACTTGTGGATACTCAACAGGAGCAACAAGAGGAGGTAGATTTGTTGGCTCACACACCCCAATTCGATATGAAGAGCATCAACTCGAGCAGCAACACCAGCAACCCAACAAGAAGAGCAACAACAACTCGAGGAACAAAGATCCCTCTTAATTCATCAAACACACCAGTTCCCCCTAACTGATCAATCAACCCACATTAGATAATCTAATAATTATGAACAATTTTGGGCCACTTTTAATTATTATTGATACATCGACACTGCAAATCATCTTTTTTAAACTTCCACTGAATCATCAACCTCTACTGACCTCTGTATAATTACCTTTTTGATGATATTCTTTTTGAAAAAGATGTTAGAAATATTACTAAATTTGCTCCTTCTGTTCAATCTGATTTAAGTAAAAAAAAAGAAATGGAAATCATGAAAATATTAATGTATTTTAAAATTTCCAAGATCTTTTTGGCAAATTGAATCATCATCCTCTACTAACACCAATGACACCTCTTCTGTATCTATGACCCATCTAAAATAAATAAATAATAATCATATCACAATTGTGATGTGTCTTTCTTTATAAATATAAAATTGTGATCAATTCATCGAGTTCCAGGTTTTTTTCCAGTTTTTTATTTATTATAATAAAAAAGGGGGTGAACAACAAATTAAAATATTTAAGAAAATTCATTTTTTTGTTTATTTGTTTTAGATATAGAATAGTCGTAGTAGTAGTAATAGTAGTAGTAGTAGTAATGTCACAGCAAAACCCTTTATTTGAATGGATTCTGACAGATAATGAAATCCCTCTTGCTCACAATGAACGCCTCGATCTCATTAATACTTTAAGATCAAATGGTGTGATCAATGTATGCACTGCCAACCTAATTAGTGAGAAAGACTGGGAAGATTTGATACATAATATGGGAGCCAGGGCTCACGTTAAATATTATGTTCGACAACATGGTAAGCTAAACTTTAGGGTTAACAAATTCATAACCAAATATTTTAATTTAATTAATTCATTCATTGATTCGTTCGTTCAGAGGGATGTTATGGCAAGTATCCTTTGGCAGAACAGGTCGGATGTAGGAAAGATTGTAATTTCCATCACAGCGATAATTGTCGCGGTCTTTCTTTTCCTGGTCAGTTGGTTCATCGCAAAACAGCAAAAAAGCCCAAAGTAGGTTTGCCGTGAAGCAAACATTTTCTTATTTATATACGAGGTATAAACATTTAGAATTCTGTACCTCATTCCACTTTTTATTTACTAGTAATTAAATTGACTATTTATAATATCTCTCAGAGTCTATAATAAACAAACTCCTCTATTCTTATTTTTCATCAATCCATTTGTGTCTAAAAAAAGATATATTCCTCGAAAATAAATATTTGATTTAAAATTAATTACTACATGTAATCTTTTATTCCTCTGACCAAAAAGGTTTGCGCAAAGAAGGAAGTTCTTTCTTAAAAATTTTTCAATAAATAAATTATAGTTCCCCTGCAACACATTAAAATGTTTTGGTGTATTTGATATTTTATATATTTGATCAAAACTGATGTATGCAATCAAGAAGAAATGTTGACACTTACAGATAAAGAGAGATTGTTGATTCAATCGATATTTGGCAATGTCTATCTCTTTCAAAGGATATTGATCGAACGTGACAAGATACGTAGTACTGGAGCATTCATTGAAAGCGTTGCGAAACCACTGCATCGTCTCATCATCGAGGGTGATCGAGAACTGCTGCGCTACTCTATTCACAAGTACAATCATGCGGCGTTATTCTCCGGTCATATCATGACACCAACAGATGAAGGACCGTTGCAGCCAGTTGACACTGCCATCAATATTGATGATCTGCCACTTGCCAAGTACTTGCATGAAATCCTTCCTTCTTTTGGTAGACAAACTGAACAATCTCTCATACTAGCCTCTGCACGCAAGGACAGAGCACTGTCACAAGACATGTTGGCTTTTCTCATTGACGTGAGACATCAGAAATGGGGTGCTACAACCATCGAGTTTGTTGTCGAGAACCACTACAATGACTCGCTTGCCTATCTATTGACACGAGCTGATACATCAACTTTGGGACCGACACCGTGGACGTTTGAAGACACCCTCTCCAGTCCTCTCTCGATTGCCATTGAAAATGAAAACATAGAGGCTATCCCAATACTATTGCAGAATTGCAAGCTCACTCCAATGGCTGGGTATCCCGGCCAAGTGGTTGGATCGCAACTCGTACAGTACCGAGCGTTTCAGCTTGCCATTCGATCAAAGAGAATTGATGTGGTGGAGATGGTCGTGCAAGCCGGTCTATTCTCACCTCAACATGACACATACCACGACACATTGTACTCAGCCATTCTGTCGGACTCTATAGACATGATACGATATGTAGAGGATCGACTACACCCAACTCTATTTGAAAATGACACGTGTCTACAGAAAGCGTTAAGGAGTCTGCCGATTGTGGTGAGTGACGAGGTTTTAGAGTATCTAGCTACATCCACCAAATGTCCCTTTAAATTCAATGAAATGGATCTGAATCCTTACATTATCAAGGGTAGAGAAGATGCAATCAAACTATTACTAAACAACAAGATGGCAGAGCCATCGTATGACTTGAGAAAAGTCATTGGAAAGGTCGAGCCAGGTTTACTGGACCGTCTCATGAAAGAGATGAAGGTTCTGCCTATTTGCAATATAGATATCCCCAACCTGTCTGAATTGAGGGGGAATGTTGATATGATCAAGTTTATCTGCAAACATTCACTCATCACCAGCCTCCATCCCCTCTCTGCAACGATGCAACGGGACAATGTTGCAATGGTCACTATGCGAAACCACACCAACAAAGAACCATCGGATCGACCAGACGGACACCTAAAGTGCCTCAAATACATGGTATCTAAAAACATCCTAACCTCTCAAAACATTCTTTCCGCGCTTATCAATTGGGATGGAAGTCAAGAAATCCTTGATTTATCAGGTATCAACCATCAAACAGGTCCTACTATTTTAATTGGAATCATTAAAAATCATTTAACAAAATTCAAAAATCAAAATAATCAAAGAAATAATAATAATAATCAAAATAATAATAGTAATAATAATAATAATATATCTAAAGTTTCATGGATTAAAAAATTAGTTGGATATGAATTAGATTATTTTAAAAATCAATGTACAGAACAGCTTGGAAACTTTGCTTGCGTTAGTGGAGATTTGGAATTGGTTAAATATTTCTATGATTTGGGTAACCCAAACTTTTTTACTTTAAAGGAAGCTATACTTAATTGTCTCCAATACAATAATAATTTTGAAGTTATAGAATTTATCTACAATGTTGTATTCCCACATTCCAGATCATCAGACCAAGAAGATGAACAATACACCTACCCCCATCTAGCAAGTGCCAGTATTATTACCAATGGTACTAGTATCCCCCTTAGACATGCTCTCATGATTGAATGTCGATTCTCAAATCTACGACTCTATCTTCCATTCACCAAAAGTTTTGAACAACTCCAAAACAATGGATCGTTCAGACATATTCAAAACTATTGGAAAAATGATTATGCGATGCATTTAATGGTATCTTCAAAAAAAAAAAGAAGAATAAATAAATAATAAATAAATAAATTTATGTACTGCAAATACTATTAATTAATAAAAAATCAAAAAAAGAGAAAAATCAGAAAAAATAAAAAGAGAGAAAATGATTGATGTTCATTCTTTTACTGTTTTAAGTTTCATATCTAGACAACGCACAGAATAAGAGAATATGTCAAAGAAAGTAAGTCTACAGGTACTATCTATTATTGTAATTCTTTCTAATTATTCAATCATCTTAGAATAACAATAACGATGGTGAAATACCAATTGTAGATATACCAGGTGCAAAGATATTAGATTGGTTGGTTGAAAGAAAGAAAGTACCAATGCATTGGAAGAGAAACAATGGTAATCTTATAAAGTTGATAGAGGATACAATGACCTCAAATCCTTCACAACTATTGAAAGATCTAAAGATTGAAAACATTGATTACTTTAAATGTTTAGAGGTGTTTAAATACTTTGAAAGTCAACCATCGGGCAACTCAAAGACTCTGTTGGGATACTATTCAAATATAAACACTCAGAAATGGAATGATGTCATAAAGGCCTATCACAAGGATCAATTATATATCGGTGAAAACTGTCAAAGATTAACTCAAAGTTTAAATTATGATATGTTTGTATTACAAAACAAAGATATATTTATAGATAGATTATTGAATCATTATTATTAACTCTACTACTCTTTATTTAGTCCAAATATGAAAAAGACAATAGAAAAGACAATGAAATCACTTGAGGAATCAAATAAAAAGGAAATAGAATTGACAAAGAGTAGAGAAACGGCAATCAATACATTTAAAAAGGCATGCAGTGATATTGGTATCAAAGGTGACAAGATTAGAGACGAAATATTGGAATTACCAAATGGTTTGGACAAGTTGTTTGAAAAGGCAATACAACTATTACAAGATGGTCGTATACTTGGAATGATTCGATTTTATAAACAATTTGCTCAAACTAATACATGTGTAAATATAAAAAAGAAAAAGAATATACAAATATTAATCATTTGTATCAATTATATATGTAGGAATTAAAAGAAGAAATATTTTCATATTTATTACTTGTAAACAAACATGGTAATATTAGTATTGGTGAAAGAGAGATGATATTAAATCCATCAATCATTGTAAAATCAAAAAAGGATCAGAATGTAGACTCTAATAACAGTGGTAGTGATCTTGTTGCTTTGACTGCACCAGCAACAATTGATTGGGACTTTTCAGTTGAAGAGAGTGGATCTCAACTTGATGAAAAGGCAGCTGCTTCAATCAATTGGGATGAATTTACAGTTGTACTCGAAGAAGATGGTACAACTAATTCTTCATCGGTAGCAGATGACTTTTCAATGATGGATACCATTGAAATTGTTGAAGAAGCAAATACTATATCATCACCAATACTCGAATCAACAACAACCATTACAGACAATATCAAATTTATGGATAATGCAAACGAGTCAATAATGAGTGACAAGATATTTAGAAACCGTTTGTTGGACGATATCTATGAAATGGATATCTTTTTAAAACAACGCGCAGTTGAAATGAACCAACCAGAGAGTGAATTTAGTGCAATTCATATGATGCAAGAATCAATCACATTGGATCAATGTGAACAATACTCTAAACTAATTGGTGATATCATTTCACAATTGTCATCTTCCAAAGTAAATAATATTTTAGAATTAAAATCAAGTTCAAAGTATGTAAATGATAGGATTAGATAAATTATCTTTTATAAAATATTTATTAATATATTTTTTATTTTTTTTTTCTAATTTAGATTGGTTGATAGAATGGCATTACAATTTACACAAAAAATTGGTACTATAACAAAATACCAACAATTGATCAAAGACCTTTTACAAAAACGTGAAGATTTGAATACAACATTGACCGAAACAAAAACAAAATTGGAATCACAAACCAAAGAAACCAAACAACTTCGTTTACAACTACAAGAACTTTTGGTCGATATTATGGATGGCAAACATATTAATATTATGATGCCCTATATTTTATCATAAATAATAATAAAAGTGAAAAAAAGGTCTTTATTCTTCTTCTTCACCTTTATCATTGTCATCTAGATCCATTTGACTTTTATCGCTCAAACTTTCATTTTGATTATTGTTTTGTTGGTTTTGTTTGGTGAAAAAATGTTGCATTTCTAAATCTTGATTGAGAGCAAATAAAAGGTCATCGACTGTTAGGTTTAGCTTTAGCAACTGAGTACCTTCAAGAACGCAATCGATTGCCAAAATCAGCTTGGATGCTGCCAAGTTTGTCGCCATTCTAATGAGTTGCTGACCGTTTGGGATCGTTTCTCCTGATCTCCTACAGAGATCTTTGACCTTTTTGGAAATGATCCCAAATGCAATATCCTGTGCTCTGAGGTTCTTTTGTGTTTCGTAAAGAGAGTATAGGAATACCTTTTCGACAAAACAGCACTCTCTAATGATATTGGTGGTTGGCGACATAAACATCTCCAAAACTGTCTCGATGTGTTGGATTTTAACGAGTTGTGGTGGCTCTCTGAATGGTTTGCCTCCATTTTCAGCCTTTTCTTTGCGTTTGGCTATCTTTTCGTTCCATTCCACCTCTGCCACCTCTGCAGCCAACCTACAAATTTCTAGAGCACGACGAGCATCACCACAGAAACCAGCCACCTTTTTAGCACATAGCTCAATCGCTTCATCGTCAAATGCTTCCAAGTCATCCAAACGACTATTCATAATAGTTGAAATTTGTGATGTCGTATAACTCTGAAAGGGGATTCTAAAATTACCCAAACGACTCTTGACACGAGGCAAGAGGGCATCGGGGAGATTCATTGTGTTGGCCACGGCAATGACAATGAGGTATGATTTGGTTCGTCTTGGCCAATCAAAAAGATGGTAGATGACGGTTTGATGTTTGGTGAGCAATTGATCAAACTCGTCAACCAATACAATTCTAAATATTTTCTTTCTTGTATTCTTTGGAGCCAAGAAATTCTGTAGTAAATCCATTGCTCTAGAAACAGATAGCTTGTGTTTGATTTTCTTCTTTACCAACTTTTTATAAAGTGCTATATACAATTGATGTGGATCATTTAAATCCATACAATTCAGCTCTGCAAATTCAAATTCCATTCCTTTTTTTCCTTTTCCTTCTTTTTGCATCATTCTAATTACTTCTTTAACTGTACTTGTTTTTCCTGTTCCTGGCATTCCTGCTATATCTAAAAAAATAAGAGAAAATATAAATATAAAATATAACTTTATAATATTTTTTTCGATTTAGTTAACTAGAGTCTACTTACAAATACATTGACCAGTACCATTAACATCCATAAGTCTTGATTGTAAAGTTGAATATAATTTTTTGATTTCCTTTTCTCTGCCTGGTAATTTATCGGGAACAGTACCAATATGAAGATTCTTTCTTGCTCTTGAGAAAACAGTATCGGGTATATTTTGATCTGGTGCACCCTCGAGTAATAAAGAGTCCTCTTCAAAGTCTTCATTGTATAATTGAGAGGTATCTGAATTGGGAATAGATTCCTCTTCTTGAAGTGAAACGATTGCATAGTTGAAACCGGCAATCTTTCTTTTTGGGTCATCGACATCAATGTTGTATTCGTCGCTGTCTGTATCCTCTCCATCGCTCAATGCCTTTGGTATTTGATTTTTGCTTAATCCCTCTGCTGCGTCTCGACAGTCAACACTATCTTCGTCAAATGAATCGTCGTCATATTCAAAACTACTTTCTTCGTCGTCTTCTAGATAGGCTGGTTTTTTTCTTGGTACAGTTGGTTGGACTATGGGTTGTACAATCTCTTCTTTTTTTTCATTGTCTCCATCATCCTCTTCAGGAGCATTTCCAATTTGAATACCATCAGATTCGTCAGAAGAAGAATCTCCAGCTTCCACGTCGTCATCATCATCATCTTTAGAGTCACTATTTACATCAGATATTGATAATTCTCGTAAACCAAGGTCATGTTGTTCATCTTCCAAATCTTGCCGACTTTCATCAACCAAATTAAATTTAATGATACTTGGTTCGTTGATGAATGATGATTCATCATCATCATCATCATTGTTAATTTTAGGTATTGGTGATATAATGTTGCTATTGTTATTGTTATTCTTCTTTGATACGATAGGTGATATTGTGTTGTGGATATTGACTGGTAGTAGAGGACTATTGATGTTGCGTGGTGCCAAAGCTTTATCAATCTTTAGTTTATGTAATGTACTTTTGGTTTCAGGTGATGATAATATATTGTTGCTGCTGTTACTAATGTCATTCATTGACACACTATTGTTGTTGTTGTTGTTGTTGTTGTTGTTGTTGACATTGTTTGTATCTTTGGTGAATGAAGCTCTCTTTGTTCTCTTTCGTCGACGTTGTCGTTGTGATGTTGGACTGAGACTACTAATTGAATGATTATCGATATCTCCTCCATATTCATTCCCTGCATCACTTATATTATGTTTCATCTATATCTAAATTTACACAATACTATTCTATATATATACACACATACAAACAAAAAGTATCAATACTGCTCTAGAAACTATGCTTATCTTTATTTGGAAATGAACATGTTCAATTTATATTTATTTTTAATTTTAATATGCGCGCCAAGACTTTGCACTTTATCTATTTTAGAATCTTTCAAAAGTTCCTGTGAGAGTACCACGAGATATAGATTTTTTAGATATTGAATCTATTAAATCGTCCTTATTGGTTACCTCTTCATCAAGGATAGGTTCATTTAGAGCATATATTTGAAAAATGTATCTGTGAGACCCATGCATTCTAACTGGACGTGGTCCGTGATATCCCAGCCTTCCAAATATTCCTGGCAAGAATTTGAAATTGTGAATGTTATTATCTATATTCAATACTCCTTGTTCGATTGAATTAAATGTTGGTGGAATACGACATATCATATGAATAACAGGTTTTGGTACTAAAAAGTTGAAAAACTATTATTAATTGAATGGTCAATGAACAATATTGGTAATTGTGCACTATACATACGTGGAGCATCGGGATCTTCCAATATTATTAATATCTCTTTGGTTTGTTCTGGCATATTTTTCCATTCAAGTGATGGAGATTTATCTTCTCCTTCTCCAGAGGTACATACTAATGGCATTGGTTCATTATCATTGAAATCACTACTAGTTAATTGAATGGTTGATGGGATGATGGATACATTATCTGCATTACAAATTAAATGAACATCTCTTCCTCTGAAATTATAAAATAATCTGCCAAGACATCTTTCAATAAATTCCATCTTTTTTTTTTCAATAAATAAATAACAAACAAAGAATGAAATTGAAAAGGTTGTTTGGTTGGTTTAAATAGTTGGTGAACAAATAATTAATTTAGATGTATCGATTATGACGCATTGCGACATTATAGCAACAAGTAGAAACCCGTATACGTAATTGGGGCAAAAAATTTGGTGATCTTTTTGACGAAAAGTCGGAAAGCCGAACTTCCCCGATAATCTGGATCTTTTTCTTTTTGTTTGTTTGTTTGTATAAGCAACCAATACCTACTCAGAGGTATTAGCTTGATATATATATTCATATTTTACTTCTTTTTTATTCTACCACATCTTTCTAATGATCCGTCGAGAAGATGGTGAGCTGGTTTATAGATGCCAGAAGAGGCATCTAAAAGTGAAGGATTGGGGATTGTATCGTCAATGTGCCCAATCGAAGTGTATCCTTGGTCATAGAGATTACAGTAAGGGACTCGGAAGGTATGTATAAACTGCCATACATTCTTATAATTCCATTGTAATATGGGATTGATCCTCATCAACTGAGGCCATCCCGGATCGGTTGGTGTAAAGTCGTCCAAATGTTCGCAGTGTGGATCTGTGTTTCTTGCACCAGCAAACACAGCTTTAATATTATATTTTTCTACCACTTCTTCTAATCCCTCCTTTATTCCCTTTGATATATTTGTAACGTTTAATTTATATCTATAAAGAAAGAGTTGAACATTTGATTGTTAAATAGATGTAAAATAGAATATAGAATATAGAATAAGGATACTTACAACTTTGCGCATTTCTCTGTAAATTCATTGACACTTGGGAAACATTTATCATTAATAAAATACAATGTACGTAATTCTGGTATACTATGATTAATTTTTTCATGGTTGGTATTATTATTATTTTTATGATTATTAAGAGAATTCATTTCCTATTTAATACAATAATGTGGTTGGTGTCAGTTAAGATACAGGATATTTGATAATCTATGTATGGGTATTAATCTTACAGGTGAAATATAACCTTGTGTTCCTCTTGTATTGATGTCTTTGTCGTCACCAGTACCGCTGTCTTGGTGACTATTGACACTACAACTATTATTGATTGGTGTCCTTGTTTCCTCTCCTTCTACTCTATGTTGCTGTTGTTGTTGGTCGCGAAGAGACTGACATTTTTTAGTTAATGCATAGTGTATCAAATGCAAGAGAACACAACAATCCTTTCCTCCATTAAAACTGAATGCTATTTCATTAGGACTGTAACCAATTGGTAGATATAGTTAGTATCGATTTTATACACACATATAAAGTAAATATAAGAGTGCATACCTATATTTATCAAATGCACGAGAAACGATATCAAGAGAGTCTATAGTCTTTTTCAATAGGTCATCGTATGCATCCTTATCCAATTCCAATGTACCATTACTATTTGTCTTTGTGAGATATGGTGATTTAGAGAGTTTGTTTGGTAAATCAGACAAATCAAAGTCTATATTATCGTCGATCGAGGATGTCATATTTATCTGTTTGTGTGTCTAGTTTATTGTTACTAAGGTACTCTATTAATGATGATACCAACAACAATAGTTATTACTATTATTACTACTACTTGTTTTAATAATTACAAATATTGGTGATATGAAATTATTGTTGTTGTTGTTGTGGGTAGTGTGTATTCTGCAGTGTGTCAACGATTCAATTGTCACTAAAATATCGATCGATTACTCCCTCTCCTTTCTATTCTATTCTATTTCTATTCTATTGCTCTTTGTTTAAAGTATTGATTGTTAGTTGAGCAATGACGACGACGACGAAGATGATATATGAATGCATGCAAAGTGATTCTGTTTTTTGAAGAGGACAAGCAAGTTCTTCAGTCGAGCTCAGTCTAAAAATTAATTTAAATATGTATTTATTATTTATAAATAATCAAATAAAACCTATTTCATGATTAGTATAAGAACCAATAGGTCATGAGGTTTGAAGTTTCATAATATGAATAAAATATTTATTATCTTTTTTACTTTTAAATTATTTAATACATAAAATATATAATTTTTATTATAATAGCCAATTTTAAACAAATGAATAATAATAATAAAATACCAATAGCAGATATAGTTTAATATTATTATTATTATATTAAAATAATTTTGTTTTAGTTTAGGACCATTCCCTACAAATAAGATAATAGAAAAAAATAGATATTTTTTCTTTCTGCACCAACCCATCCAACACAAACAAGGATAATTTATTTTATATCTTAATCAAGGCGATGTTATTGTTTGGTTTTTTTGTACATACCTCTGTAGAATAAGATAATAGCGAACTAACTAACTAGAAGGGAATAGGTTAATTATTATATCATCATCATCATATCATATCATCATTTGTACGACAACAGACATACACAAAAAGAGAGAGAGATAGAGGGGTGGTTTGGTGAAGTTATAACAAACATTTATATTCATAATCATCACCGATGTCACAACTAAGAGATTCAAAAGACAAGGTACCTCCACCTAAACATGTATGTGTTAATAGATAGATATCTAGCAACCGAGATAGAGATAGAGATAGAGCATAACTAACAATCAATCAATCATTTATGATTTGATTATAAATTCTACCATTACACATCACAAAGAGATCAATTAAAGAAGGATCAGTAACCAAACAAGGAGGTAGAATTAAGAATTGGAAGAAGAGATGGTGCGTTTTAAATGATGAAGGAATACATTATTTTAAATCACAAAATGTATGATCAAATGATGAATGATTGATGATCAATAATGATATTTGATGATTCTAATATTGATATTTTTGGTTTAATCATTTTTGTATAGAGCATAGAGAAAGGATCAATAGCGATAAGTCATATATTAAATGTAGAATCAGATGATAAATCATCTTCAAAGAGAAAGAATTGTTTTAAAGTTTGGACAGAGGAAAGAACATATAGGATTTGTGCAACAGATTCACTGGATAAAGACGAATGGATCACATCGATCAAAAGATTAATTAAACCAAGATCTCTTACAAACTCTAATGGCGGATTAAAGGTGGGTACAAACAAAAACTAAAGAGCCATTCATTGGATTAGAGTAATGTTTGTGGGTCAATCAGCAGTCATCAGTCATCATCGTTTCAAATAGTGGGATCAGTTGTATTTATATACTGATCACCCACCAACAATAGTTGTAAATCTTTGATGATCGCCAACGACGATGGATTGGACCAACACTCAGCATCAGCAAACATATCTTAATTTTCAAGATCCGATCTAACCAAGATTTCATTTTTTTAAATATTTATTTATATATTTCCTTTTTTTTCTCTTCCTTCTTTTCTTAACTTAGTCATCACAACATGTAGATATAAATAGATTAAAAATAGAAAATGATGATTCTTCATCAGAGTCATCATCCTTTTCATCAAGTTTTTCATTACCAACGACAAATACTATTGCTCTGACGCCTATTATGCTTGGGCTTAAGGACAAGTTTGGACAACCCAACTTTGCACTAGAACTCAACAAAAAGAAGGATTTATTATCTGGAGAAGAGGTGGAAACGGTGATGAAATTATTGGATGGACTTGTGAGGAATGAAATCGATGAAAAATGTAAAGACATGGATAAGGACATTTACGCAATCAGATCGATGATCGAAAGAATGAAAGAGGCTGAAATCGAATTTGTAATGTCAGAATATGACCAAAAGAAAGCTGAAATATTAAAGGAAATTAATAAAAGACAAAACAAATAATACTTATTTTTTATTATTTATTATAAAAAAAAAAGAAAAAAAAAGACTTTATTTATATAAGGTAAGAAGTAAATCAATTGATTGCATAATTAATTAATAGTTGTATAGGTTGTAAAAAGTATTTTTGTTTTTAGTTTTAGTTTTAGTTTTAGTTTTGTGTAAAGTTTTTTTTTGTTTTAGATTAAGTTTTAGTTTTAGTTTGGTGTAAGTATTGTTTTTTTTTTTGTGTTATTTGTTTTGTGTTGTTGTTATTGGTATTATTATAAAGTGTTTTTGTGTTTTTTTTGATATATTCTATAAAAACGGTTGATCGATTTGTACAACAAAAATTGGGGAAAAAAAAAAATTAGTTTGTTGTTCTTTCTTGGTCTTGTTTGTTATTATTTCTTTCCATTCTTTTTGCTTGGTGTTGGATTGGTACCTTTTGGAGATCCTACAACATTTGATTTTGGTGAGGTAGCAGTTGAGCCAGCCGAGCTTGAGCCTGATGATGATGATGTTGAGGTTGAGAGTGACGAGGCAGCAGGGGCAGCAGAGGCAGGCACATTCATTGGTTGTGTCTTTTCCAATGCCGACATTACTGAATCAAAATCACTCAAGCTTGGCTTTTTGGTTATTGCTGTCAATGTTGGGGGAGGTGTTGGTCTAGTGACTGTTGGAATTGGTGGATACAATGGACCATTTTGGGTATTATTGGTCGCATTGTTGGTGGTGGTGGTGGAGGTGGTAGAGGTGTTAGTGTTGCCACCGCTGCTGCTGGTAAGGCTTGGTTCATAATCATTATTTTGCAATGTGGTGGTAGTCGACTTTTTAATATTTACAGGTTGTGTTGGTGTTGGTTGTTGTGGTTGTGCTTGTTTGTTGTTGGTTGTCGATGTTGTTGGAGGTACAGGTAATAATTCATTCTGCTTTCCAAATGAAATATCGTCATCATTTAAACCATATATATTGTCATATTGATGAATAGATGTTGCAGCAGCGGATTTGATGGGAAGTGAATTGTTGTTGTTGTTGTTGGCCGGTTTCATTAAATTATGATGATGTTGTTGATTGTAGGTCGAGGTCGTATCGGTGTTTGATGATGGAGAATATGAATTAAAATTATGTACATTGTTTGAAAGAGGAGAGGATGATAGAGTATCCAAGTTGTAGTTGTTGTTAGAGTAACTATTGGTATTCGTATAGGCATTGTTACTGCTGTTGTTGGTACTGTTAATTTTTGGTGATTGTCCGTTGGAGAGTGGAGTCTTGATGGCTTGATCCAATTGTTTCATCAATTCCATTTCACCATTTTCTTGCTGTTGTTGTTGTTGGTATTGGTTAATACCTACAGCATTTGAACGGTTGTTGTGGTGGTTGGGGATACCATTTCCGCTCTTTCCAAGTCCATTTTGTCCAACGGCATTATTATTATTATTATTATTGTTGGCGTGGTTGTTGTCACTATAGTGATGATGTAGATGTGCAGCACCATTGTGATGATGATTATTGATCATAATATTGGATACAACTTCACCATCATCGAAATCGGCTCTTGGAGAAGAGATGGTTGATCTCTTCTTTTCAAACTTGATAACCTCACCCACTGGATAATCCTCATCAAAGAATGATAAAGAGTCTGGGGATGGTTTATAAGTTGAAGAGTTTCTAAAAGAGAATTGAGGAACTCCCCAAATAGCACGAATTTCTTGACTATGAGTTGTAATCTCAACATTGTATAACCATCTAGTCTCTGAATCTTGTACAGCATCTTCCATTATACCACTACTTCCATTCATTCCATTTGCATTATTTGCATTTGCGTCCTAATAAAAATAAATAAACAAAAAAAAAGTTGATTAGAGGTCATTTCAATATTATATTATTATCATTATACATTACATTTATATTATATGGAATAGAAGGACTTTTAAAATCTTGTTGTCTAGTTTTACGACAGATATCCCATTCAAATGAAGGAGTAAGGGAAAGACATAAAGTATTTGGATCCATTTCTGGGGATACAGGTGGTTGTGGTCTAAGTTCATACAATAATAGTTGTCCATTTTGATTGACTACATATAATTGTTCGAAATTTGGTGTAGTCGATTCTACAAATGAACTATTACCTGAAATAATTGGTGGTGGCATCTTATTCAATGGATTTTCTTCTTTTGTATTTGATAATTTAATTCTATCCATTGAATTTAATGTTAATACAGATGGCTAAAAAAAAAAAAAAAATAGAAAGAAAAAACAAAAAGAATATTAATAAATCAATCAAGAGATAAAAAACATATCTACTAAAAATATTTACAAGATAGTTTGGAATATTTGAGAAATCATAAGGTTTCTTTTGATTATGATTCTTTGATATATGAGTGTGAATAGAAACATCTCCTCCTAGTGGATTAATAGCATAAATGTCTAAAAGTTTAAAAAATAAATAAATAAATTAATTAATACCAAGTATTCCTTTAAATCTATTTATATTTATGTACATACGTGTAGTACCCCTTGATGAAGTAACAGCAACCCATTTTGAGGTATCACTGACACTTATACTTTGAATTGATGCGTTAGTAATGCCTCTTTTCAAGACATAAATTTGTCTAAATGCTTGTGAAGGATCCAAGTTGATTGGATAGCTTGGCGATGAAATCGATAAAGAATTTGAATACGGGATAATTTGATATACATTAATTTTTGTTCCTTCTGTTGAACATGAAAATAGCTAAAAATAAAATAAAATGAATACAAATATAAATATTGATTCTATATTTTTTGTTTTTTTTGTAACATACAAGGGTACCGCTTGGATCGAAAGTTAAATAAGAGATTGGATGATTTGAAGTTGGTCTAATGACAGCAATATTTCTATGTTTAATAAAGTCGTAGATGATGACAACGTTGCCACCCTCGGTTGGAGTACCGCTACCGCCACTACCAACACCGCCGTTGCTATAGTCTTTAAAGTCAGAGCCGGCGGGTGAGCTGCTGCTAGGTGGCGAGTCGTCTGGGTAGAGCAGATTGGTCACCTTTTTACGGCCAATATCGCTGATATAGTACAGCTTTTGGGCCATATCTTTGGCGATATCTGTGGCAACGTCGACGGCATTGTCAAAGGATTGGTTCTGCATACCTCCGTTGGATATCGACGAGGCAGCACCTTTGATCTGTGAGAAGTACGATTGCGGCGAATTGAGCATTGGCTGCGAATCAGTGTAGGCGATCCAGCGTGGACCCAACGCCACCACGCCGCTAGCAGACACGCTTGGGTAGCATGGCAGCGAGATGAGCTTGGTCATGGTCACTGGGTCAAACCCGACGATACGCTCCTTTAAACAAACCAACACAATACGGTCGTTGGAGAGAATGTTGTAGACGGGTGTACGAAACTTGTTCATATTGACCAACTCTGTGGTACGTAGCGAAAAGATACGCACCATGTTTCGTGATACTTTGGGGTTGTCCTCACCTGACACCACCGCCAACAACGGGCGTTTGCCATAAAACACTGAATTTGGTGTCTCTGCTTGAGCAGGTGATGTCAACACCTTTACAAATCTAGTCATACCCTCTCTCAAAGAAAAGATCTCCCTTACACCATCGGGATTATCTAAATCCCAAATTTGAAAACCATTATTATAACATATTGTTAATAATTTGTGTCTAAACATAAAATAAGATGATTAGTTAGTTAGATATATTTATATTCTTGAAAAGTTGAGTTTTAAAACTCTTCACATCAAACTTTAGAGAGTGTGTGAGAAAGATAGAGAGAAAGAGAGAGAGAATACTGTCTGTGGTGTGTGTGTAATGCTTCTTATTCTTATTCCTTACTTTTTACCAAGTATTTCACATTCATCAAAATAGGTTCCTACAATGGTATCCTTGTCACCTTCGACAATCGATGGTGATGTGTAAATTTGCTTCTTGATGGTTGTCTTGATGCTGCTAGGGATGTAAGATGAAATGCCTTGAAGGTATCCGCTGATGCCTGATTGACTCATTGGTCCAGGCTTTTCCTCTGCTTTGATACCTCCATAAGATGGGCTAAACATCTTCTTTTACTTCTTCTTCTTTCTCCCTTTTTATATATACACAACACAGTTATATATTACAATCCAATAATAATATATACTGATTCAATATCTATTCTATTCTATTCTAATGTAGTGTTTAGTTGTAACCAATGTATAATGTTCTTTTCCTTTTACTTTATATGTATGACTGTATGAATGAATGAATCGCCTTTTAAAATATTTTTGTTCTGTTTTGTTTGATAATAATAATAAAGAGTATGAAAAATAAATTGAATGTTGAATGTAATATGTACAATAATAATAATAATAATAATAAATAATATTTGAGAGTTAGTATATAATATAGAAAATAGAGTTGAAATTTTAATATCATTTCTTTCAACAATTTAAATCTTGCAAGTTGCAAAGCAAAGCAAAGCACATGACACACCACCACATTAAAATAATAATAATAATAATGTGTTGTGTGTCTTTGACCACAGTAGTGCAAAGCAAAGTAAAGCAGACTACTCCTAATTTCTTCTACTCACTTTTACAGGTATTAATATTATTATTATTTTTATCTCTTGCTTGTATGACTATAGTATATTTTATTATTCTTTGATGATGGATGATTAATGAATAAAAAGAATGAACTGCCCTTTTTTAATCTTTGAAGACTCAGAGTTTGAAATTTACTATTTATTTTTTTTAATTATTTTATAATTATTTGAATTTGGGGTGCGATCCTCTCTCTTCTCCTCTCTCTTACAAAAAAGATGGATGGATGGATGGATATCGATATTCATTCATTGTCGACAATAGATATATATATATATGTATATAATGTCCATCCAAAGAATTTTATTTACAATATAGATATGATTGATTGATTGATATATATCAAACATATGACATCTGTCTGGAACGGAAATATAATATAATTGTTTGTATTTATATATATTTTGTTTGTTTTAAAGGTGATGAGTTGCAATTTCGACATTGGCATCAGCTGGCATATAATGGACACCACGACGATAGTATGTTTGGAGTTGAGTCCATTGATTTTGGAAGGTTGGAGTGTCGAGCACTGATTGTTGGCGGGTGACGAGTGTTTGGACGATTGTGAATTTCCACTCACGCATGATTTTGGTGTTTTCATTGGACCGACTGACCAGATACTCCATGAATCCAGAGGCAGTGGTGAGTAAGGCAACTGCACCCCATCCGTGGAAACACAGACCTTGTGCAAGGTGTAGTGCGGCCGTCTTGATGTCTTCGATTGGTGAAGACAGGCATTTCATAAGTCGACGCAACACCAATGCCGATGCCTCCCCACCTCCCAAACTATCATAAACTTGTTTTAATTTGTCACTCACTTCTGTTGAAATTGGAATGACTGGTGTTGAAATATTATTATTATTATTATTATTGTGTTTGTCTCCATGATGAATCAACATGGTTGCAAAAGAATGCATAGTGCACATTGCAATAGGGTCGGCGGCACTGATTGTCTCCATGTACTCTTTTATGAGTGATCGACGTGCTATGATGCGGTCGAGACCGTTCTCGAGTGATCCAATGTCTCCGATTGCTCCAATAGACGTTTCTAGGCATCTCTTGGCCACATCATTCTCTCTAAACATTGCTACAAAGTATTCGAGTGCTATAAAGTATACAGACTCGAGACCAACACCAGTATTCGATACCGACTGCATCACAACGTTGACATGAGCATTACCACCCAAACACCATCTTGAAACGAGTACAATGACAGAGTTGATCGAGTGTGAGTCGGTCGTCTCCTGCTTGATACCCTCTATATCCAACGTTGCAACCAAGTCACCGATAAATGTTGGTGACAAAGTAGACACTAGAGAAAGTGCGTCCAACGAACTGCCACCCAATTTTGCAATGATTTCAAGCAAGTTGATTTTAACCAATGTATCAGTCTCTAGAGGTACACGATTCAACAAATACTCTAAAAATGGTGTCTTGTATATTTCCAAAGCCTCCCTCGACGAAACTGCCAACATTACAGCTACATCCAATACTCTCAATACTACTTCATCCTTTCTAAATGTTTCTAATCTATTTGTAGATGTCTCTTCACTTTCATTACTATCGCTGTCAACTTGCATCTTTGTATCAACTCTATTTTCATTTAATATTTCTGTTAATGTTGAATACAGTGATTTGTTTAAAAGTAGTTGTTTAATATTATTATTATTATTATTCTCGGTTGTACGTAGAGATAGTTTAGAGAGTAGAGAGAATATTTCCAAAGCAGTATTTGCAATTCTCAATCTAGAAGATGATAACATGGGTGCCAAGACTGATAATATATCATTGTTGTTGAGCCAACCAACCAACTGATCAGTATGCTTGCCAATGTTGTTGTGTATTTGTCTCATTGTCAACTGTCGAACTTGATGATATGGATGTTGTAAACCACCCTTGATAAAGGGTACCATCTCATCGGCGACGATCAATGGTGGCTTGACATGTATGTATTTCTCAAACAATGCAGATATCTCTCTGCAAGTGTCCTCTATCTTTTCCTCTTCACTTGTCTGTCCGAGTATATTAAATAATGGTATGAATTCATTTACTGCTGTTGCTATTGTTGTCATTTTGTTTGTTTGTACAAATATATATATATATATATATAGATAAATATTATTATTTATTATTATCTCTTTAATGAAAATTAATATTAACAAATTTTGAACTTCACCACATAATGATGACTTGCGATGAATGTTGGTGACTCTACAATTTAATTTAAATAATAATATTTATTAATAATAATAATAATATTAATAATAATGTTACATTACATTGATATGCTTTAATTGCTTGCTTGATTCAATTCGTACGACAACAACATCAACTTGAATACCCTTTTAATCTTGAGCAATAGAAATAGGTATGACATTTAATCGGTGTTTGTTGCAACATGTTTGCATTCCATACCCGCAGCCAGATGGAGTTGTTCTTTGAGGTGCCTAGCGTGGTGTCTACGGATGATAATAATAGGGAATCAATCCAATCTTTTTACCATTACTTTATCTTTATTTTAACATTGCCGTTGCATGTGTCTCTGTGCACTATAATAATAATATATATATTAGATTGGATTGGATTAGTAGTCTTCTTTCAAAGAGCATGCGCTCATCATCATCATCCCTTCACTCAGAGATCTCTCTGTGAGGATACCTTTTTAAAAAAAATTAAATTATTTATTTGTTTTGGTATGCTCGAGTATTTTCGGACCGTCTAGCATAGCCAAGTCCCTTTTTTACTTGCGAATTAGTTTCATTCGAAATCCCGTTGAATAGAACCACCACTCTCTTCCTTCCCTCCCTCACCGAAATCTTTTTTCATTCAAATATGGCATACACACCAACCCCTACTATTCTTATTCATTCATTCATTCATTCTTTCACTAGTGAATTATCTATTTGTTGTATCAATATCTGTATAAAATTAATATAAATTGAAATTAATCTTTTCAAATTACACCTTTCATATTCTAATAATAATTATAATCAATAGTCTAACTATTTGTTTGTCTGTAATAATAATTCACAAAAGACATTCATTTATTTATTTAATAATGGCAGTTGAAATCGATATGACCAATATTGGTAGCAATGGAAGTACAGCCGCTCCAGCTGCAGTAGCTGCATCAATAATAAATGAAACTAAACAACTATATAACAATACAAATAATAATAATACCAATAATAATGTAAAATCTAAAACACCGAATAATAATAATAATAATAATAACTGTAACCATTCAGCATCCGAAAGTAGTTTTAATAATAATATTCAAGATGAATATTATCCCGACGAAACAACTACTATGACAAAAGATATAAAATACAATCTTGTACTTCAAAAACATATGACTGAAGAACATTATGAAAAGCTGGCTGGACTCTTTACAGAATATGGGGTTTGGACAGCCACTGGAAAGAATACAAAGTTGACACCAGCCAGACTACGACAATGGTATCTATTCGACGAGAATTGTGGTGCTGTTATTGCCACTTGTCACAAAGGTAATCATTTGGGACAAGCTCTATTTAGAAGGTTTTCAGTTCCTTCTGCTGGTACTGGTAATACTGCATCGTCAGCTCAAGTAGAAGCAATTTGGATATCACAATTGTTGGTTTCACGAGAACACCGACAAAAGGGTATTGCAAAGTCAATGCTCAAACACTCACTCGACAAGTTGGATTGGCAAATGGCAGGTATTGCAAGTTGCAACCCATACGCTATAAAGTCATTGGAACGAGCTACCAACTCTAAAACCGATGCCCAACATAACCTACGACACTCCAATATCATGCAACACTGTGGTGTACCATATATTGTAAAGGCACCAATTGTCCCGACGACACCCAACCATCTCTACTACATCGACACCAATTTCCATATCGACACTGACCATATCCCAGAGATTCTAACAAGAGAAATGTCTCGTGGTAACTGGCACCTAGGCAACTACCTTCCAAGAGGTTTCGAATTTTTATCAATCATTCTAAAGAAATAATTATAATAACCCAAAACATTATTATTATTATTATTTAGAAATAATAATAATATTATTATTAATATTATATGTATATTTTGGATGAATAGATAGATAGATGAATAGATGAATAGAACCATTATTCAATCTCCATTCATTCCATCCATATATGTACATATATATATTCGGATGAATAAATTTCATAATTGATAAATATGACCAAGAGGTACCATATTTATCTTTTTTTTTTCCAACCAAACCCCAAACCAAACCAAGGAAGATGAATATAAATGTATAAAGTAGTAGTGATCGCACATCATACACAAGTTGGTTTATTATTATTATTATTATTATTGTACTGGTGTTTTGTTTAGATGATGTGGATAAATAGATTAGATCTATTTTGATTCATATTGTTTATGGATCCAATCCACCAAGTGTAAATACTATATAGGTGACAACAAACAAAAAAAAAGAGAAGGATTCATTAGTATAGTCAAACAAGACAAAGTAGAGTGTTCTTAAGAGTCCTCGTCCTTCATTATTTCATTCATACTATTTCCTTTGGGTGGTGCTGGGGATGGTGGTGGTGGAATGAATGGTTTAGGCTTTGTAAAGCCTCCTGCTCCTCCTGGTTGTAAACGTGACATGATGTTCTGTTGTTGTTGTTGTTGGTTGTTGTTGGTTACTTTACTCGACTTTCAATTAAATGAATGTGATTTTGTTTGTATATACAAATAAAATAAAGTAATTATTGTGACCACCTATGAACTCATTTAAATAAAGGCGACGATGACCCCTTGATCAATGGAGCGGTGGTTCATTGAGAGTCATTTCTCGCGGGCAAAGAAATTTAAAACAAATACGAATAAATATCTGATATTTGTTCGATCTGCGCCGTGTGGTTCGTGGCTTGTTGAGTTATCTCACGAAATGTCAAGACGCGCATGTGTGCTCAAAGTCTGGGCAGACACAAGCGGAGTTCTTCTTAAGTGTCTGAAAACCCATTGACGCGCGATACCTACAACATCGTTTGGTCGAAAATAATTGATCCTTAAAATGGCGGTTGTGGAAAGACATCCATCTCAATCTAGCGAGTATTTGATATTCTTGGAACTTGATTGATCGACGTCAAAGGTGAAGTTCTCCACCTATCTTTTGATTTTGATTATTATTACTTTTATATTATTATTATTATTATTAGTTTTATTTAGTCATTGATTGGAATCTAACGGTTAATGGTACTTGATTCTTTCCAACAGTAACAAAAGCTTGATAGTTTCCAAAGCCTTCGATTGGTGATGTCAATCTAATGTCTTTTGGATCGATTGTCAATCCGTTTCTACGCTTGAGACTATATGCAATATTTGATTCGTTGATGTTGACAGTTGGTGAACCTTCATCGTTGGCAGTTCTCATCAATAATATAGATTGTACCTTTTTGATCTTTTTAACTGTCTTTTGTAATACCTTGTCTACTTGTAATTCTTCATAGTTGATATTCTATAGAATCATAATAATAACAAATGAAACAAGTTGTTTGTTAATCATCATCTATTGTCTCTTTTGTTTCTCTCTCCTCTCTTTGTTATATATTTACTCTTGCAAATTGTTCAAATTGCTTTCTAGATTCATGAGTTGCAAATACAGCCAAACCCTTCATAAAGAAGTAATTTCTAGCATATCCCTTGGCAACAGACATTTCTTGACCGATTTGTCCAATACCCGGTACACTCTTTGTTAAAATGATTGCTACTTTCTTATTTTCCTTTTGTGCACCTGTAGAGTATGATCTGTTGATGCTGTTGTTGCTGTTATATATCGATTGTGATTCATTGATCAATGTCATTCTACTAAACATTGAAATCATCGATCCTGACGATGATACACATTTTGGTTTACTACAATAGTACGATCGATATATTAGTAATCATCATCTTCATCATCTTCTTAATCATCTTCATCATCATCTACTGCCTGCTGCTGTCTACCCACCTTAAAAAGGTCAACATTCTATCCTTTTCTACTACTATATATGAACGAATGATTAATTAAGAGTATGAGTAAAAGATCATTGCAGACGATCATTCACTCGACTGATGAGTGATTGAGCTCATTAATTTTTTTTTAAAATTTTTTTCCTCACCCATTTTAAATACTCAAGTTTGGTTTGGTTTGGTTTCCAGAAAGAGGAGGAGAGGTTATTAATATTAATAAGCTAGTTAATATTATTTATTATTATTTATGTTTATTTTAATTGTTTTATTTTTGTTTATTTAGTATCGAGAATCATAGTGTTTGGAGTTTCAATGTATGATTTGAGAAGGTTTGAAAAGTTGGCCATGGTAGCACCGTCAATGACACGGTGATCGGCAGACCATGAGATTTGCATTATGTTGACGGGGACGACTTGTCCTTGACGATCGAATCGTGGGAGCTTTTGGATCTTGCCGATGGCGCCAATGGCAACTTCGGGGAGGAGAAGGACGGGTGAGGCGTAGGTACCGCCAATAGTGCCAATGTTGGATAGCGAGAATGTGCCACCTGACATATCGGCTGGTGTGAGCTTGCCTGCCAAACCATCCTTTTGGAGACGGTTAAGTTCTTGTGCAATCTCAAAGATGGACTTGCTTTCAACATTTTTAATATTTGGAACGAGTAGTCCTTGTGGAGTATCCATAGCTACACCAATGTTGTGGTAGTGCTTGATGATGACTTCAGTCTCACTTGGTGACATGCTTGCATTGAGGACTGGGAACTTGTTGAGTGCAAGTGAAGTTGCCTTTATGAGGAATGGTAAATACGATAACTTGATATTACGTTGTTCGGCAATTGGCTTGAGTTGTGCACGCAGCAACATCAAACCGTCCATAATATATTCCTCGCAGTATCCAAAGTGTGGTACCAAAGCTGCAGCGTTCATAGTCTTGACCATCACCTTTTTAATACCTGTAATTGGTACACGTGTCTCTGGTTTGCTACCTGTTGGAGCAGCAGCAGCAATAATTGGTGCGGCAGCTGAAACAACTGGAGCAGCTGGAGCAGCAGCAACTTGAGCAGATTGACCACCATTTTGAATAAAAGAGACAATGTCTTCCTTCAAGACACGTCCGTCTCTACCATTACCTTGTACATTCTTTAGATTGATATTATTAACCTTTGCCAAATTTCTAACGGCTGGTGTTGCCAATACCTTGTCATTTTCATGATGATTGTTTATAGTTGAAGATTGTGAAGTAGTAGTAGATGTGGTTGATTTAGATGGGGCAGCGGCGGCAGCAGTTGGTGCAGCAGACTCTTCCTCACCTTCTACTCTAATATCAATCAATGGTGTTCCAACCTTGGCCATTTCACCAACCTTATAATATAACTTTGTAATGACACCATCGTATCTACTTGTAATCTAAATATATAAATTAAAAAGACTATAATCAATATCAATCAAATCAACCAAATCAATCATTCTGAATGAATCATACCTCTACGGTAGCTTTATCACTTTGAACTTCACACAATTGATCGAATTCCTTGATACTGTCACCAACCTTGTAGTGCCATTTGAGTACTTCACACTCTGCAATACCTTCACCAATATCGGCCAAGTTGAATTGAATGACCTTGCCTCCAGTACTAGAAGAATAGTTCTTCTTGACAGTGTTGATTGAAACCAATGAAGAGTTGAATAAACTAGTATTTGATGTCATTAAACCAGTAGTAGTAGTAGTAGTATTCTATAAAGTTGAATTGATTCAAAAGTTTGTTAATACAATCATCATGTTGTTATGCTCGATAGACACATACATTATTGGCAACATATGTGAAAGCGGAAGAAGAAGAGGTAGTGAAACTACGGGTAGTAGTAGTAGAAGCAACTACACCTGATCTCTTGTTCTTGAACAATGTCTTTGCATGTTTGCTAGAGTTGTTGATGAGTTGTTTTGGGAGTGAAGACATTGACATTATTATTATGTATGATTATGCTGTTGATCGATCGACTGCTTGCTTGCTCTCTTATTAACTACAATTGTCCAACTAACTACACTTCAATTTCGACTGATGGTGATTCACAACAAGTCTTCTCTCTGCCTTAACTTTCAATTTCAAAAAAAAAAAAAAAAGAAAATAAATAAAATAAAATAAAATAATAATGAAGCTGCCGAGTGTTAAAAGTTTACAGAATCTTTTTTTTTTTTTTTTATTGGTGACGTTTTGTGTGTCTGTGTGTATAATATTATATCTATATTCGTTCGGGCAGATGTTAATGTATCGGTAATATATTTTGTCCCTCCTCGCCCCTCTGCTGTCTTGAGAACTCGATTATCTCAATCGAACATACAAAATGATATGAATACAATCATATCATTATTCATTATCTTTATAGTTTTTTAACATTTATATGAGATTTTAGTTTAAACATAAAAATTATTGTATTAATATATTATAAATTAATTTATCTCTATCTGAACAGACAGATAATGATAATGTCAATGTATAAGTAAGGCAGGCTGGGATAGGGCTTTTTTTTTCAAACCTTTGGGACGAAGAACCTCACTCTGTCCTTTTTTTTTCGATTTTTTAATTTTTTTTCTGCCCAGCTGTTTTTAGGTGCGCTTTATTTGTCTCTTTTTTTTTCTCTTTAGTTTGTGTAGAAATTAGAATATAAGTAGGTAGAGAAGAGAAGAGAAGGAGAAGGAGAAGAGAAGAAAGAGACTAGATTGGTTATAGTTTAAAACGAGACAATGCTTAGTAGTAGTATTATCAATGACAGGATGATGGTGAACAGCTGACAGCAAGACAACAGATTAAAACATGAACAAAGATTAGTTAATTGGACAATGCACAATGATAACATATTTGTTGGAACATATCGAGAATTGGATGTTGGCAAAGGACGACCCTTCCCACTTCCCCCACCACAAACATCCAACACCCACTTACAATGAAATCACATGACAATTGAAAAGATCGCGATCTGTGATGTTGATTGATACCAACGATAGAATATACTTGACTTTGTATATCAACACAACAGAGTAGAGTCGAGTAGATCACACCTATAAATTAATCTATAATCAACTCGTATACAACCAATCAATCAATCAACCATTCATTGTCACATGAACACAATTGTCATGTCACCCAATCCAGCGTCACCCACCCATTCATTCATCCATCCATCCATCTGTCTACGAGATAGAACTACAGAGATTATACTATATGCATTGTTATCGACTAGTAACCAGTCTCACTCTTACTTTATCCTTTTCTGTTACAATTGGACAAAATTTTGTTAATCTTTAATTTCCTCTTTTTTTTTTTTTGTTAGAAAATGAATTCCGGTGTTAACCAAGAATTGTTAAGCAAGTTGCAATCATCAGTCCGTACTGGTGGTCCAGGTTCAGTCCGTAGAAAGAAGCCAGTCACCAAGTCTACCACCAACGTCGACGACAAGAAGTTGCAAGACAAGCTCAACAGACTCGGTGTCAGACCAATCCAAGGTATTGAAGAAGTCAACCTCTTCAAGGCTGACGGTAACATCATCCACATCGCCAACCCAAAGGTCCAAGCTGCTCGTGACACCTTTGTCGTCTCTGGTAAGGCTGAAACCAAGTCTCTCCAAGAACTCCTCCCAGGTATCATTGCTCACCTCGGTTCCGACAACATTGCTAACCTCACCAGACTCGCCCAACAAATGGCCTCAAAGGGTGCCATCCCAGAATCTGACGACGTCCCAAACTTGGTTGGAAACTTTGACAACTAAACAATTGTTGGATTTTTAATTAAAATAATAAAAAATATATATACATTAAAAAAAAAATACAATATAATAATTATAACAAATAATAATAATAATAATAATAATAATAATAATAATTTATTTTATATTGTACTCTATGCATGGCAATATTCTATACGATCGATAAATTTATTTATATTAAAATATCCTTCCTTTTGCATGAATAATAATAATATTATTAAAACCCACGAAACATTTAATTATATTAAAATGAATGTTGTGTGTTTGTTCGATAATGCAAATTTGGTTGAATCATTCGTCTTTTTTTTTTTTCATTCATTCATTCAATGTACATATACATACATATACACAATATATAATTGTATATTATAAATAATAATAATGTCAGGAGAAGAGAATAGGAAAACACCAGTTACTTTGATTTCAGGGTTCTTGGGGTCAGGTAAAGTAGGTAACAAACACTCTTCTAGATTTCAAGAGTATTATGATTCATTTTCAAAGTTCATCGTTATTAATTAATTGATTGATTATAGACAACCTTTTTAAATTACATTTTAACAGAGAATCATGGGAAAAAGATTGCAGTCATTCAAAATGAATTTGGTCAAGGTATTGGGATAGAGACTGCAATGATTGTAGGTGAAGATGGTTCAAAGGTGTCTGAATGGTTAGAGTTCCCAAATGGATGTATTTGTTGTACTGTCAAGGACGACTTTATCCAATCCATCGAAAACATGTTGTCAAAGAGATCATTTGATTATATTTTAATTGAATCTACTGGAATGGTTTGTATTCAAAACAAAAGAAAAGAAAAGAAAAGAAAAGAATATGTTTTATATAATGTTGGGATGATATTAATAATATTGTTATTTTTATTTTAGGGAGACCCAGGACAAATATCATCATCTTTATGGGTTGATGAAGGATTAGAGTCACCAATCTATCTAGATAGTATTATAACATTGGTCGATTCAAAGAATATATTAAAACAAATCGAACAAGGAGAGAGAAATAGAATTAAACAACAGACCAGCGCTGTTGTGGTAGAGGAGGATGGGGGGGAGGAGGAAGGTGGTGGTTCAGAACCTCCTCCATTAAAGGAGACAGAGGCAGAGAGACAAATTGCATTTGCCGATGTGATTCTATTAAACAAGGTTGATTTGGTCGATGAGCAACAAATACAACGTGTCAGAGCCAAGGTACAGGATATTAATCCTTTGGCAACGATCTTTGTAACGCAAAAGTCGGTGGTTGATTTGGACAAGGTTCTCTCGATCCAACAGTACAAACCAAACGTCGATATCATTAAAAACTACAAGGCTGCTGCTGCATCTGGTGTATGCTCTGATTCCTCTTGTTCTGATCAAGAGCACCAACACCACAACCACCAACATGGCAGTGAGAGCGTGCATTCGAATCGCATCAACACAATCTGTGTTGAAAAGAGTGGGTCGGTTGGTTTGACCGATATGAACAGATGGATCGGATCGATTGTTTGGAGCGAGTACCAAGACAAGGTTTTTAGATGCAAGGGTCTTATCTCGATCGATGGAAACGAATACAAACACATTCTTCAAGGTGTTTATGAAACATTTGAAATCCTCCAATCCGATATCAAGTGGTTGCCAAATGAAGAACGTATAAACAAGTTGGTGTTTATTGGTGAATGTTTGAATCAATCACGATTTGATCAACTTTACAACAATGCTTTCCAAAATATCAACTCGAATCAGTAAGCCGAATTCTATCTGTGTGTGTGTGTTTGGTTGGACAGACAGATGACCTAACAAAATGGAAAGGATCTTTGCCCAACCCGAAAACAACAATAGTAACCACCTCTATCACTCCAACACATATATATATAAAGTCAGGTGGCGACATGCATAATCTCAGGCAAGACCTTGCCTAAAAAGATACTACTTCTTTGTGATTAGAACAACAACAGCACCTTTTATAAACAATCAACATTTAAATAGAGAATGACAAGTATAAAGGAACAACATCGAAATATTAAAATAAACAACTGATTTAATTTATTAGTGAAAAGGAGACCATTACAATTCGGGCCAAATCTGTTCCAAAGGAGGAATTGATTGCTTCAATGTATTATTGACAAAGGGAATAAATTTGTTGTAAGATTCGCACAGCGCGTCCATAATATTGGAATCGGATCCACCAAAGATAACTCCACATGGTTTACCTGTTGTTGTTATTACACCGGTCCCAGAGTATCCTTTTTCTGCCGATAAGTCAATTTGAAGGATGCCTCTACCACTGTCACAGCATGAGATATATCCCCTCTTTGTACATTGGATGGGAGTTGGAATGGTAGGGAGACCCGGATTCATAAGATATGTTCCCGAAACCGAAAGAATATTTCTAGGGAAACTACGGGTCAATACATCCTGGGTTTCACAAACCTCTCCCAACAATGGAGTTGACAAAATTGAGAGATCAGGGACATCATTGTCAATGATTTCCAATAATGCCAAGTCGTGATCGTTGGAGAGACCCAAAAGTCGGGCCATTGCCCATCTTGTGGTTGGGTGGTTGAGGCCAATATAATAAGATACTGGTGTCTTGTCCTGAAATACTGGAATCGAGTTTTGGTTTTTGATAAAATCTGCTGGCATAGCTACATGCTTGACTGTGATGACATATTTCTTTCCAATTAGAATACCAGTACCATATCCATACGCACATTTCTGAGTTGTCATCTTGATAAATACTGTTCTCTGTTTTAATTGCTGATCTAAAGCTGAGCTTATGGAAAGAATGAAAAAATATTAGAGCAATACAGATGAGATTAAAGAGAAAATATTTACAAAGGTTATCCACTTCTTGTTGTTGAGACAACATAATAGAAACCAAAGTATAGTAAGACTATATTTTGAGGTTTGGAGGGAACTAAAGAAAGATCATAATTACAAACATTTAAATTCTTTTTGTTTATTAATATTGATGTGATGGTGTGATCAGCATACTTGTGGTTGTTGTGAGGTATTGGCGGAACAACGAAAAAAAGATAGAGGTTTGGATGAGAGGAATCATACAGAAAAATAGAGGGTTGAAAGTTGATTTATTAACCATCTGGTATATTCTTCCTTCTTATCTTGAAAACCCCCCTCAAACCACCCAGCATTAAAAAGAAGAATATTAATTCAGAGTATTGACATCTGCACCCTTTCCAATTAAGAAAAAACCCTTTTCTATTTAATTAAAACCACTAGTAATTTTGTTTGTTGAAATATTTGAGCAAATATTTTTTTTGTTGTAATAAATAATTAGAACAGAGTAAAATTAAACAAGCATCCAAAGAAGAAGTAATGGATATTAGGGACGATCAAAGTAAGCATTTTCAGATATAATATGTTCACATTAAAAGGATTCAATGTTAATATTTGGTCCTTTACTACATTAATTTATTTTAGGTATTAAAACAGATCTAAACCAAGCCCATATTTCATGGGAAAAATGGGAAGCAGAAGATGTGTGCAACTGGGCAATGAAACTAGAAAATGGCAATGATTTTGCCAAGGAATTGCACTCTCTCATGACCAAGGGGAGAGACCTTCCCACTCTGAACAGAGAACAACTGATTGAGAAACCCTACAATTTCTCAGATGCCACAGCTCTCAATCTAGCCAAACACATTATGAATCTTACCAAACCAGGTACATATTCCCACATCTTGTTAACAAACAAACTTCATCTAAGAAGTAGTTTCATTAATTCCAAACTCTATCTTCTTTCAGCTTTAGAACAAGACTTGAAAAAGAGAACAGTATTTATCAAGATGACAACCCAAAAACGTGTGTATGGATATGGTACTGGTATTCTAATTGGAAAGAGATATGTCATCACAGCCAAACATGTTGCTATGCCTGTGTCTCACCTGGAAAGCAAAACATCTTTCAATCTTTTTAAAAGAGACACACAGCCAGGGTCTTTGTACATTGGCCTTAACTACCCAACCACAAGATGGGCAATGGCCCGATTTTTGGGTCACTCCAACGATCACGACTTGGCATTATTGGAAATCATTGACAATGATGTCCCTGATCTCTCAATTTTGCCAACTCCATTGTTGGGGGAGGTTTGTGAAACCCAGGATGTGTTGATACGTAGTTTCTCCCATTATGTGCTTTTGGGAACCAATATTATGGATCCGGGTCTCCCTACTATTCCACCTCCCATCCAATGTATAAAGAGGGGATATATCTCGTATTGGAACTGTGGAATAATTGGTGTTGACTCATCCTCAGACATAGAATACCATGGGGCTGGTGTAATGACTACCACCGGCAAACTATGTGGAGTTATCAAAGGGTGGTCAGAGTTCAATCCTAGAGATATCCACTGTGAATCATACCACCATTTTGTTCCTTTTGTAAATAATACATTGAAGCAATCAATTCCTCCTTTGGAACCGATTTGGCCCAAAATCAGTAAATACTCGATACAATTTATTGTATATTAAGTTCTTTAAAGATTAGAGGGTCTTAAAATACTACAACATTTTTTTTATTTTGTTAATAAATAGTGTTGTTGATTATTAGAAAGATGGGATGGGCAAAGATAGAATCGATTAAAAAGAAATCAGTAGTATTTTAAGACCCTCTAATCTTTAAAGAACTTAATATACAATAAATTTTATTATTAATATTAAAGATAGAATCGATTAAAAAGAAATCAGTACAAGATTGGTTCGAGAACATACATTAAATTTAAGATCAATTTGTATCGTGTGGTTTGACCGAGAGGAGTTTAGTCGTTAGTACTAATTTTATCCAAAAATACTTTAAATATTTGATCTACCCAGGATTGAGTATTGAGTTCAATGAGATACCAATGAAATATCTTTGAGATATTATTATTATTGATTTTAGACAATCTAAATCTAACAAATTCAAAATAACAAACCGAATCAACAGTGTTTAATCGAGCAGACAGATTACATCACCAAACAATAAAAAAGGAAAGGAATCTCCCATCTTTGCCCAACCCCAACAACAAATATTATAATAATAGCAACCTCAAATTGTATCATCGTGATGTGTAGAAAGAAATTAATTAAAGGTCATCCCCACAGTTCGTAGCGACATGCATAATCTCAAGTGGATCTTGTGCCCCTTAAAAAGATTTTACCACTTTTGTGATGATGGGGTAATAATTATCTTAGAGTGGATAATAAACATAGCAACATGTACAATCATTCTGTTTAATTGATACCTTTTCCATTTATTTTTAAATTTTGAACAAATTAGATAGAGTGACAATGACAGATAATTTTATAAATGAAGATTTTCTATGTTCATATGTGAGTAGCAAACCAACAGTTGAATCACTTTCAGTGATAACAGATAACGAACCAGACCAGTATGTATATGAATTTTAATTTCATTGATTCAAACTGATTTTCCAACATTTAATTTCAAGGTTTTATGATATGTTAACAGAATATAATGGTACATCCTATCTAATGGATTCATTTACATTTGATGTGGATAGTATAATCGAAGATAATTTATCTCATCTAAGTTTTAATGGACCATCCAATCAAACAGAAGTTCAAGTACCAATGTCACCACATTCATATAGTTTTAGAGATCTTTTACCAAAGACTTGTAAGAATTGCCCCTTTTATATTCCCAATAATGTCCCTTTCCCTTATTGTAGTGTTTCATGTCTAAGGACAGATATGTCTAAAAATAATAATAAATAATATAAATAAATAAATAAATAATAAAAATAATTGTATTGATAGTAATTTAATAAGAGTTAACTTTCACCACCATCATGTTCAAATAGAGATGAAAGACACTCTGCTATGCTAACCAAATTAATTTTATTTATTTATGTAAATTAAAATATTATAATCAAAAATAAAACAGAGTTCCCCGTCTCCGTTGGAACATAAACAGGTATACCCCCGAATAAGAATAGACAAACAGAAAGAAAGAGAGATTTCTAGGGTGTTTAGTTTTTTTGTTTTTAGAACCTGGTTTGCAGTTTCGTTTACAATTTGAGTTTTCAAAAACAAATAAATGAGAGTTTTAAAACTCTGGTTGAAAAATTTGTAGGTGCTGGGTGTGATCCACGAACATATAAATGTGAGCCGAAATTGAAAACACCAACTATATAATTTATTCTTTTCCTATCCTACTCTTCCTCTTTATATATATTTATTTATTTAAAATGAAATTTCATGCTCTAATATTTTTTATTGTCTCCTTTTTGTTGTTGGCAAATGTCTCCCTTGCAACAAAAGGTGTTGACGTTTCACAATCCATCTCTTCATCAGCTTTCAAATGTTTAAAAAACAATGGATTTGATTTTGCAATTGTTAGAGTATGTTGAAAGATAGTATTAGAGTGGAATGAATACATGTTGTTAACATTATCTTTTCTTTTTTTAATCATTTTAGTGCGGACGTTCAAGTGGATCTCCAGATCCTAACTGTGCCTCAAATGTTCAAAATGCTTGGGGTGCTGGTATGGCCCACGTTGATGCATACATTTTCCCATGTCCATCATGTGGCAATGGAGCTTCTCAAGTCATCAATACAGTTAGAGCCTATGGTGGAAAGAGTGTTGGTATGCTTTGGTTAGATATTGAGGGTCCACAATACTGGAGTTCCAATCAAGGAACCAACCGTGCTTTCTTCAACTCGATGCTCGATGGTGCTAGACAAGCTGGTGTCCGTGTTGGTGTATACACCTCTTCCTCCCAATGGAATCCAATTATGGGTTCATGGAGTGGTGGTTCTGCTTACCCATTGTGGTATGCTCACTATGACAACAGTCCCTCCTTCTCTGACTTTAGATCATTCGGTGGATGGTCCAAACCTGCCATGAAACAATACCAAGGTGATCAATCACAATGTGGCGTTGGAATTGATTTGAATGTTTATTAAATACAAATATTAAATACTTTATTTTTAATATTTATTTATTTTTATTTTTAAATAAAATCACTTTTTGTAATATAATCTAATATTGAAACCACAAATTCTAGTGTACTATTATTATCTAAATTAAATAAAAATTAAATTGATTTAGATACCTTGGTATTATTGTCTGTTATACTTTTTGAAAAAGAAAAATTAAATTAAATATTTGTTTTGGGGGGTTTGTTATTTATTATTATTATTATTATTAATATTTAAAAGTATATATAAATTTTAGGCAGTCGTTGTTGTATTTGGAGCTAGAGTAGGAGTTTGAGTTGGAGTTGGTGTTGGAGCTGCAGAAGAGCTACCAGCGTCTGACGACGAACCGACAAGATCGTTTGTATAGTTGGCAAAGAAATATAATCTGAGGAACAAGGCAAGACCAAGATGGAGAGCACCAATGATGGCACAAATAATAATGCCACGCTTGGTAAAATCCTCTTTGAGTGGCGTAAAGATGTTGGTGACGAGGAATGCACCACTGACGAGCGCACCAAATCCAACAATCACCCATTGAACAATACCAATTGGAATGACACATAAAACAGAGATTGGAACAAAGATAAATAATGAATAACCATAAATACAAGCCATATCGATAAGTCTCAAACCAAGTTTCATCCATTTAAAGACTGCCCATAAAATAAATGGAACGACAAATGAATAACCATAGATTGCAATTGCACTATAAACTACTTTTTGAATATCAGCTTTCCATACTAAATAAATAAAGGAAAGATTAGTAAATGTTTTGAGAGAGAGAGAGAGAGAGAGAATATTGTATTCTTGTTTGAAAAGAACATACAAGTATGATCAGTTTGGAAATATTCATTGAGATTGGCTGAAATGGCAATAATAAATACTAATGATGTTGATACCCAAACTGGTCCGTATCTAATATAATTAATTAAACAAAAACAATTAGTATTCATTAAAATATAGAGTTGATCATCATGATGACTATTTATATGTGATACATTACAAATCTGGATTTTCTTTTATAAGATTAAAGAATGAAAACTTGATTGGCATCATTGAACGAAGAAGACGTTGACCTACTTCAACGGTATCGACGTTAAAGAGAAAACGATAGTATGGTACTTGCCAAAAGCTATACTTTTTATCTTGTGCACTTCCACCACTTTGATCTGTATTGTTGTTGAGTGAAGCATGTTCAGAAAAGTCAGATTCAGGAACATGATTACCTCCTCCAATCTTGTTTTGAGTATTGTTATTATTGATAGAGTTGTTGTTGCTTGAGCTTCCTCCTCCTGATGTTTGTGGTGCAAAGCTTTGGAATTGAAGATTTGGTTGATAAGATGGTTGTTGTTTTGGAACCTGACTACTATAGTCATCAAAGTTTACATTGGTATTGGTAAAGATGGCTTGTGGTTGATTATATGTTGGTTGTTGTGGTGAATGTTGTGGTGGCTGTTGTTGTTGTTGATTTGGAGGTGGTGATTGTTGAGGTACATCTGAATAGAATGGATTACCATCATTATGATTATTATTATTAAAACTCATGATCGTCTTTGATTGTTATTAATCGATCTTCCTTTTCTTCTTCTTCTTCTTCTTCTTCTTCTTTTAACTATAGATGTAAATTCGTCGTTTGTTGATGATCTTTTGTATTATAAATGTAAATATGTGTATGTACAACAATGAATGATACCTAAAAAGTAGTATATATTATATTAAAACTTTTGTTTTTTTTAATTTTTTTTTTTTCACCATCCACAGTGAGTGGGGATTTTCATGCCTTGAAAAACAGAGAACAAAAATAAATTTTAATAAAAATATAAGTTTAAACTCTAATCCTAATGAAAATAACTTTGATTTTATTATTATTTTAATAGGTATTTTAAATATGTGGTGTCATTTGTCATCAACTCCACTAAATTTACATAATAAAATGGAATTGATGACTTATTATTATTTGTTAATTTGTTATTATTTGTTTGTTATTATTTGTTGTTTGTTTGATTGTTTGTTTAAATAAATGGAATGATATGTATGTATCTATCTATTATTATTATTAATATTTTTTAAAATTTACAAAATAATTGCATTGTTGTTACTACTATTACTATTACTATTATTACTACTGGTACTAATACTACTACTACTGCTATCACTACGACTTATAGAAATATTATTTGATGGTGGTATTTCATCTTCGTATTTATAATAGTCGCCTGATAAGAGAGCTTTCTTTTCAGTGTTTGGTACAAGATTGTTGTTTGGATCCTTTGACCTCATCTTGATGATTGAAAGTACAATGATCGACAACACTGATGCACCACAGAGAGAGGAGAAAACAACTCCAATAATCCATCCAACATCTTGAAGAATAGGTCCAAATGGTAATACATTAACTGGTACTTCATCGTGATAATAACATTTTATAGTTTGATTTATCTAAAAAAAAAAAAAGGGAAATCGATTAACTTCTTCTTGTTTCTTCTTCTCTTTGACTTGATTCATACTTTAAAAACTGAAAGATAACCTTGTATCCATAAAGGATTTGCACTCCATAATCCAGTGATTTGTGATTGTAACTGATCGTTGCTATCGGTTGTATTGGAATCAGTGTCATAATCAGAGACGGTATAAGTTACATCCAATATACCAATATAACATATTCCCGATTCGCCAGGATCATTCCAATCGTCTGATGAATCAGGGTCCGACCCTTTATCGATAACCTTTTCCTCAAAGAGTGATGCAAACTTGGGGAACCACCATAGATTAGAGTTTGAAACATGACATGATTGATTGGTCTGTTGTGCAAACACTGTAATATTCCCAATGAAACAATTAGTTTCTATATATGCATCTACCTCTCGTTTCTAAAAAGTAAGTAATCTTTTTGATTAATATTATATCTACTACTTTTGATTGTATAGTATAGTATACTACATACAGCAGGTAACCAAACTTGAACAAAGAAGAATATACTAAGTAGAGCACTAAACAAGCAAATGAACATAGCAATCCATATCAATATTCTTTTTGATAGTCTTACCATGGTAGATAATTATCTATATTGCTTCTTATACTACTTTTACTAAATATAAACTTCTTTTAACTAAATGCTGTTTCCTTCTACTACTACAACTACTGATCAAAACATAAATGATTTACTTGTACTTTTACTTATAACTACAACACTGAGATCACTCTCACTGTTGTTTTGATTAACACACTGTGTGAAGGGGTGTTCAATACACCTCCCTCGGCGATGCAATTTTCAAAATTTGAAAAATTGCTCCTCCTACTGAAAGATATCGCGATTCTGATTACGAAAAGTAGAAAGCCAAAAACAATATATCTGGTTGCCGAGCCAACCCTTTCATTGGAAAAACAAACATATGCATCCATTCGATTTAGTACACTTTATTTTCAATTACATTTATTATTCATCAGATAAATGATGAGCAGATTTGGCAGAGTAAATTAATACAGGTACAGTGATAGAGGATGACGCCAAAAAGAGGAAATCAAACCATCGATGATAAAAGTTGAATTCGATATCGCCAAGAATCTCAGAGATGATGACTCGGTACTCTTCGGGCAACGAGGTACGCATGAGCAGCACCGACGAGATAAAGTACATACCCATGATTTGGGCAAGCACAAGTACGACATTGTTGGATGTGATACTGCTCGAGTACTCGTGAAACACCTTCATCAACATATTGAGGAAACCTCTTACTGAAGTGGCCGTCATCAGACCAATCAGCAAAAAGGAAATGTGTTGTGACCAAAATGGAACATCGACTTCAATGTGTAAATAACGCAGTGCAATATCCAACCCTCTGCTGACGGGGTCCATACCAATCTTTCGGTCATACAAAATGTTGATTGTACTCATTATAACCTTGTAGATACAATAGCCAGAGAAAAAATATCCCAACCAATTGTAAAACTTTCCTAGACGTGTCTGTGAGAATACGATACGCTCCTTTTCCATCTTGAGGTCGTGTAGTTGTGAAAACAAGTCTCTGCTGAGTTCCTCTAGCGTGGTTGTCTCGCGTTCCAGTGCTCGGACGTCTTCCTGTACCGTGTTGGAGGGCGAACGTCGCACCAACGACAATGCGCGACTCAGAAATGATAGACGTGTGGGTTCGTCTGCGTTGGGGTATTGCCTCTTTTTGGCGAGTTCGCTTCTCGCCAATATAATACGTCGCTTCTTGTTGAAAATCTTTTCAGTGGCGTGCATCAGTTGACGCTCCATCTGCACGATCATCGAGTCTTTGACAGGTCTGAGGAAATACGCTATATACATGTATGGCACATTGACAGCACCATACCCAGACAACAGTGCCATGACTGTGACACCCACAATACCAATGCGACCAACACCCATCTCAAAACTAACTATTCCTCTATACTCTTTCAAGATTGGGAATGGATTACCAAGCCACCAAAATATTAATAAATAAAATCCAAGACATATTAAACTTGATATATAATTCCTTGTTCTTCCAAACCCTAGAAAATAAAGAAAAAGAAATGTTAGAAGAATGAATAGTTTACACTACCTTTGTTTTCTATTGTTATATCTTTTTTTTTATACCTTTTGAAGAAAAGTATAAATAGAATTGATAATAAGGTAATATTATAATCAAATCAACCAACATTACAAATAAATCAAACTTCCAACACATATATCTCCAACTATAAAAAAGGAATGACAAAGGGTTGTTAGTGTCATGAGTATAATATGTAGTAGTCTACAAATAATCATTGATTGATTACATACTCTCTATCCATAATATCCATAATTTCAAAGATGATGAGTTCAAACATTGTACAGGATAGAGCAAACATGGTTGAAAAGGATAGCTGAACGGTTAGATTCTTTACTTCATAGTCTTTAAAGAGTATCTTGAGAAAGTAAATCCAACCAAATGCAAAGAGCCCTATAAACGATAGGGAGAATACCGATGTATTATAGGCATAGCTAACAAATGTAGTCACTAAACTATGACTCTTGATTAATTGAAATAATGTTTCTTGACTATTACTTGTGATGTTCATATTTTCATAATGAACAGATATATAAATATAATAACAACTATTTACAATGATGAGATAAATTACAATAAATGATTTAATTGATTAAATTGAACATTTGGGGTTTGGTGATTATCAAGAATGATAAAACAAACGAAATTCAAAGATAATTATTTTAAATAAAGTCGACCAAAAGAATATGAGTTTGGTAGTAACATTAGAAACATTAAAGTAATAATAAATAGTCTATTTATTGATGTTAATTTAATCATGATCAAAAGAGAGAGTAAGGAGTTCCAATATTGTTATCTGTAAATGATTTAAAAAAAAAAACAAGGATTAGTAATTGTGATTAATGAGACAGGTGATGTTTTAGATAAGATATTAAAGGAATATGTATATATATATGTATGAAAAGAATTGTATGAATATTAACTATAGTATCAAAATGATGGAAACATTAAGAAACTATTGGAAAAGAAACTCAAAACGAGTCGCTTAGCTTGTAACATTCACCCTTTATAAAAAGATTGATGTTGCATCTGCTAACACATCATGATCATTGAATCATCGTGAGGTTTTAATAAGATGCGGAATATAGAGTAGGATATATAGAATAGAAGGATATAATGTATAGGTATAAACTTACACTCGAGGACGAGATAATGAATGAAAATGGACTTTCGTTTCCTTTTGACACAATCCAAAGTTCAACAGTCGAAAAAAATAAAAATAAATAAAAACAAAGATTGTTCAGGCATTCATTCTTATTCTTTGTTCATACTTCAGAGATAGATAGACAGACTGTTATAAATATACATATATATATATCAGTCAATACAACAGAGGGAAAGAGTATACTATTGTTTCAACATTAATAGATAGGTATTTATCATTACATATACAAGATATAATTGAATGTCAAGTGAAACTAATGAACTAGACGAGTTCTATTCGGCACTTCAGTCAGATGATGTAACATCCACTTCAACAACTGCTGTTGAAGCATCATCATCAACATCAGAAGATAAACATGGATCAAAGAGAAAGTTTGATGGTGAAGATAACAACAATCACAACCAAAACAACACCATCCTTCATGTAAATAGTAAATTAAAAACTGGTGATACTACAACAACATCTCCTTCTTCATCTACTTCATCTTCCTCTTCTACTACTTCTACAACTACGAATAAAATGATACCAAGTTCATTACTTAAAAAGAAAATTATACAAAAGAAACCAGCAGCTACTCCTTCGACTACTTCTACAACTTCTACAACAGCATCAGTCATTTCAAGTAAGGCTGTTACATACTCTGCATCAACTATATCCAAACTTCAAGAATCAAACGAAGTCAAATTACCTTCATACGTTTCACAAGTTATGCGTGAAAAGCCAATGGTTACAATGGAAGAACCTAAAAAACTAAAATACACAATGGGTTTGGGAAATGATACTTGGGAAGATGCAACACTCTCTGAATGGAACTCTAACGATTATAGATTGTTTGTTGGTCAGCTTGGAAACGAAGTGACTGACGAAATGTTGGGACAGGCGTTTGCACGCTACCCTTCTTTTGAAAAGGCAAAGGTGATCAGAGAAAAAAAGTCACAAAAGACAAAGGGGTTTGGATTTGTAGCCTTTACCAGTGCTGCAGATTATATCAAGGCCTATAAAGAGATGAATGGAAAGTATGTTGGCAATCGTCCCCTCATCCTTAAAAAATCAAATTGGAAAGAAAGAGCTGTATCCACTAAACCCATTGTCGATACTCCTCCACCAACTACTCCAACTGGTGCACCAGCAACTCTTTATCAACAACCAAAACCATCAATGAATAAAAATAGTTTATATCAAAAGTTTTAAAACCTAAACTTTAAACTATAAACAAACAAATAATATTTGTATGTACACAATATTAAATATATTAAATATATTATATTTATTTAGTATTTATTATTTAAAAGGTGATAGATAAGTAGGTAGACCATAACAAATACAACTTGAACCAACTAATAATTTCCATTGACATGATTTTCTGGCATGTGAGATTGCTTCACCAATGTCTACGGTTTCGGAACCTTCAACATTTTGTTTGAGTTCGATGAACCATTTTTCGATAAATGATTGTGCTAGACGATCGGAATCCATCGATGGAATATCCCATAGATGACCAACGATTGCTTGACTACCTGCCAACAACATGTCGAGGATGACACCTGTGGGTTCGTATTCACCTTGTTCCTCGAGATTGCCACTACGACACCCAAACAACATCGAGACGGCACACTTGGACAACTTTTGGATATCCTTGCCAGAGCAGTATTGTTCGCCCGACCCATGTCCCATGTAGAGGAAAAGTTGGTTCTGTTCGAGTGCATCTCGATATTCTGAGCTGGTTGGAGCACGTCCTTTAATACCCTTCCACGTCTTGGACAATTGATTGGTATCAAAAAGCTTTGAAAAGTTGGTTTCAGTTGATGCCAAGTCACCCTTTGGATTGAGGATATACGATAGTTTCTTGGGATCGACCATTGTATAGTTTTCATTGGTTTCCTCGCGATTTCTGTGTGTTATCCATTGATGGAATGAAAATGATGGTAGACGATACACTGATTGTGATCGCAGAGGTTCCATAGCTTCAACGGGGAACAATTGAAGATTCTTGTCCATGATGAGGATGGATGGAATTCTCGGCTCGTCACGTACACGTTCTAAACTTTCCTCTAATCGTTTGGCAATTGGTAATTTGGTCTTGGACGCTGTGGATGTTGAAAAAACATCTGTAAAATGTTTGATGAATAGAGTCTTGATCTTTTTGAGTTGAGAGTATTGTGGGTGCTTCTCTTTAATCGTTTCCAAATAGGATTCGTCCGATGGGTACAATCCATCGATTCGGTCAAACCCGACGAGATCTATAATCGACTGATACAAATTCTCATCGTTCATGTAGGGCATTTCGACAAACACTTGTTTGAGTAGTCCGAGGTCGATTCGTTTACTGTCAACTTGATCATCCTCCTCCGATGCATCAGTCTCAGTCTCCCCCTTAATATCCTTTGCCAAAAGAGGAATATTCTTTTCCAACTTTTCCAATGCATCTGTGTCGCACAAGTTACCAACCAACATGCTCTTCCAAGGTCCGAGTATTTCATCCAATGAATTGATTAATCTGTCAACCTCTGATTCTAAATTCTTTCTTTTTTGGAACCATTTTTGAATAGTTGAATCTTTTTTAGTCTTTTGGTCCATCGCTGCTTTAGTACCTGTTACCATATCATGATTATTTGCCAAATTTTCAATTGTCAATGTCTTGATATCATTTCTTAATTTATCAATAAATGGTAATATAATTTCTGGGTCACCTTCTTCTTCTTTTTCATCTTCCTCTTCATCACTTTCATCTTGTTCCTCTTCCTCTTCTTCACTTTCATTATTATCATTTTGTTCCAATTCAACTTGATAAACTGGCATTTGAATTTTAATGATGGTTGGAGGTTGATTACCAAAAAGTCGAGTGAGTACAATTGATTTTCGATCAATTCCAATGATAATATTTGAAATTGACCATTCGGTGGGGAGATCACCACTGTACAACTCGGTCAACTGCTTGTTAAACTTTTTGTCTTCCAATTGACTAGGTATTTCAACTCCACAGTTCCATGAAAACATAGTTTTCTTTATATCCACCAGTACTGATGCTGGTTGTTGTTTGTTCTTTTTAAAACTCTTTTGAATATTGATAGATTGTTGATATGTTACAATCGATTCCATATCATGTTTAAATCTAATTCCCATTGATAAATCTAAATTAAAATTATAATTAGTTTAATTAATAAATGATTCAAAATTAAATATAATAATTTATACATACTAAGAAAATGAACAGTTACAAAAGGTAGGATTGTACCAGTTGTAAAAGCTATATAACGACATAGTAGATTTGATATTTTGATAATATTATAAATCCCAACTCTTGAAAAACTATGTAAAAACATTTGTCTTGCTTTGAGAATGTTTGGATCGATGGTGACAGTTGATGGATCCAAGTAATGAGCCCATACCATATCTCTTTCACTCTCCTTGGCCATTAGATAATAGGCACGACCAAGATGTAACTCTAAAATGGATAGAGTGATCGTTCCAACCGTCTCTTTGTTGTCTTTGATAATAGCTTCCAATTCCTTGACTGCTTGTTTATAATTTTCACGTATCATCAATATCTTTGCCAATTTACATTGTATTCTAGCTCTTATTGATTTTAATATATTTTCAATTTCACCAATATCATTCTTTTTGTTATTACCATTATTAGATTCTTGAATAATTAAATCTAATATTGATTCTAAACTACTACCAATCTTTTCTTCTCCTTGAATGATCTTTGTCTTTGAATTTGTTGTTGTTGTTGTTGTCTTGTTGTTGATGTTGACAGTCGATTTAGATTTAGTCAATTTTAATAATCTTTTTTCTTTTGGTGTAGAGTCGTTACCAAAGGTAAGACTATTTTTAAATTGTTCTAATAGACTACTGTTGTTCATTTGATCGAGCATTGATATACACTGGTTGTATAGCTTGGTGGATTGAGTGATGATATTTTGACGTCTGTACAAATCACCCAACAACATTTTCGCGAGTAGATTAATCTTGATCAATCTAGATTCATTTGGTGCGAACCTCGCAACTAGAGAAATCGCCACTTCCAAGTTAATCTTGCTGTCAACATAGTTGTGACGGTTAAAACACAACTCGCCAAGTTCCACCAAAAATTCACACGTCACTTTAAGCGACCCGTAAATATTGCCAATCAAAAGACCTCTTTCATAATAATAATGAGCTTCTCTCGGACATCCTCTTAATTCATACACACTTGCCAAATGTAATATTGCGTTTAGGCAAATGGTTAGACACGACCATTTTGATAAGCTTGATTGATATGATGCTAATTGACCATTACTATTACCACCACTACCATTCCATTCATCCGATTGAGTAGTAGAAGAGGTAGCTTCAGAATCGATAGACATGTTGTCTGAATTATCCACCATTGAACTACTACTACTATTGTTCTTTTTCTTTTTCAATGATATATTTGATTCTGATGGAATGAGGGATTGAAGGAAATCCAACATTTCATTTGACACTTTGAGTGCCAGATTGGAATTGGCGCACTCTAAATACACTAGTGACACCAACTTGCATATTTTAATGTAGCTAGGATAATCAATTGTCTTGTCACGGTTGTGTATTCGTTCCTTGCATGATTCGTACAATTCAATAATTTGATTATACATTTTTTTGTTTGTTTCATCTGTAGTGGTGGTAACACTTGTCATCTTATGGAATTGGTATTCAAGTTGTTGAATATTATTTAAAAGTTGTAGTGATGATATTTCCAAAGACACTCTTTCATTTGGTTTGGTTGCCACCACTCCAGTCTTTAATTGTTCAAACAACTTGTTATTTAATTCGAAATAATATTTAGATTGTGAAAATTTCTCCATCAATATATAAATTGATATTAAATAATTATAACTTTTTAATAATTCTAAAAAAATAAAACATAAATATTTAATTAGTAAATCAATCGAAATAATCAATCTTTTCTATTTCTATATTTTTTCTTACCAATAATATATTGAGTTGAATTTGATTGATAAATATGTTTAATAATATTGATACGTATTTTTAATGCCATGATTGAACTAATATAGTCACCTTCGAATTGATATAAATCGGCAATCGTCATTAAAATGGAAAGTGTTGATAAAGGACAGAGGATGGCTCTATTGTTGAGTTTAATGGTTTCAGTTATATCTGATTCATCAACTTTTGGTTCGGTTAGTTGATTTGATATTCTACACCATATTTCCAATGATGCTCTCAACTTTGTTCCAACATAATCTTTTGGTGTGCCAACTGGAGGTCGATATCGATGTGTTCTTTCCTTTTCAATGTGTTTTGCTATATCACTCGATCCCCCATTCATATCTTTTGGAAAGACACTGTCCTCTTGATCGGTACCACCATCATCTACATCAATTTGTTGTGACATATCACCCAACTGTTTTCTTCCATGCTCCATTAACTCGGGATCAAAATGGTTTTGATTCGTTTCAATATATGTAATTGCTTTCCAAAATGATATTTTTGCCAATTCATTATCAATGGCCAATGTCAATGGGCTGATCATATTCTGTCCATCATCGTGACTATCTGTCTCTTCTCTGCACCCTTCCAATTGATCGACAATAGCATGAAATAGTTGATCGATGATAGCCGAGTCTTGGGATTGATCTAATCGCATGAGTTTGACCTTTTCCACTTGATATCTTGATTTGAGAATGACTGATCGATCCTCGACATCCTCTATCACTCTGTCGATGGTCGCCATCTGGAGTGAGCGAATGAGGTCGGTTGGAATAGCAGGATCTCTTTTAATAATATATGCATTATAACTAGTAATGATATAATCATAGATTGCTGCACATAGACTATGTGAACATTCATTACCAACCAACTGACTAATGAAAATCAATCTATCATGATTTATAATTTCATCTATATTTAATTCTTCTTCCTCTTCTTCCACGTCTTCCATATCTTCTTGTCCTTCTGTTTCCTCTGATTCTTCTTGATCTTGAATTAATTGACCAAGTATTGACATTTGTAATCTAGAGAATGATTTTAATATTCCTTGTAATGTGATTGGTTTGGTGTCTGATGATGAATCCATTGATTGAAAAGGTTGGTCCAATTGTCCATCAAACCAACCGTCTGTACAAATATTAAACCAAGAGAAACAGTCAGACACATATTTAATGGCTTGGTCATACTCTTGGTGTTTGGTGTTGAGTTTAAGTAAATGGTATGCCTGTTGTAATAGTCTGTGTGCAGACTCGATATTTTGAACGGGTGATGATTTGAGCAAGAGATATGACATTTCAAAATACTCCATTGCCTTTCTATCATCACTATCATTACGATACCTAGTACATATTAAACGTAGTAATCTAACCAACTCTGTAATAATTGATTGATCTCTTTTAGGTTGTGTTTCATCTTCTTGTTGCAGTTCATTATAGTATCTTGTAATAGTTTCATTCAACATTTCTTCAAATTGACTAAATTGTAAATCATTACTTGAATAATCAATTAATATACCCAAATTAACCAATATAAATTTATCCAAATGTTTCTATAAATATAATCAATCGATTAGTATCATTATTATTATTATTATTATTTTATGATTTTGAACATACAGAATATTTTTGATCAATATTACTTAACCATTGATTCATAATAAAAGGAGTTACAAATGATAATCTAACAAGATTGATAATTAAATCATTTGCCAACCATTTGTCTCTCTGTTGTTGTTGTAATAATAGTGATTGTACGCCAAGATATATATTTTCTACAATGATCTTTGGCAATTTAAATATTTCGTCACGTACTTGTGGAGATTGTCCAATCGATTTATCATTTTCATCAAATTGAAATGCATATTCCCCTTTGTTACAATCTTCCAATACTTGATTAATCATTGGTAATAATTGATTTAATTCTTTTTCCAATACTATTTATAAAAAATAATATATTAATTATTATTCTATTTTCAATATCAATATACTAAACATATCATACCATTCTTTTTACTATCAGAATTAATTTTTGATAATATTTTAAATCTATTTGATAGTGATGATAATCTAATCAATAGTATATCCAATTGATATTTCTCTTTTTGATTTGGTAGAGTTGATTTAATGGTTGAGTTTACAACCATATCCATCACGCTTAATAATTCCAATGCCTTTTTTTGAATATCTTGTTGTTGTGGTTGCGATTGTTGTACATAAAAACTAGTGTGAATCGATAGCCAAACAATATTTACAATGTCATTTGGCAATGCTATTTTAGAAAGTAATGGTAAAATATCATTCTTTGTTAAATCAAATAATAAATCCATAAATCTATTTAATACATTTGGTGTATTTGTGACTTGATAAATCATTAATAAATAAACAAACTATTAGTAAATAATATAATTAATTACAAAGATAAAGATAACATACAAAATTTATAATGTTTTTTAAATATATAAAATGCCCTAGAAAAAAATAATAAAGGTTGTTTTGAATTGATTAACAATACCATTACAAAATGAATATATGATATGTATACATCTTCTTCTTTTCCTAAAACTAAAATGAGAAACAATTCAATTAATTAATAAATAAATAAATAATATATATAATATATATTTATACATACAATCCAAAGATAATAAACGATTAAAATATTTTGGAAATAAAGATTCATTAAAGAAACAACGTTCTTTGACAATATCTACATTGAGTTGACTCCATTCCAAGCGGAGATGATCGATTTCTTGAGCATCCATTGTTACTAGTCTTTCCTCTGACAATTGCATTTTGATAAACATGCAATGAACCATTAATTTTTGATAGTATGATGGATCTTTTTCCAAGGGAAAGTCTGTCTCGTTTTGTTTGAGTATCGCGTACAACTTGTCGGCTACTTGTACTGCCATGGCAATTCTCTTTGCGTCACCTAGCAATGAAATGCATCGTAACCATCTCTTGTAACTATGTGGATTGGGTCGTGTAGCACTCCACGATTGCAAAGCATCCAATACAAACAAGTTACATCGCATTGCCGTCTCAGCACCTTCCTCAAATCCAACCAATGTCTTGGTATTACCAAATAACTGTTCAACACCCTTTTGTAAATGCTCTGATACCTCTATCAATAATTTTGCATTCCTATCATATATAAATCAAATCAATCAAATCAATCTTATTAGTATCTTGAACTCTTATACTTCTACATTTACTCATTCATTCATACTTTTCAGATGTGATCAACTTGTTAATGACAGCAGTCTGTAGTTGATTCGTGATGATTGTATAAGCTTTGTCGCATGACTTTGCTGCTGTAATGATCTTTTTAAAAGTGTCTGCGTCATCCAACACACGAACGACCTTATCTAGTGTATCCATCTCCTTCTATCTATCCTATCTATCTATCCTATATGTGTACTGTATCTTGCTCTTTTGCAAGTCCAAACATTTATGCAATTAAAGTTGGCGCGCTTTTTTTTCGAAACCAAGCACTTCCCTGTCGACCAACCAAGATCGATCTTGAATATTTTAAAATGTCTATAATTGTATAGTTTATAATTTATTGTTGTTTTGTATGTGTTTAATCAATCAATTGAATTGATTGGACATACATACATACATACATGTATATTGGTGATCGAAAATATGCGATGCATATGGTGTTGGGGAGAAGTAATTACAAAAATGGATATAAGAAAGTGGAAGTTAAATTAAATTTGTAGTAATACTACAATGAATCTTGTTGTTGTTGTTGTTGTTGTTGTTATATTATTATTATTGGTTGTTGTTAAAATTATTAATAAGTTTGTTGATTTAATGACCTTCAACCTTTAATTCGATAGCATAACCAATAAAGAAAGCAGCGAGAGTTGTGACAGCACCATTGATCAACATGAGTAGTCCAGAAACAGGTATATTTTTGTTGGATATATAACCTTTGAAACACCCAAGTACGAATAGTACAATGGAAAACAATATAATGGCAATAATGAATATAAGATCGAATCCGGCGGTCTTTGAGAATCCACCAGCACATAAAAAGGCTAAAAGTGGAATACCTCCACAAACCATAAACGATCCAAATGTAACCAATGCACTCTTCATGGCACCACTATCACCTTCTTCATAGGTGTCACCGTGTTCCTCCATCATCATAATCGAAGTGACCGTTGTCTTGTATGGGAATAATAACTCGGCAATTCTAGATGCCTGTTGTTCATCGTATCCCTTCTTCATATATATTTCTATTAAATTTTGTTTCTCTTGATCTGGATTATTTTGTAATTTTCTAAAACAATAGAAACAAACAAACAAAAGTATCAATATATATATCACATGAATATCTATCTATCTATCTATCAATCTATTGGTAGCATACTCTTCCAATTCAAGTGTATGTTTCTTTAATTGATCTTCTTCAGCCTTTTCACTAACATAGTCACCAAATGCCATACCAAGAGCATCGCCAAGTAAATTTGCAAATCCCAAGATTAATACTACACCTCTTGTTAATCCTGCACCTGCAGCAGCTAAATACATATCAATAACAATAATACAATAATACATTAATACATCATCGTACACTATATATATATTGAGTATTCATTTCTTTTGTACTACTACTACAAACATACCAGCTACAATAGCAAAAGTTGTAATGATACCATCTAATCCACCAAACACTATACTTTTAATGAATTCACCTGCCTCTCTATAACCAAATCAATAATAGATAGATAGATGTCAAGTTAGTTGTTGCTACTGTATATCTTTATGAGTTAACATGTTGAATACTACTCTTTATGTGGTTCTTTTCTATCTTCAGTATCATGTACTAATTTAGATTCCTCTGCATCATTTTTAAGGAATGCAGACTTTGCTTTATCGATTCTACTCGTCATTCCTCTCTTTGATTATAATATTATCTATATCTTATATTGATATCTTATCGATCTACCTTTCTTTTCTAAACACAAAATAATGATAATAATAATAATAACAATGAAAATGAAAGATGCTCTTTCCCAAAAAAGATTAATTAAACTTTTAAACAGGGAGGGATTTGAAAATCTTGCTCGTTTTTCGGGATCTTCTTGGACTCTTCATTGGAATATTCGACTTGAATCTAATCCTAATCTATCTATATACACACGTATATATTATGTGATTGATATCAATTCAATTCAATTATATAATAAATAAATAAGTTTGGTAGAGGTGGTTTATTAAATGATAGATGATAATATAATTATTTTAGTATTGATCTTAATCTTCTAGATAGCCTGGTAATTAATTTATCGGCTTTGTCTACATTATCTTCTGCTTGTTCTATTTTAGTGGATACTCTGTGTAATTGGTGGTTTTGTTGTGCCATCTTTTCAAGGGTTTCTCGTCCCAGTCTATTGATCTCTACTATATCTACCAATATACAATCGAGTGATTTTAAATCTTGTTCTTGAATTCTTTTACATTCTTTAATCGTATCGTTATATTCTTTCTTTGCGTCTGTTTGTGGAACTGTTGATCCAATTTGTCTTTGTTGTTTTGGTTGTTTTGACATTATTTATATTATATTATATCTATCTCTTGATAGAATAAGAATTGATCATTGATCACCAAAGCTATTTATATCATCTTATTATCTTATTAGCCATATCCATAGATCACCAGAGAATAGAGAAGAACATCGAATTATTCATCGAATTTACTAGACTGAAACAAAAAAAAGCGATCAGCTCTGCAACGTAGACACACACAACTTCATCTTTGTTTTTTTAATACACTTTTATATTGTTCACTCTATTCATTATATATATGTATAGGAATTAGGAATTAGGAATTAGAGAATAATAACTATAGTCTATAGACTAGTCTCAATCAATAATGGTATCACATAAAAATATATTACTTGAATCATTTGTATTCTTGTTTGAATCGATATTCTTGTATGCGCTGATCATCATATTGTGTCGAGTGCTTACTAGACAACGATATAGTACATTGTGCAAACTGCCATTGTACATCTTGTCTATATCTGTCACTTTCAATATCATATCTACCATCTTTTTAGAATCTAGATTTATGATGTACCCTGATCTAGCTTTCTCTCATATCACTCCCAATATCCAACAAACTAGTTACTTTCCTTTATACAACAACAAACATCTTCATATTAGATGTTTTAATAATCCTTCCTATATTAATAACACTAATAATAATAATGACAATGATGATACATCATCACCTAAAACAGTCTTATTTGAAGCAGGTATGATAGATTGATTAAACTAAATCAAAATCAATCAGACACAAACCAAGACTAATATAAATAATTTATAGGAACACCATTCTACTCTACAATTTGGGGTAATGTATTAAACTATATGCCAAATTATCTATCAAATAATGAAAATGGTAAATTGATTAAACAATATTGTGTATATGATCGTTATGGTTATGGATGGAGTGATTTCAAAGGAGAATCTGTTAGATCCGATGAAATGGTCAATGATTTACAACAATATTTGGGATCGATAGGTATCGATGATGGAATCATCTATGTCGGTTGGTCATATGGTGGTGTATTGGCACAAGAATTGGCTGCTACCAACCCCGGTATTCTAGATGGAGTGGTTCTCGTTGACTCTATGGATGTATTAGATTTAAATGATACACTTATTCAAAATATAGTTCAAGGTGTCTATGTATGTATAAAGTATAAAGTATAAAGTATAAAGTATACAATTACTTTGAATTTAAATATTAATAATAATTGAATCATTTATTTATTTATTTATCTATTTTTTACTTTTTAGTCATTTAAAATATTAGATATGATTAAAGTAACAGGATTAACTAAATTTTATGATGGGTATCCTCTTCCGAGTGGATACCTTTCAGAGAGTATTAATTTGGATGGACAATTAAAGATATCAAACAATATGGTTTATTTTGGAAGTGATTTCCTACAGTCGACAGTTTTTGAATTACAAGTGATTATGGATTCACTAGGTCTCTTAAAATCACGTATTGACTCACTCGCCAAAGGCAAGACACTTTTAGGTGATATTCCATTAGTCGTTTTAACAGCACTGGAGAATCAAGATGAAGATTGGATGTATCGTCAAACCCTACTATCAAACTACTCTTCCAATTCATTACACCTCACCACCAACTCTAGTCATTTCGTACCTATTGGTCCTACCTTTTATGATATTATAAAATCAATAGACAATTGTATTTCATTGGGTCTTAAATAATAATAATAATCATTGAGAACAACAATATATAATACTATATAATATATAATCCTATATAATATACTGTATACAAATATTTGTAAATATAAATATAAATCCCCTTTTAATCCAGTATATAGCTTTAGTAGATTAGAACCCACTTATTACAAACAAGGATGGAATAACAGCTGTAAATAGTTGTTTGTTTGTTTGTCCTTTTGTTTTTTTTTTTTTTATTTTCCACCAACCACAGTTTTGGTGATGGGTGGTGTGTTGGGACACAGTGTCTAATAATCACCTCCATTTGTTGATATTATTCGTCATCCATTCTCTCTCTCTCTCTCTTTATCTATCTTTTATTAAAGAAGAAGAAAGGAGCAACCTCAACAACAATAACAACACCATCACCTGTATAGTCAGACTAATACTACAACAATCACATCATTTCAATCATCTCCGTTGTTGTCTATAAATAGATCTCACCATAACGGTTTATAACGAGACAAGACAACTATAGTTTGAGTAATCTACCTAGCAACTTGTATTTAACAACGTACAAACAAGGAGAAAGAAAGAGTAACTATCAACATTTCACAATATATATAGATGTAACAATCAGTAGCTAACTATATGTACATTCTCCGATTATAGATAAACAGAATAGAATAGAATAGAATAGAAAAGTATCACAACGACTGTGATTGTATTATTATATATAAATATAGATAGATAGATAGTCTCCGATAGGAATTGAAATAGATTCGGGATTGGATATCATATCATATCATATCATATCAATGGGAACATCAGAGAGCAAAATAACAAGACAGGCATTCAACGCTATCAATGCGTTGGACCAACCAAAATCAGCCAAAGATGCCAAGGTACAAAAGAAGCTAAAGCGTATGAAAAAAATAGATATAAATGCAAAGGACGCACGCTCGGGGAACACCCTGCTTTGCATTGCTGTTATGATCGCCAAAAGTAGTATTGTTCTAGAACTGTTACTACGTGGCGCTTCACCAAATATTGCGGGTGCTGGCGGTAAGTACCCGCTGCATCTGGCAGTCGACAACCACGACGAGGAGACTGTCAGCATGCTACTCAAGCGTGGTGCTTCTCCCAACGTACTATGCGATGCCGGTACAACCCCACTCATCGCTGCCGTGTGCGCCGGTGACGACAAACTCGTCGAACTATTTGTCTGCAACTCAAATGAAATGAATGGAGGAGGTGGAGCATCATCCTCGGCATTCAGCAATATGAGTAGCAATAGTATATCTATCAATAGTAATAGTAACAACAATAATGGTGCAAGTACCAGTGGACATACAAGTCCTGCGACAACTAATGTTGGATCAGGAGCAGGTATAGATGTTAACCTCGGGGACAAACAAAAAATGACCCCGTTAATGTGGGCTGCTCATGAAGGTAATGACTCTCTAGTACGCTTCCTTCTCAATAATGGAGCAGATGTGAATCGTCGTGATGGTACGGGACGCACAGCTCTGCTGATTGCACGTGGTGCCGGTCACATGAACACGGTCACAATCCTCAACGACCATTTTTGCAAGGTCAACAAAATCGCCAAACTGCTCACGCAAAGCACGGCATTTAACCATATTTCCAGTGGCATCATATTGCCCAATAACTCTAGTACCGGTAGTGGACTTGGTAACCATAACAACAGCAGTAACAACTTATACCAACAACACCTCCAACAACAACTTCATTATGTAAATAACCCAAACAACAACAACCCAAACAACTCAAATAGCAACAATAATAATAATACTGGAGGAACTGATTCATTAGCTTCATCTTGGTCATCCACTGATTCTGTATTTCATAATAACCAACAACAACAACAACAAAATAATCAACAAACTAATAATAATAATCCAGGCAACAATAATAATACTAATAATAATAATAATGATCCATTATTTTTAAATGAATCAACTAATAATAATAATAATAACAATACTAATAACAATAATAATAATAATAATAATAATAATAATAATAATAATAATAATGGTGGAGGATCAAAACTAACTATACACAAAAGAGAGAATAGTACTTTACATAGCACAATTAGTAGTAGTAGTAAAGACTGTAAAGTTTGTTGGGAAAGACCATCCGATACGGTACTTTTATGGTGTGGACATCTTGCCATTTGTTATTTTTGTACTCAAGTATGTAGAAATGGAATAATTATTATTTTATTTTGATTAATTAATAATATTTATTTTATATATTAGTATTTACAATCATGTCCAATTTGTACTGTACCAATTGAAAAAGTAGTCAAAGTTTATCAAACTTGATCATTATATTTTTTCTATTTTGTTTTAATAGATATACCTACACAAACAACGCTCTCATAATAATAATTACTATTTTTATTACTATTTTCCATATCAACCCACACATTGGTATTATTCCAAGGATCCTTATTTGACCCCCAACCCAAACTCTATTGCACTGCAACACACTGTCACTATTAATTACTATAAATAGATAAATACACATTTTGGAAAAGGAAATTTTTTTTTTATATTATTATTTTTTATTATTATTTAACAGAAGAATATAATATCTTATTCCGGATACCAATATGTGTGATCGTTTTGAGTAGGCAATAGAGCCTGAAAAGATGATTGAATACTATAGACTATAGAGCATTGTTTGTCACCCACGTGACAGTATGGGTGATAGACATGAGTACACAAGTGTGATACGATCGTAATGAAAGAATCTCCAACAAACCAAATCTAATTTAATATCGTTTGACTGGAAAACTATCAATTCTTTAATAAAATGTGGTAGACTTTCTGCAAGGTTCAAGTCTACTTTATCATCTCCAAAATTCTTTAATCTCTTGTTCCTCTACTTTGATTGTAATTCTGCTCCTCCTTGAAAATATTAATTGTAAAAAAAAAAAAAGATTTTATTTATTTTCATTTTAAACATAGTTAAAAGACACAACTATATTTTGGAGGCTCACGGTAGATGGGGTGCCAGAGATAATGTCATAGGTGACCAAGAGGGTGTCTTCTTCTGGTTTGCCGACCCAGAGTCTGGTGGTAAGGCTTGTTCCAGACATGGAGGACTGCAGGCCCAACTTATTCAAGATCTCGATACCTGGTGCAAGGTGGTAGATGTGCGAATAGATGGTGAGTTGACTTTGTTGTGGAGCGTATTGGAAGAGGTCGATTTCCAGGTCATTGAAATTAAATGCAATACCATTGATGTTGCCATCGGCACCAAATACAGCACCGGTAAGGCTTGCAAATGTGCTTGGGAGTACACTTGTTTGGGCAACCTTGGCAACCATAGAGAATCTAGTGACAATAGCGTTATCCGAGCTAAGGTCCATTGAAAAGACATAGACCACTCCGCCGACAGCGTCATTGGCCGAACCCCAGTATTGATGGTGCAAATCAGACTGGTAGAGGATACCTTGGTTGGTACCATCGCTGTACGAGATGACAAAGCCATGTGAACCGGAAAGTGATTGCACACCAATCATGAATGGGAAACCTCCATCAGAACCGGCGATGCAATACAGGTAATGGGTTAGTTGTCAAAGCGTCGAAGCCGCCCGACAATGGAGTTGGTGAGTTTCTTAGGTGGGTAGTATTGAATGAAAGTAAAATATTGTCTGCATTACTATCTAATTCAAAATGATAGAATATATCATCCACTACGCATGATGTTTCTGAATCATTTTGAGGTGTATATTGTCCAAGTTCTAGGAGCGGTCCAAATTTTTCACCCTAAATAATTAAATATCAAAGCGGTTTAAGAATTCATTTTTAATAGCTAATATTATGTACAGTGTACGCGTATATACATACAACAAAGATACCAAATGTAACCATGTAACTATGATCCATTGTGTTGGCAATTCCGTATAAACCTGGGGTTGCCATTGAAACAGCAACCATAAAACTAAAAATAATAAAAATCTTTTTGTTATACATGTTAACTGTGATCATCTTTATTTGTCTATATCTATACACAACTATTGTTGAGTTTGTTTGAGTGAGGAATGATATTTTTAAACCAAAACCGATTGGATTGAGTAGATAAGATAATTTATTTGATGATTTATTTTATAAATTGAATAGTATAATTGGTAGCATAAACAAATAGAGCAACCAAAACAAACCAACAAACTAGATTGACTATATATTTTCTCCAATTGAATCGATTGAGATGTGCAAGTGACTGACCTGGGAAATGACCCTTGTCCTTGAAATGTTGTAGTAATTCATCCTTTTCAGTGTATCGTTGGTACAACCAATTGCCAATCTCGTGGTCACCTTGGTCGACTGGGACACTGGCGATTGGGAATCGTCTGAGATGAATGTGAATTTCAGTGGGTTTGTTGCCGTAAAAGAGTGCAAAGAAACTGGCTGGATGACGCTTATAGGCGACTGTCAAGTCATAGACTGCGTCGACTGCACCCTTCATTGAAATGACTGCCGACGAGAACCCCTTGACACGGGGCACCAAAATATTCTTTAACAAGGGTACTTCTTGAGGACGCGACTTTGCAAACTCTTGTGACGCCTGTAGATTCTTTTCGTTGAATCTGCTGCCTTCGGGATGTGTGACAAACCAAAATGGCTCACCATCATTTTTGAGATGGCTGTAGGCCCGTGCAATCTTGTGGCGGTCGTCTTGCCACTTTCTCGATAAAAAGATGAATCCCATGGCCCAAATACCAACACCGACAAATGGAATGTATTTAATGACACTCTTCATGGCAATCTTGATGTTTCCAATACGACCCGTTCTTTCACCCAAACTAAATGCCAGCAACCAATCACAATGATACGTATGATTAATCAATACCAATGCGTTTCTATCGCTTCCATTATTATGACTTTGATGTAATACAATATCCTCTCCTGTAAACACCAATTTATTTCTACCCAATGCTTCAAATGCAAGTGTTATTAATGGCCATCCTAATTGAGTGATTACACACAAACACACAAATATCAAAGAGAGACATTAGTATATATTATATATATATACTATTATTATTATACTATATTATGTACATACCATAATGAGATATTGAATTTGTAATCTTTCTAAACAAGTTACGTGATACTAGTAATACAGGGATGCACATTGTCATAATGACATCGCTCAATGCAATAGCCGAGAAGATAAATGTAATATAAGTTGTAAACAAGATTGGATACCATGCAACTGCAAGTACTCCAATCACTGCAAATACCACCAATGACGATGGTGTAAGAAGATCCATCCTATATACTATACTAACTATACTAATATACTCTTTCAGCTGTGATCAATCTATCTTTCTTCGATTGAGACTTGCAAAAAGAGTAGGTAGGTAGATAGAAAGAAGAGGGTTGAAGATAGAAAGAAGAAATGAAATATTTGATGATACTATGCTAATCGATTGATTGTCAAATTCATCATCAATCATCAGCTGAACGTTCAAACCCACCACACCAACCAAAAAAATCTTAACCCGTTTTGGTCGCGAATCATAACATAACAAATCGGGTTAAGTGAGAGTCGTTCATAGTATAGTGTTAATACTGTGTGATTGATATAAGGAACTAATAATTAATAAGATAAGTTATCTTTTATTCATGTTGTGCCTGTGTTGTTTTATTATTCCATATCTGTGAATGATTATATGAAACTCTAAATTAGAACCACCCTGTTGTTGGGGCATGTGCACTATTCCATCATCTTTGCAGCAATGAAGCCAATCGATACGACGATTTGCTAAAAATTTTCCGAATAAAAGTGCAAAGCTAATCTCGATCCAACACTCGATGGCTCGATTATTCATATGTTTGGGGCATTGGAGTTGGAACAAGTCACCTCTATATGGGTTGAGGTATGAAGCTACAGAGCTTATTTGAAGAGGCGCAAATTCCTTATTATTATCCACCTCCTTCAAACTCGTCTCTCGAATGTAAAATGAATTTTATCATCTGATTTAAACTTTTTATTGTTTATTGTGTTCACTGTTGTTGTAATTATCATTATTTATTATTTATTATTTATCTCTTTTTTTTTTTTTTTAGCTATCTATCTCCATTTCAACCAAAAATATCTTCTTTTCTCAAAGAACACATCGGTATGTTTTGTTTTGTTGTTGTAAAACACATTTAAATCTAGATATTTGCAGCTAGCTAGTCTCGACATCTATTCAAAACAAACCTGGTTCCAACAACAGTTTTTTAAATTATAAGAACGGCTAAAAGGATGAATGGAATTGATTTCAATTGCCTAAATATATATTATCAATCAATCTAATCAATCCGGACATCAACGGTGTTGGCGAATCCAATCCCATCAAACAAACAAATCAATCTCATCAATCATTTCCGACAGTTGTCTGAAACCTAACCTATTTCAAACAATAATCGGTGATTGGTGCCGTGACAAATACGGACACAATCCATCAACACACACGCTCAGTGATCGATATCGTTGAATTAAAAGTGCGGAAACAGACACTAAAGAACAAACAATGCGAAGAGACACACTCACGTACAAAAAAAAAAAAAACTATTCATCGGAACAATGCACCTTTGATGCATTGATGTGGGGGTGGTGGGGGGGCAATAACTGAAACAGATCTTTTCGGTCATTGTTGCGATTATTATTTTTATTAAATTTAATTTTTATTTGTTTGTTTGTGAGTTCCACCTTATGGCTCTTCGCACACAAAAGGAGGCAAGGCTCCGTACCAACAACATCAAGGAAAGAGTGGAGAGAGAGGAGAGGAAGACACAACCTCTGATTAATTTATTTTTAAATCAAACATACATAAAGAAAGATATTTACAGACAAGAGAGATAGATATAGAGAGATAATTCTTATTTTTGGTGGTATGTTTTTTTTTCATCAACAATCATCTGATCAAAATCAACCGATCTTAAATCGATCAAAAATCACCCCCAAATACTCATTCATTGCATCGTGTGTGTAAATGTACACTATGTGTGTGTGTTTAAATCGGCAGAGATCGAGATAGAAGAATCATATCAAATCAAGATCTCTCATCACTGGGGATCAAACCAATTAATTTAGATTTAGATTTCACACAGTGTTTCTAACCTTCCTTGTTAGCATTGTACGATCGTCATTTAAATTCACGCCGCCCCCTTTATTCTTATTCTTGCATAAACTATTATTTTTTTTTTATTTTACAAAAGTTTTACAAACAACCGAGCCTTTTTGCAGAACCTTTTTTTTTTTTTTTTTTTTTTTCAAACCCAACGCAACGGCAGAGTGCCAACAAGTCATAGAGACTACTGTTTTCATCGCAACGGGTGTGTTTATCTTTTCGCATATCGCGACAACCATCTTATTTTCATCTCAACTGATCCATCCATCCAACCAACCAACCACCCATCTCATCACCTACACCTCCTCTTTTACTATTACTATTACTTTGTACTAATCAATCATTCAAAATTCTTCTTCTTCTTCTTCTTTCATCCAACAAACTAAATAGATATTTTTATATATAATAATAACAACAAACATTTGTTTGCGATTGTAGATTAGATATAGATATATAGATATATAGATATATATTAGATATATATTAGTTAGATTTTCTTTTTTTTTTTTCAATATCACCAAAAAAAAAAGATATCATGTACAACTACAAAAAGATTGTTGGCATGTTGGCCATGGTGATGATAATGGTCGTATCAATGGGAGGAAAGGTCAACAGTCAAGAGATTCAAGACCGTTTCTTTAATTACACCTATCACGATATTGCCACTGGGTCTGGCGATCTCATCCCATCGTTGATTACCTATGCCTACAATGCATCATACAGCAACCAACAAACATTGGTTGTCATCAACGAAAGAAACATATACTATCCAGCTATTGCAACTTTTGACACGGTTGCCAGTGGTCAACCCATCAACGTTGCCAGCTTTTTCAACTATGCAGATGTGCCACCCTACACTGACACTGTCACTGCAATGGTCCAAGTCGGCCAATACGTCTATGCTGCTGGTTACAACAGTATCTACAGACTCGACTTACTCGAAGGTGTCACCAACTCGACTCTCCCCAACACCATCATCGACGCAATCGGAGGTTTCTACTTTAACAACAAAGTCTACTTTGTTTGCACAAGCAACATCTTTTACTTTACTCATGATGCCAACGTTCCACTCTCAACTACCAATACTCCAACCTCTAGTTTTTCAATTGGTACTGATCAAGCTTCTTCATGGTAAATATAATAATCAAACCAAAAAATATTATTATTATTCATAATTAATTATTAATTGTTAAATAACTATTTTTTTAGGGTTGTTGATACAAGTGCAGGATATCTCTTTGTTGGTGGATCAGCTGGTCATATTGCTGTCATTAACTTGAATACCAATACTTTGGTCGGTGAATACTTGCCACCATCATCGGAAGCTGGTTACAGCAGACAATCGACTCTTATCGATACCAGAAAGAGAGAGATTTACTCTTGTTCAGGCTCGACCGACTTGGTCACCCAAATGGATGTCTTTACCTATGAAGCAACCATCACCGACATGACCGACTTTGTATTCAACTCTTCACATGCTTTCAATGATTTGAGTGCTTGTAATGGTGGTGCTTATGATAGTACTCAAGGACAAGTATGTACAACACAAACTAATAATAATTAATATTAATAACCTTTTTATTTTTAGATTTTCTTTATTGGACCATCATCAATCAACATTAGAGCTATTATTGGTATTGGACCAAGAGGACAAGAACAAGAAATCCATTATTTCTATGATGATACTCAATCTTTACGTGTCTACACTGCATGGGCCAACGCAGACACCAAGCAAGTGACCGTCGTCACCGACTCTCAATTGTATAGCATCAACTACAAGTCTGTTTGTCCAGATAACTGTAATGGTGTTGGTGCTTGTATCGATGGTGCCTGTATCTGTCCAGCCGATGGAACTTATAATGGAACTTATTGTGAAATTAGTATGTATCTTTTCAAAAAGAAACAAATGAGACAAAATATATTTACTATTATTATTTTATTTTTTAGAAACATGTATTGAATTAAATGATTGTAGTGGAAATGGTGAATGTTCAAATGGTATTTGTAATTGTGATCCAAATTATCTGGGAGCCGATGATTGTAGTGTAAAGTCTTGTTATTATGACTGTTCAGGTGCCGGTACTTGTAACAATCAAACCTATACTTGCACCTGCAATGAAGGAAAGACTGGAGACTATTGTCAAAACATTGCTCCACCACCAGTGTGTGAGACTATTACTAGCAGCCAAAACTGTGTTGATCACGTCTATTGTGGTTGGTGCGAGTCGTCGGGCAGCTGCAAGACTGGTAACCGTTATGGTCCAGCCGAAGGTTTCTGTCGTACTTGGTATTTCAACCAAAATGTAGAGATTGGTGTGATTGTGCTTGCCGCCATCTTTATCGGTTTGATCGGCTTGTTGTTTGTCAATGACATTGTGTCGACCGTGCCATTGGATATGGGTCGTGCCAAGGCCTACGAGGTCGAGTTCCGTACCGGTACCTATCCCAAGGCTACCCACGAGGAGGCATCTGTGTTGTGGTGGAGAGACCAACGTTCGTCCAAGGCCTGGACATTGATGGATCAGTTCCAATTCATCTCGCTCATTTCGCACATGGGTGTCATCTTCCCATCACGTTTCCTTCATTTCACAGAGTACCTTGATTGGACTAACCTCGGTATTCCATTCCCATCGTCGGTCAAGTTGCCCGAAGAGTCGTTCCCATCGCGTGACAACTACGATGCTACCAGTCGTTCAACACTCACCTATGCTCAATACAACAATGTACTCGAGTCTGGTTCCATGTATCATTTGGCCAACATCCTCTTTTGGTTTGGTATCTTGTGCGCTGCCATCCTCGTGCCATTGGCCATCGTGTTTGTCGTGCTCAAGTTTATCGAGTCCAAGGTGCACTGGCGTGAAGTCATCCGTAACCGTATCATCCATTGCACCATCCGTCTCTTGACGTTTGGATACATTGGTGTTGTCATGGCCGCTTCCTTCTCGGTCGCTGCCGACCCCCACTCGTACAAGATCATCATTCCAGGTGCCATCTTGATTGCTCTCTACGGTATCGGTATGCCCGTCGCCATTTGGTTCCTCTTGGCCGTCCCCGAAGCACGTCTCCACAACCCAACCTTTAAGCAACAATTTGGATGTCTCTACGTCAACTTTAAGCCAAAGACTGACCACCGTTTCGTCGTCTTCTCCTACATCAAACGTTTCTTTATGGCCCTCATCATCGGTGTCTTGGCCTTTACCCCCGAGCCTGTCTATCCACTCTCTGGCTCTGACCTTGCCGTACCTATTGTCCAAGCCGTCGTCATTGCCCTCGTCATCATTGGCTATGCCGTCCTGCTCATCATCCGTCGTCCATACTTTGACCACTACCACCAATGGCTCGAATATCTCTTGGCCATCATCAACTTGGCCACCGTCGGTCTCTGTCTCTCGCACATCAAGTCGCCATCTGTGGCCGGAGAGCTCCTGGTTGGCCTCGTCCAAGCCATCGCCTTGGTCGCCTGCATCTTTGCCTACATCATCTCATGGTTGCAAATGCGTTCTACTTTCCTTGCCAAGATTAGCAAGATCTTCTCCTTCTGTAAATGTGGTCGTAAAGATAAGAATATCGATATGAATAATATCGACAAATAATAATAATAATAACAAATAATAATAAACTTTTTAACAACAAATATATATATATATAGAGATTTTTATAAAATTAATAATTATTAGTAATTTAAAATATTTACTAAACGATAGCGCCTTTCCTCAATTTCCTTTTATTCTGTAAATAATGCTCTGTGAGCAAAGGTTGGTGTAAAGAATGTTACAAAATTGTATTGAGAGACGACCACAAGATAGTGGTTTGCTTTTGGCGTGGTGATTTCATCGTCTATGTTTCGTTTTGGGCTTTGTGGATTCCTATTTTTGAGTTGTTGAAAGTCTACAATCACCTTTGGATTGACCTTTTTGTTTGTAACTATTACATAAACGACGGCTGTATTAAAATCTCTAAAATTGGCAAAAAAGGTGTTTGCCATTTCAGCTATGCTTTCATCAACGTACTTGTCATCAGGGCCAAAAGAGTGATTGGCTGTCAAATGGATGATGTAGCTGGTTTCTCCAATATTTATCGCAAGTATGGACCATATTGGTAGTTGTAATATCTTTATCGTTGACAAGGATCCTTTGGTTGTCAATTGAAGGAAATTGGGATCTTTTTCAGGCTGGACCTAGAGCAAGAAAGAAAGAATGAGATTAGTTTAACTGGATATAGTATTCGAGATAGGGACAGATCTTAAAATTTCAATTTGGAAGATGTTGGACTCCAAGAGCACCTCTAAACAAATTTGTAAAGTTCAATTGCGCGGGATTAAGGTCTCTCTGAGATACCGCAACTGCTGATTGGAAATAAGGGTAAAGATTTTGAAAATCGCGCGACGTCCATTTGCGATCTTGTGATGGAAAGAATAAAAGAGCATCTGGTATATGACCGTTCAATTTAAGGAGATACGCCTGCAAGATGTAAAGGGATAAAGATATTACAATATCCACTATTATAGTAAGGATTTTCAACCAAATATATTAATGCCCTTCCTCTATTGATGTGGTTGCCAAATTCAAGTAAATGTATATCGGATCCGATAAAGTCTGGTGCAGTAGGTGAAGAGCATCCATTGAGACGGACTCTGGAATATTAGATGCTTCAAAACCAGCTCTAGTCTTTCCTATTCCAGATCCTCCTGCTATGAGTGCAAATGAATGAAATTGGGTTGTCGCATTCCCTTTGTGACGGTAATTGTTGTAAGACAAATCGGCGATTGTCCGATAATAACCATCTATTCCTCTAAAAGGGTACTCATAGCCAACAATTTCTTTTGCTTTATACTTTTGAGAGATCCCAATGTTATCTCTAGTGTGTTTTAAAAAGAAAGAAAGTCATTAATTAGCAAATGAAATAAATAATGACACATGATATCATACGGTGATTGTTATTGTTATTATTGATGTTGTTCGTATCTCTTGAGAGTATTGATTGAATGTAGGCAAGTGGATTGTTCATATTATTGATTTTCAATACATCCTCGTTTGTTAGATAATGGATGGCTTTATCTTTATCATCACTGTCGAGGGTAGTAGACCCGTTAATGATATTGATTGCTGCTTGCATAGTATTGGATTATATAATTCATGTGTAATATACTAACTCGAGTAGTACATGACAGGTATATATATCTAATCGAAAAATACATTTAGAAAAAGAGTAAATTAAATTCAATTATTTAAATTTAGTAATTGATCAATTAGAATCCTTTTGTGTAAACAACTCTAGGTCCTTGTTTTTTCATACTCTTTGATAGAAATATATTTATCAGCATAAATATATATATATAGAAGAAAAAGAGAGAATGGTCGAATATCAATATTTAATATTATTATTATTTGGTTAGGTCCAGTCTATTATAATAGAATCGAATCTATTATTTATTTAAAAACACTTTCTATGTACTATACTTGGCCCATGGTCATCGTATTCTTCTTTGGATATCCACATTTGTTGGAACCTGGAAAATATAATATTAATAAAAAATAATAATTATTTTGGTTAGTGGTTTTGGGGAAACTGTGATGATTTGATGACACATACGCATTCAATGAAGCAACGATTGAACCACCAATGAAAACAGAGTATTTTCTTTCGGGCATGGCAACAACTCTGACTTTGGTTGTAGATGGAGCAAGTGCAATCATTTCCTGTGTCAATCGTTCTGGTAGTCCCGGGAACATAGTCGTGCCACCACTAAGCACTATACTCCCATACAAATCACGTCTGATATCGACATCACATTTCATGATTGAATTGTAGGCAGTTTCGTGAATACCAGATGACTCGAGACCGAGAAACGATGGTTGGAAGAGTGCTTCTGGACAACGGAATCGTTCATTGCCAATTGTGATGAGTTGGCCATCTGGCAATTCATAAAACCGTTCCAATGTGGCAGAGCATTGGGAAAGGATCAGTTCCTGTTCAAAGTCTAGTGCTACATATGCCAACTTTTCCTTAATGTCACGAACAATCTCTCGCTCGGCGGTTGTGGTGAATGCGTATCCACGCTCGGTCAATATCTTGACGAGATAATCGGTAAGGTCACGACCAGCTAAATCAAGACGGTGTATTGCGTGTGGTAGGGCGTATCCTTGGTAAACGGGGACAGTATGAGTAACACCATCACCAGAATCCAATACTATTCCTGTTGAGCGCCCACTTGAATAGAGACTGAGTACTGCTTGTACTGCCACGTACATTGCAGGTACATTGAATGTTTCAAACATGATTTGTGTCATCTTTTCACGATTTACCTTTGGATTGAGTGGTGCCTCTGTCAATAAAACAGGGTGCTCCTCTGGTGCAACTCGAAGTTCATTATAAAATGTATGATGCCATATCTTTTCCATATCATCCCAATTGGTAACAATACCATGTTCAATTGGATATTTAAGTGTTAACATTCTAAAAAGAATTAAATTAATATTATTTAAACTATTTTTAAAATTGATATGATAATTAAATATTTACCCTCTTTGTGATTGTGCTTCATCACCTACATATGTATCTTTTTGACCCATTCCTACCATAACACCAGCATATCTTTTTTGGGATGTAAAATTAAAATATAATATTAGAATTGATTGGTTGGTACTTTCTCTCTAATATATAAATTAATAAATACCTTGGACGTCCAACTATTGATGGAAATACAGCTCGAGGGGCATCATCCCCACCAAAACCAGCTTTCACCATTCCAGAACCATTGTCAATTACTATTGCTGTTGGTTTATCGTCTTCGTACATTTTTTTAGGGTTATTTATATATTTATATATATTTGTTTTAATTGATTGTAATTATTATTGTTGATGTTTTAATTTGATGATATTATTAAGTTGGCCAATGCAGTGATGCATTTATAGGTTGTTGACTACTTTACAATGATATTAGCCTTGAGTGAATCGACACTAAAAAACCCATTCTATTCCCATCGATCGACCAAAGTGGGTCGGGTGAATTAGTTGAAGTAAAGAGTAAAAAATTGATCTACTACTATCATTTCTTGACCAATTCTTTGATTTGAACAAGAATGAATTATCATGCTAAACATATCTTTAATACATAATATATATATATATATGTTGACACGTCATATGAATCATCTTTATAGCTATGAATAGACGTACTGATTGATTGATTGATTGGTTGTTGAGTAATGTGAGTGTATGTGAAGAGCTCTTTATGAACTTTCTAATCTGTTCTGTTGATCATCTTAAAAGAAGAAAAACTTTGATATATAATCATCTTCATCTTTTTAACACATAACTAAAAAGTAGAAGAGGAAATAGATAAAGGAGAGGTCTTAGAAATGGTTCACCCACCCCATTTCTTTTATTTTATTTTATTAATTTTTTTTATTAATTTAATCAGGACCCTTGGACAAACAAGGAAAGGAAAAGGAGAGCTAGAAAGAAGAAAAGGTTTTATGATTTGAATAACTATGGTTCTTTTTTGAATACCCATAGATATTCAAATCATAAAACCTTTTTTTCTACCCTTGTTGAGTTCTCACTTCTTTTTATGAACTACCCAAAATCCTTTTGGAGTAACGGATCTGTTGTGTTTGACTTGTTCTATTTCGTTGGGACAGATTTTCAAATATCCAAAGGTTTCTCCATTCCCATATGTTATAAATTGAAGAGCACTACAGAGAACTTGGTGAGAAGTAGATACAGTTGGGTGTGCTTCTCGAGCTTACTACTATAGTGGTAAGTAATTGTTGAGTCCCTACTTGATTTATTAAATTTATTTTTAACATACGTTGAACGATGGATGTTGTTCAATGAATGTATCACTATTTCTTCATTCACAAACATTCTTTTGATTTAATTGAAGAACATCTTTTGATGTGAATATTATTTCTCTCTCTATCTTTTCTGGCCTTGGGAGAACTATTTTAATAGTTTCTATTGCTTTATTCATGATTATTTGATTGTTGTAATATATTTATTTATCTCTCTCTATCTATCTATCTCTTTCACAACATAGCAAGCAGAAGAGAGATGAGTGGGTGAAAAAAGGTGTGATGGTTGAGTGTGGTGGAAAATTGGATAAAATTGGCTACCTAAAATTTCTATTATTAATTTTATTAAATTTAATTTTATTATTATTGTCAACCAAAAAAAGAAAGACAGATAGACAATAAAGAAGAAAGAAAGAAAGACAGATAGGAAAGAAAGAAAGAAAGAATAAATATTATATTTAATTATTATTTTTGATTTTCAATTAGATTATGAAAAATGAGCAGCAATTATAATAGAAATAGAAATCAGTTGCATCAAAATAGAATACAAACAATCAATCAATTGAATAGTATTCGAAACAGCAGAGAGGATAGTCCGCCAACTCCATCACCGTCCTATTCATCTTCAAGACCAACGGCACCGTCTCAGTCCACTTCCTTGTCGTCATCGTCGTCGACCAATATTAGATCAAGTGGAGGGTTGAGTGGCGGTGTACATGCTTTGGGAGGATCATCAGGTAGTCTCCCACCACTTCCAACATCGACCAATACATCATCACCAAGAATCTCGGCGGGTGGTAGAACATCACGAGAGAATGTAGAAGAGTATGATGTGGGCGACGTTCATGTGCGAACCACTAGGAGATCGACACCCAATGGGTACACGCAGTCTGTTGAAAGAACGTCAAATGATGGAAACACACAGTCTTCCTACACGACTCAAGTGACTAGTTTCAGCAGCAGCAGCACCACTTCGCAAAGTCCAGCCGGTGGAAGAGGTGGTGGTACTCCTCGTATGAGCAACAGTCCGTCGACCCGAGTAGCCGGGTTGAGCCCGAGCACTCACTATCGTCCACAATTCCAAGTGTCACAATCAACCAATTTGAATCGACCCGGATCGTTTATGGACTCTAATTTTAGAAACTACTACGATCATCCTGCTCTCAATCCATACTACCGATCACCGATTGGTGAGCTGTCTAGTATCAACGGACAGAGAAGAACATACACTGAAGACATACCAGACGGAAATATGGAGCAAGAAGAGGACGATGAAGAAGAGGACGAGTTTGAGGATATGGACGACACGGTCGACCAATCACTCAATGCCGCCAGAAATAGACAACAAGCACAGATCATCCCGAGTTATATGAATTTTGGTATTGATGATGACGGTATGAATGAAGACGAACAACTTCGAGAAGCTATTAGAAGATCTCAAGAACAATCGTTACCCCAACAACCAGCACCACCAAAGAAAATGAATAATAATAGTTCATTTGATATGGACCAAGAAGATTTGGAACTGCAAAGAGCACTCACTGAATCAATGAGAGAGTTTCAAGAGAAAACATCCACCTCTTCCACAACACCTCTTTCCTCTTCATCATCATCAGTTCCTAAAAAGAAGGTTAATGTTAGACAAGACCTTAATGAATATTATAGTGGAACTTCTAGACAACATCAACATCAAAAACAACAACAACAACAACAACAACAAAATAACATCAATAATAATAATGGAAATGATGAATCTGAAAATGAACATACATTGGAAGCAATGTATAATGATCCAGAACTCAGACATCTTCTTAGTCCTGCTGAACAACAACGCTTGGCAAGAAAACGTTTGATTGATGATGCTCGAAAGATTAGAGAATCACAAGAAAGTGAATTCAACGAATCACTTCGTAGAGACACTGAAAAGCGTGAAGAAGAGGAAAAGAAAAGGGTAGAGGAAGAAAAGAAAAAGGCAGAACAAGAAGAAAAGAAACTTCTTCAAGATGCACTCAAACTATCGATCCATCTGGAAAAACAAAGTAGAATAGAGGAAATTAAAAAACGATTGACCGTTGACCCATCCACTATGCCTGCTGAAGAGATTAAAGGAAGAGAAAAAGAGATTTGTGAAATTAGTGTCAATTTACCACCAGATGGAAAACGTATTACCCGTAAATTCTTTACTTCCAATACACTCCAAAATATTAGAGATTGGATTGATATCTATCTTGATGAAACATTTAATATTGTTTCAGAAGATATTCATCAAAAAAAAGATGAAGAAAAACAAGATGAAGAAATGAAACAAGTAGAGGAAAAAGAAAAAGTGGAAGTGGAAGAAGGAGAAGATAAAAGAGAGAAAAGATATATTTCAAGAGATTATCAATTGTTGACAACCTATCCAAAACAAGTTTTATCAGATAATCAAAAATCATTACTTGATTTACAATTGTATCCAAGATGTCTATTACAATTAAATAATCCATAGAAGAATCAAATCAAAAAAAAAAAAAACCAGCCATCACCAAATCCAAATCCAAATCAAATTGTAGAAAGATAGATAGATATTATAATAATAATAATAGTTGATTGAAAATTAATTAATTATTAATTTGTTATTCTTTTTTTTTAAATGTTATTAATTGTTTTTAAATGTAAATATAAATAAATAATTTAATTTTATGTGAGACCGTATATACTAGTAGGTTGCAGATTGTGTTAGTGTACCTTGTCTTTTATTTTCTATTTTCTTTCATTCTTTTCAAAGACAAGGTTTAAATGTTATTATGAATTGGTTGTTTTTTATTTTAAATGTAAATAAATTTAATTATTTTACCCTCCAAAATTGATATATAATATTAGATCGTTTGTGCAATGATAAATTGATTGATTGATTGGTGTTGTGATTTGTTTTGTTTTGGATCCCAAAAAAATGTCTTTTTTTTTTTTTTTTTTTTTTGGTGATTCTCTTTCTTTTCTTATCCAATTTTTCTTGAACCTTTACTAACTTTGGTTGATTGATTGGATTGACAAATCTTACAAAATCCAAAATCGAGATCGATGGTACTACTAAGTTGCATGGATTTTGATTGGGGTGAAATGGGAGATGATACAGATGGTTGTTGTTCAGAGGGTTTGAGACATCGACTATGATAGGAATGATTACAGAAATAGAGGACTATGGAAGAGTCGGGTTTGGTGGTGATGATGGATTGACTGCAAGTGACACACTTGGCCTCTTCTTCGAGACTGTGGCCACTCTTGAGTGCCTCTAAAAGGGTCTCTGACAAAAAGACGCAATCGCTCTTGAGGATTTCTTTGCACCCCTCTCTGAGCGACATTTGCAAGTTATAGTCTGATAGAATTTTAACAAGACGACTACGGAGATTGAGAATCTCCATGCCATCGGGGATGAGACGGATCAGCTTGATGGGGTCGACATGCGAGCCAATGTTTTCGAGCAACTCGCTGACATATTGTGGGTTGTTGATAGACTTGTCGATAAAGTAGTCCCAGAGATCATTGTCCTTTTGTTGCTCGACAAAGTCGATTGCTTCTTTGATGTTTTTGAGCTTGTCGAGGATGAGATTGAGTGCATCCTTGGCACTACCCATACGCGACAAAATATAGACCATCTCTTCGTATCTCTGTTTCTCCTTGCACACTTGCAATGCCTTGTCGAGACTGTAATGGATACTGTTACGGAGGAATGGGAGTAATAGTTCAGGATTGTATTGTGCATAGAGTGACACTTGAAGTTCATGGAATTCCATACCGATACGTGCATCCTTGATAAACAGTGTGTGTAGGTAGTGGTGGATATACTCTGACTTGTTGCCGAGCTGGCCGACAACCACCTTGATGGGGATCTTGTCAGTGTGCGCTACGAGCAGCTTGATCGCTTCCTCCTTGTTGTAGTCGATTAGCAGCGACACCTTGTTGTGGATACTGTTGAACAACTTTTCATGTTGTGCAATCAATTCAAACACATTACCCTTTTTGAGCTTGAGGTAAATGTCCATTGTCTTTTCGAGTTGGTTGTCATAGGTGTACAGCTGTGCCAAGGCAATCATGATCGTGTCGTTCTTGGTCGTCACGAGCAGATCTTCAACTGTCGTGATAATCGTCTGGATGCTGTACAATGTGGGTGGCCACTCGTTGACGATTCTCAAGAATGCCTCTGGATCATTCTGGAGGAAATTGTTGAGAAACATCTCGTAGATGGCTTGACTGAGTTGTGGGTTGGCTATGGGCACGTACGGACACAGTGGTTGCAATCCGCCGAGTCCAAAGAACTTGTATATGTATCGCTCCCACAAATCAGCCTCTCGTGCACATATCTTGGGACACATGGCTGCTGCTTTGCGGATATCACCTCGCGCAATCAATGTCTCCATGTATCGTTCACCAATCTCGCGAATACGGGTAGGTGGCAACGATTTGATTGTACGCTGGTCTTTTTCCACCTCGTCAATTGCTTCTTCGTATCGGTTACGTGACATGAGCCATTTGAGATGGTCTTCTAGGGTGGACGGCTTGGCTGCAACGACGTCCTTGGGACACACCACGTAAAAGATCGACTCGGCGGTATTATAGTCGAGACGGTAGTCGGTAGCTTTGTAGTGTTGGTATCCATTGACGTGCAAGTGGTCTGTAGTGATGGTCGTGTTGGTCTTGCGCGACACGATATAGATAGAGGGTGGCTTTGCCTGTTCGACACGACCCTGGTTCCACACGCCTGTAGTAGCGTCACGTGCACCAGCTGCTCCCGTGCCATTACTCGCTCCGCCGCCAGCTGCTCCCGTCGCACCTGCAGTGGTACCCGACATCTTGGGAGTCGCAGCCATCGAGTGTGCGTCTGTGCTTCCCTCTACTGCACCCTCGTTGTATCCTAGAATGACGAGGTCGTCGCCAAACGGCGCAATGCCACTTATCCAGTACTTGGTCGAAAACTGGTTGGTAATCTGCGCCATCTTGGCAATCCCGCCCGTTGTGCCGTCGATACGATCGACAATCTGCACAATATCGACAGACTTTGCCCAACCAATGATCAACGTGTCAGCCTTTTCCCAACACAAACAGCATCTGTATAATTCTCCACGCGGACTGCCCTCCTTGCGCGGAATATGTGCGATACGCGTATTGGTCGTGCAGTCGTAGATCTTGACGCCATTCTCGTTGGCCCACGCGATAAACTTGCCACACCACTTGACGGCGTAGATCGGACCCTCTGATTGGTATATTACAGTCTCTTTGGATCTCAACCAGCCCTTGGAGTGCAGCACCAGCTGGCCACTCTTCCCACCCATCACAAACTGTCTCGAGTTCTTGTGTGAAAACTCTGGGTCCAATGCAATCGCAGTAATCGGTCTACCATATGAAAATGATAATGTATCTCCAGACTTTGCATCAAATGATGGATGTATTATTACTTTTCCTAAAAAAGATAGGATAGATTAGGTTAATATTCTTTCTTCTTTTTGTCTCTTTTGTTTTGAATGGTAACTTACCATCTTCTGAACAAGAAGCTATATAATCACCAGTAATATCGACAACGATTTCAGTGACGGTTGCAGTATGAGCTTCATACTTTTGAATGAGGTTACCAAGATGATCGTGAACGGTGATCAAACCCCAATGTGTACCAAGTACCAAAAACTTGGGATGTACAGCCATACAACTTGCTGCATCCTTTTCCAGAATGCTTTTGATTGTAAGAACACCACTATCACTATCGATTGACAGTCTTGAATAGTTTAAGATTGGTTCAATCTCTCCACCTTGTTCAAATTCTATATCTTCCTCTTCCTCTTCCTCTTCATCGTCCTCTTCTTCTTCTTCTATTTCTTCAATCTCTTCTACTTCTTCCTCTACTTCTTCTTCCACCTCTATTTCTTCTTCGACAATTTCTACTTCTTCACCATCGATTTCCTCTACTTCCACCTCTTCTTCAACCTCTTCATATTCTACTTCATATTCTATCTCTTCATATTCATCATCGTCATCATCCACGACCATATGATTATGATTAATATTTGACATTCTTCTTTATCTATCTAACTGTTATACAAAAAAAAAAAAAGGAAAGGAGAGTTGTTGTTGTAGTTGAATTGTGTGTATTTCTCCTTCTTCCTTTCTCTCTCTCTCTAAAGTGTATCTTGAAGTGTCGAAAAAGATACTAACTTTACTAGTTGTATGTACTACTATATAGAAAGATAGATAGATAATAAGAATGTAATAAAGGATAATTTGATGATGATGTCGATTTGGACTTGTTTTGTGAAAAAAAAATCTTCTTTAGAAAAGTTCAAAAAACAAGCTTTGCTTTGTAAAGTTTTTTCCTTTCAAAGTCTGGATGGTTGGATCAATCAATCAATCAATTCTTTTTTTTAAATTAAAAAGTATTACTCTTTAGAGTTTATAGAATAATATATTATATCTCTTTATAGTAGATATTATTATTTATTTGGTTGTTATTAACAAAAAATCCAAATTAATGTTAATTTTGGGGTGTTTGGTTGGTATATATATGGTTGGTTGGTTGGTATAATATAATATAATTGGCTATTTAAATATGGAGAGAGAGCTGGTTTACATTTTTTTTTCTTAATTATAATTTCTTCTTCTTCTTTGGAGTACTTTTTTTTTTTGTTGTTTTCTTATCATGATAAATATAGTTTGGTATGTTTTTTTCTTTTTTCTTTTGGTTTAGAAGGGAAAAGTAATAAGGATGGAGAAATGAAGAAGGGCACGACGACATGTTGGTTCTTCTTTTTGTTTTTTTTTTCAAAGTGTTTTCCATGTTTTTTTTTGTTGTTGTTGTTAGAATATATTATTATTATTATTATTATTACTATTTATATAACTATTTAAATATATAAACATTACATTATATTTCCATTTTTCCATCGTCATATATATATAGATTTAAATAAATTTGTCAGAAATATAATTACGATTTGCTTGACGTGGGTCTATAGGTGGTTGCATTGATTCAGTGTAAATCCAATGTAAAGAAACTTGACGTTGTTGTACGTCTGCACTCGAGAGACCTCGAGAAATCCATCCATCTCCACACAGTAGTGCACGATATTTGTTTTGTCCCCTAATATCAACAGGTTCTCTCTGTAAAAAGGTATATTTTCTATTGTTTTGTGTGTTGCTATTGTGAACATCCTCTAAAAACTTCATATCCTCTGCAAAGCTTTGGTTGATGGCCACTGGGTTGGGAGAAGATGGCATTGGTGGCGATGAATTCATCGAATACGGTGATTGAATTGGTTCGGCACTATTTCTATTGCTGTTGCTATTACTGCTACCGTGGTTATTATTGTTATTGTCCATTAAATGATCATAGGTTGGTGATAAAAGTTGTTTACTGTTGGAACTACTATTACTACTGTGACTTCCAACACTACTACCTCCTCCGCTTCCTCCTCCTCCACCTTGGTCACTATCATTATTACTGCTACTATTACTAGTACCAGTACCACCATTATTACTATTACCATTGTTATTATTGTTATTATTGTTGTTGGTACTAGTAGAGTTATTGTTACTTTCCTTTTGTGATTGTTGTTGTGATGGTTTTTGTTGTTGTTGTTGTTGTTCATTTTGTTTGGTCGCAGTTGATATTGAACGTGAGATTGTTGTTGTTGTAGTAGTAGTTGTATTGATAGGACGGTTGGGAACCATGTCGCTTTTGGTGAGCATTTGTTGTTGTTGTTGTTGTTGTTGTTGTTGTTTGTGGGGGTGGGAGGATTGCTGATAGGTTGTGGTCAAAGTCAACATACTTGGTGAATCAGAGGGAGAGATATTTTCAGGGGTACTATTATCACTTGTTGGAGTGGCACGTCGACCACTGGTGCTATGATGATTATTATGATGATGATTGAGATCAGTTGGTAAAACTACAATTGGTGTCGATGATGAATTGACACTGATTCTGTTGTTATTATGGTTGTTAGAAGATACAGGATTGATACTGTTGGATGACGACGACAAACTATTACCACCACTTCCACTACCATTACTATGATTATTGTAATTGGATCTTGACGATTTGTTGGTGTTGTTGTTTGAATGTTGTCGTTTAGTATCACGAGAAGGGGGAGGTGATCGGGACCGTGATCTAGATCTAAAACTTCGACTAGAAGAGTATCCGTTGTTGTTTCGACCCCTGGGAGTTGGACTAGGACTGAGACTGTCGTTTCTATACCTTCTTCTTCTTGGACTCATACTAATGTCCCGGCTTCGACTACGACTTCTGCTACGACTGTACCGTTTCTCTTTACGCTTGTAGTCGCGACTAGACGATGACGACGACATGCTCTTTCCATTTCCATTTCCACTACCGCTGCTACGCCCTCCACGGTCGTATCGCCCGCGACTTCTGCTTCGTGATCGGCTTGGACTCCAGCTTCGACTGCTGCTTGGCGATCGCGACCTGCTTCTGCTCTGGCTACTGTCGCGCCTCGATCTCGACCGTTTTTTATATAAATAGTTGTTGTTGTTGGATGATGATGACGATCGATCATGTGAATCTCTCACCTGATTGATTTCACCAGACTCTACCAAAGATGGCATTCTACTACCGCTACACATTAACAATTAGAAAAATAAATAAATAAATAAATAAATGTTTAGTATTAATCAACAATAATATTAAAGGTGATGATGTTGTTGTTGTTGATGATGTCATCTCCGTGCACGCATAAACCAAAATGAAGGGTTTCACCATCAACCAACATTAGTGGGTAAATGTGGGGGTCACAAGATATTTTTTGTTTTTTGTGGTCAATGATGCAATTGTCCAAAACAAAAGGGTTGGTTCATGATGGGGGATGGAAGATAGATAAACAATAGAGAAATGGAATGATCTTACTTGGTGTTTGACTTCTTGGGATAGTGGTGGTGGTGGTGGTGGTTTTGATAATCAAAGATACCAGTTTCGCTTCCGCCATTCAAGGTCGAGGCCGAACCTCCTCCGTTGTTATTATGGTTGTTGTTGTTGTACGAGGATGCTTTGTGATTGTGATGATTATTATTATTATTATGGTGTTGTTGGTGGTTATTATTATTATTATTTGAGGATGCTAGTAGCATTATGTTATGTGTTTTGATTCAATTAGATTGCCTGTACAAAAAAAAGTAAAGTTGTTGATGATATAAAAAGGGGAGGGTGGGAGTTGGTTGGTTGGTTAACTTGTTTCTTTTACCCAACAAGTTTGTCTATAAATATGTATATGTATATGTTTTTGATATTATTATTATTATTATAATACTGTTTTTTTTTTGTTTCTTTTTTTTTCTTTCTTGATGGTTATATATATATATGTGCTACTAAAAATGTTGTCTATGTGTGTATTTGTATGTGTATGTAGTTGTAATAGTAGTAGTGTCAACTACTAGTAATGCCAACAACAACAATACTATTGAATGAATTGATATCGTGATTAGTTAACTGTACACATGATTGCCAATGAAAGAGAGAGGAGAGGAGAGGATAGGGAGAAGATTAGAGATCGATCAAATCCCAATGTGTCACCTGATCAGGTGATTGCCGCGACTGATCCTGGCCAACCAGCCCGGCCAACCAGTCAGTCAGTTGAACAAACATGAATGATGATTGGGTATTGAATGCCGCATCGTTTAGTGTTTATCCAACTGACAATGACGATGATATTGATGGTTGACTGACCGCGCTCGATCAATCGATCTCATTGTGTGAATGATGATGATGTATCTTTTGAAACAACTTACAATCTTCATCAAGTATTTATGTCAATTATCTTTTACTCTAAAAGATAGGAGGTCGTAGGTTGTTGTTGTTGTTGTTGTAGATGTGTGATGATGGTGTTGATGATGAAGGATGTGTGTAGTAGTAATATGACTATGATGTCTCAATCCTGGTACTGAATGCGCTGTTACTGCTGACTGATTTACTATCTATCTATCTATCTATCTCTAATGGAATATGAATGTCTATCTCTATCTGTATGTAAGTATGAATGAATGAATAAATAATGTAATTAATGAATGAATGTTTTTGTTTGTTTGTTTGTATGTTGTGTGCGATGATATGATCGATTCAATAAACTGGTTTGTTGGTTTGGTTTGGTTTGGTTGGTTGAATTGTCGAAAGAGAGAAGGGAAGAAAAGAAGAAGTTGATGATTTTAATTTAAAAAATTTAATCCAATTTTCGCCAAGAACAGAACCGTAGAGTTGAGTTGATTGATCTCTCTCTCTTCTCTTTCAAGCTTGCTTGGTCTGACCCTTCTTTTCTTTTCTTTTCTTTTATGTTCTTTTTTTTATTTATTTTTTTGATTCCTTTCCTTTTCTTTCTTTGCTTTGCTTACCTACAGCACAGTAGCACTCTCTTTGTAAAGTAGTAGGAGGTGTTGATGTCAGCGATTAAAATATATATATATATATATATAGGTATAAATATATATATGTACTGCGATCAAAACAACACTTCTCCTTTTACTCCTCCTCCTCTGTTGCTGCTTTTACGTTACGCTTCTGCTAAATGCTACAGTATAGTAGTACAAACAACCAACAACACTAATATTAACCAGCTAGCTAGCTAGAAAGCAGCAAACAACAATAAGTAGAGCAACAGACGAGACAAGAGAGCAAAGCAACAACCAACTCACTACAGTACTACTACTACCATACTAGACTAGCCAACACAAGATAAATATTTTATTTTTTAAACACTACCTACTATCGTGAGTGACCGATTGACACATACCCTCTCTCGCTCTTCCCACTTTTACCTCACATAGAGAGAGAATGAATGAAAAAGGATGGAATGGAGACAGACGCAAAGCGTGCTGCTGGCTGGTGGTGAGGGGTGGGATAATAATAATAATAATTCACACCCCACATTTGTTCAACAACAGTACTACTCTAACTCCAAAATATCAAATTCTTGTATCTGAGAAGAGAGATTTATACAACATGTTGTTGAAAGTGAGAGACAAACAAGAAATTTAGACAATTATAATATGATCTAGTTGAGTTGGGAAAATGGTAAATATTATTAATTTAATGATTGTTTTACAGACTAAGAGGATGATGATAATTGATCGATAATCCAATTGGAGACACGTTCAGCAACAGTGGTACTATGTGATAATACAAAAGCATGTGGTACACCTTCTGCAGCCAGCTCGATACTTCCATTTGGATAGGATGCCTTTAACTCTTGGAAAAAGTTGAGTGGTGTATAGGGATCGGTGCGACCATAGATGAATAAGAGATCGTCCATACGATTGTCAAACACTTGTTTGCATTCGTCGTCGACCTTGGTGATATCGAGTGTTTCGTGGTATGCCATATAGAGGATATTCAACGCCGACCAATAATTGATCTTGTGTTGGACTGCCACTCTCATGTCGTCGGTTGGTAGTACCTGTCCTAAAATAGTATCCTTTACAAAATTGGGAACATAGTGCAAGAAGCTTGCAACAGGTGCTCTCATCCAATTCTGAACGGCAAGTTTGATAAATGGTGATAATCCATCATATAAATTTCTAAATGTTGGAAACAAATTAATTTGTTTTATAATTGTAAATTGATCTTTAAATCTATTTAATACCTAAATACAAGTTTATAAACAAAAAGAAAGTTAATAAGATAAACTAAGGATCAATTATATATATATATAATCTTTACTTTAAGTGAAATGTATGAACCAACAGAATGACCAATTAAGATAAACTTGACAGTATTCTTTTGTGATGCATATTTAGTATTGACAAGATACTCTAATACAATTCGTTTATGTTCTATTTGGTCTTCACATGTAAATTGTTCATTTAATTTACCACAATGTCCAATATGTGAAACACCAACAATATCATATTTTTGATCCAATTTAAAGTATAGTTGTTTGATAAATTCAACATAGAATCCAACGATACCAGGATTACCCGATACAACAACAATCTTTACATCATTGTTTGTATTATTAGAGTTTGTATATAATATATCAGTTTCAAAATGACCTTTAATATCTCTATGTAATTGAATGGTCTCTTCTATAACTATATTATTATTATTGTTTGAAGATGGTGTTGCTGTTACTTCTGTTTCTGTTGGTGGAATCATCCTTCTTCTCCTTCTCCTTCTTTGTATGATTGAGATTCTAGATTAAATCACTTTAAAAGGCTATGATGCCCAGTCGTAGGGCGAAACACTGTGTTCTCAACCGACAGGGAAGGCAAGCCAATCGATTTTTTAAAATTTAAATAAAATAACTTTTTATAAAAGCAACAACAATCTAAAAACAATGGGTAATTGCTAAACTTTTATATTATAGTTATAAAAAGCTATAATAAATAAATATATAATGGGTATTAAATGACTATTGCGATGTTTAAATGGTGTGATTATCGAATCTGTAAAATCGAGGCAGATCATTGGCCCATGCTGGTATTCAATGAATGTCCACTAGAATGAGGTGATCACCACCTCGAGACAGGGCATCTCTTCTTCTTTGTCTTTAGTTCTGAATGGGTGTGCATAGAACAAAAAATAAACCCAAAATCTGAGTGTAAATCAAGTTTAGGAAAAAATCAGATGAAATGTGGGGGCAGAGACGCGATGGGTCGTGAGACTTTCCACAACACTATGCCATGAGGATCCAACAAAAGTTTAAAAAAATAAACCGCCAAAAAAAACGTTCGCTTTGAAACAAGATTTTTTTTTACAAGTCGCCCTCATTGTTAACGACCTGACCGTTGAGAATTGTAGCTTTGGCTTGCCTCCACACACTCGCGGTCGCATCACTCACTATCATTATTCATTCAGCTAAAACTCAAAACTCAAGTTTATTTATAATATTGTCTATTATTATTATTAGTATTATCTCTACTTTAATCTCCATCACCCACCACATTATATAAATAGTTTTCATCAAAACTTGTCTTTTATAATTAATAATTAACAATGGAACCAACTGAATCTGCTGCCCCAGCCACCATCTCCCACTCTGCCTCCTCAATGGCTTTGACCACTGAATCTCGTCAAGAGCAATTCAGAAAGCGTCTCGAATCCGAGCACTGCCTCTTGTGTAACGCCAAGGCTCCAGGTGTTTTGAGTTTCCAACATTACATCTCTGTAAGTATATAAATATAAATATAAATATATCGAGTCTATAAATACTCGTCGCTCGGGGTGATCAAAAAAATGATGGTTCTAATCAAAAAATATTTTACATTATTTTAACTATTATATTTATAGTGCACCAAGATCTTTTTGAAGGAATTACAAGACTCTTTTGTTCCATCTTCAATCCTCTCATACTGTTTGGATGAATCATTGTTGGAAAACATCTACTCTTCCCCACAACAACTCCAACAACTCCAAACTTTGATTGCCCACCTCCAACACCTCCAAGCCTCCATCATTGCCAAGTCCCAACCAGCCCCAGCCAAGGAATCCGCCCCAGCTGCTGCTGCCCCAGCCAAGGGAAAGAAGAAGTAAATCATTTGACCAACCAACCGACTTACCTCACCTTTCACATCCTACATTCATGCGCGCTCACCTTAATTTAAAAACAATAATTTATATAACATAACTAACTAATAATAATAAAACAATTTGTACAAGTTAACATTTTTTTTCTTTTAAAAAATATATTTATAAGTTTATTTTTGAATATGCTCTATTGTCCTTTCTTTAAACATACATAACTCAAACAAGACTATATCCCCTATTTCAAGTTGATTTGATAAATAGCTAGATTGAGAAGAGCAAACCTATCCCCATATATTGCAATTCCGCCTATAAAAATAATATGTTTTAAAAAGTTCGAATCGATTAAATTGGTGAGTACTCGTTTCCGATGTCTTATCTAATTTCTAGTATTTCATTCAAATTTCTCACTTTACTTGTTTATTGTGTGATGATATGATATCATTAGGTCGCGTTGTTCACATCATCAATAATAATAATACTATCGCAACAAAGAAGATTAGCCAAAACTTAACTGTACTGTTAAATAGACAACAACAGCAACAACAACAACACATTTACAACTATAATAGTAATAATAATAATAGTCAGAGTTATCGATATATAACTCGTTCTTCATTCACAGTACCTACAACTACTACAAATACTGCTAGCAGTTACACAACATCAACAAGAAGATTCCTCTTTACCGATAATACAAACAAGAAAAAGAAGATGGAACCTGAAACATCGATAACGTCATTCGAATCGAGAGCAAAGATTGATACTTTGACCGACGATAATATGAGAGATGCTGCAGACAAGATTCGTCGTGGTGGATTAGTTGCATTCCCAACCGAGACAGTCTATGGATTAGGCGCCAATGCGTTGGATGAGAAGGCTGTGCTGTCGATTTTCGAGGCCAAGGGCAGACCTTTGACCGACCCGGTTATTGTGCACGTTATCTGCAAGGATGAGGCTGCCAAGCTACTCGAATTGACCGACGCACAAAAGAGACTCTTTACAACACTCACCGATGCATTTTGGCCTGGTCCGCTGACTATTGTCGGACGTGCCTCAGCACTCATCCCACCTATCGTCACTGCACAGACTGGATATGTTGGTGTACGTTATCCAAAGCATCCAGTTGCACAACGTCTCATTAAAGAGTCGCAGTGTCCCATTGCAGCACCGTCGGCCAATCGTTTCGGACATGTCAGTCCCACCCTCCCCATACACGTGTTTGACGATCTCGGACACTCACCCATTACAATTCTCGAGCCTGGACAAGACGCACCATGTGCCTTTGGTATCGAATCAACCGTCCTCAAAATTGTCGATGATCATACCCTATGCATCTTGAGAAAGGGTGGTGTCTGCGAAAAAGACATTAAACAACTCTTCCAACACCAAACCATCTCCATTACAGCAGTCAACAAACAAGTTTCAAACAAAACAACTGAAGGTCAAGAAGCACCAGGTCAACTCCTAACTCACTATGCTCCAGATATTCAAGCTTATATTTTACTAGATATCATCATAAACACAGAAAATGGAAATGGAACAACCAACAACAACAATCAAGAAGAAAATAATAGTTTTAATTTATCAGAATGTGTATTTATCGATTTTGGTGATTATTTAAATAAGAGTCGAAGTAGTAGTCAAAGTCATAGTAGCAGTAGTAGTAGTCAAAGTAATAATAGTAACAATAATAATAATAATATAGAGAATGAATTTTTGGCATTCAAAGATTTATCAAAGACAGGAAATGTATTAGAGGCAGCCAATGTCTTATTTTCAACACTCAGATGGAGTGAATCACAACAACAAGCCAAAATCATCCTTCTTCCAGATTTGAGGAGAGATGATGTTAAATCACTCGATTATAGTGACGCTGTTTTCGATAGAATATTTAGAGCTGCTAGCGGAAAGGTAGCAAAAATCGATTTATCAAAGAAAAGAGTTTATTTATCATAACAACAACAATCAACAATTATACAACACGCACACCAAACTAAATAAAAGTAGTTCCATAGTGACTTTTTAGATTTATCTGCTTATGCTGGACAAGATATTAATACTAGTTGTAAGTATCTGTATTTGTTGTTTATTTATCTAATCTTTTTATTTAATCAGAATGAAGGTAGAATATACATAGGGAATGAATAAAAGAGTAAACTAAGGAAAGATTTACTTTTGATTTGTCAATCATTTGGTATACGATCATCGATGAGTCAGTCAAAAGATACAATGGTCAATCAAATTATAAGATTCAAAATGATAGACTATTCAAACGTAAAATGATTGACAATAATCCTTTAAATGATTACAACAAATAAATTAATAGAATAAATTCTCAATAATAAAATAATATTTATTTTATCTTTGAAACAAATGTCTTTATTTTGGAATATCAATTTTAATTTTGTGATAGTAAAAAAAATGAATCAACTAATAATAATAATAATAATAATAATAATAATAATAATAATAATAATAATAATAATTATAATAATAATAATAATAATAATAATAAATTAAATTAATAAAATTATTTAAAATTTTTTTTTAATTGATATTTTAAAGATTTATGATCATTTATTTTTTAAATTTTAAAAAAGTTTAATATTTACGACTTTTTAACAAAACATCAACATTCTTGATAAAAAGCAAGTTATAAAACAACATGGAAAAGTTAACAAATATAGTAATACTATCACAAATCATATCATCTATTGAACATGATGGAGATATAATATGTTTGTTGCTTACTTGTAAAAAGTTGTATTATAATAGTGGTTTAAGGAGATCGATTCAGTTTAAAGGTACAAGAGCCACCGACCATAGAGCAATATCAGCTACTCTATTCAAAATCAACTCATTTAAAGATATATTGGAGAATAGTGTATCTGATCATCAGGTAGAGAGAAAGAAAGTGACACCACCCAAGTCACTATATGATACACCATCGATCGAGACACTATTCATTAAAGCGGACCAACAAGACAAAGAAACAACAGTTGACCTCGGTTCTATCTCACGCTTGCCTAGTCTTCAACGTCTTTCAGTTCATGCGCACAAGTTGAATCTTGGCTCTCATACAACACTCAAGACTCTAAAACTAAAAGTCGCCACCGAATACACTCTCAGTGAATTGGGGCTCACCAAATTCGTATCGTTGACAGAGTTGACCTTGAAGAGTTTTTTTGTGTTAGGGATTGGACCAGGTCTCTTTCCAAGCAGTTTGACTCATCTCACTCTACAACCCAAGGAGATACTTCCACGAGATACATTCCTTTCGTTGACGTCACTCGAGTACCTCGATATCGATATGCAAGAAATCAGGTCAGAGGAGGGAGTAGAACTATTCCTCGATCTCGAGAGCCTATCCAACCTCAAGACACTAAGAATCTTTGACGAATGCTTAGGTCTGTACAGTCTCGAGATTAATGTACCTCCCTCACTCAAGATTCTTACCTTCGACTGTCAATGCGCACATGTCCCACATCGATGTTCGATGTTGCTGTTGGAGGAATTGCATGCGATACAAAACGTATTGGTTGAAGAAAAGATCAGTCTACTGTCATTACCATTGTTAAATAGTCTGGTGATTGACCTATGCGATGAACCCGTATGGCCAACCATCCCATCGACTGTCAAAAGTCTTACTATTTCCAAATACCCAAATACAGATATACTTACAGGCATTGTATACCCACCATCTCTCACTGAACTATCCATCTATGGAGACAATGAACCTGTCAAACTCCCAGCATCGCTCATCAAACTAACACAAAACATCAACAAAGATTCATTACTTCCAACACTTCCTACACATTTAAAGGAACTGATTTGGGAATATGATCAGGTTGAACTTGATCCCGACGTACCTGAATCTCTTTCTTCAGTAAACTATCCACCAAATCTTGAAACACTCAACCTCATTGATATCCCATGGGAGTTCACCCTTGGCAACATACCTCCAGTCAAAGAGCTATCATTGGCGTTGCGTGAACCCATGAAACCTTGGATGTCTGATTATCCAATCTTCTCAATTGACTCGAGGATCTCTATCACAGACCAACCACAATGGCTACCACATAATACTACACATCTCGCTTGCAGGTTAGATACTCGTCTCACAAAGTGTGTGTTTAGATTGGATCAAGTAATCAACCACACCAATGTTAGATATTTATCTATGGTCATTGACGAAGAATATTTACCTATCAAAATTGGCAACATGCCATTCCAATTTTCAATTCAAAGGTTGGACAACGAGAGCAACAATGTATTGGTATTGGAAACAAATACACTTCAAGGTGGAATAATCACTCAGAGAAAATCAATCAACGCCCAACAACAACAACAACAACAATATGATCCCATTTATTTATTTTTTGATATCGATTCAAACAAAAAGTGGTCTCGCTCTGTCTCACAAGATGCATATGTATTCAAATGGAGTTTTGAACCAATCTGGAAAACAGTAAATATAATATAGGAGGTTTTTATATTATAAGAATAATTATTTGGAACTAACTAGACTATTTAAAATTGTACAAAATCAGAAATAAAGGTGGCACTGAAATCAGGCATTAATTAAATCTCTTTAGAATATTGTAGTTTATTGGAAATTAAAAACAATTTGGGTCATTAAAATGGTTACACCAAAAAGTGTACAACAAATTTGCATCTTCAAGTGACAATGAAACAAAGAAAGAATACAACAGTAGTGATAATAATGATGATAATAATAATAATGACTAATGTTGGATAGAGGAGAAGAAGAAGAAGAAGAGGTAATATCAACGACCAAACATGTTACTAAAAAAAGAAAGAGTAGTGTAAATAATAGTAATAATAATAATAACAATAAAGATGATCCAATAAAAGGAAAGAGATCATCTAATCGATTGAACAATAATAACAAGAGAATTGAAGAAAAGTGTAAATATCTAATCATTATTGGTTGAAAGGTATATGATTCATAATGTGACTTAACACCTCTTTTGCATTTAAATCAAACTCTCTAGATGAGAATGAAAGAATAAGGTACTCTGAAGATGAATTAAGAAAGAAACTTAAAAAGGATTTACTTGTCATTTGTAAAGAGTTGGGTATTGAAGCATCAATGAAAGAAAGCAAAGAAATGATTGTTGGAAATATTCTAAAGACGAAATGATCGATTGGAATTCAAAGATAAAATGATTGACAATAATCCTTTATATGATTATAACAAGGGAACACTTGAATATTCATTACCTTGGCCAATCATCGGTAGAATACTAGATATAGTTTGGACGGAATCATCTATTTGTACTTGTTACTATAGTCATCAATTTATTGATACTTTAAAGTCACAACCAACCAATGGCTTTGTTCCTTTTGATTACTATCAAATGTGGCCAGTCTACCAACCATTGATGGAAGTGTACAAAGAATCAAGAATGAAATGTCCAATGCATACATACCACTATTTAAACGATATGTATCCATCAATCAACATTGCCACCCCGTTTACTCGTTTCCTTGACAACATCGACCGAAACAAATGGAGATACCAACTACTTGGGATATCTAAACGAGTCAACCAGTTTCTGTCGTCCAAGTACTTTACCAACGCTCAACTTGCATTTAGTAGAGACACATATGGAAGCATCTCGACAATCCATACTGTCCAATCAAAGCACTCTAACAACTGACGATCATCCCCGACGACGACTATGAAAACTTTGAAAACAACAACACATCTATGTTTTCATCGGTTGAAAAGATCACTACCGATAAAGGTAGCGTTTCGCCAGTTTATCTCAAGACTCTACAAAGTCTATTCAGCAATATCAAATCGGCCACTTTTTCAACACTTCATAAAGTGAGACCACAAGCTTTGGCCAAATTCAAGCATCTCACATCACTCCATTTAATGCACGCACCCCAACGTGTTACTAGACAACAACTATTGGATAATCTTCAATCAGGTATAATTAAACTTTTACTGCCAGATGTGTGGTGTGAAGAACCAGTTACACTCCCCCCAATCTAGCCAACACCATTGAAATCAGCAATATTATTCCAGCAATTCAAATGCCAAACTTGCATACCTTCCATATCCCTACCACATCATACAACATGCCCTCTTCGCTCAACCACCCCAAAATCACTAAAATAGTATGTCTCTATCGTTTCTCAATATCGGAACTCATTGTTCCTCCAACCATTGATTTATTATTTCGATTATATCAAACAATCTAAAGATTTCTTAAAGGCCAAATCAATGTGTCCGATACACAAGGATCGTTTACCTAGTCTCTCTACATACAGAGATGAGAGTATACTCAAACATATCAATCAACGTAGATTTGGATTGACATTGGCATGCAAGAGATTATTTGAATTTATTTCAAAACATCTTGTCGGTCAACTGGTACTCCCCTTTGAAGATCTTCATAAAGGGCACTATTCAAATCAATATTGTTTGATGGGTAAATCAATCAAAACTCTCACAATAGAGTTACCAGACGGCAAACAAAGATGGGATTGCCTTGGTCATCAATATTATTCAAATGTACAACGTTTGGAGTTTGAACCCACCGTTTACAATTTTAAATTACCAAACGCCGACAAACTATTCCTCTCACTGTCTCGGTTACAATCACTCACCTCTTTGGATCTATCACAATCAAAACTTGACGCAATCAGTGGAGTAATGCTCACCCAATTAAAGAATCTACAACTTTTAAAATTATATTATAATTTTGTAGACAATCAATTTCTATTTATTGGAAGCAATATCAATCAACTCATTTGATGTCATTCCAAAGTTTGGTGTTATTACCCGACATCAAAGGCAGCCGATGTAGAGACCATTATTATTTGCCCCATTCTAATGACTATCATGACAACATCCAAAAGATCTCTATCAGAGTGGTTGCCAATAATCGCTTGCACCACTACCGTCCTGCTATTTCAAACGAAAGTAACTTTCAATTCATTGGAACCTTTTACAACTATGCTTCATCGGATAGAATCGTTCGTCTCAAATGGGTATATTTGAGAAAGGAACTTCCATAACTCAACAAATAACCTATCAATTTGGATTATAATTATTAACTAAAAAGAGAGAGTATATATAAAGACTTTTTTTTTAAACTAATAAAATAATACCAACAAAATCTTGATTTGATTTTTAATTATTTTCTTTGCTTTTATTGAGTATTGAGTATTCAATAAGTTAAGTAGTATTGATGACACAAGAAAAGAATACATTTCAATTTGTAAACAGAGATAATAATAATAATAATAATAATAATAATGATGATGACGATGTAATATTGTTGGATAGAGGAGAAGAGGAAGAGGCAATATCAACTACAAAACTTGTCAACGTTATAACTAAAAGAAGAAAGAATAACAATAATGATGATGATAAAGTAAATAATAACAATAATAATAATCAACAAGATAGTAATAAAGATGATTCAACTTTAGCAGCAAATGTACAAGAAAGAAATCGATTGAATAATAACAACAAGAGAATTCGTGATGACGATGACAATGATGATAAAGAAAAGTGTAAATATGATTGATTTATTGTTTACTGCTCATAATGACCTAAACTAACTCTTTTACAATTCAAAGATAAAATGATTGACAATAATCCTTTATGTGATTATAACAAGGGAATACTTGAATATTCATTACCGTGGCCAATCATCGGTAGAATACTCGATCAACTTTGGACTGAATCATCTATTTGTACTTGTTACTATAGCCATCAATTTATTGATACTTTAAAGTCACAACCAGCCAGTAGCTTTGTTCCTCTCCATTACTATCAAATGTGGCCAGTCTACCAACCATTGATGGAAGTGTACAAAGAGTCAAGAATGAAATGTCCAATGCATGTGTACCATTATTTGAATGATATGTGTCCATCAATTAATATTGCCAAACCATTTGTTCCCCAATTAAACAACAATGACCGAAACAAATGGAGATACCAACTGCTTGGTATATCTAAACGAGTCAACCAGTTTCTGTCGTCCAGGTATCTTACCAATGCTCGATTTGCAATCGATCTAGACACGTGGGAGCGTCTTGACAGTCCATACTGTCCAATCAAAGCACTCAAACAACTGACGATGATGAACCACCGAGAATATAATGAAACCTTTGAAAACCACAACACATCAATGTTTTCATCTGTTGAAAAGCTTACACTCGAGAAGCTCCACATTACACCATCGTATCTCCAGAGTCTACACGGTGTCTTTTACAATATCAAATCGCTGACTCTACCACCACATTGTAAATTAAAAGCACAGACATTGTCTACATACAAACATCTCACATCACTCAATATGACAGGTGTACCCTATGGTACCGATCAACACCAACTATTGAATAATCTTCCATCGGGTATAATTAAACTTTTACTGCCAGATGAGTGGTGTGATGAACCAATCACACTCCCTCCCAATCTAGCCAACACTATTGAAATTAGTAATATTATTCCAGCAATTCAAATGCCAAACTTGCACACCTTTCACATCCCAATCACATCATACAACATGTCCTATTCATTCGACCACCCAAAAGTTACAAAACTAGTACATCATTATCGTTTCTCAACACTGGAACTCATTGTTCCTCCAACCATTGACACTTTAAAGTTTAGTAGACTTGCCAATCCTATTTTCCACGACATCAACGCTGTTATTAAAACCAATGTTTTCGATGCATTGAAGGTCAGGAAACTCATTCTATTTGGCAAGTACGAAATATCTGATACAACGATAAATGATTTTAAAAGAATTGGGTATGAATATCAAGGAACTATATTCAAAGCATCATCAAAAAGACAATTACACTTTATTAAAACAACAACACCGCCAGAGATAATAATTGAAACACCACAAATAGTAGTACCAACAACAACAATGCCAACAATTTTCACCAAAAATCCAACACTTCCCTACTACTTGATTGAAAAGATAGTCAGATACTCTTGGAATAGTTATTATTGTACTTGCGAGGTTGAACATATTTATTTAGATTATATCAAACAATCTAAAGAATTCTTAAAAGTCAAATCTATGTGTCCGATACACAAGGATAGTTTACCAAGTATCACTACATACAGAAGTGAAAGCATCGTTGGACAAACCAATCAACGTAGATTTGGATCGACATTGACATGCAAGAGATTATTTGAATATGTTTCAAAACATCTTGTCAGTCGAGTGATACTCCCTTTTCAAGATGAAGAAAGATCAATGGTTCATAAAGAGCACTATTCAAATCAATATTGTTTGATGGGTAAATCAATCAAAACTCTCACAATCGAGTTACCAGACAGCGAACAAAGTTGGGATTGTATGGGTCATCAATATTATTCAAATGTACAACGTTTGGAGTTTGAACCAACCATTTACGAATTTCAATTACCAAACGCCGACAAACTATTCCTCTCACTGTCTCGGTTACAATCACTCACCTCTTTGGATCTATCACAATCAAAACTTGACGCAATCAGTGGAGTAATGCTCACCCAATTAAAGAATCTACCACTTTTAAAATTATATTATAATTTTGTAGACAATCAATTTCTATTTCAAGAAGAGGATGAAAGTGAAAATGATAAAGATGACGACCAAGATCCACCAAATAGATGGCCACTTACACAATTATTGGAAGCAATATCAATCAACTCATTTGATGTCATTCCAAAGTTGGGTCGGTTACCTAAACTAAGAAGTTTAAGAATCATTATAGATCAACCAGAAAAGGGAGATATTGCAGAATTGACCAACGAACAGCTTCAATCAATTCTTCCATTATGTATCACCAAACTATCATTTGTTGACTACAATATTGCCAAAATCAGCAAATATAATCCTCGAGTAAAGGAACTGGTGTTATTACCCAACAGGCATCTCACACGTAGCTATTCTGACGACCAATTTTATTTTCCCCATGATAATGACTATCATGACAACATCCAAAAGATCTCTATCAGAGTGGCTGCCAATAATTACCTAAACTACTTCCGTCCTGCTATTGTAAACGAAAGTAACTTTCAATTCATTGGAACCTTTTACAACTATGCTTCATCGGATAGAATAGTTCGTCACAAATGGGTTTATTCAAGAAAGAGCTCAACTTAAGTTAATGACCCACAAATAATAATATATCGAATAATGATTATTGGAGCAAGCAGAGTAAATAAAACAATAAAGATATATTTAAAATCTAAAAAGATTGACATCTTTGAAGGAAAATGAGCACTGATAATTGATTCAACATCTATTTCCCTCCTTTTTTTTTTATATATTTGTAAAAAATTATGGCGATAGAGTATCTAGTTCTGGTGGCACCCCCAACCAAAAATTTTCAAAACCCCCAAAGAAAATAAATTTTACTTGACATGTGTCAAGAGTTGGATATCGATGCATCAATCAACCAAACCAAAGATACAATCGCAAAGAATATTGTAAAGACACTAAATGATCGATTGGCATTCAAAGATAAAATGGTGGACAATAATCCTTTATGTGATTATAACAAGGGAACACTTGAGTATTCATTACCTTGGCCAATCATAGGTAGAATACTAGACCATTTTTGGACGAGATCAACTATTTGTACGTGTTACTATAGTGATCGATTGGTTGATACTTTAAAGTCACAAACCAATACTATTGGTTTCATCCCATTTGATCACTATCAAATGTGGCCAGTCTACCAACCATTGTTGGACGAGCACAAAAAATCTAGAATGAAATGTCCAATGCATACATACCACCATTTGAACGGGTTGGAGCCATCAATCAACATCGCTGCACCATTTACTTCCAATTTGACCAATGACCTAAACAAATGGAGATACCAACAACTTGGTATATCGAAACGAGTCAATCAGTATCTGTCGTCAAAGTACTTTACCAACGTTCGATTTGCAATCGACCCAGACACGTGGGAGCGTCTTGGCAGTCCATACTGCCCAATCAAAGCACTCAAACAACTGACGATCATTGGCCACGAAGACTATGAAAACCAAGCCAACCACAACATGTCGATGTTTTCATCGGTTGAAAAGCTTGCAATCTCTGAGAGGCTCTATGTTTCACAGTCGTACCTCAAGACTCTACAAAGTGTCTTTTACAACACCAAATCACTCACTCTATCGAAATATTGTATGTTTAGAGTACAGGCTTTATCCAAATTCAAGAATCTTACATCGCTCACTTTAACTCATCCACTCGAAAACACCACTCGACAACAACTATTGGATAGTCTTGAGCGAGGAGGGATTGTAAAGATTTTACTGCCAAGTGAGTGGTGTGATGAACCAGTCACACTTGACACTGATCTAGCCAACACAATCGAGGTCAGCAACATTCATCCACAATTGCAAATGCCAAACTTGCATACCTTCCACATCCCAACATTCAGTTTTCCCCCAGCATGGTACAACATACCCTCATTTGATCACCCAAATGTTAAAAAGATAGTACAACTTCACAACGACCGCACCATGCCAACTAGTATCGCACAACTTCTTCCTCCAACCGTTGAAATCCTCAAACTTTGTTCAAAACAATCTGAGATTGCTCAGGATGTCAACGCCATTATTAAAACCAATTATTTCGATGGATTAAATGTCAACAAAATTAATATCGATTGTCATGTTGAAATATTAGACCAAACGATAAATAGTTTTAAAAGGCTTGGGTATGAATATCAAGGAGCTATATTCAAATCATCGTCATCATCAAAGAGACAACTTCACTTTATTAAAACAACCCAGAACTCAAGAAAAAGGTGATTGACGAACTCGACCAAGTCATTGCCTATCGTGCTTGGAGATTGGAAAATGGAAACATGGAAGCTACCAAGGCAAACATTGAAAAGGTTGACAATCAAGGTTTGGATCTCAGCGAGGAAAAGGAAAAGAGTAAAGATGAAGGACCACCAAAACCAATCCTAGAGTACACCCCAACCCTCACCACACCATTTATAGAAATTGTTCGTGAGAGATTTACTCATCTTGGTGATCCATCAAAATATTCTTTGGTCAATCTTTCAAAAGTTATCATTTATGATTATGATAAAGAATCGACACCTGCTGGTTTTGATTCTCCAACTACAACAACAACAACAACAACAAATAATAATAATAATAATCAAAATATTAATAATCAACAAAATGTTGGATCACCTTCAATAGTCTCAGATTCTGATTCTGGTGAAATGTTTTTTACTCCTCCAGTTTCAAGAAAACAGGATTAAACTTGTAAATAAATAATATTATATATATAAAAGAAAATAATAATTTTATATTTGTGTTTATTAATAATTTATTATTTACGTCTTTTCAAAATTTGTAAAGCAGCTTCTTCTTGTTCATCGATTGATCTTTTTCCTAAGACTGGTTTTGGTTGTGGAGTTGATTTGATTGACTTGATATTCTTTTTAGTTGGTTTGACTGGTTCTTCTTCTTCTTCTTCACTTTCACTTTCTTCATCATCACTTGGTTTATATTCTTCACCATCATAGGTATATTCATATGAACTTTCACTTGAATCACCATCACTATCGTTGTCACTTGGTTGATATTCTTCACCATCATCAATATATTCATATTCCTCTTCATCTGATTGAGGAACAAAATAAGCTCCACCTTTTTCTCCATCTTGTCCATCTTCTTGATCCTTTCCTTGAGGTCTTTCTTTTTCCTTTAATTTCAAAAGTTTTCTTTGACGACGGTCACGTAATTTTTGTTTGTGTACTTCCTTGTCTTCTGGATCGACTTGTTCCATTCTAGATTTCATCTCTTCAATGTAATCTTGTGGCAATTGATGATCTTGTCCAACAAATTCATTGGCTTCGTCCAATTGAATCTTGCTCTTTACCTCGGGGTTGATGATTCTGTTTTGGATCTTGACCAATCTGTTTTGTTGACGTCTATTGAGTTCGGTGGTCTTGTCATTCTCCTCAATCTCTTCTTGTACGTCTTCGAGTGTATGATCCTTTCTCTTCATGACAAACACGTCGTCCTCTTCATCCATCTTGTCCCTGAGCTTATCAAACTCCTCTGAAAAGACGTTTGGATTCTTTCTCTTGAACAATCTTTCAACTCTTGAAACATTGTACTTTGAAATCTTTGGCACTTCCTTTTCATCTTCTGAGAGGTTGTCTTCGTCTTCGACCAATTCCTCACCTCTTTCCTCTAGTTCCTTTGCCTTTTTCTCCTTTTCCAATTTCTTTTCGTATTGTTTCTTTTGTAGTTCTGTCAACTTGTAGGAGTTGTTCTTGTCGGTCTTTAGGGTCTTTCCAATTTGGATGTTGGGAGCACCTGGCAAACCCATCGAGTTTGAAAATGCCTTTAAATCCAATCCCTCCAAACTAAACACCTCTTTGTTGTCTTGACGGTAGATTGACTTGACGTATGTGATAAATGCCTTTTGAGCCAAATACTTGAGATCAACCTTTTCAGAGAGGATGGCTGCTAATTTGGGTTGAATGTTGATTGATTTTTCGGGGTTGGTTTCCAAGATTTGGTGGTGGATGTTTTGCTTTTCCATCAATTTGATAAATGGTTTCTCGGTTGGGAGGAGGACGGTAAGAGAGTTTCCTTCAGTGTTGTTACGGGCGGTACGACCAACACGATGTATATAGGTGGCAATGTCATCTGGACAATCCATTTGAATGACCCAATCGACAGTTGGGAAATCGAGACCACGAGCAGCGACATCGGTGGCAAACAACGTACCCATCTTTTCATCACAAAATTGTTGGAATACGTCGAGACGTGATGTTTGCTTCATCTTGCCGTGCAACTGGAAAAGACGACACCCAGGATTAATCAAATAAAAGGTTTCATAGATAAATCGGACTTGTTTACATGTAGTCAAAAAGACAATAGTCTTTTTTGTCAAATGTGAGTGTAAAAACGAGTACAAGAGATTAATCTTGTCTTCGAGTGTTGAAAACATGACAGTTTGAGTGAGATTGGCTGGTGTAGACATGAGATCACGGTCATAGACTGACACGTATTCTGGTTCACGTAGACTGAGACGAGCTAGATCTTTAACAGACTTTGTTTGAGTGGCAGAAAACAAAAGAGTTTGTCTGCTAGATGGAAGATTCTGAACGATGGAATTGAGTGTTTTGGTGAATCCAAAATCGAGGATACGATCTGCTTCGTCGAGAATGAGCATCTGTAGGTTATTACATCTAAAACCTTCAGTCTCGTCCATATGTTGTAAAAGACGACCTGGTGTAGCAATCAAAATATTCATCTCGTTGATCTTTTTCTTTTCATTGTCTACATTTTTGCCACCAATAATCAAACCAGCCGAAAATGAATGATACTTTCCAGCATCTCTCAACACATCGAATATTTGAATAGCAAGTTCTCTAGTTGGTGATAATATAATAGCTCCAACTCCATCTTCAATATTCCATGAATTTCTATAAAGTAATTCAAGCATCTAAATAGAAAAGTAAAAAGTAAAAAGGAAATTAATAAAAGATAATTATAGTAGGATATATATACTTTTTACTTACAGGAACAATAAAAGCAAGAGTTTTACCAGAACCAGTCTTTGCAGCACCAAGAATATCACGACCACAAAGTGAATGTGGAATAGAAGATCTTTGGATATCAGTCATATCAATGTACTTTTTTTCATCCAAACCTTTCATTGTCAACTTTGAAATTGGTAATTGATTAAACTTTGATGCTGCAGAGTATGATATCTTGTATTCTTCATTCTTTTTATCATCATTTACTTTATTTGCTAATGGGTTACTCTAGAGTAAAAGTAAGTAAGAATAGTATATCGATTAGTTTATGTACATATTCAAAGTATGATGTATTCTTTACAAACTATACATACACCTCTAGCAGGAGCTTCATCTTTAATTCTTTTGTTTAATTCTTTAATCTCTTCATGATATTGTTTTAAAGCAATCTCTCTATTCTTTTTCTTATTTACTTGTTCTTCTTTAATCGATTTATAAAGATTTCCTTTCTTTCTTAGACTACCTTTTTCTTGTTGTTGTTGTTTTTGTTTTTGTTGTTGTTGTTGTTGTTTATTTGGTCCTTTCTTATTACCATTCTTATTATTATTATTATTCTTATTATTCTTATTATTATTATTGTTGTTTGCCTTTTTTGGAGGTGCTGTAGAGTAACTTTCACTATGATCCATTTTTCTAATCTATCTATTATCTCTTTCTTCAATAGAGGGGGGATAAGAAAGGAAGAGAGATCACAGAATGTATACTTATAGACAGAAGAGAGGGTACTCACACACACGATAATCGGTTCGTTCGTTTTTTTGGAGGAAATGAATTTAATTTTAATTTTTCAATTTTAATGAAGCGAGTACTTACTCTAGCCTACATGTGAAAAACAAACAATGAGAAAGATAACTAACTAACTTGTAATAATAATAATGGTTAAACCATCATCATCATCAGGTGCTAGTGTTGGTAGTTCTGTAGCAAAGAAAACAACAACACCTAAATCAGCATCTCGACCAGCACCATCATCATCAACCAAAAAAGTAATTAAAAAAGAAGAATCAAATAATAATAAGAAAAAGGTATTAGAAAGAGAAGCATTAGATGATGTTATATCATCAGATGAAGAAGATGATGGTATAGATAAAGTTGAAAACTCTAAACTCGATGAAAATACAACATTTGATCAATTGGGAATGCATCCACAAATCATAGAGGCATGTGTTAGAATGGGCTTCAAGAAACCAACTGAAATTCAAAGAGAATCTATACCACATGCTATCGCCGGTAGAGATATTATAGGTCTTGCTCAAACTGGTTCAGGTAAAACTGCTGCCTTTGCCATTCCAATCCTTCAACAATTATTACAATCTCCACAACCTTTATTTGCTTTAATTTTATCACCAACTAGGTATGTTCAATCAACAAATATCAACATATAAACATACTTATCTTCTTTACTAAACTACTACTACTACTTTTTCTTTTTGTGTAGAGAATTAGCATTCCAAATTTCACAACAATTTGAAGCATTGGGAGCAGTGATTGGAGTTAAATGTGGAGTATTGGTAGGAGGTATGGATGTAATGCAACAGGCAATGGTATTGGCAAGAAAACCACATATTATAGTTGGCACACCGGGTCGTGTCATGTATCATCTAGAGAATACAAAGGGGTTCCATTTAAAGGCACTCAAGTTTTTGGTGATGGATGAAGCCGATCGTCTCCTGAGTATGGATTTTGAAGAGGAAATTAACAAGATCTTAAAAGTCATTCCAAAGAATAGAAATACCTACCTCTTTTCAGCTACCATGACATCAAAGGTTGCTAAACTCCAAAAGGCATCGCTGGTCAACCCCATCAAGGTGCAAGTCGCCAGCACCAAATACTCTACGGTCGACACACTTGTCCAACAATATTGTTTCATTCCATACCAACACAAAGACTGTTACCTCACCTATATCCTCAACGAGCTGTCTGGCAACTCTGCCATTGTTTTTGTGGCTACTTGTGCCGCTTCCAACCGTCTTTCAGTGATGCTACGTAATCTTGGATTGGGAGCTATCCCAATCAACGGAAATATGGATCAAACCAAACGTCTTGCTTCACTCAACAAGTTCAAGTCATCGGTCAAAAATATCTTGGTCGCTACCGATGTTGCTGCTCGTGGTCTCGATATTCCAAGTGTAGGTCTCGTCGTCAACTATGATATTCCAGTCAATAGTAAAGAGTATGTTCATCGTGTCGGTCGTACTGCCCGTGCCGGTCAATCTGGTCGTGCCATCACCCTCGTTACCCAATACGATGTCGAAGTGTACCAACGTATCGAATTTGCCCTCTCTAAAAAGTTGGAGGAATTCCCAAGTGAGTCGTCTAGCGTCCTTGTTTTCCTCGAAGCCGTCAACGAAGCTGCACGTCTTGCCAGCCTCGAAGTTAAAGAAGATACCAGAGTTATGGAAGATTCAGAAAGAACTGGTTCTGCCTATTTAAAAAAGAAATCAGTAAACAAAAAGGAAGTTAAAAAGAAAAAGAAATATTAAATGCGCGGAAAAAGAGTTTAATAAATATATAATATATAATATATCTTAAATTATAGAGAGAGAGAGAAATATGATAATTAAATATCTCTCTCTATGATACCTCTTTTATTCAAAAAGGAAATAATCATTCAAAGAAGAAATGATGAATGAATGAATGAATGGTATGGGTATATCCGAACAAGTTCTATTCAAAAAGAAGAAGAGATCTCTTTGTATTTGCGTTGTTTTTAGTTTAGTTGTGTTCTTGTTTGGTTGTTCAAGTTGTGTCGATTACTTTTATACATTGATTAGTTGATTAGTTGATTGATTGTGAAGATACTCGTGTGTGTTTATATTATATATGAATGATTGCTATCTTGATTCGTTGTGTTATTGTTATTGTTGTTGTTACTTATTACTACTATTACTATTACTATTTTGATGATTCTTTTCTTTAGTTCTTTAGTTCTTTAGTTGTTTTCTCTTTACAAACAAGAAAACCAAGAATGATGAAGCAGATATCAAAGAGAACCAGATTATATTTCTCTTTGCATTTGATTTCTTATCAGATTCTTCTCCCTCTGTTGAGAACCTCTTGAATATATTTCTGAATATCATCACTGCGGTGGTACAGATGATTATCTATATATTGAATGTATCGCGATATTCAAACAAAATCAAAACACTCAAGAAAACTGACTTGTATGTCATTCGATGGTTTTTCTTCAAAAATAATTTTAAATAAATTAAAGATTAATGGATCTAGATGAAAAGGAATATATAGATATTTATTATTACTACATTACTAAACTAGGTCAAAAAACATGGAAATAGTGGATCAGGAGGAAACATCCATACTACATGTAGAGATAGTTGAATACTTACTTAATTGCCAACTCTTTGATTTGATGTTGTGATTGACTGCACTCACACTACATAAACATACAAAGAAACTAATATAAATTGTCACCACAAAACCAAACAAAAATATAGATTATAAATGTATATATATATGAAAGATTATTTATTTCCTGTCTAATAGATTGAATTAATATTATTATTATTCTTTTAATTAATGTTGTTTTTTTTAAGTTTCCATATACTATGCTTCTTCTTTACTAATTATTATTATTATTATTATTGTTCATTTAATTAATGTTGTTTTATTTTATTTTCTTTCTGTTTTTTAGATGTTGTGTCTCTTTTTATTAATACCCAGTTATATTTATATTTATAGTTATATATATTTATTATCTCTCGGAACTTAGGTACGCTTTGTAAAACCACCAATAGTCACCAAATGAAGAAAGATAATCTGATCCACCGGGTACATCCGAAGAAAAACAGTATGGTGCTCTAAGGGTTGCATTAATTGGGCAAGAACTGCAGTCACTGTTACAGCCCTTATGAAAAGTTACTCTTTCGATATCGCAGTCGGATTTAATCGTATAGCCATGTTGTCTTTCATAGTCAAAGTCATATCGCAATGTTTTGGCGCAATGATGTTTTCTTGAAAAGTGGATACCATCAGGTCTCGATCTACAAAGTTCTGGGTGGTTGTTGGCAAGTTTTCTATTGAATAAAAAAAAAAACAGGATTTCAATCAATGAATATTAATATTTGTTAATCCTGGTATGTATAACTTGATCAATAGACACTGTTATACATACATAGTAGATATTAAACACCAATCTTGATTTTTGTAATCCAAAGGTTCGTAGAATAATTTATAACCAATAAAACATTCTCCAACTTGCAATAATTTGGAACAATTCTTTTTGCATTGACAAGAGAATCCAAAATGACATTTTCGACTCCCCTTTTCACAGTCCATAAAATATTCATAGGGAGAGTAACAAACATCCCTGGCTCCAGGTTCAAGATGAATCATTTGATTCACTTCACCAGTGCAATCTATTGAGTCGTAATGTTTAATGATATATGAATCCTTTATAATGTAAGGAAATGCTGCTTCTGCAACTCCATTTTGATTTTGATTATTATTAGAGTCTATAAAATATAATGGTACTAAAATAACTATTAATATTTTAATTAAATCTATTATTTTCATTCTTAATTAAAATAAATTAAAAAAAAAGTATAAAGAGGAAAACTAAAACTAAAAATATTGTATTTTTAGATTTAAATATAAAGATGTTGGGTTAAAATATTATTATTATTATTATTATTATTATTATTAATGATAAGATATCTTGGATTGATTTGATCTTGATCTGAATTTGGACAAGGGAAGAGAACAACAACAACAAAAATTAAAAAATTATAAAAATATAGAGTAATGTTTTGTTTTAGAGTTATTGTTATTATTGTATTGATGGTGGAGGAAACATACAATAGCAATGAAAAAAAATTTGTGACGTTTTACACTCCCCTTTTCAAAACCATCATCATCTACATGTGATGTGAAGGTTATTTTGCTGATTGATCGATCAAACAACATCATCAACAACATCAATCACCCACACTGAAAAATAATTATTGATGGTTCATCAAAATGTGGGTGATGAGTGGGTGGGAGTCAAGGTTTTCGCGCCACTCTCGTACTGCCCACACTTTTCAAAAAAATAAACAGTAAAATCATTATTTTTTTGATCAAAGATTTCAAATCATCTTACGAGTAAAGTAGGTGATATGATATGCATGATTCATTGCATATCAACCATTCATTCTCATTGCAAAAAAAAATATTTGAACAAAAAAAATTCAAAATTTAATAATAATAATAATAATAATAATAATTAACTTAATTCATTGTACTGCGACGACAGTTTGTTCACCACCATAATCACCGACCATTGAAAATATATATTTGAACAAAAAAATAGATATAGATTATGATTTATTATACAGATTCAAAATTGTAAAAAGTTTAATTATTATTATTGATTAATAATTCTCTGTACTACGACGACTATTTGAAAACCACCAATAATCACCTATCATTGCAACATAGTCTTCTTGACCAGGGCCAGCTCCACCTAAACAATAAAATGATAGGGCAGTACCAACATATCCACAATCACCACAATCTTCAGTACAATTTACTCCAATTGAAAGTTCATCAAGTGAGAAATTAATCTGTGTAAGTTCTTCATATAATGTTTGGGTGTAAACATCATATCTTTGAAGTTTGGAACATGATTTTCTAGATAATGCTATTCCATCTGGTCTCATATTACATGCATTTGGATTGCTAGCATATTTCCTGTTTGACAAAAAACAAATTTGTGTATTAGTTTTGGAAATTTTATATTGTTGTGTTTATTATTGATACATACATTGTAGTAACTATACTCCAATCACTGTTCCTATAGTCTAGTGGTTCAAAGAATAATTTGTAACCATAGTAACATTCACCAACCGATAGCTTTTTCGAACAATTGTTTTTACATTCACAACAGAATCCAAAATTACAAGTCTTGTCATCGATGTTACAATCCATGTAATAGTCATATGGCAAGATACAAACATCATTGGTATCTTCTTCTGTATAAAACATATGGTTGATTTGACCAGTGCAATCTATATTTTCATATTTTTTGATCAAAAAGCCACTACTAAGTATATATGGAAATATTTTATGTCCTTCTACTACTACTTCTACTGTTCCTCTTCCAATACCAAGTAATAATATAGTTGTAATGGTTATTAAAATTATTTTATCCATATTGTATAAATAAATAATAAATAATGAATGTACAGATTATATATATGTGTAAATATATTAAAGTGAAATGGATGACCGCAGTTTTATCCACTGCTTTTCTTTCTCTCTCTAAACCTTTTTTCCTACTTCTAACTACTACTACTATCCTCTACTACTATGATGAATGTTCTATAAATAGGTTAACTCGTTGATTAAATAATTAAATAGAAAAATACGACCACCAATTTATCTGTAAATACTATTATTATTTTGTGTGTGTTTGTTCTTCCTCTCTCCTCTACCTTTGAGTGTTGTGTGTAATTTGGTGTCAACCAATTAGTGATGATGACAAGTTTAATAATTCAATTTAAAAATATGAATTATGGTTGTTGTTGGATAGACGATGTGGAGCCGGCCCCACTACTCACTCATATGGCAATCAAAAAAAAAAAAAAGTTGGAGGTAGATGTGATGGTTTGTGTGAAATCTTGGTACCACCACACACACTGTTTTAGAAAATTGGATTGGATCTCACCCTCACTTTCTTAAAAATATGATCCGGACGAGTTAGTCAGTGATTGTGATATCACAATAGTGAATCTATCTACAACCAGTGTCAGTTGATCATCGATGATGGTTTTTGTTTCCTTTTTCTCTTCAATTCCATTTTTTGACAATCCCAGATAAGATAGATAGTCTTTGTTTCAAAGAATAGGTCTTAATCACATGATATGATTATTATTTATCTGTCTATCTATCTATATCTTTCGATCAATTTGTTGTGTGTGTGTGTTCTTATATCTTATTTATTATTATTAATATTATTATTATCTTGATCACTTGGAAAATCGATAGCAGGATCTATATCCTTTCGAGGACTGTACCATTCTAGAAAACGCCATAATAAATGGTCAAGAGCAACAACCATACAATTTAATTTACCAGCCCATAGACCACACCCGACAAATCTACGTAGACGTTCGATAAACGGTACTTTGGGAGCATGTGAGATGACTTCATAAACAGCTTCTGTACGACGAGCAACATCATTCCAATCGTACATTGCTTTTACCTGTGCATGTGTTTCGAGTGGTGTACTTTTAAGTTGAAGGATAGCAAGTGTTAACTTTTCCTCCAAGTCTTCTGATACTGGTTGAGCCAAACTCATCATGTGATGTGGTAGTACTTCTGGAACACCACCGACCTTGGTCGACACTACATAGAGTCCACAAGAAGCAGCTTCAACAATGGCAATACAAAATGCCTCTGTCAAAGAGCTGTTGAGAAAGATGTCACCACGCACCAATACATTTCTGACGTTTGAATGTTTGACACTACCCAACAACTCGACACGTTCATGCAGCTGATGTTTCTCTCTCATCTCTTCCAACGTCACTCTCTTTGGTCCATCACCACCAATCACAAAATGTACATTTGGAAATTTCTTACAAATATTTGGAATGATATCAATGACCAAATCAATTCCTTTTCTATATACTAATCTACTCATAATTACAATTGTTACTAGAGTAAATAATATATATATATTAGTAATATATTCCAACAAATTTGATTTGATTTCTCTCTTTCTTTCATACTTTTTGAAGGATCTCTTTTTGAAGGATCAGGAGTGAATTGAGTAGTATCTACAGCATTTGGAATGACAGATACAAGATGAGGATCTAGTTGAGCACGTAATACAGTATTCTCTTTACTTGTATTTGATACACAAATGACATGAGAAATGTCAGACAATGAGAATTTGAGTAGTTTGTTCATATGTATAGACGATGCATCGGCAAAACCAAACAATGAATGATCAGTAAAACATGTACTGTATCCCATAGTTCTTGCATGTAATATACTTTCATGTGCCAATGTTGAGAATGCCTAAACATTAAATAATCAAAATGTTAATCAATAGTGTTTGTTTGTTTGTTTGTTATCTTTAGTTTCTTTTCTATCTTTTCAGGTACCTGATGACAATGAACAATTTCAATACCTTCTCTAACTAGAATTTGACGAAATAGAGGAAATGTAAAGTAGAGTGTTGGGAATGAAGATTGATTGTAGAATGGTGCTTGTGGCATATAGTATACTTTGAGACCGTTGGTGACGTATCTGACACCGAATCGATTACCATAGTTGTGTGTTATAATGATGACCTTGTTGCCACGTTTAATGAGACATTGTGACAGTTGATAAAGATGTTCTTCGACACCACCCATATTAGGAAAGAAAAAGTCAGATACCATTGCTATTCTATAGGTCTTTCGAGTTGGTGATGTCTCTTGTTGTTGTTGCATTGTATTCAATTCGTTTTGATTCATCATCATTGATGTACCTATTATATTATTATTTTGATTGTTGTTACTACTATCATTATTATTATTATTATTATTTGTATTACTATTTATATAATTAACTATACTATTGCTTTGATGATGGTCATTCATTATATATATATATATATTTATTATTTATTTTTTATATCTCTTTAATAAAACTAAAGTTCCACGGTAGCTTTTCTTGAACATGAAGTGAGCTCCTAGCCAATATCAATATTGGTTTTTAGTGTATTAAATTCATTTGTATCACAACTGCAGTCAAAAGATGACATCAATATCAATACCATTAATAATACAATCAGAGATTATAGAGTATATACTATCACAAGATGTAGTAAGAGTATTTAAAAAGAAATATTACAACTTTTCAGAGGAATCATATCAATTGGCACGGGTATCCAAACATTGGTTTAAAGTAGTGTCATCGATGATATCTACTATCTGGTCTGATAGTATATGTAGTAACGATGTATCGATATTGGTTAGGATGATGCTCGCTCAATCAAATCAATACTCTATCATCAAACAACTACGATCATTGACTTTGGGTGCCAACACTGACTATATCCATAACGCATTCTATGAAATTGTCGAAGGCATCGATAAGAAAACAATCAATGACAATCACCCGTTGCCATTGGAACACATCACTGTTTTCCCAGATTACCTTCATCAATCCCACCTGGAACATTCTTTTATCAAAACTCTCCATACCACCGAACGATTGTTCCCAAGTCTCACCATTACAATGCGTTTGCCACTACATGGTATCGATGAAGATGAAGATGAAGATGAAGATGAAGAAGAAGAAGAAGAAGAAGAAGAAGAAGAAGAAGATGATGATGAAGAAGAAGAAGAAGAAGAAGAAGAAGAAGATTTAGCACCAGAGGAGGTAATCTCTTTGGCTGATAAAATCCTAGGGGCTTTTATAGTTGTTAATAACATCAAAAAGCTCAGAATCTTTCAAATGTCTGGTAATAAAAGACCAGCAGACCAAGACGAGGATTCCAACAAGTTTGGTACACAAGATATTTGGTTTAATGCTATTAGAGTACCCTACAAGACACATCTAAAGGTGAACCTTTCGTATGGATTTGCCCCCGGTATGCTATTCGAAGTTTTTTCAAGTGATCATGGTGAAGATATCAATGAAATCGAGTACTTTTGGGCAGCCGATAAAGAACCTCCTGGAAATGTATATGCTCTTGAAGATAGAATTGGTATGGCCGAGGGATATGATGATCCCAATCTTGTGGAAAATCTTTTCAATGCAATCAGAGAATGCAAAAAAGTAAAATACTTTAATATCTATAGAGTGACACCAAACAACACTGAAATAGCTATCAAACAAAGATATATGGAAGCATTCAGAGACAATACAGTAATGACAACACTCAAATTAAATTATGAATTCTTTTTCACATCGATCATTTCAACCAATATTCTAAGTCAATCATTAGAGAGATTTAAAATCATTTTATATCATCATAATATTAATTGTATGTTTATTTATTTATTAAACAATACAAAATTTAAAATATTAATATTAACACTTAATATTTATTTATTTAAAAATTATATAGTTGATTATAGTGCATTGAATGAATCATTCCTTTTGATTATCAGTCAAAATACACATCCCAATCTTAAACACCTTAAAATTCAATTTGTAGTATCATCCAACCAAGACAACATTGACAATCGAAATGAAGATGAAAAAGAAGTATTGGAAAAGAGAATTAAAGATGCAATCACTCTAAACACAACACTAGATTATTTTGGTTATAATATTACTGATGTTGGTGGTGATTGTAAGCCTACATTTAATCGTCTAAGATAAAGTAAAGTAGTAGTAGTAGTAGTACCATCCCATCGATAAAGTAGTAAATATAATAATTATTATTATTATTTAATTTAGTATTTTATTATGTGCACTAGCAAATCAAAAGAAATAATGAACAAGATAATAAACTACACTACTTTTCAAATTAGGTTGGTGATGATGTTCAAAGCTTTGAGTTTTGTTAAAGCTTTGAACATCATCACCAAATTAATTTTGAAAAGTAGAGTAGCACTCAAACATGATGGCGACACATACAGATATGACTTTTCATTTTGAAACAAACGGACTCTTCTTCTTGTTGTTGCCTCTTTGCTTTGGATGATTCAAAACCACAACCACTCTCCAGATTTGTTATCTTGGTAAGAATCATCTTTAAAGAGGGAGGGTATTGTTATTTTGTTGAAACCATAGAGGTAAATAATTAATCAATCTATTCTATTTTATTTCAATCTCTCTACTACTGTAATAATATTTATTTAATTAATTAATTTGTTATCTCTTTTTTAATTTATTTAATTACTAGTTCCGTTTGTTGTTGTTGTAGTTGTAGTAGTAGTAGTAGTTGATTCTTCAGTTGATTGTTCAATTGATTTTGGAGGTTGGAAATAATTAGCCAATGGGAATCTAATCTTACACTTTTCAGTGTATTGTTGGATGAGATTATCGGCAAATGATTGATCAATCTTGCCAATGTCACAGAATACTGATTTCAAATGAACGAGATTTTCTCTACAATTGTCCCAAGAGGCAGTGGCACTGCTAGAGACACTGTTGACAATCAAATCCAAAGCCTTGGCAGAATCCTTGGTGAGATGATATAATTGTTCACCAGCAATGAATTGATGTGCATGTGAATCTTTGTGTTTGGCAGCGTATTGTTCGACAAACTGCAATAGTGAAGTGGCACCATCAAACAAGTTTGCCTTTTCATCTTCCAAAATTTTCTTGACCGATGCATCAGTTGTATCGGCTTGTTGTTCAACTTGTCTATACATTGCTACAACATTCTTGAATATTAATGGATGATTTGGAACAACTTGTTTTACTTTTAATAATGATTGAATTATTAATAAATATTTTCCTAAAACAAAATAAAAATAAAAAAGATTAATAAATAATTAATTTGTTTCTTTTTTTTCTCTATTTTTTTTTACTCTTTTCAAGATAACATTGACAAGCTAATAAATGAGCATCAACTGAATCTGGATTGAATTTCAACATTGTCTTTAGGAATTTGTTGGCTTGTTCCAAAAGATTTGGAACGGTGGCTAATTTTTCACCGAGTGGATCTTCATCAACCTTGTTCTTTTCATCAACTTCTACTTCATCGTCATCGTCTTTCTTTGGTGGTGGTGGTGGTGTTTGTTTGTTATTCTGTTTGTTATTTTGTTTCTTTTCATTTTCTTTGACGACTGGAGTGGTAGTGGCGGTTGGTTCGGTAGTAGTAGGTGGAGCAGAAGCAGTTTCGGCGGCGGTGGCAACACCAGCTGATGATTGTGTTGTTTCAACTGGTTTAACATATGGTTTCTTTAATAAAGTCAAATAAACCTTGACCAACAACTTGGCAGCATCGAGGAAAGGTTTATTCTTGTATACTTGATCCTCCCATCTTAAAAAGTCAACATAGGCTCTCAATGTTAACTTTTTCTGCATATGATTAAAGAAATCAAATTGATCTTCAATAAATTCTGTGAATGCCTAAAAAGAAAATAGAAAATAAAAAGAATTAATAATTGTTTTTTTGTTTCTTTTTCTATTTTTCTATTTTTACCTTATCAACTAAATGTAAAGCTTTAAGAGACATTGCATTATCTCCAGTTCTATAATAACTTTGACCCAATTCATTTTCATACCACATACATTGGTACTCGGAAATGTTAAACATGGTCGAGTCATTTGGATCAATGACAGTTTTGAAAATCTTGGAGGCATTGTCTCTTTCGTCGGCACGGAGAGCATAGAGTGCACTCTTTGTGTTGAGGTAACGATCGGCCAAATCAAGTTGACGGGCGTGCTCGTATTGTTGGGCGGCACCAACCAAATCACCATTGTGCTTGAGGAGTTTGGCACGAACAATGTAATTGTCGACATTGGTTGGGGTGTGTTCGATGGCCTTGTCAATTTGTTCAAACGACTCTTTAATCTTACCAACACGATCATAATGTTGAGCCAAAAAGTAACGACACCACAACAAGGTGGATGGTGATTCTTGTTGGTCGCTTCCAACAAGTGTACCCTTTTCAATCAATGATTGCAAAGTCTCTTCAAAGAACTTTTCAATCACCTTTGATTTCTTATCATCACCACCATTGTACAATGATTTGAGGTTGTTAAAGAGTGATGGAATACCCTTGACCAAAAAGTGTCTAGAAAACTTGGCCAATCTTATTAAAAACCCTTCAGAGTCTGATGGCAAAAAGTTTAATGGAATCTTTTGAATTACAAAACTCTTTGGATTTAGTTCTCCCCATTCAGCATAAATTGGTTTTAATATTTCAATTTGTTCTTTTGTAATTGTTTCTAAAAAATAAAAGAGAAAAACAAACAAAAAATAATATTAATATTAATATTTCTTTTTCTTTCTTTTTTTTCTTTCTTTCTTTGTTTCAATTCATACCAATTGATTTAATTCCTTTAGATTCCCAAAACTTCTTATGATAATTCATATTATCTGGATTTAATTTAATCAAATCAGTAAATACTTTTTCAGCTTCCTTTAACATATTCTTTTTAATGTAAATTTCTCCAGTCTTGTTCTTTGCCTACAAAAATAAAAGAATGAATTAGTAATCTAATCTTTGTCTTTGTCTTGTCTTTTTTGTTTGCTTACCCAAAGTTTATCAACAATAAATTTAGCATCAGATTTTAATAAAGATAGAGCTTTATCCAATTCATTTGATTCATCTAATAGTTGAACCTTGTAGAGGATGAGTTCAGAACGACGAATTCCTTCGTTTTCCTGATCCAACACATTAATGAATTCATCGAGAATAAAGATGGCTTGGCTGTGCGAACCCATGAGATGGTAGGTAGTGATGAGTCCGATCCAATGACCCTTGTAACCCGGTTGCAAGTGAAGCAGTGTCTTGTAAGAGTCCAACAAGCCTGGATAGTCACGTTGGAAGATTTGAATCAACGACATGTCCTTGAGGATCTGTACCGACTCTTTGTTGTTTCTGTGTGCCGTACGGAAGCACTTGAGAGCCTCTGGGAAGTTCTTGTCGTTACGATGCAGGAAACCGAGTGTATGCCAAGCTGTAAACGACGACATGTTGTCACGAACCACCTGTTTGCCGGCAGCGTGAGCTTCTTCCTTTAGATTCAATCCGTAGAGTGTCAATGTACGGAAGCAGAGTGCATCGACATTGGTTGGATGAATCTTGAGAAAGGCGTCGGCCTGCTTGATCGCCTTTTTGTATTTACGTTCATCGAATAGTTTAGACAATGTCTTGAGTGTGTTGGTGTCTTTGGTTGTTAATTTAACCTCTTTTGGTGCTGCTGCTGTTTTTGTTGGAGGTGCCATATCTCTCTCTCTGTTAAAAGATCGTTCTTTCTTTCTCTAAGTTACTCTACACTACTAACTAACTATCTTGTTTTCAAAAATAGTTTGTACTTGTACTTAAACGACACAACAACAACAACTCGACGAAGATGATGACAAGTACTTATGGACGACTTTGAGTGACCTCTCTCCTTTCAGATCAAACCTTTGGGAAAATAAAAAAAAAAAAATGAAAAAAATCTTTTTTTTTTTTCTCCTCCAACATCATTCCAACCCAAGCCCTGTCCAACTCATTTTTTACTTGTATTCCTAAAAGTAAACAAATAAATAAATATATATATATAAATTATATACTTCTTGTCTAGACATTTTTTAAGATGGCAAATAACATTTGGTAAACAAACAATCTTCTTCTTTATACGAGGCATTTTATGATTGACTCTAGGCTACCATCTATGGATATATCACAGTTTTAACTGTACGACGTCTTGTACCTTGGTACATATGTAGAAAGCTACTACATATACTACGATCGTAAGTATTAATAAAACTGATATTAATTCATTATGATATTAATTTCTAATTATCTTTTAATCTTTATTATTTTCCCTTTTTTTGTTAAAAGGCACAAGACGTCTGCAAGTAATTCTTGGGTATATCCTAGACGATAGCCTTTGGCCGATGATGAAATCCCTGGTTGGAGAAAAGGAATGTTGTTTATCAAGTGTTTTTCCACCCTAAATAAATCTACCAAAGAAGTATATACTTTTATTTATTTATTTCAATAACGATGATGATGACGATGATAACAGTTGTTGTTGTTGTTGTTCAAGTTTATAATGATCGAGTAATTGTTGAATATCCAATTTAGAATGTTTGGTAGCCATTTTACAAAGATCATCAATTGGAATGGTTTGTTGGTCAGTTGTACAATCATACAAATAGAAATGAACCATTGCAATCCCATTATTTCTTTCTATTGCTCTTTCCATTGATGATGATGTTATTTTATGTAAAAGATTTTGTTGTCCACCATCTAGATGTTGATCTAGAATGAAACGAACAATATTGACATGTCCCATGATAACTGCACAATTTAATGAATTTGGTCCAAACTCTTTAATTGTATTGTTGGTGTAACAATATCGAACCAAATCCAAATGACCATAATAACATGCATTATCCATTATATCTTTATAATTAATATGTATGCTACCTCGGTATCCTTTGATGAGTCCATTGATTAGTTCAACATTACCTGATCTTGCAACTTCAGACAATAGATCAGTGTCGGGTGAAAACATTGTAGACCAATATTGTACAAGGTGTAGAAATGTTTGAAAGTTTGCATTACGGTGTTTACAATATCGATTGATTGCTTTTGATCTAATTACTTTAATAGTATAATCGTCGGTCGTTAGCGGTGGCAAAGCTAAAATATAGTGTTTGAGAAAATCCCATGTCATTGCATATTGTCCAATAGCATCATAGTCATGGTATATAGATCGAATCAAGTCACTTCCCTTGATAGATCCTCGTAATCCGTATACTTGTATCTCATACTTTGTTCGAAACCGATGCGGTGATTTAGGTTGTTTCAAAGGTTCACAAATAACTTGTATCCAATAGAATATTTGTTTCCTAAGTACTGTATTTCTAAACATAGTGACACAAAGTTTATACTTGTTGTTGTTGTTGAAGATAAAGATAAAGATAAAGATGACATTTGTTAACAAACAAACAAATAATTTGAGTTAATAATAGCAAAGTAATTAATTGAATTATTATTTCACAAAGTTTAGTTAATAAATAAGGTTGTTCTTTTTGTTTTATTTTTCATTTTCTATTTTACTTTGAAGGTAAGATAAGATGTTTATCTACTCTTCAAGTAACTCTTGAAGGACATGTTATGCTCTCCAGTGTTACGCTTGGTGTAGGTGGTTCTGAGTACCTTGAAGAAGATACCAGCGACAAGGATCAACGTAACGGTAAAGAAGAAGAGTGAAATGACATTAAGAGCACCGACTGCATTATGATCATTGTGGAACAAATTAATCATCCAAATCAATCCACTAAAAGAAGAAGAAGAAGTAAAGAAGAAGGAGGTTAATATGGTTGGTTGTTTTAGGGTTGGTTGGTTTGTTTGTTTTGTGATACATACTGCATACCAGACTTCTTGAAACCTAACCAGAAAATAAAGTTAAAGGCCAAGAGACCCATGTAAGCAGCAAGGAAATTGTATTGGGCATGTGGTTCACCGGTACGAGCGGCACGGTAGAGACGACGGTGGACAAAGTAACAGATGGGGATACCGGCAAGCATGTAGAAAAGGGCAACAAAGAAGTTACCGTGAGCACCAATGGTGAGGGCACCAATGGACACACCAAAGTTCCAGATGAGAGCGACGGCACAGGCAGCAAATGTGACGGCCGAGAGACGGACAAGACGACGGTTGGCATATGGAATATCCTCCTCGACGGCGAAACGTGTCACTGGGAAGAACGATGGGTAGTTGGCTTCACCGAGTGGTTCGTATTGGTAGGTGGTTGGACCACGGACATCTCCATGTGGACCCATACCGGCGGTACCGGCGTTGTGGTTGTAGGTCGAGTCACCGGCATGGACGACGGGGACGGCAGCGACAGATCCTCCGGCGGCATTGGTGTGCAATAATTGGTCGTTGTGTTGTTGTTGCAAGATTCTTTCACGTTCTCTCAACTCTTGTTCCCAACGCATCAAGTTTTGTTCCTTTTCCATCAACGACTGTGAGTCAACATTGGTGGCTTGTGCTGGTGTCGAGAGTGGGAAACTCTCAGCTGGTGGGAATTCACTTGCTCTTTGTGAAGTTCCTTCTTGATTTTGATTCTCCATTTCTTTAAAAAAAAAAAAATATTAAATAGAAATAGAAAAAAAATATTAAAATTTATTTATTTATTTATTTATTTATTTATTTATTTATTTATTTATTTTCTGGAAAGATAATAAATAATATAAATATATATATTTTTTTATTTTTTTTTTTTTTATACATACTGAATGATTTTTTTTTTGTTTCCTAAATAAATTAAATGTACTTATACATAAAAGTATTTGCTTACTATTGGTGGTAATAAATAAATAATATATATAAATGTTAAAAATAAATAAATAAATAATTAAATTATTGTTTGTGTTGTTGAATTGAATGGAATTCGAGGTGGTTTTAAAGGTTCATACTCTAAGAGAAAGTAGAAACATTCCTAGATAGGTTCCTAATGCATTGCTACTTAATTAGTATGTTGAACTTCCTCACATGTCCAACTAGGTTTATCTTGTTTTCTTGTTTTAGAAATATATTGTTATACATAAGTGTGGTTACGTATGTCAAAATACAACTAGTAGCTTTTAATTACACACTCTCTATCAATACAACAGTGGTATTACATCGTAAAAAGAGTGTTTACGAATGTGTTTAGATACTATAAAAAAAAAAACAATCCAAATACGATGTTCCAATTGAAAAACAAAAGTATCACCCCCCACCCCTCTCACACAATGACTGACTACACTACTCTTTTCTATCTAGATTATTTTTATTTTAGATATTAAATTCATCATCATTTTCTTTTTCAGAGATTATTAATTGATTTGAATGATAGGGGAAACCACAATAGAGTGTAAAGTTTTCAAGATCGAAACGATTTTCAAACTTGATACGTGGAATGTGGACAGGCAACGAATGAATGTACTGACAATCAATTAAGAGGGTTTCAATTGATTTGGGTAGATTCTGTAGTGGGTTGACATACTCTGACCCGAGACGAAGGAACTTGAGGTGAGGTGGGAGTACATTCTTGCCAAATGGGAGGTTAAAGGATTTGCCAAACCAAAGATACGACAGGCTATCTGGTAATGCCAGTGTTTTGATTTGAGTAATTTCAAAACTATCTCCAAATTTGAGGTGTGTCAATCGAGGTGGAAATACTCTTTCATCAAGTCGACTATTTCTAGTTGTCACCAACAATGAAAGATGAGTCAATGATAATGGTAGTAGTCCCATACTATTATTATTATCATTATCTCTTGAACTTTTTAGAGGTTGTGGAAAGATTGATGTCCAAGATTGTTTGAGACAACCTTTAAGTGTAAGATGAGTTAGGTGAGGGGGTAGATGGATGACAGAGGTGTTGGACGGGTTAAGATAGAGTACGAGACGGTCTAGAGATTGTGGAAGTGCACCTTTGACTGACTGGTCATAATGCTCAATCTCGAGAGTTGTAATGGTCGATGGTAGCAGAGGATAGGATATACCATTGGCAAGTGGTAAACTTCTATCAACTATTTTAGACAGTGTCATTGGTAGAGCAGATGTTTCTATTCTATTGTCATAGGATCTTCCAATGACCAGGGTACCAAGAGATCGCGGCAACATGCCAGCGTCTAGTAACCGGTTGAATCCACCAATATCAAGTGTTCTAAGATGTTTTAAACTCTCACCCAACTCTTTACCAAGAGGATTATTGAAATGTGGTGAGAGAATGAGTGAGCGTAGTCTTGATGGTAGAGATCCGGGTGCAGGTGATATATTGATGACGTGCAAGAGTGATTCAGGCAATACGCCAACAGAAATCATCGAGTTGTAGTCAAAGCCAAAACAAACCCATCGCAACGATGCAGGCAGTGATCCTGGCTCGAGATGTTGCTGGAACCGCTCACCCAAGCGAAGATGAGTGACCGTGTTGGGAAGCAGACCTGGATAGATTGGCGAATTAAACTCATTGTTGAATCGAATGTGTGTCAATTGTGACAACGACATGTTGGGAATCAACCCATTTTTGGTGACACATAGATGAGTAAAGGAGGTATGTATACTATTATAATTAGGCCAAACAGCAGAAGAGGATGTAGAAGTTAGGGAGGAAGTGGAAGAAGTAGAAGAAGATAGAGATTGTGATGGTGAAGAAGGTAAATCTCTTATAGTTGGTGGTGGTAATATAGTCAATGTCTTTACATTTGGGAAATGACATGTTGTAAGTGGTGAATTTCCTCTTCCTAAAAGAGAGAGAGAAAGTTAATATAAAAATATTTATATATTCATTCATTTCATTAATGTTGTTTCATACCAGTATAATAATGAGTTAGAGAAGTAACATGATCAGGTATAATAAATTCTCTTTGACGAGTTATACCATTACTACTTAATAAACTATTGATACTATTATTTAATTGATTATTATTATTTTCCATTCCAACGGAAGAATTAAATGGACCAACCAAAGTAATACAATTGATAAAATTAGGTAATGTTGACAAATCAATACCAGTAGCTTCAAAATCATAAATAGTCAACGATTTTAATTTGATTTGTCTTTTTTCGTCTTCATTACCAATATTATTATTATTTATGAAAGCAGGTAAATGATATAGGGTTGAAATGAAATGATTATAAATGGATAGAGGAAGTGTAATCATTTCAGCACAATCCAAAAAGGCATAATCATAATCACGACCATAGGGAGGAGGTGCAATGTCAATATTTGAAAAGTAGAGAAAGTTTCTAAGACTTCTCATCTTTTTACAAGTATTAAACAAAGCAAGTTTATCACGGTTATTATCAATCACATGGAATATATTACCAATTACAATATTTGGTAGTTTGGTCAATCTACTACCCGCAACATTGACTGCATTTTCCAAAGATAAAAATGAAGAGGATGGAGATAGTGACGTGGAAGAGGATGAAGAGGATAATAATTTATTGTTATTATTATTTCTATTATTATTATTATTATTATTTTTGTCACATATATCATCTGCTTCATCACTGTCGTCAGATGATTCTTCTTCTTCATTTTCCAAGTCTCTTCTTCTTGTATTTTTGTTTCCAAGTACACTAGTACTATTATTTCCACTAATAGTACTACGTTGTTGTTGTTGTTGTTGTTGTTTACTTGATTTTGAACCCATTGTTTCTTGTTTGATTAATTATGTTTGATATGTATATATATATATATAAATATAAAAAGTATACTATGTTGTCTCCTTTACTTAAAGGTTATTATTCATTAAATAGATAAGAATATAAAGATAATATAAAGATATATGATGATGATGAATTTAAATTATTGATGATGTTACTACTACTACTACTCGTTGACGTATCTTTCTTATTCATTATTGTTGTTGTTTCAACACTATATGATACTACACGATTAATATTCTATTTCTCTTCTTCTATTGATAATGAATGGGTAAGGTGCACAGTCACCTGGTAATGACAATGACGATAATAATAATAAAAATAATAATAATAGAAAGTATGAATCACCAACTACTGGTCACTTTGTCTGAAAGATGGGTGATGGGTCGTGACTACGCCAACATTAAAAAAAGCAGTAGACTCACAACCCAAACCTCACAAAAAATAGTATTATGGATGATACTATCATAAAGGGTCGATGTAAATGTCTACTCCTACTATTGACAAGATATCTAATCTATTACTACTACATATCATATCAAAGATTGATGATAATGTAGATATAGTATGTTTGTTGTTAACTTGTAAAAAGTTATATCAAAATAGTAGTTTAAAGAGGTTGATACAGTTTAAAGGAATAAGAGTTATTGATGATAAAGGTAGATGTAAATCAAAACAGTTTCAAGCAACAGCTACTCAATTCAAACTCTTGTCTTTTAAAGATATATTGGAGAATAGTATATCTGATCAGCAGGTTATACTGTCTGATGAAGAAGTTGACAAACGCTATCCAAAATGGATACAACAACGTATCTCTGCTTCTGCTGCAACCAGAGTTGATAAAAGTAACATTACAACTGCTTTGGTGATGCACAATACCTTGGGCCCAACGGTACTAAATATTGCATGTCGTGACATACCATCTATCGAGACACTTATCATCAATGACCATGACTACCAAAATGACCGAAATACAGTAGTCATTGATCTTGACTCTATCTCCCAGTTACCAAATCTTCAACGACTTGTAGTTTCTACAAAATGGTTGAATCGTCTAGGTCATCACCCATCACGCAAGACTTTAGAATTAAATGTCGATACCCGACAATACACTCCAATTGAGTTGGGTCTCTCTAAATTCTTATCATTGACAGAATTAAAGTTCAAGAGTTATTGTGTGTCGAGTATCGGTGGTGGTGGTGGTGGTAGACCGGATCCAGTCTTCCCGAGCAGTCTGACTAGTCTAACTCTCAGACCAACGGAAATACCTGCACGTAATACATTCCTTTCATTGACGTCACTCGTGACCCTAAAGATCTACCTATCCAATAAAGAAACAGATAGGGTAGAGGAAGACCGATTCATCGATCTCGAGAGCCTGTCCAACCTCACGACACTATAGACTACTATGAAGAAGAAGATCTCCGTACCACTATAAGTGTACCCCCTTCACTCAAGATTCTTACCATTTGGTCTCACTATGTACACATCCCACACGAATGTACCATGCCACTATTGGAGAATTTAAATGTGACAGCAAGTTTATTGACCGATGGAAATATCAGTCTATTATCATCCAAATCAATCAAGAAACTCTATTTAAAAGGATGTTATAAAACAATTCCACCCAATATCATCCCACCCTCTGTACAGAGGGTTACATTTGATACCATCACTATCGAGGATAAATCACTTGATAATGTTATATTCCCACCATGTCTCACTCATCTGTCGATCATAGGTGAATACTATCACCCTGTCTGGAACCTCCCTCCATCACTCGTTAAACTAAAGCAAAGGGTTGACAAGGTTCCATCTACACTTCCTCAACATTTGGAGAAACTTGCTTGGGGAGTGTTTGAAACCGGTAAAAGTAGCCAAACAGATTTGCAATTTCCATCGTCCTATCCACCTCATCTTGAAATGCTTGACTTTTATAATGTCGATGGACCCTTCACATTAGACAACATACCACCAATCATCAAACATTTAAAAGTACAAATGACCCGTGACAGAGGCCAGTGGCCATATCCTAAACTGTTCTCAATCGGCTCAATGATGAGCAAGAGAATCATCTCACAATCACCATCAGAATTGTGGCTACCACAAAATACAACTCATCTAACATGTAACTTCAAATACTTTTCTGAAAATGCAGTGTTTAGATTGGACCAAGTGATCAACCATACCAATGTTAGATCTCTATCTATCATTATTCAAGATAATACTTATTACTCTGATGATCACATCTACACTTTTCAATTCTCAATTCAAAGATTGGACACTAAAAATAGAAATGTATTGGTATTGGAAACACAAACACTTCAAGGTGGGATCATCACTCAAAAATCAAATAACAATCAACAACAACAACAACAACAACAACAACTATATGATCCCATTTATTTATATTTTGATTTAAAAATAGCTTCATCTTCATATGAATTGAAATGGAGTTTTGAAGATAGAATCAATGATCCAAAATAAATAAAAAAGAATAAGAAATCCATGGATTTAATTAATTAAATTACAAAATTATTTATTTAAAATAATAGTTGGGGGGCAGGAAAATAAAAGATACAAAATATCATTATGTATCCTTTTAGGTATAGGGGGAGTATATGTCGATTGTGTTGGTTTTGTTGAATAAATAAATTCCTCGGTTGGTTTTGTTTGATTATATTATATTATATTATATTATATATGTGTGTGTGTGTGTGTGTGATGGATTAGGGGTTTAGGATTTAGGTTGATCTTGAAAGATGATAGGCATGTGAAATTAAAGATGAAATGGATCTACCTCTTGAAATGGCCAAATCATCGACCATTTCTTTGGCTTCATCATCCATCCAATCTTCTTGATGAACTTGTAATATATATGTCATCTTTATCTCTTTACCATCACCAATTGGTTCAAAAATAAATCCACTTCCATAACAATCCAAATTAAATGGTTGTACTTCTAAAGAAATGAAATAAATAAAAAAGAATTATTAATTATTTGTTCCATCCAAAATGTTTATCTATAGATAAATTTATATATATATTGTATATTGTATATATATATATTGTATTTACCTTTATCAATTAAATGATTATTCATTCCTTTAATATGAAATGGAATATGATGTTGAACAATATGAATGGGAGATAATAAAATTGGTTCATCAATACTATTTCTACGAACACGTTTGAGTGGAGCTCTAGTACTTGATTGTAAGTCTTCCTCTTCATCGTCATTGTCTTCATTTTGATCTTGATCTTGTTGTTCATCACTCTCTTGTTCTCTACGATAACGTGAGTGATTCTTACTACTATAAGCATTACTATTATATACACTATTTGGATGATGTAAATGACTATTGATACTATCTTCAATATCCAATGATCCTTCACTATCTGAAAGTGATTCACTACTATCATCTTGGTCACTTTCGTCATCTTCAGAATCTGAAACAAATGAATCTGAATCATCAGTTGATGATGAAAAGTCATCTGAATCATCTTCACCGCCCCGACCGTCATTATTATCTTGGTGTTGTGAAGTATCTGAAGAGATTGGTGATCCACTTTGATACTTTCTAATAATATCTTGGTGTTGTTCATTTAATTGGTATTGTAATAACCCAATATTATTCAATAAATCAGATGTTGTAGTTGTTGGTTCATTATTATTATTATTACTATTGTTATTATTATTATTATTTATATTATTATTGTTATGAGTTGGTTGAATAGGGTATGGTGAACTATATTGAAGTAGAATATTATTAAATTGATCATGAATAATTGGATTGGTTGTTGAAGATGATGACATCATTGAAGGTTGATTGTGATTATGACTATGATTAAAACTAATAATACTATTATTATTATTACTATTACTCTTAAAAGTAGTACTATCATTTGAATCATTGTGAATATTACTATTTGGACTTGCAAAGAAACGGTCATTGTCTGAAGACTCTGTGTAGACCATGCGAACATAGGTCATAAAGAGATTGCCAATGATTTGTTTATGGAGAATATCAACCTTTTTGACGTGACCGTCGACACCGTTAATCTCGGGACTCTTGATGACCATACCCGTGCAATGACGCAATGCAACGTCCCATAGGGGGATCTTTTCATAGTCGAGTATCAACGACATCATCTTTTTGAGGATACGTGTTGGAATGGTACGAGTGACACGTATGCAATAGGTTGTTAGGTTACGATGCACCAATGTGTGATTGTGAAGAACCGATACACGTTGATTGGGTACAATCGATTTTTCAATCGTCGACGTTGCCAATGAAGGTTGTTTGGTTACTTGAACAGTAGTCCAAAATGCTCCTTCTCCATTATTCTCAATACCATTGTCATTACCTTGACTACTACCACGTTGATTTAAAGAAGCAGTTTTCTGTAATATTTCCAATGCATCTGATAGCAGTGGTTGATAGTATCGATAGAGAAGATTACGAAACTTGAACATTTGCTTGAAACTGTAGCTCGATAGGATGACCGATAGGATAGCCTGTGGAATCATCAAACTCTTGTAAAAGGCGTAGCTAAACAGTCTGTTGATGGGTTCGAGGTTACTGTAGGGATCGGAAAAGTACTTGTGGCAGCAGTTGATGGTGCAGACGGGTACCAGAGGATACATGGGTCCCCATTTAACACGAAACAGCTCTCTCCAGAGATTGTGGTTGGATGAGATCGAGTTGAAGAAATTCGACAATTGTCCGACTCGTGTCAACGACTTTTCATCGAGATAGGTGAATATATACAATAGAATGTCATCGGGTAAATCAAGTAACTCTAGTGGATGTCCAAGTTGACTATGATGTATAATTACATTACTATGTTGATGGTGTGGATGATGATGACTATGATTATGACTATGATTATGATGAAATACACTACTCATCTTATCTTTAATAATAAATAAATAAATAATCTAAATATTTAATAAATAAAAGAATAGGTAAATAAATAAATAAATAATAAATTGATTGATATTCTGATTATTCTCTCTCTCGATGTCTAACTGAATATTATTATTATTGTGTTCTTGTTGTACAAAAAAAAACGAGAATGAATGAATGAATGAGGGTGGTAGGTGGATAAAAGAAGGAGATAGGATTGGAGGATGGATTAATTATTATTATTATTATTGGTTAAGTATAAGTAATAAGTAGTACACAGTGTAAAAGAAAAGAAGAAGAAGAAGAATGATAATACTAAACGATGATAATGTTATGTCTTGTTGGACATATTTTCATTCTCCCACACGATAAACGACGATATATAGTTATATTATTATTTAAAAATAAAAAAGAGAGGGGACTGAGTAAAAAAAAAAAAAACCTCCAAACAATGGATTTCCATTTTTGTCGATGCATAGCGAAAAGATGCTGAACTCGAATGAATGCGACAGTCGCGTAGTTTTGGTTGACTCTGAAACTCCAACTATAAAAGTATTTATATGTATCCATATGTTGTAGTCTCAAGAGTTTGTTAGTAGAGACTGTTGTTACTGTTACTCTTTCTTGTTATCATAAGCAGCGTCTATTGACTTGTTCCTAACTCCTATAAATGTACATGATATGATCGCAATTGTTGACTTATGACTTACCTTGTCTCCTCTCTTTTTGTGGTTTTGTCTTGTCTTTTTTCAACTTTGGGTAGTTGATGTTGAAATAGTATTGATATAGTATAGTTAGTATCTATCTCTCTTTCTCTAAAGAATAAATATATTTAAAGTATACTGTTGTTGTGTTTTATAATAAGAGAGTATGAAGAACTGATAGTGTGACTATTGCTGTTGTTGTTTGAATGAATCTAATCTATTCGGGTGAAAGAAGAAATAATAATAAACAAATAAATAAAAACAAGAAAGAGAGATAGATACTATTTAAGGATGGGAATGATACTATGAATGATTGAATAAAGGAAAAGAGGAGGGAGGAGGAGAAGGCAAGGAACCACGACATGCTCCAATGGAACAACAAGTTGATCGACAATCTCTCTCCTCTCTCTATGTTTGCTGACCCTACAACAACCACCATCATCGTCATCCAAGATAGGATTTAATGTGTACAACCCGTGTCTAGGATGATGTTGGCACAAATAAATTTCCCATCGACTCTACAAATTCCATCCTTCAACATGGCGCTTCAAAAAACAATGAAATTTCCTTTTTTGTTCAAAATTCAACAAAAATAACAAAGCTGCCAACCTTTTTTGATCAAAAGTCTATTCAAGTTTTAATGGAGAAGAGACAAGACGAGACTTTTAAATATTTGTTTTCGAACATGTATAATAGTTAAAAGTAGATTCAATCAGTTGCGACAAACGAAACATTTCACATTCCATTGAATGTTTCAATTGAACAATCGATATTCGAGAGGAAATGAATAATAATAATAATAATAATAATAAAGTAATAATAAAGTAATAGTAATAATAATAATACAATTCAACAAACACACAATGTAGAATGTGTTTTCGAAACACAATACAACAGCACTGGTAGTGGTGGTTGTAAAAGAATGAAAAATAATAGAAAAGAGATATATATCTCTACGATACGATGAAAACGACAGATACAAAGTAGTAGTAGTATATAACGGCGATACTAGATGCTATCTATCTATCTGTCTATCTGTCTTTCTGATTTAGCATTGAAATACAATGAGTGTGGGTGTGTTTGTTGTTGTTGTGAAAAATCTGCAAACTATCGATTCTACACATTACAACCCTAACCCTAACCCCCAAACTCACCACTTCCTCCATCCTCGACAATTACTACGATTGCACTCCGGTACAATCCTAATTTGAACAAATTGTTTGAAAGCAAAGACTATCTCAACCATTGTTGTTGTTGTTATTCATTAATTAGTTTAATATAGTTTTATCTATCTATCTATTTGTTTATTTATTGTTTTCTCTGTAATTTATTTATTATTTTCATTCCATCAATCTCTAGATCTTCAATAAATACAAAGGTAATAACTTATCCAACCAACTTAACTTTATACACACATACAAACATTTATTAATCTATTCCATCCATCCATCCATCCATCCATCCAATCAAAAATATAGAAATCTCTAGATTATATCTAAAAATTTTTAGTAGTGAAAAATGGTATTATCATTTTATCCACAAATCTTTCCAAGGTACACACAGTACTCTAATTCAGATGAAAGCAAACTGATTATTAGAGTACATGAATCGAAAAAGAGACAACTTTTACGTCAATGTCTTGCCGAGTTTGTCGGTCTCATGTTCTTTACATTTATGGTTGGTGGTTCCGTCATCACTGCCAACTTTTACTTTTCCGATCCAGTCATTAAAATCGTCCTCATTGCCCTCATTCAAGCCATGACTCTTGCCGCCATCATCTGGTTCACCAGTGGTGTATCTGGTTGTCAGTTGAACCCCGCCGTCACAGTCTCTCTTGTATTTACTGGTCGTATGGGTATTTTGAATGGTATTTTATTCATCATTATGCAATGTTGTGGTGCTCTCGCCGGTAGTGCTTTAATTAAAGCTGCTGTTCCAGGTCATTGTAAGTAAAAGGAAAAAGAATTATTTCTTTTAAAGAGATAATAATATTAATTTACTTGTTTTATTTTAGATGAAGGAAATTTAGGAGCAACAACATTAGCACCAACTATTCCATTTGCAAGAGGATTCTTTTTAGAAATGATGGGAACTTGTTTGTTATGTTTGGTAGTACTTGGTATGTCAGTCTACAATGAATGGGATCCAAAGTTGGGTAGATATGCTCCACTTGGTATTGGATGCGCTGTCTATGCTGGTGTTGCCATGTTGAACCCATACACTGGTGGATCACTCAACCCAGCCCGTTCATTCGGTCCAGCTGTACTCTCAGACACATGGCACTACCATTACCTCTATTGGTTTGGACCAATTGCAGGTGGTATCGTTGCTGCTCTCCTTTGGAGATTTATCCTATCTGAAAAGGTTGCTCTTGTCGATCGTCCATACGCCGATTATGCCAATACCCCAGCCAATGCTGGTGGTCATGCTGGTAAATAAACAATAACAACATCAACCCCATCTACATCCCACTCTATATTCAATATTTCCCCCCCAAATCTTTTTAAAATAAAATAAAAGTTAAATTTTATATAAATATCCCTACTCTCCTCTTTCTCTTTCTTTTTTTTGATTTATATACTTTAATATTATTATTTATTATTTTTTTTTTAAAAATGTATTTTTTTTTTCTATTACTATTATTATTATTATTGTTATTATTAAATTTCCTTTGTTTAATTATCCAAATCAACACTATCATCTTCATTTTCACCATAATAATCGGCATCATAACGTTCGAGATCCCATGGTTCGATGAGGAGGTCTGTCTTTTTGAATAATGGGTCGTCAAATGGTACGGCATTCTTACGTTGTTCAAGACGAGAGGCAGCATGAGCTTTGTAAGAGGTGAGTTGGTCTTGAATGTATTTCATTGAGCTCTTGGTTTGGGCGTGATTGTGGAATGGGTTGAGAGTGAGTGAGACGTGACTTTGTTGGAGAATGTCTCTAAAGATGTCTTGGTCGTGCTCTGATTGTTCTTTCATGTCGGCAAGCTTGACATAGGTATTTGGTTCGTATGGTGATACATAGATGGTATTGCTGGCAGCGGCAGCGGTTGGAATCATAGCACGTTTACCCTTGATGTGTTGGGTTGGGGTAGCAGTACTATTGGCAATGGCTTCACGATGTTTGGCCAATTGAGCTTCACGTGATTTTTGGGCACGTTCTCTACGTTTGGCCAACACCTTCATCTTCTTTTCCTTGCGACGGAGGTACATGTCGGCTTCGAGTGTGAGGACGGCCATTGGCTCGTTCAACTCTTCCATGTCTTCTTGGTCGTTGATCATCTCTACGTACTCGCCAATCTCGAGGAAACCCTTGGGAGAGGTGATGTTGAGACCGAGCTCGAGCTTGTTAAAGTCGCTTGGATCCATCTTGTCCATGGCTTCGTAGACGTCGAGGTCGGGGTTATTGACTTCGATAATCTCAAATGGCAGCTCCATATTCTCGACTCCCAACTCGGTACGTGCCATCGAACCATAGTCATTGACAAGTTCGCTAAACTCTTCGTCGCTAATGTTAAAGTTTTCGGCGGCAGCGTCATCCGACTCGGTTTGTTGTGGGATGGCGTTTCCTTGTTCGTCGTACAATACAATGTCTTCGGCTGTTTGGGCATCCAACAGATCGATTTCATTTTGTATCTCTTGTTTGGCAAACTCTTCAAAGTTGTTGTCAATCTCGTCTTGAACACTCTTGATGAAACGGCTAAACATCACTTCTTGGTCTTGGGCCGACAATGCTCCGGTTTGTTCAATCTTGGAGAGATCCAATCCTTCGATGAATTGTTCGATATCCACCGAACCTACAACTGGTGCATCACCAGATTGTTTAGCCTCTCTCAATGCATCCTGTTGATCCTTGAATAAAAGTTGTTGCAATGATGGTACATCGGCAACAGTTGGAATATCCTCAACATGTAACGGTTGATTTTCATCTCCAAAATCATTGTCAAACAATGGTTCCTTTTCAAAATCTGCTTCCAATTCATCAATTAATTCTGGTTCTGCTTCTTCACCATCTTCAAGGAATCTCTTATTAAATAATATATCACTTTAAAACGAAAATAAATTTAAAAAGTTAATAAATCATTTCTTTTTCTTTTTTCTTTTTTCTTTTTTTCTTTTTCTTTACCTATTCTTTGCATCAATATCAGCAGAATCATCAGACTTTTCAATACCATTATTATTTTCACCACTGCTGCTGCTGACACCATTTTGTTCATCAATTTCACCAGTGATTTTTTCGAGTTCTTGAGATAGGGCATCTTCCAATTCCTTTTCTTCTTCTTCGACCAATTGTTGTTTACCGTTCATTTCTTCTTCAACGTCTTGTTCAGCAGATGGGATCATCTCGTCGATAGTTGGTTCATGGTAGAGACCATCGTCATCTTCATCTTGTCCGGCTACTTCTTGACCCAATTCACGAACGATTTGATCAATGTCTGAGGTGTTGTTCCAATCGTTGGCTTGAGCAAGTAATTGTTCAATGTTTTCTTCGGTGATTTCAATGGCACCGCTTGACTCTTCATTTTCATTGATTTCAAAATCTTTAGCCTTGCCCAACTTGAGAGCAGCCAAGACTTGAGCGGGAGTAACCTTTTCTTCGACAATATTGTCAATGTCTTGAGAGATGACGAGATCGAGTTGTTCGGTGAGACGTTCCATGTCGGCTTGTACGGCACTTTGGTCATAGACTTGCATCTCTTGGTTCTCAACATCACGCTTGTACTCTTGTTCGTAGAGATCCATCTTTTTGAGATACTCGTATTTGGTGTTGATGATGGCATTTGGATCGTGGAATTCATCGTCTTCTTCGTCATCCTTTTCAATACCCATTTGCGAGGTGTGGGCATCGACCAAGGCAACTCTCATCTCGGCATAGGTGTGTGGTTCACGTACACCAAAGTCCTTGACGAGTGATGGTGAGTTGTAAAACTCATTGTCTTCAGAGAGTTGGAAGATACTGTCGACGGTGATATTGGGTGGTTCGTAATCGGTTCCCTCCTTTAATATCTCGTTGTACTTGTCGTGTTCCTCTTGATCAAACAATTCTTGAGCTTCTTGTTGCTTGTAGTCTTGGGCAATGGTTTGGTCCATAGCATCAACGATTTGAGCTTCCAATTGAGCGTCCCATTTGGCATCATCTTCCTTTGAAATGACGTCGCTTGTTGGGACAAACATCTCAGTGGCAGCAGTAGTCACAACACCACCGACGGCACCACCAACAACACCACCAACAGCACCAACAACCTTTTTACCATCGGCAGCAACAGTTTCAAAGGCAGTAGACTCTATAGTATTTAAGTTGTAAAAGTTGATTTCTTGCTGGGACTTTGGTTGAACCAAGTATTCTTGGGGTGTGATAAGGCCGGCATCCAATGCATCATTTCCAGCAATGTTGTCTTGGACGATAGCCTTGGTTTCCTCGACCGAGTATTTGGTGAGCAGTGCCTTGAGCTTGGCCTTTTGCTTGGCAGACTCTGGCAACGCGATTTGGTCTTGGTCTTGGTGTTGCTCCAACTTTATGTAGTCCTCGATGGTTGGCGAGTCCTCGGGGTCGGCGTCAATGAGCTCTTGGACAAGCTCGAGACGTTGGTGGTGTTCGAGGAACTGGTCTCCCAACTTTTCGTTGACGTCGTCGTTGTACTCTTTGATGAGCTTGGGGTCAAAGATGTATGGCACCTTGCTAGGATCCTGTGTGCTGGCAAGTTGAGCCATGTCATCGGCAAACAAGGTCTCGAGAGAGTCTTGCAAAAGACCTTGCTCCCAGTTCTTGGTGAATACACGCATCTTGTCCTTGGTCAGCTTACCATAGTCGGCCGAACGTTGGTCAAATGGAGTCAACCCCTCTTCTTGGGCAATAGCAAGTTCTTCGTGGAATGGCAGTGTTGGCAAATCCTTGATCAATGATTCGGCACGGACAGCAAGATCGGTCTCTTCATCGGACAGATTATCATAGTCTACCTCTTCCTCTCCATCTTCATCAAACTCTTCCAAATCGTCGTCCATCTCCAAACCCTCATCCTCTTCATCTTCCTCGATTTCTTCCAAGTCAATCTCTTCCTCTACTTGAATCATATCATCTTCATCGTCGTCGTCTTGATCGATTTCGTCGACTTCTTGTTTTCCATCTTGTCTTAATTCATTTTCGAGTGTTTCCAAGATACCTTCTTCACCATCGAAATTCTTCATGAATAGTTCAAGATTTTCGGTATGAGTAAAGAGGTTTTGACGGTCCAAATCCTCGAGGTCAAGATATTCGGCGATATCTTGTGGCACGACAACATCCTCATCGTCGTCTTCTGTGGCTCTTTCTACTTCCAACTCGGCTGCTTCGTCCATATCTTGCATTTCAAACTCGGCTTGTGGCTCGTCGTCTTCTTCCTCTTGGATATTGTCAAACTCGGCCATAGCAAACTCTTGATCCTTCTTTGACAACAACTTGTCCAACTCCTTGTCCAAAAGCTCTTCACCGATGAGATCGCCATCATTGTCGGCATCGTCGAGGAGTTCGTCGTCCAACTCGTCATCATCTTCTTCGTATTCATCGATAAACTCTTCGTCTTGGTCGTCGTCGGCGTCCTCGTCCAAGTCTGCCTCGTCGCCCTTGGACAATTTAACACCGTCACCGTCCTCACCATCTTCTTCATATTCGATGGCTTGACTCTCCTCCAAGAGGTCGTCGACAATGTCACCACCATAGTCGTCACGATCCAACTCATAGTCTTCGATCATGATATCCTCGTCTTCGACATCCTCGATAATCACGTCTTCGTGTTCGTTGAATCTCATGTTTTTAAACTCTTCAATATCAAACTCTTCGTCGGCAGCAGTATCTTCATCAGCCTCTTGCTCGGCCATATACATGCCCAAACCACCACCATTGTAAGATGCAAAACTTGCATCAAATGCTGGAATATTTGATATCTTTTTAAGTGATGGTTTGTCTGATGTCTTTTGTAATTGTTGTTCTTTTGATGATGACGATGATTGTTGTGGTTGTTGTTGTTGATCTTTTGTTGTTTGTTGATCTTCTTTTTTAGTATCTAATCTTTGTTCAAAATTCTTTAAAAGATTCTTGTAATTGTCTGATGGATCTTCTTTCTTTTTTTTTTGGTTGGTTGTTGTTTTAGGAGTAGTTGTTACACCATCAGGTTTGTCATCCTTTTTAGAAGAAGTACAATATGATGATTTGGAGACTACCAATGAACCTCCTTTGGTACCAGTCAAAGTAGCTGTTACTTGACTTGCAACCAAACTATTAATACGCTGCTTTGAAGCAGTTGCAGCACATCTATACATTGTTCTCTCTCTCTCTCTAAATAGATATATGTATATTACAAATGTAATTATAGACACGTATTAGTAATCATCATTGATTGATGGTGATGATGATCATCATCATCATTATCATTAACATTTCCTCGGTCAGCAAAGTGAATGAATGAACATACATCTAACTAACTATATATTATTATACTCTGGCGTATGATGTTGAATGCGTAGATAGTGATAGGTGGGTTCTCGCTTCTCTTCTTCTTCTTTTAAAGATATGCAAAGGAGGGAGGGAAGACGAAGAATGCAACTAGTTAGAGAAAAATGTAGCTAAACGAGTGTCAATCTCTGCATCAGGCAATGACACTGAGTGTGATCAGAAAGAAACTCACGAAAAAAAATTAATTTTTTTTTCACTCTCACATCTTTCGCGTTCATCAAGACATGCACATAATGATATGAAGTTCGAACAATCACAAATACATATAGAGATACACAGACATATAGATATACATGTTATATTTGATACCCGTGACATAGATAGATAGATATATAGATTTGCAATATTGATTACATTAAGGTTCATAGTTGCTTTCAACTCGCGCTACATTAAATTTATGAAAAATTGACATGTATGATAACAACACGTAGTTCAGCGAGTGGGAGTGGGTGAGAAAAAAAAATAAAAAAAATCAATATTTTTGAATTGGTTTGAGAGCGGTTACAAACAGCTTTGTTGGCGCCCTTACCAAGCAACGGTAAAAAAATTGAATGAGCTCATCCCTCCTCTCAACACAGTCCTCATTCACAACACAACATAACAACAACAGCAACAAACAGCAACAGCAACAACAACAATAACTCCTCTCTAAACCATTTAGAGATATATTTGATCGATTCGATTATATCTTTACTTTCAAACAACAAAAAAAAAAAGAGAGAGGAAATAATAATAATAATAATAATAAATAAGAACAAGAACAACAAACACAAACAAAAAGGTTATAGATTATTTCAACAAGAAAGAATAGAATAGAGACGACTACTTTACAACACTACTACTACTACTAAACGACACGACTGACATATACATAAGATAATTAATTATAAATTAGAATATCGCTAGTGAAATAAATAATAATAATAATATCAGCAGACATACGGTCGTAGTAGAGTATATATATAAATATAAATATATATGTATTTATACAATTGAACGAGAATAGTTACAACAAATAACCAAGTAGTTTACAACTATAAATATATATATAAAGAGATTGATTTAGTAAAGAGGTGTAGGGGGTAAGACCTAGCTATAACACCATAAATCATTCATCTTATAATATAATAATAATATAATACCTATATACTAATAATAATAATAATATCAAGATATTAATAATCACCACCCAACACGCACACAACACACAACACATTTCATTGTATATATATCTAATTAATTAATACCCAAACACCCTAATATCCAATCAACATCAAAACAACACAAATTCTAGAAACAAGGTATGTAGTTTAAAACTTATCAACAATATAGAAATTATATTAATCGACCCTTTTCTTTTCTTTTATCCAACTATGAATAGGTCATCAATAATACAGAGAGAGTTTATTGTGTGACGCATATCTATCAACTCCGACTACGATTATGATCCCATTTTATGATAACCAAGCTTATCATAATCGAAATATTCTACAACAACAACAACAACAACAACAATATCTTCAACAACAATATCAACAACAAAAAATGGATAAGACTGAATATTCATTCTCAAAGTTATCTTTAAATGGACAACAACAACAAACATCACCAACCACCAATAACAATAGTAGTGGTACAACTACAAATAGTAGTGCTGGTGGTAGCGGCAATAATGCATTAAACAATACAAGTTTAAATAATATCAACTTGAATACCACGACTGGTAACAATAACAGTAACAACAACAATTCACTACTACTACAACAGTTGAATAGTAGTAGTAGAATACTACCTGGTGTGTATGGACATCATCATCATCATCATCAAGTGTCAATGTCTTCATCCTATGTATCAGGTGATTCAGATTCCAATTATGACGATGAAAGATTATTGGATGAACAAAGTCACCAACTACAGAAATCACTTGACTTGTTGAGTGACAGTGATGAAAGTATCCCCTTTAGTATGAACCATATTTATTTTGGAAATCAATCAACTATTGCAAATAATACTAGTAGTTCTTCTATTAATACTAGTAGTGGTATCTATGGTGGTGGAAACAACAACAACAACAACAACTATTCCAATTCTTCTTCAAATGTAATTGGTCAACAACAACAACAATTAATGAAGAAACATTCTTCTCCAACTTATGGTAGTGTTAGTGGTGATATTGGTAGTGGATACATTCAGCAGCAACATGTTTACCATCCACATCATCATCAACAACAACAACAACAGATGAATAATCATATGATTCAACAACCTCTACACCAACCACCTCATGGTCCACCGCCCCCTCAAAAATCTTTTGGACCTGTTGGAGTCAGTTGGTTGGATGGCCCGTCTATTCACCATCAACAGCAACAACATCCTCCTCACCCTCCCCCTCCTCCTCCTCCACAATCCTCCACATCATCGTTCAAATCATATGATTTACCAAGTGACTTTTTGCAACAGGCTCATCACCATCATCCCTCCCAACAACATTACTATCCACCACCACCACCACCTCAGCAACAACAACACGGTCATGGATTTGGGATGACAACCAGTTCACCAGAATTCTCAAGTCCAACCTATTTTGGTCAACCTCAACAACAACACCAACAACCACAGGGATTAAATGGGTTCATGAACAAGTTACCCCAACAACCGCATCCACCACCAATGAAACAAACATCACCTTTGATGAATGGTAGTGGATTGGATTGGTCTTCAAATTATCAAAAACCACCTTTACAACAACAACCTCCACCTCCTCAACAACAACAACAGCAACACATGGCATTCTATCAATCTTCACCAATATTTGGAGGGTATTCTCATTCACCCATTTCATCACCACAAGAGTTACTTGTGGGGTCATCTACATTACCACCATTACAACAACAACAACACAAGTCAATGGTTGGGGCCATTCACTCGCAAACGATTCAACCACCCATTGTATCATTGCAATCACCTCCTATCCTCGCCTCCTCATCCCAACCCGTTATATCCAGAGACGCAACTCTGGGTCAACTTGGTGGTGCAGGTGTTGGTGGTGGTGCACAAGCCAGTAGTGGAGATACCAAGGCAAAACCATTTAATCCTTTGGTAGCACCATTCCAACCGACAAGTAATAAGGGGTCATCCTCATCATCATCATCTTCATCATCATCATTCCATCAATATAATAATAATAATAATAATAATAATACAGCTGTTGGTAAATCATCTCATCATCACCATCAACAGCAACAGCAACAGCAACAACAACAACAATCACACTCTGGACAACATCACCATCCAGTTCAATCATCTCATAATCAACATCATCATCAACCCCAACATCAACATCAATCACATTCCTCCCATCATCATAACCAACAACAACAATCACATCCTTCCACTGGTCAACAACACCATCACCATCACTCTAATCAACAACATCATCAACCACACTCCTCCTCTCATCATAATCAACATCATAATCAACAACAACAACAATCACATGGTAATCAATATTATCATTCATCTGGTGGTCACCATTCATCATCATCCTCCTCTTCATCTAACCAACAACAACAACATCATCATCATAATCAACAACAACAACCACAACAACAACAACAATCATATGGTCAAAGAGAAAGATCATCATCATTGACAAAACATAATACACCTCATCCTTCATCATCATCTTCTAATAATCCAAATCAATCCAATGATCAACTATCATTTGATTATAAATCATATGAACAAGTTGATCCAGAATTGGATCATTATAGTGGTAAAGGAGACTCTCTAACTACAACATCAACATCAACAAACAAACAAATTGAATTAAAGAGAGGAGAGATGGTAGAAAGTCCAATCTCTAGACAACAATATAAACACTTTATCAAACAATTTAAATTAAAGGAAAAGGAAGGATTAGAGGTTGCAATGGAATTTGCCAAGGAATCATTAAAGACCCTATCTGAAAAGGTACATTGGCGTGTCTATTTGGAGTTGGCTGATTTGGCAAACCGTCAAAACAATCTAAAGTTGGCTCGCAAGTTTTACCGTATTGTCACTCGTACGCAGCCATACATTAGTCAGGGTTGGCTAGAGTACGCCAAGATGGAAGAAGACTATGGTCGATTGGAAAAGTGTCAACAGATTCTCCAGCTAGGTCTCAAGTATTGTCCATTCAACGAGAGCCTTTTAATCAAGGGTATCCGACACGAAGAAAAGATGGATAATCTTGAAGGTGCCCGTGCTCTATTGTCTCAGTTGCGTGACCAGTCGATATTCAAGACATGGCGTGCAGTCATGGAAGGTGGGTTGTTGGAAGCACGTGCTGGCAATATCGACGTTGCACGCAAGATTTTCAAGTACTTGATGAAGCATGTCCCATGGTACGGTCCCATCTACCAAGAGGCGTACAAGCTAGAGGAACGTTGCGAAGACTATGAACGTGCTATTGCCATTGTTGAAAAGGGGTTGTCCGAGGACCCCAAGTACGGTCCACTCTGGTTCTCGGCACTCCGACTCTACGAAAAGACGTCTAATGGCCAGTTGGTACATACGCGTGCCACGGTCGACCGAGCCCGCCAATCAGTCTCACGAGAGGTGACGTGGAAGGTGTACTTTGAGGCCGCTCAAATTGAAGAGCGTGCCAATCATCTTGGGCTGGCACGTGCCGCCTATGTCAAGAGTGTAGAGCTGTGTCCAGAGAATCTACTTTGGAAGGTTTGGTTGGGCGGTAGCCGTACCGAACTCAATGCCGACAATATCAACGTTGCCCGTAAACTAGTGTTCCGTGCACTCAAAGAAGTACCCGCCAAACTCAAATCACTTGTCCTCCTCGAGTACAGCCGTCTCGAAGAGTATGCCGGCAACATTAACAAATCAAGAAGAATCCTAAAGATGGCACACGATGAAGCCCGTCTTGATTGGAAGGTCTTTCTTGAAAGTGTCTTATTGGAAATGCGTGCCAACAACTATGAAGATGCTACCATTGCCGCCAAGGAATCTCTGAAAATCCATTCTGGTGCTGGTCGTCTTTGGGCTGCTCTCATTCAATTAAATCAACTTAAAGGTTATCAAGCTCAATTAAAAGTTTTTAAAAAGGCTCTTCAATTTGTAAATATAAAAAACAAAAAGAAAAAAAAGAAATAATAATAATAATATTTACACTTTTTAATTTTATTTTTATAGGTACCAAAATCAGGTGAAGTTTGGTGTGAAGGAGCAAGAATTGCTTTAAATAATAATGACCTTGAAAAAGCAAAAAGATTCTTAGAGTTTGCAGTTCAATTTACACCTCAATTTGGTGATTCATTTATTGAATTATTAAGACTTGAAATTATGGAAAAGGGATTCAATTGTGATACTTCAAGACTTGAACAAGTATGTTGAAAACAAAAAAAAAAGAAAAGAAAAGAAAAGAAAAGAGATAAAATATGAATATTTATATTAATATTTATTTATCCACTATTATAGTTGTGTATAAATGCAGATCCAAATTATGGATTTATGTGGTTACATTGTACAAATAGTGTATTGGATAGTCCTAGACAGGTGCTAAGAAATGCAAAGAAATTGCTTATTGAAACGACACCAGCCACGAGGGAAGACTATGAACAAACTAAAGACGCTAGATATGGAAGCTGTTGGGTTGGATCCATCGGTGTTCTCTCTACCAATCGTTTATTCAGAAATGATTTTAACAAAATGACAAATGAAGAAAGAAGAAAATGTATGTTTGGTTCTGATTTGGTTAAACCATAAAACAAACAACAAACAAACAAACAAACAAACAAATATATATAAAAAATATAATATAATAAATAATTTAAAATAATTGTACAGATATAAAAGAAGAATCAATAGAGAGGAGTTATAATTTAGTTTTGGTTTAGTTTTGAAAATAATTATTAGCGATAGTTATTAATTTTTATTATTATTATTACTGTTAGATTCTTCTTCTTGTTCTTTTACACGACTTGATAAATCTAAAACCTTTCTCATGAGTGATAATTCAGCAACTAGTCTATTTTTGGATCTTGACATTTTAGTTGCCAAAAGTGATTGGGGAGAGTTGTCACCTTGAATAAATCTACTCCATTGACAATGAGCTCTTTGATGATCGCCAAAGTGTAATTGAGGTATTTGTTGATAGGCATTGACAGCATCCATGTGAGATGCAAACGTAACAACACACTTTCCATTGTTTTCATCGGTCTCTGGTTGATGAGAATTGGTTCTTGGTTTTGGAAGATTGATTGTAAAGTTTCTAGCAATACCATTACTAAAATGATCATTCAAAATTGCATATACATCTTCTTGATTCATATATCTTGGTATATTAAATATTTTAATTGATTTTAATTTGTTTGATTCAATTACTTTATATCTTTGTCCCTAAAAATAAATTAAATAAAAGAAAATAATATTAATATCAACCAATATATATATATATATCTTTTTTGTTTCTCCTACATCAATAGTAAAACCAAAAGTATCAAATCTTTTATAAACAGTATCTGGTGAATTTGATTTTTTGATTGGTTTGAGTGAAAGTTTTGAAGGGACTGCACCATAAGAGATTATGTTTCCATGACCGTCGTCGAGGGTTGGAGCTACTGACAATTCAGCTACGATACTATCAATGTTTGATTCTACCGATTGGTCATTGGCAGTCAATCTTTTTTCGAGTAATTTTTCTTGTTGCTTTTCCAAACGTCTGGCAGCTTCTTCATCACGATAATATTCAGCAGCTACAAAGACGGCTGAATGTTGTGATCTGGAAGCAGTGTCACGTACACGTTCAAAATGAAGACTCTTGAGTGGCTTGTTGATATTCTCGATGATCAAATGTTCCAAATCATTGTCCTTGTAGTCATCGGGAATATTTTCAATTAAAAAGTTGGCATGATAAGTGTCTTGTTCCGACTGTGTACCAGACATGATTGCATCTTGTGTTGCTCTTATTTGCTTTGTCAATGTTTGTTGATAGATTTTTAAACTATATCTTTGATCTGATCCCAATATATCTCTTGATTTGTTTCCTCCTTTTGGTATATAATATTTAGTTTGTTCCACTTCTTCTTCTTCTTGATCCTCATCATCATATTCTTCTTCTTTTTCTCTTTTTGTTACTCTTTGTTTCTTCTTGTCAACACCTGCAAATAATTGTTGTGTTGTCTTTGGATTATTCAAATTCTCAAAGAATTTATCTAAATTAAAGTTCTTTGATGTCTCTGTTTTTGATGATGATGATACTGATTCTCCTCCTCCTTCTTGTTTTAAACTAATCTTTGAAACATTTGTATTTGTTTCAGATTTGCCAAATAGTCTATTATAAATTTCATCTATAATCAAATCAATCATATCATTAGATGTTAGAGTTGTGATATGTATCATTGAATCATCTAGTAAACTTACCAACTTCTTGATCTACATCTTCAAAAGATGCAGCAGTAGCAGTAGTAGTAGAAGTAGAGGTAGTCGTAGTTTCATTGTCACCAAAATCGACTTCATTATTAGCTCTATTATTATTATTTTGTTTGGCATATGATCTGTATACACATTGAGTCTGAGAATAATTGCATTTCGTTAATAAATGCTTGAATCTATTAATTGATAACATTATATCTATCTATCTCTATCTGTCTCTGTTTATCCTCAACTACTACTCTCTCTCTCTGTTTGTTTATATTATTCGGTCGTTTTTGCAAAAAAAATCAAAAAACGTGCAAGTACATAATTATGCATTCTGTGCAACCGGTTGCATTTACATGTCACATAGAAATTCATTGTTCATCAATTATGATAAGTACAAATCATAGATACAAATAACTTATTTGTAATCATTTCAATTGATAGATAGATAGATTAGATAGATTAGATAGATGGATATCTTTTTGTTAAACTTTTGGTTGATGAACGGTTTCAAAAATATCCTTTCTCTCTTTTCTACTTTTTGGTCTATTTCATCTCTGGATCTGATGTTTAGTTTCTAAAGTTGGGTATATGTTGGTTGATGTGTGGGTAGAGGGAAGGGATTGATTGACAACGAGTTCAGTTTGTGTCTGGTATCTATGTGGATAGCATTACTTTTGTTTTTTTTTTTAGATTCATACAGAGTAGCCAATGAATGTAAGATCTGATCAAAAGGGATCTGTTTGATCGCTTCCATCTTTGTCCTCTTGACACTTGAACTTGTCTAGAACCTTCCCAGTCATCAACCGTTGTATGATGATCATCCACAACCTTCGCATAATGAACCGACGACGACGAAGACGATGATCACGATAAATGCAAATATCAACATGATTCTTTGATTGAATTCAATCATAGTTCAGATAAACAGATAACAAAATGCAAAGCAAAATCCTCCTACCTTGAACATCATACCCTATTCTGGATGAGAGGATGAACATTAGCTTGCTATAGCATACCTCATCTCCTCATCCTCCACATCCTCTTCTTCCTCATATTCATACCGACGAGGAGAGAGCTAAATATCTTATCCAGGGGGGCAAACGGTAAAGAAAGAAAAAGAAGGGGAAGGTCCTTACTATCTATCATACAATAATATCAAACATTCCTATTTAAACTGATTATTATTCTATTGCTCCCTCTTCTCCCTTTTCTCTTTCTCACTCACTCTCTCTTTGTCTTTATCTGTTGTTAATTGTTCCTTTTTGTACTAGTATTTTTTAAACCGTGTTGTTGTGCTCAGCTGACATCCTCCTCGCCCACCTCATTAATTAATTTAATTTTTTTTGTCCCCTTCCTTGTTAATAATATCGGCTCAACACGTGTCCAAACGACATTCGATCTTGTACAAAAGTTTATCTCTCTGTCTCATCACAACCAACCCAACCCTTTTATTCATTTCTCTCTTTTAATTAGACAAGATACTATATTGCATTATATACTCTCCTAATCTCCACACAATAACAAACAAACAAACAATATTGTAAAATATAAGCACTTCATTTAACAACAATACAACAAACATATTAGTTAATATTTATAAAGAGACAGTAACTTACTTTGACTGAACTTACATATATAGCTATATATATATCATTCTTCTTAAAAGTAAGCCAGAAATGAAATGAAATTTAAAGGTGTCGGGTTGGAATCTACTTTGATTTTAATTCATAGAATCACACCACCAATGTCTTTCTGTTTGTTTGTCTGTCTGTTTTTGATAGAACTGACTGTTCGAACAAAGCAAGGATTGATTGTGTGTTTGTTCTACACATTCCAATACATTGATCGAATCTATCTATAAAGACCAAAGATTACGTTTGACCTTTATTTCATAAATATAAATATGTACAAATTGATTGTTTAACATACTAATTAATAATACTATACTATATTATGATTAGTAAATATTTATTTAAAACCTTTACAAAGACTACCACAACTATAACAAGAAGAATAACAACAACAACAAAAATGATAGATAATGAACAAAACAAGATAGCAATTATTGGTGCAGGATTAGCAGGATGTGCCATGGCAGTATTATTGGCCAAACAAGGATTTAATAATATAGATGTATTTGAAAAGAGACCATTGGATGTAAGCAAGAATCAACAGAGAGCAAGATCGATTAATTTGGCATTGTCTGCACGTGGTATTGCAACACTACAAGAGGCTGGTGTCATGGAAGATACTGAAAAGATTGCTATCCCAATGAAAGGTAGAATGATTCATACTTTGGAGGGAGCTTCGAATTACCAAGCCTATTCAAGTGACACTTCAAAACACTTGTACAGTATATCACGTCAATTGTTAAACGAACGTCTTCGTACACATGCCATGCAGTGTCGTGGACTCAACTTTTACTTTGACAAACAGATTCGTAATCTTGACTTGAAACGTGGTCAATTCCAATCGGTCGATAATGCCACTGGAGAAACTCTGAGTCACGGTGCCGCCACTGTCATTGGAGCAGATGGAGCATTCTCTGCAGTCAGACAATCAATGACTAAATTGGATCGACAAGAATACTCTCAAAGCTTTTTAGAGCATGGATACAAGGAACTCAGTATTCCAGCCGGTCCCAATGGAACACATCTTTTGGAAAAGAATTGTCTTCATATTTGGCCACGTCGTTCATTTATGATGATTGCTCTACCCAATATTGACGGTTCATTTACATGTACTCTCTTTTTCGCTTTTGATGGCGAGGAAGAGAAAGAGGAGAGTTTTGCCAAACTTGGAAACGACCCCAAAAAGATTGACCAATTCTTTAGAGATTTCTTCCCAGACGCTCACAAGATCATGCCAACATTGGTCGAAGACTTTATCGAGAATCCAACGTCTTCGTTGGTCACTGTCAAGACGAGTCCATGGCATGTTGATGGTAAAGCGGTGCTTGTCGGCGATGCAGCACATGCTATCGTCCCATTCTACGGCCAAGGTATGAATGCAGCCTTTGAAGACTGTCTCGATCTCTACCACTGCATCAAAGATTTTGCCAACAAACATGAACACCACCAAGACGTCACAACCGGACACGACCAAGTCAAGATCGATACCAACCTCTGGAAAAAGGCATACCAACTCTACCAACTCCACAGAAAGGCCAATTCAGACGCCATTGCAGAGATGGCAGTCGAAAACTTTTACGAGATGCGTGATCATGTCGCAGACCCCATCTTTTTGTTTAAAAAGAAATTGGAACATCTCTTGGAGGATACTTATCCAGGTCGTTATATCTCTCGTTATGAATTAATCTCCTTTTCCTGTGTACCATACGCCGATGCTCAACGTATTGGCATCATCAACCAACAAATCCTAAGCAATCTTGTCAATCCAAATGATTTGGATCTTTCAAAAATTGATCTCAAACTTGCTGATAAACTTATTAAAGAATTATTAAATAAATAAAGAGAAAAAGAAAAGATACTAATTTATAAAAACTATACAGAAGAAAATATCAATCTATATTATTATTATTATCTCTTTGATTATTATTATTATTATTTGTTATATTATTATTCTTTGTTATTATTATTATTTACACCAATCAATTTTACATCACTTTTACCAATGTCCTTCAAGAAACAACAAGAAATGATGAAGATTTAGTATAAATATACGATATATGATTCATTGTTTAAACATAGTAACATACTTTACTACCAGAGTTTAAAAAGGTACCTCTGATTGAAGCGTTTCTACTATAAGCACTATTTGGGTCTTTCAATTCTTTCTTTTTACTCATTACGAAATATACAGGGAATGCTAATCCTATTCCTATTAGCCCTATCAATGCTCCACCTAATTTCAAATTCTTTTTATTGGTCATTCTATAGATATCGATATTATCTTTCTTTGTATCTATTATTGAATGCAGATAAAACGAACGTTTGAAAATGACATACATTGGGTAACAAATGAGACCCTATTTTAAATTAATATTAATTCAATTTTTTAATTTTCGTAATATCAACAACAACAATTATCTCTTCTACTCTAGTATTGTTGCAACTTCAACCCTCTAGCTAGCTAACTCTCACAATGTGTCAAAATAAAAGATTATAATAGACTCTCCTCTCACAATGTTGTTGGGTGTAGTAATTAATCTATAGGTTGGGCATTCACAATGTTGCTTATTATTATTATTGCTATGGTCACGTCACAATCGATTTAACAAGACACACACAAGAGGGTAGGCTATTAATATATTATGAACAAAGGAAGGAAGTATATAAATATAATTATAATTGTTTGTTTGTTCTTTTCAAACAAAAGCAATGATTCTATCTATTTTAATAATAGTCTCTTTGATCATCATATTATCATTTGTATATACCCACAACCCTTTTCTTCTTCTTCTTCTTCTTCTTGTTCATTATTATATATTAATATTTCTTTTTTTTTCTTTTTTTTTTTTAGGTAATTAGAAATAAGAAATATAATGAAAAAGATCCACCAAGTACACTTTTATACCCAATAACAGGGTTATCAATTTCCGATTGTTTTAAAATTGGTTCTATTCACTTGTTGAGAGACTTTTTCCAAAAGAATGCAAAGGTTGAAAGGTTGCAAAGGTTTTTGTATTGGATCAGTGTACCATTGCTATTGCTCATCCCGCTGTCCTTAAAAATGTTTATTCTCCCGACAATGGTGATTATTTCAAGGCTAGACCTTACCAAAGTAGACATATATTGGCTCACAATTCAAATGATTCATTCATCATGACAGACTACCAAAAATGGAAAGAGACACGTAAACTATTAATTGGTTCATTTGGTAAATCAAAATTGGCAAAGAATTATTCTCCATTTATTGATTCTCAAACTCAACAATTAATCAAAAAGTTTAAACAATATAATGGAAAACCTGTATGTATTTAAAAAAAAAGTAACTAAATATATAACTAATGATTTTTCTTAATTTAGATTGAAATCAATCAATATTGGAAGAAATATTTGATGAATATTGTTTCAAATCATGCACTATCACATCATGTATCATATGATGAGGATTTTAATCAAGGATTTTATTACAAAATTTATCATGCACTCGATGGAATAAAATTAGCAATGGTTTTACAATACTGTTGTTCATGTTCCTATTTTCTCTGGCCATTTATATATTTGATTCAATATAAACTCAGAGATCATTATAATACCCTAATAAGTGAATTAACACCAATTTATTATCATCATTTAGATACTTTGGATCAACAAAAGTATGTATGAAAATAGATATACATAGAAATTAGTATACGCACTAACAAACAAACTATTATGGTGTTGTTTATTTATTATTATTTATAGTCCAAGAGATTTATGTGATTTATTAATTATGGCAGGAAATGAAAAAGATTTTGTTATAAACACTTGTTTTGATATGTATACTGGATTGGATACTACTTTATCTTCATGTCAATGGGCATTTTTAATGTTGAATAATTATCCACTCATTCAAGAAAAGGTATTTCAAGAACTTGGTGGGATTGTTGGTCAAGGTAATCAATGTTTTATATCGCATCGTCCAAATACACCCTATGTCAATGCATTCCTATTAGAAGTTTATCGTTATAGACCACCTGTCATTTTTTCATTCCCAAGAGAATGTACTCAAGATGTAATCATTTCAGATTACTTTTTCCCAAAAAATGTAAATATCGATGCTAAAAAAAATATATATATTATCCTAAAATTGTTATTTATTGACTTCCATCCATTAATCATTATTTTTCACTTTTCTTTTTTTATTCAATTATCTAATCAATAGTGTACTGTATCAGGATGTGCTGATGTTATTCATCATGATCCAGACTATTTTGATGAACCACATACATTCAATCCAGATAGATTTATTAATCCTCCAATTGGACAATTAAACAACAAAGAGAATCTTGTTCCATTTGGAACAGGTCAAAGAATTTGTATTGGAATGAATCTTGCCAATGATTCAATCTATATTGCTCTTACCAATATTGTACTCAACTTTAAGATTACAAGTAGTTCTGGTGAATTTAAATTTTTAGATGAAACTGAAGTTATCAAAACATTTAGTGCTCCAAACAATTATTCTTATTGTTTAATTAAAAGATAAATAAAAGAAATAATTAATTAATTAATTTTGGTTAATAACAACACACATGTGATAATGTAATAATTTGATATGTGGGTGAGTAATGGTAGTACTAAAAAAGAAACCACTAACTCCACTCTTGACTCTACAAGCAAACTACATCTCAGTTGGTTTAATGGTTTAATTACCTGACATTCATTAATTGTACATAATAAAAATAACTCAGCTCTACCACTCAGGCAGGTCTGCAATCTTTTATTGGTCATTTGTTGCAAAATGAATTGTGAAGACAAGTCATACAGTCATTCATTCTCATCGCCTGAAATAAATGGGGTTTAATCCATGTATTTCAATTTATTATTAAATTTCTATATTTTCAAAAGAAATGATTCTATATATTTTAATAGTCTCTTTAATTTTTATATCATTTGTATGTATTAATCTTTTTTTTTTTTTTATATAATTTCTAATTGGTTTTTTTCAAAGATATTTAGAAATAAAAAATATAATGAAAAAGATCCACCAAGTCCATTTCTATACCCAATAACAGGTGTACCACTTTGGAATACTTTTAACATTGGTACTGGACACGTTTTGTTGAGAAAATACTTTCCAAAGTATGCAAAGATTGGAAAAGTTTTAAAATTTTTTGTATTTGACCAATGCTTTATTTCTATTGCTCATCCAACCGTACTAAAGAATGTTCTTTCTGTTAAAAATGGTGACTTTTTCGATTCAAGACCATACCACAACAAACATCTTTTATCACACAATTCAAATGATTCCTACATCATGGCAGATTATGAAAAATGGAAAGAGACACGTAAACTATTGATTGGTTCATTTGGAAAATCAAAATTGGCAAAGAATTATTCTCCATTTATTGATTCTCAAACTCAAGAATTGGTTAAAAAAATTAAACAAAAAAATGATCAACCAGTAAGTTTTAAACAATGATGATGATACTAATAATAATAATAATATTTAGTTTCCAATTTATTTTTTAATATATAATTTAGGTTGAGATTAATAAATATTGGAAGAAATATTTTATGAATATTGTTTCAAATCATACATTTTCGCATCATGTCTCTTTTGATGAGGAATTTAATGAAGGTTTTTATTTCAAAGTTTATGAAGCCCTTGAAGGAATCAATTTTGGAATGGGTTTACAATTTATAATGTCATGTTCCTTTTTATTCTGGCCATTTAGATATTTGGTTCAATATAAACTCAAAGATTATTATAATACTCTATTTAGAGAAATAACACCAATTTATCATCATCATTTAGAAACTTTAGATGCTCAAAAGTATGTATGAAAAAAAATAGTTTGAAAAATACTTTAAAATTCACAAACAAACTAATATTTTTATTATTTTTTTTATAGTCCAAGGGATTTATGTGATTTATTAATTATGGCAGGAAATGAAAAAGATTTTGTTATAAACTCTTGTTATGATATGTACACTGGATTAGATACTACTTTATTTTCATGTCAATGGGCATTTTTAATGTTAAATAATTATCCAAGGGTCCAAGAAAAGATATTTCAAGAACTTGATCAGGTTGTTGGTCAGGGTAATCAATGTTATTTATCACATCGCTCAAATACACCCTATTTCAATGCATTCCTTTTTGAAGTTTATCGATACAGACCAACTGTTGTTTTTTCATTCCCAAGAGAATGTACACAAGATGTAATCATTTCAGATTACTTTTTCCCAAAAAAGGTAAATATAAATCAAAAGATTGTTTTAATATATTCACATCTTTTTCCACAATATTTTAGAGTATTGTTTCAGGATGCGCAGATATTATTCATCATGACCCAGATTACTTTGATGATCCGGAAACATTTAAACCAGAGAGATTTATTGATCCTCCGGTAGGACAATTAAACAACAAAGAGAATCTTGTTCCATTTGGAACAGGTCAAAGAATTTGTATTGGAATGAATCTTGCCAATGATTCAATCTATATTGCTTTGACCAATTTAGTATTAAACTTTAAGATTACAAGTAGTTCTGGTGAATTTAAATTTTTAGATGAAACTGAAGTTATCAAAACATTTAGTGCTCCCAACAATTATTACCATTGTTTAATTAAAAGATAAATAAAAGAAAAAATTAATTAATTTCATTTACATTTAACCAACAATTAAACAAACGAATATTAATTTAAAATCGTTAAGTTGATCGACATGTACGTGAGGGTGAGTATTTGAATAGTAATACTAAAAAAAAAGCAATCTCTAAATCTCTCTTTTTTTTTTTTGTAGAAATAAGATATATATCTGTCAGTTTGTACAAACAATTAAATAATTGTCATTCATTGATATATCCCCAATCTAATTGAGAGTAAATATCTTTTGAATTGACTAATTGCTGCTCTCAACTCTAAAATGAAAGGGTATTTAGGAATTGTTTTGTATTTTGAGATTCCTAAATTTTAATATTTATAAAAAAAAAAAGAAAGAAATGATTCTATATATTTTTTTAATATTTTCTTTGATCACTGTATTATCCTTTGTATGTATTTAATTAATTTATTATTTATTCTTATTAATTTCAAATATTAAAAAAAAAAAACACAAAATAGGTCATTAGAAATAAGAAATATAATGAAAAAGATCCTCCAAGTCCATTTTTGTACCCAATAACAGGGTTACCTCTGAGGGATTGTTTTAAAATTGGTTTGGTACACATGTTGTTGAGAATACTTTCCAAAGTATGCAAAGGTTGGAAAAGTTTTAAAGATTTTTGTATTGGATAAATGTTATATTACAATTGCTGATACGGCTGTCCTTAAAAATGTATACTCTGCTGAAAATGGTGATTATTTCAAGGCAAGACCATACCAAAGCAGATATCTATTGGCTCACAATTCAAATGATTCATTCATCGCCACATCAGACTATCAAAAATGGAAAGAGACACGTAAACTATTAATTGGTTCATTTGGTAAATCAAAATTGGCAAAGAATTATTCACCTTTTATTGATTCTCAAACAAAAGAATTAATTGAAAAGTTTAAACAATTTAATGGACAACCTGTATGTAAGAAAGAAAAAACATACCTTTATAGTTTCTAATCCATTATTTTGATCTTTAGATTGAAACCAATGAATTTTGGAAGAAATATTTTATGAATATTGTATCAAATCATGCACTATCACATTATGTTTCTTATGATGAGGATTTTAAAGAAGGTTTTTATTACCGGGTTTATAATGCACTTGATGGAATCAATTTTGGAATGGGTTTACAATTTTTCATTTCCTGTTCTAAAATAATCTGGCCCCTTTGTTATTTGATTCAATATAAACTAAAAAATCATTATAAAACACTTATTGAAGCTTTTGTACCAATTTATAATCATCATTTAGAAACTTTGGATGATCAAAAGTATGTATGAAAAAAAAATGAAAAGAATCAAATGATTTCAAATTGATCTAAAAAAGAATCTTTGTTTTTTAAAACTGTAGTCCAAGAGATATATGTGATTTATTAATTTTAGAAGGATATGATAAAGATTATGTTATCAATACATGTTATGATATGTATACTGGATTGGATACTACTTTATCAACTTTTCAATGGGCATTTTTAATGTTAAATAATTATCCAGAATATCAAGAAAAGATGTTTCAAGAACTTGATGAAATAGTTGGACGAGGTAATCAATGCCTTATATCTCATCGCCCAAATACCCCCTATGTCAATGCATTCATTTTAGAAGTATACAGATACAAACCAACTGTTGTTTTTTCATTCCCAAGAGAATGTACTCAAGATGTTATCATTTCATATTACTTTTTCCCAAAAAATGTAAATATCAAATTGTCCCCCAAATGAACTAACTAATTAATTATTGATCCCCTTTTTATTTAAAAACAAAGTGTATGGTATCTGGATGCATTGATATTATTCAAAATGATCCAGACTATTTTGATGAACCACATACATTCAATCCAGAAAGATTTATTAATCCTCCAATAGGACAATTGAACAACAAAGCAAATGTTGTCTTGTTTGGAACAGGTCACAGACAATGTATTGGAATGAATCTTTCTAGTGATTCAATCTATATTGCTCTGACCAATATTGTACTCAACTTTAAGATTACAAGTAGTACTGGTGAATTTAAATTTTTAGATGAAACTGAAGTTATCAAAACATTTAGTGCTCCCAACAATTATTCATATTGTCTATTAAAAAGATAATTAAATAAAATGTTTTATTTACAATGGTTTGTGTTTATTGAAATTCTATTATGACGATAATTTGATAGATCCAAATAATCTTTAACATGAACATGTCCATTCTCATCTGCTATCTTTCGAACTTTGTCAAAAGTTTCCAAACTAACTTGTCTATTCCAACTTGATCTCATGACAATGACCGAGTAACCATGTTTTGATGCCCATGTCATCAATATCTCTGGAGTATAGATTTTATGACCATAGAGTAATTTGGTTGTTAAAAAATGGTGAATGTCTGGACAACAATCTTTAGGAATACTGTCCAAAAGTAGATTAACATCCAAATTTAAAGTAAATACCCATTTCATTCGATCATGAAATATATGTATATTTTTACTATTATTATATGATTCCAATATGAAATGAGATAATTGATCTTTACTAATTATACAATGTCTAATGAAATCATCTGTCATTTGACATCTATACAATAATGATAACTCTGTCTTTATCTCTTTTCCAGTTAGATATTGTTGTGATTGTTGTTTTGATTCTTTTTCTTTTTCTTTTTGTTGTTGTAATAATAATTGTTGTTCTTTGAATAAACGATATTCTTCCAAAACCTCTAAACGATGAGTATTGTGATTGTCAACAATACAATCAGCACATATCCTTTGAGATTGACATTGTGATTCTGTACATTTAAATCTAATCACCTCTTTATGTCCTTCAACTTTACAAGTTTCAATTTTATATTGTTTAGGGTGAGTAGATGGAGGAGATGGTAGAATTGGATGACTTATTATATGAATACTTGACATTATTATAGGTCTAATTAATTGATTTCTAAAAATACTTAAAAATGTTGGTCTCATATTATTAAAAAATAAAAACAAAAGTATATATTATATATAAAAATATTAATTTAGGTGTATAAGAGAGTAGTACAATTGTATTTTTAATTATTTACATTTAAAATTTTACATATGTTGCAATATCGAATATTTGAGAAGTTCATAATGATCGAAAAAGGATAGTGTTTCAACAACACCACAAAACCATCATACATTAATAATAATAATGAGCAAGATACAGAAACAGACTAAGTAGAATGAGAAAAGGGGGGTGTTGTGATTGAACGAACAGTCTGATTACTAACACACACCACATATTAATTTGAAATTTCCGAAAGAGATATCAAACAAATTTGATTGAGTTTTTATGTATTTTCTAAAAGGATATTGTTAGGCGACTCTACAATTTGTGTTGGAAAGAACTCTCGTGTGGCCAATGATTCAATCTATTATTGCTCTGACTCAATTTTAAGATTACTTGATGAAATAAAAGTAATCAAAAATGAATTGTTCTTATTGGTTAAAAAGATATATAAAGAAAAAAAGTTAAGAAAAGAAAAGAAAAGAAAAAATTATTTTTATATTATTATTATATTTTATAAGTATTGAGCAATTTAGTTGTCAAAAAAATGGTGCCTGCCACAACAATACTCTTTTGGTATACCATCCAAATGTAAATGATAATTCAAATTCAATTTAAATAACCATGTCATTCGATCTTGAAATATTTTACTATTCTTATTATTAATATTATTATTTTTGGTGTAGTTGTAAGATTTTAATATGAACTGAGATAGTCGTTCAGTACTGATTGTACAATGTCTAATGAAATCCTTTTTCATTTGAAATCTATACAATAATGATACATCTGTCTTTATCTCTTTTCCAGTTGATTCTCCTCCCTCACTCTATCTCTTTTCTCTTTTCTTTTCTTTTCTCTTTCCTAAACTAACATGAATTGTTAACAGCGAGTATGGATCTCTTTATTGTGGACTTGGATTGGCTGCTTGCTTGGTTGTTGACTTTAGTTTTGCCTTTCTGATAGTGATGGTTGCTACTGCTGTAATGACGACGGCTCCGACAACTCCACCTGCTGCTCCAACTGCAATTTTCCAAGAGTTTGATTTACTGTCTCCAGCAGTTGGTTTGGAGCATCCACTCTTGTCATTTAAATCAGGATTGAGTATACCCAATTGACACTGAGAAAGATCGATACCAATCAATGCAATCGATTGGTTCTGATTATTGGTTGATTGTGTCATTGAAAAGAGTTGTATTTTCGAATAGGTTGGTTGATCACCTGAAAGAGCAACATCAATAAATCGACCGCTGAATTGAATATCATCTTTGACGACTCTGAGGTAATCAAATGACAGTGGGTCAATCTGTTTTTCATTGCAATCATATTCAACTGTTTGATCATTATTGATGATTGTTCTAAATACAACTCTGAGTGTTGCTAAATTTGATGAATATTGCCAATTTGTAATATTGACTGATAGTTTAATCGAATTGGCATTGATGTGAAGTTGTTGATCTCCAAATTGAATATCTCTTGCTTGTGTCGAGAATGATATCGTTGACAATACACTGACTGATTCGAATAAAGTTGAGTTGGTATTGCTTGAAGAGGATGATGATGACAAAAGTGTTGAATTTAATTGATAATCAACGACAGTTGTAATATTATTTGTCATCAAATTTACAATCCAAACATAATTTGAAATAAACAATTCTTTGACAATACTGCTATTTGAATCCAACTCTTGAATTGATACAACTTCAAATTGGAAATCAATTCCATCAACATCAAGTGATACCGTTGGATCCGTTGTATTTGGGTGAATTGGTCCAATTGAAGGGGTGATAACTAAATATTTAATAATATTTAATTAGTTATTTTTAAAAAAGTAATTCAATTTTGTTTTCAATAACATACATTTTGTAAGGCAATTGTCCGTTGGATTGTAATTATCTTGACATTGACAAATACCATTTATATTACAAATACCATGACCATAACAATTTGATGTTTGTTTTTGACATTGTTGTTGTGGTGTATCTGATGTGTCAGATGGTGGTCTCAGATATAGTATATTCCAAGCACTGGTATTCAATGAATCAAGTTGTAATTGAACAGATGATAATCCATAATTTGGTGCTTGGTCCAACAAACAATTGATTAATGATTGTGATTTATCTACAACCTTACAATCCAAAGTATTATTAATTGTAATTGATAGATTCGATTGTCCGTAGGTTCCAAAGTAACCAAATAGACTAACCAATTTGGGATTATTTAAATCATAACTTGCGGATGATATGATTGGATAGGTTTGTATTAATACAAATTCAATTGAATCGTTGTAATAAGGATTGGAAACAGTCAGAGTTTGAGGTCCTGGGGAAAGTTCAGACTTGGTACAAGTCAAATACTTTGATATAGGTTCGTAGGTGACATTGTTGCAGCTTTCCGAATCAATAATGATTTCATGTTGAAAGTATGGATTGATGTTTACTGAAACCGTAAATACTATCTCGTGACCAGTGTTGAATGTTGAGTATGAAATCTGATTGATTGTGACTCCACCCTCGACAAGTGTGATTTGTGCCTCTGGAGTATTGGGATACGAGTTTAGTTTCAATGTAACATTGGTCGGTACGAAAGGTAAACTATTAAACTTGGCAGCAATTTGTTTGTTTGCAATGACTCTTGTCAAGGTATAATTGGCAAATGAACTACCACCAAATCCTAGGTTCTGGCCATTTAGCAGATACACTTGCCCATTATTTGTTACAATATTATTAGCATTGTCAATTACAACTTATAATAAAATAAATAAATAAATAAATAAATAAATAAATAAATAAATAAATAAATAAATAATAACATTCTGTAAAAACTTACCATTGCAAACAAAGTTTGGGGGAGGTGTTAATATTGTTCTAATAAAAGGCATGACCGTTACATTTATGTAACACCAATAACAATCGGGCAAGCTGGTTACACCAGTGTGAATGACATTGAGAGTGTGCGCACAATAGAGATCGGTAATGGGGCCATCGAATTGAGTATTGTATTGAAGATTCAGATCTAGTCCAGGATGACTTGCTAAAATGTTTTCGTCCAATGTGGTAAATTCATTTCCTTGCAAATCCAATATTGTCACAGTTGGTGGGATTGGTAATAGGGATGTAAGATGATTGTATTTTAAAGACCTAAAATAAAAATAGAAATTGAAATAGACTATGTCAGTCACTGCCTGCCTGCTATGTTTAACAACTCTATCATTTCTATCTGAGAATAGCTTACAAAGTCGATAATAATGGTGGGAAAGGAGCAGTGATTGGGAATTGTGTCAATGCCATAGAGTCCATTGTTAATGATTGTAATAATGCATAATCTGAGCTAGGCACGGGTGATAGAGTTGATTCAGGTCCAACTAATGTTCTATATATTTAGATAAAATGGATAATAAATAAGTTTATAAAGCTGCTGACAAATGAACGTTCTTTTTGATACGTACAATTCAGAGATCATAGCTGGATATCCAATGAGCAGGTTACATTGGCCATAAATATGCGTTTCATAGCCTTCACAACATCTAGACAATAAAAAGGTTTAAATTAAAAGTAGAAATGATGACTTTTGATTAATAAATAATAATAAATAAATAAATAGAGTAGCAAATAACATACACTGACGTATAACCAAATGAATGACTCCATATATTATGATAAATTGTATTGACAGAGTTTGGCATTGTCTTTAAATTACTATTTTTGAATGAAAATAAATTATTAGATTGTTAGTGTTTTTTTGTTAAAAAGTCTTGGGACTCCTTTGATAGTTGCATACAGATATGATAATTTTGGATAAGACTTTGATGTAATGTTGATAAAACTAGATCCTACGCTGCCATTCAAGCCCAATGTGAGAGTTTCTAGACTTGGAAAGTAAAGTGTATCATCAATTGAAATGGACTGAATTGGCATGGAAATGGTAAGCGCTCGGAGTTGGACAGAGTTGTTTAAAAAGTTGTAAGGAATCGATACTAAATTGGGACACGATAATACGACCTCCACCAACTGTGGAAAGTAGGTAAAGTTGTCAGGCAGAGAGGCACATGTAGGATCATTGACAATATTGATCAAAGATAGAGTTTTCAATTGTTTGATCATCCCTACAATGCCCATTGATGTGTTTGCGACTGTAGTAGTGGCTCCCACATTTATATTGAAAACTTTAATCCTTGGGAAATAGAGATCAGTCATTGTATCATCTGGTACTCCAACATTTAAATAATTAGAACTTATGATTTTACTAAAAAGGTAAGAGTAAGATATAGAGAGAGAGAGAGAGAGAGAGAGAGAGAGAGAGAGAGAGAGAGAGAGAGAGAAAAATAGAGAGAGTTGGTTGGTTGGTTAGAATGAATCACAATCATATCATATCATTATCATATGATCTTCTTTTAAACATACACTTGAATGATATGGTTGAATCCATCAGGCGTACTATCTCCGCATACAAAGTTTAGAGTGTCATTGCATAATGATTGGTCCTGTGGTGTCGATAATCCATATTGTCTATATATATATTATTATATTATATTCGTTAGTTTGTTCAAAAAGTAGTTTACATACATATAAATATCGCGAGTTAGAGTTAGAGTTACCTTATGAGATAGATAGCAGAGTCGACTAGTAAGATAAGAAGAAGTAAAACGGTGTCAATAAATCGTCGATTTTCAACCACCACTCTTGCTTGTTAATTTTTTTTAACATACGTTCTTGTTGGGGTAGCAAGAGTTGTTGTGTTTGTGAAACTATAATGCTACACTGTAAAGATAATAGTAATGAAATACATAGTAATATACGTGCGAACAAATAATAATAATTCATGTTTGTAGATATAAAGAACAAGAAAGTTATCTACAATTGACGATCATAATGGAGAGGATCAACCAACAAGGATTGTTACAAGAATTTTTTTGAAAACCTCGTGGTATGCCGACGTGTTTGGGTTGATTAATCTGGATCAATGAAGCGTGAATCTCTCAACTAATCATACTTTATGTTTAGACATGTTTATTGGATTATATTTATTAAATTTAATCATCATTAATGGATCTAGTTTTAGTTGATGCTGTGAAGTTTAGATTCAATACATGCACTATCTGATTTAAATCTTCTCATCTTTTTGATAGCAACTATCGATCCGATAGCAATAGCGACAGCACCAACTCCACCAACAACACATCCAACTACGATTCTCCAACTATTTGATTTGCTACATCCACTATCATTACTCTTGTCAATTAATAATGGTGAGAAATCTGGATCGAGAACACATGATTGACATTGTGGCAAGTTGATACCAATCAATGCAATAGATTCATCTTGATTATTGGTTGATTGTGTCATTGAAATGAGTTGTGTTTGTGAATAGGTTGGTCGACCATCTGACAATGCAACATCAATAAATCTACCATTGAATTGAATATCATCTTTGATCACTTTGAGATATTGCAATGATGACAATGAATCATATGACAATGGTTCAATCTTTTTTTCATTGCAATCATATTCAACTGTTTGATCATTATTGATGATTGTTCTAAATACAACTCTGAGTGTTGCTAAATTTGATGAATATTGCCAATTTGTAATATTGACTGATAGTTTAATCGAATTGGCATTGATATGAAGTTGTTGATCTCCAAATTGAATATCTCTTGCTTGTGTCGAGAATGATATCGTTGACAATACACTGACTGATTGGAATAGGATATCGTTGATATTGGGAGAGGATGATGATGATGAAGATGAAAGAGTTGTATTTAATTGATAATCAACGACAGTTGTAATATTATTGGTTGCAGCATTGACAATCCAAGTATAATTTGAAATAAACAATTCTTTGACAATATTACTATCAAAATCCAATTCTTGAATAGATACAACTTCAAATTGGAAATCAATTCCATCAATATCAAATGATACCGTTGGATCTGTTGTATTTGGTGTAATAGTCGTATTGATAACTAATTAAATAAAATAAATAATAAATTAAAATAATTAATTAATATTTCTTGAATTATTATTATTATTATTATTATTTGTTTGTTTGTTTTGAATAACATACACTTTGTAAAACAATTATCATCAGGGTTATAATTATCTTGACATTGACATATTCCATTTCCATCACAAATACCATGACCATAACAATTTGATGTTTGTTTTTGACATTGTTGTTGTGGTGTGTCTGGTGGTGTTGATCCACCTGTTGTTGTACTACTGGTGGTTGGTGAAGATGTTGATGTAGAACCTGTTGTTGTATTTCCACCTGGATTACCACCATTGGATGGGGCAGGACGAAGTTTGAGAATATTTCTAACCATTGTCTCAAGTCCATCAACTTGGAGTTGAACCGATGCCAAACCAGGTGTTGGTTGACTGGCAAGTGTACAGTTGATGACCTTTTGTGATTTATCGACAACTGTACAATCCAAAGTATTATTAATTGTAATTGATAGATTCGATTGTCCGTATGGTCCAAAGTCACCGTATAGACTAACTGTTTGATTATTCAATAATCCAAATTCACCAGATGATAATATAGGATATGCTATATATATATAAAATAAAAAGTATAATCATAAATATTAACAATATTAATATTTTGTTTGTTTGATCATTTTGATTTGTGTTGTTGTTTTTTTCTTACGTTGTGAACAATTATTATAATATGCATTACTATTACAAACACATTGGCCATCTTGATTACATTGACCGTTACCGTGACAATAATCAGTGGATTGTTGGCAATAATCTTTTCCAGTGATGGTGGTTGAGATGGTATTGTTATAGTATGTGTTGGCAACATCGACTAAATAGGTTCCACTTGGGAGGGCTGGAGATACCCAACACTTGATTTGGGTGGCAGTAAAGTTTGTAACGATACATGGAGTGGATTGACCAATAGTGACAGTATGGTTGAAATAGACTGGGTTGTATTTGAAAACATCGATTGTAAAGTTGGTCAAATTTGGTGTGTCATGAGAGGTGGTAGCTTGAAGCAATATGACTCCACCTTCGACAAATGTGGCGTTGGCTGTTGGCGGCACAAGATCATTGGAAAACTTGATCTCGAAATTGGTTGGCACTGTTAGATTGGTCGCACTAAATGCAATATACACCGATCTATTTGGTTTACCTCTTGAGAGTGAATATGGTTGACCTATTGCACCAGTCCCCCATCCCATTTTTGATCCTACATTTAAGAAAAAGAAGAAGAAATATTAATTAGTTATAATAATAATAATAATAAATGTGTGAAACTTACCAGTTATTTCGGTAAATCCTGAATTAGTAACAATTAAATCAGAATTATCAATAGTTACATCTATAAATAATAATAATAATATGATAGAATAATATAATATTATAATGTCACAGGATTAGTTATAGGTATATATATTTTAATAGTTGGCTAGGTTGATTGAATTGATACATACTACAAACAAAGTTTGGAGGTGCTTCTAAATCAGATCTGACAAATTGTGATCCCAAATAACAATAGTAGCAATCTGGGAGAGTGGTAATACCAGTCGATAAAATATCAATAGCCTGCAAACATGAATCTACTTTGATAGCGAGTAGATTGGGATTGAGTGAAAGATCTACGGTGGTACCAACTGGAGAGTTTACACATGCGGCATCAACATCGATTGTACCAGTCAAGTAATTACGGCTAAAATCAGCCACTGCCAAGCTACTTGGAAAAACAAATGGAATTGTTGCGAAATTGTTTACTGCAAATGATCTAAAATAAAAAGAAAAGATTAAAAATTAAAAACACGATTATAATAATAATATATTTTTAAACAAACTTACAAAGCACCCAATTTTGGAGGTAATGATCCTGGTATTGAAGTCAAATTAGCACGAATCCAAGCTAAATTGGAGAGATAGATATAGGCTGGACCAAGTGGAGGTGAAATGCTAGAGTATTTACCTGCAATCTCCCTTTTGAAAATAAAAAAAAGAATTATTATTAATATTTATATAATAATAACATATTAGTGATCACACACACACATATATATATTTATATATACATACAAGATTGAAATTGTTTCTGGGTTTGTAAAGATTACATTGCAATTTGAAAAGTCTGGATTAAGGGATCCTTCTCCATCTCCTGAACATTTTCTAATATAAAATTATTATTAATAAAAATAATAAGTTAGTAAGGTTAATATTAATTGAAACATTCATTGATAACTTACAAAGTTGTGAGAGCAGACTCTTGTGTATTTGGATAATCGTGTGTAATGGTAACAACTGATCCTTGGTTTTGTTTGATGATGACAGCTTTGAGATTTGGAAATGATGATTGGGTAAAAGTAAATGCGAGCGAAACAGCTCCAGTTCTCAAATCCAAGCTGTTGAGTTTTGGTAAATTGAGTGTACTGTCAATAGAAACTGCTTCGAGTGGTTCGAGGATACTCACTCTGGATATCATGGAATTATTGAAAAAGTTGCCGATTGATCGAATACCATTGTCCTTGGCAGTGAATACAACAAGCGCTGGCAACCCCTCTGGAAATGTACTTGGGAGGTATGTTATAGATGTGTCAGTCTCGAGCCCCAATGTCTCCAACAGTGGTAGATTCTTGATATAGGTGGCTACATTGATTGATGGGTTGGCAACTTGAGATGCTCCATGCAACATTAATGTTTTGACTTTGGGTAATACAATAACAGTCAAAGGATCTGGAGTACCAATATTTGTAAATGTTGTCTGATAAATCCTTCTATTAAATTTTATATAAGATAGAGTGAGAAGGTAAGGAGAGTTAGAATATTTATCCTTCTAATGATTAATTATAATTATAATTATGATCAACATTACATATAGGTGATATGTCCATCCGCGTCACATTGTACCCTGGTTAGACCAATACCAAAAGAACAAATGGTCGAGTCTAATGGTGCCCCCGATACTCCATATTGTTTAATAAAAAATATAACTGAATTTACTGTAGAAGGGTGAGGGAGGGAGGGAGGGGTACAGGTAGGTAGTAATAATCAAATAAATTAATTAATACTTTTTTTTGAATTCAATCTGATTTGATCTGATCTGATACAAACATTCATCAGTTGGAACTACAAGTTGGGCATTTGCATAGTGGTGGTGGTTGTTTGAACAAAAAATGAGAAATATAGTTAATAATAATATTACAAAGTGGTATTGATACATGATATGATATATAGATAGATAATTAAAATTGGAACAAAAAAGAAGTATACAACTGTCTAATCGACTGTCAGACTAGACCAAAGATAGAATCAAAAAAAAAAAGAAAAGAAAAGAAAAGAAAAGGAAAAGAACTCCTTTTTTAGATTACTTATGTACCAACCAACCAAGGTCAAAATAGACAGAGAAGAAGCCCAAATATTGAAATCGATCATCTCCGTCAAAAATATCTTGGCTTGTTGCATTGCAGATTGAGTGACCGATTTTTTGTAAAGATCTTGGGATAAAGGCTTAAAGTGGTGTGTTATCGACAACAACAAGCTCGTAAACTACTGCAACGTATATTTGGACAAAGGAAAAAGTTAGGTCAGTGCGATGTTGATGCGAGATAGATCTATCTTGATTTGATGAATGTACAGGTTGTGTTCAAGTGTGAAGACAGATTCTCCTGTGGTCTGAGATTGACTTGATAATTGGAATCGATTGAGTATCATTATAATGATGACTTCGACTCCACAAACCACAATGACTTGATATCACAGGGTGAACCACAAACATTAATAATCTAATGGGCAATGCGACAACAAGCAATGGTGATCTGTGTTTAAATGAGGGTGAGTCTAGAAATATCGGTGATGATAATGTATAATAACTGAGAATGTTGTGTTTGTAAAAGTAATAATAATGATTAATAATACGCAAAGAAGAAGAATAAGAAGAAGAAACAAACAATTGAAAAATTGATTGATTGATTATGGTATTTTGATTTCTTTTTCAAAAAGATGATAGGACCCTCATTATAACAATAGAAAGTTTATTTGTTGTGGTGGTGGTGTCTCTTCTTGTTGTTGTGCTTCTTGTGGTCAGCAATGATTTGTGGCATTGATGGGAAGTTACCGAGAGTAGCCTTGAGCATTTCGTGGACATCTTGATCAATGTGGATTTCATTGGTCTTGATGGCAGAGGTGGTTGGGACGTAGTTGTCACGCTTCTCACGCTCTTCTTCTTGCAACTTGTAAGAGATACCACGGACTGGGCCCTTAGCAATACGCTTCATCAAGTGAGTGACGAAACCAGCAATCTTGTTTCTCAATCTCTTGGATGGGATGAGAGCAACTTCATCACAAGTACGCTTGTTGGTGTCGAAATCGAGGGTGAGACGTGGGTAGTACTTCTCGATAACGATCTTGGAGGCTCTCTTGACTGTCTTGGTTCTAACACGACCCTAAAATAAGTAAGTAAAGTAGTAGAGTATACATAGTATTTTAATAATATATAGAGAAAGTGGATAGATTAGTATATAGATACACTTCAATGAATTATATAATTCCTTCCTCATACCATTGTTGTATGCTGTCTGAAGTGATAAACTAAAAGGAATCATCAAAATAGTTGATATGTCAAACAAGTAGGCAGAGCTCAGAGAGACGCGCGACCACTCTCGTCTTTTGAAAAATCATTCAAAAATGAAACAAATTCATTTTTAATATTTCAAATTTTATGCCCGCGAAAAACTATGAGAGTTGAAGTGAAAGAGTAAGGAGGTGAGCTATAGTTATATTAATCAAACTATTAAAAGTCAAGATAAGAGATGACAAATCAATCATCATCATGGCATAGAATAAGAGTGATTAGTGATGATAGATATCTTCAATTATATCCATCAACTACTTCATTGTGTTGTGGTACATTGATCATGCCATCAAATGATAACTGTGATGATGAAACAACAACCAAGTTTAGATTACATAATCAATATCATATGTTTCTATATAAATTAGATCATGTTAATACATTTAGAATTAATAATAATATAAAGAATAACAATAGTAATAGTAGTAATAGTAATAATAATAGTTATTTACAATATCATCAAGGTTCAAAAGAATTATTAGTATCTTTTCATCTTTTAAATAATCAACAACAAAAACAACAACAACAACAACAAAATGATACTAGTTCCTCATCTTCATCTTCATCATCTTTATCAAAAACAATAATATTAGTATCAATAACATTTTCAAGACAATTTGGATTAATGGATGATGATATTGTTCATTCAAGATTAGTACCAATTCAATCAGTTTCATTACAACGTGTAATATTATTATCAAAGGATTTACAATCATTTGAAAGTGTTACTATTCCTCAAGACAAACAACAACAATCGGTGATCAAGAAATATCAAGCCAATCAACAATTTAAATCATTTGTTGCAGAGAATGGAATAACATTTATACAATCATCAAATATATCAATGGATGCACAATCAAGTTTTACAGTATTGGAATGTTATCCAATGTTACAAGGTTGTATAAATGATTCTACAACTTTAATCATTGTTGCACCAGATTCAATTCATCAACAACAACATCAACATCAACCATTTGTTAAATCTATACCATCAACAACATCATTATTATCAACAAATGGTAATAATAATCTTAGAATATCAAATTTTATTATTCATCCATTATCTACTCCTGTTCCTACAGTTCCTACTCCCATTTCATCATCATCGTTATTTCATTTTACACCAAATTCAAATAGAACATTATCAAATAATATAGTACAATCTAGAATAATGACAACTATACCACATGAAATTGATATACGATTGATTGATCAAAACTATGATTATATGAATGATTGTTGTGTTACATTGACAACGCTGAAACAATTGGGTTTGTTTCATGGTTCATTTATCAAACTAAACAATACTCGTTTGAATCAACAAATCGTAGTTAGAGTCTATTCAATCATTCCAATTGGGTTGGGTTCAAAGTTGATTGATACTCTATCACTACAAGATGGTATTCTCTATCTACCACCAATTCAATCATTTAATTTGGGAAATGGAAAAGGAGAAGAAGAAAATGAAAGTTTTGAATTGGAAATTTCAATATTAAAGAATAACAAACAACAACAAGATAAACTAGATAATAATAATAATTTATATAATATATTTCCAATTGCAAACAAGATTAAAATTTCAAGAATTAATACACCAGAATCAAATGGATATGCATCATATACAAATCAATTGGTACAATATTTTAATAATTCCTCTGCGAGTGATATTATTAGAGTTATGAAACAAGGTGATATATTTTCAATCAATGAAAATGATAATAATAATAATGGTGGACAATTAATATTTTTCAAAGTTGAACAAATTCAATCACCAACCAATAATACAACAACACAAACTATTGGACCACCAGAGACTGAATTATTTATAATAGATTATAGAAAATGTACAGTCATTCAAGAAGGTTCATGTAATTCATTTTTACCAAATAATATCAAATCATTCTCTGATCGATTACATCATCCAGAATCTTCAGTCATTGCATACAATGATGAATTTTTAAAATTACAAAATATCATTTCAACTTTTACAACGTCAACAATTGTTGAAAATCAATCAAATCAATCAAATTTAAATCTATTAGATATAGATTATAATTGTTCAATATTGATTAAAGGATTAAAAGGAATTGGAAAGAAAACAATGATTAAACAATTGGCAGATCGATTAGGTACAAGTACCATTACAATTGATTGTTTTGAATTGTTTAGTTTTAATGAAAAGGAAAAAGAAGATAATTTAAAAAATGCTTTAATCGCTGCTTCAGACAATGTACCATGTATTGTCATTTTGGAACATTTCGATGTTTTAGAACAATCTCCTTCAACTTCATTATTGGAAAAAAAAGAATCAAATATTACTAGTATTTTAAAAGATACTATTCAATTAATTAATGATAAATTTTCAACAATTCAACAAAATCAAAATAATAATCAAAATAATAATTCATTAATAATAATTGGAACTGTTGAAACTACTGATGAAATGTCTGGTAAATTAAGAGGTTGGTTTAAATATGAAATTGAATTATTGGTAAGATATATAAAAAACAAAAAAAGAAATGAAAAGAAATATATATTAAACTTCTCTCTCTTTTTTTCTTAGTCACCAGATGAAAATCAAAGAAAAATATTATTAAAATCAATATTTAGAAATATACCATTGAATAATTCAGTTTCAATTTCAAATATAGCAATGAGAACAGCATCATTTTTACCATTAAATTTACACCAATTACGTGAGAGATCAGCAATGGCAGCATTGAAAAGAGTATTTCAATCATTGACTGACAAGTCTATCAATGCTCAAGATATATGTTCATGTGGTGTAGTGGTTGGAAGTGATGATATTTCAGATGCATTGGCAGATATGCAAGGATATCAATCATCGTCGATTGGAGCACCAAAAATTCCAAATGTAAAATGGGATGATGTTGGTGGTTTGGCCAATGTAAAGAGTGAAATTATGGATACCATCCAATTGCCACTCGAAAACCCACATTTATTTGCAAGTGGTATTGGAAAGCGATCTGGTATTTTATTGTATGGTCCACCTGGTACTGGTAAGACATTGATGGCCAAAGCCATTGCAACAGAGTGTTCACTTAATTTCCTATCCGTCAAGGGACCAGAACTGATCAATATGTACATTGGAGAGAGTGAAAAGAATATTAGAGATATTTTTAATCGTGCACGTCAAGCTAAACCATGTGTCATCTTTTTCGATGAACTAGATTCTCTGGCACCGGCAAGAGGTGCAGGTGCCGATAGTGGTGGTGTTATGGATCGTGTAGTCTCTCAACTATTGGCTGAATTGGATGGAATGCAAGGAGCATCAGATGTATTTATCATTGGTGCTACTAATAGACCAGATTTATTGGATCCTGCATTGATGATTCCAGGTCGTCTTGATCGTCTACTTTATCTTGGTATATCATCAGACAAGGAATCACAACTTAAAATTGTTCAAGCTCTTACACGTAAATTCCATCTAGACGATGATGTTGACCTTCATGCCATTGTTGCCAAATGTCCATTCAATCTAACTGGTTCAGATTTCTATGCCCTCTGTTCAGATTCACTTGCCAATTCTATTAAAGATAAAATTAATCAATTGGAAGATCAAAGAAAATCAAGAAGAAAGGAATTTGGATCAATTGGAGAAGATGAATTTATTGAACAATTACAAAAACAACAAAAACAAGTAATAGTTAAACAAAAACATTTCCTTGAAGCTGTTGATAATCTTGTTCCATCAGTTAGTCAAGATGAATTACAATATTATCATAAAGTTCAAAAACAATTTAGTAAATAACAAAATAAAAAAGGAAAAGTAGTAGTTGGTTTTTTATTGATTAAGTAGATGGTTGTGATTCATCAATTGACATATCAATATTTCTTGAATATTGTAATGAATTTAAATTATTATTGGAAGGTGGTGAATTACCCAATACTCTACCTTGTCCATTAAAAGTAGTAGAGTTATTATTATTATTATTATTTTGTTGTTGTTGTTGAAAATAAGAAGATATTCTTGAAAAATAACCATTATTATTATTAGTACCATTATCTAAATTTTGATTACTATTATTATTAAAATGTAAATTTAAAGGATTAAAAGAAATAAAATAATTTAAATTTACAATTGATTGTAAATGATTTGAGGATTGAATTGAAATGATTAAATGATCAGATGGCATTATAATATCTAAATATCTATATAGATAAATGTAAGCAGCCACTATACCACCAAGATGACCAATAAAACTTGATTGTGGGAATAGTATACTAGTAACAAAAAGTATGACCCAAGGATATAATTTGGAGGGTATAGTAACTAGACCATACAATGATCTAGGTGTAGTAACCCAATGACAATTGACAGTAACCAATAAAAATACAACACCTGATAATCCAATAGTACATGAATAGGAAATGGCAGTTGGATCAATCCAATAGATTGTATTTGATATAATGACAGCCATCAATGATGAAGTAATCATAAACACCAACATTAAATAACCATACAATACACTACCACAACTATTTTCAAGCAATGTAGAGAATGGTATAAATGCCATCATATTAAATAATAAATGTAATAAATTTATATGAAATAATGTTGATGTTATTAATCTCCCTAAAGAATGAAAGATAGATTGTTAGAAACATGATCTTTAGAGATTGACTAGCTTTACTCTCTACTTACAAGATTCATAAATATTAAATGAAAGATAACATAATACGGTTGGAAAGAATGATAATACACTATCAAGTAGAAATAAAGTAACACATGTATAGAGTATGATTCTAGTTATAAATGGTATATTTTTAATCCATGATTGAAATGATTCAACTATTCTTGATGTTGTTGAAGTAGTAGAAGTAGTATTGCTGTTATCACTCATATTATAATGATGATCATATGATTATACACAATGAATGATCATTATTCATTTTTTAACCCATCAACATAAGCCAAAATCAAATATATTGTTGTTGCATCGTCATCTGATAGATACCTTTGGGTTATTGATCACATGTGATAGATCATGATTTATCTATATCCAATCCATCTGAACTACTAAAAATATAAGTGACCACGGGGTTATGAGTCACTCCCAAATATACCTATCTTGAAGTCACAAATAAATTCACTGTAATTGGTTCATTGAAATTCCTGGGAATTTTAGATCAAATGAGGAAAAAATGAATAATACCTAAATACATAACTATAAAACATCATGGTGACAAGTTGTCAGTTGCCACACATTAGTTTTTTTATAAACCCTGCCTGCCTCGTCACCCAATATATAATATAATAATAACAACAAGAGATTATTATTATTAATCTGGAACAAAAGAAGAATCAAATTCTTTTTTCACATCACCATCATCAACAATTACACATATTTAATTTTAATAATTATTTATTAACCAACCCGATATATATATATATTAATATATTCATCCAAAAAGTCAGACTTGCTTCATTGTAATTACTGGTATGTATACCTCGATTTGCTTGATTACTGTACAGTAATCCATCTCACTCACTATCACTAGCGATCTACCACACTACTACTTCTATTCTCTTTCCAACAACTTCATCAAGTGTAGTTTTTTTTTTTTTTTTTTTATTTTGTTTTTTTTTGTACCCTCTGCGAAGAGAGTGTTGTGTAAATTAAAAAACTTGATCATCACACCATTTTTTTTATTATTATATATTTTTATTTAAAAGAGAGAAAAAGAAAGAAATTTTAATTACTTTTTTTAATTTCAGATAGTAATTATCATCAACTCTCTCTCTCTCTCTCTATAATCTATCTATTTCTATTCTTTTATAATAATCATAAGATTGTACTAACCTTTTTGTTCTCTTTCATCTATCTATAGATAATATATAAACCCAACAACAACAACCCAATATAACTTTTTTTATTTGTATAATTAGAACTTCATTTTTGTAAATAATATAAAAACATGGCTGATATTGAAGCGTAAGTAATGACAAGTTTTTTTTTGTTTGATCAACTCTTTTCTAATCCTTTTTTTTTTTTTTTTTTTAATCTTTTTTTTAAATTTTTTAAAGGAAAAAAGCAGAAAATGTACCAATTTTAGAACGTAAAAGAGCACCAAATAGATTTTTCGTTGAAGAAGCAATCAATGATGACAATTCAGTAGTGACATTACATCCAGATGCCATGACTGCACTTGAATTATTTAGAGGTGATACGCTATTGATAAAGGGCAAGAAGCGTAGAGACACTGTGTGCATTGTATTGATGGACAATAGTGTCGATCCATCCAAGATCCGTATGAACAAGGTTATTCGTAACAACCTTCGTGTTCGTCTTGGTGACATGATTTCCGTTCACCAATGCTCTGACGTTAAATATGGCAAGCGTATTCACGTGTTGCCAATCGACGACACGATCGAAGGTCTCTCGGGCAACTTGTTTGACCTCTACCTCAAGCCCTATTTCCTCGAGGCCTACCGTCCAGTCCGCAAGGGTGACTTGTTCCTCGTGCGTGGTGGTATGCGTGCCGTCGAGTTCAAGGTGGTCGAATGTGACCCCGGAGAATACTGTATCGTCGCTCCAGAGACTATGATTCACTGCGAGGGTGAGCCAGTCAAGCGTGAAGACGAGGACCGTCTTGACGAGGTTGGCTACGACGACATTGGTGGTGTCCGCAAGCAATTGGGCCAAATCAGAGAGCTTGTCGAGTTGCCACTCCGTCACCCACAGCTTTTCAAAAACATTGGTGTCAAGCCACCCAAGGGTATCTTGCTCTACGGTCCACCAGGTTGTGGTAAGACCATGATTGCCAGAGCCGTGGCCAACGAGACTGGTGCCTTTTTCTTCCTCATCAACGGTCCAGAGATTATGAGCAAGTTGGCCGGTGAGTCTGAGAGCAACCTCAGAAAGGCCTTTGAAGAGGCTGAAAAGAATTCCCCCGCCATCATCTTTATCGATGAAATCGATTCGATCGCCCCCAAGCGTGAGAAAACACAGGGTGAAGTCGAGCGTCGTATCGTCTCGCAACTCTTGACCTTGATGGACGGTCTCAAGAGTCGTGCCCACGTCATTGTCATTGGTGCCACCAATCGTCCCAACTCTATCGACCCAGCCCTCCGTCGTTTCGGTCGTTTCGATCGTGAAATTGATATCACTATCCCAGACGCCACCGGTCGTCTCGAGATTATGCGTATCCACACCAAAAACATGAAGCTCGACGAGGACGTCGACCTCGAATCCATCTCCAACGAAACTCACGGTTACGTTGGTGCCGATCTTGCAGCCCTCTGTACAGAGTCTGCCCTCCAATGTATTCGTGAAAAGATGGACATTATCGATCTCGAAGACGAAACCATCTCGGCTGAGATTCTCGAATCAATGTCGGTCACTCAGGCCCACTTTAGAACTGCCCTCGGCATTTCTAATCCATCAGCTCTTCGTGAGACTGTTGTAGAGGTACCAACTACCACCTGGGAGGATATCGGTGGTTTGGAAGGTGTTAAGCGTGAGCTTAGAGAGACTGTTCAATACCCAGTCGAGCACCCAGAGAAATTTAGAAAGTTTGGTATGCAACCATCAAAGGGTGTGTTGTTCTATGGCCCACCAGGCTGTGGTAAAACATTACTAGCCAAAGCTATCGCTTCAGAGTGCCAAGCTAATTTCATTTCAATCAAGGGTCCAGAATTACTTACCATGTGGTTTGGAGAGTCAGAATCAAATGTTCGTGAACTTTTTGACAAGGCTCGTCAAGCTGCTCCATGCGTCCTCTTTTTCGATGAATTGGATTCAATTGCCAAATCTCGTGGTGGCAGTGCAGGTGATGCTGGAGGTGCTGGTGATCGTGTCATTAATCAAATTTTGACTGAAATGGATGGTATGGGTGTCAAGAAAAACGTCTTTATCATTGGTGCCACCAATCGTCCAGATATCATTGATCCAGCCATTCTCCGTCCAGGTCGTCTCGATCAACTCATCTACATTCCACTCCCAGATCTCCCATCCCGTGTTGCCATTCTCAAGGCCAATCTCAACAAGAGTCCAGTCGCCAAGGACGTCGATCTCGAATTCCTCGCCCAAAAGACCCACGGTTACTCTGGTGCCGATCTCACCGGTATCTGTCAACGTGCCGTCAAGTTGGCCATTCGTCAATCCATCGAAGCCGACATTGAAGCCACCCGTCGTCGTCAAGAAAGTGGAGGTGATGTCAAGATGGAAGATGAAGACATTGAAGATCCAGTCCCAGAAATTACCCGTGAACACTTTGAGGAATCCATGAGATTCTCTCGTCGTTCAGTCACTGACAATGATATCCGTAAATACGAAATGTTTGCTCAAACCCTCGTCCAAAGTCGTGGTCTCGGTGGCAACTTCAAGTTCCCAACTGACAACGACGTCGAAAACAATAACCAATTCAATCAAGATGAAGGTGGTGATGATTTGTTCAGATCTTAAATATATATGATAAAAAAGAAATAAATAAATTGATAAATAATTCATTCCATTAACAACTCATGCCATCGATATTTTAGGCAATTGACAACAATTGCAATTAACAACTCTTGTCATATAGTTGATAAACAAATTAATCAATTAAATACCAAGATGAATCAAGTAGAAACTTTAAAACATGATGAAACCAACTCGTTAATCATGTGGATGTTGTCAATCATGTACCATACAATTAATATTAGCAACTTGAGAAAAAAGATGAAGAAAGAGATGTTCAAAAAATGAAAGAGGCGCGAAAGGGGGTGTTGGCAAAAAAAAATTAAAAAAATTAAAAAAAAACCCAACCGCAAATGATAAAAGGAGAGGAAAGCATAGTTTTGCAATAATCTTTATTGTTTTATAATTAGTTGTTGTCATTATCACTATACAATCTCTCTCTCAAAACAGATAAGATATTCGATCATCATAATCAGTACTACGAACAATAGAGACGACAACGATTAGACTACAACGACTACAATTGACATCAAACAACATTTACATAATAGCATCACAATACTTTACTTTACATTTGAAGAACAAGAAAAACACTTAAATAAATATATAAATATAGGAAGAAAAATGAGTACATCTACAACCTCTACAACATCAACAACTAGCACTAGTAGTAGTGGTGCTTCATTACCATTACCACCAACTACACCTTCCATATCGACACAACAAGCATCAACTATAGATCTTGTAAAGCACCCTTCTGGTATTGTGCCTGTTTTACAGTAAGAATCTACACCTCTTTTGAGTTTGATTAACTATAATATTATAGTTGATAGTTTTGATACTTGTTATTATTCTTTCTTTATATTAACATAAAAACTATTTATTATTTTATTACTTTCTATATATTTAGAAATATTGTATCAACTGTAAATATGGGAACAGAATTAAATTTAAAGACTATTGCATTGGGTGCATTAAATGCTGAATATAATCCAAAGGTAGGTGTATTATATATATATAAAACATCTATCAACTCTGACTGTTTATAACATATGATTATTAAACATTCCCCCCCTTCCCCTCCTTTAGCGTTTTGCAGCAGTTATTATGCGTATTCGTGATCCAAAAACAACAGCTCTTATCTTTAAGAGTGGAAAGATGGTATGCACTGGTGCAAAATCAGAGGAAGCTAGTAAATTGGCTGCTAGAAAATATGCTAGAATCATTCAAAAGTTGGACTTTCCTGCTATCTTTAAAGACTTTAAAATTCAAAATATTGTAGGATCGTGTGATGTTAAATTCCCAATTAGATTGGAAAATCTAAATAATGCTCACAAGGTTTTCACAAATGTAAGTAGTAGCAAGAATTACATATCCAATTACTTGATTCCTAATTTGGTTCCTCTTCTTTCTATATAGTATGAACCAGAAATCTTTCCAGGTTTAATTTACAAGATGATTCAACCTAAAGTAGTATTATTGATTTTCGTTTCTGGAAAGATTGTACTTACAGGTGCAAAGGTTAGAGAAGAGATTTATGAAGCATTTGAAAATATCTATCCTGTATTAAATTCATTTAGAAAACCTCAAGCAGCTTTACCTGCTCTTCCTCCTCCAGAAAAATAATAATACAACAATAATAGAATAATAGAATAATAATAGAATAGAATAATAGAATATAGGCAAATACAAAACCCAAAAAAGAAAAATCAACTTCACAAAACAAAACCATACAATCAATAGTAGTAGTAGTAGTAGTAGTAGTAATAATAATAATAATAATAGACTCTCTCAATCACTATTTGTACATGAAATCCCAAAGTAACAATCCACAAACAATCATCATAACTTATATAATCAATACCCATTTTTTTGCAAAACACCAATCCTCAAATTACTAATGTACAACCCAATAATTACAACAAAATCAAACCAATCATCCCTACATATTTAATCGATAAAGATGAATCATCCCTCTTTCCAGGTTGGAAAACAACAACAACCTCCTCTCAAATCAAATTTAGACATTCAATTCAATTTCAATTGTCCAAATGTAAATCTCTCTTATATATATATCAAATAGAACATAAAAAAAAAAAGATAAACATAAACAATCTTCACTTTCAAATGATATAATAATAATACTCGAAAAAAAGAAATAAAAAAAAAAGAAATAAAAAAAGAAAAAATTAAACTTTCACAGTCAACTGCACATGACTTTTTTGTTTTGAGTTCAATTTGATAAATTTATATATATCATACATTACATTTTAAAAATGGATAGAAAGAGATTAGCAGTTAGTATATTACAATTCTTAAAATCAACATTACCATCCTTGTCAGAGGATAGTGCAGAAAGTCTTTCTGTATCTATTGATTGTATCAGAGATGCCTTTGGAGTAGATGAATCAGATGTTCAATTACAATCATCTCAATCTTTACAAGAAATATTCAATGCTCATGCTGCTCCTGCAACAACCTCTACTACTTCTACTAGTTCATTACCAGATTTGCTAAAGGAGATCATGTCTGATATTCCAGATCAATTACATCCATCATTTAAAAGCTATATTGATATTCTTCAAAGCAAGAATGCTTTTGCTGATCCATCTCGTATGTATAAACAAACATAAACAATAGATTAGATCTATTGTCTTCTTCTTCTTCTTTCTAACACTCTCATTTCATTTCAATTATTATTCTATTCTTTTAGAAATCGAGACAGTATTAAAATTCTCAAAGGAAAAGTTTGTAGAGAGTAAGATGACAGAGATTAAAGCAATTGCAGAGGCAATCAAGGTTGAAGGAAACACCAAATTGAGTGCACAAGATTTCCAAGGTGCTGTTGAAGCATACACCAAGGCCATTAAATATGATGGTAGCAATGCCATCTACTATGCCAATCGTTCATCTGCATTTACCAACCTCAAGATGTTTGACAATGCCGTTCAAGATGCCAACGAAGCCATCAAGAGAAACCCATCCTATGGAAAGGCATACTTTAGATTAGGATCTGCTCTCTTCTCACTCGGTCAAAACCAAGAATCTGTCGATGCATTCCGCAAGTCTATCGAGTTGGAACCAAATAATGAAGTCTACAAGGCTTCACTCCAACAAGCAGAGTCCAAATTGGGTAGTGTTGGTAGTGTCTCATCACCACCAGCAGGTGGTATGCCAGACCTTGGTGGTATGGATCTTGGTAACTTGTCAGGCCTCTTGAGCAATCCAATGATGCAAAACATGGCTAAAAACCTCATGTCCAATCCACAAATGCAACAAATGATGCAAAATGGTAATCTTGAAGATATGGCTCAAAATATGATGAAGAATCCAGAATTTATGAATATGTTTGGTAGTATGATGGGTAAAAAATAAATATAAATTAAGAGTTTTGGAAATTAGATATATAACAATAATAATACTTGATTCTAAAGATTATTTATTTAATTAAGATTAATTAATTGTGCTAATTTATTATTATTTAAGAGGTTTATCCAATTCTTCTTTAGAGATGTCTTTTTTTATCGACCAATAATTCATAAAAAAGAAAAACTTTTATAAAACTCAATCTACTCTAAGAACTGTATATACAAGTGTTTTTAATAATTTATTTCTTTGACTTATTATTATTATTATTATAACCAGATGGCCAATGAATAGATATTGGTCTCTTTTGTTTGTTATTACCATTACCATTATTATTATTATTATTATTATTATTATTATTATTATTATTATTATTATTATTATTATTATTATTATTATTATTATTATTATTATTATCCTTATTATTATCCTTAATATTATCCCTTTCAGTTTCAAAAATTTCTTGTAATCCTTCAACTGCCGATCTAACTCTGAATTGATTAACCATTGCTCTAGTTTGTAATTCCAATTGTTGAGCCAAACTAAGACTCTTTTCCAATATTTCACGATGGTCTTCTAAATGATAAAGAAACTCTTCAAAAACCTCCATTGTTTCACTAGAGTATGGTACCACTGTATCGAGTGCATGTGCCGGACAAATATGTCTACCTTGTTTACAAAGCATACATTGTAGAAATGGTAATAGGTCTTGTGCAAATTCATTCTCTCCTGTAGAATCAATTTCAAATGTCTCTTCTGGTTGTTTACCTCTATTTCTATTGTATGTATGATAACCCATCATATTCTCTGGCATATTTCGTAGTGAAACAAATTCTTGTTTTGATGCTTGTTCAATTTGTTGTTTTAATTGTTGTCTCTTTAATAAAACCATTTTTTTAACTCTTTCTTCTGGTTGTAAAACTCCTTTTATAGGACTTTTTTTGGTTGTTAACCAATCTGGTGGTGCTTTACTTGATAATAATGGTGCTAATAATGATCCTTGATCTTTGAAAATAATAAATAATAAATATAAATAAAAAGTAAAGTTTATACTTTCTTTTTCTTTTTCTTTTTCTACTTACATTCTTCAATAAATTTTAATCTTGCCAATTGATCATCAAACATTTTTTTTGTCTTTTGACCAAATGATTTTACCAACTTTGGTACATGATGAGTTATAAATTCACTTGCTTTATCTAAATCTCCATCAACATAATTTTGTAATTTATTCTTTAACTAAATAGATTGGAAAGATAGAATTAATTTTATCCTTTAAATTATTATTATTATTACTTCTTTTACATACATGCCATTCCATATTTGATATAGTTTTTTCAGATTTATTTTCAATAAAAGAAGTAACTTGCATTGATAGTATATATTTATATTCAAAGATACTATGAATAGTTTTATATCTTTCATGAGGTTGTTGTAGTTTAAACCAAAGTTCTGGTGAATGAGATTCTTTAACCCAAAGACTCCAACTAATACTCGTTTCAAACATTAGAGAATAATCTTTGATATAGAATTTAACAGTTTGTTGATAGAGTGGATGACCGACTTTGGAGACAACACCAACAACCAATGTCTTTTTTGAGCTATCAAATCGATCCAATGAAATATAAGATTCCTCTCCAATGATACCTCCAGTATAATGCAGAGAGAATAAACCATGTTGACATATTTCAAAGTCATCCAATTCAAGTTCTGTACCTTGTTGTTCATCGACCGAATCAAATGCAATAGCAGTCTCTATTCTAGAGGTTGCAGATACTTTATAAACATCACTTAGTATCTTTGATGTTGGTGTTGGTAATACATCATCCTCCTCTATTGCAATAATTGCAAATCGATGATCAACAGAAGATGAAGAAGATGATGATGATGAAGAATTTGATGATGTAGTACTCGTCGATGATGGATGAATAGGTGGTGAAACATAATAAGATGGTGGTGATGGTGTAGATGGTGATGGTGTTGATGTTGTTAAAGGTGATGTAACAGTTGGTGGTGGTGTTGATGTAAAGGGTATAGGTATTAATTGATAACTATGATAATTTGTACTATAACTATTATTAGAAGGAGTTGTAGTTGTAGTTGTAGTAGTATTATTATTATTATTATTGTTTTCTTGTATTTCTTCTACATGATTATTATTATTATTAGTTTGATTAGATAGTTTAAATCTTTTAATTGATGGATATTCCATCATTCTGTACTACATGTATAAAGGGAATGAGGTTTAAAAAAAAAAAAAAAAGAGAGGGAAAATCAAAAAAGTATACCTTTTTCTTTTTGTCTTTTTAAATTATATTTATTTATTTATTGAAGTTTTATTTTTTTTTTTTAATCATCTTGATCAAGAGGACCTTGTTGAGGTGGTTTTGGACCTCCAGCAGGTTTAGACATGATGATTTGATCAACTCTGAGAACGGTACAGGCAGTGTTTGTTGCAAGTTTGAGAGCGTATTGTTTGGAGACAAAGAGATCGAGGATGGACATTTCGAGGGCAGAACGTGGGAGACCAGTTTCGATATCCAAACCAGCGTCGGTGGAACCCTTGGTGTGAGCAGCATAGATGGAAGCGATGGTACGAGTGGCATTGTGACCGCTAGTTTCAGAGAGGGCACGTGGGATGACTTCAAAGGCTTCGGCGTAGGCACGGATTGCGTATTGAGCAAGACCTGGGGTAGAGTCTGCAAATTGTTGGAGTTGACGAGACATTTCCAATTCGAATGCACCAGCACCACCGAGGAAACGACCGTCCTTGCACATACCCTTGTAGACATTGACACCGTCGTCAATGGCACGTTCAATATCGTCGAGAATGTTATTTGTCGATCCACGGACTACCAATGTCGAGATTTCAGACTCTTCCTTGTTTTGACGGAAGATGATACACTTGCTGCTACCAATCTCTTCAACTGCAATCTCATCACAGTAACCCAATTCCTCTGGGATGGGAGCTCCCAATTTAACCAATGGTGTTGCTCCAACAGTCTTGCATACACGTCTCAATTGGAATTTGCTTTGCATTCTAATCAACATGATTCCATGTCTTTCAATATAATGTAATGCCATTTCTGATACAGTTGATCCTGAAATAATAACTTTTACTCCTGATTGTGCAATATCTTCAATTGTCTAAAAAGTAAAAATTAGTTTTTCTTTTTTCTTTTTTTTTCTATTTCTATTTTTTCAATTTCTTTTCTTTTACCTTTTTAATTGAATCTTCTTCACCTTTTGAAAAACTAAGGAATTCTTGTTCATTGGTAATGAGAACTTTACCAGAGGTTTCAGTTTTACCAACATCGATACCAGAGGCAAATACGGCAACCTTTGCCTTTTCAACACGCTTGAGGGTACCGTCGGTGTCACCAATGACGACGAAACCCTTGATGACGGTAGTGTCACCGACACCTCCACCTGGAACCTTGGTGACTCTGATATTGTCGACGTTAAAGTTGGAAGGGTTCTTTGGACAGACTTGGACACAAGCCTTGGCGATCAAATCAGACAAGAGGTTTTCGTAACCGTATTGCTTGCTGGCCAATGAAGCCTTGAGACATTTCTTGACTTCCTCTATATTACGAATGTCGCCGAGACGATATATGACCAATGATTCCAAAAGTTGTTGTGCCTTTTCACCAGCACGTTCATAACCAGCGACAATCTCGCTTGGATGCAAACCCATCTCGAGCAATGTGGCAGACTTGTGCAACAATTCACCGGCCAATGAAACGACAGTGTTGGTGCCATCACCCATTTCACGTTCTTGCAATTGAGCAGCCATCACCATCATCTTGGCGGCGGGATGGATGACATCGAGCTCCTTGATGATTGTGGCAGCATCATTGGTCACAAAAAGCTTCTCCAAGTGGTTAATGATCATCTTGTTCATACCATTTGGACCCAAACTTGTCTTTGTAATCTCTGATAGTTGTTTGCATGCTTCAATGTTTCTTAAAATGGCTTCATCTTTACCTGCAAAATGCTTGGTACCATCTTTTAACATATCCCCTAATGATAACATCTTTGTATTCTTCTTCTTCTTTAGATATAAATATATATATATATAAATATTGTGAGGAAAGAACTATCAGTAGATTTACAAAAGTAGAGAGAGATAGGAGCTATCTCATGAGCCTTTGAACATGAAAAAAAAAACAAGTTCAAAAAAAAAAAAAAAATACGAAAAAAAATTACTCATCAAATAAGTATTCATCATTCGTTCGTTTTTCATTATTACATTAGATATATATTAAAAAAGACCGATTTAAAACATGGTACTATATGTTGTTGGATTAGGATTAGGAGATGAAAAAGATATTACAATTAAAGGATTAGAAGCAGTTAAATCATCGGCCAAGGTATACTTGGAGTTTTATACATCTCTTTTGGGAGGATCGACAAGTGTCGAACGTATGGAAGCATTCTATGGAAAGCAATTAATATTGGCTGATCGTGAATTTGTTGAATCTGGTTGTGAAGGAATGTTGGAAGAATCTAAAACTATGGATGTTTCTTTTTTAGTTGTTGGTGATCCTTTTGGGTAAGAGAGAGAAACAGAGAAAAAGTAAAAAGAAAAAGAATTAATACTTACTTTTATACTTTGTTTGTTTATATTTTTAGAGCAACAACACATACAGATTTAATAATGAGAGCAAAAGAATTAAATATAACAGTAAAGATTGTACACAATGCAAGTATTATGAATGCAGTTGGATGTTGTGGATTACAGTTGTATACGTTTGGACAGACGATTTCAATGGTATTCTTTACCGATACCTACAAACCAGATAGTTTCTATGATCGTGTCAAATCGAATCGTCAAGCTGGTCTACACACACTCTGTCTGTTGGATATCAAGGTGAAAGAACAAACCATTGAAAACATGTTGCGTGGTCGCAAGGTCTACGAACCACCTAGATTCATGACCGTCAATCAATGTGCGGAGCAATTGTTAGAGATTGAAGATATTCGTGGTGAAAAGGTGTACGATGAGAATACTCTTTGTGTCGGTATGGCTCGTGTCGGTCAAGACGACCAACAAGTCATCACCGGCACCATGAAGGAACTCGTCAGCATCGATTTCGGTGCTCCTCTTCATTCCTTTATTATCTGTGGTGATATGCATTTCCATGAATTAGACTTTTTTAATTCATTCCGTATTAATAAAGAAAATAAGTAAAGTAAAGTAGATAATAGTAACTAATAAAATGTAAATAAATAAAAAAAAAGGAAAAGGTAAAATTTAGACACTTGTGAAGTTCATTGTTCAAAATATAGATAGATTATATTATATATCTGTTTCTATATCTATATTTCGTTAATTATTTCAAAAATGACTCAACTTCCTCTTCTTCCTCTTCATCATCTTAATAATGATCGATAAATTAATATTATATTAAAAACTATAGTGATTCGCATTTATCAATCAATCTATTTTTATAGATTTGCATTTATCAATTGGCTTAATGCCAAACAATTTGAAGCAATCGATTGGTTAAATCTAAAGTGTGGCGATCAACTTTTGGCTCAAACACATCAACCAAAACTTTACGGCAACACTTCTGCTTTTCAAAAAATCTATAAACTATTAAAATCAATGAATAATAACAATCAACAAGAAGAAGAAGGATTAAGTCAATTATTTAATATAGTTGAAACTATATCACCTTAATCATTTTTGGATTTGGAATAATAAAGAAAAAAAAAGAAAAATAAAGTAAAAAAATAAAAGATTATTATTGACGAGGTTTCTTGATGAGAGGTTTCCTTAAGAGATAATCTTCTTGCATTTCCTTTCGATGACTCTTCAGATATAAGTAGCAAGCTAGTCCAATTCCAAGTGTACCCACTGTCATTATTACCAGTTGTGTCCAATGAAAAGGGTATTCTTCTTTTACTTTGTTTTTTTGTTTTGGTTGGTTATCCATGAAAAGGTAAAATGATAGAATCTTGAAATATTTTATATGATTTGGTGAATTAAAAAACAAAAATTAATAATTAATAATACCTTGTTGGAAGACGCTTGACCTTGGAACTGCCTTAATTTTTATGAGAATTTTTGAAATTATTTAAATTATTGTTACTTTTTTTTTTTTTTAATACAACTCCGCTTTTTACCGAGCATGTGGCACTTGTGTGAAGTTCATTGTTCATCAAATATATATATTTATATATTTATACATGTTTATTTATTTATATACTGCAATGACTCAACTTCTTCTTCTTCTTAATAATGATCAATTATTAATATTTGAAAAACTATTTAAATTAGTTTTAATACAAAATAGATATTTATTCAAGACTATATTTGGATGGGTTAGAACTATATACTTGGAGTATTGGAATGCAAAAAAGTCACAATGTTACAACTTTAAAGATATAATCAATTTGGTAGAGACAAGAACATTGACTCATTATAGTCAAATGCTTACACCTTGTCTCATGAAACTAGTCATCAAACACCTCAATCCTCAATACAATGATGTGTCTATTACCAATATTGATCAGTATACATTTTCACTTAATACAAGTACGGCTGATGAATCGTCATACTGTTATACACGTTTCATAGGTAGTTCATCAACCATTTACAACTTGATTCAAGACAAGGAGACGATGGAGATGGCTTGTAGAAAAAAGTTGCTCAACAATTGTATTGATCTAGAGTTGGCTTCACATCCACACTTTTCATTTGCCTACTTTAAAGTATTTATGGAAAATACGATTCATCGTCGAAATGGTAAAGATCAAGTTCAACAACCAATCAATGTATTACTCAATTTTTTAGCAAAGACTGATGTCTCTCCAATTGAATACCTCGAGATTATCTTTAAGCACAAGAAACAATTCGAGGGGTTTGGTTCGATTACTCCTGCTGATTATTATCGGTCACCTGGAAATGACAGAAACGTTCTCGATTATTGTCCTTGGGATCAACGTATTACAACTCATGCTGAATTGGTTGCCTCTCGAGACTATTACATTTACACATTCAATGTACTAGATACTCCAACAGTTGAAAAGGTTTCAAAGGTACTCGATAACTTGTATTATAGTGGTCGTGGAGATGTATTGGAATGGTTGGCTAATCATCTCGTGTTAAATACCCCTCAAAATCAATACCTTGGATTACTTGTACTTATCAAATGGATACAATATTGTCCAAAAGGAGGCAAAACAAAGTTTTATTTCTCTCAATTACCATTGGAAGGAATGGATAATATTACTCTCTATTTTTATCGATTTGCATTTATCAATTGGCTTAATGCCAAACAATTTGAAGCGATTGATTCGTTAAATCAAAAATGTGGCGATCAACTTTTGGCTCAATCTCCAAACACTCACACTACCACAACCATGACTCCATACCCAAAGCTTTACGGCAACACCCCTGCTTTTCAAAAAATCTATAAACAAACTATCGACCTATTAAAATCAATGAATAACAACCAACAAGATTTAAATCAATTATTTAATATAGTTAAAACTATTTCACCTTTATCTTTTTTTGATTTGGAATAATAAAGAAAAAAAAAGAAAAAAAAAAAAAGTAAATTACTAAATGAAAGTCTTACTATTGTACCTACAACAAGTAAGAACAAAGCTAGATTTTTATTTAATAAAAAAGTGACATTGGTAAAAGTAATAACAAGTAGAGATTAGAATGATAAAAAAAATTATTATAATTTACATTTTAAAATTGTTTGAGGAGGTAGAATTTAATTTAATTAGTTTTGATCCTTGAAACTGTCAAAAAAAAAAAAAGATTAAAGTTTATTATTGAAGTCTTGATATTGGCAAAAAAGAGAAAATAAATAAAATTAATGATAAACGAAGAAAAATTTTATTTATCGATTATTATTGATTCTTATTGATTATTTCAAATATATTATTTAATTATTATTATATATTAATTATATTAAAAGTTATTAGTAATTATTAAATATTGATTATTTGGGATTTATCTTGTCTGAATATTTTTTTATATCAATGGAAATAATTTGTACAATCCATAAGATCATGAAGACAAGTTGAAATGTTGGTTTGTATCTATTGGGTATATCTTGATAAAAAGCCACACACTCCATGATGCCCACCGGAACTGCTGATATTGCTGATCATTCTAAGAACTAACCCAAACTTGAAACACTTATTAGACTGCTGGTGATTTGACCATTAGAAGAGTGTTTTCAGTGTCATGTAAATGGCAAAAAGAAAATAACAAATAGCATTAAAAATAGTAACTACAGACTAGTATGACATTTTGAAGTATATTAATATTATTATTACTATTATTTTTTTTTTTATGATGAGACTATTTAATGAAATAAGTTGATCTACATGCACTCAATAAATAATATTGGGAGAAAAAAAATAATAAATAAAAAGAAATGATAATTAAACCTTGGTGGCTAAATGTCAACACTTCAAAGTTAAAAACAAGAGTAAGATTCAATTTGAAGGACTATCAACAATCAGGCTGGTGGGGTTTTATTATCCATTATTTCCCTTCTCTTTTTCCTATTTTTGAGGGGTCGAGTGCAGATCACCCCTCAAACTATGACCAATAATTATCAAACTGGTATAGAAACAGTTAACGGTTCAAATTGAAGACAATCAATAATCAGTTTGGGGTTTACTCGTCACCCATAACAAAATTATGATGATAATTGGAGATCCAACAATTAAACCTGTGGTTTGATGTACGAACAACCCTTGTCTTGGCATCCATCAACAATATATTTTCGTATATTAAATCAAATTGAAAAAATGGTTTATTGGTAAATAAATAAATTGTGGTGTATGATAGTGAATGAGTGAATAAGTGACTAACTAATGTCTGCTGAATGACTAACGAACGACTCTCCATCATCCTGGCTCCTCCTTTCTAACATGTATATATCCACGTATGGAAGTATATATTTAATTTTTCCATTTTTATTCTATTAAAAACCAACTATGATAGTATTCTTTGGGAAATTAATTTAATTGTCTAGTAAGGAAGGTTTTATTTTATTTAAAAGGTTTGTATTCCTTCACATCCTCCAAGTTTCATTTCTGAAAAGTATGGAGTGAGATTGGTGGCCAAGTTCCCCTGGTGGGTTTAAACTGAAGATTTTGATGCAAGGATGATGAGTAAAAAGATTATTGACTGGGTTTCTTGATGAGAGGTTCTCTTAAGGGATAATCTTTTCGTCGAAGTTTTTGTTGATGCTTCAGATATACGTAGTAGACTAGTCCAATTCCAAAAGTGCTAACTGTCATGATCGGCACAAAAAGCCATTCAGGCATTAGTACTTCTTCTTTTTGGTTGGTTATCATCCATTTGATGAGAAGATAAGGTAAATGCCTGAAAAAATTTATGATTTGTTAAATGAGAAAATAGGTAAAAGGTAAAATGATAGAGGGTTAAATATTTCTAAATTGTTTTAGGTGTGATTTATATTATCTCTATTTTTCTCTTTAATTATTTGAAATGGTATGTTCACCTTGAACCTTTATTTAAAATAATAGCTTTTCATTTAATGCACCAAAACAATTTAGAAATATTTGTTGTTTTTTAATAAAAAATAAATAAATATGAAAAGAAAGAAGTCATGGATAACCCCGGTCATCGACCTCACTTGAAAACGTATTTTTTAAAAAAAAATATATATTTATTTTTAATAATCATTTGGTTTTGATCTGGCCATTTGTTTATCTCTGAGAGACATGAATTGTTTCTTTCTAATTCTATCAGCTTGTTTAACCAAAAGGAATGGTTTGTTACGTTTGGCTTGTTCTTCGTTTCTCATAGAGTTACCAGACTTTTCACGACGAGCCTTCTTGGCACCATACTCTCCTCTATCTGCTCTACCTTGCAAGACACCATCCAATCTTTCTTGTCTGGTTTGTCTCTTTTTCTTGTGATCACCAATCAAATTGTCTGGATCAATGATACCAAGTGGATTGTCATCGTCGTCCATATCGCTACCTTGATCTTCAAGGTCATCCATATCTTCAATCTTGCGCTTCTTTTCAATGACATCTTTAATCATTCTCAATTTTTGAATCTTTGCCAAATCCTCGTCTGTTAAAATTCTGTCCAAATCAACCTTTTCCTTGTCAAGTGCATCTTGTTTTTTCTTTTCTTCTTGTTTCTTTTTCTTTTCTTCTTGTTTTTTCTTTTCTTTTTCTTCATCTTCATCTTGTTGTTGTTGTTGTTGTTGGATCTCTTCATCATCACTGACAGATTCCCATTCACCATCATCATCCTCACCTTCTTCTTCGTCTTCACTGACAGATTCCCATTCATCTTGGTCGTCATCTTCAGATTCTTCCTCTTCTGATTCTTCCTCTTTTTGAATTTGTCTCTTCTTGTTGTTGTTGGTGGTGGTGGTAGCAGTGGTGGCAACTTGTTTCTTTGATTGTTCTTGTTGTTTCTTTTTGTTAATTTCTTGCTTGTCTTGTTGAATTTGTTTTTGTTGTTTGGCTTGTAACTTTAACATATCCTTGATATTGGCAGTACCTTCAAATGCTGCACCAGATGACTCTTGACCAACTTCTTCTCCTTCTTGTTGTTCCTCTTCTTCTTCTTCTTCTTCCTCTTCATCATCACTATCTTCATTTTCATCAACTTCTTCCCACTCACCATTATTAATTTGATCTATTAATTCTTCATCAACATCTTTCCAATCTTCTTCATCATCATCATCTTCATCACCACTGACAGATTCCCATTCATCTTGGTCACCTTCTTCTACTTCTTCTTCACCACTGACAGATTCCCATTCACCATCATCATCTTGATCATCTGAAGCTTCAACATCATTCCAACCTTCTTGATCAGAATCTTCTTCTTCTTCTTCACTCCATTCTCCAGCTTCATATTTCTCCAAAGCTTTGTTTAATTCTTCATCGTAGAGAAGTTCGACACCTTCGACACCTTGACTAACCTTTTGTTGACCGAATTGGAGGACAGGAGCCTGCATCTTTTTGTGACCGTCTCTGCCACGCTCCTTCTTGGGGAGGAGATGTGGAGCAACCTCTCTAAAGAACAAGAGAAGACTACGACCGGCCATCTTGACACCCTTCTCCTTGTTGTCCTTGTATTGGATGAGATCGTGCAAGAGCTGCGATTCCATGGCAAGTGGAGCTCTCGAGCAGATAGCACGGATCGTGTTGAGACCGATGGCAATGACCTCTGGGTTGGACCCATCGTTGGCAAAGTATTTGGCAATGTTTCGAATGACAGGTTTGAGAATGTCGGGGTCGACCAACTCGTGACAGGCCTGTGCGGCAACAGCCAATATATAGGTGATATTCTTTTGACTTGGTGTGAGAAGCTTTTGAATGTATGGGTAAAAGTTGTAGAGCAACAATTTATGTGTCGACACGAGACGAGCGATAAAGTTCATCATCAAGAGACGATTGTCATACTTTTCAGTGGAACGACGGAGTTGAGAAAAGAGACGTTCGGCGTATCCCTGTGGGTCGTGGATCAACTCAATGGCGGGGAAGTTGGGATTGCTACGTCCTTGATTTTGTTCCTTGAGTTTCTTGAATTTATCCTTTGACTTTTCGTAACGACGTTTACCGGAACGTGTCTTTTTAGAGACCTTGTTTGAGAGTGATTGAGCCTTCATCTCGGCCTTGGCCTCCTTTTCACGTTCAGCTGCCTCTTTTTCTTCATCGTCGGTCTTGTCACCATCAATCTTGAGGAAAAAGTTTAATGCAGTTGATACAATCTTACCATTCTTTGAAAATACTGCACTTGCAATTACATTTACTGTTTTAATATCATGCCTATAAAAAAATAGAGAAAATAGAAAATAATATTATTAATATTATTTTAAAAAAAGAATACTATTTTTTATGTCTATATATATATAAATATTTACCAAATCTTTCTTTTAAATAAATCAATCATAACTTTGAGAGACATGACAGTAGCAATTTCAGAAGGATCAGACATCATTGTAAACATAAAGTTTTGAAGTGATTTGTTGAGTTTGACATTCTTTTGCTTGATGTTTGTATTTTTAATGTCGGCGACAATGTACGAGTAGAGAAGTTTACGAAGTGGTTTGTCGTGTACACGGAACAATTTGAAAAAGAGAGACAACAACGGTATCTGTTGCATCATGTTTTTGTTACGCATTAAAATCAATGATTTAACCAATACACGTCTCAACTCTGGTTCAAAGTTGGTACAACTATTCTCTAATAAATCACATATTTGTTTTGGAAAGTCTTTCATATCTTCTGGATAACATGCACTTACCTAAAATATATATATATATATATATATAGATAAAAGTAAATAAATAGAGATTGATTTGTTTGTAAATATATAAACTTATATAAGTCTACTGCTTTTTTTCTTCTTCTTAAACTAAACATACATGAGATAAATAACTAACCAATTGAGAGAAAGATTTAAAATCTTTAGTTGGTTTTAATTGAAAGATTTGTAATTGAGTAAGATAATGTTGATATTGAAGTTTAAACTCTTCCTTGTAGGCAGGTGGATCTCTCTTTGTTAGATTCTGCAATTGCAGTAAATCTATAATTCTTGAATTACCACTTGACATTTCTCTCTCTCTCTCTTTCTACTAGTGTATTGTTTAACTTAATAAACTATACAATATATATATATAAATAAAGGGAGTGAGGTAATAAATCAATTAAATAATAAGAGAAAATAATGATACAAATCGACTCGTTCGTTTTTTTTCTATTTTTTTTTTTTTTTTTTAATTTTTTTTTTTCGGGCACGTTGATGAAAAGATGGATAATAATATCAATTTGATAGTTTGTTTTATTTTATTTAATATTTTTAAAAGGATCATTTAGTTTTTTAAGTAATGTAAATATTGGAAATGGTTGATATTCACAGCCTTCACGGATGATATGATAGAGTTTAGTAAGTGTTTGGTAGTAAGTGTCTGTTGTTGGTGGTGTTGAACCTAAAGAGATTGATTGTGATTTTGGAATTGAAAATGTAAAACTATTGATGGAACTATTGTTGACACGTTCGATGAGAGGTTTGACATCTTCAAAGTTTGAAAAGGTTTGGATCTTTAATTCTCGTACCGATGATGTTGGTTTGGATAACGTGTCAAAGAACCCACCATTGGTCAAATAGAATGATTGTACTTGTTCTTTGGTAGCTATTTGGTGTCGCATCGATACACGATAGATCTTGGTATGTTTATCGATAAACTCGGCAATTCTCTCAACATTGGCCATAGAGTAACACGAAATGGTCAGGTCTTGCAAGAGTGGGAGAACGTCAGCACTGGCACCAAAGAATGTGGTAAATGCTTCACGGTTGTATAGAAAGTCGACATGCATAGTTTGAATGTTCGCATGGAACGCAGGAACAATGTAATCAAAATGAACACTGTAATCAGTGATATTAGATTGCAAAAAGATTGGATACGTTCTTTGTTGCGAGTAGATGACAGTGTCTAGTTTTTGGATGGATGTTTGTAACTTGACAAAATCAATAAACCCTTGTGACTGTTTAATCTTTGGATTGGTGATACCAAAGGTATGCAACTTTTTAAAGGTATGCCCCGACAACATAGTCCATGGGACATGATTGTGTTCATTGAGATAGAGTGTCTCAAGATTGTCAATGACCGACGGGCACGTTAGAATACAAATCAAATCGATTTGAAAGTTATCAACCGATGGTTTAACATCTAGATGTAGATGAACGAGATGGTTGAATGGGAGGTACTCTGACAGTACAGCAAAACGAGGTGGAGCCATCTCCATTTTAAAAGATTGTAATGATGCAAAACATTTGTGACCCAACAAATATTTGAGACTGGAAAAGTCATAATTAACAATAGTAATCTTTGATTTGAAACAAAGTCTTTTAATTTGATGTTCCTCTAGACGATCGAGGAACTCTCCAAAATGGTCGATTGATGTTTTGACACCTCCACGGCGACTGAAATCCTTTGGAAGAAAACTAACCTCTAGTGAACGTAGTGAGGTGGTGGCAAATACAATATTCTTGACCGTTGAAAAGAATGAACATGGTACTATGATCTTGGAGACACCCATATGAAACATATTGGTCGTTTCATTGAGTATGTTGGCACGACGTATCGACTGTTCAACCCTATCGGTAAGTTTGACCGATCCCAAATCCGAGTTGAATTGTTGTACCATTCTATGCCAACGCCAACATACCATCGATAGATCCTTTCTAGCCGGTTGATAAGATTGACACAATTGATAGATAATTGTCTTTTCAACATACATTGGAACTACATATGGTTTCATTTCACCTTTTTCATTGATGATTTGAATGGTTCTATCTACAACTGCAGTCGTAGTAGTAGTAGTAGTAGTAGTGGTAGAAGTTGAAGTAGTAGTAGGATTATTGATGATTATTAATTGATCATCACTCTTTTTCAAATTAGATACTCCTACAAAAGAAGAGATTGATGAAAGTGCAGATCTGACGAATGTTTTGGTAAGTGGTTCCATGATTAATAACTTGAAAAATGTCATATAATTATTATTAATAGTTGCTAAATATTCATTATTATTATTATTATTGATTATTTGATTATTATTTAATTATTAATTATGTGATCACATGTAAATATGTATTTTAGTTGATGTTAACAATAACATTTGGTATTGTTGGTTGTGCGGGTACTCCTTCCCATTCCATCTCATTGTGTGTTGCTAATAAATCCAAGAAAAATAAAAGAATAGGAATAAACTGATTAGTATCATTATCATTCTCTTTGATACAAAACATAAACCACCAATGGTGATTGTGAATACCTTCGGAATAGAAAACTGATGATCGTCTCAACAACCCCTGTACATTAAATTTTTAAAAAAAAATGAAATCGATTTGATTGTTGATCGAAGAAGATTGCAAATATATCTAATCTAGTTTTTAAAAAGACAAATACTTTTTATAGTAGAGTATTGCTTTAATGAAATTTATATGTGATCATGTTGTAAATATTTAAATTGGTTTGGTAAAAGATAAAGATGATGATGATGATGATGGATGTAAGTAGTAGTTGGGGGGGATTGGAAATTCGATGAATAAAGTTTGGTATCATATGATATTATTGATAGTGCCTCTTTTTTTTTGTTGTTGTTTAAAAATATGTATGCCCAATCTCTCTATTCATTATTATTATTATTATTATTATTACTATAGTTATTATTATTATTATTATTATTATTTTGATTATTATTATTTAATATATATCCTATAAAGATTATTATTATTATTATTATTATTTGTTAACCAGCAGCACCAGAAGAAATGATATTTACTAACCAATCCAAACCTTCATATAAACCAACACCTTTAATGGCAGATGTCTTTACGATCGACCATTGTCTATTTTTAAGTTGACTTAGTTTTAAGCCTTCTGATACCTGTGCCTCTGTCAATGCACCGGGTAGATCTTGTTTGTTTGCAAATACCAAAAGAGGAGTCGTCTTTAGTTCCTCCTCTGATAACATTGCCACCAACTCTTCATTGGCTATTCCCAATCTATCTGGATCACTACTATCCACTACATATATAATTGCATTTGTATTTGGATAGTAACAACGCCAATATGGCCTTATCGCACTTTGTCCTCCTAAATCCCAAACTAAACATCAACAAATATATAAAAGTGTTAACAAACATCCTTCCATCCATCCATCTTTATCATTTCTATCTCTTTCTTTCTTTTCTCTATTATACAAACCTTGGAATCTAATATTTTTATATGATACAGTCTCGACGTTGAACCCAATAGCTATTATTATAGTTTAATATGTGATTGATGGTTTGGTTGGTTGTTAGTGTCTTGTTGTTGTTGTTTCATTCTAATATATTGTCATCTGACAGACAAACAACAATGATGATGTGTGTTGTCTGTCTGCTATCAATAATCGTACATACTAGGTATAGTTGTTAAGACTTCACCGCATTGTAATTTATATAATATAGTAGTTTTGCCTGCACTATCCAAACCCAATATAAGAATACGAACATCTTTATTACCAAATAATCTAAAGAACATCGATGAGAATAGATTACCTAAATAGTTATATATATATATATTGATGATTAGTTGTTGTTTGTATATTATCTATTATGTCAATGTTCTTGTAATTGTCTGATGGATCTTCTTTCTTTTTTTTTTGGTTGGTTGTTGTTTTAGGAGTAGTTGTTACACCATCAGGTTTGTCATCCTTTTTAGAAGAAGTACAATATGATGATTTGGAGACTACATACCCATTATATGATAAAAGTTGTTTGTTTATATATATATATACACAGTTTAAACTGTTTGCCTTAATGACTCTTCTCCTTCTCTATCTCTCTGTGATGATTGATTATAATCTTTGTTGTAGACTAGTTGATCTCCTCCTTTGCTCTCTTTTCTCTTTCTCTTTTCTCTTTCTCTTTTCTCTCTAATGATGATATAATAAATTTATTATCATGAGCAAAGACCTTTACTTTAATTAATAATAAGAGTTTGAGTTTCGAAGATCTTTTTTAAAACTTTTCACCTCCAACTCCTCCTCACCTCTCAGTGAATGAACCGATTTTAATTATATATTTATATTTTTATCTGTAGTCCCACCCAACCAACAACACTCAACCAATATTAATCAATCATAAATCTATCTATCTATCCTATCTATCTAATCTTAATTGTTGACTTTTTGTTATCAATAATTATTATTATTATTATTATTATTTTTTTTAGAAAACTAATAATAGGACTATTATTATTATATATATATATGTTTGATTTATTAATGTTTGAGCAATTGAGTACCCTTCTTTTGAGCACTATGGATACCTTGAATTCTTGATTTTTGTCTACTGTTCAATTTCTTCTTCTTTATCGACTTCTTTTTAATTGCAACTTTGTTCTTCTTTGGTTTGTCCATTGATACATCGTCGTCGTCAGAGTCATCAACTGGAGTTGGTTTATTTTTGTCGATTTGCATTGATAAAGCTTGGATTTCTGGTGGAATGTTTAATGCTATAGATATGATATTGGATAAACGATGAGATTTGAAATGGTATAAGTCATCGATCGGTTGATTGTTCTTTTTTTTTTTTTTTTTTCTAACAATAAAAGAGAGCATATATATAGTATAGTACTAGCAGTCTACCTATAGTATATCCTCTACTGTTGTTGTTAAAATATTTAAACTATATAGTACTACTAACCTTCAGCACCAGATTGATCTGAAAGTTCTTTTGCGAGTTTATCGGTAATATCTTTCAATCTATTAGCTTCAAATACTTTAGTCTTTTGTCTCTTGACTCTGACATTTCTTAATCTTCTATTACTGCAAACTGATTGACCCATCCTATTTATTTATCTCTATATATTTAAACTCTATTTACAAAACAACAACAATAATAATAATATTCAAACTGTCGTTCGTTTTGAGCGACACAATTTTTCGATTTTTGGTTATTATTTTTTTCTATGACAGAGGTCACCATTGGTGACAAACAAGTCACAAAGCTTTGGTCAAGTTAATCAATCATTTAAATTTAAGTAAAATAGATAGATAGATAGATAGATAGATATGAGTGATTGATAATACATATATTCTCGAAAGCACACAATCAAGAAGAATCTTTAAGATAAATTAAATTAAATTTATAAAGAAAATTCATATTTTCAAGTAAATTAATGAATTACCACCTCTGCAAGGAAGGAATATATATGAGTTTGTAACTAATTAGTTATAGTTACTATTTCATACCTAGATAGATATATACATAGTTATAAACAACTTTATTATCATCTCTCTCTCTCTCTATTTATTTCTTTCTTTTTAAAAATGACAAACAAACATAAACAATTAGCACCTTTGGGAAGACCAACAGGTCATCGTGAATTAGATATAGTATCAACGTTTATGTTGCATTGTTGTCATGCCAACTTTGAAGAAGCAACCAAACTAACCAATGTTAATATGAACAAAGATCAAATTCAATCATTCTTTAATCAGTCACTCAATTTTGGTCCATTTCAAGGTATCAAAGATGCAACCGTCATTGGCAATGGTCATATCTATCTTACTGTACTTCACAATACTGATTTACAATGGGTTTTTTGGGTAAATAAACAACAAGGTCGTATTGGTGGTTGGGATTTTAGGTATACATATATATATATGATAAAACAACAACTTGATATATATGTTATAAACAAAGGTTATTAATAATAATTATTTTTTATTTTATTTAGAAAACCAGGAAACTTTAGAAAACCAACAGAGAATGGACAAAGAATTATAGATATATTAGAATCATCAACACAACATTTACAACAACAATCATTAGAGATTAAATCATTACCACTTAATCATCATTTTAATGTCTCTAAAGTTTTAAGATTACAATGGAGTACTCCTATTACAAACGATCGTGATTTAATGTCTGATGGTAATTTAGAATTAATTCTGCCACCAGACAGGCCATTCCAACGTCATGGTAGTTTTTATGTTTTATCACCACAACAAGGTGTCACTATATTGGGTAAATACAATAGAAATTGTAATACCTATATTGCTTTACAATTACCTCGTCCACTTCCATCATCCATCACCTATGCTTTGGATATATTCTTTAGTCCACAACCAATAACATCAAATCATTATAATGATCAATGGGAATTATCAAAAGATGATCCATCTCAATATCTTGGTATTACAACTCATACTTCTGCTAAAATTGATCCATTTCATCCAAAGGTAAAACAAAGGTCGATAAATAATCACACAAAAAAAAGATACCAATTAAATATACTTATTTTATATATTTAGATAATTGAAATTAGAAATGAAATATTAAGAGGTAAAGAAAATTATACAATATTAGAAAAAGCAAAGGTAATAGCTAGATGGGTTGGTGATATACCTTATGAAATGATTAAACCTGGTATGCAATGGCCTACACTTGAACAATATCTATCAAGTGGATTCAGATATGTAGAGTGTGGAGGACATGCACTCTTTTTTGTAATGTTGTGTAGAAGTGCAGGTATACCAGCTCGTAGACTATTCCATCCATGTTTGGATGCACATACCAAAAAGTTTGGATCACATTGCATTGCCGAGTTTTATGATTCTACACATGGATGGATACCAGTAGATGCAACAGAGAAATTTGATGAACACAATTCTGGCCAATGGCTACGTATACCAATGTCAACACCTGGTCTATTACCAACTGGTTTTGCTCTCACCGTCGAATCAATGGACGGTCACGAAAAACATGCCATCAATGCAAAACATAATAATACTCTTCAAGATTGTCATATTGAATGTCTTGCTGATTATTGTCCAAATATTAATATTAATCAAAATAATAATCAAAATAATAATAATAGTGGTCCTCCATCCTCTTAAGATAGATAGATTCTACAAAAAAAAATAAAATAAATGTTTTTTTTTAAAAAGTAGTGAAGATATAAACTTTGCAAAGACCAACAACCGATCCATCCACTTTAATTTATTTATTTATTTATATTTATTTGTATTTATTTAAAAAGATGTCATTAATAACATCAGGTACATTAAATACATTAGTAAAGATACTTGCAAGTGGAGCAGCAGGAGCAGTTATCTATTGGGTGATTAAAAAGACATCGATAGAAGACGACCAAATCCAACAGATACTTGAATACGAAAGAAGACAATACCAACTACAGTTACAACAACAACAATTTCAACAACAACAATCTACATCATCTTCATCACTACAATCATCGTCTGGAGGAATCAATCATAAGCGATCGAGATCATTGTCCAATTCGACCGATGCATCGATCAGTCTAGTCGATCTATTACAAAATACACTCATTGAATACATCTTGGGTGACGATACACACAATGTAATAACTATTGACAGTTTGTCTACACTCGACTATGCATTGATGCGTATGAATGAAAATAATGTAACTTCACTACCCGTCGTCGATCTTCAACACAAACAATACATTGGCATGTTATCAATTGTCGATGTCTGTAGTTTTCTTGGTAGTCAACCAACCAATGAATTTGCTCCAAATACTTCTGTTGCTGAAGTTTTAAGTAAGCTATAAACCTTATATATCATAGTACATATATATATATATATATATACTAATTTTCTCTCTCTATCATTTTTCTAGAATATAATAGAGAACCATTTGTACCATTATTTGTAAATTCACCAATTCAATTATTAATTCATATCATGACACAACGAGTATCACAAGTTGCTATCATGTCAAATGAAACAGTTGTAGTAGATATTGTATCAAGATTAAATGTCATTAAATTCATCTATGACAATATTGAAGCACTTGGAAACAAGTCAAGTGCATCACTCTCTTCATTGTCACTGCTTTCCAAATCGATCACTACCATCAATTCTTCACAAAAAGTAATCGACGCTCTACACAAATTAAATAATGAACATATTACAGAGATTGCTGTTGTCAATGATGATGGTCATTTAATTGGTAGTTTTAGTTCTTCTGATTTACGTGTATGTAATAGAAAAAAAGAATTATTATTATTGTACTTTATTAATTATTTCTTTATTTTATTTATTTATAGAAATTATCAATTTATACATTTAATAGATGTTTGGAACCAATTTCAATGTTTATTAAAGTATCAGAAGATCCATTAGCGATTGATGAATCAATTATTATTAATCCATCGTCTACACTACGAAGCACGATTAGAAAGTTTGTAGAATCTGAATCACCAATATTATGGATCGTTGACAATCAAAACAAACCAGTCTCTGCAGTCACACAATTATCTCTATTGAAATACTTTTTGAATTTGTCAACATCGATGAATGACTAATGTACTTTGAATTTGAAATGTTGTAATAATAATAAATAACGATTAATAAAGAATAATAGTAGTAGTAATTACATACAGTCTAAATGTGATCGGCAAGATCCAAAGGAGTCTCCAACCTTGATCGTTTTTTTTGTTTGATCTTGCATTGTATGTTGGTAAAGTCTAGGCTCTCTTCTTTGATTTAGTAGAGAGACCAACAAAAAAGATAGTTCAAAGAAGTAAAAGATCAACTGTAAGCGTGCAGTTCTAGGGTCCTACTCTCTTTTCAATTGACTATTAAATTTCATAATCAAACAAATTGTCAAACGCGAAGACGATCATTGCTAGCGTGGGGGTTTTAAAAACCCCTAAAAAAGAAAAAAATTATTTAAATAAACATTTTGCAAAAATTATCTCTTTATATATTTTAATTAATTAATGACTTCAATATCAAGCATTATATTATTAGTACTCTTACTTATCGTATCTATAGTATTGGGTAGTGATCCATTAAATGTAGATAAAGAGTTTGTCGTAAAACCAGAAGGGAAAGAGACAGTAGAACTAGTACATCAATCACTAAGATGTGCTATCACATATGAAGCTTCTGGTGGTATGATATATATATATATATATATATGAATATGTTGATGATACCAGTCAAAACCTGACCAGTTTGATCTAATTATATGATTTATTATACGTTTATTTAGGATCAAGTGAAACATGGGCTATTAATATAGTTGATAATGGTGATGGTTATATGTGTATGATTGGAAGGTATGTTTGAAATATATATATATACATATCTTGTATCTAGTCATTGACAACTAATGATATACCTTTTTGATGACATTTATAATAGACCTCAACCACCAAGTTATATCTTGTTCAAAGACATTACAATATCATTTACCAATGGTAAACAATCTTTACATACTGCAGAGTTGATGGACAATGATGGTTCATTATTAATTAAAGATCAATTTATCATTGATGATAAACACAATGTACGTCCTGGTCGTAATTGGAACAAAAATTTGGTATTGGCAACTTTACTACTTTAACCAAACCCAATGAATGATATATTATATTATATTATATTATATTATATTATATTATATTATATTATATTATATTATATTATAAATTATTCTATCTACATTTTATCTATCTATTTATTATTATTATTATTTAGTTTAATTTGATTCAACAGTAGGTTCATCGGAAACGGTACCAGTAGTAGTGGTGGTTCCGTCAGCAGATGTGGTTGATGATGGGGTTGATGATGTTGATGGGGATATTGAGGCAGCGGCAGTAGCAGCTGTAACGGCAGCAAGAGCATCCTTTTCCTTTTGTTTCTTTGCCAAATATTCCTTTGGTATTGGCATCTCTTTCATATACTTTTCAATCTTTCCACCAAATACAACGTGCATCAAGTGTTCCTTTTGAACCAATGTACTCTTTGGTGAGAGTAATTTACGAACAACTTGTCTTGATTCTTCCACTATAGTAAAATAATAATAATAATATATTAGTTTTTTAATAAGAATGATATATAGATAGATGATTGTAAAAAGAAAGAAAAAACATACATTGATCTCTAGTAGCACCCTTTCTTTGTTGACCCAATTCCAATTGATAGAGTGCCCAATCCATCTTTCTTTGATGTTTAGATTCTTCATCTTCCTTTACATCGGCTACAGGGGTGGCAGCTTCATTCTCCTTTGCTAATCTAGCAGCTTCTTTTTTAGCCTTTTCTTTAAGTCTCTTCTTTTGACCAACACTTAATTTAGCTGGTTCTCCTGTCGATGTCGACTCTACAACTGCTGGTGTTGTTGTTGGTGGTGCAGCAGTAGCAGTAGTGGTAGAAGGAGTATTACCTAATTGAGTTCCTGTTTGAGATTCCATTATTATTAGTTAGTATCTATCTATCAATCTACCGAATTGTTATATTTGAAGCATGGTTCGTTCGTTTTTCTAGCCGATTGTCGTGCTTTGCAAAAATTATTATTAAAATTAATAATTAAAGTGGAAAAATAATCTGCTACAACTACTAAGTAGCAAAGGGGAGAGATGTGTGGTTTATATGTATAATAACCTCTCTCTCTCTCTCTAATTATCAGTCGATAGTGCACTATAAAAGTCAATGGTTATATACATATATATAACAGATATGAATAGTGGGGGTCTCAATTCTTTATTTTGAAATCTATTCTCTACACATAGATGGTGGTGTATTATTATTGTTTGCATTTGGATTGGAGAGAGATGATTTTGAACATGTATCCACCTTTGTCTCTTTCTCTTTAAAAGAGAGAGAAAGAGAAAGAAGAAGATAATTTACTTTAAACAACAAACAACAACATCAATAACAACAAACTTTTTAAAACAATATTGTAGAACTCTTCTCAGAAAATAAAGGTATGTTTATATGTGATCACATAAGTATTAGATACTTTGATCAAACCAACCTACTAATAAAAATTTGTTGTTTTAAAAGATGATTGAACCAAATCAAGAACCATCTCCATCACCATCTCTCCTAAAAGGTAAAACAATCTATGAATCATTCCAAAATGCATTCAAATGTCATAGTGAAAAGGATTGTTTGGGAAAGAGAGAGAGAACAATCGTACAACAACAATATCTTGTTGGAGAAAAGGTTGTATTGGGTGAATTCAAATGGATGACTTATCAACAAGTCTATGATTACTCGATTGCCATTGGTAATGGATTGCGTCAATTAATCGATCCAAGATCATTCCTAACCATCTGTGCCAACAATTGTGTTGAATGGACCATGACTGACTTGGCATGTATTTGGCATGGAATCAGAGCAGTACCAATTCATCACCAAGCTTCAACAGCGACCATTGAAGAGATTGTCAACAACTGTCAGTCCAACTGTCTCTTGATGACACCTGACAATGCAGGTGTATTGTCAGAGTTGATTCACCAAAACAAATTACCTACACTCGAGACTATAATTATTCTCACAGAGTATCACAAACCAACAACCGATGAACAACAATTGATCGATTCCATCTCGACTAAAGTTCGAATTGTCTATTTTGATGAGATGGTTGAAAATGGTCAATCTATGGAACCAGTACCTCACCATCCATTTGAAAGTGATGAGTTGTTTGGTCTACTTTACACATCGGGTAGTACTGGTACACCTAAAGGAGTGATGATGCCAGAGGATCTCTACCACAACAGTCTTACCGTTGCACCCAAACCAAATCCATCGGTTCACCTTAGTTTTCTTACCATGTCACATTTACAAAGAAAGATAGATCTTTCCAGTATATTTGAAGGTGGTCAAATTGGGATGTACTCTGGTTCAATGGAAACTATTTTTGATGACATTCAAACATTAAATCCAACAATGTTTTCAGCTATCAGTAGATTTTATAATGTTATCTATGAACAATGTAGTATTTTAAAACAATTGGTATGTGAAACAGAAACATATATAAATATATATATATATATAAACAAGTCATCTATATTTCTTTCTTTCTAACATTTTTTATTTATTTCTATATCTTATATTCTAGAATCAACAAGACAAAATTAAAAATATTTTAGGAAATAGAGTAAAGATTTTAATAACATTTGGATCATTGACTGGACAATCAATTAAAGATTTTTTAGTAGAGAATTGGCCAGAGGCTATGATTATTGATATTTACGGGATGAGTGAGGATATAGGATTTGGTTTCATGATGAATGGTATGATTCAAGATCATACTGTCATTACTCGTGTTGACCCAGTTCCAGAATTGGGTTACACATTACAAGACAAACCTTATCCAAGAGGTGAACTTGTCTATCAAAAGAAAACCATTTCTCCTGGGTATTATAGAAAACCTGAACTCACCTCTACCGTATTTATTGATGGTTGGTACTATACCGGAGATATAGTAGAACAATTGGGTGAAAGACATTTTAAAATCATTGATAGAAAGAAAAATGTTTTTAAATTATTAAATGGTGAATTTGTTGCGTATGTAAAAATAATATAAATAATAATAATAATAATAATAATTTAATATTTATATTTATTTATACTATTTATATTTAGTCCAGAAGTAATAGAATCATTTTTTAGAAATTCTAAAATGATTGAATCAATTTTAATTTATGGAGATTTAAAACAATCATTTTTAGTTTCAATTGTCATACCAACCAAAGAAATGATTGATATTTACCCGATCGAAAGAAAATCAGAATTACAAGCATTGATTTACAATGATTTACTTGAGATTGCAAAAGAAACAAATATGCAACATTATGAAATGCCAAGATTAGTAGAACTTGATTACCATACCATTTGGAGTGAATCAAATGGATTATTGACTCAAACTAGTAAAGTGTGTAGACCTGCCCTCTACCATTTCTATCAATCAACCTTTCAATCAATGTACCAATCTCAACAAGACAATAATGTTGTATCAATCATCAAATCTATTCTAAATATTGATAATGGTGATCAAATTGATTCACTTTCATTTACTCAACTAGGTGGTGATTCTTTAACTGCTATTAAACTTTGTCATATGATTAAAGGTATGTAAATTATCAAAAAAAAAAAGATAATTAATAAAACTTTGTTATTTACTTTTTTATTTAGAAAAATAAATATTGAAATACCAACATCAATTATTTTAAATGTAGATAATAATCTATCAAAGTTGACAGATTTACTACAACAACATATGAATAATAATCAAGAGATTAAGAATCAAGATATTGATTGGGAAAAAGAAATCCAACTTGATGATTCAATTCAAATTGGCAACAAATCTGTCAGAAAACCAAATTTGGTTGACAAGTTTAATGTATTTTTAACAGGATCAACAGGATATCTTGGATCATTCCTACTCTATCAATTGTTGATTGATGATAGAGTAGACACTATCTATTGTCTAATTAGAAATAGTGGTGAAAAGACATCTGTAGATATGATCAAACAATTAAATAACAAGTATCTTTTGGATGTTCCATTAAACGATAACAACATTTCAAGAATTGTGATTGTTTCAGGTGATTTATCATTGGATCAATTTGGTCTTTCAGATGAATCATTTTTAGAGTTGGCCAATAATGTTGATCTACTCATTCACAATGGTGCACTTGTTAATATGGCCATCCCTTACAACAACACTAAAGCAGCCAATGTCAACTCTACAAGAGAAATGCTTAAACTTGCTAGTATTGGTGATTATCTCATACCACTGTCTCACGTGTCTTCAGTTGGAGTATTCCACGTCGAAGATGAATTGTACAATGGTATCATCACTGAACAATCTATACCATCACTTGACAACCTTTCAAAATTAAATGGATACCGTCAATCTAAACTAGTTGCAGAACAACTCATCAAAGAGGCTTATTGTCGTGGTTTCCCTATCATAATGCATCGTCCAGCTACCATCTATGCAGACTCTAGAACTGGTGTAGACAATGAACATGATCTAGTTAGAATGGTAATTAAAGGATTATTATATATGAAATCTTATCCATCAACAACAGATGACAATCAAATGGAAAAAGATTCAAATTTAAATTCATATAATTTAGTTCCAGTTGATTGGGTATCAAAATCAATCATTCAATTATCATTAAATCAACAAAATAATAATCAAAATAATAATAATAATAATAATTTATCAATCTATCATATGATTAATGAAACCAATGTATCAATTGGAACTATTGGATCAATTATAAGAGACAATGAGCTATCAGATAATGGAGAAATGAAAGAGATTAGTATCAAACAATGGACAGATGAATTAAATAATTGTACAATATCCAATCCTCTGTATCCAATGAAATCAGTTATCCATAGCAACAGTAATGACAGCAACAACAACGGTAGTGGAGAAGGATACACAAACAACCTACAATTTAAAACACCATTTACGACACTATCATTACAACAACTTGGTCTTGATCCATGTCAACCAATTTCAAATTCATTGATCATTAAAAATATTAATTATTTAATTAATAATCAAAAAAAATAATAATAAAAAACATTTTACTGGGTCGAGACGATTGATAGGAAAATAGGAAAAATATTAAATATCACTAGAGCATTTATTTAATCTTTTTTGTTGCCACGTAAAGATAGAGTATCCCAGAGTTTATTTATTTCCAAGTCCCATGGATTTGGCTTTAAATTGTCTTAGCTCTTTGAGATTAATAACACCACTGTATTGGAGAAATGGGTGTAGGTTAGAATTGTTTTGGTCAGAGTTTTTCTTTAATATTTACCTTTTATTTTTATCTACTGCAAAGAAAAGTTTCTCAGTTAAATAACCTTTAGGAGGAAATGGTGTTAGATTGGTTTGATGGGTGTTATTTATTGAAATACAATTACATACTTGGATTTTTAACTTTTTCTCTTTGGAAATGTTCAAGGACTTCTTGGTAAGATATCATCTGGTCACCATCTTTGTCATACTTTGACAAAAATTCATCAATCTCCTTTTGAGTTTGATCAAGGTATTGAGTGTTTCCATAGTTGGTGTGCTCTAAGAATGTAAAAGAAGAAAAGAAAGAATTTGTTTAAAATGGGGTTGAACCATTGATTGAAAATACATAAAAAACATACTTGAAAGCTCTTTAATGTCAACCGTTCCATTATGATTCTTGTCAAGTTCAAAAAAAATTTGGTTAGCAGCCATGAACGGCTTATCGGATCCACCTTCCTTTAAGCAATTAAATACTTCGGCATAGGTAATCTTACCATCTTTGTTTTGATCGTATCTATCTAATAAAAACTAAATAAAGATTGAAAGAAAATAAGAAAATGTTCAAACTTGAATTCTTTTGCAAACATTTTTAATGCATGTTACCTGGATATCTTTTGATTGTGACATTTTTGTTTTATAATGAAAATGAATACAGAGGTTATACAACCTTACTTTTATATTCAATTCAATTCAGAGGAGAAATGAAAATTAAATTATACTACACCAAAAACCGCGGTTAAATTTGTAATATGTCCAATGTCTTCAAAGTGACAATTACCTGAGCCAGCCAACTCTCTTACACTCCTTTTGAAAATAACCGGAGTACTATATTTTTTTAATATGAGACCGGTTTTTTTTTGTATGTGATGGCTGGCTCAGACAATTACCCCGTGTGTGGAACACTTGAGACTGTCAGATCCTTTTAAATTACAATAGTTTTAAAATTACTGTTTATCCAGACATAATTATGTCACCAATTCAATTCTTTAATAAAAAGTCGTTGATAGTATTTGTGTTGACAAAGATGGCTAACACGGCAAAATGGATGCTCAGTCTCGCCATATCGAACAATGAGCTATCAGATAATGGAGAAATGAAAGAGATTAGTATCAAACAATGGACAGATGAATTAAATAATTGTACAATATTCAATCCTCTGGATGATACAATCAAAAAAAATAATAATAAAAAACATTCTAGACGACCGATTGATTTTGGTCATCTGCACTATATCTGTGTATTTATGTAAAAGAGAGAGAGAAAGAATGAATTCACTATTAAGGGGTTGTAATTCAACGACGAGATCAATTGTATCGAGATATCTCTTATTACCAACAGCAACAACAACAACAACAACAACAACACCAATAACAACACCAATAACAATCGATCAACTCTGTTTTGGGTTTTGTAATAACAACAATGAAACTAAGAATAACAACAACTATATAAGAAATAATAATAATAATAATAATAATAATAACTACTTTCAACAAAAGAGACAATATTGTACAGAATCAATGATGATGATGATGAGTAATGCAAATCAACAAATGCCATTTGATCAACTAAAAGATTTGTTTATCAGACATTCATTTCATTATAAATCAACTCTACCAGAGAATATCCTCAGTAAAGTATATTCAAATGAAACTAAATTCGATGGTTTACAACGTTTAATAGAATCTGTATGTATGCAAACAAATATGTAATGATTCTTCGTCAAATTGACTAATTTGTTTGTTTGTTTGATTCTATTGTTCGTTTTAGCAATCATTACCACAATCAGAGATTAAAAAGGTATCAAAAGAATTGGATGAACTTCGAGAACAAGTTAATAGTTGGAAGGTATTGTTGGTGAAATGTCAAGAGTTGAGAGAATTGGAGGAGATGGTATCAGAGGTAAAAGACAAGGAAGAAAAAGAGTTGATGAATCAAGATTTAAAGGAAATGGTGGAACAGGTAAAAGATAGTGAAAGAGCATTGGTTATGAGTCTATTGCCGAGTGACAAGGATGACGAAGGTAATGCCATCATGGAAATTCGTGCTGGTACTGGTGGTTCTGAGGCACAACTATTTGCATTGGAAATGCTTGGTATGTACGAGGGATACGCTCAAACGATGGGTTGGAAGTTTGAAGTACTCGAAATTGGTTGGACCGATGCCGTCGGTAACAAAGCTTGTCGTGATGCAAGTGCAAGTATCTCTGGCAGAGGTGTATTTGGATTCTTGAAAAATGAAAGTGGTGTACATCGTGTACAGAGAATACCAGAGACTGAAACGATGGGTCGTGTACATACTAGTACTGTCACCGTCGCCATTCTACCAGAACCAAAGGAAGTTGATATTAAGATTCGTGATTCAGAGTTACGTATCGATGTGTATCGGTCGTCGGGTAATGGTGGTCAATCTGTCAATACTACAGATTCTGCCGTACGTATTACCCATCTTCCAACTGGCACCGTAGTGGCCATGCAAGATGAACGTTCACAGCTCATGAATAGAGCCAAGGCCATGAAGATCCTTCGTGCACGTCTCTATGAAGCTGAACGTTCACGACTACACAATGAACGATCGTCACATCGATCCTCTCAAATTGGAGATGCGTCACGTTCCGAAAAGATCCGTACCTACAACTTCCCACAAGACCGTGTCACTGATCATCGTGTCAATATCTCTACCAACAACATCGAGTCTGTCATGGCAGGTGAATCATTAAATGATCTAATCGAAGAAATCATCTTACAACTTCAAACTAAAGATCTTGATCTCATTTTAAATAAAGATTAAAATAGGTAACAAATAAATAAATACTTGCATTTTCAAACAATTTTCGACAATGCGCCAAAAAAGGTGACAGTTATCATTTTTCGTGATCTTAGTCGATTATAATTACTTTGTTCTTCATCTTTCAAGTAACAAACAAACAAAGAAAAGAGAAACCATTCAGAGGGAGGAGGAAGCAAGTAAATAGATAACAATAAGGTAGATATCAATAGATAACAATAGAGTAGAGTAAATTATGCTTGCTTCAAGTAGTTTGTTTGGTAATCAACCATCTGGAGGTGGTTTATTCGGTGGATCGACAGCTGCACCATCAACAGGTGGAGGTCTATTCGGTGGTGGAGCTGCAGCACCGTCAACAGGTGGAGGTCTATTCGGTGGTGGATCAGCAGCTCCATCGACAGGTGGAGGGTTGTTCGGAGGATCAACGGCAGCACCATCAACAGGTGGAGGTTTGTTCGGTGGTGGATCAGCAGCACCATCAACAGGTGGTGGATTGTTCGGAGGATCAACAGCAGCTCCATCAACAGGTGGAGGGTTGTTTGGTGGATCAACAGCAGCACCATCAACGGGTGGAGGTCTATTTGGTGGATTGTCATCAACACCTTCAACTAGTATGGCTAGTGGAGGTTTATTTTCAACAGCACCATCAACAGGTGGAGGTTTATTCGGTGCACCAGCACCATCAACAGGTGGAGGCTTATTCGGTGCAGCAGCTCCATCAACTAGTGGAGGTCTATTTGCTACATCATCACCAGCAGGTGGAATGTTTGGATCAGTTGCACCAGCATCGGGAGGAGGAATGTTTGGATCAATGATGTATGGACAACAACCACAACAACAACAACTACAAATGGTCCCAGCAGCTCCATTATATACAGAGAATTCAAAGTTTGGAGAACTATCACAAGCTTTAAAACAAGAATGTACAAAATTACAGTATGTACAACTAAACTAAATATATAACAATCAACGAAATAGTACTAACATACGCATTCTATTATATATATATATATATATATAGAAAAATGATAGTAGACAACAATATTAAAATGAAATCATTCTCTGATTATGATGACAAGTTGGACAAGTTACCTTCATTAATTAATCAAATTCAATCTGTTTGTATCATTGATTCAACTACTTTATTTATTTAAATAATACTAATCCATAATCATATTTATATTTTATAGAAAGTTGATAGTTTAAATAACAACTTTAACAATTATATACAATCATTTGAAAATTTAAATACCGAGATTTACAAACCGATCAATTCGGTAAGCGAACAATACCATCAATTATCGATTGGATTTATATCACCCTATTCTGTATCTCTACCATCTCTCGAAATGGAGGAAATAGTGAATCATTTCACCACTCGAATCGAAAGATTGTATCAAACTATACATTCCCTAACTCCAACTTCGAGAAAATATATTGCAAACTTGAATCCACAAGAAGGTACAAAACAAAACAAATCAAAACAAAAGAGAAAACATAATAATCAAAATATGAATGATGGATTCTAATCATAGGCTCTTTCTTTTTGTTTTAGCATTTTTAACAAGTTTACAAACCAATCAAAACACATTAAAGAATGAAGCCATTATTTTGGAACAATTATCAAGTGATTTAGAAAAGATGAAAAAGGATTATATGAATTTCAAGAGAACCTATTACAATGATAATTATAATCCATTCCCAAAGAGAAAGGTTCATCATCATCACCACCATCATCATCATCATAATCAACAAAACCAATTATTATCGTCATCTATTTATACTCCAGATGCATCTCAATACAACTTTAAATCAAATTACTCTGTTTTTGGGTCATCTGTTAATCATCCAACACCACAAAGCAACGTTGCAACATCACAAAACGCAACACCTACCACGACCTCACCCTTTTCATTAAACTCTGGATCTGTTTCAGCACCATTGTTTGGAGCTACAACCACGACTACACCTCTAGTTGCACCAACAACTGGTTCTCTATTTGGAGGATCGCAAGCTGGTAATTCTGCCGGCTCGCTATTTGGAGGATCACAAGCTGGTAGCTCTGCCGGCTCACTTGGATCTGCATCATCATTGGGAAGCTTGTCTTCGTATGGATCACAAACACCATCATTACGTTCATCAATGACACTTCCTCCACAAACTCCATCGCTGTCTGGATTTGGAGGTTCCATTAGTGCCAGTACCAATGGCTTTTCAATTAGTGACGCTGCCAGATTAGGTTCATCCTCTTCAGGTTCAACCACTAAAAAGAAAACTAAAAAAGAAATTGCTGCAAGCAGAGGTTTAATTAATTAACTCTAAATTAAATAAATCAATATAATCTAATAATCAAATAATAATAATTCTAATCAGATTACAAATTTGGTCGGGGAGGGGAGGAGGAGGATACATTCATTTATTTGTTACATTTGAAATAATAATTGTATTTATATATTAGTTAACTATAAAAAAAGAATAAAATTAATTTCATTACCATAGTCATTGTCTTTTCTCTTTTAATTAATTTGAATACTTACTTGTTGGCTCTAATGGAATGTGATAAAAAAAAGTAACGAATCACATATTTGTCCAATACAGAGATATGTCAACAATAAGCAGTAGTAGTAGTAGTTACCAATGTTATATATGGGGTTGATAACTTTATCCAGGAAATGGGGGTAGGTGGCAATAATTTAACAAGATATATGGGATGAAGGGATAATCATATAATTATTCCTCCAGCTCTAATGATTTTTTAACGATACTAGTCACTTTGTCTTTGTATTGTTCTCTATCTTCTCTCCAAAGCTTTGCAGCTTCAATATTTGCAGGACTTTCAACATTTGGTTCTGCAAACATTGAAACAACAGATAAAAGTATTTTTTCGACAGATTGAACAGGTGACCATCTCTCTGATACCGTTTCATAATGATTTGGATCTTCTCCAGGTGGATGAAGTATACTTATACAAACTTCACCATTTGGATAAACTAATCAAAAAAATTGATTAAAATCATTAGAATGACAGTCTCTATCTATCTTGATCTATCTATCTATTACATACCATTAGGATGAAACATATCAGAAGTGAATTTCATCTTAGGAGGAGAAAGAGGATATGTTTGAGGAAAGGTAAGTGATGCACTAAATAGACCATTTTCATAATCGGTTCCACTTGGTCCCATGATAACAGCTTCCCATTGAAATAGGTTCTCTTCATCTACTGGACCCGCTGTAATACCTTCTGGTGGATCTAATGTTAGCTCTGTTGATTAATGATTGATTGATGATTGATTGATAATGAATAGTAGTCAATGTTGTGTGTTAGTGAGAGCAAAGAGAGAGAGAGAGGACTATTGATTCATCACAAGTAAAGTGATAACACTTGAGATTAATTACCTTTATATTCTTGCATTAATCTCCTATACGCTGATGACATGATTTAAATTATATATATAAAAATGTATATATGTTACTTTATCAAATGAAACGTTTCATTAATTAATTTGCTTTTAAATGCAACAGTCATGATCGACCAAACTTTTTAATTCCTCTTTTTTTAAAATTATTTTAATTTCCTTTTTATTTTATTATAAAAATACAATTATTTGTTTGTTTGTTTGTTGAAACATTCTAGGATAAGAATTTAATGATTGGTTGTATTTGATCTTCAACTAAAAGCGATGGAGCATGTCCAACATTTTCAAATTCAATTCCTTGTACATTGTCGTTGCCATTGACCATTCTATTAAATGTTTCATTTGTCAATATCTTTGACAGTTTACCTCTCAATATTAATATTTGTTTTGTACTTTTAACTATAATATTATTCCAAAATGACCACATATCTACATCTGATTCAACCTATAAATTATAAAAAAATACATTATTAATTTATTATTTTATAAAATATTATTATTATTATTATTTTCAAACTTTTTACCTTTTTTAAATTGATTGAAATAGAAGGATCGAAATGGAACTTTAATTTATTCTCATTTTCTGGAATAATACATCTATCAACGAAATAAGACCATTGATCATCTGTAAGGTTACCAAATCCATTGTAAACCTTTTGGAAAAACTGGGTTGCCTCTTGTCTTGATGAAAATGTTGGCATGCATCCTACATAACTGGCTATCGAACTTAATGATTCCAGTGTTACAAATGCTCCAACATCATTTAAAATTAATCTATTAATTTCTATATATGGTAGTAATGCTGTTGGTTGTTGATTTATATTGATATTATCATTTCTATTTAATACTACAAAATGATCTTTTGGTTGTTGTTGATCGTCTGCAGTTTCCTGTTTTAGTTTGTTGTAAAAACTAGTGACCAATAAACTAATACCAATTAGACCACCCATAGATGTACCAATGAGATCGATAGGTTGATTGGGAGACACATGATTGATGAGTGCCATTGCATCAGCAATATAAGTCTTGTATTCATAGTCTTGAGGATCTTCCAAGTATTGTGATTGTCCACGACCACAAACATCTGCACAAACAACTACAATAGGTTGATCATCATCATCATCATTATTTATTCGTTCTAATAATTGTCTTGCCAAATAATCAAACTCTTTTCCATTTCCAGCCAATCTATGAAAACAATAGATATATCTTGTTGGTTGTTGTTGTAGAACAACATTATTTTTTCTCCATAGATAATAACATATAGTATGTTTATATTTTAATGAAGGTACTATCAAATCTAAGCTGTACAGATAGATATATATATATAGATATAGATAGATTAAGGTGATTGATGAGTTTTTAATTGTTATATCTCTACTCCTAACTATTACTACACTCTACTACTATCAAACATACTAATGCGTTTCACACTGAATTACTTTACTCTCATCCATCTCTCTTTCTGTCCTTTCTCTATCTCTCGCTTTTCACAAACTACACTGAAATAGAAGGTGTGGTTGGTGATAATGAATGACACCACACATTCATACACTAATTTTTTTATTGGGTTTCGAAAAAACAGGAAAATAAAACTCTATGGTAGGCCAACCAAGTCATAAATTAATTTGTTTTACTACTATATTTTCACTTCACTATATAATAACCTTTTATTTATTTGTAAATAGCAATTTATTTATTTATTTTTTAAACCAAACAAAACACAGATCATTTTTCACTTGTATAATTATCTAAAGAATAGAATCTATTCATTCAAACAAACAAAACAAAACAAAACAATGTCAACATTAGAAATTATATTACCTGATAAGAAAAGATTACAACCTCTACCAACACATTTCATACAGTACTCTTCAATGTTGAGAGCAGAGTATGAACGTGATAGAAAGACATCAAACAAACCAATAGTAGAGATTTATCTTCCACACGATCTTAATATCAGCGAAACTGTAGGCAATCAAATCATTTCATTCTTGCTAGCTTTAGATTCCGTATTATCAACTATCTATCAAAGACCAAAGGTAGACTCTCCAACCAATGCTACACCTCTTTCAATCGGTGGTGGAGGTCTATCATCATCCTCTTCTCAACCTATGTCGTCATCATCATATTCTTCTTCATCCACCTCTACAGGTTCAAATACACCAAATCATACAGAGTCTTCATCTTCATCTTCACCCAAAGGATCAACTTCACCTATATTTACATCTGCAAAACAATACCCAATCATTGATAATGATTCAATTAAATTAATATTAAAAAAAATAGTAAAGGTTAATTATCAGAATCAATTAATTAATCCTAAAAATTAAATAGACAAACACAACAACAACAACAACAACAACAACAACAGAATAACAATAAGAATAGGAAATATATACCACCACCTCTTCCAGTAAATTTATCAAATGATACTTTTGAACAAATATTATCACCAACCTTTGAGGAAGATCAATTTGTTAGTCTAGAAGATACACACAGTCTTAGTGTTTTACATAATCATATCAACAATAACAACAATAATAACAACTACAACGATGATAGTAATGAAATGAAAAACATTTGTTTCGATCAAAGAGATGTTACTATTAAAGAGTTTTTATATAATACAGTATCGGTTAAAGGCAAGGGATATATATTGGATACATGGATTCTATGTGCACACTATTTTGATATTATTGGTAACCTTTTAATCAAAAGTGTTAGATTTCAATTGGAAAGATTATTGACCAATGCAGCATCGGCCGATGAAGCTCGTTATCTTTTGGATATTTCATGTGATTTTGAACCAGAAACAATGTTCAAGATTGAAACTGAAGATAACTTTTCAAAATCATATGGTGATTCACCGGTTCTCTCTCTTCGAGAAGAGCCGGTTGTCGACAATTCTCAATCCTCTCACTCGCCAGTATTAAAACACACCTCCCCACACCAAGAATGCAAACCATCAAAAAAGAATATGCAACTCTCGACGATTTTTGAAACAAATCGGCAAAAGGATTTCAAGCCAGACATTGTATTGGATGTAAAGAATCGTCGTCTCTACAAAGCGATCAAAGATTCAACTACTCTTCATTGTCATAAATGTCGAGCAGAATTTAATCTTTTAAATAGAAAACATCATTGTAGAGAATGTGGTATGTTAAAACAAATAATTTGCAAATTCAATCACATATTCTAATTTATTTAATTTTTTTGATTATTTTTAGGATATATATTTTGTAGTAGTTGTACAAATAATTCAATTCAACATTCTTCTATACCTTCACCAAAATATACTAGTTCAAAGGATTATTTTTATAGAAAGCTTAGGGTATGTTCAGATTGTTTTAGTAATCTTGTTCAACATACAAGATATGGAACGATTCATCAATCACTAGAGTTGATGGCTTTAAAATTCCCAATTGTTAGAAAGTTTTCATCGCTCCGTGTAATGTGGAGACAGGCATCTGTTGCCTACATGTCTTCTATTCGAGAGATTCAATATTGTTTCCCTACCCACCAATTTGAACCATTTGAAAGAGAATCACTTTGGAGAAATCGTAAATATTTGGAAGGACATTCAAAATGGATCGTCAAATTGGTAGAATCAATCGACTGGAGAGGTATCGATCAACAAAAATTGGAAAAGATTCTAAAGATTGTCAAGGGGTGCGAAAAGACAGAAATGAACTGTTACTATTTAATGTGTTCTTCATCTTGTTGTTCAACAATCCCAATCAAAGACGTCTTTCCACTTTTGGATGAAAACATTACTTGTCAAGAAATTAGAAAGTTTGCAGTTGATATTCTAAAAACAATAGATTGTGATGATGATTTAATTTATTTCTTACCTCAATTGGTTTATTATCTAAGGTGAGAAAAAAAAACAAAATTATATCAGTTAATTAAATTATTAATAATTTCTTTTTTTTTTATTTTAGATTTGAAAAATCAGTTGAAAGAAATGATTTAAAAGAATATTTATTTGATAAATCATTAAAATCACCAAGAATTGCACACTTTTTATTGTGGGAATTGAACAACTGTCAAACAAGTAAAGAATATTTCCACAAGTATGAAGTGTTTAAATGTGAACTACTTCACAATCATTCAATGTTGCAAGCTACAAAGAATGACAAGACCACACAAAGTTACATTTATGGTGTCGAACTTTTAAACATTCTAAAGAGTATACCACCCTATTATGGTCCAGAGTTTGATGTGAAAAAGAATGAAATCAGTAACCTTATCAATCGACAGGTCCGTACTTTTAATCCACGTACTGAAAAGTACGAGGTTGTCCCCATTGAAATTCGTTATCCCATCGATCCATCGTACGTCATCAAGGAATTCTTTCCCGATCGTATGACAATCAAAGACAGTGCAACACGTCCAATCAAGATGGTATTTAGATGTCTCAACACCGACACTAAAAAGGAAGAAATCTTTGATCTCATCTTTAAAAAGGACGATGTCAGAAAAGACCGTATCATTCTCAACATTATCTCGGTCATGAAAAAGATCCTCCAGGAAAAGATTAATGACATCAGAAAACTAAAGATGGACCATAAAAAGCTTTTCGACTCTGTCATGGATTCGATTTACTCTCAGTCTCATACCAATGCCATTCAGGCATTTTCTAGTCTCTCAAAACTCCACAACATCCTATCGATGGTCAAAAATACTCAGATTGAAAACATTGTCAAAGCAGATTATGATCCAGAGCATCTATCCATGCTTATCGATTCCTACAAGAAAATGTCAACCTCTGTCTTTACAGAAACCATATCCAAGATGAAGACAGACTTTTTCAACTGCTACGAAGACTTTGATGAAGACATGGAAAAAGTTCTCGACTCTATAGTGACCTATCGTGTGCTTCCTTGCAACAATGAATATGGTTTTATCGAGGTGGTCCAAAACGCAGAGACACTTTGCAAGATCAACGAAACTTCCATCCCAACATACTTTAAGGAAAGAAATAGCAGCAACAGTATTCATCCATGTATTCAAAGTTTTAAAAGATCTCTTGCTTCTTGGATGGTCATCACTCATCTCTTGGGTGTTGGTGATCGTCATAATGAAAATATTATGATCACTTATAATGGTTATTTCTTTCACATTGATTATGGTTTTATTTTAGGAAAGGTAAAAAAGAACAAAAACAAAAAAAACAAAGATAAAAATATTTAATAACATCCTTTTCTATTTAATTTTTCTTTAGGAACCAAAACCAATATCAAACTTTTTAAGATTTAGTGATGATTTTACAAAGACTATTGAATCTACAGAGAATATCGAAACATTTAAAAAGTTATCAACATTGGTATTTAGTATTTTGAGAAAAGAAGCACCATTCTTTTTATACCATCTTATGTTTTTGAACAAACTCGATCCAGTTTTGGACAACTCTAGTCGATTCAGTCAGACCTATATCCAAGATGAAGTTGCCAATCGTTTCTTCCCAGGACTTCCAACAAAGATTGCCGAACAACATTTTGAAAGACTTTTGGACATTCACAAAGATTCTTTGCAGCAATACATCACAGATACTTCTCGTGCAATTAGTAAAAAGGCTCCTCAAATCACAAAGTCAACTATTGGTTACCTTAGTCATTCTATGGCAAATTTAAGTTCTTATATTATTAATTTCCAAAGTTTATATAGAAATGAAAATAATAATAGTAATAATAATAATAATCAACAATAATCAAAGTTGATTAATCTGTACATGTAAACAAAAAAAATATAAATCCCCTTTTGTAAATAAATAATTGTTTTTTTTCTATAATATGGATTGATTGGTTGCAAATACTAAAGATTGTTTATTACATAAACTTGCAACAAGAAAGTGGAGCTCCTTCTGGTTCAACTGCACGAGATAATCTTCTTGATCTGTCAGTTTGAGCAGAAGAAGGTGAAGGTGAAGATGAGGGAGCTGGCACAGCAGTTGCTGAATTTTCAGATGGAGCAGCAGAGGAAGATGTCGATACTGTTTCATTAGAAGAACTAATGGTTTGATGCTTTACCCCTGGCTCTTTCTCCATTTGTGCTTGTTCAATTGCTTGAATTAATGTTGATTTAAAATTGGAATTATTACCATTATTGCTGTTAATACTAGTGTTGGATCCTGTATTTGATTTTGGTTTGGTATAGGTTATGTTGGTGTTTAATAAAGGATGGTTTTGTAGTGAATTATTAGAGTCATTTGTTGTTGTTGTTGGCTCTGAATTGTTGTTGGTTTCATTATTATTCTTTATACCATCACTTGTTTTTAAATTGTTTTCTCCTCGTTGTATATTATTATCGATATCATTATTATTATTTACATTATCAACAAGAGGAGGAGTATTTACATTAGATTTTACTGTATCTGATTCATCAAACATTTCAAAATCTTCAATTGTAAATGTTTCTTCCTCCAACATGAAACATTTGAATATTCTTGGATAAGAGAGAATGGCTCGTCTGAAATCATCAAATGACAAACTGTTGTTTGAGATGCCAAGATTTGAAAATACAACATCAACATAGTCATCAATAGATGATTGTGTAACAGCCAATGGATCTAGATCTATTTTTTCATAGGCCGTTTGAAGCATCAACTTCATCTCTTCTTTTGTTACAAAACCTGAATTATCACTATCAAAAAATGAAAAGTATACTAATAAAAAAGAAAATAAATAAATATAAATATTATTATTTCTTATTTTGTTTTTTTCCTTACATTGTAATCTTTCTTCGGAAGTTCCTTTTGCTAAAATACAAAGACCACTCATTAATTCAGAGAAATCCAAACATCCATCCTTATTTTTATCAAAAATTTTAAAGAGTTGTTGAATGATCACTTCCTTGGCACTTGTATCATAAGTTGGTAAAATGTATGAAAATACCTTTTTAAATATATCAAAATCCAACTTTAATGATTTCCCCATGCTTACTCGCGATCTTTGTCCCATTCCAAGATTCAAATTTCTAAATCCATCCCAAATCTTTTCCAATTCTCCTTTTGAAACTAAAAGTTAAAAAAAAAAAAAATTTAATAAATAAATAATCTTTCTTTCCTTTTCTTTCTATATATTTACATCTAGTAATCTTTGAAGTTGATCTAAGATCTCTTAATTTTCTCATTTCTTCCAATTCTTGAATTAAATTAATTTCAGAAACCTTTTTAGATTCGATAAAAGATTCTTCATTGATTCTATCTCTCCATTTGTAATACTTTTTGAAAAATCTCTTTGCATCAAAAATACCCTTGCAATTGTTTGAAAGGATGGTGAGAAGTTCTGGTGTGGAATTGGTCTTGAGAAGGCTTTCTTCCAAGTAGGATAGAATGGCCAGAGCAGTCAAGAGAAGGTTATAACTGGCGAGACCTTGACATTTGAATGGTTGGTTGAGCTTGTCGTTGAGAATAATGTCCTCTTCGAGCCATTTTGATTCTTGTGATGGTTTGTGGAAACCATAGATACCACACTCGACAAAGAGATGGTCCCAGATTCTAAAAACAATTTCATTTGGCAAAACGCCCACATAGAGACACATGAACCACTTGGTAGAAAGCAATGAAAGGGAAACTGACAGATTTTGCATGTGATTGTAGAGTGTTGGTAGGTGAGTCTTGACGAGGTGGTCAAATACTTGCATGTCTACCTGTGCACCCAAGAGATTGGTCGAGTAATAATTGTGGCAATAGTCTTCGACAATGGTTGACAGCAACCAAAATGCATCCTCTTCGTTTCTATTGACTACATACAAGAGATATCCTGCGACAATGTTCATAGACTGGCAATATCCTACCTTTCTATTACGAACTGAATATGCCTGAAGAACACGTGTCAATTTTCTTTTACCCTCATCACTTTCAAAGAATGGATGGCCGGGAAAAGTTCTTTCAATATCTTTATCAATCTCTACTGCCGTAGATTGTAATCTAGTTGATATTCTATTTGATGAACGAATGATTTGGTGCAAGTGTTGGTAATATGATTTTCTATTGGCAGGTGGATTTAATCCTCTAATAGTTCCCATTCCATTCAATCTTGACTTTAATCTCTCTTCCTTTTGTTGTTTAAATAATTCAATCTCCTCTTTTCTTTGTTTTTCTCCTGCTCCTGAATAAATTTTCCATAACTAACAAAAAAAAAAAAGGAAAGAGTTAAACTTGATTGATACAATATACTTCTTCTTTTTACTTGTTTTCTTTTTTTTTACATACGACATTTCTGACACCATGGGGAATACCATGAGATAATAATTTATGAAGTTGTTTTGGATTTGAACAAAGACCAACATGCTTGTAGTGTTCGTTAAAGGCAGTCCACTTTTCCAATCTTTGTTTAGACATTAATTCCTCTTGTACTTGGAATTTTTTCAACTCTTCATAGAAATCATCAACAATAAATCCATGTATATCTCTTTTCATACCATCTTTGACAAGAGTATTATAATTATCTTCACCATTTCCAATTGTAACTATGATGTTATCTTGAGAAGCATAGTCATTGGTAGCACCATCTGGTTTTATATCATCTGGATTGATTGTAACCTTTTTCTGTACTTTTTTCTTTCTTGTTTGTGATGGACTAGAAAGAGGTGAATCTTCGTTGGAAGTAGAACGATGATTTGATAATAGATTGGTAGCCGTTGTAGAATTTGGTGATGTAGAAGGGGATGGTGAAGTTGATAAAAATGTTGTGCCAGTACCATTCGTAGTGGAGGTGGTAATGATAGAGATAGAAGCAGTTGAAGAAGACTCTTGATTACCAATAATAGTAGTAGTAGTGTCTTGTTGTTGTTGTTCATTTGATAATGATATAGTTGGAGTACCTCTTGATCCAATTGTAAAAGTTCTCTTTCTAGTTTGATCTCTTGATGGTTGACCTCTAGTACTTTCAATAAACTTTAAAATAGAACCACTCTTTGGAGAAGTTCCTTGTTCTTCCTCTTGATCCGATGATTCATCTTGTCGAATTGGTAAAGATGAATGATCTTTCCCTTGAAGGTCAGTTGTTGGTTGTGACTCTGTCTTTTCAGCAACTTGTTCAAAAGTTTCCCCTACCTCTTGAATTGGAAGAATAGAGGCAGGTTGAACGGCTTCTTCTTCTTTTTCTCTCTCTTTATCATCTTGTTGTTTTAAATTGTCAATAGATTGATTTCTCTCTTGACTCTCTTGTTCTGTATGTTGTTGTGGTTGTTCTTCTTCTTGTTGATTGACTAGATGATCAGTGTCATCTTGGGTTGGCTCCATTGTTATTATTATTTACACAAAAGAAGAGAGAGAGAGAGGTCAAGCCAAGTTGTGACTAATACTAGTCTAACACTTTGTTGTTGTTGTTGTTGTTATTGTAAAGTGAAGAGAAAAGAATAGTAGAATAAAAAAAAAAAATCAAATGTTAAGATTTCCCCATCATCCTCATCGGTTATAATATCAGATCTTTCGATCATTCAATAAAAATCGTACCACCAGGTTTTCCGACTTTAAAAAAGATGAAACACACACAAAAAGACATTATAACTCACAAAAAAAACATTTTATTACTTTATCTTACAACACACAGTTAGATAACTTCATCAACTATATTTATTTATTTATTGTTCATCCGGATATAACATTAATATTCCATAATCACGAGGATCATTCCAAATAGGATAGGATGATTGCAATCTGAATTGATTGTGTTCACCAACAGAAGAGAATCTAGCTACAGATGTAAACTCTAACGTCTTGATACCAGATACTAGTGGAAAGTGGTGTCTAATTGGATCGGTCATTGAGAAGCCTGCAAATACATAATTGATACCTTTGGAATACAATTCATTGTGTACTCGTTGCAATAGATATCTAAATAGTTGGTCTCTAACTTGTTGATCTTTACCTAAAGAATAACAACAATAGAGTTGACGATGCTTTTGTGTCTCCTCATTCTGATTATTCTTTAGTGTAAAGATTAGATCTTGATTCCAAACTGATATAGATGCTTCGTAACATTGACTATCTTCATCACGTTTGATAGTGGCCATAAAAGTAGATTCATGGTACTTTTCATTGTCAACAAGGATATCTGAAAAGTTGGAGGGAATAAAGTTGTATTGCTTGAATGCATTATCCCATCTTTATTTTACATCATCAGAGTGTACCAACTTTGTAAATTCAACTACTACATCCTTCTTCTTCATCTTGTGTGGAATGACATCGACAATGACAGGTTGATCCAATCTCCAAGCCATTTGGTACTGGTCATATTGTGGTTGCATCTCTACATTGGCAGTTGCCTTTTTAATTGGTGTATTGGATTTGGATGTCGATGCAACGATGATGGAAGATTGACGATCTTTGACAGCTTGGTGAATATCTCTAAAAAACATACTAGAAATGGAGTGACCACGATATTCTGGATGAACGTTGACATCAAAGACATAGTAGACTGTTTTTTTTTCACCACATATAATCATATCTTTAATATTGCAAGCGTATGCACCAATTGTTTGTTGTTGATGTACATCCTCTGCCACTACAATTTTATTATTTCTTGTCAATGTTGGTCTAATATTAAAATCGATTGGATGTGACATTCCCTCCAACACTCCATTATTATTATTATTGTTGTTGTGGGTGTTTGGTAAACGTGGAATTGATGAAATAACTTTTAAATCATCCTTTTCTTTTGAAAATTCTCTTAATATAAATCTACTCATTGTTGCTGTTGTTGTTGTTGTTGTTGTTGTTGTTGTTGTTGTTATTGCTAACATGATCATTATAAATATTATTCATACTTAATTAATTTATAAATGTAAACCCTACGCAATAAAAAGTAGTAGGCTCGGTCGCGGTCACATGGTTATACGTCTAGTTTATAAAATAAACAAGATTGTATATTCCACCTTTGAGATTATCCATTGAGTTGTATAAATACACTTAATTAACAACACATCAAAAAAAGATTGATGCATCTTTCATGTCCTTGTTTCTTTTAATCGAAAGTTTCAGACACCAACAAATATCCAAAAAAGATATCTTATCTATTAAAAAAGTATCTTCTTTTCGGAGACACCAGGGAAGGTCCAAAGTTAACCTGAAGGTTTGTGAAATTTTTTAGGACTCCTTTCATTTATTATCATCAATCAATCATAGAAATATGAATAGAATTAATTATCTTTTAGTACTTGTTGCAATAGTAGCTGTTTTTGCGTCACTAGCAACTACCAGCAATGCATCCCCAACCATGCCAGAATCAAAGACCGCTACTACCGAAGAAGAAGGTGTAAATATGTGTAAAGGTTTAAATGCTGTAAATTGTTTATTCAATCAATGGTTACTACAAAAATGGTAAATAATATTATTTATACAATACTTGATCGATCAATGCTAACTATAGTTATTTTTCTAATTATTATTATTTATAGTTATTGGAATGGTAAGGAATGTAGACCAGAGCCATAATTATTTACCATTGATTCACCACTGTTATTTAAATATCAATCATAAATGGTGAAGAAACTGTACAACTAGTACCATTTAAACAACATTGTTGATATTTTTCATTACATTGTGACGAATAAAAAGATGGATCTCTTCCACTACAAGGATTACATTGGAGACGCCAAATATTTAAACATGTTGACATTGTTACTGATCCACATTTCATTCCATCAGATGGATCACCTTTTTTAGATAGATAACAATCTAGTCGATTGGGACACTCTAATTGAGGTAGATACTCCTTTGCTCTTGTCCACCAACCCTTTTCACCATCGACACTATTTGATGATTGATAAAATTCAGTGTTGTTTGTATAGATTTGGTTGACTGGGAATCCATAATCATCACCTGGATTACTCAATCCATTACCAGTTGTATGAGTACATCTTGGTGATTGTGATCCCAAAAAGTAACTTGATCTAAATCTATACTCTAAATATCTATCATGATTCCAACAATTACAATTATCTATCAATATATCTGGTTTTATAGAATCTTGATTATTAATAATTGATTCTTCTCCCTAAAAACATTATAAATAATCAATAAAATATTAATTATTAGTATTTAAGTTATTTTCTTTCTTTCTTTCTTTCTTCTACATACATTATTAAATACCCAATCTTCAATTGATTTAAAATCATGAATGATTGTTTTAATTGCAGATTTATGAATCATCCATGCCAATACTTTAAATTCTATTTGCCCTTGTAATTTAACCTTTACAATCTCTTTTGGTTTCAATAGAGATAGAGACATTTCATTCTTTATACTCTTTCTCTTGATTGGTTTATCTAATCTCCAATCATATTGTGGATGAGTAGTATGAAGAAAATAAGCACTTGTTGCAAATTTGATAGTCTCTCCTTTATCATTATTTATCTTTTTTCTACAAATTTTAAAGAATTCGAATATATCTTTTGAAACTAATGTATCTTCCTAAAAAAAAAAAAAAAGAAAAGAGAATAAATTAATATAATTATAATTATAATTTTGTTTGTTTGTTTGTTTTACATCATCATACTTCAAAAACAATTAAAGAATCCAAATAAGGAAATGATTTAATAGTATAAACAAATCCATGAACCAAATTTCTAAAAGCATGATAAGCATTACCATAAGGTGCCGAACAAGTAGAAGGAGTTGTAATATGAGTGATTGATTTAAAATGTGATGTAATGTCACGTTGATGAAGAAGTTGAACCATTCTTTCATAATAGCTCACATTGACGTTGCCATCAGCATTGTTGACAGATTGAGTAACAACCAGATGATATCCATGAGAATGATTAGCAGCCATTAAACTATGTAAACATTGTCTAAATTCATCTATCCTCTTGTATGCCATAATTAAAATGATCTTATTATTTGATTTATTCTTTTCTTGTAGAGGAGGTGGTGGATCGAGTGCATACAATGATGAAACTCTATCTCTTGATGTTAGATTTACATTTAAATGATGAATAGGACTACCAAGTCTATGATTTTGATAATATTTAAAGTATCTAATATCATTATGATGTTGATGTTGTTGATTATTATGTCTTTGTTGTTGAGGATGATTTAATGCATTTGTCAAAGACAAAATAAAAATAAAAAGAACCAAAACTAGAATTCTAGTTTTAATCATTTTAAAAAAAGTACTTTAATTTTAATTAAGTTGGTCTACCTATAATTGATAATACATGAATATATATATAGTGTAGTTGGTATACCAACTACGACCAAACGGTTTGACACACTACCAAAGTAATAATAAAAATAAATAATTTAAATTAGATCGATCACAACAACCCCCCTCTAACCATTTCATTTCATTTCATTTCTTTTAGTTACAGATAATTAATTAATTTTAGAGTTTTTATTTCTTTTTCTTTATTGGTTGTTCAACAGCACTACCTTGAATAAAATCATTTGCAGAAGAGGAATCAATATCCTTTCTCTTGTTCTTGTTGATATTTGATTGAATATTTTTAAGGGTGTCGGTGGTTGATTTGGCTGAAGCAGCGGCAGCAGCAGCAGCATTTTGTACAAATTCCTTTTCAGCAGGAGCAATATAATGCTTGGCCTGTGCTTGTTGACGTCTAATAGTAGCTTCTTCTTGTTTCTTTTCTCGTTCGACCTTTTTCTTTTTGTCTTTGCTCTCCTTTGACATAAAGTACTCTCCCGATTCCATCTCCAAATCCTCCTTTCTTGGTGTAAAGATGGTGCTTGCCGATGGAGCATCTCTGTTCTTTTTCTTCTTTGGAGCTGGTGCCTTTGATTGAACGTTTCTCTTTTTGAACTTTGGAATGAATCTAGACCAATCCTCAGACTTTAATGCATCGTTTTTAAAGAGTTCTCTTCTGATCATCAACTCTTTGATATTGTAGATTGGATGAATATTCTTCATACAATCCTCTACAATCTTTCTAACCTTTTCCAAACCATCCCATGGTCCAATCGATGCTACCGTTGTACCTTGAATGAGTACATAGCAACGTGTCAACAACTCTATCGATTTCAATGTAGCTCCATCTGGTCCAATCAATCTTTGTCTTCTCTTTACAAATCTTTCCTTGTTACGTACTAATCCTCCAATCTTTATAATATCACAATTATTATCATCTTCCATAATCTTCTTTGCCTAAACAAATAAAATATAAACATAAATAGAATAAGAATATATTGATATCTTTATATTATATCTCTCTCTCTCTCTCTCTCTCTCTCTCTCTCTTCTACATACATGAACAAAAGGTACAGATCTAGATAATAATTTAATAAGATCACGAGCCTTTAAGATAGCAACAGGATCCCAACACTTTTTAGTAGTGACAACGGTCATTGTACCTTCGATAAAATCCAACTTGCAATCGATACCATGTTCAACAAGTTCCTTTTCGACGAGTGGCCAAATCTCTTTAATATATTTCTCTCTATACTTTGGGAATACTGTAGAGAATGATGATTCATCGTATAGTACTCTCTTTGGTACTTCATCTCTCTTTAGTGGTGTTGGTTTCCACATATCAACACCTGCTGGTACATCTCTCTTGGCTCTGATATCTGATTTCTTTTGATAATTCTTTTTGTTGGTTTTATCTGTTGTTGTCGATGTTGTCGACGTTGTTGTTGTTGTTTCTGTCTCCATCTTTACTTTATTACTCCTACTCTATCTATCTATATCTCTCTCTATATTTAATCAATGGTGTGGTCTCTTTAATTTGTGGTGGCTGTCTGTTTTCAGCTTTCGTTCGTTTTTTTTTTTTTTTTTTTTTTTTTTTAAATTTAATTAAAATTAAATGGAATAAATAAATAGATCAACAACAATAGTAATATCAAAACTTGATTGATTAAACAATAAATAAATAAATAATAAATAATAATCCTCTTGATTAAATAAATAATAAATAAATTAAAATTTTGATACAGATAATTTAATCGATAGGTTAATGGACAATAATATTATTATTTTAATTATTAAACCAATTTTGTATAAATAAGAATATTCATACATTGGTGTTATACCAAAAGAGAGAAAGAGAGAGAGAGAGAGTGAGAGAGAGATAACATCTATAGATTTATACAATATTTATTCAACCTTTGGAATGTAAAAAAACAAAAAAAGAGGAGGTTCAGATACATCAGTCGACAACTGAGTATTACTTGATCTCAATCTATCTATTTATACATATACATACACATATACATATACGCACAACCACCAACATCAAGATGGCAGATCAACAAGTCAATTTAAATACACTCAGTTTAGAACAATTGGAAATGGTCAGAGAACAAGTTGAAAATGTATGAATAGACAAAGACACACAGCAATGACTTTTATCGATTGTTGAGCATCTTGCTATAGAGTTGGTAAGCATACTCATCAATCAATCGATGATGTGTATACTTGCAGATGATAGTCAGGATAGCTTAAAAGATAGCAGACACAAGTGATTATTCGGTAAAGGTTGGGTGCTAACATCAAAACATCCTATCAATCAACAATCAACAATCTCTCAAAGGAAATACAAACATTATCAGACTCTGCAGCACAATTAAAGCATGCAGCCAACAAATATATAGAAGCAAAAGAAGCAATTGCAGGATTAAAAGGTGCAGAGGGTAAAGAAATTCTAGTTCCATTGACATCGTCGCTATACTTGCCAGGAAAGGTTAATTGCAATGAAAAGGTTTTGGTTGATATAGGTACTCAATATTTTGTTGAAATGGTATGTATTATATACAATCTATAATAACAACAACAATAATAATAATAATAACAATAACAATGAACTAATTATGATTATTATCCAAAAATGCAAGGGATTGGATCAAGGACAAGGATTTACAAATAGAAAAGTACAAATCATTTCAGAACAATTAGGAAAATTACAACAAGCTATCAATGTAAAGAGATCTCATATGGATCAAGTTATGCAAGTAGCACAACAAAAGATCACTTTAATGAGACAACAAGAAAAGAAATAATAAATGGTACCATACTATATAGCTGCACTAAAAATATCCCACCTACTATGATTCCAAAGTGATTGGTGATTCAAACCACCATGTTAAATGCATTGTTAAACGGTGACATCACCTTTTGTAATCGACAACTGCCTACCTGCCTGCCTGCCTGCCGCGTTGTATACCTTACATAAAGTATGATGGTTGTTATTGTTATTAATTATTGAATGTTTATTTTTCATTATTATTATTGTATACCTAGATATATATGTAGTGAGTGCAAAGAGATAGATACAGAGAGAGAGAGAGAGAGAGAGGAAGGGGATAACGAAGGTATTATTAGCACCCTTATAAGGTACAAGTATTTTATTAATCTACATACATTTCTATTGATTGACTATCTATTATCTATCGTTGTTGTCTGTCTATCTATCTATATCTATCTATCTTAATCACGCTTTTGAGTAGCAGGAGTAGCGGTGATGTAGTGATATAATACAATTAATAAGAAGGCAATAGCACCTAGTGAGTTTGCCAAGAATGATAATTGGGTATCGGTCATCATCTTTGAAGGTTTTCTATATCTATCTATCTATCTGTTATGATATCATTGATTGATAGGGTACCCAAGAAGTTCAAGTGATTGGTGCGGACTTTCAAAAATTAAAAAAAAAACAAATAATTGTTGTTAGTACGTATAAATAGGACAATAGACAAATCCCCAGAGAAATATATTTAGATAGATAGATAGATAGATAAATTTTGATTGAATAATCTATACAGTCAATTTAAAGTATTGTTGAAATTATTTGTTATATTTTATAATATTAGCCCCAAAATTCGAATTAATTTTTTTGGGAGGGAAACAAAAACTACTACTCCCTTTCAACTAAATTGTAGAAGAGAAACACAGACTGAGATATATTATATCTATATCTATATATATACAAGGATAAGGATATTTATGATAATGTACCATCAGACAAGATAATAACGCACAATAGAATTATATAATGATGAATATCGATGTACCACTCAGCAGTACAACTACTGAGAATATAATTCAAAATAATAATAATAATAACAACAACAATAATAATAATAATAATAATAATAATAATAATAATAATAATAACTTTGTAACCAATACTCTACTTGATAACAGTAGCAATAATAATAATAATGGAGTGACTGTTGCAGCAGCAGCAGCGGTTGTTTCACCTGTTAATACTACGATAACTATACCAACAACAACAACAACAACGACTACGACTACATCGACAACAACTACAACTACTAATATAATAACATTTGAACAACATCAACAACAGCAACAACAACAACAGAAACAACAATTACTACTATTACAACAACAACAACAAAAACTTGAAACCGATAGAAAGGAATTAGATATAAGCGAAAAGGAACTAAACTTTCTGGTATTACAATGGTTGTCTAAATTACCAATCACTCCTCATCTCCAATCATCACTATTTGATCAACTAAATGAACATGATCTATTGGAGAAAAGAATATCTTGGGATGGTGATGAATACAACTATGATATGACTGATTTGGTATGTCTCTTTGACAAAGATTAAATCTCTACTCTACAAACTCTAACAACTTTCTATTATCATCCACATGTGTAGAGGAATAAATATAAACATTGTTCACCAGACTATTTGAAATCAATGATTCAATCTTATAAATATTTAATGAATGAAAAGGGACATCATTCAAGACTACCACTCAAAACTAAATCACTATTGGCATCAGGTGATTATTCAATGACTCCTCCTCCGACAACAACAACAACTCCAACAACAAACCTGAATAGAATTAGATTAAACAACAACAACAACAACAACAACAACAACTTACCAACTCCTCCTATACTGACACCTCAAAATAATAATAATAATAATAACAATGGCATCAATAATTTCATTGTTCAAAATGTAAATAATAATAATAATAATAATAATAATAATAATAATATAAAAGAATTGACAAATTCTTCACCAGATATTATTGGTGAGACTTTTCAACAGAATCAACATTTACCTATTGTTCAACAACAACAACAACAACAACAACAACAACAACAACAACAACAACAACAACAACAACAACAACATCAATTACCAAAATTATTATACCCTCTAACAACGACAAACAAGAGAACCATTAATAATGCAATAAGAAACACTCGATCAAAGAATAATGAAAATAATGAAATGGTACCATTTACATCTAAAGTTTTATCAAGAGAACTTGATGGATCTAGAAAATTACAACAACCATTACCATTTTCATCAAATTTCCAATTGGTATGTAAATTAATTAATATCTATTCATTTATTCCATTTATTAATAATATTTATAATTTTATTTAGATTGTAACAGTTCAAGCACATAAAGCACCAACATATTGTTTTACATTTGATAAAACAGGAGATAGATTTATAACTGGAGCAGATGATCATTTGGTTAAAGTTTGGTCATCGAGTACTGGTAGATTAATAAGGACTTTACGAGCGCATGCAGGTGATATTACAGATATGTCTGTTAGTTTTGATAATTCAATGTTGGTATCTGCGTCCAATGATAGTACTGTTCGTGTTTGGGATTTGTATAGCTATGCCCCCATACACACTCTACTAGGACACGAAGTATCGACAAAGAATTTTATCACCTCTGTATCATTTTGTCCAACACCCGATAGAAATCTTGTTCTCAGTTCAGATTCTTATGGCGTTTGTCGTCTATGGGATCTCGACGATTTATCAAAGTCTTGTATTTTACAATCTTCAACATCTTCAATCAACAGTGCCAGTTTTAACAATGCTGGTACACTTGTATTTATTGCCAGTGGAACATCTATCACTATCTGGTCACTTGCATCACATCCACCCGTACTTGTAAATACTTTGGAGGGTCATACCCCCACTATAAAATTATTATCTTGTAATCATAAAAGTGATTCTATCATATCTGGTACCGACGATGGTACTGTAATCATTTGGAAACATTCCTATGGTACCATTTGGAATCAAATAACTTGTATGAGAGAAAAAAAAAGAAAAAAAGAAATAGAAAACCTATTCTAATTTTATTTTCCATCTACTTTAGTTAATTCAAGAGGAATTAATTCTCAAAAAAGAAATTTTAAAGATAAATTAAGAACAGTTGTTTGGTCGTTGGATGATAGATTTATCATAACAGCTGATCATGTTATAAGAGTTTGGGATGCCAACGATGGGTCATTGTGTAGAGAATTAACAGAACATCTTTCAGATGTATTTGTATTGGATACTCATCCGTTTGATAGAAGACTAGTGATGAGTGCTGGCTATGACTCTATGGTTTTATTGTGGGATATTGAAAGAGGAGTAGTTGTAAAAAAGTTTATTTTGGATAATTTGATTGCTTCGTCACAGATTTCAGATGGTGGATTCTCTCCCGATGGAACACAGTTGTGTGTTACAACCAACACTGGAAAATGGTACATGTTTGAAATTGGAGGAGATGTAAATTCCACCCGCTTTTCAAATACACCATTTGAACAATTTTTTCACAACGACTATCATTCACTCATTCGTGATCTTTATGGTTATGTATTGGATGATCTTACTCAAACAGCACCTCATCTTTTACCACAACCGCTGCTTGTCAACTATCAAGGACAATCCTATGGTTTCCAACCACCACCCCCACCTGAACCCAAAAATTATTCCAAAACAGCTCAATATCAAGAGGATCTGCGTCGATACAAACAATTATTAGAGTATGAAACAGAGCTCTCTCTCAAAGAGGAACCAAAACAAAAAAGAGAGTTTATTATACCTCCAGAACCACCCACACCAACAAAAAAACCAAGAGGAAGAAAACAACCACCAACACAAGCACAACAAGAAGAAACAGAAGAGGAAGAGTCTGTTGATGATTATGATCTTCCAATTCCTAGTGATCTTTCAGATGACGATTTTGTCCCCTCTGAGGAGGAATCAGAGAGAAATCAGTCAGAATCCTCTGAAGAAGAAGAATCTGAAGAGGAAGAAGAAGAAGAGGAAGAAGACTCAAATGATGAAAACCAAATTACAACAAGAAGTCAAAGTAGGAAAATGGTTGAACGTAAGTAGAAAAAAAGAAATTATTTATTTATTTATTATTATCTATTTATTAAATCTTTTAATTTGTTTTATCAAACTTTTTAGAAAAGAAAAAGAAAATATTAAGAAGAAAAATCCCATTGACAAGAAGTAGAACAACAAATGGACAACTTGATGAAATTATAGAGACATTGGGGCTACCAACTGAAATACCAAGTGATGAAGATAATGGACAGGATGGTAACGAATCAACAACAGCTGATTCAATGATAAAAAGAAAAAGAGGTCGTCCAATGTCAACTCGTTCTATTTATGCCTATAGTAACAATGCAAACGGCGAGGATGACGAAGAAGATGAAGACGATGATGATGAGGATTACCAAGAGGAATTTGAAAGTGGAGATGACCAACAAGATGATCAAGATGATGATGATCGAATGAAAAAAGATAAAACAAACAAGAAAAAGAGAAAAGCAAGGTTCACCTTAAAACCCAACAGTGTACCTACAGCTTTAAAACCCTCCTCTTCACCTCCTCTTTGTCCAAAATGGTTATTGGTTGACTCTAATAATTCTATTACCTCTTATATACCACAAGTATGTAAACAATATTAATAATATCTTTTACCTTGAATATTTCTAACAATTGATTCCTTTTTTAGATTGGAGATAATGTAATTTATTTCCACCAAGGACATAAAAAATATTTAGATATGTACCCAGATGAGGTTGTCCAAGACGTTGGTTTATCTCTATTGTGGTTGTCTACAGCAGAAGAATGTATTATCAAAGAATTAAAATATATTATCACCTCGCCTCAATCTAGCAATCCCGGATTGCATCAGGCACAAATCACGCTAAAACCTGTTTCAAGTCCCGATGAAGAAGATGAAATCAAGGTATTTTATCATGTTAGTGACATTCCAGATTATTTGGTATTGGCAAGTAAGGTTAAAAGGAGCCTCGAGACGCGATGGGCACCAGGAATGAAATTTAAAATGTATTATCCCGATGAAGAAAAGTGGTACAATGGTAGAATCAAGAGTATTGCCCCTTCGGATCCAAATTACCCAGACAGTTTATGGGAAAGAATATTGGTTTGTTGGAGTCAGGATGGCAATGATGACAGGGTTAGTCCTTGGGAAATAGAATTATTGACCGATCAAGAAATAGAAGCAGCAGCAGCAGCAGGAGAGCAAGAAGAGGATGATTCGGAAATGGAACAAGATATAGACCAAACATCTTATTTGATGCTTGTCGATAAATTATTGCGAACAATGACTGATGAATCAGAAGAGGTTATCGAACCTCAAGTACGTGATTCGATCATTGCTACATTGGAAGATATCGTCGAAAATGAAATATGTTTGCCCTATTTGGAGCCAGTAGATTTGGAATCGTATCCCCTCTACATCCATTATGTCGCCCACCCAATGGACTTTTCAACCATATTCTCTCGTCTGAGAAACGACTATTATCGTCGAGTTGAATCGGTTGCACACGATACAGAGTTGATCATGCGAAGTGCATTTACATACAACCAACCCAACACCAAAATTGCAAGAAACTCAAAGCTCGTGTATCATCAAGTTTTGGCTTCCCTCAGGGAATATCTTCCACCAGGTAGCGAAATAGATCATGGACAAGAATCAATTGATAATAAAACTGACCAAGAAGAATCAATGGAAGTTGATATAGAACAACAACAAGAAGAAGATCAAAGTGAAAAGGATGAAGATGATGAAGAGGAAGAAGATATGGTTGTTAGGAATCCACCACGAAGAACAAGATCAGCTTTGGCAAATAATAATAATATTAATCCAACACCAACAACAGGAATAACAAGATCAAAATCACTAGTCATCACAATTCCTCAAACAATGGTTTCAACAAGAACATCTAGATTAAAAAAACAAAATGACATTGTTCCACAGGAAGAAGAAGAGGAAGAGCAAATAGAGTCGGAACAAGAAAACGATGATGACTTTTCAATTGACTCTGATAATGAACTTGGTAACAAGTTTAAAAGAAAGTCTACCACTACCCAAAATGGAAAATCAACTCATCAAATCAAGAGAAGAAAACCAACAAAATTAATTGAAGAAGAGGAAGAAAGTCTAGAAGAGGAAGAAGAAGAAAAAGATAGTAGTTTTGAAGATATTTCCAATGATGATATAGAAGTAGACTCTGTTAATTCTAGTACTGAATCCAACAACAATAATGTCCAACAACAACAACAAGAGAATCCAGTTACGCCAATTGCCAAAAAGATGCCATTGTCTTTAAAAATACGCACCAATAAACTAATTTCCTAAAGGTACAATAGCCTTTCGATTATTATCCATTATAAACCTTTATATTTGGTTCTTACATATTTATTTATACATTATTAAATAATTGGTTGTAGTTTAAGGGGTAATAATAAACGGATGGCATCAGTCCCCGATGTGTAATATCTAAATAATCTTTTAACGCGCAAGAATCCAAGGTTTTCATAGAGTGTAATAGCAGGTGTATTGGTGATGATAGTCTCCAAAACAACTTCATCACAATCGAGTTCAATCATTTTAGTAATAGTAGTTTTCACAAGCTTCGAACCTAAACTCAAAGTTAAACTTGTTAATCATAATCTATCTAATATGTTCTTCTTTCTCTCTTTTCATACCTATTCCTAATCTTCTATATCTTTTATCAACTACAATCATTCCTATATAACCTCTTTGTAAATGATTGTGAATCGATTTCTTAGAGATGACAATCCCAACAAGTTGACCACTTGGATCACGTGCTAGAAAGCATAGTTCAGGCCAATTGTTTAAAAAGAATCTATATGTAAAGATGGTATATGGTTCTGAGAGTTCACACTCGATCAGCGCAATGATCTCTTGTATCTCTATTTCACCTTTGTATGCTGTATATTGAATATCATCTTCTTTTAGATTCAACTTTTTTGTTAAATCCTCTACCAATGATGCTTTATCTGTCATTCTATATTTGTAATTAGAATGATAATGAACAAAATCATATCATTTTTTTGAAGTAGCGGTCGAGTTTAATTTTTAATTAACTTATCATTTAAATTTTGAAGGATTCAACAGAATCATCTTATAAAGATTTAATTTTTATTTACTTTGTTCTTATGATCTTTTAATAATTTAACAATTTTTGGATCTATTCTTTCTTGTGTTAGGAGGAGATCGATAAGTTGTGGATCAACAGAGGAGCTTCTGTTGGTCAAATAATATTCGACAATATTGGTTGCATTATACATTAATGAACGGGTTAAATTGGTGGCGTTGTACTTGATGAGATGATATTTCTCTTCGATATGACTAATGATTGACAGGTTTCCGTATTCAAAGGCTCCCCTAAGTACATGATTTAGATTATTTGTGGTATTTGAGTTGTTTGTAATCACCAATTCCAATATTCTAATGTTTCCGATTCTTCCAATATTGACCCAACTATTTGGCTCACAGTAGAAACCTTGTTCACCCAATAGCTTTGTACAATAGGTGATTAATTCCGGTGAGCTAGCAAAACAGTATTCCAGAGAACAATCCCTTGGTCTGAGGAATTTGACTATATCCAACTTGTCAAAATAGATTGCCATGTGAATAAGGCACCTAGAATACTGGCCAAAGGTTGTTTCGTTGAACCACTGTTTGAGTGTTTTGAAGTTCTTTACAAGAAAGTAGATAGAGTGAGAGTGTTTAAATAGATGTAAAAGCTCTTCATCTAAAAAGAAGATGTAATTGGTACGGTAGTATGTTTCCAAAAGATAAACAACCACGTCAACATCTCCACCAGTGATTGCGTCGACAATATGCATTTTCGGAATGGTTGGTAAATTTTGAATGTGAGTGTGGATGATATATGTAGCAAATGTATAGTCCTTGATTACTAAATCAAGTTGGGCGGAAAGATCCTCTTGAGTATAGTGATAATAACGTTCAAGGTATTTAAAAATATGAATATTCTCTGTGACGGGTGGGTTTGTTTGTTTGATCTTTAGGTGTTGATAAGATTCCATCCCTTTCATCTTGGCGTGGACATATTCGACGTGTTGTAGACGACCCGATGAACAGGCAGCTCTAAACAAATACATTATTTTATCGTCGATTGGAATATGGGGAACGATGATTTGAATGATGATTTCCAAAACCTTTGGGTTTTCATAGTGCTTTAATAGTTGTGTGAGTGCATTGTTGACGTGCGATATTGATGGTAAAAATTTGACTACAAGCAAACATGTTTCGATAGCCTTTAGAACATTTGAAAGTTTGGATCTTTCTTGGTCATCAAATCCTTGCAACTCTTTAACTGCGCTTTCCAATAAACTATCTGGAATGGTTCGAAGGAAGAACTTTGTCCAGACAGATTCTATAATCTTGATGTTATCCTCTTTAACGTTGATGATATCGTCAAGAGTTTGAGCAATGTATTCACCAAATGAAGATGGATTTACAGAGCCAATTTGAGGATCAAAAGATTGAACCTTTTGAAAGAGAGAGTAGTCGTTGAGTTGGAACAATAGTTGATAGACATCAAAGAGTTGAATATGACTGATATCTTGTTGTCTGAAATGGATCATTGCATCGTTGGTTATCTCGAAAAGTAGAAAACGACCAATGCTGAGTTGTGGATTAGACATGTATCGTTCAAATAGATTTTGATGATCACCACCACGAAACGATACATCTTTGCTGATAATGTCTGTATATAGTTTTGGACCAAATTGTTTGTAGAAATGGTATAGATTGGTAAAAGGTTCCAACCTATAGGTTTCAAGAAAGATAGTAATCGATTCATTAAATAACAACTTGTTTCTAGTCTTTCCAATTCTAGAGATGTGGTCTAGGAAATCTTCTTGTTCTGTGATACCAAGCTCTCTGATGGAACGATTGAGAAGGTCACGTATCTTGTCGGTTTGAAAAGAAACAGCAGAAAAGCTATTTGGTTTGATATGATCTAACCATCCAATACCTTCAAATAGCAACGAATGGTTTAGTCTGAGTTTGTCAAGTATCACCTGTTCATAACCATTGTCCAACAACCAAATAACCTTTGATGCTTGATTGAATGTCTTTATCAATAGATCTGGATGTGGTAATATTGGATTCAAGTTGACAGGTGAAAATGATTGTGTCTTATCATTGATGATTCTATAACGAATGATATCTCTAGACTCTATCTTGTGTATTAAAGTTATCCATTTCTTTATATTCTTTAATAAATATATACTAGTTAAAACTTTTTTTATTGGTTGTTCTATTTTTTGTTGTTGTTGTTGTTGATTCATTATTGATAATAATAATAATAATACTAATAAAACATTTTGATCAATAAAGATATCTTGGAGGACAAAAAAAAAAAAAATCAGAAAATGCAACTGCAAAATATAAAAAATTAGAATTTAAAAAGAAAGGGGTTTATTATTATTTGTATGTACAATCCGGTTGAGACCTCCATTTCTCAACTAGTTGGTATCATAAAATCAAATGCCTCTTCAAATGCTCTTTGTTTAATATATTTTTGTTTAAATCCTGATGCTTCTGATTGTTTTAATGTCCTAATTAAATTAAATTAAATTAAATGGTTAATATTCCAGGTCCATGGAAATTTCAAAAAAGAATAATACTACATACGGTATTAAATCTTTGAGTCCTAAATCATCATATTTAAATTGTTCGGTTGGCATTGGTTGTGAAAATACAGGTTTGTGTTGACTGTCAATTGCATGAGGCTGTGCTACTGGTTGTGGTTGTTGTTGTTGTTTCGCTTGGTAACTATATTTATTTGATTGATCTCCTGTTGTTGGTTGTTGATTTTGTTGATTTTGTTGCTGTTGTTGTTGATGTTGATTATTATGATTATTTAATATATTTGTTTCAGGAGCACCCATTAATTTTTTACTTTCACTATACGACAAGATAGAGGTTGCAGAATTATTTTGTTGTTGTTCAATCATTTTCTTTCTATCCAATTCTTTGAGTTCACTTGCAGAGATTTTACCATCTGCCAAATCTTCCATTGCTTTTATACTCTCTTGAATCTTGGTTGTTTGATCGATTAAATCTTGTTTCTTGTAAAAGTTTCTCTTTTCTATTGCCTCTCTTTGTTCCTCTTCGATCAACGATGCTATTTTAGCATCTTCTTCTTCTTTTTTCTTTTTGTTTATGATAATCGATTGTTGATTCTGTTTGTTATAGTCTTTAAGTTTTTGTTCAGCCAATGCTTGATGTTCACCTCCTCTCATAAATTCAAATATCAAATCTTCCACAATCTCTAGGTAATCATTGTATTCATTCAAATTATTAAAATCTTCTCTTCTTTTGTTATATCTATAAGAAAGTTTGGTTGGTTAGATCTATTTGTTGATACCATGGGTATAGAAGTTGGGGGGGTATATACATACACTCTTAAAACTCTTCTTCTTGTATTATTTTCCTTATCGTTTACATCATCGAATCTTTGGCTTACAAATGTTTGTCTTCTAATTTGAACATTACAACCTAAACAAACCAATACAGCATCTTTCATATAAGCTGCATGTATACATGATTCACAACTTCAAGTTATAATAAATGATTATAATGATTAGAATGATGATATGTATTTGTGTCAGAACACCTGTTAAGATTCAAACATACTATCTATGACTACAAGGAGCAGTCATCAACTTCATCTGTGGAGCCAGATATAAACTGTTTTTACACATGATACATTCATCATTCCTATCTTCACTCATCTTGAGATATATCTCCTCCTACTATACTACAAAACTACTATAGTTATTACTATTGATATTACTAGTGAATGATTTTGTTTCTAAATTATCCAAATTTGAATTTTTTTTCAAGTCCAAAGATAAATAATATTAATTATTTATATTTATATTTTATGATAATTAGTAAATATTGATATTATTAGATTTATTTATTTATTTATTTCTTTGTTATTTTTTTTCTATTCTTTGAATCGAATGGATCACCAACTTGTTGAACCAAATCTTTAAATACATTGCTTCTGATGAATCTACCAAAGCAATCAACACGTAACAATTCAAATGATGATTGACAACTAAGTTTGAGTTGTTGGTCAATGGTTGACAATACTTCTGATTTGAGTGCATCCCTTACAGCAAGTTTTAATTCTGGCTCCAGATTGACTTCGAGTGGAGATCCTTCGAGGAAGAAGTTTTCATAGATATTGTTGGCAGCTGCCAATGATGATTTACTCGATCTACAGTATCTCTCCAACTCCATCCAACAAAGAAGTAGTTCTTCACATTTCTCAGACTTTACAAATCGTTTAAAGGTATCCAACCATGTTGGTTCAGAGAGAATATAACAAAAAACTTCATTTGGTTTGTCGGCTGCTGTTGTTGGTCCACCTCCACCTGGAAGTGTGGTAGTTAGATCAAAGTTGGATTGTTTTCTTTGTTGTGAAATATTTGGTGTCAATGGTGCTTTTGATGGTGTCGATGGATGAGAGGTAGAGTGTTCAAATACTGTTGATGTTGTTGTTGTTGTACCGCCACCACTATTACTACCATTACTACTTGTACTACTATTTAATGGTGCTGTTGTTGTTGTTACAATGGTTGGATTAGATGAAGATGAATTGTTGGAATTAGATAATGCTGATGCTGGAAGTGGTGGTAAAGCTTTGTTGTAGGAACTAGTGGAAGTTGGTGAAAGAGAAGGTTGACCAGAAGATACGGGTTTGTCCAAAAGAGTAGGAGAGATTGTAATGGGTGAGAGTGCACCTGGTTTAACAGATACTTGACGTTCTCTAGTTCTTGGGAATATTGCTTTTAATTTCTCTCTAGAGATTTGTTCAAACTGAAGGTCAACCTTGTTTTCTGGTTTCTTTTTATCCTTTTCCATGTATTTAATCATCTTTTCCTCACGTCCCAACATATCCTTGCAAACATTGCTTTGAAGGAATAGTTGGAAATGGGTGTTTGTGAGTTGAAGTATGATATCTTGACCAATATTGTCAAATGCCATCAATACTTTGGCTCTTTGTTTAGAGGCAATAGCTTCTTGAATCGAATGTCTAACAGAGTCTACAGCAGATAGCACAGAAATCTCCTTTTCAGCACCATTACGAATATAAGTGTCGTACAGTTCGTATGCATACTGATCAATAAACTCTTCAGCAAGTACCTTGAGTCTATTGATATTGAGCCACAAAAAGACCATGTTTCTAGCGTCGATGGGAGAAACGGCGGGTGTTTGTAAAAGTAGTGGTGAGAATCTTGGTGATAAAAGTGATGATGTCAATGGAGAAACTGAATTGGGTGAAGTAGAAGCAGATGAGGGTGCAGAATGGCTTGGTGATGAACCTCCAATAACCATACTGTTGGATCTATCTCTAAAATAGGGTGATGAAGATGAAGGTGTTGTATTGTTGCTGCTACCGCTGTTTGGTGATGTTGGTCTAGATGGTCTGAGGTAGAGTAAAAAGTATTCCAAACCAATTGGATTACTAATCAATGTATCGAGTGATTTGGTAAGTTTAGATACACCTATAGTCTCTGTTGGTTGTTGACTACCTCTTTCTAATATTGCTGCTGCTTGATAGAGTGGACTCTTTAAAAATAATGGAAACATTGAATAATTTAATAAAGAGGAAATTGCTTCAATTGCAATTGATAAACTTGGATAAATATCTAAAAATAAAAAATTTAAAATAAAAATTAATAAATTGATCAGATAGATATATATATAATATATATTGTTTTTTTTTTCTTTGTTTTTTACCTTGATCTAAAAATAGATTTAAACGTCTATCATCGATAGCAGATCTTGCTTCAGAATCGATATTAATTTCAAAAGATGAACCCGGAGTGATATAATTATTGTACATATTTAAAAACATTGATCTGACTGTTTCACGTGGTGCTGAACGAGCTTCCAATTGCTTGAGTGAATGACAATCAAGATAGAATAATAGATTTTCGATACCATGATGTTTTTCAGAGAATATTCTAAAGGCTTTGAGGTAGATAGTATTTTCAATAATGTCATCAAAGTTGGTTGGTGGTGGTGACATTGTCTTTTTGGTAATATTCAAGTGGTTCAAACTACTTATACTATCTGCTGAAAATGTCTTTCTTATAAGTGATGCTTCTGATGCTGTTAATGTTGGTATTGATTTATCTTCTTCTGTAGTTGTAGTAGTAGTAGTAGTGTCTGGAGAGGATTGAGTGGGTGGTAACTTTCTACCAAAGTGAACCAAATGATGTAAATTTAAAATCTAAGAAAAAAAAGAAAATTAAATAATTAGAAACATAAATAAATTGAATTTGATCTCTCTCTTTCTTTCTTTCTTTCTTTCTTTCTCTTTCTTACATTTTGAGATAAATTTAATAAATATTTCTTTCTAGCACCACAAAACTCATCCAACTCTGATTCCAATAGAGATAGATACTTTTCATAGAAACTAATTGATTGAGTTAGTTTAGCCATGACCGAAGCAATCTTATCACTCTGACTATCGGATAATGATTTTGCAGAGTATTTTTGAAGTAGCATTTTAAGATCTCTTCTATATTGAATAGATTCTACCAAGTATTTATCTACCTCTTGTTTTAGATTCTTGAATGTTTCAGTTTGATCTACAAATACAGAATTCTCTACTGAATAGTCTAGAATAACCTTGCAATCTCTTACACTTGCTGGCAATAATACATTGATCTCTTTGTTTAATTGTGAGATGGATGTTGACAATTCTCCAATCTGTGGTATTTGTAATCCAATCTTATAGAGATCATTGGCAAGTGTAAATGATGATGCCATAAATGCTTAAATTTACGTACCGATATATTAATGTTAATAATAGGTTTGAATTAAAGAAGATCATTGATGATGATGATGATTGTAACCTACATTCAACTTGTTCAACATAATGTTTTGAACCTTCCAAGGCACTATTTAATGAAATACATAATGAATGTAATGTATGAATATTTAGATTATATTTACGAAGTGATGATGGATTAATCTCTATCGAGTCCTCTGAAAGCTAAATAAATAAATAATAATAAATCAGTGGGTGGGTGGTAGTATAGTGGGTAATAATGAAAAAAATAGATATATTAGTATTGATGATGATGATGGGGTGTGTCATCATGATATGATAGTTTCAATACTTACTGAATAATAGACCATTGAGGAGTTGGTTGAGCTATATATATATATATAAATATATTAGCTATCAATTAGCTTGTTGTTTGCCTGCTATTCTCTAATGATGAATCTAGAAGAAAGAAATGGTTGTAAGAGTCAATGGTTTAAACCAGATAATCTAGAGGAGGGGTGCAATGATGATCAGCAGCTTGATTGCTTGCTCTTCAACAGACAGACAAACAGTGTATGAAAAAAATAAAATAAAGAATTTTCTGATGAGATATTTTCATTATAGAAAAAAGATCCCTCCCTCCCTTTTCTTTCAACTTGTGGGTGGTGGTTGTGGTTAACAGATTTAATGAAGAAGACACAAACAGTTGCAGATCATCATCACCTTTATCCATCATCATCATCCATCGTATGTATTGGCCATACACACCCACAAGTTGCAGATCATCATCATCATCATCACCGTATAGTCTATGAATGTAGATTACACCAATTTTCTGAATGGTGGTTGTTTGTACACACAAAGCTTAGGGGTGTGTGTGTGTTGTGAAAACGATGTATTGGGATTAATCTTACCTACAAATCTCTCTCTCTCTCTCTCCTTCTCTCTTTCTCTTTCTCTCTCTCTCTCTCTCTCTCTCTTTCTTTTTGTTGTTTATTTGTGTATTATCTCTTTTTTTTTTTATTTTTGTTAGCTCACTATAAAAAATGGTCCTTGGCACTGGTGGTGTGGAATAAGTTGGTCAGCCTGCAAAGAGTGGCAAATGGGAAGCCATTGGATTTTTAACTAAAAAATCAGTTAGTTGGAGGAGGAACTTGCTTGATATTTTTTAAATATAAAAAAACTAAATAGTCTTGACTTTGAGCTCAAAGTTGAATCGATTAGCTAAAAAAATATTATTAATAATTTTTATTATTTTAATTTTTATTTTGAAATCTCTTTTCATATAAATAAAATTTCCTTTTGTGGAAGATTAAATTAATGTTTCGACAAGAGAACAATTTAATTTCAAATGTTAAATACATAGAGGTTTGTTTGCAATAAATAAGCATTTATAATAGAAATACAACTATATAGAAATAGATACATAGACATAAACATAAAGAGAGAGATAGATTGATAGATAAAATAAATAAATAAATAAATCTATAGATAAAAATTAAATAAAAAAAATGGAAACGATTAAAACCAAAATTCAGAATACATTCTCACCAGTACCAAAGGAACATAGCGTCGAAAAGGTAGAAAGTCAACATTTAAAGGATACTGGAAAGATTCTAAAGAATGATTACTCTGAACTATTGGGAAGAACAAATAGATGGATCAATGCTATTCATGGTATGGTACATTTTTTAGAATATTTATTAAATTTAGAATATAATATTTTCTTTTTTAACTCCTTTTATTTATAATTTTCCAACAGATTTTCAATATAAATGGGAGACTCTATCCTATATGATCAAGAATTTTGCAAGTGATGAATACAAAGATTCACATTCCTTCCTCAGAATTGCAGAGATTCAACATGAATTACAATTACTCCTAACTCCTATCATTCAAACAACAAAATCTGGCTTGTGGTCTGAAGTTGAAAGAATTTATAAAGGTGATGTTACTTTATTAAAGGTATGCATATTTAAATAGAGTCATTATTCCAAATCTTTTATCAATTTCTAATTATTTTTTAAATGTCAATCCTCTTTCTTTTTAGAAAATGCAATCAAGAATTCAGATTTCACAATCAAAAGCTGATCATGCCAATAGTAGATACATAAAGTATTGTCAAAAGAACAAAAATAATGAAAAGTTATTAAAAGTATGTTTAAATCAAATAGATTCTTTTTTTTTTGGAAACTATACTAATTCAAAATCTTTTTTTATTTATTAGTTGCAAAGAGAAAGAGATATAGCAGTTCAAGAATATGATCAACAATACAAACAATATAATGATTTGATTATCAGTTTGGAATATCAAAGTGATGGATGTTTGGTTGAATACATTCAAAGTTTACTCTTGGAATTACAAGCGTTCTTTGCCAAGGGATTTGCCATCATGAATCAATACTATCTAAGGGAAATGCCAACTCTTGAAAACAAGGCACCTCTAAGAACTGCACAAGATGTTAAACCCGCCGGTCCAGTTATGAAATCAACTCTATTTGATAAGAGCACCACCACCACTACCACTACCGGTGGACGAGTTACAACCATCGAGGAAACCACACAAAAGGTCATTTCCAGTGCACCTCCATCATCTGCCCCATCGTTGAATATGCCAGCTCAAGTATTCTCTCCAACGACCTCACCATTTATAACATCTAGTTCAGCACCTGTTATCATGTCACCACAGATTAAATCAAGTATCAATACTACACCTCTTACATGGTCAAGAATTAGTGCAGAGAGACCACCATCCCCATTGCTTCTATCACCATCCACCACCACTACAGTCGTAGGAAAAGATGGTCAAACCAAAACAACTACGGTATTCACATCAGAACCAGCTAGTACAATCACAATGATATCATCACCTCCAATCACTCACAAGAACGAAACAGTAGAAGTAAAAGAAGAAACAGAGTCAGTACAAGTAAAAGAAAATACAACAGTCACTGGCAACAAAATGGAAATTGAAAAAGAAACAACAGAAGTAAAAGAACAGATCACCCAACAAAACAATAACAAACATAATAACCAACAACACAACCAAAACAAAAAGAAAAAGAAATCAAGAAACAACAGAAAACATCACTAAATTATAATTGTTAATAAACCAAAAAAAAAAATAGATTATAAAAATATATTTATGGTTATCTTGAAATCAAGAGATACAGAGATTTGTTTACCAAAATAATTTAAAAAATAATTATTACCCCTCCAAAAAAAATTTTTGTTAATCTTTTGACAAAAATCAAAATTATACCATCATTGTGTTGAATCTTTGATAATAATAATAATAATAATAAACAGAATGAATAGACCAAAAAAGAATAGTAAAATAGTACATATAGTAGAGGAAAAGAAGGATCACAAAAAGAAAGAGGATGATAAAATGAATATACAAGAGGATGATGAAATAGATGAAGATATTTACAAGATTGATGGTCAGGATACCACCGATGATGATGATGAAATAGATGAAGATATTTATAGAGTAGATGGTTATGATGATGATGACGATGATGGAGACGATGAAGTAGATAGTGAAGATGATGGTAAAATAACTACAACCTTTAACCTAAACAACAAGAGAATAGATAAAATATCTTCTTCATCCTTTTCAAAAAATAAGAAAAAGAATAATAACAACAACACTAGTACCGACGATGATGAAGATATGGATTCATCATCATCATCAACAACAAATATTGAATTCAGTGTCATATCCTATGAAACATTAAAGAATCAAACACCTACAAAGAGTATTCTCAAAAATAAGAAACCGGTAGTGGTCATTGAGAATACTCCTAGTCCTCAAAAGAGAAAGATCGTATGGGATGAAGATAACTTGGCAACCAATGAAATGCAAAAGTCATCAACCATGAAGATTGATGAACCAAAAACACCCTATCATTATTATGAATCAGAGGAAGAAAGTGGTATGTAAAAAGAAGAAGAAGAAGAAGAAGAAGAATATTACATTATTAACATTATTACATCAATCAATCAATCAAAAAAGACGAATCTAAAAAGTATCTTGAAAGAAAATTTAAGGAATTGGAACAAGCATTGGAACAACAAAAGAGTGAATGGGATTCAGAAGAAGAGGAAGAGGAAAATGATGGTGGTGGTGGTGGTGGTGGAAACAACAATCAAGATGACTCTGATGAAGAATTGACTAAAGAGGACAAGGAAAGAAAATCAAAGTTTGATGATTTACGAAAGGCACATTATAAAATTGAAAAGAAGAACCAACATTTAGATGACGAAAATGAAGACGACTACGACGAGGAATTATCAGACAAACAAGGAAAAGCATCCACTTCATCAACAACATCTTCTACCAACTCGAAACAACCAATCATCGTGACCAAATCAGCAACTGCCTCTGATAAACCTCTTCGATCTGCTCTCAAAAAAAAATAACTCTTTTTGTATTATATAATCATTAAAAAAAAAACCAAGAGCTATTCTATTTCTCTCTCCCCAAACATCCATATCGATTATCACATTGAAATCAAACTTGATGATTTATTATTCTATCTATAATCTATCATTTGTAATTACAGTGATGGTTGGGGGCTCCATTGACAAAGCAGTTTGAAGATTAATTTTTGTATCGATTTCATTCTTTTCCTTGCTTGTGAAAATAATCTTATTCTTTTCCAAAAACTCTCTTGTATCCCTTTCGTTGATGAATCCAAGTTGAATGATTTGTTCGAGTTGTAATGTTGGTCGGAACCTAATAAAAGATTAAGATTAATAACGAATAATTTTTTGATGATTTGTCTAGTACTACTTACGATTTAAATAAAGCCTGTAAAGCAGTGATTCTAATTCTTGGAGTAATTTTATCTAGCAAATAATTTTCCATAAATATAGATTTCTTGCAAAGCTTAAAATAGAGGACATAGTTGTTGCCGTAAAAGGCTGTTCTAATGTTGAGTGCATGTTTGACACATTCTTCCATTGAGAGTTGTTTTGTCAACTCTGACAAGGTTTTTGTCATATCCGTACTGTTATTTTGATATATACAATAAATGATTCTGTAGCTGTAGAATTCTGCAATACTTCCCGTTAATCCTGGTTGTTTGTAAAGTTCGAATAATTGAGTTTGACATTGATTAAATTGTCCCAAATCGCCATTCTCCATTGCCAATCTAGCATGAGTTTCATATACCTGAATAGTGAATTGATTCTTGATTCTCTGTACTGTGAGATCTTGTCTCATCGATCTAAATTGCTCACATGTATAAATATAGTCTTGATGTTCGATCCAATGTTTTTTCAAATATTCCAATGTTTTTTTAAGTGTAGTCTCTGATCTTACGGTTGATGGGTCAGGTGCCGATGTCAATCTCAAATATGGTTTCTCTAAATCGTTACATGTACCTTTTATAGTCATTGAATCCCAATCCAACTCACCATCTGCTGTATATGTAGTCATCGTCGATGTAGTCGATGTTGATGTACTTGTATCTTTGAATCTCATCGATCGCTTATATATATTGGTTGCTGAATCATTAAATTCATTACTAACAAAAAAAAGAGGAATAAAAAGGTAAGAGTCAAATAATATTATATATATATATATATATATATTCAATTACTTTTTAACATTGATACATACAATTGTTTTCTCTTTTTTTCTTTTTGTTGTTTATTACCTTTTAGTGGAAAGACATCATTTTTCCAAACATTTTCATTTCTTTTTTTATCCCTTGAAATAAAGAAATTAAAACATGTTAGATCGATATATCACCTGATATTTGGATTTCATATCATGTATATACATACAAATAGACAGTTGGTTCTTTATCCCAATCAATCATATTAAAATCAGGTCTTTTTCTTGCCTCTTGAATAACTTGCTTAATTTTTGTTTGCATTTCATCTAGATCCCCTGTCGAACAACTTTCTAAAGATCTTTGAACAAATCGTGTTAAAGTCTCTTCAAACTTTTTCTTTTTCATTTCATCCATTTGTTGTTGTTGATGTTGTTGATTTTGTTGATTCTGTTGTTGTTGTTGTTGTTGTTGTTGTTGTTGTTGTTGTTGTTGTTGTTGTTGTTGTTGTTTCTTACTAAATTGTTTTTTCCCAGTAGGTTGTTGAGGTTGTTGTAGAGTATTTTTGTTTGTTGTTGGTGGAATTTGAGAAGCTGCTATACTTGCGTAGGTTTGTTGTTGTTGTGGTTGTTGTTGCAATTGTTGATTTTGTTGTTGCGTTTGATCTATACCATTACCAAATGGATTGTTATTTTGTTGATATGGCATTTGTTGATAATAATTGTATTGTTGTTGTTGCATAAATAATTGTTGTTGTAATTGTTGTGGTTGCATAGTTGATAATTGTTGTTGTTGTTGTATTGGTTGTTGTTGTTGTATTTGTTGATCAGCAGTATTATTAACTAGTCTCTTTGACTTTGATTTAAAAACAGGTGGAGGAACAATAATAGAAGATCCACCAGTCGTCGATGAGGTGCTTGTTATTGATGTCATCGGTTGTTGCTGTTGATAGAAACTATTATATTGATTTTGTTGATCATACCAATTGGTAGTATTACTCATAAATGCAGTATTCATTGTCAGTTGATCATTATTGTTAGTGATCGGAGTAGTATTTGTAGCGTTTGTAATAGGTGTAGTACCATCATTATACCAATTAATAGTTGTATAACTACTACTACTACTACTACTACTATTATTGTTGTTACTACCACTTGGTGTATTATGGTTCAAAGAGTTGTTGTTGTTGTTGTTTGGATATGATTGTTGCTGATAAAATGATGCAACACCTCCAATACCTGTTTCTTGATTGTTCCACATTTGTTGTTGATTCCATTGCTGCTGCTGCTGTTGTTGTTGTTGCATTCCTTCGTTATTATTATTATTATTGCCAAATGGTTGTTGTTGCCACATATTATTCATTTCTTTCTTTATTTCTTAATTACTGATCATGATGATGTGATGTACTTGATCACACTTGTTTCTCTCTCTCTCTCTCTTTTAGTACCTGCCTGTTCTCTACTCTTCAATATTGTTTAACTAATACAAAATAAAGAAGAATGAATGAATGAATGAATGAATGATACTCCTACATATATTTGTTTCTAAAAAAAAAAATAAAAAAAAATAAAATGAAAATGGCTGATCATCAAAACAGATAGTATTTGTTTAATTATCTATTTTATTTTAAATAACATTGATACTTTTTAAAGTCGAATATCAATGACCGATACAGTACTGTTTGAAAAGCTGGCAGCCAATTTATCACCAGTATTATTCCAACAAACTTCAAAAATACCACCACTACCCTTAAACGATTTGACTAGACTACCATCCTTTACCGACCATATGTACAAATGCTTATCAAATGATCCACTAGCTATATATTCTCCATTTGGACTAAATGAAACTGTATAAACTGGATCCCTATAAATAAATATGTTTGAAAATAACGTTAGTTGTTGTTATTTTTGTTTTTGTTTTTTGTTTTACTTACATATGTTTGGTTAGACTATTTAAACAACTTCCAGTTTCAACATCCCACAATTTTACAGTTGTATCAAAAGAGGCACTTGCAAGTACCAAATTTTTGTTTGGGTTTTGAGAACCTGGACCGGTTGGACTCCATTTGATGGTGTAAATCTCTTTTTTGTGTTCGAGATTGTGAAGATAACTATCGCTCTTTACACTCCATATCTTTGCAGTCTTGTCATCAGAACAAGAAGCAAGTAAAGTTCCACTAGAGTCCCACTTGATTGCATTAATTTCGTCACCATGTCCTTGGAATGTTTTAATTGGTTTTGTTTTGCCAATTTCGCAAAGATAGATCATTTTGTCGGTGCTACAAGAAGCAAATTGCGTATTACTTCTCCAGTCAATATCGAGTGTAGGGGCTGTATGAAATTCAAATTGTTGTACAATACTACCAGTACGGAAATCCCACACTATAGATCGCTTGTCAACACTGCCACTTAGCAGATAGTCTCCATTTTTGTTCCATTTTAATGAAAATATTGGTGCTTGGTGTTGTGATAATACATATAATAACTCTCCTTTACTATTCCATACTCTTGCTAATCCATCATATGATCCTGTTGCTAATAATGATCCATCAAACTAAAGACAAAAAAACAAACAAACAAATAAATAAATAAGAGGAGTTGATAAATATCTTTTTTTTTTTTTCTGTTTCTACATACATTCCAATCCAAAGTTGTAACATCAATACTCTTTTCTAGAGAGTTATCATTAAAGTGATTTAGGACAAGAGAAGATATTTGACCTTTTGAAGCTGATACCAAACCTTCATTTGGTAGATTCCAAATTCTAGCAGTACTGTCTCCACTACCCGATGCCAATAATGAGTTGACTGGGTTCCATGAACAAATAAATACTTCATTATTATGACCTGTAAGTGTAGTTACTAAACTATCAGGTATTTCCATAGAGTTTGTCATTGTTTGATCTTTATCTTTTTCTATATATATATAATATAGTATTCGATAATGATGATCATGTGATATGATGATAATGAACTAATTAGTATAACTGTTGGTCGTATCGTATTTTGTATATCGAAACATACTCTTGCTTTCTTTATCTCTATCTTTCATTTTAACATCTCGATCAATTTCTTTTTCTTTTTTCGATTTCTCTTTTGATGCGTTTTTAGAGGTTTCTTTGCTACTACTACTGGTTGTTGATGCTGTGGTTGCACTTGATGCATTTGTCGATGATGAAGATGATTTCTTTTTTATATTGCAAACATGTTTATGTATCAATGAAAATGGTTCACTGCAATTTAGTTCAGAACCATCATCTTGAAGATGAGTTTCTACTTCTATATATTGTAATCCTTTTTGAAGTACTGATATCAAACTTCCATGAGGTATTTCATTGTTGTATTGTGTTATATCTGATTTCGCTACATTACATTCATTGTAAAATGTAAATGCAGAGTGTCCAAATCCTTTAGTTGTTGCAAAGAAGAAGAAGAAGAAGAAGAAGAAGAAAAAGAAAAAGAATATGATTGTATTGTTAATATCAAGTATAGGAGAATGAGAATGGGGGTTTGTTTGTTGTGTTGTCTTACCAGACTCTTGGAGATACTTGTAAATGAGTAAGTTTACTTCATCGCTTGTTATGTTCATCGACGACATGTTGTTTCTTCTTTGTTGTACAATATCGCTTTCGTGTATGTTTATCTTTTGTTGTAATTATAATGATATAGTATTGTTGTTATTATAGTGAATTCTTTATGATCAGTACATTGTACTCGTTTGTGTAGATCTATTGCTTCTTCTTCTTTGTATTCAATTGGTTGGAGGCACACAATTCAATAAATACTATTGATAATACTTTGGTTTGATTTAAATCTATCATGTTTCAAAAAAAAAAAAATATGTTTTTTTTTCGAAATTCATCGTTTGGGAGGTAGACAGCTGATGATAAGAGATACATATGCAAAGCTTTCGTTTGTGTACTATATTAATCAGCAATAATAATAATAATAATGTCATCAACAGCAACATCAGCAGTCTCAAAGATTACACCATCATTTGCACAATACCTTCGCAGAAAGATATTCAAACATGTACCACATGGTATCTTGACACAATACCCAGAACATATAGTCAGATCATTACCAGAGACATTTGTAAAGGATTTACCTGTAGTACCAGCAGGTATTGTAAAGATTACATTACATAAATCACCATATCATAGCGACAAGGAGATTCAAGGCACTATTGCTGCATTGGGTCTTAGAAAGAGATACAGATCTGTTTTCCAAAAGAATACCCCTGAAATTAGAGGAATGATTCACAAAGTATGTGTGTTTAGATGTTGTTGATAATGATGATAAAGATTAATATGTATACGATGACAATGACGATAATACTTTTGATATTAACAATCATTTTATATTTATAGGCCAGAACACATTTATCAGTCGAAGAAGTACCATTACAATAAACATCGCCCAAATATATATATATATACTTATAATTTAATAGAAACAAATAATCGCAGTATTTGATATATAAATATATCATCTATTGTCAATAATACGTTCGTTGGTGGAAGATTGATTAATTTTTAAACAAATAGTTTATTAAAGATAAATAATATCGGAGGCGAGGGTATAGATAGAGAGATATTTATGGTGCAAAAAGAAATGAAACAACAGCAGCAGCAGCAAAGATTAAGATTGGTTGAATAATGATCATCATCATTGTAATATTGTTTCTAAAATACCAGATGGTCATTGGATAAATACACCCCAATTGGATAAAAGTAACAACAATGGCATGCATTGGCGCACACACAATGGTAGAGGTAGGTAGAATGATTAGGAAATGGTATGTAGGATGAAGTGTGGAATGTTATCAGTTGTTGTTTTTTTTACAATGTTACTATTTAGGGTGGTTGGTTGTGCTGATGTTTACTTTGGTGGATGATGGTTTTTTTTAAAAAAAACCTTTATACAGCTCCATCAGATGGAGAGGTTGACGTTGCAGTGGCAGTAGTAGTGGCAGCGGTGGCTGGAGAATGTTGGTTGTTTAATTGTTTTTCTTTTTCTTTTTGTTGTTGTTCCATCATTCTTTGTTGTTTACGTCGACCAAAGGTGTGAACTTTCATTGGGAAAATAAAGACTGTTGCCAAGATAAACCATAGAGTGGCTACTCCGAATACTACTGCATAGGCAGTTGGATAACCATGTGTTGGGATCACTCTATCCAGAATGTTACCAGAGATGAATGGTGCAATAACTGCAGGTGCAATAAAGGATAAATGCCAAATACCCATATCCTTGCCGATGGTTCTGTTGGGAAGTGAATGGAGAGCCAATGCCCAATCGACACATTGGTAACATCCATAACCGACACCCAATAGACCTGCCAATGTGAGGAACCCTGCGTAGCTTGGCGAGAAACAAACTGCAATCAAGAGAGCAATGGCGACGACTTGGATTGAGCTAGAGATGTATACCAACAACTTGGTATTGAAAAAGTCGGCAAGGTATCCACCAACAATAGATGCTGGAATACTAAAGACAATGATAACTGTGAGAGCAATCGATGTTTCAAGTGGCGATGGACGAAGGAGAACTTGGTTGGAGAAATAGAGAATGAATTGAAGGATCATATTTACTCCCATCGTATTGAAGAAACGTGTGATGAGTACCCAGTAAAAGTCATAGTAGATGGCAGATGGAAGATAAAGAGACGAGAAGAATTCTTTGAATGATCCAGAGTATGACCACTCGTCATAGCTATCTTCCCAGAGGAGAATGACTGCTGCCAAAGAGGTTGCACCTAAAATAGCGATCAAAGTACCAATCAATGGCCACAAGGTTGGATAGTTTAAGAGGAAGTGACCACTCATCAATGATCCTGTCAACATTCCAATGGACCAGGTAACACCTAACCAACCACTGGCAATACCTGCTTGACTGACATGTACGATATCTGGGATGATTCCAGAGAATGCACCTCCAGCAATGCCATAGCCAAAGTTGTAAGCCATCAAAATAACAATATATGCTCCAATAGAGTCACCTTGTTTGTTAAACCGTGCCATCAATGCTAAAAATATTAACATTATTATGGTTCCAAACTATCATAGGGAAAAAAAAACAAAATTAATCTCTAGAGAGTTTTCTATAAATTTAGATCTAGTTTTTAAAACATACCAAGATATAAGGTCTTCTTTTACCAAATGGAGTTTTGGTACGATCACTCAAGTAACCAAATACAGGAGTTGATATTAAATTGACAAACATTCCAGCAATTGGTACAACACCATTCCAATATTCATGTCTTTCGGGATGTATTGTCTGGACTTGAAATGGTATAAGTAAAGCTGTTGTAGCTCCAGATATTACACTATACCCCAAAAACCATCTTAAAAAAAAAAAAAAAAAGAATTGTTAGTATTGTAAAATAAAAAACCTATTAAATATTATTTTTTATACATACAGGGATATTTTAAAATAAAACAATGAACTAGATAAGAACCCAGATTGAACTTTTTTGTTGGGGTTACTTTCGACATCATTATCGTTGGAATTGGCACTTCCAGTGTTTTCATTACTATTATTTGTATATTTATTATCTGATGACTCTGATGATAGATCACCTCCTCTCGAGGATGAATCTGAACTAACTTCTGAATTTTTCATTACTTGATCTGATGAATCACTTAATGTTCTTTCTATTGGATCTCTATCCATTTATGTTGGTTGTCAATTTTGTCTTTTTTGTTTGGTTTTTTTTTTTTTGTATGTCCTTGGATTTGATTAAAATGAACTAGTTTCTTCTTCTTTTGAATCAATACCCTTTTAAAAATAATATTTTAATCTATAAATTAAATATTGTTGATTTATAGAGAGAGAGAGAGAAAAGGAATATCAATATTAAATGTTGATAAAATGAATCATTATTTTAATTAATTATTGAAGATGATGAAACAAATAAACTCTTTTTGATGATGAACAAAAAAGATAATTACAACTTTCAAAAGTGTGTGGGGTAAGTGAGTGGGGTTTGGTAGTAGTATTCATATAGAGAGTTGACATGTGAAATACAACAGGATTCTAAAAATAAAAACATTCGATTTCCTGTTGTTTGATTTTTTGTAATAGAAAATTAAAAACAAACCATGTGGTTTTTGATATAAAAAAAAATAGTAAATGATGAATTCAATCAAAATGAAGAAAACATGATCCAATTGGGTTATACAATTTTATGATCATCATATAAATAAATAAATAAAATGGGTATTTGAAAGGGGATAATTATTATTATTATTATTATTGTGTGTGTTTGTAATAAATATTGATTATTTAAAGTTTATCCTACCATATAACATATATAAATCCAATGTACTGAGAAATAATCTATAAATTTTTTAGACTATTTAATAATCGTCATACACAATAAACAGAGATTTAAAATACAAACTATTTAATCCTATTATTATTATTATTATTTAAACAAAATTGGCACAATAATGATAAAAATAAAAAATAATTGTAATAAAAATTATTATTATTATTATTAATTGTCCAGCAGTAAACAAGATGTTGTTATTAAAATAAAGAGAGTCTTGTTGGTAGAGAGGGAGCGAGAGAGAGAGAGAGACAGAGTGAGAGAGTTATTTTAAAATAGATGTTTTTCAATTGTTGTTGTTGTTGTTGGTTGTTGTTGTTGGTGGATGACAAGAGATATTGTAATATAAATTATAGATTTTAAAAAAAAAGTGTAATGATTGATTTGATACGACAAATCGTAGGTAGAAAAATACAATTGTCGAATGGTGAAATTGATATGATTCTTTGATATTAAATCATAACCTTCATCCAATACCCCCACCAAAATCAATCATGATTTTAGATATTTTGGGACAAGAGGTGGTGGTGGTGGTGGTGATGATGGTAGTGTGAGAGGGGAAATAATAAAAGTGTAAATGGCGCACTTTAGTTATGGTAATAACCACACACTATTACTGTTGTTATCACCATGAATATAGTTGTGATGGAAGATGTTATTTTACCGAGGTGTGACTATTTTAATTGTCAAACAAAATATGGTTGTTAATCACTTTGGTACTTGGTAGACATTACATATGGATATATGGTATTAATATTATTTCCAAATATATATAAATATTTTGATTTTAAATTTCAATAGGTACATCATCTTTCTAAATCAGTTTTTCTTTGTTACAAGTACCATCTTTAAAATCAAAATAAACTTCAAAAATAGGTCATAATAGAAAAAATCTATTCATTCAATCATTTTTTTGGTGATAGGGATGATAATAGTTTTAGATTGTGTGGAAAAGGAGGAGGTAATTATGGTGGTGGTGGTGTTGGTGGTAGGGTTGGTGGGTAGTTGTGGAAATTAAAGTAATACGATTTTATGTTGGCAAATAATCAATAAAACAATTAAAATACCAACATGTTGGATACAAGTACCTCTGAATCCTATTTTAAACATGATAGGATTTTTAGGAACAATCAAGATTGTCTACCATGTCTAATACTACCAACAATATTGTCCATATAAGATATATAAAAAATTGGATGGAGGGTGGATGGACGAATGGATTATTGATTGGAATGTGGAATGGATATATTGGAATGGATAGATACGAATTTGGTTGAAATGAGTTTCGGTGATGAGAATGGGTGACTATAAATATCTCTATATTATTCTATTTACAAAATTATCCAACAACAACAACAACAACAACAACAACAACAACCAACATCAAAGGTTCTTATTATCAAAAGTAGAATGATTTAATATTTTTAAAAACAAAATTGTACATTGGAAAAATAGGAATTATTATTATTATTATTATTATTATTATTATTATTATTATTATTATTATTATTATTATTATTATTATTATTATTGATTGATGGTTCCATACCCTTTTTTGAGTGATTGTAAATTTCAATAAATATAAAAAATGTAGATAAATATATTTAAACTGATAGAGTACTTTTGTTATTTTTTCTTTTAGTTAAAACTGTTTATTGTTCCTGGATGCTGAGTTGTTGGTATTGGTTATTTAAAATTATTTTAATTGTGTTGTGATAAGGATGCACTTTAAAAAAGGATGAAATCAAAATTATATTTCCCTTTTAAAAGATATCTCTGTTGTTGCCGTTTTCAACAAACACTCTCTCCTCTACTACTACTTTCCTCTGCGATTCTACTGTTGTCAATAATATCATCCAAAAACAACATCCATCATCACATTCACACATTATCATATTTTTGTGAACCCATCAACCACTTTCAATACCATCCATCATCCAGACAGAGAGAGAATATTGATTAAATTTCTTTTATTACTGAATTGTGGGTGATCATGATTTATTTTTATCATCATCATCATTCATTAACATTTTATTAAAACAATAATAAAGAGGGTGTAGTAGTATTAGTAGTAGTAGTAGTTGTTGTTGTTGTTGTTGTTGTTGTTGTTGTTGTTATTGTTTTTAATACAACAACCTAACCTCAACAATCGTTAATATAAATAGCCAATTTATAAATTCGCCAAAGCAAAAGGGTGAAAGAGTTGGAATTCCATACATATTGGTTGTTGTTTAAACAAACACAACGACGATTAATCGTTCATCAATATAGAGTGTGGTGGTTTTCTCCCTTTTGTTTTGTACAATCCTTGTTTTATTGCCACTAAATTCATGATGTTTTTGTTTTGGTAGTTGAATATTCAAAAAAAATGGCCTACTTTCCTCCTCCTCTCTATTATAATCAACTCGTTGCTCTCTCTTTCTCTCTTCTGTTGTCAACTTTGTTGTTGTTGTTGTTGTTGGTGGTGGTGGTGGTGAATTGAATGATCATCATCATCGGTTTGGAAAGAGTAGAACAGGGGTTTGTGGGTGGGTGGGTGGGATCAGTATTTATACCCTACATCGAGTGGATCGTGTTTTGGTGGGAAATAAACTTTTATTAGGATGGTTGAAGAAATATTATTATTATTATTATTATTATTATTATTATTATTATTATTATTATTATTATTATTATTATTATTGTTGTGTGATCAGCAATAACAAGAAGATGAGTAATGCGTGTCTTTAAAAATGGTACCATTAAAATCTAACCAAATCTATTTGATGGGGATTGTTATTTTTTTAAAAGCTTACCTATTATCTCAATGCGCACCCCCCCCCAGTACGAGGAGGATGGTGTTGATCTTGTAAACTACCAACCTATGAAAAATGGCCTACTTTCCTCCTCCTCCTCCTCCTCCTTCCTCCTTTTTTTCAACCCTCTTTTCCGATTGCGATCAATGTAATCTTAAAAGAATAATTGTTATAATCTTTTTTTATTAACTTTATTATTATTATCTGCTGTCCATTGTTGTTATTGGATATCTCGTTGCTATCATGATTGAGAGTGTGTGTGTGTGTTTGAAAAGACAAAGATTTGGTTTATGATGTATTATTTTTTATTAATATTATTACAAAGTGACTTATTATTATTATTACGATGATGATTATGATGATTGGGATATATATATAGAAATATAAATATTATTTGAGAAATGCTACTAATACTAATGTTACGTTGATATTGTTGTTGTTGTTGTTGTTGTTGTTGATGATTATTTTTTTTTTAAATTTTTAATACAGAATCTGCTACATAGGTAAAACCTTCAAAACTGTTATCTTTACTTATGGCATCAGCAAGAGTGGTACCTTCAACAACACTGTCCATTGGTCTTTCTTGAGTAAATACAGGATCAATTTGAGAGGTATCAGTTCCAGACTTTACCTTTGGCTTAAAGTGAACCTCTATCTCCTTTCTGTCAAGCATGTCCCAGTCGATATTCTTGAACCATGGATGATTTTTAACCTCTGGACCACCCTTGCTACCAAGACGTCTGTCGACATCTCTAGTCAACAGGCCTTCCAACAATGATTTTGCCTCTGGTGAAATGTAGGATGGAATTTTGAGTTCACCATTCAAAATTTTTTGATACATCATGCTAACGTTTTGCGAGTAAAATGGTGGAAGACCAGTGAGCATTTCAAAGAGAAGAGTACCCAAACTCCACCAATCGACAGCACAACCGTGACCGTGACCATTGAGTACCTCTGGTGCGAGATATTCTGGTGTACCACAAAATGTAAAGGTACCATCTGTTGTTTCAATCTTTTTTGACAATCCAAAATCAGTGATACAAATGTGTCCATCAGAATCGAGAAGGATATTCTCTGGCTTGAGATCACGATAGACAATATCTTGTTGATGCAAATGTGCCAATGCAGATACAATTTCAGCTGCATACAACTTTACTCTTGGCTCTGAGAATCTACCTTCTCTCTTGAGATGATAGAATAACTCTCCACCATTTACAAAATCTAAAATCATATAAAGTTTATCTCTTGTCTAGAAAAGAAAATATTATTAATAATTTATACTCTAGTCTATTTTTTTTTGCTAGCCTACTATACATACTTGGAAAGCAAAATGAAGATTAACAATGAATGGATGAGAGACACCTTGAAGAATTGTCTTTTCCGATTTTGTGTGATTGACTTGTTTACGAGCTATGATGGCATCCTTTCTGAGTACCTTCATGGCATAGATTTTTCCGTCGTCTTTTTTCTTTACTTGCATCACCTTTCCAAAACTACCCTTTCCAATGACCGAAAGAAGATCAAAGTCATCTTTTGTAACTGTTTGTTTGTTCTTTGAAAAGATTGTCTCCTCGGGACCTTCGTCACCGTCGTCGTTGTTACCTAATCCACCTCCACTGTTGCTGCTACCAATCGATGGTGAATCATGTCCAGATGCCTCTGTTGCTCCATTTTCCTTGTTGATACCTTCTGCAGCAGTGATACTAAGTGATTGCTTTTGTGAGGCAGAAGATGGTGAAAGGGTTGGTGAACCTGGATTACTAGTTACACTTGTTGACTTTTCACTACCATTAGTGTTGTTGTTGGTTTGTTGGTCTGTATTTTGTTGTTGTGAAGCAGCTGTTGTTGTAACTGGCTCCTGAGTTGTTGTTGTTGAAGTGGTATTGGTGGTGTTGGTCTTATTATCTACAGTTGGTTGTACAGAAGAATCTTGTTTTACTCCATTTACACTTTGACGTTTCTTGTCCTTTTTAGAAGAAGATTTACCTCCACCGTTCGAGGTACTATTACTTCTCTTTTCTTTACTATGACCTTTTCCCATGACTTGTTGTTGTTGTTGTTGGCTATTCTATTTCTATTCTTTCTTCTTGTTATTCTAATAGGTTGTGTTATAATGTGGTTAATGATCAATTATCGTCCGTGCGAGATGGTGAATAAAACAACAATGAAATATTGTTGCTACTTAATTTATAATACAATTTAATAATAATAATAATGATATGATAGGGTGCTTTTGTTGTTTGATTATCACAATAGCTATTGGGAAAATTTTGAATGGCACGATACTCTCTCCCAACCGCTTTTGCTTCGTATGAAAAAAAAAATAAAAAAAAAGGTGTTTGAAAAAAAAAAGAGGTTGTTGCAAGCTTTTTTAACCAAAAATTAATATTATTATTATTAGCTAATAATAAAGAAAAGGACAACAACACCAATAAACTTTATCACAACCCCCATTACCCCTACACACCACCATTAAAAAAAAAAAAAGAGGTTGTTGCAAACTGGAGTAATCATTCTCATTATTACTGTCATAATTTTAATTTGAAAAGTGTTTTATTATTATCTATACTCTCTCTCTCTCTCTATATATATATATATATATTAGATAGATTGACAACAAAAGAAAGAAAGAGCAATGATTCAACAAGAAGAAAACAAAGCTTCAACTAATATTATTTTAACATCACCATCATCAAATGTGTCTACACCAACTGTTGATTTGATAACCTCACCGCCACCTACTATTTCATCATTGTCATCAGAGTCATTGTCTTCAAACAACAACAACAACAACAACAACAACAACAACAACAACAACAACAACAACAACAACCTCAACAATCGACCAGTAACCACCAAAGATGTAGATGAATTTAGAAATTATCAAGACGGCACTCTTATCGATCAAGTGTCTCGTGCCTATTTCAACAGTCACACCAAACAAACCTATGACTATGCATCTAAAATGCTCAGCCGATTCGAACAATTGAATTCATCTATTCGTTTGTCAGTGTGGGATGCTGCCGAGCTACTCAACACCATTATTGATGAATCCGATCCCGACTCTAATATTCCACAAATCAACCACCTTTTACAAACGGCAGAAACTATCAGAAAGGCATACCCTGATCCAAAATATGATTGGTTCCATCTCACTGGTTTTATACATGACTTGGGCAAAATACTACTTTCCAAGCATTTTAATGAACCTCAATGGGCGGTCGTTGGAGACACTTTTCCACTTGGTTGTAAATTTGAGGGTATATTAAAAAAATATTAATATTCTTTTTTTTTTTTCCTTAATATATTTTTGTTTTGTCTACTTTCTTTTGTTCATTGTTGATAAATTTAGATTAACAACCAATTACCCTTTTTTCTATTTTCTATTTCCTTCTTTAGAAACCAATATATTTTATCAATTTTTCAAGGATAATCCAGATTCTAATGATCCAAAATACAATAGTGAATTGGGAATATATCAACGAAATTGTGGATTGGATAATGTGGTAATGTCATGGGGGCATGATGAGTATTTGTACCAAGTGTGTGTAGGCAATCAATGTTTACTACCAGATGAAGCTTTATATATTATTAGATATCATTCATTCTATCCATGGCACAAACAAGGTGGTTACAAACATTTAACAAATGAAAAGGATGAACAAATGTTAAAATGGGTAAAAGAGTTTAATTTGGTGAGTATAGACTTTGCATTATGATTGATAATACATAAATCAAATATATACACTTTTCTGACCAAAAAAAATCCAATTTAAATCCAACAACAACAACTATATATAGTTTGATCTTTATTCCAAAGACTCTGAACCAGTCAACGTTGAATCACTTAAACCATACTATCAGTCATTAATCGATAAATATTTCCCAATCAACACTTTAAATTGGTAATCTCAATCACACACACACAACACATATGTTTATTATTTATTTCTATTTATCTAAATTTAAAAGAGAGACAAAACAAATAAAATAAAAAATCAATCTTGCGAGATTCAAAGATCTGCGTTCAAAGTAATAGCGATCACTAATCTGAAACCAAAGATTGAAGGAAAGTGTCGCAGCTTGGTGGTTTCTCAAAAAACAAAAAAAAATTAAATAATTAATAATATTTCATGTTTGGAACAACACAAACAATTCATTACCGCTACTACTATAATAATTTGAACCTACTATAATAATTATTATTATTATTTCACAAAAAGACAATCTAAAAATATATATATAAAACAACTTTACAGCCCTCCTACAGTTTCAGTTTAGCTTCTCAATAATAACTGTTTTATCATCCATCAACAACAAAGTAAATTAAAATGGTTGCTATTATTGAATTGGTAGACAAGGCAACATCTGAATATTTGATTCAGATGGATTGGACAACTGCATTACAGATATGTGATACTCTTAATAATGACCCTACGCAGTAAGATATATATAGATATATTTATATATATATATAGACAATCAATCAAGTTAAACATTCACTAACTATTGAACCATACCATCAAATTATTATTATTATTATTATTAGTGCTAGAGGTGTAGTCAAAGCAGTGTTGAAAAGATTCAAGGAGAAATCAAGAGTTATTCTTTTAGCTTTAGAGGTAACGTCTAGTCATATTAACAACAACCAACCTATCATATGAATACTAATATGTTGCTTGTTTTTTTTTTAGCTATCAGAATGTTTAGTTCAAAACTCTGAATGTACTCATATTTATTTTGGGGAAAGAACATTTACAACCGAAATGGCAAGATTGATTATGAGTAAAAAGGTAATATTTAATAATCCTCTTCTTCTTCTTCTTCTTCTTCTTCCTCTTCTTCCTCTTTTTTATATCTTAATATTTATTTATTTATTTTCTTTTTTAATTAGACAAAAGAAAATGTTAAAGATAAAGCTTTAGAGTTGGTAGAGGCATGGGGTCAAGGATTTCAATATAGATCAGATATACCAGGTTTTTACGAATCCTATTCTTTTATCAAGAGATCAGGATACAAATTCCCTCCTGTTAAACATAATTTAGATTTTAATAGAAGAAATAACTCTGCTGCCACCACTACCACCAGACCACAATCACAACAGCTACCACAACCAACTAGAAGTCATGGTGGTGGTTTTTCATCAACTACCAGAGCTCCAGTATCTGGTCACCATGCTCCAACCACCTCTGCCCCACCACCAACCAGTGGCAATGTAAGCAATCAAGAAATATCATCCATCAAAGGAAGTTTATCAGTCTTTGAAGAGATGCTTTCATTTTTCAATGTAGAAGAGGAAGACCCATCTGAAAATGCCCTACTACAAGAGTTGTTGGCAATGACAAAGGAAAACCAAAAAAAGGTCAAAGAGTTGATTGAGAATGGATCGACCCCAGAAAAAGATTTGGTGGCCTATTTGGCTTTAAATGATTCTTTGCTCAGAGCCGCCGGTGAATACGATGATCGAGTATCAAGAAGAAGAAAATTCGTAGAGAATGGATACAAACCAATAGCATTGCCACCAAAGCAATCAAGTATATTAAATGATCTACAAGATTTGGATTTCACTGTACAAACTATTCAACCAAGAAATCAAAATCAACAACAACAACAACAATACATGCTAAATCAACAACAGGTTCCAACAGGTAATCTACAACTTCAACCATATCAACCACAACCTCAACAACAACAACAGCAACCTTTACAGCCGTTGCAGCCACAACAACAACAACAACAACAACAACAAAACTATCGTCACTCTTATAATCCTTTTCAACCACAACAACAACAACAACAACAACCACCACAACCTCTGCAACGACCACAACAACAACAACAACAATCACCATCGGCTCCAATTGACGAGTTTGATCTTTTCTTGGCAAACAGACAAAAACAGTTGTCACCCCAACAACAACAAACTCCATTACAGCCACAACAACAATATCAAAACTTCACATCTCTTCCACAAACCGCAAAATCAAATCCATTTGCACAACCACCTCAACAACAACAACAACAACAACAACAACAACCATCGGCACCATTAGTATTGTCTCCTTTAACTGCTCAATCTACACCACAACCAAAGTCCAATCCATTCAGTCCATCCTATCCAAATTATAATATTGGAATGAACAATGGTATGGGTAATGGTATGAACAATGGTATGAGTAATGGAATGAACAATGGAATGAGCAATGGAATGAATAATAGCAATTTTTCTACTCCTCTTCAACCACAACAACAACCACAAGGAAATCCATTTGCGTCATTGCAATATCAACAACCACAATTCCATGGTTCTTATGGTATGAATAGTAATGGAATGAATAGTAATGGAATGAATAATGGTATGAATAATAGTATGAATAATGGAATGAATAATGGTAATATGTTTGGTGGATCACCTTATGGACAAACAAGCCCATATTCCAACTTTACACAATATAACCAAACTCTTCAACCCCAAAGAGTCAATGGTACTCAAATGAATAATAATTTAATATGATTAAAAAATAAATATAATCAAATTTGTAAAATATTTTGTAGAAAAATAAATATTTAGTGACAATACAATTGGTCACTAAACTGATAAATTGTAGTTTTGCTTCATTTATTGGTACATTAACCTAATTCGGTTGGTATTTGTTGAGATTGTCTTTTGGCAGCATTATTGGCTTGTCCTTGCATTCTAAGCTTTTGGAAATTAAGGTACTCATTGGTTACGATTACTTTACTTTCTTTTCTCTTTTGTTGGATTTTGTTCATTGGGAATGAACCCAATTTGTTAAATGATACATCGATAAGTGTGTCTGCGTCATAGGCATGTGAAGGTATTTTCTAATAAATAAATAAGAGGATAGGATATAAGTTTGATGTGATTTGTTTTCTTTTCTTTTTTTTAACATACTCGAATTAGATTATATAAAGTATTATAGTCAAGACAAGTTAAAAGTTTTTCTTCGTTCATCTTAAAGAGAGCAATTGCGATTCTAAATAAAACCTTTGACCCCTCACTAAAGAATACATCCCAAATACGGAATGTAGTTTCAGTAGGGGTGGCAGTTGCCATTAAACAAAGGAACCATTTTGATATGATCAATGGAAGCGATAGGTTGTGTTTGGAAAAGTGTTTGTGAAGTCTTGGCAATTTCTTGAGTAAAAGTTCGTCAAAAACGAATCTTACATCGACACTTAGATCGATCATTGTACTCGAAAAATACTCTGGTGGTAAAATATCCTCTATAATAGAAACCAATGTCCAATATGCTTCATGTTCACTCATAAATATTAATAAGAATCCAGCTATAAAATTCATACATTGACAATATCCCAATTTTGCTAAAAACAACAATAAATAAAAAGAATGGAATATATTAATAAAAGAAGACTAGTAGTATCTTTTTTAAAAATGAGACATACGATTTCTCCAAGAATAGGCAACTAAAACATTTGATAATTTTTCCATGTGTTCTTGAGTATTTAAATATTTATGATCTGGGAATGTTCTGTCAATGTCCATAGCGATTTGTTTGGTTGCTATCGACGTTTTATCTTTGTATTGCTCCAATATGTTATAGTATTCATCGGGATATTTTGAGAGACGACTATAACCACCAGAACATCTAAGCCATACAATGGCTCTAAAGTCTGAGGGAACTCCTTTTCTAATCATATGTTTAAATGGTGATGGTGACTCTTTTAATCTTTGTGATTGGTACAACAATGATATAAATGTATGATTATTGGATGAAGATGTTGTATATGTTTGATTGATTTCATTATTATTATTATTATTATTAGTAGTATTAATATTAATATTATTATTATATTGATTATTATTTTGATTATTATTATTATTATTATTATTAGTAGGTAATGATAAATCTTGGAATGCAGTTGGTGAAGATTCGATATGTTCCAACCATAAACCTTTTCTTTGAGATTCTAAAAGTGAGAATTTATCCTTGAAAATGATATGTGTTTGTACAAGTTCTTGGTCAATGAGGAATCCATAATTGTCGTATAGAATCAATCCAGTGTGAGGTTCATTAAAGTTTACTTGAATAATAAAGTCCTCCTTTTGTTCCAACTCCTCCTCCTCCTCCTCTTTCTCTAGTCTTTCCTCTTCTAGTCCTTCCTCTTCCTCCTCCACCTTCTTTTCTTGATTTACATCCAGTGGTATGTCTTGACCGTCGTTGCCATTGTTATTCTTTTCTCGTTCTTTTTCCTCGTCTTCTTCGTCGTTTGTCTCTGAGATTGTAAGAAATTCAATGCTCATTCTAGTTGGTCGCGTAGTAGGGTGTTGAGGAGTTTGCCCAGAGTTTGAAATGATCATTGGAGTTCTATTGTGTATGATTACTTTTTCACTCAATACATAATGTTGTTGTTGTTGTTGTTGTTGTTGTTTATGTTTGCTATCAAATAATACAATCTCTTCATCGTCATCGTCTAGTGCTGTTGCTGTTTTGATACTACTACTAGTATCAATGTTTCTATCTTCCATATGATTATTATTATTATAATTACTACCAATGTCGTCGTTGTTTTGTGTATCTTTTGTATATATTGTTGTACTATTGTTGTTGTTGCTATGTCGGTGGTGCAAATGACCAGTAATATCTTTGTTGTAGGTCTCAACGACAATTTCAGTTAGAGCACTGTTTTTTCTTGCAATTCGATCAAACACTGCTGGTGGCTCCATTATCTATCTCTCTCTCTCTCTCTAGATTTGTTCAAATGTCAACAAAAGTTATGTTTAATTTGACAATGATTATGATGACGACGATGATGTGGCAATAATAGATAAAGAAAGAGTAAATAAATCTATTTAACTTGAAGGTCAAAAATATTAAAGAAAAAAAAAAGTGATATGCAACTCGGGTGAGTAGATTTCTAGTAGAGTAGAAGTAGTAAGGGTGTGGTGGAATGTTTTGGTGGTGTGTTGTTAATTTATTCAATGAGCTTTTATTAAATCTGCAAGAACACCCCATGAAGTTGGTGGTAATAATAGTAATTGGGTTTTGTCTCTCATTTTGAAATTGTGTTATGGGAATCAAAGTATCTTAATTTTTTGTGTGTTGTATCTTGAACACATTAAATGTTTTCATCAGCAGCAACATTACAATTAATTAATTTAATTTAAAGCCTAAAAACCATCATCATGGTCAATAATATACTATCAACAAAGAAACAGACACTAAAAGGTCCTGTAACTAAATGGGAAAGAAAATGGGTGTCTGTAGGTCATCTAAAGTTATTAAAATGGATTGCATGTATGTAGGAGGTAGAAGTAGTATAGTAATCAGCAGCTAGCTTATTGATATTAGGATTATTATACTAATCTAAATATGTCATTACAACATCTATCTATCTATCTATTTATCTATCTATCTATCTATCTATCTATCTATCTATCTATCTATCTATCTATCTATCTATCTATCTATCTATCTATCTATCTATCTATCTATCTATTAGTGAAAAAGAAACCAAATACACAATCACAAGGAAGATCAAAGGATGGATCAAGACTGACATCTAATACCGATAGATCATCAAGACCAAAGAGAGGTTCAACATCTACAACTACAGGTGCATCTGATGTATGTATCACTACTACTACTACTACTACTACTACTACTACTACTACTACTACTACTACTACTAATACTACTACAACGATGGTCATATTCATAATCATTATTATTATTATTATCAACATCGCTAACTATCATTATCATTTGGTCATAGAAGCCTGGAAACCAAATTGAAACAGAGATTGAAATGTTATATTTATTACCAAAGACAAGAAGAACTGCAAAGAAAATAGATACTCTAAAGAAACAACAGGCAGCTCAACAGCAAGCAGCTCAACAACAACAAGCGGCACAACAACAACAACAACAACAACAAGCAGCTCAACAACAACAACAACAACAACAGCAACAAAAAGAAGAAACTTCAACCACAAGTACTACATCTACGCCAAGCAGCAGCGCAATTGAAAAACCGGTACTCAAGAAAAAGATTACATTTAATAATAGTAAATCAACAGCATCCTCTCAATCATCGCCACTCTCACCACCTCCTCCTACATCAACAATTTCCACATCATCGTTTGGTAGTACTACACCAAGCGATCAAATATCTACAACAAACAACAACAGCAGCAGCAGCAACAGCAATACTAGTATTTCCTCATTTGAACAACAAAAGATGGTCGATGACGATGAAAAGATGAATACCTCTAGAAATGACGAAGATGAAGAACAAATTGATAATGATGACAATGATGAACAAGATTATGAAGACGATGCATAATAATAATAATAAAATGGATTCAACCAAAATGATGATGTAAAAATATAATAATGGGGAAATAGATAATTAATTAAAAGAATTTAATTGACTGTGAATATGTTCTATCTCTGTTGAGGAAATCAAAAGATTTTGAAATCTTTGATAATTGTGGGAATTCGACCATTGTTCTAAAATCCAAGTCTCTCCATAGAATGTCTTTACCGGTGTGGAAATTTCTTAATCTCATTCTCCACTCTTGAATCTCTTGTTTTCTTTGATTCTTTTCTTTGTTTCGTGAGGGATAACTACCAATTACATAATGAATAATACTTTCCAATCCCAATGTTGAATCTTCTTCAGTTTCCTATATATATATAAATAAAATAAAAATAATTAATTAATATTGCTTTGAAAAAATGATCGATTTTTTTGTTTTAAATGTTAAATAAACATACCCATGCCAAATAAAGAGTATGGAAAAATAGTTCAGTTGAAATTACAGCCTCTGGATAAGCTCTATTCAAAAGAACATAGGCAAGTGTTAGAATATACTTGTCAAATTCGGGTGCTCTTTTGAAAAATTCTTTATGTGTCTCTATCATTCTAAGGAACTCTTGTACTCTTGGGTCAGATTCTTTCTTTTTGTGTGTAAAGAATGTTAATTTCTTGATTAAATGTCTAATCATCTTGTTTTGAGATTGTTTGGAATATTGTGAATCATTATTATTATTATTATTATTATTATTTTTTGTTAAATTATTATTCTTGTTATTGTTTGTATTAATATAATTATTATTTTTGTTATTATTATTATTAGTGGTAGTATTATTTTTAATATTTTCAATGTTATTATTTTCGCTATTATTTTTAGAAGAGTCTAAAAAGTATACCTCGGTGGCACCTTCTTGTTGTTGATTTTGGCTGCATGATATATCAGTGATTGGTTTCTTTGATTTCTCAACTTGAGAAATCGAGGATCTTAATATTCCAACTTTTTCCAAAGAGTTGGAAGAAGATGATGGAATATGATGATGACATTTGATTTCATCACTTCCATTGTTATTAATTTTTTTAGTTGATCCTATACTAATGGTGTTTGATCTTTTTCTCCTGGTAAGAAACATTTTCTAATTTTAAAAAAAATATTGGATTAAAATAAATAATATTAATAATAATAATTTTAAAGAGGGTGAGAGGTATGGGTGGAATAGGTTAGGTGATAAGATTAGATAATAAATAATATTTGTTAGTTTTTGAAATAAAAATATGTTTTTGAAATAAATATAAATGGTAATAATGAAAATGAAAAATAGCAATGATTTAAAATAAACAAGAAGAATAGACAGGTATTATACATTTTCGAAAGAAGTTTAGTCCTTAATAATGTCTCATCATCGTTTTGAAACGTGATCCAACCATTGCCAAGTAACCTGCTCCAACTATGTCAATCCTTCCGTATTGTTGTACAACAACAACAACAACAACAACTGCAGCGTTAAATGGAAGATGTTGCCGACCAATCGAGATAATATGCAATAGTGTCAATGTTTAATTGCAAAATATGGATAAAGTGATTTGTTTAAAGATTGTGATATTTTTATCACACCGGATGACAATTAAAAGAGAGTTGTTGATTATTAATTATTATTAATAATATTTGAACAAAAGTGAGAGGAGATGGAAAGATGATGAAAAATGAAAAAATGTGAAAAACAATCCATATTGTTGGTTGTATTGCGTATGGATGAGGAATGATAAATAATATCAACAACAACAACCAAGCAAGCAGTACAGAGAGTATAGAAACGAGAAACACTCGGCCAACAAAAAAACAAGAACCCTTATATTATCTAATCACACACACACACAACACATATACACACTTTCAGCAGCAGTACCACATAGACTTTAAATTTGATGTCATTAGAAAAAAAATATCAACGAGCAAGAGGGAAATGGGGGGGTAGGGTGGAATGATTTCCAGCCAACAAGAAGCAATAAATGTAACAGAAAATGGTGGATGTAATGATAATGATGAATGAATGAATGTGTTGTTTGGAAAAAGGTGGGTAAAGAAATAAAGAATGGTTGTGGTGATGGTGGTGGGAAATGAGATAATAGTAGTTGATTTACTTACATTAAAGTTAACTTTTTTTTGTTTAATTCTTAATATACAAATAATATATAAATATATTTAGAAATGTAATTATATATATATATAAATAAATATAAAGGTGTTATTGAATGATTTAAATAGTAATAGGGATGGGAATAACAATGATGAGTGGGTGGTGGGGGTGATGATGATTGTGATGATTAGGATGATATAGATGAATTTGGCGATAGAGAAAAGGAGGTGGATAGAAATTATGATGGTGATGATGAAGATGAGGATGACAGTGGGGGAGGGTGTGACGAGTGAGTTGATGATGGGTAAAATATTAGTTTAATGTGTGTGTGAAGTTGAAGAAATAATTATTTCTTTAAAAGGATACAATGTCCTATTTTACAATTTCCTAATAATAATAATAATATTGTTGGATATTACTTGTTTCTATTTCAAACTTTTTTTTAGTTTTTTTATCCTATTAATTCCAACCTTTTTAATCATCAAAAGTATTGCAATAGCTACAATACCAATGTCTTTTTGAAATTCAAATAAACGACCAGTGCAACTTGAATACTGCAGATACTAGTCTTTATCATTCGAATTCCGAAATGTAGACAACGATGATTATTTAAATTTATAGGATTTGGAATAATTGGTAGAAGTGTTATAATAGAGTTGAAAAGGAAATTGTCAAAGAATATTTATATAAAGTGGTGATGATGGTGAATAATAATTTACAACAACAACAAAGATAATAATAATAATTATTAATATTATTAAAAGGAATAGAATAGAATTGAATTGAAAAATATGAAACAGCCAACAACAATTAAAGAGAGAGTGTAAGCAAGGAAGAAAAGAGTCTAACCAGAAAGGTTTTCTGAAAGGGGGAGGGTAAAGATGAATAGAGCATAAAATATGAATCGTTTATTCCTTGGTAAAGATATTACATTTTATTCTCATTCTACTTTTAATTCATTGCATTGTACGTATATCTCTAAAATTGGAAAAATGATAAACATACAAAACATGTCCAAAAAAAAAAGTAAACACACACCACTCTTCAAAAAGTGCACTTATCTTTTGTTTTAGTATCTACGTAGAATGAACTATTTTGTAACAAAATCTAATTTTGATAGTTTATATCCTCTATTTGATCAATATCTATCAAGTGCTTCCTTTATATCAATTGACTCTGAGTTCTCTGGCCTAGCATCTCAAAGAATACTTAGAATATCGTATGATGATTTATTCTCCTCTTCCTCCTCTTTTGTATCACAAATATATCATACTGAACCATTAAATAGCTAATCTTTTCTTTTTTTTGTCACAGAAACATTCAAGATAGATATCATTTCCTTTCAAAAGAGATAAAGTCTAGATCACTATTAGAATTTGGTGTATCTATTTTCACAAAAGTAAATGTAGAAATCCAAAAAACAACCTCCTCCTCCTCTACTTGTTCAACATCTTTGCCAATATCTAGTACAGATATTAAACCACCTCTACAAGAAAAGAATCATTCACCAGAAACAATCATCCAAAACAACAATAATGTTAAAAGAAAGTATGGTGAGTTCCAATCAGAGGGAGAAGAAGAAGAAGATATAGGATCATTGGTTGTAGAAGAAAATAATGCTCCCAATTCAATAGATACCAATGGAGCAGCTGATACTAAAAAAGAAGAACAAGGAAAACTACCAACTACAAAATCATTGGTAAACGAATACAATGTAGTCATGTTTACCTTTTTAATGCTAAACACACAAGATTTTACAATCTCTCCACGTAGCTTATCGTTTCTTGCTCAACATGGACTCGATTTTAATAGACTCTTTTTGGATGGCATTCAATTTACCCCATTTTCTTCAAAGATGACAACTGCTCCTGCTGTTGCTGTCAATACCTCCCCAAACAATAATAACAAAAAAAAACAAAACAAAAATACCAACAACAACAACAACAACAACAATATAAAACCAAATAATAATCATATTGAAAACACAATGACAGATCAACAAAATAAGATTATTTCCTCGCTCACAAAGTATAGTCCAACATTGGTTGTTCATAATGGATTATTCGACCTTTTGTTTATATACCAAAGTTTTATTGGAGATTTACCCGAACAACTTGCTAGTTTTATCTCTCAATTTTTGATAACCTTTCCAAAGATGTTTGTATTTATGTTTGGATCAAAAAAAATAGTTTATATTAACCTATTTTTTAAAAGCTATGACACCAAATATATAGCAGAATATCAATTTGGAGAAAGCAGAAGTTACCTGGAATATTTATTTTCAAAATAGTTTGTATCACTCTCAAAAATCAATCGATTCATCCTAACGTATCCCTTTTTTATATAGTGAAAGAATAAACTATAAAAGACTAAAAGATACCCAAAGCTTTGTCAAGTGTGTAAAGGTTGAAATTAACAACAACAACAACAACAACAACAGTGTGTCACCAAGTTCTCATAGTTTAAATCAATTATCATTTTCATACTCAAAACCATATGTTGGAACCCCAATTTGTGAAAATTATAGTGTAAGAGGAATCAAAATAGCTACAAAAAACTGGAAGCTTTGACTAACAAAACACTTTTTTAGAATCATGGATTTTGTAAATATGGTGACTCTTGTTCCATGTCACATAACGTCAATTTAATATTAGATCAAGAGGAAAGCAAAACAAATAATGTAAAAAAGATGAAGCATCAACACACAATTGATAATCAAGAAGAAAAGGAACAACAAGATGAAAACACAGCAGAAGAAATCATTGACTCTAAGAACAGTCATTGTGCAGGTGACGACAGTGCCATGACAGGCTTTATTTTTTGTTATTACCTTTTATTTTATAACAATGAACATTCAAAACACAAACTATCAGAGATTGAGAATAAAGTTTACATTAGCGGTAAACAAATTCCACTTGTCATGAAGAAATCAAACTATGCATAGAATCATAAATAAAATAAATATTAGGAAATAATAATTGAATATTAATTTATTATTATTATATATTTGTTGTTTTTTTAAAAAATGATTATTTATTACAAAAAAAGTATAGAAATCTAGATATGATATTTGTGTTTTTAAAAAGGTTGTTTACAAGTGTCCACATGAACTTAAAATATGTTTTGATAATTCTTGTAGATATTGGTGTGGAACAGATTGGATGGTTTTTAGTATTTCTACTGGAAGCGAATTACAAATGATTTGTCTACTTGAATCTAAAGATTTTAAATGAAAATAGATATAAGTACTTCGATCAAACTATTTGGTCTTTTTTTTTTTTTGACTTACCAAAATAAATTAATTCATCGATGGTTTTTAGTGCATAAAAGATTAAATTTTCACTAGATGCGGTACTAAGGATGGCAAAAAGGCATTGAATAACTCCAGTGGATGACAGTTGTTCAGCATACTTGTCTTGATTGAGATGTCTATTGATAATCATGGCAGCATAAAGTTGAATTGGTTCGTTTGGTAGAGACAAGTATTGACCAAGGATGTTGAAACAATTGGTTCGTTTGATAAACAAGTTGAAATTGTCTGCAGAAAAGAGCATATTGTACAAAGCAGTGAGTACATTCAAAGTAACTGAAGGGGTAAATGGATTTCCACCACTGCTATTTGTAGTAAACATATCCAATATTTTCTCCATTCCTCCCAAACTATTAATTTCTAATCTATTCAAACCAGATAAAGATAAATTAGAGATAATTCTAAGGGATGTCGAAATTTGATCTTCAATCTTGGAGTCCAAGAAACGAAGGATGGTTTTGACCAATTTTGAATTTCTAATTTCGTTCATTCCTCTATCAGAGAATGAAAAGGTATGAATAAGATTTAAGCTTATCTTGTTGATCTCTTCCTTGTCCTCAATTGATTCGATCTTTATCTTTTTGTAAGCATCGGATTTTTCTTTTCCATTTGAAACTTGATTGATTGTTGGTGTAAGGTCCAACAATGAAATGTTATTTGAAAGATCGAGTGAAACCAAGACTTCGGGTGGTGGTGACAACAAATGAACCAAGTGATTCAAACATCCACAATCCAATAATATCTTTCTTGGTTCGGCCATATACGAGATATAAATAATGACAGACAAAACTTTAAAAATGGCTAATAGTTGATCTGATTGTTCACCAGAGTTGTTGTTGTTGTTGTCGGTCTGCTCCAACAATGATAATAATTTTTGGATTGTAGTTGTTTGAAGATAATTTACAAAATCCTTGTCCTCTGATAGAATTTGTAACAGATCCAAAAGTTGTAAACGAATTTTTAGATTTTGGGATCTTGTAAGCACAGAAAGAATCAAAGAGAGACTATCATTTTCTGATTTGGCTTCACCAACACAAGAAAGGATCACCGATCTAGATGACTCGTTGAACTTTGCCAAATTTGTTAGAACAACGGCAACAGACATTAGAGTATTTTCGTACGATGCCATTTGATCTGGTGATGAGGGTGGTTGAAGGGAAAGGATTGGAACTAATCCCACGATTCCACCTTGTTCGCATACAGACTTTGCAGTATTTGGATCAGAGGCTAGCACTGCAAGAGTTTTGCATGAAACTGCACAATATACATCCCTGTCTGAGAATAATAGATCCAAGAGCTGAATGATAAGTTTGTTGTCTACAATATTTGGACGGCATTGAGCATTGGATACAAGATTGAAAATAGTCTCGCAGGCATACAGTTTCGAGTCTATTCCAATATTGTTGGACAGGTACTCCTTTGATGCCAATATGTTGAGGAGAGGTGGCATTGCTCCAAATCCAACAATAGACTCACACAACTCATCCTCTAATGACAAACCAAGAATAGTGACCAAAGAGGAGCAAGCAACATTGATATTATCACTGGACAATGATTGAATCAATGCTGTAAGTCCACCTGCCTCAACGACACGTGCTCTACCTGGACCATCAACAACAATCGATGAGAGGGCATTTGCACTGGTAATCTGAGCGGCAGTGTTGCTTGAGGACAAGAGTGCAACTAAACCGGGAATACCTGCCTTTGAAGTAAATATCTCCCATATGTTGCCATTCATTGAAGATGAATCAAACAACATGGAGATGAGTTGAATGGCAAGTGATCTAACCACTTGTGACTTTGCATTGTTGACCAACTCTGATATGAGAGCGATTGCATTGGTCTCCAAGAGGTAGTTTCCACACTCTGGATTTTTGGAGAGTTCTATGAGAATGGATAAAGAGTCGGTTTGAATCGATTCGTTACGAGTGGTACTGACCAAGGTACTGAGTGGTAACAAGATACCAGAGGTAATTAGAGTCTCTCTGAGGTCAGAAGAACTAGAACGGGTGATTGTCTTTAAAATCTTTAAGGTGTACTCTTGAAGATAACTATTCTTGATTGAAAGTAGTGGAACCAAAGCCAAAATAATACCAGAATCTATAATCTTTCTAATGTGATCGTTCATACCCTCTTTGATTAATTGAGAGAGTATTAATACGCAATATACACGACTTTGCATCAAGAATCCATCCTTTTCCTGTTGATCCGAGTCATGGTTGTTGTTGTTGTTATTGCCACCACTAGTAGCAGTAAACAAATACTCGATAATGGATTGAACCAAATCAGTGCCAAGGATGAGCTGACGATATTGCTCCGATTGAGAAGCATATCCAGAGATGATTTCCAACAGGCATACCAATGATTTGGGATCATTGACATAGGTGTTAAAGGCGTTGATGAGCAAAGGAAGACAACCATATTTGTAGGCTTGGTCTCTATTGGCAGCATTGTCTTTACAAATCTCTGCCAAAGAATAAATGGCACATTTCTTTATATCAGCCGTTTGATTTGAGAGCATTTCAACGATTTGACGAATAGATGCTCCCTCTGAAATGACAAACTTGATCTCTGGAGAATGAATTGCCAATTTTTGAAGAAGTTTAAGGGCATTGGTCTTGATCAATGGATTGGAGCTAGAAAGAAGTGCCATAGAGTAGGTAAGTCCTCCTTCACTGAGCACTAAAATGGAACATGCTTCATTGTCACATAGATTACTGAGTGCTTCTGATGTAATTTGTTTGAGCGACTCATCAACCGATGGATTGAGTAAAGCGACCAATGCCTTTATACCTGCCCCACTATCGAAATGAACAAATTCTTGAACAATTGATGGTGAGTAGGATAGGTTGCCAATAAGTTTAACTGCATTGTATTGAACCTTTTTAAATTCTATACTCTTTTCATCTTGCTCTTGTGTTTGTTGTTGTTGCTGTTGTTGTAGTTGTTGTTGCAACAACTCCTCATCGTGGTATGGGATTGTTGGTGATATGGGTGGTGTTGTATTACTAGCAGAGGGTGTGGGTGGTGGAGTTGTAATAATATCAATTAAAACTGATAACCCTCCAACTTCAAATATACTTTGACAAACAGATTCTAAAAAATAAAAAAAAATGTTAGAAATAATAATTATAAATAAATAAATAAATAAATAAATAAATAAATAAATAAATAAATTACCATTATTAAAAGCAAGTTTTGATAGGATCTCAAGTGGAACAGCATGTTTTCTTCCTCTATCACAAATTAATGCCAATATTGTATCTATAATTCCAAAACTTTGAAGATTCTCTTTGTTTTGTTCTAAAGAGAAAATAAAAGTTAGGACATATTGAATTTCATATTAATATTATTATTATTTTCTATTTCTTACCATTTTGTGAAACAAAATATAGAACTGATAATGACAATGATTCAACATTTGAATTTCCTCTTGACAAGGATTGGCAAATATTTTTGATAAATTGTTCATTGCAAAGTTGTTTTTGAAGTTGTTGGTTATTAATCTCGAATTGTATGATTTGAGTCAACATTAATAATATTGTTTCTTGAAGTTGACTGTTACTTGCATATAATTGCATAATAATGTCAATTGCACCATCGACTCCAGCAATCGCAGATGAACATAATTCTAATAAATAAAAAGAAAGAAAAAAATCAATTAATAAATGAAAATTAACTGCTCAGCGCACAAAGACATTTGACTTACTTGTTTTACTAAGAGAAAATAGCAATTTAATTGAAATTGTATTAATTGAAGGGTGTAATTGCTTCATTAATAATTCAATCAAGAATAATATACCACCAAATTGATAAAACTTTTCAGCATTCTTTTTATCTATGAAAGAAAATTATTAGAAACTATAGTTATATATATATATCTCTCTCTTTTTCTTTTTCCTTTTTTCTCTCTTTTTCATACCATAAATTGATAATCTAGTTAATATCTTTAAGGTACTTTTGATATTATCACCATTATTTGATGAGATAATAGGAGTAATGACCTCAATGATATTTGACTGAGATATTAAACCCAACATTTCTTCGTCGTGAGCCAATACACGGAGAATACGAAGACATTCTAGTTGTGACTCCTTTGAAATAATCTCCAACAAGGCTACAATTTGACAAATATTTGCCTTGGTCACTACAGATGAAAATTTGTTCAAAATATTTGCATTTTCGATGGTTGCTACAGGTGTAGTTGGTGTTGTTTGTTGCTGTTGCTGTTGTTGTTGTTGCTGTTGTTTTTGTTGATGATTTTGTTTATCAATGTATGAAAGTATATTCTTGAGAATACGAGCACAATCAAAAACAACTGTACTATTTTCAGAGCACGACATTAAATCAAATAATACAGATATATGTTCAGGATCATTAATAGCTTTTACTAATTTATGGTCTAAAGAGAAAAATATAAAGAGTAAATAAACTGCTGGTGATATAGTTAATTCATCATATTTGTGATATCATTACCCTTTGAAATAAATGCCAATATTTGACAACAAATAGCAATACTGTCTCCCTTTAAATTCTCTTTTGATTTTCTGACAATATAATCTAAAAATGGTTTTAATCCTCCAACAAGTGCTGTTTCAATGACTTCATAGTTTGATTGATTGGAAAGTATAAAATCGTATATTTCCATTAATGCTTGATATTGCTCATTTGCATCATTATGAAAATCCAATATATAGGGAACCAATCTTGATACACATGTTTTGTTGTGATCTTTAAAAAAAAAAAAAATTAATATTGATCAATAATATTAATTTCTTCTTACTTACCATTGGTGTGGATATAACAATAAACACAAACTCTAACCGGATCATTATGATTAAATTGTGGGACAGCAATTCTCTTTAGACTACAAGCATCACAAAACTCTCTTTGACAACATCTACAATGATGCTATGAGAAAATAAAAGGAAAAAAAAAAGGTGTATTAGAATAGATTATTAGAGTTGTTGAAAATATTTATATTTACTCTTCTACGAATAACTGTAAATGGTAAATAACATTGGGAGCAGGCAGGAACTGTTTTTTCTAAATCCCAAAGAGGTGCCGACTGAGAAAACAATGAAGTGGTTCTTCTTTGACTTGGTAACTTTGCTTTAAATGATTGTTGGGGTTGTTGGGGTTGTTGTATCGTTTGTGTAGGTTGTCTTTGTGGTGGTACTATTTGTGGTTTTATTTGTGTTGTTGGTGATGATGCTACTACTGTTGACGAATGATGAGGAGGTGGTGATGGATATCCATATTCACTCATTGATGGATAATAACCACCACTGTTGTTGTTGTTGGATGTCACGACTGGTTTTTGTTGAATTGGAATTGATGCAGACGATGTTGGTGGTGGTGGAGGTTGTTGTTGTTGTTGTTGTTGTTGCTGAGCAGCTTGTTGTTGCAATTGAATACTAAAGTTTGGATGAATCCATGAAGTTCTCTTGTGAAGATGATCAATATAGTAGACTCTTCCCTGTGCGTCAGTAGATTCTTCCCAGCCATCTGGCAACATTGAAGAGGACAATGAAGACTTGCTGGTCGATAAATTTGATAGAGAAGGTGCAATGACAGGTGCTGGAGGTGGAGGTGGTTGTTGTTGTTGTTGTTCTGTCTGTGGCATATATACAGAGCCTGGTGGTGGAGTCCATGATTGTTGTTGTGTCATTGGATTTATATAAACAAATCTACCAATACTATCTGTTGCAATTTGCCATCCTGGTGGTGGTATTGGTGGATTAGAGTTGAGTTGACCCGTCGACGGATTCATACCAGTAGAACCTGTATTATTTGGATTATACATTTTGTTGTAGATAACAAGGTTGTTTATGTTCTTGCTTTACTACTACTATTCTTGTTTCTCTCTCTCTCTGTGATATGATGATATGTTATGATATGATGGGTATTGATATTATAGCTTTATTTTGTATGCGTTGTTGTTGTTGTTGTTGTTGTTGTTGTTGATTATTATTATTATTGTTGTTGTATGTTATTCAATGTGTTTGTTAACCTCAAAAATAGTGAAGAGAGAGTTTTCACACAACCATTTAATTAAATTGTTTTTTTTTTAATTAAATTTTCCTCAAACCCAGAGACAAAGAAAGATGCCTTGGTTCTTGAAGGGAAAACAAAGCAACTACGTTTAACAGCGTAAGCTTTTGGTTTTTATTATTTACATTTATTTTATTATTATTATTATTATTTAATCTTTCATTTTTTCATCACCATCATCATTTAAAGATTCAATTATTTCTTGGTCTTGTATTGTAGTTGTTGGTGGTGGCTTGGTTGTAGATGAATGATTTGGATGATCCACTATCCATTCTTTTAAAAAGTCAATAATTTCCTGATCCTCTGTCACTTGTATTGGAGTTTCGTCGTCTTTGTTCTTGAGATATAAAGGTGCACCAGCCTCGAGCAACATTGGGATGAGTTCACCATCTTCACACATGACAGCCAAATGTAAAGCAGTGTTTGAATCTATATCGACAGCAGCTACATCACAATTCTTTTTAATTAAATATTGTACCATCTCTACTTCACCTCTTCTGACTGCTTCGTGTAGAGGTGTAGATCCATAGTTATTCTCTGCGTTGATATTGGCACCTTTGCTCAATAACAACTCTGCCATGTTTATATGTCCCATACGAGCACAAAAGTGTAATGGTTGTAATCCTCCAAAATCACCTTCATCAAGAGCATGCTTTCCTGATTCAATCAACAAACTAACTCTCTCATAATCGTTATTAATAATTGCATCGTGTAATGCTGGTATACTCATTGTTTGCGTTATTGTTGTTTACTGTTGTTATTGTTATTGTTGTTGTTGTTGTTACTATTGGTTGTTGTTGTTGTTGTTGTTGTTTTGACTTTAATTGCTTTAGAGCCAATTCGATTCGTTTGATACAAAAACTTTGTTCAAAAAGACGAAAATCTTTGGATTATAGTTTAAGTCAATTATTTCGAATAATGATAATTTGCTATCAATTATTATTATTAATATTTATCATCTCATCCTTGCTTATAAACATCAAATTTCAAGAGAAGGTATTGTGTAGGTTGTTGTTGTGTATCTATGAAAACCGATTGACTACAACTAGTTGGTAAGAATTCTTGAGGCAGACATGCAATTATTTACGAAAATTAAAAACGAAAACTAAATTTAAAAATTTTTTTGTTCGGTTCTGTACGGAATGGCTCTCTCGCTGTGCGCACTCTCGATGCCCAAGTGATAACCATGCCAAGTGAGATAGGTTAGCGTTGCAAGTACACTCTGAGTAAAAAATGGTTAGCACCAAGAAGCAAGTCAGTATCAACTATTATATCATGGCATATCTATCTTCTCGACGCAACACACAACACAACAAACACAGCAACGACAGATAACAACATGTTGGAGAAAGAGAATAGATAGAATCAAAAGATAAAGAACGATAGAAAGAGAAAAGAGAATTAACATAGTTCCTCCCAACCTACTACTACACTCTACTACTCTCTACCCTTACATTTACGTAATACAGAAGAAGAATCAAGAAAACATTGCCTCCAAGTTGGCTCTTGTTATGAAGTCAGGCAAGTCTCAACTCGGTTACAAGGCCTCCCTCAGAACCTTGAGAGCCGGTAAGGCCAAGTTAGTCCTTATCTCTAACAATTGCCCAGCTCTCCGTCGTTCAGAGATTGAATACTACGCCATGTTGAGCAGAACCAACGTTCACCTCTACAACGGTAACAACATTGAACTCGGTACCTCATGCGGTAAGAAGTTCCGTACCTCCGTCTTGTCCATTACCCACGAAGGTGACTCTGATATCCTTGCTTCATTCGCCAAATAAATAAATTTTAATGTGTCTAAACCAACAACATTTTTAATCTATTTAAACTATAGACAATCACAATAATAATCACAACATTTTATTAATCAGCCATCATATCGATACATTCCATAGTAAATTTATGTCACATAGATTGATCTATAGATAGAGTGAATGTTTATTGTATTAACTGTTACTTATATATGAATGGTTAATATCCAAGTTTGCTTTTCAGGGTATCACTTGCAGATAATTGATTTTCTCCTAAAATAGTAAATAATTCAAAACAAAAGTAAGCAAGTAAGTTAATCACAACAACACTGATTCAGTCAAGTTAGTATACTTACTCTCAATAAGATCTACAACCTCATTTTCTTCATTTTCAAAAGTGGAGGCGACTTTGGTTGGTTGTCGAACTAGAAGGGGGTAGGTCCTGGATTCTTTGTTTCCATTTTCTACTTTGATTCTTTTCGGAGGGTCTTGTTTTGGTTGGTCAGTGTCCAAGTTGTTTGTGCCATCCTCTTTTCCATCATGATGATCTCTCTTTAATTGGTTCTTTTCCTCTTCTTGTTGAGGATGAGCTTGGAGATTTGTAGTAGTAGTAGTAGCGCTTGTTGTTGTTGTTGGTGGTAATGAACACAGTTTAGATTCTGGTCTTGATTGTATTTCTTTTTGTAGTGAGTTCATTTGGTTATCTACATCTATTATTTGTGATGTCAATTGTTGTTGAACTATTTTTGTCATTGACTGTTGATTATCATTCATAAATTTATCCAAAGAATCTTCTTCTTCTTCCTCTTTTTTTGTTTTGTTGTAGTTGGTTGTGATCCTTTTTGTGTTGTTGATTCTTTAAACATTTGAACCAAATCATTTTTTGTTTTACTCAATGATTCCATTTTAGTGACAAGTTGCGTATATAAAAGTTGTTTAAGATTTCCAGCAGCAGCAGTGTTGGTGGGCATTTTGTTTTGTTGGTTGGTTGATTTCTTCTTGTTTGTTCTATCATAGAAATCATCACTATCATCATAGTCATAATTATCTTTATCGTATTGTACTGCGCTATTACTTTGGTTAAAACCTTTGCCTTCTTCTTCATCTCCTTCCTCTTCTTTTGCATCGAATCTATCATCTGATCCCCAACCACTCTTTCTTGATGCAAGAATTTTTTGTCTATTTCCTTCTTCATTATCTGATGATGATGATGACGAGGAGGAATTATAATATTTAACAAAAGATTCTGTTTTTGATGATGATTGTTGTTTTTGTTTTTGTTGTTGTTGTTGTTTTTGTTTTAACAAAAGAGAATGATTAATTACAACAAATATTCTAGAAGATTCACCAAACTTTATGAAATCACCATCTTTAATGGCAAGATAATGGTTGGGGTTGCATTTCTTTTTGTTGATAAATGTACCATGAGTACTATTGAGATCATAGAGTAATAGTTGGTTGTCCTCTGGTCTATGTTGTATTACAGCATGTTGTCTACTAATACTAGGGTTATCCATTATGATGTCACATATTGGAAGTCTTCCAACAAGATGAAAAGCTTTATCATTGATATCGATATTGTCAATGATAGTACCACCTTTAATCTCTTCAAGTTGGAATAAATCACTACTAGGTGAATGTTCCTTTGGTGATTTGCTCCAAGATGGTTCTTTATATATTAATTCAACATTATTATTATTGTTATTATTAGGTGGTTGATGAGTAATAACAGTAGCAGTTGTTGTTGTTGTTGTCATCGTGAGAATTGAAGGAGTTGCAAATGTATGTTGAGACTTTTTATCACTTTGTATGGTGTTTGGGGCAATTTCTTTTACTACTTGTTTGTTGTTGTTGTTGTTGAGCAGACGAGTAGGAGGAGGTGCCATTGATAGTAGTTTGTCATTTTTGTTGGTGGTGGTTGTTGTTGTTGTTGTTGATTGAGGAGGAGGAGGAGAAGAAGGAGGATGAGGTAGTGGATCTATCGTATTATCTTTTGTTGTTTCTGTTATTGTTGATGTATTTGTTACTTGTAGGTGATCGTTCATGACAAAGGAGGGGAAATATATATAAGAATCAGAGTATATATCTAGAGATAGTCCAAACTAGTTTTGTTAACTTGAATTTTTTTTTTTTTAAACAAATTCGTCGATCTTCATCAATTCAATATTTAGTTTACTTACCCCATCCTCACTCAGAATAATAATAATAATAATCTAGAGTAATACTAGTAAAAATGAGTCAGACAAGCAATAACAAGCAGTCTTCTCATAAAAGACCATCAACATCATTGGATGAATCCTCTTCTATTAGTGCAGGTGGTAGCAGTACATCAACATCGAATGACTTTTTATGTTCATTGCGATATGACAACACATTACCAGACCTTTCTTTTGAACCAAAGTTTATGAAGATACAAACAGACTTTACCAAATTCACTAGTTATAGACCAACATCATTAGAGAGAAACTATAAACAACAACTATTGACAGATCCTCATATGGGTATTCCTATAGATTTAATTGATCTATCTCAATATGCTTCATTAAAATCAAATAACAACAATAATAATAATAATAATAGTAATAACAACAACAACAACAACAACAACAACAACAACAACAACAACAACAACAACAACAATGGAAATAGTAGCAACATTTCACAATTCCTAAAAGACGATCAAATGTTACTCCAATCAATCGATTCAATGTCATCTTCAATTGGAGGTTCTGGTGTTGACAATGATCAACATGCAGGTAATGGTAGCAGCAGTGGTGGTAATGGTAGCATGGGCGGAGTAAATGGAGATGCTATGATATTAGGAAAGTCATTGGAAGGAAGAAAAACAACAAGAGCATCAATAAGACCATCGGTGGCATGGTTAAGAAAGACAGAGTATCTTTCTACAAACGAGACATTATTGGGAAGACCAACAAAGCGTCAATCGGTTGGAAGTGGATCATCGTCGCCCAATGTAAATGGAAATCAATCATCAACAACTTCAGCAACAGCCACCGCAGCAGCAGAGACTGATGAAGAGATTGTTGAAAACACCTTTTACAACATTAAAAATGCTTCACAATTTGTTCATCCATCGGGTAGAACCGATATCAAACCAGTTAGCATATTGCCAGTATTCCCAGACTTTGAAATGTGGTCCAACAGTTACACAGAAGTTTCTTTTGATGCCGACCCATTGGATCTTCCACCAGCCTCACTCAAAGGACAAGATTTTAGCAACTACATTGCCAAACAACAACAAATCCGTAACAAGGGTATTATCAGAGGAATCACTGATAAATTTGTTTATTTCATTGCACCAAAGAACGAATTGGAAGAGAACAACAATAACAGAGAAAAAGATGAAACACCTGGCGATTACAAAATGTACAGAGTATTTACAAACGATATCTTTGTTCAAGAAAATAATGAAAACTACTTTATGATTGTAAAAGATGATGCCGTATATTATAATAGATTAAATACTAGAGTCAATCTAAAGAGAGTCAAATCAAGAGTATGTCAATGTTTTAAAACAAAAAAAAAGGAACCATGATTATTGATTTTTCTTTTTTTTTCAAATTACCTCTTATAGGACGATAAGATTTTAGAAAAGAGAACTATTGGAAGACCAGAATATGTAACTTATAATACAAGAGAATTGACAGAGGAAGAAAAAAGAGATAAAGCAATCAAGTTGACAAAATTATTGGAACAAGAAAAATCAGATCTTTTGATTTAAATCAATCCCATGTAGATATAATAATAGATAATAGATAATAAATAATAGATAATAGATAATCAATAATAATAATAATAAAAAAAAAAGGAAAACAAAAATAAATAATAAATTACTATTTAAATAGTACTATTTAAATATATCGAGTTTTAATGTTTCAATCTTATAGTTTTACATTATTATTATTATTGATTATTATTGATTATTATTATTATTATTATTATCTATTTTAGGTGGCCTCTAAGGATGATGTATAATCATCAACTAGAGTCTTTGAGTTTAAAAGTTTACGGGTGGTTTCGTACATTAAAAAGTTAATGGCAGATGTTGGGAATGCTCTGAAAAGAGTAGCAGTGAATCCTCGGTAAAAGGCAGATAAGCCCTCTTGTTTATAAATCATTTTGGCACAATCAATAATACCACCATATTTAAGTGGACTATTATTTGGTTGAGTTTGAATTCTTGTCTAAAATATATAAATAAATAATATTTTTTTTTAGTTTGGAAAATCAAAAGATTAATATATATATATATATTTATATATTTTGACGTACCTTTATAACATCCAATGGATAGATAGAGAACCAAAAACTCATACCAGCGCATCCACCAGCACAAATGGCGACCCATGGTGGTAGGTTTGTTGCAACACTCTTTATCTTTATGGTATTTTCGGCAGCAGTGCTTGGTTTGTCACCACCAGGCGTTCCTGTTGGTGATGATGATGATGTGAAACGATCGGAAAAAGTAATCAAATTTCTTTTTAATGCCTCATAGGTACAAAAATAAACCATATCGCCCAAAAAATCACGAACAAACGTTATTCTAATACCTTTGAATAGACCTTTCCAACCATCCTCTTTTACAATAGATTTTATACAATCAATTGGTCCATTATATATGATCCTTTGTTGATGTTGGTGTTGATGTTGATGTTGATGTTGATTATTAATGTGTTGTTGTTGTGTTTGTGAAGCTACATTTGAAGTTGCAGTTGTTGATGTTGTTGAGGCAGTAGTGACAGTTGCCATCAAGTTCATGTTTCTATTTTGTACTTGTAATTTAGATTTGATAAGGTCACGAGGAGTGATAAAGAATGATATTACACCTCCAGCAATACCACCAGCCATTGCAACTTTGTGATAGGGTATTAAAGTATTTGGATCTTGATGGAATAGTCTCTGACAATAGTTGTTGGTTGCAAAAAAGATTGAATTGATAACACTGACACTTGCCAATGGAACACTCAAACCTTTATATACACCTCTGATACCATCAATCTGAATGACATATCTAAGTGCTTGATAACCATTTTTAAACTTTGGTGTATTTCCAGTCGATTCTTGTTGAAGCATCACTTTTATCGTATCAAAGGGATGTCCAGTAAAAATAGATGACATTCCACCTACAGATCCTGCTACAAAATCTTTAGCTACTGGTGCCCATTTTTCTAAAAAAAAAAGAGTATATTAGTATTGATATTACTATAATTAATGGTATCATTAAAATTATATATATTTATAGATGTACCTCTGTCCATTTTGCTGTATTATTTCAGATTACTTTATTATTTATTATTACTATTACTATATTATGGTCTTATGTCTGCTTATTTTTAAAGTTGTTACTAGTATTTCTATTGTTGTTATTGTTTTGGTTGATAACGTCGTCGAGTAAATGGGTTGTTAAAAGTCCTATCATTAGGTTATTGGGTATCTAATAAGTGTGAATGTGCCTTTAAAGTTATATTAAAGATGAGAGATAGATAGAAAGATAGATAGAGAGAGAGAGAAAGAGAGATAGATAGATATAAATAGGAGAGATGTCTTGTTTTTGATAGTGATGTTGAAAAATCGTTGTCATCTGACACGAAGTCTCCAACACAACACAACAAGTTTTTTTTTTTTTTTTTTTTGATTTTTTTAAAACTTTAAAGTTTTATTTAATTATTTATTTTGTTGTTTTAAATGATGAGATAATTCATCCTTTAATAATTGATGAGCTTTTTGATCCTTTGACAAAAGACGAATTGCTTGGCTGAGTTCATCAATGATCATATCTCTTTGTTCAAATTCCATCTTTTTGTTAATGTCATTTGTGATGTTGGATGCCGATGTGTTGGAGAGTGTTGACTTTTCGAGATGCATCAATGCCTTTCTCCACATTTCTACGATACGACGTACAATAGCTTCATCACCTGTGCATAGATATTGACCTATAAGAAGAAGTGGAAATGTTGGAAGACTCTCCTTTTGGTTGGTTGCCCAAGCATCAAGATGTTTGATGTTTTCTTGAATTGTCTTTTCGTCGGCGTTTGTTGTTTTAGATTTCTCCAAATTAGAGACCACAATTCTTTTTTGAATCTTTTTAGCATTTTCATTGCCTACAAGAGATACGGCAAGAGTGATTAACATGCTTGGATCAAGATTACCAAGTACACTCTTCCAAGGTGTAGTAATATCTGGTTGTGACATGAGATGATCATACCATCCCTCTACCTTTTCTGGATAGAGTTTCATCATTTCTACCATGAATCCAACCATTGGAAGATAGTAGAATGATTGAATGGTTTGAATACGCGCTACTGTCTTTAGATCTTTGTTGTGTTTGATGTGTGACAACTGTGTTTTGATGTATGCTTGTGATTCTTTACCTAAAAGCAAAGTCATTGCATCTAAAAAGTATTCAATGTCTTGGTGTTGATAGAATGTTTGATACCATTCCATAGCATCTTCAAAGTTTGTCACTTTTTGTTTTGGGAATCTTTTCTTGCTCTTTGTCATTGCGTCATCTTGATCGTCTCTTTGTTGTTGTCCCCATCCAAACCATGATCCTATAGAGAATGATAATAATGTAATAATCTTTTTTGTCCCATCATCTTTGTTTCTTTCTTTAAAAGAAGAAGAAGAAGAAGAATCTTGTTGTTTTTGATTATTATTATTATTATTATTATTGTTAGATGTGATGTTTATCTTTGATATTGATGAAGCTAGTGGTAGTAGTAATAGAGGGTAAAAATAAATATGAATTCATCGTAGTAGTTAGATATTGATATTTTGTGTAATTACATTGATATGATGAAGAAGAGGAGGAGGAGGAGGAAGTGTTTGAAAATAGTCTATAACCACCAACAGCAGCAGCAGTGCTGGAATTAAAGGTCAATCCAATGACATTATTTGATGATCTTGATAATGATCTTATTAGAGTGCTGCTGTTTCTTCCTATCATCAGATCTCTGTTGTTGTTGTTGTTGTTTGTTTTTTCGAACGAATTGCAGAGACGTCTCTCTGTTTTTGAAGTGGGCGAACATGTTTTTGAATTTTTTTTTTAATTTAATTTAATTTAATTTTTTAATATGCTTTTAATTCATACGCTCCTTACATTCAATATATTATTCTAAACTTGACTATAGATAGAGATAGATAAAAAAAAAATTAAAAAATGGGACAAGGAGTTTCTAAAGAAACATATAATAGTGCTATACAGTCTATACAAACCTCCTCATTCAACTCTAAAAATACACAAAACCATGGTGTTCACATTCCATCGTCTGCAGATCCGAGTGCTCCTCCTCTTCCTCCAACAGTTACCACCAACCCCCCTACCAATATAGATTCTTTATCACCTGATGATATTTGTAATCTATTGTTGTCTCAGTTGTTGGACCAAGAGAGTATGGCTACCTTTATTATCACTCTTCGTGATAAACAACCTGATAACTTAACTTATTTTGTTAACAAGGTATATATAAAAATATATATAATATATCATTCATATAAATATATATATATTCTCTCTATTGTTTTTATACTCTTATTAATTCTCTCTATTTCTCTCTCTCTCTCTCTCTCTCTCTCTCTCTCTCTCTCTCTCTCTCTCTTATTTAGATGGTAGATCATTTATATTTTGTTTGTAATACCAACAGAGGAAAGAATTCAGACTCTGATTGGAACAAAACAACTACTTGTTTATCATATCTCTCAAGAACTATTCCATTTATCATGGATCGTCACAGCGAGGACCCAGATAGTTTCTATCAACAATTATGCTGGGAAACTCCTGTTTCATCGGATAGTAACACCACTCCGTTGGCAATTAAATTAATGACCTGTGTATTGGACTTGTTATTTATGCCTGGATACACACTTGATAGTACTTTACCTCAACCATCCAAACAACAACAACAACAACAACAACAACAACAACAACAACAACAACAACAACAACAACAACAACAACAACAACAACCACCACCAATCTCTGAAACAACAAATAGTAGTGATAATATCACTACTCAGTCAACAACAACAACAACAGAACCTTTTGAACATTTATCAAATAATTACTCTTGGTTATCAGGATTTGGTGTTGAATTGTCACCAACACAAAACTTGACCACAAAAGTACATTGGTTAAATAGAGCTACTGTTTTACAATGCCTCTTGACGTGCTTGTGTGAACAATTATACTGCCCACAGGATAAATCTTACAAATTCCAAAGTAAATGGTTGGATTGGATAACATCAACTCAAAACTACTATACCGATGTACTTTTCAACACCCTCATCAATGCCTTTTGTACATATGATCCTATTGGATGGGGTGTTCCATACAACCATCTAATGTTTGCAGATGACCGTGAAAATGTTGCCAAACTATCGATTCAAATCATCAATATCTTGCTGGGATATGATATCTCTGAAAATCCCCAACAACAGCAAACCCCACCAACTCCTGCTCATCATTATAATCCATTTGAATTTACTGTATGTAGTAGAATTTCAATTTTTAACAAATATGTTATTTATTTATTTATTTATTTTTAAAAAAGGTAAACAAATTTATTTTATTATTACACAACAACAAGAGAAATAGGGACTTTACCTTTTTCTTTACTTCATTTGAAAGGATTTTAGGTCTACCTCTTATGTCGTCTCATACAAAATTGCCATACTCGACAAAGAAAATTGAACTACATCAAGATCTATTAATTACTTTTTGGAGATTCATTACCATTAATCATGTAAGTCCAACAAAACAAATCAAATTGGTTTCTTGCATCACACCATTCATTGACAGTCTTTTTATTTTAGGAATTTTTATTATTTGTTTCAAACCATCAATCATCACCAGAGTTTCTAGTACCATTACTCCAATACATGGACGATGGTAGAAAGAATCAATCTTCTCATGGTTTGGTTCAGCTAGGAACATTCATCTTGTTGGTTTTGAGCAGTGAAAGAGACTTTGCCATTTCGCTAAACAAAAACTTTACCTCTAGTATTGTTATCGATATTCCAAAACCACAAGGATACTCTGATTTTATCATAATGGTCATGTACAGATTATTGGTAGACAATAATGATAGATTAGAAAGTATATTTGAATGTATTCTTACCGTTTTATCGAATCTATCACCATACATGAAGAATCTATCCATGGTCACATGTGTAAAACTCATGAAACTGTTTGAGTTTTTATCGTCACCACGTTTCCTCTTTGCCAACAGCCACAACCATAGATATGTTCAGTTGCTTCTCGAGTCATTCAATAACCTCCTTCAACATCAATACGAAAGCAACACTAGACTACTCTATTCCATTCTTCGTTGTCAAAACCAATTCTCTAAATTGGCTTACCTCAAGATTTCTTCTGCCGTCCCTGCCCAAGGTGATGCCAACTCGCCGAGAAAGCTAATCGCTACAACTTCAACATCTGATCATAATGAACCAACTAGTAGTAGTAGTAGTAATAGTAATGACATTCAAGAACCACCTGCGGGTGGAATGGAAAAGCTTTCAATCAATTCGTCCACCACCACCACCACCACAGGTGAACAACAAAATGAACAAAACAAGGAGTTACAGAAAACACCAACAGTAGAACATACTTCTCCAACCACCACCAGCACTACTACTACAAACCAAGAACCAAAACAACAAGACCAACAACAAGAAACAAAGCAACAAGATCAACAACAACAACAACAAGTGACACCAAGACAAGCATTTATTCCTACCGATGAGTGGTTACAAACAATTAAAAAACAATTGCCACTTGATAATATTTTGAAGATTATTACCAACCTATCGCCTCAAATCCAAAGACTCTGTACTGGATCGTAAGTAGATCAATTGAAATAATTCCTTTTTTTATAAAGAAACTTACCAAACCCGGTTTTTATTTAGTGGATCAGATGAAAACAAAATTATGGAGTACCTGCGAATGTCCACGGTAGTTGGTATTTTCTCAAGTGTTGGACCTATTATGACAAGGAGATATCACGCAAACCCAATAACCAAATCATGGCTTTTAGCATACTGCTTTTGCGTCATCTATCTTGAGCAACATACCCCCCCACTTTTCCAAGATACCAATATTAGACTTTTCCACGTCAAACAACCATAAAAAAAATAAATAAATTTTAAATGTTTAAATTGTAAATGTTTAATTAATATTTTTTTTTTTCATTATAAAGGAGTACAGAATAATGGTTCGGAAATGTAAGTTAATTATTGGCCGAAGGGTGGCCTGAAGGATGTGAGTATTCTTTAAAGTGTTGCTTGTTCTTTCGATAACACTTTTCGCCATACATGCAAACAGGAAGGTTACTATTATTATTGGAAGTTAATATTGGTGAAACTGGTTTGGGTGCTGGCACTAAAAATACATTATTATTATTTTGATTATTTTGATTATTATTATTATTTGGTGTTGCCACAGTACTAGTAGGAGGAGGAGGTGATATTGTATTATTATTTTGATTATTTTGATTATTATTATTATTATTTATATTATTATTATTATTATTATTATTATTATTATTATTATTATTATTATTATTATTATTATTATTATTATTATTATTGTCATTATCATTTGATGTACTATTGATATTATTTGAAGACTTTTGTTTAATCGGAGAAATTGGTTTCAAATCATAAATTTGTTCAGTTTCTTCATCGGTATCATCATCACCCTCTGATGTTGAGGTATTTGAGGATGATGGAGGTTGCTGCTGCTGTTGTATTAAAGGAGAAGATTGAATATTTGATTTTGATTTCTTTAAAGTATGATTATCATTTAAATCTGAGTTGTTATCCTTTTCAACCATTGAATCAACACTTTGGAAAATATCTTGGTCCTTTGGTTGTTGTTTAATATTCTCTTCTGATTTTCTTTTACCCAATACCTTTGATTCTTCAAGAATCGATTCTTTTTGTACCAAAGATTTTAAAGTAATATTCTAATAATTTATAAACTTTGAATTAATAAAACTTGAAACTTGAAACTTTAAACTTGAAACTTTTAAAAACAACATACATTATCATACCATGGATGCTTTAAAATATCCTCACAGTTGTATCTTTGAGAAGGAAGGACATTTAATAACCTTTTGATTAAATCCTTTGCCTCCTCAGAAACTGTGCTCCAATCTTCATGTGGAAAAGTAAAGTCGGCAGTTCTAATTTGCTCAAAGATTGATATATCACGAGATTCGTCGAATGGGGGATATCCGCATAGCATTACATAAAGTATTGCGCCCATACTCCAACAATCAACCTCTTTACCATATCCACCAGCGCCATTATTTCCATTAAGTATCTCTGGTGCCAAATATTGAGGTGTTCCACACATTGTCTTCATAAAACTACCTTCACTAATAGTCCTCGACAAACCAAAATCACTGAGTTTGATGCTGGTTGGATCACCAAGATCCACTTTTTTCGATTTCAACAATATATTTTCGGGTTTGAGATCTCTGTGAGCAATACCTTGGTCATGAAGATACTTTACTGCATTGACAATCTGTTGAAATAGTTTTTTTGCTTTTTCCTCTTTATAAAAACCATTCTCATCTGATAATATATCATTTAATAGTTCTCCTCCTTCAACTCTATAATAATAATAATAATAATAATATTAATATTAATATTAATATTTAAATAAATAAATTTTCTTTCAAGTCATACAATTCTAAAACAAGGTATAATGTCTTTTCAGTATTGAAAACTTCTTGGATGTGTATGATATTATTATGGTTGAGGGATTCCAAAATTTTAACTTCATCCATTAGAGCATCCTTTCTAGATGATGAATTCATAAAGTACTTTTTCTTGTCAATAATCTTGATTGCATACTTGGCTCCAGTCTTTCTATCGACAGCAAGTTTAACGGTTGCAAAATTACCATTTCCCAATACATCACCAAGATGATATTTTAATTGTGGTCCACCTTCCTCTTCGTCTTCCTTGTCACATGGTTGATAAATAAATGCTATCTTTTCTAAATGATATTGTAAGTTAGTTTTTAATAAGATCGATAATTGAATTTGAATTGCTTGTAGTAGTTAATACCTTGAACTTGTTTTTTGCTCTGAACCAATGAAATCTCTTGACCACTTGATAATAAACATCTTTGTCCTTTACCAACCTTTATTCCATCTACATATGTTCCATTTGTGCTGTGATCATACAGAAATGCTATTATTGGTCCTGTTCCTTCTTCTTTTTTAATGACACAATGTCTAATATTAGATAGAGATAGATAGATAGATAGATAGATAATTAATTAATTAAAAAAGGAGTTGAATAAAATGGGTTAACAGTGAGAGAGAGATTACATACTTTCCAGAGACATTTAAATCATTAAAATGAATAGTAGAGTTTGATTGCCTTCCCATTACTATTTCATCCTTTTCTAGAGTATAGTGTGGATAGGCAGGATTCAAAGACTTTAAAACAGCCCATCCTTTTTCTTGTTTGTTGCTAGTATCATCATCAGTAAAACTACTATCAAGTGTGCAAGCTTGAGTAGGGTTTTCTTCTGCCATCAATAAATATTTATTTATATATTTATGGTGTACTATCTTTATCTATCTATGCTGTTGCTATTTATTTGTTTCGAGTTTTTGATCTCTCTCTCTCTCTCTCTCTTGTTTTTCTTTAAAGTTAGATTTTTTAATTTCTTCTTAAAATGGACTTTTATTTTTAAAAACAAACTTTTATTAATTTAATCAATCAAAGCAAAAGAATATATCTATCTATCATATCTCGAAATAAACTTATTTAATAATTAAATAGTATTAATTGTTTTTTCTCGAAACTTTTTGTAATACGTAATTATTGTAATTAATTGTTAAAATAAATATATTTTTTATTAATTTTTTTTTGTTTTTTCTCCATTCGTTTCGTCAACAAGACAAAGAGAAATTTGTGTAAAAAATCATTTGAAATTTTTCACAACTTCAACAACATTATTTTTTTCAAGTATCTCTCTTTTATTTATCTATCATATCATATATATCATTTGCCATCAGTGTGGGTTTATAGACAATTCAATCTATTTATTTCCTACCCAACTTAAAGTAAACAACTTTTCAACATCATTATAAGAGTTTCGTTTTGTTTAAATAAACAAAACTACCCCCTTCGTGGATTCAGAAAGAAACTCCTCCTCTGTCATCTGTAATTATTGGGGTGACATTAGGAAGACACTTGTATCTTTCAACTTCGCATTGGCTCAGTACTACGCCGATACAGGAATTTCCTAGCGCCCGCTTTCATAACAATTTATATACTAGAATAGAAATAACAACAACAACAACAACAGCAACCCAAACAACACAGCTTCCTCACTAAATCAAACTCAGTTAAGAGCCAAGACAACAACCAACAACAAGCAATCACACACACACACACAAAAAAAAGCGCAACGCTCAAAGTAATAATATCATAATAACATTCAAATAATAACAATCCTACACTTTACTACCAACGTATTAAATGCCAATCATGTAAGTATTAAACAAAACTCAGGATCAGACAAGAGAGGGGCCAGTTGAGCTGCACTCGGCTCGTCGGTAAAGCCTCGTCGACGTTTTTTGACTTTTCTCGTTCCAATTTTTTTTTTTTTTTTTTCAGGAGCTCACAAAAGATTTTCAACGAAGCTGAAGCAGGCTTTGCGCACTGCATCGCCGCCAACTCTGGCGCAAACAACACCACTACACCTTTATCTGTTCATGTTGAACACAAAGAACAAGAAGATCAAGAAACCTTCCCAGGTGGATTTGAAGGTCCAGAGAAAAAGGTATGTTCAACAAGATACTCATTAATATTGATATTGTGCATGATATTAATTTTTTTTTTCAATTTTTTTTTAAAAGTTGGACATTAGATTTTGTTCAAAATACACTGGAAAGAATTCAGGACCAAAGTCTGGATTAAGATCGATTGGTAAAGAGCAATGGCAATCAGTATTGGATAGCGCTAGATGCACAATTATTAGCAGCACAAGCAACCAATATTTGGATTCCTATGTTTTGTCCGAGTCTAGCCTTTTTGTCTACCCACGTAGAGTGATGATCAAGACCTGTGGTACCACCACCCTTTTGCACTTGATTGAAAAGATGACACAACTTGCCAAAGACACTTGTGGATTAGAGGTTGAAATGCTTGTTTTCTCGAGAAAGAATTTGAACAACCCAGGCAAACAAATCTTCCCACATTGCACCTTTTCAGATGAAGTCGACTACTTGAACAAGATCTTTAACAATGCAGGACATGCCTATGTCATGGGACCATTGAACAAAGACCACTGGAACTGTTACATCATCGACAATAGAAGATCGTCTACCATTAGACGTACCGAACAGACTTTTGAAGTGATGATGCATGACCTCGACCCACAAGTCATGAAACAATTCTTTAAACGCGACGGAGTTTCTGCATGGGATACTACTGTAAGCAGTGGTATCTCAAATCTCCTACCTGGTAGCATAATAGATGACTACCAATTCGATCCTTGTGGATACTCTATGAATGGAATGTTGGATAAATGGTACTGGACTATCCATATCACACCTGAAGACCACTGTTCATATGTATCTTTTGATACCAACATTGCCCTCCCAAGCTACCATATCTTGTTGGCCAATATTCTCAAGGTATTTAGACCTGGAAGATTCACAGCTGCCCTTTATGCCGAGGATGGAGCACCTTGTGGTGATCCCTACTTTGCTTTTGATTCTCAATTGTTGGAACACGCCATCACAAACAAAACCGTTCATTCATTTGACGGTGGGTATGATGTCATTGTTTGCAATTATGAATCAAAGCCTGCACCCAATAAGTTAATGCACCAACCAACCAACTCTATCAACACTGACATTAAGCACGTGTTGATTGAAGGAACTCGTCAATCAACAGAGTTTAATCTCATCTTGGCTTAGGAAATAAAATTAATAAAAATACAATCAATGTCCCCCCCCCCCCCCCTTTGTACTTCCTAAACCAAATCAATCATTTGCTTTTTTTTTTTTTTAAGAATTGATCCAGTTAGACTTTCTATCAATAATAATTTTGCAGTTGAAAGATATAAAGACAAAAAATACTAATAATAAAATAGTACTAGGTTAAAGAAGATCATCTGATAAAGAATTCAACTTGTTATTATTTTTTACCTTTTTGAACGACTCTAACTCGAGAGTTTATTAATTTATTTAATAAGTCATCTGTTATTTGAGTAGAATTGTTGTGAAACTTATGTTTCAAAGTAAATGGATTGTGAGAGTGAAAGAAAATGGCGAAAATATAGGAATGGTGAGAGAAATGGTGAAGAATGCAAAATAAATGATGATTGAACAAGTAAAGTGAGTTTATCTGCTCTGTTTCTTTGTCAACCAAACAAAAACGACGACAAGAAGAATATTAAACTAGATTAAATCAATAAGAATTAGTATGATATTCCCAAATCTTTTATAATATGTTTTCAAGCAAGTACTTACAAACCAAAAAGCGATAAGGATTCCAAGATTTCTCCATCTTGTAGTTTCGGACCAACCAAGACCCTCATAGAATTGTTTTCCTTCACTGAATGGACAATATCCACAGAGGTTTGGACCAATCGTTTCAGAATACCCGTTGGCATAAGTGTGGAAATCTTGCATATAAGACTCGCATGTTGTGCCAGGTGGTGAGGTAAATTTGATCATATCTTCATCGGTACATACAACCTTTACATCTTTTAGGACATTTGTGACGATACCTTCCATAAAGTATCTTGCTGGATTCAAATGGTAGACCCATTCTCTCCAGAATGTAGGTATATTTTTTGGACTTATCATAACACCACAAAACAAGAAGAGGAAAACGATCAACAATGGAATGACCAACAAGGCAAAGAATCTATATAGGATGGGAAAAATGACTGGTTAATATTTTATAATTTTTACAGTGAATTTTTTGTAGCCTAGAATACATTACATGTTCATGCAAACTGCACCAATAGCTTGACCAAATGAGACGCAAAAGAACAAAAAGAAAATGTAAATCAACCAAAAGTAGATTCCACTGTCGTTATCGTATTGGAGACCAGAAGTCCAATATGAGCAAACAAAGAAAATGGTTCCTGTGACTGCAATATAGGGGAGCTCTACCAATACCATCGACAATGAAAATGGAATCCAATGATAAAACTTTGAAGAGTAATCACGTTTGAAGAATTCTCTTTGCATAAAGAATTGTGGCAAACAAAGGAAAATCAACAAGATACCAAGAAGAAGAGTTTGGAAAACAAAGAAAATACGAGAGTTCATATCTGATGATGAATCTTGTAAATCATAATATGTAAATCCAATAATCAACCCTAAATTTAAATAAATAAATAATTAAATAAATAAATAAATAAATATTATTATTTCTATTGATAATATTTTTTTTTTTTAGATTTACATACCAACTACAACAGCTTGGAAGAAGTTACCATGAGCATAATAAGGATCGCGCCAATAGATGAGATTCATACGTTTGTATACCTCCCACATTTGGTACCAAATAGAAGTAGCAAATTCACGGGCTGGTCCAGAGTCAGAGGAGTGCGAGTGGTCAGATAGGTCAGTTTTTTCGAGTCTGTTTAATTCCTCGGTGATACTGGCGCATTCCGGACTTGACTTCCAAGCAGCTGGCCAATCAACATCAGACTTTCCATGAACTCCAGCGCCAATGGCTTCAAGCATATATTCGGCTGGATTTTCAGATGGAGTACATGCACGAACACCATGGCGTTCGAAATACGATGTCAATATCTTGCTGTTTTCACCAATGTCTCCAAAGTAGGTTGTCTTTCCACCCTTGGCCAATAACAACAAACGATCAAAGTATTCAAACAAGACAGATGATGGTTGATGAATGGTACAAACCAATGGCATACCAGAGTCGGCAAGTTTACGAATAAATTTGATAATATTGTATGATGATTGTGAATCTAATGAAATTAATAAATTAATAAATATGTTTTGACTCAAGTATATGTATAAAATATTTACCGAGACCAGAAGTTGGTTCATCCAAGAATAAAATATGTGGTTTAGATACCAATTCTACACCAATAGTTAGACGTTTTCTTTCCTCAACAGAAATACCAACACCAGATTCCAAGTCACCAATTAATGCATCTCCTAGATGTTTCATTTCCATCATTTCAAGTACATGTTCGACATAGGAATACTTTTCTTCTAATGGTACCAAAGGATCTTGACGCATTTTAGCAGAGAAACGTAGAGATTCACGGACTGTCAAATTTGGATTGTGAACATCCATTTGTTCGACATAGCCAGTGATACGTTCGAAATCAATTCCCAATTCCTTACCATTGAGATAGGCTTGACCTTCCATAGTTCCCATTGTCTTACGTTTGGCCAATACATCGAGAAGTGTAGTTTTACCGGCACCTGAACTACCCATCAAAGCAGTCATTTGACCTGGTTTGATCCAACCTTCGACGTCATCCAATAAAAGGCGAGTTCCTTCTGCGACTGGTACACTGTATTTAATGTGTTGCCATGTGAAAACACCACCATGCATCTTGAGAGTATCTTTCATATTACTGGTGGCCTCTTGAACAATCTTGTTTTGAAGTTTTTCATCATCGGCGTCGTTCAGTTTTGGTGCTTTTCCAGATTTGTATACCTTGCGAGTGTATCCACCACTGGTCCAATCAAAATACTCCATTGCAAGCATGTTCATGGCAGTAAAGAGTAACCACCACAAGTAAACAACGACAGTGTTGAGTGCACGATCAGTGGTTTTAAAAGAGAGGGCATGATCGAGATAGGTATCACCGTCGATGGAAAGGACTCCTTGCGTGGCACCAGCACTTGGACAAATACGATAGTTGGGGTCAGTGTAGTTGGCGCCATATGGAATGGCAGCATCTTTGCAATCAAACGACATGTTCATAAACTCATTGGCCATCAATGCCTTAAAAGAGTAGGCAAAAGGATTAATCCAAAAGAACCATTGGAACCATGGGTGCATCTTGTGGTATGGGATGGTGTAACCAGAGTAGGCAATCATAAAGATAAATAGAACGGTCATGAGATTGGTCGAAAAATACATCGATGGACTGAAATTACCGAGCACACGGAAAAGGTTGGTGGTTGCCAATGTAGTGCCAACAAGGATAAAGACAAAGATAAAGAATTGATCGGCTCGATACTGAAGTCCAAACATAAAGTAGCAGATAAACGAGAAGAGGAATACCTGCACAAATGTGATAGGGAAATCGGTTACTACCTGCGCAATGTGGAATGCGGATGGCCGATACAATGCATAGGTGGTGTGACGTTGTAGAATACGACGGCCGACAAAGGTAAGATGAAGTTCACCCTCTGAGAGGAAAGCATTGAACATGATGGCTGAAAAGAGGGCACCACCTCTGGTAAAGAGACCAGAAAGATCTTTGTCCAAGAGGAAGAATAAGGATCCATAGATAAACGATTGGATAATGATCGATAGATATCTAGAGACGATTGAGAACTTATCACCCCAAATCAGTTGAAAGTGACGGACTGTGAGTGCAGATACTTGGGTAATAAACGATGTGACATATGGCTTGTTGTTCGATGTGGTACGTGACTTTTGGGAAATGACTTCTTCGGCAAATTGGACGTGAGGTTGTTCTTGTTCAATTTGTTTCTCAAATTGGGATTGGTCATCGAGCATACGTTGGTATTGTGGAGATTGGCGCCATACTCTTTCAAAGTCGGCAGATGTTTCTGGAACATTGCCCTCCATACCAGGACGAACAATTCTCTCTTGCGGATTGGTTACACCTGTCAAATAGTCGGCAACTGATTTTCTAGGTTCACAGGTAAAACCAAGATCGAGGAAATATTGCTTGGCTTGGTTACCAGGTCCAAAGTAGATACATCTACCTTTTTCTAAAACCATAACCTTGTCAAAGAGATGGTAGATAGAGTCTGATGCCTGATAGAATGATGCAATAGTAGTCTTGTCTAATGTGTCTGACATGATACGTAGTGATTTGGCATAGTCCAAGGCAGAGGCAGCATCAAGACCACGAGTAGAACAATCCCAACAAGTAATAGGCGCACCAGAGACCATAGCTTCAGTGATGGTCATACGTTTACGTTCACCTCCAGAAAGACCACGAACCCATTCGTTACCAACCAATGTTTCAGATTGGTGAACGATGCCAAACATATTGACCAATAGGTTGAAAATCTTTTCACGGAATGTTCTCTTTGTTTCATCTGGCAAACGATTACCTGGAGTCTTGCACTTTAGTGTAAAGTCAAGTGTTTCTCGAAGTGTAAGTGTTGGATGATGTGTATCCTCTTCTGGAGTGTAGATGGCTTCACCACGATATCTCTTTCCCCACTTTTTAGCATTAATACCACCATAGCTAATATCTCCATCGACACTAACATATGATTCACGTTGATTTGAAATGACTCTAAGTAATGTACTACATCCAGAACCTGGTCTTCCCAAAACCAACATCATTTCACCATCTTTACAAAATGCATTAACATCATTTAAAATATTAAATGTTGAACTCTTTGACTTTTTCCTTAAAAATAAATTAAAAAAAAAAAAAAAATAGAAAGAGTAAGTTTTTGTGTAACTTTGTATTTTGAAATAAATAAAGTAAAATGCTGTTAGTTATAGACTTACCAAGAGTTTGGATTAAATAAATTAAAAAACATTTTAAAAGGTGTTGCAATATCGGCAATAACAGAGACATCGGCACCTGTTGGAGTATTATAAGTTATAATCATAAATAATGTTAATAATCCACAACTGCAATTATGTTTAATCCAAAATGTATTTTCTTACCTTGACCAACAACAGTTAGACTACGAATTGAAATACCCATTTTCTTTGGTTTTGATCCATTGTCCAATGCTTGTCGTTGACTGTCTTCAAAATATTTACGAAGTTTAAAATCCTCTTCGGTTTCTGCTGGACGACCCTCGAGGTCAGTTTGGTTAGAGTCCAATCTGAATTGTTCAGATTCCATTTCCAAATGTGCTGCCAACTTTTTAAACTCTAATTTACTTTGGTCTACATTGATTGTTGAATTATTATTATTGTTGTCATCATTGTTGTTGTTGTTATTATTATTTGATAAATGTAAATTGTATTGAGATTCATTATTATCATTGTTGGTGGATTTATCCTCTTTAAACTCTACCATTTTTAACAATAGTGTTATGTTGGATCAAGTATATTTGGAGATTGTTTTTTTTTTTTTTTCTTTTTCTTTTTTTTTTCTTAATAATAATAATTATGATGGAAATGAATGATTGTAAATTAAAGATCTATTTTAAAAATTGTGGTGATATTTATACCTGTATAGTTTACGAAAAAATTAAATTAAACATAATAATTAAAGAGAGGACGTCCTTTGAGAGGTTCTAACGGGTTAGAAGTTTTTAAAGAGACAATGGTCGGTATACCTCGGTGTAGGGGGGTAGGTTTCGAGAAAAGATCACTACAGTAGTAGAGTGTTGACTACAAAGTAGTCGTCTTTGTCATTAATGATCACACCATATTTCTTCTCTAGATTTGTTCGAATCTATAGGTTTGGTCATTGCAACCCCCATTTTTGGAAAGGTAAGTACCGAGGTGAATAACGTTGAAGTGAACACAAACCAAAGGCGCCAACCGAAAACCATTGCCCAGGCTACAATGCCAAAAAAAGAGCTAAATATGTTAAAAAAAAATCGAAAATTAAATTAAAAAATTCATTCGCTGAGCTGTAACCGGTTATGACTACTACAATCGATCGAGTCACTTCGTATTACTCACCATCCACTGCTGCTTTGATGATGCTAACACAATAAACAAAGGGGGGGTTCGATTACTTGTATTGATGGTTGGATTGTCTTCCTTGTCTTCTTGCAATGCCACAACTAAAAGCTTTCTTTTGAACATTCTTTTGAGAAAACACTTGCCCAGGTTTAAGAGTATTTCCTATTTGACCTTATATTTACTTCTTCTTCTTCTTGCTCTTCTTGCTCAAAGATAATGATTCTTTTTTTATAAAATATATTATTATTTATTTAAATGAGCATCAGGCGAATTTCGTTGACAACAGCACTGCGCTTTGCTCTCCCGATGATGTCTCCATCAGCAACGCGTTCAAAGCAATTTATATTTTTTGCTTACTTTTCGTTTGTTTGACATGGCCGGTGATTAATAGTTTCTACTTTTCTTGATTTCTCTCATTTGTTCATAGAGATAGAAAAAAATAAAAAAAAGAGAGATAAAATGAATGTGTGGTGCAAATTGATGTTCCTTGTAAAAAATTAAAATTTTTATTATTGATATTTTTGACCCCCAAAGGGTTTACCCAGTCGTTGTGCTATTCAATTTTACTTTTAAATTATTATTATTATTGTTACTGTGTTTTACTTAAGTTGTTTATAGTAATCTATTTAGTTTTATTCAAACAGCAGCAGCAGAGCAGCAGCGCAAGTAGAAGTAGTAGTAATAGTAGTAGTAGTAGAAAAAGATGTTATCACGATCAATATCATCAACCATTTCCAGTAGGGCAATGTTGTTGACAAGAAATGCATCTGTACTAGTAAACAACAAGTCATATTCATCACAATCAACAGTAGTAGCAGCAACCAAGTTATTTGTAAATGGTTATAGAGCCAATGGTCATTTAAAGGCAAACATTGATCCATTGGCAAGAATGGAAAGATTGACACCAAAATCACTTTCTGCTTCTACCTATGGTTTAGAGACTGCAGATAAATTGACTGTAAAAGGTGTATTGAATGCATTAGACAACAAGGATATGACTGTCACTGAAATTCAACAATATCTTGAACGTGTCTATTGTGGTGATATGACTGTTCAATTTGAGCACATTGAATCAGAAGATGAAAAGTTGTGGCTCTACAATCAATTCGAACAACTTCAACAACAAGATTTCACTACTCAAGAAAAGGTTAATATCTTGAAGCAATTGGTAAAGTCTGAAGTATTTGATCATTTTATGCAAAAGAAATTTACTACTACAAAAAGGTAATTAATTATGTCAAAAAGTGGTATGTGAATACAAAATTAATTAATATTCTTTTGTTTTGTTTTGTTTTTTTTTTAGATATGGATTAGAAGGTAATGAAAGTATGATGGTAGCATGTGAAAGTATTTTTAGAGAATCTAGTAATTCTGGTATCGAGAATATTGTCATTGGAATGCCACACAGAGGTAGACTTAATCTTTTGGTAAAAACATTAAACTATCCAGCAGTTGATCTCTTTTGGAAGGTAAAAGGTAATTCTGAATTGGCACCTGGTATCGAAGGTATTGGTGATGTTATCTCTCATATTGGTGTCTCTTCCACTCTTAGTTATCCAAAGGGATCTGTCAACGTTTCACTTATCCACAATCCATCGCATCTTGAAGCTGCCGATCCAGTTGCCCTCGGAAAAACACGTGCCAAGCAAATGTATGACAATGACATTGAACAAAAGGATAGATCAATGTGTCTTATGATGCATGGTGATGCTGCTGTCACTGGTCAAGGTGTTGTTACAGAGTCTCTACAACTCTCTCAATTGCCAGGATTCAATGTTGGTGGATGTGTTCACATCATTGTCAACAATCAACTTGGTTTCACTACTATTCCAAAGAATGGTCGTTCCACTCGTTACTCTAGTGATGTTGGAAAGTTTGTAGGTTGTCCAATCATCATTGTCAACTCTCAAAATCCAGAAATGGTAGAGAGAGCTGCTAGGTTGGCCATTCAATACCGTCAACAATTCAAAAAGGATATCATCATTGATTTGATTGGTTGGAGAAAGTATGGTCACAATGAAATCGACGAGCCTTCATTCACACAACCAACCATGTACAACAACATTCGTAAACGTACCTCTATTCCACAAATGTATGCTCAACAACTCCAACAACAAGGTGTCTTTTCTGCCGAACAATTAGATTCATTCACAAAGGCAGAGCATTCTCTTCTTGAAAAGGACTTTGAACAACTTGCCAACTTTTCTCACAAACCAGCCGATCATCTCCAAGGTAAATGGGAGGGTCTCATTCAATCAGTCAAGATCCAAAATCCATCCACCATCGATACTGGGTACAACAAGTCCAAGTTGGTAGATATCCTCAAGCAATCGGTACAGGTTCCAGAAGACTTTACCGTTCACAATCGTCTTGTCAAATCTTTCTCAAATGTTCGTGTTGAACGTGCTCAAGAAAGTCAAGTCGATTGGGCATCTGCTGAAACTGCTGCAGTTGGCAGTCTTATGCAACAAGGATTCAATGTCCGTATCTCTGGTCAAGATGTAGGAAGAGGAACCTTTTCACAACGTCATTGGGAGTTGGTTGAACAAAAATCAGACAAGGTCTACTCTCCACTCAACCACATGAATCTCGAGGGACAATTAGACATTGTCAATAGCAATCTCTCAGAGTTTGCTGTCATGGGCTACGAATATGGTTATTCTATCGAATCGCCAAAGACTCTTCCCATTTGGGAGGCTCAATTTGGTGACTTTGTAAATGGTGCTCAAATCATTGTCGATCAATTCTTGTCAAACGGTGAATCGAAATGGTTGCGTCAAAGTGCACTCACCCTTCTTCTTCCACATGGTTTCGATGGTGCTGGTCCAGAACACTCTTCTTGCAAAATGGAACGTTTCCTCCAACTATGCGACACTGAAGCAGTCAATGTCAAGGATGATAAGCTCATCAGTCGTGAAACCAACATGTATGTTTGCAACCCATCTACACCAGCAAACTATTTCCATTTGTTGAGACGTCAAATGATGCGTAACTACCGTAAGCCACTCGTTGTCGTTGGTCCAAAGGTCCTTCTTAGACATCCACAATGTGTATCAAGCCTCGATGAAATGTCAGAAGGCACTCACTTCCAACCGGTACTCTCTGATGCAGAGACTGTCGCACCAGAAATTGCAAGCAAGGTCGAGAGAGTCATCTTTTGTTCTGGCAAGATCTATTATGATTTGGTTGAAGAGAGAAAGAAACACTCACTCTCTACAGCCATTGTTCGTCTAGAGGAACTCAATCCATTCCCATACGGTGAAATTGAACAACAACTCAATCGTTATGGTAACGCCACCAAATTCTATTGGGTACAAGAGGAACAACAAAATGCAGGTGCCTGGAGCTTTGTTGAACCAAGATTCAAACAACGTTGGTCAAGAACATCGTCTATTAAATATATTGGAAGAGACCCATTGTGTGCAAGTGCTATCGGTATCTCTACCATTCACAAAAAGGAGGCTACTAAATTAATGTTGGATGCTTTTTCTCTTTAAAACAAAAGTAAATAAATAAATTAAAAAACCAAGACGACAAAAACTCGTTTGTCGGGACTTTCAAAAATAAAGATCGATCGCAATTTTCCCAATTTATTAGGATTGAAGGAAAATTAATTATCATAATGAAGATAACGTTTCATCATATGTTGTACTATATAAGTTTAACTTTGTGTTGGTTTAATTAACAATGTTTTATTTTATTTTTTAGTAGTACAACAACAATTAAAACTTTATTATTCATGATGGAACAATATTCACATACAAAATATTCAAATATTAAAAATGAACAACCTCTAGAAAAGATATACATAAACTATCCCTTTTCTACGAGTATTCCTCACAAATTGGTCGGATTAATAGAACAAGAACAATATCAACAACAATTAGATAAATTAATTAAATGTCATAAAATGATTAGGAAATATATGACACTGTCGTTTATCATTGCCTTGTTACCATTTATAACATCACTTTTAATGGTTATTATTGGTGCTAAAACATTTTCTTGGCGAATGGCGGGTTACTCTATTTTGGCTTTAACTTTATTAGTATTGGTATCATTTTGGTCTATATTCCTTAGAATTGTATTGTATCCCAAACTTTTAAAATTATCTCTTAAATATTCTAATCTCTTTTCTCTTACAAAGGTAAATAATCACCTCTATGATAGTTTAAATAATAATCAACAATTTAAATCTAGTGGTATTATTTTCGATTATCAATTTAATAGTAATTTTTCTAGTCTTTGTTTAATTGTTATATTACTATCACATCATCAACCTTAACAATGACCCACGATGTGGTTGCATATTTGCAGCTCTTTGAAAATAAACACTTTCATTGAAATGGGACATGGCTCGAGAAATTTTTTTCTTTTTATAATAATTTTTCTTGTGACAAAACCACAACAATCCTGATGTTGTTTGCTTCACTCTCTTAAAATTTACTATCATCATTTTTTTTTTAAACTATATATATAGAGGAGAGAGAGAGAGAGATAGAGAGGTATATAGATAGATAGATAGATAGATAGGATAACCATTTGATAAAACAAAAAAAAAAAATGGCAAATATAGTTAGACCTATTAATAATAAAGTTGGTGTAGATGATCTTGTGATGCTTACAGATGTATCAGAATCTGCACTAAATAATAATCTTGAAAAACGTTACAAAGATGGTTTGATCTATGTATGTAGTATATATATATATTTCAAACCTCGACTAAAGAAAGGGTTCGTTCTCAATAAATTATTTATTTTTATTTTTATTTTTATTTTTATTTTAAATTTATGTAGACATCGATTGGACCAGTTTTAATTTCAATTAATCCATATAAACAACTTGGTATTTATGGACAAGAATATATCAATCTCTATAAAGGTAAACATGAATTTGAAATACCACCACATATCTATTCGGTGGCCGATAGAGCCTATAGATCACTTTTATCTGAAAAAGAAAATCAATGTATCATCATCTCTGGTGAATCTGGATCAGGTAAAACTGAAGCAAGTAAATACATCATGCAGTATATCGCCTCAATCACTGGTGGTAATCAAGAGGTAGAACGTGTAAAGAATTTAATTTTGGAATCAAACCCTTTACTAGAGGCCTTTGGTAATGCAAAAACTTTAAGAAATAATAATTCTAGTCGTTTTGGAAAGTATATGGAAATTCAAGTATGTAAAAATAATAAATAGAAAATAATAAATAGAAAATATAAATAGAAAATATAAATAATAATTATTTATCTCCTTTTTTATTTACCTTTTTTATTTAGTTTAATTATGCAGGAAATCCAGAAGGAGGTAGAATTACAAATTATTTATTGGAAAAATCAAGAGTAGTAGGACAAACTGAAGGAGAAAGAAACTTTCATATCTTTTATCAATTGTTGTCTGGCGGTGGATTGTCAACAGAAGAAAAGAACAAGTATTCATTGTTGACTGTTGAACAATACAATTATCTCTCTAAAAGTAAATCTTACAAGGCCGATGGTATTGACGATGCTCAGGCATTTGCTGCTACAAAAAAGGCAATGAAAGTTGTAGGAATTACAGATGATGAACAAAGTCAAATATTTAAACTTTTATCTGCCATCTTGTTACTTGGTAACCTATCATTTAGTGCCACTCAGGCAACCAACAAGACTTCTACATCTGCTGGTTGTGTTGTCACTGAAAAGCAGATTCTCTCTACCATTGCATCGTTAATGTCTGTCGACGCATCACTCCTCGAACAATCACTCATTTCGAGAATGATTACCACTGGTCAAGGAGCTAGAACCTCTTCCTATCGTGTTCCACAGACAGTCGAACAAGCACTCTACACAAGAGATGCCTTTGCCAAAGCAGTCTATAGTAAAATATTCGATTGGTTGGTTCGCTCAATCAACAGATCAATGGAAGTTAAAGTTAAAGGAACTGTCATTGGTGTTTTGGATATTTATGGTTTTGAAATTTTTAAAGTAAATATTAAAAAAAAAAAAAAAAAAAAAAAGAAATAAAAACAAAAAACTTATTTATTTTATTTTATTTTAGAACAATAGTTTTGAACAATTTTGTATAAATTATGTAAATGAAACATTACAACAAATTTTCATTGATCTAACATTAAAAACTGAACAAAAAGAATATGTTGAAGAAGGAATCAAATGGGAACCAGTAGATTATGTCGATAATAAGCCATGTGTAGAGTTGGTAGAAAAGAAACCTTTGGGAATTTTATCACTTTTGGATGAAGAATGTCTTTTCCCAGAAGGAAATGATAATTCTCTATTGGAAAAATTAAACAAGCATTTTACTTCGCACTCTCATTTTGCCAAAGTACCATTGACAGCAAAGACTGGTCAGTTTATTATCAATCATTATGCAGGCAAGGTTCACTACAATATTGAAGGTTTCCTTGACAAGAATCGTGACACTCTCTTTAACGACCTCGTTCTCTTGGCAACATCCAGTCAATCAAGTCTTCTCGTCGATATATTCCAATATGTGGCACCACAGGCCCTTGAAGAGGAGGACCCATCCATGATGAGCAACAATAACAAGGCAGCACGTGACAGACTCCAAAAGTCGGGCTTTGCCAATCAACAAGCCAAATCTTTAATTCCAACAGACAAGAAACGTCCCATTACCGCCGGTTTCCAATTTAAATCACAGGTTCAAGCTCTCTTAAAGTCTCTATACAGTTGCTCACCACATTACATTCGTTGTATCAAGCCAAACGAAACCAAAAGACAATTGGAATGGGATGATGACAAGTGCGCTCAACAAGTCAAATACCTTGGTCTCTTTGAAAATCTTCTCGTTAGAAGAGCTGGTTTCTGTTACCGTCAGACCTACCAAAAGTTTATGCGTCATTTCTACACGATCACTCCCAAGACATGGCCCAAGTGGGAAGGTGGTAAGGACGATCCTAAAAGAGGTTCCGAGATTCTGTTGGAACAATTGGTACAACAATCAATCATCAAGAAATCAGACTATCAATTTGGAAAGTCCAAGATTTTCATCAGAATACCTCAACCTCTTATGACAATGGAAGAAAAGAGACAACAACGTCTTGAAGATTTGGCAACCATGATCCAATCAACATGGCGTATGTACAGTACCCGTAAATGGTACAAGAGAACTATTGCCGCCCGAAAGATTCAAAGAACCTACCGAGCCTGGCTCCTCCGTAGAGAATGCGTTCAACTCAAAAACTCTTCTCAACAATTGTTCCAAGGCAACAAGGAAAGAAACAGAAACAGTCTATTACTTTCCTCAAAGGCATTTATAGGAGACTTTTTATCCTTGTCTAAAGATAAATTTACGATGGATACTCTAAGACAAGAGGAAGGTAACGACGCTACTCTTCGCATGTCGGTGCACGTCAGCAAGATCAATCGCCACCACAAGGTACAAAAGAGAGCACTGCTAGTCACCAATCAAAATATCTACCACATTTCCTTTTTTGCAAAGCCCAAAAAAGATGGATCATGGTTTGTGATTAAAAGAAAGATGGCCTTTTCATCTATTGAAAAAGTTAGTCTGAGCACCCTGGCAGACAACTTTTTCGTCTTGCACATCCCATCCGAGTTTGACTACATCTGTGAAACAAACAAAAAGACAGTGTTTATCACATTGCTATCAAAACTTTATCAAACACGACTCAACAAACCCTTGGCACTCGATTTCAAGGATACTATTCAATATCGCAGCCAAAAAGGATCAACAGAAGCAAACTTTTTGCGCGTAGATACCCTCAAATTAAAAGATGATGAAACTTTTACCATCAAATCTGGTGGCGGTAAAGTTAAAATTTCTACTCTTCCAGGTGAATCAAAAGATTCAAAATCTTTTAATATTATTAATAATAATTAAATAGAAATAAATAAATAAAAAATAACTAGTAAATTAATTTATAAATATTTATTATTATTTTTATTGTTTTGTAATTTCACCAATATAAATTGTTTTATCTTCAGAACAACTAGCAATAATTGGTTCATTTGGATGGAAAGCCACTTCCATAACTGTACCTTGATGTCCTGGTAGTTTATAGAGTACCTTGTGCGACTCTGTATCCCAAATATAAACCAAACCATCCGCACTTCCCGATGATACTCTTTGTCCATCTGCAGACCAAGAGCATTTTAATAATGATTGTTCAAAGTTGTGATGAGCACCTTGAAATCCTCCTAGTGATCTGTTGTTGTTTACAGAAAATGGTTTTAGATCCCACATTCTCAAAGTGCCATCCATAGAATTGGATAAAAGAATTGAATTGTTGACATTAAAGTTGTTGCTGTCGGACGATGGTGAAAATGAAAGTGATGTAATAGTATCAGTGTGTCCCGTCAAAGTCATTGAAACGGTCTCGGTTCTGATATCCCAAACTCGAATATTATTATCTACGCTACCAGTGATCAACTGATCTGAACTATCTGAAAAACAGACAGCAGTGACAGGTCCTTTATGTTTGAATGAATGAATGCTAGACTTTGAACGTATATCGAATATTCTTGAGGTGCCATCATCTGATGCCGATGCAACAAGAGGAGAACCACGTCTAGATGAACAACATGAATTGATGATGCTATTGTGTTCTTTGATTCTTTTGATTAGTGACATTCCTTCTACAGCGTCCCATATACCAATCGTCTTGTCTGCACTGCAAGAGTAAATTTGAGTACTATCATTTGACCAATGTAATTCTAATACACTATGTTTATGTCCTTTTAATACACCATAATTTATACATTCTCCATAAACATTCCATAAAACTAAATGAAAGAAAGAGTAGAATGATGAAAGATAGAGAAAAGAGAAGAGAATTAGAATAAAAAAGAGTTAAAGGTTTAAAGGTTTAAACATACATATTTCGTTATCAGATGAACCAGAAGCCAAAGCAGTACCATAAGTATTAAATTTACAAGTATTTACACTTGCTTTATGACCTACAAGTTGAATGATGGGTGATGATAGCTTTGAAGTTCTCTCTGTCCCTAATATTATTTGATTCTTGTTATTGTTTGTTGTAACAATTGCATTGTTTTGTTTCTGTTGTTGTTGTTGTTGTTGTTGTTGTTGTTGTTGTTGAGGTTGAACAATGAGACTCATATCTAAAGAATAAATAATAAAGACTATTGAGATAATTTTAAAAAATATTTGTCTATAATATTTTATGTGCTTTTATTTTCTATTCTTATTTTTTTTTAATCTAAATTTAATTGATATTTTGATAAAAGATTATTAACAAGATTAAAAACTTTATCTTGATCTTGTTGTTGCATATCTAAAGATTTAAAATCTTGAATAAATTGGGAAACAGAATCGAGAGAAGCAAGTGAATTTGATTCAAACGATTCCAATTCTTTGGCTTTAAGTCGTGCAACTTGTACGACTTGATCAGGAAAACCGGCCATAATGGCGACGTGAATACCAAATGATTGGTCACATGCACCTTCTTTGACCTTGTACATTAGGGTCAAGCCACTGTGATCATTTACATTGGCTTGAACGTGGAGGTTCTTTACAGTGAGTGGTAGAATTTCTTGGAGAACTGTGAGTTCATGGAAATGGGTGGCAAAGAGACAAAATGCTCCAATTTGATGACAAATATATTCTGCAATGCCCCATGCCAAACCAAAACCATCGTATGTGCTTGTTCCTCTTCCCAGTTCATCAATGATGATAAGTGAATTCTTTGTTGCAGTCTTTAGTATGTAGGCAGTCTCTAACATCTCTGCCATAAAAGTAGAGACACCACGAAGCTGACTGTCACCTGCTCCAATTCTTGTCAATATGCAATCGACAATTGAAATTTCTGCTTGCTCTGCTGGTACAAAACATCCAATTTGTGCCATCAATGTAATGATTCCAACCTGTCTGATAAAAGTACTCTTTCCACCCATATTTGGACCAGTAATAATTTGAAATGTTGATTTGTCTCTGGTCAAGTCAATATCGTTGGAAATAAAGTTTACATTATCCTGTACCTCGACACATGGATGTCTTCCTCCTACAATGGTAATGTTTCCTTTTCCCATTGGATGAACGATTGGACGAACATAGGGGGAAGGGGCACTAGAAGATACATGTCCCAAACTAGCAAATACATCGAGTGTTGCAATGAGAGAACAGAGATCGTCAATTAGGGGTACAAAACTAGTTGTAATCTCCAATGCTCTTTGTACAAGTCCTTGTTGCTTTTCATTGTATTGGACTGAAGATGACATGTAGGCTTCGTTGAGCTTACGAATATCTGATGTACTGAATCGAACGCCATCCTTTTGTGTACCATACACGATATACTTGGCATTACCTCTAATGAGCTTTTCATCTTTTCTGCTAAGACGAACCAGATAGCCATCCTTGTCTGATTGGTGCAACTTGACTCTTGCTTCGTCAATGCCCAAATCGTCGGCAATCTTTTCACGTAGTTGGTTAATCTTTTTCATGCAATTTTGTTTCTTGTTGTGAATTTCAGACAATTCGTCGCTAAATGATGATCTGATGACATATTCGTGTGTCTCATAGGCTTGATCAAGATCGACTGTCTTTTCAACCATGGCAGAGAATTGTTGAAACTCTGCAATAATTTGCTCGAGTGGCTGAGTAAAAGTACTCTCTACCATCTCTGATCCTTGATCTTCATAGGAACGGAGTGAAGAGAGAAGAACTGAAAGTCTTTGAACCACACCATATAGATTGACGACATCCTCCAATGTTGCCTTGCCTCCCACCAACTTTTTTGATAGTCTTTCCAAATCGCCAATCTTTTTTAAATCATTGGATCGCAAGGCTTGTCTAAGCTCCAATGCATTGACAAAAATCTCTACAAAATTTAATCTTGTTTCAATTTCCTCTTGGTCGACGAGTGGTTGACGGACCCATTGCGATAATTTTCTCGAGCCCATTGGGGTATTGCATTTGTCTAAAAGATTGAATATACTCATTCCTTGTTTGTTGGTAGGGTCGCTACTAATAATATTTAAACCTTTGAACGTTGCTGCATCTAATCTCATAAAATTGTCTAGGTTGAATGAAACCAATTTAAATTTTCCAAAATAACTTTGATTTGATAATAGATCCAAATGTTTAATTAAACAACTTAATGATTGCATTGCAAGTTCTTTTTCTATTTCATCTATAGAAAATAAAATAAAAAATTAAAAAAAAGAAAAATTAACATTGGGGTCTATAAGAAAGAGAGAGAGACTCTTTTCTGGGGGTTTTTTTTCTACATACTTAAAACATTATTAATTGAACCTAATAATCTTGTTAAATCTTGTTCTATGTTTTTGGTATTAAAATCTGAATTTGGAACCTCTGTAAATGGTACTTCTGAATCTTGTAATTTATCCATAACCTTTTTACAATCAACACTATTCTTTTTATCTACAGATATTAAACATTCTTTAATTCCCATTTGTAATAAAAATGACTAAAAAAAAAAAAAAGAATAAATAATTAAATAATTAATTTAAATTATTCTTTTTCAAAACATACACTAAGATTTGAAAGATGATCATTATCAATAAATTGTAAAACACCAATAGTTTTAAGAGTTGAATCACCAAAAGCAGCACCAATAACTCTATTTCCTTCGATTGTAGATACACGTAGAGCAACCATCAATGATTGATCTTTAATGTTGAGTATATCCTCAAACATTTGTAAATTGCCAGGAGATCCTTTCTTTATAATCTCCCATTGACCCACTCTGCTTGCCTTTGGTGCCCATACTTCTACTTTTTGTTTTTGTTCAAACAACTTTTGAACTATACCTTCAAACTCTATACCATCACGAACTGTTAAATATGCCAATCCATTATTTGATTCTTCATCATCCTCTTCAGCAGTTGCAATTGAATCTAAAGAGGAGGAGGAGGAGTTGCCCAACTTTTGTTTCTTTTTAGTTGGTGCCAAATCATTTGCCCAATATTTTAAAGCCTTTTTTGTTTTAAAGTGTAACAATGCAACATATATAGCATCTTGACCATGTATTGAATAATATCCCTAAACAAATAAATAAATATGTTTAGTTTTAAATGATGATGATGATGATGAGATTCTATTCGATTCAATCTTCTATTACCTTTCTATCAAAGAAACGTATTGTTGAATCTTGTACAGTCTCTAATGATCTATAAAATGTTGTAAATCCTTTATCCTCTTTTAATGATGATGCAACTGTTGTTGATTGATCGTTTGATGTTGAAGTGTCCATTATTTGATTTCATCAAAAAAGGTAATGAAACACAATATACAATTACTTTAACATTAAAAAAAGACAGAGAGCTTTTTTTCATTGTAATAAAAAATTTTAATATTGCCAAGAAAAGGAGGGAACTGCACTTTCAAAGTTTCAATTGGAACCGTCAGTTCTCCTTCTCTTCCTACAAATACTCGACGAATGATAACTAGATTGATTAATAGAAACAACAATAATTTAATATCAACATTATCAATATTAAAGTTCAACAATAATCGTATCAACAACAAATTACAAACTTTATACTACTCTACTACTACTACTACAACAACAATGACTAGCCCAAATTTTAAACAAATAGTATCAACACTCAATAGTATCACACCATTAGAATTGGCAGGTTCATGGGATAATGTTGGTGTATTGGTAGAACCATCTACTGCATCGAGTACATTGATCGTAGATAGAATATTTTTAACCAATGACCTCACCGAACCAGTATTGGATGAAGCGATCAATGCAAAGTGCAATATGATCATCTCTTATCATCCTCCTTTGTTTTCTCAATTCAAAAGAATTACTCAACAAGTAACTAGTCAAAGAATTGCAATCAAGGCAATAGAAAATCAAATACCAATCTATTCTCCACATTCATCGTTGGATGCAATCAATGGTGGTATCAATGATTGGATTGCTCGTTCTCTTTTGAATCATTATTTAACCAATGACAATTCTTCTGCATCACCAACCAATAGTACAATTAAACCTATTCAACCTTCACAACTACCTTCTTCTTCTTCTTCTTCCTCTGATTCTCATAAATTAACAATCAATTTCAAACTAGCCTTGTTGTCAGAAGAATCACAAAAAGCAAAAGTATCAATGATTAGTCAATTATCAAATATTTACGAGGGATTGAGAGTATCTGATTATGTAATTGAAATAACAACAAGTGAAAACAAATTGGCACAACTTGTAAGAATTATCGATTCAAACAGCTCTATTGTTGAATCTTGGAATTGTAACCAACTTGTATTGAAATTCTCAAATGACCTAGTTGGACAAGGTAGAATCGTAACATTTGATGGACAAGGTCTAACTATTGACCAAGCCATAGACTGTGTCAAAAAGTTGTTTGACCTCAAATATGTCAGACTCGGAAGACCACTCAACGGAAAGGAAAAGAGAATCAAATCAATTGCACTTTGTGCTGGTAGTGGTGCATCTGTTATCCTCTCTTCCAAGGTAGATCTCTATCTTACAGGTGAATTGTCTCATCACGAAATATTAGAAGCATGTGCCAAGGGTAATTATGTAATTGTTTGTGATCACTCAAATACAGAAAGAGGTTATCTCAAAGAATACAAAACCCTACTCGAATCAAAATTAAATCAACCAAATTTGGAAATTATTATTTCAAAATTGGATTCTGATCCACTTTCAATTGTTTAGACAAAAGAGAGAGAGAGAGAAGTAAATAAATATTTTAATTATTATTATATTTTTTTTATTTTATTTTTTTTTGTGGTGTCCTTCGAAGTCGATTTGACTATTATTGAAAGGAATTGAAACTTTTGTGACTGTTTTATTTATTAAATTTAAGCACTCTTTGTCTTTTTTTGGTTTGGTTGTTGTTGCTTTACGATTGGTGAAGAAGCAACCTTGTTCTTTTGTGATGATTTTTCAGCAATGGCAGTAGTTTTACCAATGGCAATGAATGATTGAATGGTCAAGATGATTGGAATCAATAACCAGAGACCATTGAGACCGACGACGTATACCCAGAGTTCGAATGGATCAGATGAGATTAATTCGTCCCACTTTCCATAGATGTATGGTGTGATAAAGTAAAAGACGGTTCCAAGACCTTGGAGTGCCGACAAGAAGATTTGGAGGGCATGACGATACTTGGATTGTTGGACAACAAAGAGAGCCAAGATGAAACAGGCAGCTCCTTGAACGAGTTCGAGGAAACAAAAGAATACAACCATTGGGTCAGCGATGGCATAACGAAGGTCATATTTGGCATATTGAGAGTAGAGGGAAGCATACCAGTGGAGGTCGAATGCTTTTTCCATTGGTACATCTTCAAACATCTTTTCCATAAAGTCAACTTCAGAGGCCTTGGTTACTTCATGAGCAAAGAATCCGTATGAACCTTCAAGAATGATATGAATGAGACCCGACCACAATAACCAAAAGAGAATGAGCTTCTCCTTTTTGGCAAAGAGTGATAAAACGACACATAAAATGGTCAATACTGCTAATGGTAAAAATGTAAACATGATTGATTGATAGTAGTAGTGGTTTGGTACTAAATATAATAAAAGGCTTTTCATTGCAATATGATGATCAAGAAAAAAACGAAAAAAAAAAAAAAAAAAAAAAAAAAAAAAACGAAAAAAAAAAAAAAAAAAAGAAAAGAAAAAAGAAATCTTCTTGAATAATTTTACCCGATTTGTCGAGACCTTGGTTCTTGAGAGTTATATTTATTATTTATACATTAGAGATAAATATTATACCTCGATTGATCCATCTAGGACCAGAATTAGAATAGATCACTCATACACACACACACACACACACACACACACACACATACATACAAAGAAAGGGATGGGTTGGATGGCAAGTGGGGCAAGACCAACACACCCTTTTTTATTATTGTTTCTATTTCCCCTCTCATTGACACAAACAGTTAACATAGTATACTTTTTATTTATAATATAAATATTTCAATAATGTATAGTAACTTTAAAACAACACCAACAAGGTACAAATTTTTAGTTGTAATATTATTTCTAGTAACCATTGTGTTGTTTAGTTTTGCCTACTTTAATGATCATCTAGCATTGTATGATCAAACAGCATCAGTATTTGATCCTTTGCGTAGTAAATTAGATATAAACCAACAACAACAAAGAGACATTACAATCTTTTTATGGGACATTACATCCAAAGAAAGAGATTGGTCTGGCTTATTATCTTCCGATGCAAATTTGGATAATCAACAACAACATTTGTATAAACAACAACAACAACAACAACAACAACAACAACAACAAGAACAACAACAACAACAACAAAGTAGATCATTAAAATCATTGATTTCAAGCAAGATGGATGATGTGGAATTTAAAGATGAAAATGAAAAAGTTTGTGATGTATCTTGTAGTTTTACCAATAACCATATAGATCTTCCATTATCAGACTATATAGTATTTGACCCATCATTTATACATCGAGATGATTGGAGAAGATCGCCTATCAACTTTCCAGAAAAGCTGCCATTTCAAAAATTTGTCTTGTTGGATTACTTTAGTAAGAGTCAATTTCCAATTCTGGCCGATCCTCGGTACACGTCCCTCATGGATCTCCATTTCAACTATAGTTCCGATAGTACACAACAACTTTCATTGGCATGTCCACCAGATCCTTCCTACACTACAAAAAATACAACCTCTTTACTATTAAATAACCATGATTCAAAACCTTGGGAATCAAGAAAGGGATTGGTTTTTATTTCTTCAAATTGTAAAATTGGTTTTGCAAAATCAAGAATCGTATGTAAACAAATATTAAAAAAGAAATATTAAGAAATTATTTTAATTCATTTTTTAATTTTAAGAATTATGTAAAATCAATGAAATCAATAGTTGATATTGATACTTTTGGAAAATGTTTTGAAAGTACATCAACTCAAAGTGGAAACAACAGGTTACCAATCAAACCAACCAACATTAACGAAATAATCAAAAGTAATATGAAAGAGTTTGAAAATTACAAGTTTGCTTTGACATTTGAAAACGAAAATTCCACAGACTATGTATCTGAAAAGGTATACTCTGCTCTCTACTCTGGTGCCATTCCTGTCTATATGGGCTCAAAGAATATTGACAACTGGGTTCCAACTGGTTCAATCATCAAGGTATCTGACTATAGCTCTCCAATAGAGCTTGCCAATTATCTCAAAAAAGTAATAGATGATCCAAAAGAATATAAAAAGTATTTTGAATGGAAAAAATCTGAATTGGAACAAAAGGTATGTAAAAACAAACAATTAATTAGAATATTTGTGTAATTTATATTTAATATTGTTTTTGCTTTTTTATTTATTTTTAGGTAATTGATAAATTAAGAATGTGTATAAATGGATTCCATAGTAAATGTAAAATGTGTAAAATGGCTAATGATGTATTATCGATAAAACAATTAGAGCTAAAGAAAGGACTAACGACAACACATAGTTCCTATCAGCCATTCCATTTGCAAATGCAAGGAAAGGGGGATCACATTAAAGTAGATTCATCCAAATGCCCAACATGTTTGGATTTGTCTGAAAAATACACTCTAATGGCTTGGGTAAAACCAACAAGTTTTGGTGATCAACGTGTCATTGACAAGAATACTGGAGGTACTATCGATGGATACAATTTCGACATTCAAAAGGCAACAGACTCGAGCAGAGGAATTGCACGACTATGCGCTGGTGGAAATTGTTTTTCGTCTCACATGTCATTCTCTCCAGACGTTTGGACCCATATTGCCGTCACCTACTCTGTAAATAACGAACACGTCCACGACAACAAGGTAAACTTTTTTATCAATGGGAAAAAGGATATCCCTCAAGATTTCTTTAATCCAACTGCAAAGAATAAGCATCCAGTTTTAATTGGTGCTTCAAATGGTGCAGCCATTGGGTAAGTTAAATTTATAAAAATGATTAAAAAAAGGGGTCAATAATAATTAATTAATTATTTATAGTGATAGTGGTACTTACAATGGAAACATTGACAATATTGCAATCTATAATAGATCATTGAGCAATCAAGAAATAATCAATGCCATGTGGAACAAACCATTTGGTAATGAAAAGGATATTTTATTGTATTTTGATTTTGATGTCAACCCTCTTCATCGCGAGACAAAGGGCACAGTAAAAGATAGATCAATTTATGGAAATAATGGTATCTTTGTTGCTGGTAAATCTTTCCATACCTCTGAAAGATTACTTTCCTATGGTCGAGAGTACTCTTTTAATAAATGTTTATAAACATTACATAGATTCAACAAAACATAATCCAATAGATAAATAAATATGGTAACAAAAGAATTAAAAAAATCTACCTTTATCCCGAATTTATTGGAGGCTAAGAGGGTACTGGTTTTTTTATGCAATTTGATAAATTCTGAATTTTATTGTAAAGCTCTCTTGACTTGAAACCTTTACTATATCATAGGAAATGATCTGAATTTTGTGCATACATCAAACTAGTAAACAAACTATCATTTAAATAAAAAAATAAGTAATTTGATTGTTTAGTTTTAGATTTTCAAATGTTTATAGTTAAGTTCAATTAACTTCAAACTTTGATATTCATCATAGACTATTGTTTTGGTAACTAATTGAATTATTTTAAATTGTAAAAAAACAAGACTAATATTTTATGTGTGTCCTCTTGATTGTTTTTCGTTTTAAAAAAACATTTCTAGGAATATAATTTTGCTCTTTAGACTTGAAACTTTAAATTAGATTTTAAAAATTATTATTTAATGATATGGAAAAATTATCAAATAAATATTAAAATTTGAGATAAAGGTTATTTTGTGGAATACTCTCAACAATTTATATGAAAGTTTGATATTATCTATATATTATGATTTAAAACATTATGGCATCATTTAATAAAAAGATTAAACAAAAATTTTTTAAACAGTGCTCACTCATTAATTTTGTTGAAAATTTCAATACCAACAACAACAACATTAAAAGGAGAACCATGTTTTCTATTATCTTACGACATCTCTTTTAATCATAACATGTATAATGCTCAATAAAAGAAATTGCATCACAAAGCGATTTCAAACGATGGTCAGCAAAACAAGTAAAAGAATGGGCTACAAAAGAAGTTCAAGTAAGAGAGGAATATGCCCAGATGCTTCTTGATAATGATGTAGATGGAGAGAGTATAGCAGTGTTTACAGAGGCTGATTTTGGTAAATGTGGCATAGTCGTTGCACCTGCAAAGAAGCTCTATCTGGCTGCTCAACAACTTTTAATTAAACAACAACAACAACAATCGCTATCGCATCAACACAGCAGCAGCAGTAGAGGTAAGTAATGATACATCTATCTTCTATTTAACCACTCATATTCGTCTTGTTCGCACATGATTGTCATACGTCAGATTCCCTACACTACCACCACCCATCATTATTCTCGTTTCTCACTCTGTGTTGTGGTTCAAGTCATCTATTAATCACACCCATCAACCCTAATATTAAAGTCATGTCTTATGATCATCGCGCTCACCCATCTTCCAATGATTTTATTAATATTTAAAATAATTTTTTTGTTTAATAATAATAATAATAATATTTTTTATAATTATATATATTTTTTTCTTGGAGTCTGGTGATAAAAGCACCCTTACGCAGCAGTTCACTGTGTATTCTTTCTGATACATTTTATTTGTTCTTTTTTTTGCCATTTATTATTCACATATTTCAAGAGAAATCATCTTCACCATCGTCGCCATCTTGTCAATATTCATTCACTCAATCTTTTTATTCTTTGTAGTTTATATTCCCTTATCTTATTTGCAACTTACTTACTATAATATTATATCAAACAAATATTCAAGAAATGGATAATGGCTGGAGAGAAAAGGGTATGTTTTTTGTTCTAGTTCCTTGACCTGAAAAAATTAATGACCCTCTGTTTCTATTCTATTCTATTCTATTCTATTCTATTCTATTCTATTCTATTCTATTCTATTCTATTCTATTCTATTCTATTCTATTCTATTCTATTCTATTCTATTCTATTCTATTCTATTCTATTCTATTCTATTCTATTCTATTCTATTCTATTCTATTCTATTTAGACCCAAAGGAATGGGATTTTACAGACATCGATCCTTGGATAGGATATTTCAAGTCACAACGCAGACTAAAACCAGGAGCAATCTTTGATTTTGATTCCAACACCAAATCTTTACCCAAAGGAGAGTCTCTTGTAAAGTGGCCATGTGATTTGTTCAAGGAATACTCGCCTATCTACGGTAGTGAACTATTTGTTTGTTTAAACAGTTTCAAAAGGGACCCCACCCCTTCTCCCCTACAAGGTAACCAGTCACAATCACTATTGCACTATCTTTCATACCATTTCTTCTCTACTGTCATCCCTCACCAATTTTTTTCATTTGTAATTCTCTCCCTTTTGAAACCTTACATTTCTTCATTACCAATGTTGCAATCACTATCATTGCTCCTCTTTTTACACCATTTCTTTTGATTATCTTTTTGTTTTCATTACCAATCAATGCAACACCCATCTCTTTCCTTTTAACCACTTGCCTCATTGTCTACTTTCAACCATTGTCGTACCAACCTAACACTAAACATTTGTTCATTTTGTTTTGCTTGTTCATCTTTACATATCATAGACCATTGACCTCTTTCATATATTTATAATCCTTTTTATACAAATCAAATACTGATCCATTCGCCAAGCTACACTACCACTCTTTATCACTCTACATCCTTTTATTTTTAAGACCCATCTCTTTTTCCTCTTAGTCACTACTTTTGTCAAACATACCTAATTGCTACATCAACCGATCACTATCATTCAAATCTAGTCATTTTGTTTTGCTTTGTTTGTTCTCATATTACAGGCCCTTTACTTGCCTCATTTTTGTTGGTCAATCCATCTCCAACCATTCCTAATATTTTATCAACCAATCACCATTCTTATCACTTGGCTTTCATTAAATTTTTTAAATCAACTCTTTCCTTTGTGGGCCATCCCTTATTGCTTCTCAAATAACATTGTTGCATTCACTCAAACCCCTCTATATTTGTGCTTCTCAAATAACATCATGTTGCATCTTTTTTATTGCTGGTTAGATTTGTGCATAGCTCATCTCAATCTTCAAGAGTATCTCGGGTTAGAACGGACCACTCCTCATTTTGTTTTTTCATCTTTACATATCATAGACCATTGTCAGGTAAACAATGGTCATAAAAACATTTTCATTAATATTCTTCTTTCTTATTAACCCAGTTGAACAACTAACACCCCAACATCTCCAGCAATTGAAACAAGAAATCATAAAAGAAATCAATTTAAAATCAGAAGCTTCTGATAGTACTATCAGCAACAGTGGATCAATGATCCCCACGAAGTTAGCTTCCCGAGAGACATGGAGGAAGTTTATGGATTCAGTATATCCAAACCACAGAATTGTAGAATGGCGTTCATCTACTTTGAATAGTAATCCCGAAGATCCAAAATTACCACAGTTCGAATGGGGAACTGATTCCGAGGACACCCAGACAGAGCGAGCAGTCCGCCACCTCAATACTCATTGGAACTTTGACAAACACTCAGTTATGGATACACATCGAACCGACAACATTTCCACACTTTTTGGAAAACACAACACATTTCACGCGAGTTTCGATGCCCGTGTATGTAAAGAGGGTTCACCCAAGTACAGTGCCATCATCGAATCTAACTTCGTGGGGATCATTGACCAAAAGTCCCATACTAAATTTTAATGTGGGCGTGACATGAATTGGGTATAAGATGTAAATAGATGTATTTAATTATTCAAAGGACTTATTTTGGTTTTAATAGGATGATGTAAATTAATATGAGAGATCGAGCCTGTGTCCGACCAAATCTTTAAAAACTTGGATTTTTTGGAAGATGTAGATAATCTGTTCGGTACATTGATAGATGTATGTCTGTAGTGTAATAAACCGGTTCAGAATGTTTGGTTGAGTTTGATTAAAAAAAAATATTTTGGTTTTTGTGGTATGAGGGGATAAATTAGTATGAGAGATCGAGCCTGTGTCCGACCAAATCTTTAAAAACTTGGATTTTTTGGAAGATGTAGATAATCTGTTCGGTACATTGATAGATGTATGTCTGTAGTGTAATAAACCGGTTCAGAATGTTTGGTTGAGTTTGATTAAAAAAAAATATTTTGGTTTTTGTTGTATGAGGGGGATGATGTAAATTAATATGGGAAGCTGGCCTTGGGGTCAAAAGTCCCATAGTAAAAAAATTGATGCCGTTCATCATTGGATTTCCCATAGTCCTGGCCTGACTTTGACTCTGAAGTCCCATAGTAAAAAATTAGATGACGAGCCACTTTTTTACTATGGCGCCATGCCGCGCCGCGCCGGCCTGACTTTGGGTCAAAAGTCCCATAGTAAAAAAATTAGATGACAAGGCACTTTTTTACTATGGCGCCATGCCGCGCCTCACCTGGCCTGACCTTGAGGTCAAAAGTCCCATATAC